TACAAAAATTCACTTTTTTTTTGGTTATTTAATTTATTTTAGGGCTATTTATATATATATTTATATATTTTATATTTTTTTAGTATATAATATATATAAATATATATAAATAAATTAGTAATTTTTTTATTTTATTTAAATTACTATTTAGTAACTAGTAATTACTAATTATTACTATTTAGTAATTACTAAATAGTAATTACTATTTTTTTTTAGTAATTACTAATTAGTAATTTACTAATTTTAGTAACGTATTACACGGGCGAGTCGGTTGCCCAGTTAAGTTAGTTATAATACTAAAACTTTACTAAAATTAGTACTATATATAACAGTATAGCACTATAGAAGACTATAGTAGTAAATTGTAATAAGCTAATTTATTTAGAAACTATTTTTATTTTTTGCTTATACATTTGCGCATTATGCCTAGCCTTACTATAGCATTTATAGCGCCTTTAAAAGGGCTTACCTGCCTTAGTATATACTTGCTTTTTTGCTTTTTTTCTATTACTACGCGCCTTAAATTCTTTTAAAGTTATTAGTTAAAGACTGTTTTTTACTATAAAAGTCTTTTTTTTTTATATTTACTTTTTTTTATATAATTTTTATTGCGTAGCGGCTTTATTAACTGCTTAAAGCTTAGTAATTTTTTTCTGCGCTAATATAAGCTTGTGCGCGACTATAACTGCACTTTTTAAAATTTTTTTAAAAGTTTTAACTATTAAAGTAAAGGAACTATTTAGGTGCTTTTAAATTTTTATTTTAACTAGTATTAACTAAAATTTAAATTCTAGAGTATTACTTAGTATTTTTAACTCCTAGGGACTATTTTTAATAGTAAGTAGTAGTAAAGTACGCAACTAGATATTAAGTTTTAATATTACAGCTTTAAAGTTAAAAAGAACTAGACTAGCGCTTTTAAAGCTACTTAAAATATTGCTTTTTATAATAGCAGCATTAAAAGCCGGTTTAAAGTACAGTAAGAACTTAATTTTAGTAATATAGTTAATGCTATTATATATTAGCTTTTTAGCTTAGCACTTATACGCCTTTTTTAAAAGCGCAAAACAATTTATATTAAGTAGCTATAGCAGGTATAACAAATACAGAAGTATATAAAAAGTAATAATCTTTTATTCTTTATAGTACTGCTAGAATTAGACTAATATATAGCTTTTATAACTATTAATAATAAGCAAATAATAGGTACTAATAACCTTTTTTTTAGTATGCTTATTAAAGTGCTTTAACTACTTAAAAGTAAGCTTATTTATTATTTAGCTATTTTTAGAAACTATAATAACTTAATTATAGGGCAGGCTATTTTTTTTATACTAGGCTAAGAAGTAGTTCTTGCCTGTAAAAATAATAAAAAGTAAAATAATTTACTTTATTATATTAATACTTTAGATTACTATTACTTACTTTTAATTACCTTGCTGCACTATCTTTAGCTGTCCTTAATAGTTAGCACTTAAAATAATAGTTTTATATAATATCTAGCCTATTATAAAGCCTGTTTTGTTAAAGTTGTATATATTTTTATTTTAAATACTATACTTAGCTTTTATATTTTTTATAAATTAGAACTAGCTTTGTATAAGCTTAGGATTTTTATATAAAATTTTTTAGTAGTTATACTTTTAAAAAGTTTTAGTACTAAGCTGTAAATATTATTTAATAAATATGCTAGCCTAGTTTCTACTAATAAGTAGTTGCCTATGTTTAGCTAGTAAAGTATTAGCTATATTATTTATAGCAGCTAGTTAGGGCGGAAATCCTTAGTTTTTAAGGTAGAGTATATACTAGGCAATTACTTTTTTTTTTATTAAAAAAAGCCTTATTTTATTAGGCCTAGTATTATATTGTAAAGGCTTTCCTTTTAGTTAATTACTAAGTATTGTTTAAGAAACGCTGTAGATCTGCGTAGCTTTTTATTAAGAAAAATTCGCGTTGCGTTTTAAAGCCTAAACTATAAGCTATATTTAGTTTTTTTTTTAAAAGGATTGCACGTTGTTGTATTAAGGCATTACGTTTAATAGTAGAGGACTACTAATTTTAGTAGGGTTTTAGCATTGTAACTAACTTAACTGGGCAACTAACTCGCCCATGTAATACATTATTTAGTAATTACTAAATAATAATTACTAAGTAAGAACTATTTAGTAAATTAGCCCTACCCTGTGCGTATCGATAAATGAGTTCACAAGTTGGCCACGTGGGTTTCCTCGAATCCAGGCAGAAATAGAACGCATAACGAAACATACGAATAGTAGATGACGAAAGTGGGCCCAGACTTACCTTGGTGCATCGAAACGACGGAGACGGTTGGTGGAAATTCTGTTTCGCATGAAGAACAGATTAGTTAAACAACTCTTTTGATGCGAACAAAGTGGCCCAGAGTCTGCTTTCCCCGCTGGCTACACCGCCTTCGTACTTGTCGCGACTCGCGAGACCTACCAAGTGAAGAACAACTGCGTTGAATGGCGATCAACTCAAACAGTCGAATTGATGTTGTAAAGGCCCGAAGTAGTCAGGAGGTCTTAGCTGTCAACATAAGCTAGAAGATCTATTACCGGAACGGCCCATGTCACTGGATAGAGGGTTTCTGGATAGAGAGGCCGAATCCATGTCTAGCATTAAATTGATGGAGGCTAATATCATAGTAGGTAAGTATTGGCAGAATGCACCTTGTCCTAGTATGTGGTCAGGCTGACCGCGATATGCGACATCCGGAATGGGGTGTTACTGGCAGGGTTGCGCGTACGTTTTGATGAAGATGTACGTCGTGCGGCCCAATGCGGTCGTCTTTGAGGGCTGACTGCGTACAGAAATGTTTTTAGCACAAGTCAATCAAGTGTAAAGAGCTGACGTCCCCATGAGCATAGAGCCATTGTGGGATCGTCTGTCAGTGTGTAATGAAGAGGCGGTGATTCTGCCCAGCTGAGTCAGGAGAGGCATGTGGGGTGCCCGCTCCCGTTTCAGATGTTAGTAGAGGGGCTCGCGACTCCACTCCTGTCACGAACCGCCTTGATGAGCGCGCGCCTCGAATGTCCACTTCATACCCTCCCACTCAAGCATCTCGAATCGCCGCCAGGTGCGTGTGATGGGTGTGTGACGACAATTAAAGGCTGCCGACGAACAGCGACACGCCGTGCAAGGCTTTCCGAGGTGGCAGATTCAACGACCAAGGTAATACCAGCGCCAACAGCGTGGTTGCCAGCACCTTGGGCGACCATCGCCGGGGCCCGTACGACCATGTTCGCATACACTTGCGTGGGCTGTTGGACAAACGGAGATGCCAACCTCTGCTACCAGGAGAGCATAGGTCGCGACGATGCGTGTCTGAATCTCTCTTATACGCAGCGTTCCACTCTATTCTATGCCCAGGAAAGGCCCATGTGCAGCCGAGGAAAGAAACGCACGTAAAGCAGCCGTCCGTCTTGATTCGTGAAGCCGTCAAAGGAGCGGAAATATGGTGGGACCCTTGCTCATCCCGTCTTGTCGAAGTTTCATGAGCGGAAGCCTCAGCATATTCAGATCGCCAGAGCAGCGAAGACGACTTCACCGTCTTGGGCCTGCTGAAGGGCGCTCAACGGCGTCAGGCGTCGCTCGCCGTTGACCCCGCAGCTGGCCATATGCTGACGGAAAATACTTCGTTGGTGTCGCCGTCGCACAGAGGCCCTGGGCACTGTTCTGGCGATGGGCTGTTTCTTCGCTGCAAGCACGTCTCTTGGCTAACAGGCACGCTACATTGGACTTGGTTACGGCCAGGGGCATTGGCGAATAACATATACGGTGGCGGGGCCACGATTGGCTTGTTCTCTCGACTTACCCCTGACTGTCTTCGTGTGCATGGTCCGCCCTAGGTCTCACCGTCGCTCGTGCCGTCGCCGCTTAGGCCCTTTGGGAGATGCCAACGCCAGTCCGATAGCTGCCCTTGCGCGAACCGTGAGCAGGCACAGACAGGCATGGACCCCTTCAGCAGCCGGTTGGACCACACCTCCCCTTCGCTCAGGCTCGCTGTCTCTCCCCAGCTTCAGCCTCCGAGTGACTGAACAGCCTCGCCTTGACGGTTATACCTGTCCTCGACTTTCGCACACCGCTGTGCTGTGCTGCTGCCTCTCGTTCCAGCCTATCGTTCCGACTGCTTTGTGCCTCTTTGACAGACGGTCACCCCATCACTCGCTGTGCATTCTTCCTGCTGTCCTGTCTTGCTCTGACACCGGATCGAGAGTCACTGTCGCGCTCAGTCTCGATATTTTTGTCTTGGATTCGAGTATGTTCAACGCGCTCCATGTTTACCTGACAACACTGACCGCCTGTCGCTACAGTCCGCCCTCCTTACGAATTATACACGCGGTCATACCACCTCCTTCAGTTCTTCTCTCCAACCTCCGAGCTTTCACGACCCGTACCATTTTCGCGATTTCAGCGGCGAACAAGCACATTCGACGGAACCAAACGGCTCGCTATTGCCTACTACTGCGACACCTTTTCTCCTGGACCTTCCCCTCGTCATGAGAATTTAGGCGGAAATATAGCTGGTTGTTGTTTGCTTTTATAGTGTCGACTCGAGACACAGTCCTTTCGTTTACTTGCCAACCGGACACATCTTGCCATGTCTGTTAATATGGCCACCCCGGAGCCTAAATTCCCGTTGAGCGGCCATTGCTCAATTATTCACGATGGAACGCTTTATGTGTATTCGCCGACTGGATTCCAGTCACTGAAGCTTCAAGAAGGAGCAAAATGGCAAGCCCTGCCAATGGATATATCGTTGACGGGGGCGCAATGTGTTAAAGCTGTACCGAAGGGAGATGCTAAAGCTGCTAAACTTTACATTGTTGGAGGCGTAGCAAACGAGACGGCCGCTACGTGGAACTATCCAGGGCTTATGCACTACTCGTTCTCGGAAAAGAAGTGGGATTGGCTGCGAGCAGAGAGTTGGAGTACGCAAAACCGCCAGAATCACGGTGCGGTCTATCTCCAAGACTCACAGAAGATATTGGTATACTCGGGATCACAAACAACAGGCGACGTCGGCCCATCTTCGCAATCGTTTCTATTCTCGACTATCCCACCCTACTCAGTTCAAGGTTTGCCCTCCGCTGGCGCACCTCCTTCGGTGAAGCCTATGCTCATGTCGGCGGACGCCAACTCCGCTTTATTAGTAGGTGGAGGTGCGACTAATACTGCTGTTTGGAAGTTCAACGAAGCAGAAGGCTGGCGAGACTTGGGCGTAAAACTTCAGCAGCCTATTGTGAACCAAGAAGCAGTACAATGCGCAGTTATTACAGGAAAAGATGGAAGCCAAGCACTAGAGAAGTTCGACATGAGCGTGACGCCAAACAAGGTTGAACGGATTTTACTCGTGAATAAAGATGGACGTCCCGCTGCTCCGGGAACGAATGTGGGCGACAAGGCGAAGCGGGTTACCGTTGAAAACTGGGCGGCATACAACGGAACGTTCGCCCCCACATCGGCGCGATCTGGCTATTCTCTTGCGCAAGGCGACGATGGCCTCACTGTTGCAAGCGGGGGAAACCAGACCGACCCTATTGTCGTTTTCAACGCAAAAGCCAACTCGTGGGTGAATGCGACTGAGATGTTCGGCGGCCAGCAGGTCATCCTGAATTCAAAGACGTCTTCAACCATATCGTCGACACGCCCAACCTCAACAGCATCCGTATCGGCAACACCTACCATAGATGCTGCGGCTATACCCGCGGCTCCACCTAGCCACAAGGGCAAGATGCTCACCGTTCTTGGGGCTACACTTGGTGCCATCTTCGGGATCGCAGCGATCCTAATCTTAATTCTCCTCTGCCTGAAGTATAGGAAGACCAAGCGCAAGCAAACCCATGGATACGTGGAGAAGGACCGAATGAGCTTCGCCGACCGCGGTGCCGATTTCATGAAGGAAGCTGGCGGATCTGTAGTGAGCCAGCAGTACAAGATGAACAACGACTCGCACTCGTCGCTCGCCATCATTCAGGGTCGTGGAGCAAACCACAAGAAGAACATGGCTAGCGATGCTAGTCAAGCAGGTCTCGTCAAGAAAACCAGCCCGTTGGGGTATTCAGATCCTGTGGAGTTGTCTAAGTTTGATCTGAAGCCTGAGCCTGTCGAGATTGTGCGACAGAATTCTAGTCGAATAGCACATGCCGCTAAGCCTGCTCCTCGAGCTCGCAGTTCGGGATGGAGTCGCTACTTCGCAAACAACGACGCTACAAATCTCGCCAGCGTACAACCTGACCGATCGACATACGCTTCGGATAGGACAAGTACAGGCAGTCAGTCGCAATACACCAACTCGCGTATGTACAGCCAGCGTCCATCACAACATATTGCTCCCTTAGAGATCCCGAAGTTGGATGGACAACGCATTAGCTCGGTAGCCAGCGGAAGTCCGACACTGGGAACCCCCAACCACCTTCTGCCACACCAGATCCAGCCGATGTCAGCAGAACTTGCTCGCGCCAACTCGAATGGCAGCTCAAGGTCAGGGGTCAGCCACAGCGACCACTACTACGAGAAGCCCGTCGAAAGCTGGACACCAGTTGGAGACGACCGACGAACTAGTAGTAACTACACCGGCAGCATGGTCATAGAGCCCAATGCCAAATATGACGTTGCTAGCTCATATTATCCTGATGGTACAGACTCGTTCTACCCGAAGAGCAACATTAGTTCCTTCTACCCTGGTCAAGGGCAATCACCTATAATACCTGATGCTCGGGACAGCACTTTCACCATGTTCCCAGCTGGCAATGCACCGGCCGCACCTACCGATGATATGCCTAAGAGCAGATTCAGCTCCATGTACCCTGCACCACCTCGTCTCGGCCTACCACAGGACCGTCAAAGTACCGTCACCATCTTCCCAGGTCCGAATGCGTCAGAGGCAGCGCAACAAGAAGCGTTGTCGAACCCCAACTACAACTCATTCTACCCCCCTCCACGAGTGGGACACGACAGCACGGTAACGATGTTTCCTGGCCCAGGACCCAATCAAGACGACCCCAAGAAGGGACAGTCGGACATGTCATGGCTCAACCTAGGCAACAGCCGATGAAAGACATGACGAGTTCTGAAAACCCCAACTTCACATCATCATCAACCTCCGCACATACACACAACCTTCAAAAAGTGGCATTATCAGCGACGGATCTCTTTCGGTTCTGTAAATCGGCGACTCTTTTTCCATTGAGCATGCATCATCAGCGCCGGGCGTCTTCCGTCAAACCCTTCTGTACTACACAACCTACTACTTCACCGAAGCAAGGCTTCGCGACCGGTCACTACCTATACCCGACGTCCCTAGACGTCAAAATACCTCACCATCTCCACCATCTATGTTCCTCGGACTGTAAATACGCCCACTTTTCTTTTCGTGTGTTTCCGTTTCTCTTCTTTTCCTCCTCTTATTTCCCTTTTTGCATATTGCATTAGCCTTTATGTCTGATATCTCCTTTGCCATCTTTACCACCTTTTACGGCGCTCAAAGATGGAAAGATTCTCTTGTATGTAGCTATCGCCGTGGCGTTTGCGTCTATGGCCGGCGTATGTTAGACGTAATATATCTAATGAGAAGCGGAGTTTCGAGTTGAGAAGAAGCATTCCAAGTCTGTTTGCCGTGAAAACTTTGAATGTGCCACTATGGATTGTGACCTGGCATCTCGTTCGTGTTTTTGTTGTTTTACTTGAGATCACCGCTGCCGGAAGTCACAAGAACTTGGCGTAAAAATCTACGGTGTGGGGACGACATGGGATCCGCGATATTTGCTCGATTGCTCAGCGATCTACAGCAGAGCAAGGCAAGTGTCGGTCCACATCTATCCTCTAGTCGAATGATGTCTTCTCTATATATGCATCTATAAGTTTATAGCTGAGTAAAGGCTACATATGCCTCCCATCTAGGCTTCAGCGCCTATGAACCTGACTGATTCCTAGGCTACCATTGACAGTGAAACGCCCAACACCTTCCCTATGCTCCTTTCAAAAGTTTCCTCTCTATAATCATCTCTAATTAACAACCCTCTTCAGACTCGCCGCATGCTTCGGCTCAATAAACAGTGCCTCCCCCTCGGTAAGCACAAAAGCCTTCTCGCCCTTACTCTCATCAGCCAGCGTCTCCAACCACCCCTTGACCCACGCTTTCCTGCCCTCCACTTTGGTCATCTCAGCCCGCAGAACAATGATCTGGCCTGCCATGACCGGCGCCTTGTAATCGATCTTCAACGACGCAGTGACGGCCACTTTATTCGGAAGCGCGGGGAAACAGCACCGCGCGAGTCCTTCGTCCAGCAGCGTAGCTAGCAGGCCTCCATGTACGATGCCCGGGTGTCCACACAACGCGGTTCCCAGGTACTGTATTGACACGAAGGAACTCCCATCTTCGGTGGTGAATTGCAGTGGTGGCACGGCGATTTTGTCGGGGCCGAGAAGCGTGCCGCCCGTGAGGTTCTGGTGGCGGAGGGCCTCTGGGATTTTCAAGTGTGGGCGTGCAGCGATGTATTTTGGGTCGGCGAGGAGGCGCTTTGTTAGGGGGTGGGAGAAGAGGTTTCGCTCAATCTCTGCGACTTCTTCGGTTGGCGGTTGGAATAGTTCGAGCGTCTCTGCGTCTGTTGGGGGGTTCGCCATGGCGCGGATAGATTCGACGGCAGGTGCGCCAGCCATGATGAATCCGGCTCCGAAGGTAAAGAGGGTGAGGGCGAGGGCGAGGGGGAGTCTGATGGAGAGAGGTTTCTTTGCGGCGGTATCTGGGTTTGGCTGGGGAGTTTGTTGTGCTTGTACCTGAGGCTCTGACGATGCTAAAAATATATTAGCTATAACTTCTTTTTGTGTAGATACTCCTATCAAAACTGTAGAACAAAGTCTCCAGGAAGAGGCTAACTCACAAATTCCACTCTGCCACCTAAGCTGTCCAGCAATCCGTCTATCAATTCCAAAAGCAGCTTTCCACCTCGCCTTCGCCGCCACCCTACTCCCTCTTATACTTATACCACTCCCCCCGCCGACCTCGCGCCGGAGCGGCGCAACACTTGCTCCCGCACGACTCAGGCCCACATGTCTCGATACGGCGATCCTTGCGGACGACATTTGGCTAACGTGCGCAGGGCTTAGAATTGGGCAGAGACTTTATCGAACTAACACCGGGAGTCGGTGAGCGCGCGTCGAGTGAACGTAGAATTCTGACGCTCGGACCGCGTTTCGGAACGGGAGGAACGAAGATGCCTCGGCTGTGGGATGGCGTATTGTTGGTTCAACGTTCGTGAGCCAAGTAAGCAGGAAAATAATGTTTGCGTATCCTGGATTTTGTGCGTGGTTCGGACGATTGGTCTTTTTTTGATACTTGCGGTCCTTCGCATATACGTTTTGAGGTGAGCGGGCGCTAAGGGCGTATTCCATTCATCCACTGGTATCATGAGTAATAACCTAGCTTTCAGCATCAAGAACACAATGGAACAAGTCAATGTAACTAGTACTAGAAAAGATTGATTATATCTTTTCACTCCACTCTCGATGTCTCTCGCCTATGACCTCTTGTTAGAGATACTACTACAAACTCATGATGTACACATGCTGATATCTCCCAACCTAGAAAACCAGCTAATCGTCCAAATACTATACATACAGAGTGGGGAAGTGTGTCATCATATCAAACGCCATGTCTGTCTGGAGCGTTCGTCTATCCACTTCCATGACCCTGAAGAGAAACATCATCTCCTCGTAGCGGAGATATAATAAAACATTGTAGTACAAAGACAGAAGGAGTTGAACGTTTATCTTTTTGAACGCCAAAGATGCTGAAGAAACGAACCGCGAGCGTGAAGATGCGACAATAGTAGTGGTACAGTTACGAAGGGGTTCCGCTGAAGAGTTGGTACCGTACGAATCGTTCAGTAATAGTCCCTGGCGCTCTTCTGGAGCTCAATTAGTCTCCAACCCCTCGTTTCAGGGTTATTGACATCCTCGGGTATCCTGGTAACACCAATGGCGTAAGTGACCTGCTGGACCTTGTCGTCCATGCCAGATGCTAGCTCCCCGCTCTTCGCATTCTTATAAACATGTACCTCCTGGGTCCTGCAGGTAAGGATGAAGACGGGGATCTCGCCAGGTTCCAGAAGCTTAGCGTTGAGCACGTCTACGCCCCGGATATCGACGATTTTACCGTCGGATTTGAGACCAGCAGCCTGGTATTGCTGCATCAGCGCTGCGTAGACGGAGTACTGCGCCGCTGAGAGCCATTGCTTCAGCACCTCGATGTCTCCCTTGACGTATGCGTCCAGGACCTCGGGGAGGATGTACTCGCGCATTTCAGTTAGGAAGGGCTCCATCTGGAAGTTGGGGTCCATCTCGCGGAACTTCTTGATGACCATGGCTGTCTCGTTCTCGGCGAAGAAGCCAGTGATGCGGTCGGAGATGCTGCGCGCCGTGGAGATGAGGGGGTTGTCGGACTCGTTGTATACGGCTTTCATGCTGAAGAAGCCCTGGGCGAGCTTGGAATTGTCTTTCCACTCTCGCCAGACCTCCTTGTATTTTGCATCTTTATGAAGGGTGACATTGGTGCCAGCGCTATTGATCGTTAGTGGAATGAAATCTGGCCCTCATGTGCGTTGCTCACTCTGGATCCTCTTCCATAGGTCCGAGGGACTTTCCTCCAGTTCGCTGCAGTTCATTGAGCTCTCGCAACTCTCTCCTCTTTCTTCGCTCTTCCTTTTCTACCCAGCCTCCGTATCTTGAAGAGCTGCCATCGTCGATGGTCTCTTTGACAGCCTGGAAAGCCTTCGTCTGTCGCACAGGTCGAGTGGCATATTCGAGGCCGGTTCCGGTAACTCTGGCAGCCGCACGAACGCCCTTCACAGGCATAGTATCCCATGTCCATGCCGCACCGTGACCGACAGCACGTCCAGTTGCCATCAAGGCCTCGGCTGTCTTAGTCTTGGCTGCTTCTGTAATCTCTCCCGCCTTTTGAACACGAGGGTTCTGTGTGAAGTCGTGGATGGAGCCGCCTAGCTGCTTGGTCGATTCATTCCATTCTTTCGAGGCCTGGAATTCCTGCTGCAGCGTCTCGGTAAACACCTGCCAAGGCGTCTTGTCGCCGTGAGGTGGAGGTGGCGGCGCATCCTCCTTCTTCTTCTCCTTCTTCTGGCCTTCCTCGCCCTCCTTCTGCTCGCCTGTCTCTTCCTCGCCGGCCTTCTTCTCTTTGGCCTGCTCTCCGTCCTTTCCTTGCTCGCCTGCTGCCTTCTCCGCTGTGTGATCCTCAGCGGATGCAGGTTGCTTAGCGTCCCGTTGAGGTTCGGGCTTGTCGTCTCTCACACTCTTTTGTTTTTGCGCTTGCTCTTGTAGTGCAGGTTGGGAGGAGAAGTGGCGGGCGTATGCAGAGGATGTACGGAAAATGACGTCCTGGGGCAAGAAGTCGCTTCGCAGGAACAGGAGCGACGAGGATGGTGAATGTTGTGACGGGAGTGATGCTCGAGTGGCTAGTGTCCGAGACGCTGTTGGCGCTGTGGATAATCGTCTATATGCTGCGGCTCGTCCGTATGCGCTCGGCGGTGTGACTGTGGCCGGCCGTATGCTCCATCGCGCGGCAATTGTGCTTGCTGTTGGCGGTCTCATTCTCTGTGATGTGAGAGGAGAGATGCTCTATTACAAACAATGAATGAGGAACAGCCCTAGAAGACGTAGTATCGAGGGTGGGCGCGACGTATGATGAGTGAAGAATGTCCAGTCGCCGCTGACTTTTCCGCATCGGAAGGAGCTCGGGCCTACATCGCAACTTTCTTCGAGATTCGAGAAGCGTCATTATCGAAACCACGTCTGAACCCCAATTAGGGCAGCCATTGCCAGTCCAACGCGCACAAGATGGCAAGCAACACGGCGCTACGCGGATTCCGCTCCTTAACGTCGACTATCTGCACATCATGCCGCCGCACACAACCTCTCCGGCCCTTCTCCCAGTCCACCAAGAAGACGCTCGCAGCCCCCTCGGACCGCAAGAATGACAAACCCGAACACACGCTCGACTCTTTGATGAGCTCAGTCGACCAGAACTTCCGTCGCGCATCTCCAGAATTTTATTCCAACTTGATACCCGGCGCTTCTCCCTCCGCCCTTCGCAATCTGACCATGAAAGACTGGGAGGAAGACGACCTCCACAAACTCCACATCTACGCGACGAAACACAACACGCACCTCACACTCTCAAAGCCCAACCGCGACGCCCTCATCTCCGTGTCTTGCGGCAACATTGGTTTCCGGAAAGCGGGACGGGGGACGTACGATGCAGGGTATCAGCTGGCTGCTTTCGTGATGAGTAGGGTCATTGACAAGGGCTTGCTGCCGCAGATCAAAAAGCTGGAGTTGATTTATCGGGGATTTGGGCCAGGGAGGGAGGCGGTTACAAAGGCAATTCTAGGGTCCGAGGGCAAGCGGATTCGCCCGTTGATTGTCAAGCTGTCAGATTCTACCAGGCTAAAGTTTGGCGGTGTGAGGAGTAAGAAACCAAGGAGACTGGGTTAGAAGGACTCGTTACAGATGTCGTGGCCTGCGCAAGGTGATCGGTATTCACATCTTGAGCTGGGGCATGGAATTGAGGGTGTAAGCTTTAGAAGAGTGCTAGTTGAGTGAACATGTACAATACGGCATCCAAGGCGCATGTGCTTTTAGGGGACCTGTTAGTATACCATCTAGGTCGACCACTATACATGAAAGAATTCATACACATGTCAAGCAAGTTGCGTGACTCGAAAGACATGTAGTCAGGTTAAATTTCTCGGCAAGGGCGCTCTTTCCGCCGAAGGCAGCGTCCTACCACTACTGTCGGTGTCCTTTACAAGCCTGGGTGCAAGATTTCCGGACTCGAATCTAATATTGCGCCTTGCGCTGCCTAGCTCACTTCGACTAGAGCGGCTCTCTTCCTCCTCCCAGTCCACTTCCTCTGCGGTCGCGAGATGGCGTTCTCTTTCGCGGTCGTGTCGCAGCATAGACGCTCTTTCGTCTTCAAAGTCCTCATCAAGGAGCTCTCCATCCGCAGTATCATAATCCGGTGGCGCAATCCATTCCCGTGGTACAACGCATGGGAGGGCTACGCCTATGCTGGCGGCGCGGTTGAGCCAAGCCGGGGCTGGGCGGCCCGTGAGCTTCTCGCAGAGGTACGAGGTGAAGTGGTTGCAATTCTTAGTGAGGAGGTTGTAGGATGTGCCCTGGAACTCTAGGGAGGCCTACACTAGTCAGCTTAGTTTTCACCTGGAGACGGAGTTTCGTACCTCTTGTATAATAGACTCTAGTTCGTCTGCAGGTCGGAAAGAGAAGCCGTGGAGGACGGCTTGCTTGAAGGTTCCGCCTGGAGGTTCTTGTCCAGGCTTTGTCCAGTACACCCCAGTCAAGTTTCGCCGGTCGTGCCCACCATATGCATATTCCCTGTCGCCAATAACAACGCCTGAGTGCAGGAGGGAGCTGCCAATTGCCCACAGCACAGTCGAGACCTTGCCGGGAGGGAGGAGATCGTAGATGTTGATGGTCACTTCAGCCCGTTGTAATGATAGTGTACTTCTGTGGTTTCCAGAGCTCTTGCGGGACGGTTTCGGGCGGGTTGAGGAGGACATTGTGCGCAACACAGTATATATGGGCTAGCTATTCTGGCAGCCGGGCTGTTGGGGTATAGTTCGCGATGTCGACCCCGATTAGGTAGTCTAGGGTATCATGAAAGCTTGAAAGAAGGCATGCGCTAAACAGCTTCAGAGAACGGGGTAAAGGATACAGGAGATGTAGTGAGAGCGGGACCAGCCCTGAGGAGGTTGTGGAGAGGGGTAGTAGTTGTAGTTGCGCAGAGAGAACAGAAGACAAAGACGCCATTGTGGTTGGTGATGTAGCAGCCCCGGGACGTGCTTTCCGCTCTCGGCAAGCCCTTGCAACAGAGCACACAGAGCACATAGAGCACACAGAGCAAACATAGCAAACAGAGCATACATGAACCAAATAAAGCTCGGGCGGTAACTAGCTAACTAACGTTACTTAGGTAACCTGATTTTTTTTAGCGCGGGGAGCTCCCAGCTGCAGAATTCGGTTGGTGCTGCCAGTCAATTTTTTACCCACGCCCAAACGAACGCAGGAGAGCTGGCTTGCCATCTCTCCCCCTCTTCCTCACACAACGCCCCCCACTACCTCACTCACCTTTTCCTTCTCTTCTTTGATACCCACTTTTTCCCGTTCGGCAGCAAGCACTGTCTGCCAATTTTCTTCGCCCAGATTTTTCATCCCCTTTACCTCGATCCGCACCTACGCGTCGGCTCCCAAGAAGAAAAAGATGCCTCCCAAGAAGGTCGTCAAGGAGGAGAAGCTCCCGCTCGGCAGGCCAGGCAACAGTCTCAAGAGCGGCATCGTGAGTGAGAGCCCTGCTTCGCTCTGCATCGCCACGTTCTCACATTAACAGTAAACGCCAGGTTGGCCTAGCAAACGTCGGTAAATCGACTCTTTTCCAGGCCATCACAAAGTGCTCGCTTGGTAACCCTGCCGTAAGTGGCCTGCAAATCCCAAATGCGAAGACCGCGCTGACCTGTGCAGAATTTTCCCTATGCCACCATCGACCCTGAAGAAGCCCGTGTCATCGTGCCTGATGAGCGCTTCGACTGGCTGGTAGAGCACTACAAGCCCAAGTCGGTAGTACCTGCCAACTTGACCGTCTACGACATTGCCGGTCTCACGCGCGGTGCTTCCACTGGCGCGGGTCTTGGAAATGCCTTCTTGTCACACATTCGCGCTGTCGATGCCATCTTCCAGGTCGTCCGATGCTTCGACGATGCTGAGATCATCCACGTCGAGGGCGACGTTGACCCTATCCGTGACTTGGACATCATCGCGGAGGAGCTGCGCCTCAAGGACATCGAGTTTGTCGAGAAGTCGCTCGAGAAGCTCGTCAAGGAGACTAGGCGAGGTGGTCAGAGCTTAGAGATGAAGAAGCTCAAGGAGGAGCAGGCTACGGTCGAGAAGATCCTGGCCATGCTTAAGGATGGCAAGGACGTCCGAAAGGGCAACTGGGCCCCAAAGGAGGTACGTACAGTCTTGCTCTCACCTTCCCTCCCATCACAAGATGACAAAGAGCGATTGCTCTATAATCCCAGCTCTCTGATGGCCCCGTAACGCCGGGCCTCCCTGAAGAGACGTCCTTTTCTGACCCAGATACTCAACCACTTTGTTGTATTCGAGACTTGCTTAGGGAATCTCTGCTTACAACTCACTAGGTCGAAGTCATTAACCCGCTTTTCCTGCTTTCTGCCAAGCCTGTCGTATACCTCGTCAACCTGAGCGAGAGAGACTATATCCGCCAAAAGAACAAGCACCTGCCCAAGATCGCTCAGTGGGTCAAGGAGAATGCTACTGGTGACCCAGTCATCCCCATCTCCGTACAGTTCGAGGAGCGTCTAGCTGCCATGACCGACGAGGAGGCTGCTGAGGAGTGCAAGAAGATCGAAACCAAGTCGGCACTGCCCAAGGTTGTCACGACCATGCGCAAGGCTCTCAACCTTGGAAGTTTCTTCACAACCGGTACCGACGAGGTCAGGCAATGGACGTTACGAAATGGCACCAAGGCGCCTCAGGCTGCAGGTGTCATTCACGGCGACTTCGAGAAGACCTTCATTCAGTGTATCGTGTACAACTACAACATACTTAGAGAAGAGGGTGACGAAGCTGGCGTCAAGGCCAAGGGCAAGATCATGACCAAGGGCAAAGAGTACATCGTCGAGGACGGCGATATCCTGCTCATCAAGGCCGGTGCGGCGAAGTCATAAGCTGCTCATCACTTTGGTGTGAGGGGTGGTTGTACTGTACTCTTTGGTCTTTGTGGCGTATTAGGACTGGTATTACGTGCTTATGAGACACGAAATGCAAGTGACGCGCCACATGAAGAATGAATAGTCTGAAACCTGAATGAAAAAATACAACATGTCCATCTTGGATTCATAATTTCGGTACACTATGTGAGACGTTCATCTACTATTCTATCGTACCCTGTTCTTCTCCTCGGCAAGCATCCAGCTATTCCCACAAACACAATGCTTCGCAACGCCCATGAGCCAACTCGCATGATGGGGCGTATACCCAGGCAAGCCCTGCACCACATCCTCCATGAACTCTCCACACCGCACACACTGTCTCAACTGCGACTTTTTCTTCCCTCCATTCGCCTCGCCCGGCACGCCGCCGCCGCCGTTAATGCTCTGGATACTATCACTCCTACTACGATTCGGCTGCGGACTCATACTCGGATGCGACTGCGTGCCCACACCGCGAATAATCATCTTCTGACACACATCCACGACATGCGTATCATGCCAGACGGCGCCGCGCTTACTCTCTTGGAAGCCCAACCATGTGGTATCGAAGAACATGAGGCGTCCGAGATCGAGTTTATCCACGAGGCAGCCGCCTTGCTGGCTGCCGTTCCACAGCGTGTCCGTCACCAGGCGTTTGGCAATGGGGAGGAGGATGTCCGGGATCTTGCCGAGGAGCAGCTCGCGCTCGACGAGGTTGCGTTTTGCTTCGGAGAGGTTAGCCTTTTTGTAGGTGCCGCGGACGAGGGTATTGGTTTCGCTGACGAGGACTTCGAACCAGCGCCACTCGAAGGGGAGGTCGTTGACCGCGACCTGCAGCGGCGTGTACAAGCGGCGTATCTCCGGCGAGGGTGTGGGCGCTGACGGGTTTGTAAACGTTTCCGCCGAGCGCTTGACCCAGGCGATGGGCTGAGCCCAGAGTTTCATCATGGCGCGGGGAAACGCGCTCAAGAGGAGTAGGACGGCGGGTTTGTTCAGCTCGTGGATCTTGGCTTCGAGGACTTCGCGGGTAAGGGAGGTGGGGGGGATATCTTCTACTGCGCGGCCGAGGGCGAAGAGCTCGTCGAGTGTGTACGCCATGAAGTGCATGACCCAGCGACAGATGCCGATGAATTGCGGAACGACCTCGGGGCGGAGCGATGTCTTTTCGAGGGAGCCGTGCATGCGTGCAATGGTCGTGAGTATCTGCGTGACGTACTTGATGTTGAGGATGATCCAGGCCATTTTACTCGACAGCGAGCGGTTGGTCATGCCTTCAAGTCCCAAGAGGTGCATAGCTGAGAGTGTTTTCACGAAGAACGGGGATCGGCCGAGGAGAATGAGATGGTTGTTGTTCATCTCGTCGATTCCGCAGTCAATGTTCACTTGTAGGCCTTCGAAGAGGAGGTTTATAAAGTCTTGCTTTCGCTTGTCAGAAAGGGGGCCGATGATGGCGAAGATGTCGTCGCTGGAGTAGTATTGATTTGCTGCTGAAGAGGACTGTAGGATGAGTGCTGCGAGGGCAGCTGCATGCCGCGGGTCATCGTCGTCTGTGGCCAGAGTGCCGTGCTGGTATTCCATTGAGCGAAGCTTGATGGCGCCTTCTTGCTGCATACAAACTGCCATGCAGTGGTTTGGCGAGAAGGCGACATGTAGCGAGGGTTCGGAGTGTGGGAAGACGAAGCCGGCTTTGAGGAGAGACGTCACGGTGTCGGTGTTGCTGTCGGGCATGATGGTTTCCATGGTTGACCGCTTCCTGAACTCGATCATGCCATCGCTGTAGCAGAAGGCTAGGAGCATGTTATACCAGATAGGGTGGAAAGCAAGCACGACTGCATGTAGCGTAAAGTCCGGCTGTCTTTTGAGAGCGAAGCTGCTACGCGATGGACCTGAGCTGACGCTCTTCTTCTTCGACGTGACCTGGTCGAGGCTTGAATGTAGCTGGTTCTGTTGGTTGTGGTGCACCTCCCATTTTACAATCACACTGTGCGGTGTCTCCTGTGGACTGAGCTGATCGAAGGATATAAGGTTTGGCGGTCTGCTGAAGATGGCTTGAATCGTGGGTATTGAGCCATCATCTTGCTCGGGCGTGACGGGGAGGAAGCTCAGATGTGTCAATTGGGCGGCAGCTGCACCCTTTGGCGCTGTTCCGTTGCTCAGGTCACCGCTGGCTATGTCGATGGGATTGCAGTTGTCTTCGATATTAATTAAGGAGACCTGAATGGTGGGTTTTTCGAAGGGCCCTGCGTTTTGATTACGCTTCTCAACAGGAATACTCCAGACAGTTTCAACGCGATACAAGTGCAGTCGACTCTTCACGTCGTAGGTAGCCAGCAACAAGCTGTTGTCTAACGCTGTTAGTGACATAAACAAGGGGGAAAACTGTAGACATACCGTTGTTGGACGCAAACGCTGCATGTGTAAAGGGCTCCTCGGTCGATACCAGAGGCCCCAACTGGGCGACAGACTCGTGCCAGTTGTTATCATGCTGCTGAAACCGAAGCTTGAGCTCCCCGTGTCTCTTGAGGTAGATGAGAGATGCTTTGCCATCAACAGGATGATGTGCATCGTGGAACACGTGAGACTTGATGTTCCACTTCCACTTGGTTCCTTCTCGCGCAGCCGACCATGCAATGTGGTTCTACGACGGTCAGCGCTGCAACCATATGCAGACTAGGGAGAACCTACTTTTTGCTCATATGGCAGAATCGCCAGCCAGTGCATTCCTACTACACTGTCTACTTCTGATTCCGGATGAGCTAGCTCGGCTCTGGTGAAATGCAGCCGGTCCAGAGCCATGGCACAGGTGAAGATGAGGACGCGGCCAGCTTCATCCATGACGGCGAGATCATTGCCCAGGTGACTCCATGACAGATGAACAAATGGAAAGATGTCACGGCCCTGGGGAAGTTCAAGTGGAACATGTTTGCCCAGGTCCCACTTGCCAGTTTTGGGGTCTCGGGAGAAGACCTTGAGGTAGACACTATAGCCATCTGGGCTGATGTAGGCTACGCATCCGTTCTTGGACCAGGTGATTCTCCTATTACTCGTTAGTAACAGAATACATATAAGAGGTCGTGTGCAATTTATAGCTTCATGTCTAGTTAGTGGTGACTTACTGGCAACATCCGCTAGATGCCAAGTCATCGACTCGCCTAGCGAGGCCTTTTACTGGCGGCGTGGCACTGATGGAATGTAAAGGGACATGCTCTGAGTCTCCGAAGAGATCCTCCACATCCATATTGTAGCCTGGATCCATTACGGCGAATAGTGTGCCGAGCTAGTCGGCGTGGGTGTGTTGGTGCAGAAGGAGGCTAAAGGCTGAGCGGGATAGAGAAATCGGAAAACGATATGGGCGCACAGGGAAAAGGAGCGTTGGCGACGATAGCGTCACCGGGTATCATGAAGGAAAAAGGAAAGAAAGGGAAAGGGTTGATGTTAGCCAAGGCAGATCTGGGGAGAGGTCTCCTGTGCTGCAGGCGATGGAGGTTTGTGATGCCGTCCACCTCTAGTCAGTACCTAACAACTGGACTGGAACTCGCTTACTACCGCCCGACCCATGCTAGCCCAGCGACAGCCTCGCCCAGCGCCCGCCGTGTGCTGTTCGTGAGAGCTTCGTGCTCGTTCTCAATCTCGTTCTCATGCCTCACTCCAGTCTGGTGAAAGAAGAGAGAGAGAGGGGGGGCGTATAAGAATTAAACTTGGTCGAATCCGTGTTGCATAGTAATAGTATTGATACGCACAAGCCGTGCGCCTACATGGCTATACGGCGCGACAGTAGGCCTGCATGTCCACCAGCCAGGCCAGGGAGCAGTTTGATGCGCCGTGGCTGTCGGCTGATAATAGCATGCTGTCTTGATGGGCGTCTGTCTGGCATACGAAGATGCAGAAGCAGACTTGGTTATCATCATCTTCAGCGTGCACTTGTTGATGTTTATTAGGCTGTGAACTTGACACGCCTCGGGCGGTTTTCTGGGTGCCGCCCCAAGCATAAACAGTCGAGGTGTTTTGGCCCTGGGGTGCCCGCAGGCCTTGGCATGTTCAAGGTCAACGCTCGCTCCTTCCTGCCGCCATCATCGCGCAACGACACTCCAACCTCCTCCTTTCGACCCACGCCCGCCCGCCTGCACCGCGCCAGCGCGTCTGCACGAGACGCGCACCTGCCCGTTATTTGTCGCGCCTGCTCCAACCGTCACAATGGCTTAGCGCTCTTTTCCATATTCACCCACTTGCTCACCCGGGCATCCCCACGAACTCGCGGCAACGGCAGCGACCCACAGCCCTTCAACCCGCGTTTTCCCACACCATCACGAACCCCACGACTGCCAAAGACACTCTATATACCTGTTAGCAGTATTCGCACCCTAAGCGCGGCATCCCTGGAGTTCAAAGGCGCGCTCCACCTTCACCACAGCCCATCGAACCTTCCCACGACACCGGGCTGTCGCTTCCTCCTATTCAATACCCAGCATTCACGCCAGGATCCCCCCTCACCCCTCACGTGCTCTTCACCATGGACTACTGTACGCTAGCCAATGAGCCCAGCTCGCCGCTGAGCTCGCTTCCTTCCTGTGATGGCTCCGATTCAGAGGTTTCCTTTCTCTCCCGTTCGCCCACACCACCTGACAACGTCACCCTGCCCTTCGCTCCACAGCGCGCCTACATGTCCCCGTCGTCTTCCCGACGCACCTCTGCAAAGTCCTCCCCTGCGCCCGAAGACATGCCCTCTCCACCTTCCAGCAACGACGACGACCAGCGCCCACGCAAGAGGAGGAAGATGGCAGATTCAAAAGAGCGCACAGCCAACTATCTTGACCTGTCCAGTCCAGAAGTCACCGAGGACCAGCTACCGCAGCTGCAGCGCTTGCTCAACGTGCTGCACAAGAAGCGGAAGATTGTCGTCATTGCAGGTGCGGGCATTTCCGTGTCTGCAGGTATTCCCGACTTCCGCTCAGCCACGGGCCTGTTCAACTCGCTCAAAAAGGAACACAAGCTCAAATCCTCGGGCAAGGACCTCTTTGATGCCTCTGTATATCAAGACGACACATCCACATCCACGTTCCATGACATGGTGCGCACACTATCTCAACACACAAAATCTGCGCAGCCCACCGCCTTCCACCACCTCCTCGCAACTCTTGCCCAGGAAGGCCGCCTGATGCGACTATATACCCAGAATGTTGACGGCATCGATACATCCCTTCCCCCCCTAACTACCCAGGTTCCTCTACCAAAGAAAGGCCCGTGGCCCAAGACTGTGCAGGTGCACGGAGGCCTAGATCACATGGTTTGCTCCAAATGTCATACACTCTCTCCTTTCGACGCCGACATGTTCAACGGCCCTACACCGCCAGCTTGCCCCAGCTGCGTGGAAACTGATGAGATCCGTCAAGTCGCCGAGAAACGAAGCCACGGTATTGGGCGACTCCGCCCTCGCATGGTGTTGTACAATGAGCACAACCCAGATGATGAGTCCATTGGCTCTTGTGCGACCTACGACATGCGCATGCGGCCTGATGCTGTCATTGTAGCGGGCACCACATTGAAGGTCCCTGGTGTACGACGGATAGCCCGCGAAATGTGCAACATCGTTCGTGATCGACGAGACGGCGTTACAGTATGGCTCAACAATGACCCGGAGCCTATGGGCAAAGATCTCGAGGACGTATGGGATTTAGTGGTCAAGGGACCCTGCGACAACGTTGCTCACCATGCCAACATGCGAAGATGGGACGACCCTATGGACTACAAGGTAGTCACAGACGAAGACCTTAGCAAGCTCAAGAAGAAGCAAAAGGCAGAGGTTGTCGTTGGCACCCCTAGGAGAAATGGTGTCATTCACAACGCAGGCCAGCTAACGCCTGGTCAAAGCCCACGCATGCTCCCTCTGTCGATGGTTAAACAGGAACCATCCACACCGACAAAGAAGGGCACAAAGCGCAAGTCGGACGCGCAGATGGATCTCTTCGGGAAGGTTGCGACGAAGGCACCTGCGAAGAAGCCCAAAGCACAGCCGAAGAAGGCGACTGCCACCAAGAGCAAAGCGAAGAAAGCGCCGAAGAAGGAGATACCCGTGATCAACAATGTATTCAAGGCGACCAAGGGGTCTGCCCGGCCTGCGTCCAAGCCTTTTGCGAAAGCCTCCGATCCTTCACTCACCATCGTCGAAACAAAAGTCAGCACGCTACCACGGCCGACCACCACCAAGGAGAACACCAGCGATTGTCTTCATGTTGAGAAGAGTCGAACCCCGGTCACTCCTAACAAAAGCATAAGGCTCACCAAGATCAAACCCAATTTTGTCATGATGCCTCTATCGGATGCGGATAGCCGCAATAACCATACCCCGCAACGACCACCGATGGAAACCTTTACGCCAGTCAAGGCTCGTACGCCCAGTGAGCAGATACGGGAGGAGCTACAATACTCGATGATCAGTTCGCCTACGAGCGACGGCCGCCCTTCATCAGCCAGCTCAGAGCGACACAGAATTGAGAGCCCCACTGGGCCACTCCCCAAGGGCATGGCAAACCTCCTGCACTAGTTATTCTATTCTTCATGCATTCCGCGGCGTTGGTAATACGAACTTCTTCAAGTCGGTGCTGCAGTCCTGTCTTGTAGTACGAGTGCATACAAGGCGTCTTCTGTTTCAGTGGGATAGCCCATCAATTGTACGAGTAGCTTTGCATCTGGGGATACGCATATCTTACTTCTTTTGGCTGCATGATACCGGGAAGACCCTAGTGAGCAGGGTTGGTGCTTTTGGGGTCTAAACATAGATGCAGGATTGTGATTTATTAGGAGCTTCGACTCACCATCAATTCATATTGTTCCCTCTTACCTCATTCTGATGGATTTCCGCAAGTGACTATTGAACGCGTGATAACACGATAGAATCTAAACCAGAGATGATCGGAGTCCTCGGTATAGTCAGAGTAGCAGACCTGAAGGTTCTATCCTATCTCAAGGTGGTGCGTTCAAGGCGCGCGTTCCCAGGACTAGCCTCGCCTTGGCGCTCCGCCGCACTTTTGCCGACAAGATTGAGTACCTTGTATTTTGCACGGTGAGTTGCATCGGAGAATGTCCACCGAGTTACAACATCAAGTGCTTTTCTTTCCTTATGCTCTCTTATAGCGTTAGATTCCCATCTTGCGCCATGTTTCCTAACTGAACATTTTGCCACTTCAAATACAAACTTCAGCTCACTCCTTCAATCCACTTACATCTCGAGCGCTGCGGAAAAGCCTCAACTCCGCCAAATTATCTAACCCAAGTATTTCTGCTAAACTCGGAAGCGTTGGCATCAGACGATAATGGTTCCATCGCTGCCAGTGCGGAACCTGACATCTACCGCTATCACAATAAAACGAGTTGAAAGATTCCAAGATCCGAATACACTGCAATCTAAGAATACTGGGTACTCTTTCGGTTTAAAGGACACAAGAGTTATATCTCCAACATCACCTCAGCTCGGTGAGCATGCCCAATCTTTCAAGCATCAGGACCTGGACATCACCCTGGCGCCATTTGAGTCTTATACTCTCCACCAACCAGGACCAGAACGAGAAGGAAACACTCCTGTAACGTCAAGTACAACAATTCGCCTTACCATTGAAACACCGGGAGGGGAACGCTACCGCATCGACGCAAATCCCTCATACTCACAAAAGTCGTCGCAACCCTTGACCGCATTATCACCAGATCCATCAACAAGCTATACAGCGCTCTTCCACCCCTCAAAGCCAGTAGCCCATCTGACAATTCATGCCAATCACCTGCCCAACTACGCGAAATGGATGGCCAAACTACCAGACTCACTCCCACTCTCAGCTCTCAGTATCCCAGGAACACACAATTCGCACACGCATTACCGCGCCTTGCCGTCTGCGCGTTGTCAAGCCGTCGATATCAAGACGCAGCTAGACAACGGAATCCGCTTCCTTGATATCCGCGTCCAACCCGTGCACGCCAAGGATACAAGCAAGAAGGATCTGTACCTCGTCCATGGAGCCTTTGCAATCAGTCTCACGGGGCAGAAGTACTTTGAGCCCATACTTCAACAATGCTACGACTTCCTCTCGGCCAACCCCACCGAAACTATCCTCATCTCCTTGAAAAGAGAAGGCGTGGGTTTCGCAACAGATGAACATCTCGCCCGTATCCTTGACGAACACTACATCGCGCCCAAAGCATCGTGCTGGTACACAGACTCCAAGCTACCTTACCTGGGCGACGTCCGCGGAAAGCTCGTCCTGATACGCAGATACAACACAGCTACAACCGACACCACAGCACCCGGCCTCGACGCAACAGCCTGGCCCTCCAACCCCACCCATGCGCTCTTCCCCCAGCCCACTTCCCCTTCCCACCAACACACCTTCTGCCTGCAAGACTTCTGCGAAGTCCTCATCCCCGAAGCCATCACGCAGAAAGTCCAGTACAGCAATGAACATCTCGTCCGCGCCGCAGACTGCGTCCACCACATCCCCGGCGTCAACACGGATAGGCTGAATCCCGTGCCGCCGGGCCCGCTGTACTTGAATTACTTGTCTGGGAGTAACTTCTGGAAGAGGGCGTGTTGGCCGGATCAGATTGCCAGCACGGTCAATAGGAGTATGGAGGAGTGGATTTGTGCCGGCCATCATCTTGTGGAGCCGGAGGTGTCGCCGCGGCATCCGGATGAGATGGTGGTGAGCGGGGATGTTGGAGAAGGGGTGAGGAGGGCCAAGAGTGGAGATGGGAGTACGGGCGTTGTGGTGATGGATTATGTGGGTGATCATGGGGATTGGGATTTAGTGCGGTTGGTCGTTGGTATGAATATGGGTGTGTTGATGAAGATGCAAGAAAATGAGGTGGGTAGGTAGTATATACAGCGAACTACAATCCCCTCCCCCGTCTCTCAAAATGCGTGTGTGTATGCAATGTACACAAGTCTTGTTACACCGCGACCACATCCGCCTAAACCCATCTATCTACACATATCTTACTTATTCCCCCTCGTCAGACTCTCCCTCACTTCCTTGACCCCCTCTTTCGCCATGGCGCCAACATCCACTGTCTTCGCATCAACATCAGCCCGCGCCTGCATGCCATCGCCCTCCTTCAACCCCAACTTCTTCTCATGGAACCCCGTAGCCCGCATGTACCCCGCCGTGCCGATACCCACAAACATGCCACCAAAATGACTCGCATGGTCCATAGTCGTCATCTTCTTCTTGAGCGCAGTCTGAATTTCCCACAGCACAAACGCGACAAACAGCATCTTGGGCCAAAACGCCACTTCCTTGTCCTTGAAGAACGGAATCTTGAGTTTCTCCTGGTCGGTAAGCAGGCAGAAGAGCGCGGCGACACCCCAGATAGCCGCACTCGCGCCCACAGAGTGCGCCATGATGTTTCCGCGGCCCAGGTTCGCCCAGTACAGACTAAAGAGCGTGCCCACCGCACCGGCGCTGATGTATGTTCCGATGAACGTGCCGCGCCCAACGAGGTCATGAGCTACTGGCCCCACGAGACACAGCATCATCATGTTGGCGAGCAAATGCTCGTATTGCACGTGGCTGAACACGTTCCCGATGGCCTGGAAGGCGCGCGGGTACCCGGGGACGTGCATGAAGTAGCGCGTCAGAAGGGGCCAGAGCGGCATGAAGCGCCATGCTATTGCAAGTCCGCAGTTGAGCGCGAGGAGAGCGCCTATGGTGGCTGTTGTGGGCGAGAGGTCGGGATAGAGGCGGTAGGCGGGCGCGGGGGGCGTATAGTAGTGTGCGGCGCCGATTGACAGCAGTACGACTGCCAAAACGAATGTGGACATGGGCCAAATTCGTTCGATCTGCGTATGGGTGTCAGCTATTGCACGTACGCAGGAAGAAAAGGGTATAATACGACTTACCAGAGTGGTTTGCGCTAAGAGTTCTTCTGGTGTCTTCGCATCCGTGGCAGCAGATGCTTTTGAATATTTCTCCTGCTCCTCTTTCCTTCGACTAACCTGCTCCCGTCCAAAAACATCCACGTACGTAGACTGGCCCGGCTTCATGAGCTGTGTACCCGTAGGCGTCCGCACCCATTCTCCACTCTCTAGCTTCTCTTCCATCTCCCTCTCCTTCTGCTCCTTCTCCTCTGCTATCCGCGTAATCTCTTCCAAGCGCTCGCGTCGTTTCTCCTCAATGTTGCGCTCAAACTGCGACTTGCCGACGTGCAGGATACCGATTTTCCGGCCGTCGAGCTCTTGCTGCTGTCTTTCTTGCTCTTCCTTCTCCATCTGCTCTTTAAAAGCGCGAGCGGGGTCTTTGTACTTTGACTCGGTCTCTGGGTCTGCCAGCCACAGCTCGTAAGATATCCGATTTGCTTCCTTCTCTGCCCATTCTTGCGCCGCGCGCGCCTCGTCTATGGGGTATTTCTCTCGTAGCCACTCTAAGCCCTTCAGTGCTAGGTCGCGGTTTACGTGTGTGTAGTGCTTCCCCAAGTTGTCTACGCCATAGTCGGCCAGCGAGCCGGCTGTCCGGCGGTGATGCAGTATTCGCAACACATTGTTGCCATCGGAAGGTGACAGTCTTCGACTGAATATACGTTGTATTGTTCCGTCATCGACACGTCCGTCTGGAAGCGGTCCAATTCGTACTGTGCGTTTTGGATGCTGTGGGATTGTAGGGTTTTGCGGTGGATCTATAACTTTGGCGAGGTAGCGCGGGGTGGTGTTGAAGGCGCGGCATTGTGATCGCGGTGTTCGATGCGATTGTATTAGAGCTAATATAGAGGATCTCGATGCATGTTCGATATACGGTTGCGAGGTACAAAGTCGCCGCGCGAGTGCAGCACACGTAGGGCGAAGGAGTGACATCGGATGATGTGAGCCTGCTCACCCCAGGCGATAAGTAGAGAACGATGGTAATTTGCGGCTATCGGCCTGCTATATCATGTTCTGCCAGTCTATTGCAGGTGAAGGACGCATAATTCGTAGCCATGATCGTCCTCCAAAATGTTCGGCATCTCGGAGATGAGCACAGACCAATGCACAATGATTCATTGAAGCTTCCCCGCTAGACATATGCCAACTCCTTAGATGGCTATGCGAAAGCAATTCGAGACCCATTGAGTCTCTTCTAGTATATCACAATCATGCTATGCGAGGGATATATCATTGAATGCTTCAACTCCTCGTATGCTTCACTACCAATAGGCCACTCTCCCAAAATGGGTCTCTCATTCTGTCTCTTGCCGTCACATGCAACTATTCTCCTAATTGCTTCCTAATATCTGGCCCTAAAGGCCTCCACAATTCATACTTGCGTCTCCAGTACATCGGAATAGCATGCACGCATCGATTCACCCTTCTTCGCAGACTATATTTTTCTTTGATAATTAATTTTGAGAGTAAAGGTCTAGCGAAAAAAATGGATGCTGAGCCCCGAGGAGAAGAGGAATGTGCACAGCTGTTGTCGAATAATGTAAGTGTGGCATAAATTATAGCACAGCCAAATTCGAGCGCGTCCGGTCAATCTTCACCAAAGACTTTGAGAACCCTTGATTTAGCTAGACCACGAAAACTACACCCATCTTAACATCTTCGAGGCTATCACAAACCGCCTTCGTCTCCGCCATAAGACTTCAGTGCAATCTCCAGATGCGTTCTCTCCTTGTCCGGACCAGGCCCTGCTGTCGGCTGCCCAAAAACTAACTGGGCTTTGAGCTCCCAGGTTTCGGGAACATTACTAAAACTTTAATCAGTATACACATATGCACCTATGCCTGGCCATAACATACTACTTGTCTTTCACATACGGCGTGATGCTCGGCTGATAATGCTGCAGATTGCATCCTAGGCCTTCGGCTGCGAGCGCTGTCCACACGATGAACTGGATCATACCGGATGCATGCTCGTCGACCTCTGGATACTCTTTGAAGAGCGGAACGAAGGCTGGTGGAAGAAGGTTTTTGGCGGTTGTGTCTTCGAAGAAGAGAACCTATAACACTGTACGTCAGCATGTGCCTGGACAAAAGTCAACAGCCAACTGTGCTCTCCGATATAGTCGTAATAGGAGGCTTGTGTAGAAAAACACAAACTTACAGTCCCGTACCCAGCCTTGAATAGTGGAATTCTTCCTACAAACAGGTCCTGCAACGCTGCTGGGGCGACTTTTGGCATGACTTCTGCCGCGTGATCCCATAGCGCGGTGTGTTCTACGCCGAAGAGGATGATACAGCGGGAGCTTCGGACGTTGACTATCAACGTTAGCATCTGTCTCAAAGCAATCTTGGTTTGGAGAAGTGTACAGGCCGAAGGACAGTATTTAAGTGCTTCGTGGACTATTTCCGAAATCCGAGATTGCGAAATGGGCGAGGTATTGGTGAGTGTGTATACAGAACGGCGATTGACGATGGCGTCGAGGAACGAGGTTGTAGATGCCATGATTGGAGTAGGTTTTATGGGAAGAAAGGTCTCCGGCTTGGAATACCAGTGAGATACCCAAGTGTTCTCTCAAAATGGCGCAGGTGCTTAGAGTTCGAATTACAATGTGTAGGCTTTCGAAATCAAGGGAGCATGGACTTATATGATGAAAATTCCTTTGCGTTTAGCAAGTATATCTTGTTCTAACAGTGGAGACATGCGGTAAGCTGACTAGTGCGTACGCCCATCGCTACAGTTGGGCGAAACCGGGGCACTAAGAGGGGCGTAGCTGTCAGCTTATTTAACGTTGTTGAAGTTTTGGTCCCCCGTGTCAATCTCTAACCTGTATCCAAGCAGTCCGCAAGGTGCTTGAAGATCACAACCACACCACTAGAGGAACTAGACTCTTCCAACAATGGGGGTAACTAAAATTCGACTCTAGCGTTAATACCATCCAGCTACGAAGATACGCATGCCTTCACGGCAGTAGATTTTGATACTCAGCGCTTCGGAACCTCCGCGTCCAATTCTCTAGGCGGCCCCGCTTTCATTCTTATAAACTCTTTTTTCATACTCTCAAACTCCTTGAATCCTTGGAAGTATTTCCTGCGGAAGTCGTTCAAATCGCTAGCTCTTGTGCCCTGTTCGTAGTCCCTCTTCACAGCCTCCAGCGCACCTTCAGGTACTTCCGATTCGCGAAGCCGCCGATAAGTTAGTAGTCTCCGCGACCACTTATTGAACGCTTGTACGCAGACTGACTCTAACTCGAGGCATGGGTGGTTGGGTATTATTAACTCGATGTCTTCGTCATTCGCGGTTGGCATCCACATACTGAGCCTGCCGTCTGCAACGAGGGTTGCGACTGCGAAGGCGAGTATGTCGTCGAGGAGCGCTGTGAACGAGTACGGCTTTTTCGGTGGGATGTACCCTGGTAGCATGTACTGATCTTGATGTGACTGCCTTTCTGTATCTAGGAGCTGTTGGCGGGAGCCCAGGACTTTAAGACCCTCGCGGATGCCATACGGGGGATCGCAGACAATGCCATCTAGGTAGCCCTTCGTGTAGTCTTCATCGATCGGCAAGATTCGGAGTGGCGTGTTTGTCAGATCGGACACGAAGCTGCCAAGGTAACTTGACTCCAAGCTGTACTGCTTGAAATTACCAACAACGTCCATCTTGCCAGTCTGTCCTCTCCTCGCGCTTCCTCCGAGACCCCGAATGGTGCGGCCATCAATGTCGCTTCCGAAGACTACTGCCCCAAAGTGAGCGCACGCAATGGGAAAGCCGCCCGTGCCCATGAACGGATCGTAGAATAACTTCCCAGGCGCAACGTGTGCAATATTGGCTGTCAATAACGTGAGCTCCGCGTCCATGGATGTCGTACTGATATAGTGCCGTTTCTTCAAGTCGTAGGTTTTCTTGGCCTCGTTGCGGCATGATTCTGCGATGAATCGTCCGAAGTAAAAGTATTTCGGCTCCGAGACGTTCAGGTCGTAGGCCTCAAAGACACGAAATGCAACATCCGGGTCGCGCATCCGGGGCTGTCCTTTGAGAGCGATGTACGAGAAGCTATCGATGATGGTGCGCTGATCCGCTGCTGACTTTCCGCCCTGGTAGCCCTCAACGGTGAACCGAAAGGATGCAGTCTGATATTTTGACCATTTCGAAGCTGAGAGGTCGTGTATTGAGTCGTGAAGAGTATCATATGTTGAGCCTTCGCCCCAAAGCTCGTAGATGCCTTGCGCCAAAATGCTACGAGTGATGACTTTTCGTGCTGCAGAATCTGACGGTAGATTTACGATGCAGTAAGGTGACTATGAAGGTCAGAGAAAGAATCGAACAGTACGAGAACAATTTCATGTTGTGATTCACTGTGCTGCGGATTGAAAACGAGGAGAATAACGGACGAACACAACAAACGCATCAGTGTTGTGGAATTTGAAAGAAACACCTACATTGTCGTCATATTTGATAAACTGTAAAGAAACTCCAGCTAAGTCGGCTAAAGCCTGCAGCTCGACTTTTCGGAAGCTCTCGTGCACTTGCGCGAGCCTGATGAGGTAAATTGGCATAATGCCGGTACTGCGAAGAGATGGGGAATATAAGAGAGATCCGTTCAATCGTTCAATCAGGTATCGGCATTGCGACCATAAAAACCCAACAGTATCGTTGATTTGATTTGATATTGCACTGCGGTGGAGGAGTCACGGTAGGGCAAAACTAGAAAGAGAAAAATAGTGGGTCATAAGTGACAGGTTCTTATTGGTTCGCTAGTGGAACAAGGGTATGCGCACGTCCCAACCTCACCTCAACCGCGCCCGCACCCCATCTTCTCGCCATTTTTCCTTGACAAGATGCATCCCGAAATTACAGTCTTTCTGCGGGGTCTTCAATCCTCCTCCCGATTCCTGTAGATAACATCCGCCTCTTCTTCCACCCAGGAAAGATAGATGAGGAGGTTTTCTATTACCTGCTCTTGCGAATCAAACCCCTGGGTCCAGATATCTGTCACCCTCCGAAGATATCCATCCCACGCATCCCAGATATAGTACCGGCCTTTAGCATCTCGCAGAATGAACTTGTCACTGTCGTCTTCTTTAACGACTGGACAAAGGCCATTAACCTTGAAATCGTTCGCCAAGTTTGGAGGTTCCTGTCTAAAGTACGTTGCCAAATACAAGTGGTCGGGATCATTTGACCAGCACAGTCGCCTATCGTAGTCTTCGTTGAGATGAACATAGGAATGACCGCAGTAATCTTGAGTTTCTACGTATGGTCCGGAAGGTAAAGCGTTGCTCGACTTCAGCGAATAATCTTCTAACAGGTCAACGTGGTCGTCAGCTGGTGGTGTCGGTGGTGTGCTAGGCTCGGAGCCGCTGCTAGAGTTGGGTGAATCTTGTTCTTCCTGTTCTGCCTGTTCTTCGTGTTCTTCGTGTTCTTCCTGTTCTTCCTTTACTTGTGCGTCAGTTGCAAGTATCGGAATCGAGAAGCAAGCTTTGCGACCTACCGACATCCTGGTTGATCCCAGGCTGTATATCGCTTTTGTCGCTGAGTGGATAGCGCTGTCCCGGTGACTGTCGTTTGCTTTCATTGTCCGATTTTTTTGCGACATCTGGTGTACCTATGGGCGTTTGCAGGTGTCAGAAAGGACCAAGTGTGCTTAATCGAAAGGAAGAGCGACTTACAGATCGGGAATGTAGACCTTGGATATTCTCGCTTTTTCTTCGGCGCTTGCTAAATACAGGACCTAGAGTCGAGTGGTTGAGTGGATTGTGGATGTGGAGAGGGGTGGGTGAGAGTAAGAGCAGGTGACGCTCGGCTCTTATTAGCAAGGGTCTAGTGGCTTGGCGATCGTGACTGAGTGAATGCACGGACACTTTAGGTCTCTATTTGTTAAGGGTCATTGACTTGGTGACCATGACCGAGTGTGTGAAAGACGCTTACTACCACTCGACTTTCTAGTGGTCCGCCTCAAACGTCTCTGGGAGGTGTATGATGACGCCACTCACGCCTCTCACCGCCGTACATATCTCATCACTATGGAGATGCCTGTTAGCCATGCCACTCGATTCCACGCCTCCTGAGTGTTTCTCCGCTCACAATTGAACCGCGTGTTGTATTGTCTCCTAGCAATCATGAGCAAACATCCATTCATCAAGTAGTCTATATCTATGGGCACTTTGACACTGTGTGCAGACTATTGAATAGTCCTTCGGTGCCTTAATCTTGCCATAGTGTGCAGCAGGAGTTTACCTGCCATATTGTGGTGAAAGAGGTGGACCTGGTGCTCGACTTGAGATAGTCAGTATGGGAAAGTGTAGTGAAAGGCTATCACGTTGACCTTCTTGGGTTTGGTTTCTAGGGCAGCGAGAGCGAGTCTGATCACGTTGCATGATCGAGCAAGCCGAATTATGATTTCATCCCCTGATTACTTTTTGTGCACAGGCACCCTTCTGACAGCTGTGCACTCAACTGCGCACTGCACTCAACTCCCTCTGACCATGAGTTTCCTCTGGAACGATTTCACAGCTTTCAACGGTACACTCACATGTGAAATTCTTCAAACGAGTTCTACTGACCTGAAAGCCGATATCGCAAAGGTAAAACTGCGAAACTTGTGTTTGGTCTTGTTTCCATCCAGTCTGGCGAATTTCCTCCTCAAAGTGTATCATACTGACTTTCATCTTCCAGTTTCACGAATGGCTTAAAGGCGTACGAAACAAACCTGAGCTACATGGGATACCAGCAAAACATAAAGACAATGTCAAGAAGGTGTTTCAAGCACTGTCGGGCACTGATGAACTGTAAGTGTTAGTTGTGATTGCTATTCGTACTTACTGACCCATGTTTAGGCAAGCTCCTGATCATTTACCGGCACTTTTACCCATCTTCGAGACATTAGACGGCCAAGGCAACCGAAATCTAAAGCCGCTTGTCGTTTCCTTTGGATCCCAGGATGCTCAGCTCCTAATCACGGACGGTGCTTCAGCTCTGGGTTATCTCTTCAGCATCACGTCACCTCCACCACATATTAGCGTACTCTGGAGCGAGTATCTTATGCCTTTGCTGACTCTATTCAGCAAGTGTCTATTTCTAGCTTTTGTTATAGATCACACGGACAAAGCATATGCATTGTCAGGAGTTCCCGTCATGGCTAATGTCATGTACCTATCCAACGAAGTGGCGCTTGAGAATTCTTCACGGCCCTTCTTCTTTGGAGCGACAATATCTTCAGCGCCATATCATAAACCTACAGAGGTTCAATTCAAGCATGGCAGGGGCTTGGTGACAACTTGGCGCCGGGACCATTTGTTGCTTCCAGCCCTACGTAGCCACCAGCAGACGCTCCCGCCCCTAGACCCAACGTTACATACCGTTTTGGTATCACGACTCGATGCTTTAATTCGGGGGCATCCGAATGTCAGCATGTCAGACCCTCGGTATGCACTAGATGCCAACATTTTCAGCAAATCATGGCCTGTGAGACAAAAGGTTCTGAACAGGGTATCATTAGGGGGAACTCCTGCCGTGGTGCCACCTCACAGACTCCTGAGAGACAACGGAACGAAAGCTACGCTGCAAGAGCTACTAAAGAAGATGGTTGCTCATGTTTACGTGGAAAGTTTTGATCGGCAAGACCCGATAATCCACGCTGATTATCAAAAACTGTTGCGCTTTTACGTGGCTCCCCACATCTTTCCACCCAGTACGCCACAGCTACCAACCCCCCCAGAAGTAGTCCTTGTCCAAGAAGAGGTTTTAATTGTTGATGGGATTCTTGCTTCGCTCTGGAGCTCACATAGCAACGCAGCTCTTGATAAGCTCACATATCTCCGGTATATGCAAGAGAAACACGAGCAGCCTGAACATACAACAGCGTTCGGTAGGTGCGCTGAGACGTACCCAGTTGTTGCTATTCAGTAAGTCATTCGTTTTCTATTTTTGATAATTCAATGTCATTGCGTGCTCCTGGGTGGCTTATACGCTACTCGTTTCTTTGTTTATAGTATTTCGAAGCCCACCAGGCTAGGCCTTCAGCATTAATTAACGCATCCTATAGGCCACCCTACTTTCCTTCAATGAAGGATCAGATGGGGAGCATTCGCGGCTTAGCGATGGAGCCACGTGGTATCGGTGTCACTAGTCTGTTCAATACCCAAGACTTCTCAAGCGCAACCTTAAAAGAGGTTCCTACTCTTCTGGTGTTGAGGACCGCAAACGAATCCGGATCTGAACAGCAAGTTGAAAGGGTATGTCGATATCCCTGCAAAAAGATGTGCAGGATCATGTTGCCAAAGTTTGGCATTCCTGCCAATCTACCCCTTCCAACGGATTACGACAAGGATATTGATGAGGCAGATGTCGGATCCTGGTAGCTCCCATGTTGAACAGTTATCTCCAGTAACATGCCTAGTCATGGCAATTATGGATCCAACTTGGGAAAACTCATGCATTTGGCTTCCATAGCAAGTAGTAAGGTACATGAGGGAAGAATGTTTTACTTGTCCATCTCTGCACCACTAAGCCACGTAACCTGGGAATACTTATAAGGGAAATAATGCGTGACTTTTGCCAGCCTTGACAAAATCTATCTATCCAGCCTTGGGAAGTTTGCGTTTTCCTAACGGCGTTCTCTCAGCCGATGAACCAGCGATAGCTCAACTAGGGCGTAGGTGCTTTGGAAATCCTCTTACACTTTGGCAAAGTTTTACGTCGCGGTGCTATACTGTTCATTGGTACAATACCGCTTCTACGATTTGCAGGTATATAACCTTTTGCTTCTTTCTCAGCTGTGTCTAACCTCTCCATACCATCCTTGATCGGCTCAAGGTGTGCTTGCCATAAACGCTATAGGTAGTGGACGCCTTTTGCGATTTTATAATGAATATGTCACTGTTACCCTATCCTTGATGCTTTACATCGTAGACGGAATCTCTACTTGGTCCGTCTTGAGTCCTCCTTCCGGTCATTATCTACAACAACCGCATCCCGCTCGACGAAAGACTGGTAAATAATGAGATTCTCTATAATCTCCTCGTTCGAATCAAAGCCTTCAGTCCATGTGTCTTTCACCCTTAAAAGGCGTCCATCCCAAGCTTCCCAGAAGTAGAAGTAGTTCTTTGCGTCCTGCAAGATAAACATATCGCTGTCATCTTCTTTAACTACCGGTCGAAGGCCACCGACGTTGAATTCTGCCGACAAGTTCGGTACTGTTGCATTGAAGTACACGCTTAGGTACAGGTTGGCGGGGTCGTTTGACCAGGGCAACCACTTCATAGCTTCGGGGTCGAGCGCAACATACGGTAGCCTGACTGAAGCTGGGGATGCTTTGGATTCCTCGCAAAAATTGGAAACGTTCTGTCCTTGCGCAACTTCGCCCCTCATGGCGCAGTCTTCTAATGGCGAAGTTGAAGCTGCACTATGCTCTGAGTCGCTGCTGGGGTCGTCGGTATCCTGGATCAATGTGTGAGTTGCAGCCTTGGGAAGTTGATTGCGCTGGTGTAGGCTCACCGTTACCTTGGTCGATTCTGTGCATTTTGTCACCCTCATGCTGGAGTTGTCGAAGTTGCTGCTACTTATGTCGTTTGAGCGTTTACTCCGGACCTGTGAGCCTTAGTTGTCAGAGGAAGAAGACTTGAAAGACTGTGAATCCTAACGACTTACTTAGGTCGGAAAGGGTAAAAGTAGTCGTCGGATAAGCCTTCGTCTCGGAAGGTTGCTGCGAAAGGATCAACGATAAGATTTAGTAGGAAATTAAGATCGAAGAGTATAAGGCTGTACAGGGAAAGAGAGCAGAGCTTTTAGCATATTATATACTCTAGCGTCTTGGCAGCACTGAGAAGGAGACGGGAAAAGAAGGCCTCATTTCAACACTAAATTGAATGGCGGTTTTTTTTACTGATATCTTTCAGTAAGTCATAATATGGTGGCTCGACGGATAGGAGCAATGTAGTAGATTTCCAAGACTGTTGGTATTTCTTAGTAATATAACTCCCTAAGTGGATTTCTGCATGTGCTTCTACCATGGCGGGTATGCATTGAGTCGTTACTGGAGTCAATAGAGACCCACAGTCGGGTCAGATGCTGCGACAATAAAATAGATTCGAAAGAAGGATCACGTACTGATATACAGATGGAATCGGTACTAGATCACTCCTGTGTTAAAAGGCTCCGGAAAGGACTAGTCCATACCTCGTACGCTCTTACTTCGTGACTAATGGTCGATGAGTCATTATTGTAGTCAACTAAAGCCGTCAACATTACGACCATTATAGTAGTAGAGCTAGTAGGAAATGACTAGTGTTTGAGCATCATTGCTAACTCTCATGTTAATCGCAAGAGCTGACCAACTTTGTGGGTGAGTGATGATGAGAGATCGCAAGAAGTAAGGTAGCGCGCGGTATTAAGCTCTCTCAAATGGTGGAACTGGGTCGCACCAGTGCCATGGTTCCACCCTCTCACACGCAAAATAGGAATTTCAAAAGCGCTTACGCCCCAGGAATACCTATAGAGCTATTACTAATTCTGGAAAGGTGACTTAAATGCAGAGATATTTTGGAATGCATAATTCTCCTAGAATAGGTCGCGTCGGCCGTCAACTATGGTATCAACCCGTATCATCGTTCTCCCACGGTATTAACTATCAGCCTTATGAGTCTGATGCGATCCGTGGTTGTATGTACAGAGGGGTCACTCGCTCTCAAGGCATATATAACCTCTCACGCGCACTTCCACTTTCAAGTTGTTACACTGAATCCCTTTCTTCTACCATATCGATATACCCGGAAAAACAAAACTGAGAATACATAGCAAGATGGACCTTCAAAGAGAGATTCAGATGCGCTCTACGGTAAAGGCACAGACAGAGTCGAATCTTAGACAGTACGTATGAATGTGAGCTTTCATAGCGTATACAACGCTGATCTAAAACTATTAGGGTTTATAGAACAGTCCTCGCCCTGCGTGACGCAGGAGATGAGTCGGAAAAAGTCAAAGGTCGATATGACGAAGAATACGATGCCTGTGTTCTTCATTTCTCGAAAGCCAGTCTCCAGGAGATATCCGGCAGACTTCTCGCGCTGCCGCGCGAGCTCCGCGACGTGATATACGAATATCTGTGGGATTTCGAAAGCCATAATTCCGACAATTTCAAGACTTTGATTTTTCTGGCTGATTTCACAACACCTCCGCCGTCATGTTCTGGTCCGCTCGGTACTGTGCCCTCTTGCACATGCTTTACGCATGTATCACACTTCCTTGACTCTGGAATCATGGACAAACAGGTCGTTTTGGAGATCCTAGGCATTTTTCATACGAGAATGAAGAAAGGCCCCCCACGTCGGAGCTCTTCCTACACTCTAGAGTGGGGAGACGTTGAAGCGTTTGCGGCGCGCGACATACTCCATCTAGGTCTCACATTACATGGTGTACTCACGAATCATCGTCTTCGGATCAATTTTGATTGCCTGGATGAACCGGAATGCGATGGGGTCTTGGAAACCATAGGCGTTCCTGGCGGCGTTCACGACCAGCTTCAGCGAACGGCAGATGCTTTATCTCGGTTGTGCCTTGAGAGTCCCCGAACTATCCAATTTGACTTTGAGGATTATGTGGACGGTGTACCAACCAAGATGGAGTACGTTTTCCGAACACTTAGCGAGCCCTTCCATCGACTCAAGCAACACGGCTTCGATGTACGTGTGTCATACGAGCACAAGGGTGAATACATGTTTGATGATAATAATTGCGGGTACTGGGATTTAGGTGAGGATGGGTGGGAATCATCAAAGCGTTCGGATGTATGGCAGTGGGGCCTACTCGACTGGAAACTCAACTTCAGTCGTGCGAATTCTTGGTTCCAACCTCAAAGTTCAGGGCTGGGAGGGAACTTCGTACCTAACCCGAACGGGCCGATCCCAGAAGAATGTTTCGATGATTACAGACGAAAGATGCCTGTATGGGAGGGAATCAGAAGGTATCTATATCGATATCAGCCGGATATCGAGGAGGTTATTACTTGGACGAGAAGTACGGAAGGGTGGTACCGCTGGGACTGCGGTTGCGCGTCGGAGAAGCACACGTGTAGCGAGTACTTCCTGTGTGTCAAACACAATGGATGGAAATACCGACGTGACGGACTGGATCTTGCGTGCTGGAAGTGCGATGAGGGAGCGCCCTTCTTCGAGTTCGATGTCGAGAACACGTGATGCTCGACAGCGGAATAATACTCCTTGTTCCCTGGATACTGCAGGCTGAAATTCTTCAGCGACTGCGGACTCATGGCCCGTTATTTTCGTTTTGGGCCTGTCGTCCCATGCACCCATCGTCTACGAGCAGAGGAAGGGAGTCGACATTTGTGGGTTTATTAGAAAAGATGGCTTTCGATAATGTGATTTATTATTCTTGTATCCGACTTGCTTTCGATCCGTGAAGATGACCGTCTCCATAGGCTTTCAACGTGAAACTTATTGTGGTCTACCACCCAAGTGGTGGTAGAATTGGCTCAATACTTCAAATTGTCGAGAAAGGGTGATAGCCTGGAAGGCATGTCGTCTTCAAGAAACCTCGGTACGCGGTGATCGGGCCGTGTAGAATTACTCCGTGGACAGAGCATGAAAAGCTCCACACCTACAGCGCGAAAAGGGTCGTCATTCCGGAGCGCTACATCACTGACTCGTGATCGCAATCCTAACAACTCAACGCCCATCTCGTCTAACGGGTGCCGACTCCCGTTCCAGCACCAGACCCCTGCTCAGCCCAACGCACGCCTTTTGCACTAGACAACACACGAATCGACGAGACACGACCTGCGGAGTAACTAATTTTAGTAAGCATATGCAGGATTCATTGAACGCGTCGGCGCTGGTGCATGTGAACACGAACATTTTGCATGAAGCTTGGTATCGATTGCGCGTGGGAAATTGGCTGGGGGAGTGTCGATCGCAGTCTCGTGAGGTGAAGAAGCGGCTAGAAACGTCAAGATGGGACATGGATCAGATTGGATGGGGGAATGGCATCGAAAGACGTGCTTGATCCTACAAAACATGCCTTGTTTGTGAGACCCGATACGAGATTCTGAAACCCTTGTGGCGGAGGGACGCAGCGGACTACCAAGCATTCCATGCAATCTTCAGCTGTTCCTCCAGCTCTACTACTACCGAGGGCGCCTGTTCGCACAGCTGATGAACAGCACTCTCCAAACTCCGCGCTCGCAGTGTCACCCCTCAACCCTGTGACCCTTCTAACACGAGCGCAATTCAACAGAAAATTGTGAATTTCGGCCCAGGTCGTGACCAAGAATTGTCTCGCCATAAGGGGATAAGGCTACAGGGACCCGAGTACTATAATTGGCCTATCGCCACCGTCTATTACTATAACCGTCGTAGTGCTGGTTGCCGGGCCAGGGTGGCGCACGGTAGACAGGGGGTTAGCTCCGATGCTTGCTTAGATTGCCTGGGGAAGGGTGCAATACCATATCAAATAAAAGGGGGGCGTGTCTGCGCTCAAAGGCTGAGCTTTCTGCCCTACCCCATCCATCAAATCACTACTTGCTTTACTTGCAAACGTCTCTCGTTACCTATAGAACGCACACTTCAATCGTTTAAACTTTAATACCCAACAAATCAACAACAAAATCCTAGCCAATATGCGCGCCTCATCCGTCTTCGTCTCTGTTGCTGCTTTCGCCGTCGCGTCGGCTCAGTCTGTAAGTCTCTCCACATGCCTCCGATCTGCCTTCAGACCCACAGAAAGTCTAACAACTCCACAATAGTCCTCGATCGACCCGTACCCGCAGACCAAGCTGCTCGCGCAGACCAACTCCCTTGGTGTCGTGACTGGCCAGTTCCCCGTCGCTACCGCTCAGCCCACCCAGCCCACTCAGCCCGCAGCCGTGACCACACAGCCTGCCTTGGTCTCCATCCCAGCTGTCGGCACTGGCATCCACACCGTCATTATCGGCGGACCTGCGTCCAACGTCAACGGCACGCAGACCTTCACTGTCAGCGCAAACAACAGCACCACCGTCGTCCTCCAGCCTTCTACGGCCTCTGACGCAAAGGCCACTGGCAGCGGCGCGTCCGGCAGCGGAGCAACCAAGAGCGGTTCCTCAGCGACTGGCTCTGGTACCGGTACCGCCCAACAGTCCACCGGCGCTGGTGTTTCCAACGTCAAGGCCGCGGCCGGCAGCTTCGTTGGCTTCGGCGCGTTCCTCGCTGCATTCTTGTAAGCGTTGCATCGTAGCGCACTCGGGGAGAAAACAGAGTACTGGCACAAATGGCGACCGTGCGATCGCGTCGACCGTAGGGTCGGGCCCTTTTGTGCCCTAGTAAAAAAACGATTCGCGATAATGCTTGTTAAATTTCGTGCGTGGATGACACCTTTCTGTCCTTGAAGATACCTTGGGTCTGCATTGCATCGCATCAGGGGCGTTCTGGCACTGGCATGTGTCGGACTTCGATTGCATTCGCAGTAATTTTTGTAATAGCGCGTTGGAGCTGAGGGGGGTTTGTTGGATGTTCTCCAATATGTGTCGCATTGAATGGAATCATTTGAATATGCGTTTCTCGTCTTACCGTGTTATTCGTGTTGTTGATGTTGATGTGGGGCTGTGTCGAAGCTGGGTGTTTATCGACCCCCCGCCAAACATCATCCCCAAGCCCCTAATCGTTCGCAAAACATGGTCTCCACCGCGTACCCCAGACACATCCCTTCGATTCGTTACAGCGACTCCAGCGACTTCTTTAGTCGTTTGCAAACACTCGACGTATGGTTGCCCCGGCCGCTCGAGCAGTCTGACCCAGCCAACTCGCTATGGATCATGTACGCCTCCCCCCTCACTTTGAAGCCCCACGTTTTCGAATGCTGACGACCGCGTTACAGTTACATCCACGGCGGTGCCTGGCGCGACCCACTGCAAGACGCGAAATGCGTTGAACCAACCCTAAACCGTCTTTTTTCTGAATCCAATGCTTCGGCATTACGCCATGTTGCCGGCATAGCGAGCCTGAATTACCGCCTGTCGCCGTACGCTTCGCATCCCACGGACCCAAGCTCGCGCTTCGATCGCGATAGAAACGTCCAACATCCTACACACGTGCGCGACATCGCTCGTGGTATTCAATATCTGCAGAAGGAGTACGGCGTGAAACGGTGGATCGGCGTGGGACATTCGTGTGGAGCGACGATGCTACTGCAATTGGTGTCCGGGCTAGGTCTTGAAGATGAGAGCAGTTCGTTGACGGGGAATACAGAGCAGCGAGGGCCTGAGGCATTGATCCTCCTCGAAGGCATATATAATATCCCGCTCCTGCTGCGGAACCATCTCCCGCCCACATGCCCAGAGAACATATCGCAAATCTACCGCGACTTTATAGTGGGTGCTTTTGGCCCGGACCAGGCAGTGTATCAGTCCGTCTCACCCGTCTCTGGGAAGTACAACACGAAGCAATGGTCCGCGGGAAGGTTAATAGTCATATGCCACAGCTACGAAGACGAGCTGGTGGAGAGGGCGCAAAGGGATGTAATGTGTGTTGCGCTGGATAGGGAGGGCTGGTCGATTGTCATGGAAGCGGGGGACGATGAGGATGAAGTGCGAGCAGAGGGAAGACGCGTGCTCAACGTTCGAGATTTGAAAGGGGGTCACGATTGGATCTGGGAGGACGGCGAACAAATCGCCAAATTGGTTGCTGAGGTAGTGCAGCGGTTGACTTGACGCAGTCATTTCATGTGAAAGCTACAACACTAACCAATATACCTGAACTCTTTGCGATTGATATGTGATCTTATAGCCATACGAAAGTGGAGTTCTTGCACTCAAGAGAGGAGACTCCTTGTAGAGACGTGCTTTTCCATATCCCTATCCATATTCAATTAACCCAATGCTTCGCTTGCTGATTGGTGCTAGTTATACAGCATGGTATAATGTACAATTCTGTCGTTTCCTCCATGGTCATCTGCCTGTATGAGTCCAGCTACTCATGCGTCTATCTTTTGCTGAGCCTCTCGTCCATGACCTTATTGATCTCGTTCTGGACATGATTGGAACTGCCATCCGCATCGTTCAGTCGACTCTGCAGTTCTGCAATTTTCTTGCTGGCTTGTGTGTCGTGGCCTTCGCCTTGTGTGATCTTTCCTGCGCCAATCTTCGCCTGTGAAGCATTCACGTTACCATATACTGCCATAGCACTTGCAATCATGCTGCTGATATCGCCGACGTTTCCAGGAACGATGACGCTTGTACCCTCCTTAGCCAGGTTACCAAAGGCGTCGACATACTTCTCAGCAACAGAAAGCGAGATGGCATTCTGGGCTGCGCCTTCTCCTTCAGCAATTGCCCGCGCAACGGCATCGATTCCGTTCGCAGTAGCCGTGGCTTTGAGCAAGATGGCCTCAGCCTCTCCGCTCGCCAGATTGATCTGCTCAGCCCTCAAAGCCTCAGAAGCCAGAATGACTGACTGTTTCTTTCCCTCGGCAATATTGATGGCAGACTGTCTTTGTCCCTCAGATTCCAGGATCTCGGCACGCTTTGAGCGCTCAGCAGTGACTTGGCGGTGCATCGCTTCGACGACGGGTTCGGGGGCGTGGATGTCGCGGATCTCGTAACGGAGGCAGGTGACACCCCAGTCTTGTGCTGCCTCGTTGATGGCGGCGGTGATGTTTGCGTTTAGATTGGCGCGCTCTTTCAGGACGTGGTCAAGGGAAAGCTGGCCGATTTCAGATCGCATCGTTGTCTGCGCGAGCTGAGAGATGGCATACTCTGCGTCTTCAACGCCGTAGCTGCAGCATGTCAGCATCCATAGTAGCCATGGTGAGCATTCTGGAATATGCTTACCTCGCCTTGTACGCATCGAATACCCTGGTGTACAGCACACCATCAAGCTCCAACGTGACATTGTCCGCCGTAATGGCACTCTGACTAGGGATCTCGATGGCATTCTCTTTCAAGCTCCTGACGTAGGCTATCCTGTCAATGATTGGCACTAAGATAGCCAGGCCAGGCTCCAGTATACGGTTGAACTTCCCCATGCGCTCGACGATCCATGCTGTCTGCTGCGGTACAAACCGCACAATGGTATTTGTGGGAAGGCGCTTATGTGACGAGAAGTATGAAGGAGGCCCGGCTTGGGAGTTGAGCTGGCCAAGGGAAGAGAAGATGCTAGTAGGATTGGCGGAGGCGGATTGCGAGTTGAGCTGTGTGAAACTGCGGGTGGATGGGATGCTCAAGGCGGCAGCGAGCGGTGTTATCCTGGAGCTGGCCAGCGGCCGCGAGTTTTGGAATAGTCTGGAAGCCGTAGAGGCTACCAGGCGGGTGTGCGACGCCATGGTGAGGGTTGGGTTGAGTGATGATGACGGGGCACGCCGAGCTCGACGAAGAAGTTCCACCTGCTTACATAACCTGACTTCTCACGCGTCGCGTCTTCCTTACTGAGCACGAATCTTGGCGATGGACGAGCAATTGCTATACTATGTAAATGTACTTTGAAGGCCCCGAGAGGTATTTGGTCTATTTTAGATTGCCATGTCTAGGCAGCAGTGTGCTCTTGATTTGATATCAGGTGGTTAACGACCATTGTTTCTCTCAAGAATTAAACAACTAATGTATGTAATGCGGTTAAGCCAATGTAGTCTTCCCAGGTTGTTTCCATTTGAGCGCAATTTAACGAAGGTTGCCTGTCGTAGCAATAGAAAAGTGGAGTCAAGGTAGAATCAAGATAATAGTATTTGCTGCTGATGTGGTCTGGCTAGCTCTTTCCTATAACGCTGCCCTTGGGTGTGGCAGCCACCGTTCTTTCTCACGTCACTCGTGACCCATGTCACTTCTTTTCTTCTCTCAGCTTTACAAATCACTTCAAAGATAGCCAAAGCCTCGATCGATTGGTAGAAGGTCAAAAGCAAAATGAGCCAAGATGACCAAGGAGTAATCTAGATGGCGTGAACCTTAAAGGTGGTGGTCGGATCACCGTCAGCCATGGCAGCCCCCGACGCGAAGGAACGATATCCTTGCGTGAGCCTCATGGCTGGTGTTGTACGGCTGGATGTCCAGTCAGAGACGGTGAGGATGGTCTAGGAGATGGACCGGGTGCGACTCGAGTTCCCCGGATACATGGCAGGCTGCTCGTAGTGCAGTGGCTCAAGGAACAAGCGTTGCGACCAGCCATAGACGGTTCCCGAGGTCAGCGAGACCTGGTTTAGGCAGCCTGCAGGTTGGGTCAGTAGACGATCAGCTATCCAGGCCAGTTCAAAAGTACCGATGCACAGGGGCCTTGTGAGCCTATGACGGATGAAGGCACGAAGCTGTGAGACGTTGGAGTAGCCACCTGCATTGGTTCCGGCCTTTGGCGTCCATTCTATGAACAAGGCCGATACCGTTGGCGTAGTCACAGGCAATAAACAGACGGGGCCTCGATGGTCGCCTCTTACTGCCGCTTTGAATGCTATCGGGGCGTAGCGACCATGCACAGTCAACTGAATCGAGTGAGGGATACATGGGCATCTGGCAACCCACTGGATCGATCGTACCGCTTAGGAGCCCGCATCATCGCTGTGAGCCCCCAACCTGGTGCCACATGCGCTGGCCAAGTTGCTATTCAGCACACGTGCCAGCTCTTGTTCTCGGGTGCGACAGCGCACTTCTCTAGATGATTCTCTAGATGATGAGTATATGCAGCAGTAGTCACGTTTCCCGGGCGATGCGGACGACGGAGTGGTTCCCCTGGTCGGCCCGTTGCTGGACTACTGCGACCAGCAAGCGCTAGGATGAAAGAGCCAACAAACCGCACCGCAGCATTGTTCAGGGCCAAGCCTCAGGTGGTGGAACGAAGCGCGACGAGGAGAGGCTGCGCAGGCGTGGGCGTGGGCGTGGGCGGCGACGTGTAGCTTCTGGTATTCCATGTCACTCCCTCACTAATCGGCAGCGCAGCGGCTGCATCGCTTAATATGGGGCACAGTGGGTATGACATGATAGAAGGCCATGGCTGCTATACTGCAGGCGGGTGCAGGGCTGCCCGTTAGCGCCTTAAGTTGCCTTTCGGTCGACGGAAGGGGAGGCCAGGCCAGAGGGTTAATAGCCGTGTGTGTGCCCGCAGCGCATCGAGAGGCCATTGCGACGACGCTGGAACCACAACCCAAGGCGAACGAACTGCTAGCCAAAGTGCACGCCAAAACCAGGATACAGGAGACAGGAGACAGCAGACGCTTTACTGCCATCGGGTGATCCTCAGGCGGCGAGCGGCCTTGTCGTTCACGCGCGCCCCCGCATCGCATCGTTGTTGTCGGGGGGTCCGCCTCCCACACCCACCTCCTTCCCGGCCCGCGTTCCAACATCACCCGAGCACAGCTGCTGCTGGTCAAGGAAGGGAGACGAACCCACCCTTTACCATTGCTCTCTAGGAGGCCTCCTATCTTCTCAACCCTCAACGCTGCTGCTGCTGCTGCTGGAAGACGACGCCAAAATTCACGCCCCATCGGAGCTGGGCGCCGCAGGTGCGTCGTCTTCTCCCCGGACTGGAGAGAACGGCGCACCGCGGCTAACTGCAGTGACTGCTTACGCACATCAACCACTACAGCGGCCGCCATCTCCTCCGCTGCTGCAGCAACCCTCTCCTCTGACCCAAGCCTCGCCATCCACCGTGGACGCGTCTCCACAGCAGACGCCCAGGCCTCTCATTGCCAACGGTAGTGCAGAGGCCGCAGGAGGGCGACGACCAGACTCATCAAGGATGCGCTCGTCGATTGCATGTGACAAATGTCGTAAGAGCAAGACCAAATGCGAGAACCTGGGCCAAAACACCGTCTGTAAGGCCTGTGCACACACCAAGAGAGAATGCGTCTATGGCCCTTCAACCGTAATCCCCAGTGGTGGCTCACTGCGGCGCGAGAGTACCGCTGCCGAAGGCGATGTAAGTTGAATGCATCATCATCATCATCATCATCCTCATCACAATCATCTTATATTTCAATCTTCAACGATCCTAGCACAAGGTATTACTCTGCGGCTTGGCACTCTCGTGCAAGACTAGTCCCCTGGCTCACTAAAACTGCTGTTTGGAGTGTATTTCAAATCCATACCCAATCAAGCCTGAAAGTCTGGCTACAACAACACTGTACAACTGACTCTCGTTATCAATGGCTCAATACTGAACATGCTGAAATTTGTCTTGGACCGGATCAGGTACTAACATATCGCTTCATAGGCCGTGCCGAGGAAGCGTAGAAAGCCTCTGGCGCCCACATCAAGTCTTGCCGACCGCCCAACAGACGGGTTGGGGACATTTGAAGACGCCCTCTCTTCCCCGTTGCTTACCCCCCAGGTCTGGAAAGAGCTTGTAAGTGTGACCCCTCACCACTAGAGATTATGGCTCACCGTACCCAAGTTTGCCATTTACGAAAAACACTTCGCCATAGACTTCCCCTTCCTACATAAGCAAAGATTTCTGAGCCCCCTGCAACCAACTCCGGGCACACCGCTTGATAAAAATGCCGAATCCTCCCCTTCGATGAGACCGCCGCACTACCCACCCTTGCTACTAGCATTCTTAACTCAAACAGCTCGCTTTCACCCTGCACTTGTCGCCCAGAAAGGAACTCCAATTGCAACCGCCCACTTCTATGCGCAAGCCACGCGTGTACAAATGGGCCATGATGTTGTTGGCAAGCCAACAGTCGAAAAGATCCAGGCCCTTCTTATGCTGGCTTGTCACGAATGGACTGATTTGAAAGGCACAACCGGCTGGCTGAAGATGCGAACCGCCATAAGTTCCGCTCAACTTCTCAAGTACCAGTGGGATGCAGACAATGATGACGATGAGCAAGGCGAGGCGACACAAGGCGACAACCGACAATCGGAGAAGAACCAGTTCATCGATCGCGAGATAAAACGTCGTACCTTCTGGAGTTGTTGCCTTTTGGATCGCTACCTGAGTTGGGGTAAAAATCGACCCCAAATGTTGAGGTCCGATGAAATGCAGAGAATCCAGCTCGTTTGCAGTGACCGTGCCTTTGACTGGGGCTTAAAGTCTCGAACCAGGCTCTTGGGAGAAGATGATACAGCATACGCGGAGCGACGAGAGAAGCTGCGCAATTCGTCCAAGCCTGATTATGAGAAGCGGAATGGGACTGGCCGAGACCAACGGCCGAGCAATCATATGGATCATGTCAGGTGGGAAGTAGGAGAGCAGGAAGCAGAACTCAGCTGGTACATACAAGTGGTTGATCATCTCGGAGAAATCATAAAATGGTCTTGTGCGGGTGGAAGACGGTGAGTTTAGTATAAACCGGTCCGCACACGGCGGAACACTACTAACACATGCTAGTCAAGAGGGCACCACACCCCCGTGGGACGAAAAATCAACATTTCGACGACTTGACGACAATCTGAAGCGTTTGAAGCGCAATCTCCCTGAACAACTCCAGCTCACACCTGAAAACACACAGATTCGACTCTACAACGGACCTGCAGACAAATATCTCCTCATCCATGCCATGTGCATGATGTGTACTGTTTGGTTATACAGAGAGTATCTGCCTCTCTCCCCGTGGATGTTGAAGACCCCTCAGGGTCCGCTGGACGATCCGCTTATCACGGACAAGCCTCCTACTCCCGATTACTGGGTAAATCAAGCCAAGGACTGTTTTGGAGCCTGCAAAGATTTTGCCAACCTTCTCCATTCGTTGCATGACGTGCAGGCGGAAACGCCCACAGTAGCTTTTGCTACCTATACTGTAGCTTGGTCTGGTAGGTAACCTTGCATGGCTGATCAACGTCTGCTAACTTCAAGGCAGCCATATATTGTTTCTTCCATCCAGGCATGGACCCCGACGGCGCTTTGGATACCCGTCCGAAGCCTAATGCATGGGACATTGCCAATCTCTTCCTTGGCCAGATGGCACGTCGATTCCCCATGGCACGTGATTGGCAGTTGAAGCTGAAGACCGTGTACAAATATTACCAAGAAGAGCGCGCGAAGTACAAAAAAGCCGGCGGTGATGTTGGAAGCTCTCCTCAAAGTTCCTCAAGCGATGGCGGTGGTGGTCTAAAAGATTATGTTCAGCTCTTTGAGAAGTCACACAAAGAGTTTGGTCTCACTGACGAGAATCTTACCCTGGACGACAAAGATATCGACATGACTGATATCAAGATGAACCATGATGACGATTCAGAGGACCGCAACGAGCCAACCAGTACTTTCGACATGAAGAGTGAAAAGAGAGACTCATCGGAGAGCGTGCCTGCTCAAACCGCCCCAGTCTCTCCCGCGTTCACACCCGTCAACGCCAAAGCGGCTGTGTTGAAGCCCTTTGCAGCAAATGATCTAACAGGCCTTCCAAGGACTCCACCGACGCCCTACGGGCCTCAGATTCTCAATCAACACACTCCAGCCGACTCTACCTATTCTTATGCCTCCCACAATTCGGCTTATATCTCGCCCACATCGCATGGCTACACGTACAATACTACGCATTCCTCTCACCACAATGCATCTGCAACGCGAAATAGTTCAGACCCCAATCAGGTCCAGATGTTTTCCTCAGGGACTGGGCCCGTTCAGGCGGGTGGCGGATATTCTAGTTGGCCACAGCAGAGTCTTGAGGAAATTAGACCGACCAAGGCTATGATAGAACATCAAGGTGCCCAGAGTATCCATAGCGACTTTGACCTGGAGATCATGGCAATGGGCGACGGAGGTGCCATTGCTTTTCCGACCGAGAGGCCCTTTTCCAACGACACCAACAATAACACATACTATCAGTATTACGGACAGAATACCTATTACAACGGAGCGAATGCGGGTCCAACCAATCTCTGGACACCGAAGAGATGATCATGTGGTCAAACCGCATTCGGTCCCTTCGCATCCTACCGTGTAGCTCCGACCTAGAGGCAACTGTTATGAGCCGTCGTCCAGTGCTTGTGGTCCCTATTTCCTTTACTGTAATTTTCTTTTACGCCTTGCAGCTGCTCAAGTAGCTGCGACTGCGGTTGTTTTCTATTGCATTAGCTCAAGCGACGATACTGTGGAGTGGCAAATTCTTGTACCGTGCATTTCCTCGGAGATTTCGCGTTGTGGTTTCGCATGCGCCTTTGTTTCAATAGAGTTGAGCGGCAGTAGTCGGAAAACACATGTAGTCTTGATAGCTTAAGGTGAAATTAGCCTTTCTAGTGTACTTCGTTCTCAGTATGATATCAGGTTGAACGCCAATCCCGACTCTGACAGCATTTCCACTTGGATCAATTCTAGTGTTTAAAACCAGTAAAAAGTGCGTACCCGTTCTAACTGAACCCACATTTTTTTCTTAGCATCATAGCTACTATCCTCACACCACCGTCTTTCGCACAGTACCTGAAAAGATACAATCCATGACGAGCCATTACCTCGGCCAATACCCCGATGTCCGTCGCCCATCAGCGGATGTCTTCCCAAAAGTAGTGCGGAGTAGGTCTAAAGCGCCGAGTTTCCGGAGATAAACAACTAGGATGCAGCGTCCGGCACCCCTGCAGCATCCACTGATCGTCCGCGCAACCCCTCGACGGTTGAGGCGTTCTTGGGCAAGTCTCCGCCCAGCCTCCTCCCATCCGACCATCTACTAGGCAGACATTGGTGGAATCAAGGTACCTCGACCGTCGACGTTTGTCGGCCGTTCGTGTTACCTCCCCTTCAAGCTAGGATAGCGAGGGGTAAACCTGCACCGCAATATGGGGCAAAAGACGGGGAACGAGCACGGACCGAGTCATCACGAGCGGGAGAAAGATGGTGTCATTGTGGGACAGGGACAGGAACGGCGTGGTGCGCAGCAGGGCCTGAAGACAATGTGAGCGGCTCTCCAGGCTGGAGTATATGAGCTCTTGCGTTCCCGGGTTCCTGGGTTGCTGCTGCTGTCCACGACTGACATTTGGATCTTCTTTTGGCTAGGATGAAGAGTCTTTTGAAGTTTAGCAGTGCGGTTGCGCTGTCTTGTCTTGCCATTGAGTCTGCTGCGAGAGCGGTAGGGTATTCGCCTCATGAATTGATCAAGCCGTATAAGAGAGCGCCCCTACAAGACATTGTGAGTCTGAATGAACAATTGAAATGAATCAAAGCTCGAGGAACTGATTCCATGGTATAGGTAACGTGGGATGAGCACTCACTCTTTGTGCACGGCGAGCGAATCTTTTTGTACTCTGGCGAAGTTCATCCGTACCGGTACGTCACTACTTTTCTCCTTCTTCGCAAAATGAGAGTGGGAATACATTTACTGACCAAGCGCAGACTACCTGTCCCCGATCTCTACCTTGATCTATTCCAGAAGATCAAAGCCCTTGGCTTCAATGGCGTATCGTTTTACGTTGACTGGGCGTTGCTGGAGGGCAAACCAGGTGTCTACCGCGCAGAAGGCGTCTTCGATTTACAGCCTTTCTTTGACGCAGCCACGAAAGCCGGCATCTACCTAATCGCCAGACCCGGGCCGTATATCAATGCCGAAGTATCCGGCGGAGGCTTTCCGGGATGGATCCAAAGAATCAACGGCACGCTAAGGACGCGAGCCACGGACTTTTTGGAAGCAACAGACAAGTACGTTTTATCGCAACTCCTCCCGAAGACAGCGCGCTTATAGAATGCAGCTACATTAAGCATGTTGGAGCTACGATAGCTGCAGCACAGATTACCAATGGTGGTCCGATTATACTGGTGCAGCCTGAGAACGAGTACACCCAAGCGACATCCGCCATTAAGCCCTTCCCGGATCCAGTGTATATGCAGTACGTCGAAGATCAGTTGCGTAATGCCAGTATTGTTGTGCCGTTTATCAGTAATGATGCGTCGGCCAAGGGGAATAATGCGCCTGGTCAACCTGCTGCTGTTGACATTTACGGACATGATGGGTAAGTGAATCCAAGTATAAACTACTTCTAAGACATGAAATAACCTTGTTCTCGCAGATATCCAGTGGGATTCGATTGCGCCAATCCAAGTGTCTGGCCAGATGGCAAGCTACCCACGAACTGGCGTCAGCTGCATGAGCAGCAGAGCCCGAATACCCCTTACTCCATCGTTGAATTTCAAGCCGGTAGCTTTGATCCTGTAAGTAATGGAACATTTCAGCTCACCAGGAAGTCCAGCCTTTTCACTTTTTTTCTCGTTTGGATGTGTGTTTTGAACTTAGAGACTGACAACTGCTAGTGGGGCGGCCCGGGCTGGGACAAATGCTCAGTCCTCGTCAATGCCGAGTTCGAGCGCGTCTTCTACAAGCAACTCTACAGCTTCGGTGTCACAATTCTCAATCTGTACATGACGTGGGGCGGCACAAACTGGGGCAACCTGGGGCATCCCGGAGGCTACACCAGCTACGACTACTCAGCACCCATTCGCGAAGGCCGTGAAGTGGACCGTGAGAAGTACTCGGAGCTGAAACTACAGGCGAACTTTTTTAAGGTCAGCCCAGCCTATCTGACTGCTGCGAGAGGCAACGCTTCGAACAGTACTTGGACAACAACCACCGATTTGACTGTCACGCCGGCTTCTGGGGAGAAGACTAAATTCTACTTTGTAAGGCACTCGAAGTATAATTCGCTCGCGTCAACGAGCTATAAGCTGAAGCTTCCGACAACAGCCTTTGGCAACATCACGGTGCCGCAGATTAATGGCACATCGCTTACGCTCAACGGACGCGATTCAAAGGTTCACGTTAGCGACTACGATATTGGAGGTGCAACGCTCGTCTACTCCACTGCGGACATCTTCACGTGGCACAAGTATGTGGATAAGACTGTGTTGGTCGTATACGGCGGTCCTGGCGAGACTCACGAGCTAGCTCTTGCAGTCACCGGACTAGAAGTCTTGGAAGGCGAGGTGAAGAGCATCTCCACGCGCGGATATACCTTGTTGAACTTCAAGGCGGACGGTACGAGGAAGGTCGCAAAGGTTGGAGTGGAAAGCAACTTTGTCTACGTCTACATGCTTGGTAAGCATTCCCGATGTTTATATCACGACGATGAGCGAGGACTAATAAAACCTTCAGACCGCAACGAAGCCTATAACTACTGGGCTGTCGACCAGGCTGCCCATGACTCGTCAAATCCCGTTATACTCAAAGCGGGTTACTTGACACGCACGGCAAAGGTCACCGGCGATACGCTGGACCTCACAGGCGACTTGAACGCCACAACGCCCATTGAGATTCTCGGTGGCGCGCCCGCTTCCCTCTCCAAGTTGACTTTCAACGGTAACGAGGTTGACTTCAAAGTTTCCAAAGCAGACGTCGTGACCGCCAACATCGACTATCCAAAGCCCAAGTTCACGGTCCCGCAACTCAGTGAGCTTGAGTGGAAGTACATCGACTCGCTCCCCGAAATTCAGTCTAGCTATGACGACAGCAAATGGACAAAGGCAGAGCTCAAGAAGACTTTCAACTCCCTGCGAGCACTGACTACCCCTGTATCGCTCTACAGCTCAGACTACGGGTACCACACCGGGACCCTACTCTACCGCGGTACATTTACGGCGACCGGCAACGAAACAACATTCTACCTCTCCACACAGGGTGGCTCCGCATTCGGATCGTCCGCCTGGGTAGGCGACCAATTCTTGGGCTCGTGGCGCGGCTATGACGCTGCTACACACGGCAACAACACATTTACGCTCCCGAATCTTACCAAGGGAAAGACATATACGATCACAGTAGTGATTGATAACCAAGGTCTAGATGAAAACTGGACCATTGGTACTGAGACCATGAAGAATCCACGCGGCGTGTTGGACTACAAGCTATCTGGCCATGCCCAATCCGACGTGACATGGAAGTTGACAGGCAACCTAGGCGGAGAAGACTACCTCGACATAACGCGCGGCCCGCTGAACGAGGGCGGCCTGTTCGTCGAACGCCAGGGCCTGCACCTCCCCGGCGCTCTCTCGTCAAACGCAGACTGGAAACCGAGTAAAGGCCCCGTGACAGACGGCCTCGCGGCGCCGGGCATCGGATTCTTCGCCACGGAATTCAAGCTCAGTCTTCCCTCGGACTACGACATCCCGCTGAGCTTTACCTTCTCCAACAGCACCACTGCAAACAATTCGACCGGCTCCAGCGTCCCCGCGTACAGAGTCCAACTCTACGTCAACGGCTGGCAGTACGGCAAGTTCGTTAGCAATGTGGGCCCGCAAACGAAATACCCCGTTCCAGAGGGTATTCTGAATTATCGCGGGACGAATTATCTTGGCGTCAGTCTGTGGGGGTTGGATGGTGGGAAGACGAAGATTGAGGGGCTGGAGTTGAGTGTTGATGGGTTGGTGTGGAGTGCCATTGGGGAAGTGAGGACTGTTGAGGGACAGAAGTATGAGGGTAGGCAGGGCGCGTACTGAGATTCAGACCTTTGGGACGTTATGAAATCCTGATACCTTAGATAAGCTTTAAGCTAGTAGTGTATAAGCGATAATACGTACATGATGTAGCACACGGAGCCCCGAGTGCATGTATCGGAAGACCTGCGGCATCTGCAATAGCCCTATTGTCCTTGTTGACTAAGAAAACATTTTTTAAAGGTATTTAGGATGAATTACTAATAAGATTCTTCTTCCGGGTCTGGCGGCAATTGGTCCCACTGTACGTCCGCGAGCGCTGGGTATTGAGCTAGTAGAGCTTCTGGAAGGGAATGCTCCGTTGGGTTCCCATCATCATCATATTGGAACGTGGCCTGAGAATCTGAAGCTTGCACTATTGCATCGATAGTCGCATCTGAAGGTCTAGCGGCCGTTTCCTCTGGCCACTGGTCTTGTGTATAGCCTTCCTCTCTCCATTGTTCCTCCAAGAGAGGTCGGATACAGGCACGGCCTGGGTCACACCTGAAGTGCGATCGTAGTCCGCTAATACGAGCAAAGGGACGGCCACAACCCCAAGGATTGCCATTCTTCAGGTTCCCATAACATGCGTATTTTCCTTTACCTAAATGGATACCTTCGTGGCGCAAGCGATCATTTTGCCGAACAAAGGACTTTCCACACATAGTACAGACAAAGGGTTTTTCGTTTGTGTGTGTGCGGAGATGCGCGTGTAGATTGTAGGCTCTTGTGAAACTTCTCGAGCACAAACTACAATCGAATGTGGTAGGTTGCTTTTGAGTGTGACGAGAATCAGCCTCTACTTCAGGCACTTCCTCCGGATAGTCTGCATCCGCTTCAACTACCGTGCCGTGATATTCTTCCATGTGTTTCTGGAGGTCCTTCGCCGTTACACACCCTATGACGGCCTGCGGGCACCCTTCTTCCGTACAGACAAACGATCTTTCGTGCTTGGAAATATGACGGTCTCGCTGGATATGTGTCGGGAACCCTCTTGAGTAGAATTGGCAATTTAGTCGACGGCACTTGTAGTAGTTGGAGCCATAAAGACGTTTCAGCTGATCTTCTTGTACGGTAGTGATGCTCGGTGATGATACTATAGCTTCTAATTGTGTTCGGATCGCCTCCATGACTTTCGCTATGGATAGAGGCTCATCATCAGAAGGGCCCTTTCCAGTGGGTAGTAGCTGGTTTTTGGTAGAGATTACAGCTTGGCAAATACTGTCATACATGTCGTATGATGTCAACGCCGCAAGATTTTCTTCCATGGTTTTGGATACCGTGAGTCTCTTTGTCGGGGATGCCCATTGGACGTCTAAGAAAACGCCGATGGCCTCGACCAAGTGTTCCAATTTACGTGAAGTAAGCTGAGACACCTTGCGGACGCCGTCGATGAGGTGATGTGCCCAGAAGCAGGAGGCGTAATCCGCAAAAGCGTAGTCGCCTTCGTATAACGCTTTCTGGATGTTACCTTCGTCCGTGTTCAAGACGAACTGGTCGAAGCTCATATAGGTCATGCAAAGGAGTGCTAAATCAAAATCTACCTCGGGAACGCAGATGTGCCCCTTTTCCATGAGAAACCTGCAATATTAGTAACTGCTTCAAACTGAAGAGGGCGCTATACTTCTTCGCTGTGGAATGCACAAGCACTACAAATCCTTCGGAACTAAGTTCAACAAGTGATGCACACAGATCCTTGCAGTTATCTTGGAACTTCAGATCCGAACTCAGGATGCCTTCCTCGAGGTTGACAGACACAGCGCACTGAATCTCAAACCACTGTAATGTGCGCTTCGCACATGCCAGCCATCCGAGCAGTCTCTTAGCATGGTCGCTACGAGGGTGCGGTTGCATGGCCGGGCCCATGATCCGGTTGATAATTCGACTGTATCTGAATAGCATTAGTCAAATATGGAGACTTAGAGAGTCTACCCACGCCTGTTCTAATCCACTAGGGAACACATCAGGTCGCATCTCAAGCAGAAATTGGCTCCGAGTTGGCTGCTCGTAAAGGTTTTCTGTGACCAGCTTCGCGTAGAGAAACATACCTATATTGGCTGTTAGTATATAAAATGCGCGCGAAGTAACCCAATACCTTGTGCTCTTGCCGTAACTATCTCGGAGATGTTATATTGCTTCGGGTCAAGGGGCCCGAACTTTTGGTCTAGGCGTTGATGCCACATTTGGCAATATGCTTGGATATCCCTCCGTGTCTCTTCCGGCTTTAGTCTGATAGCGGAGCAATCCGAGAGATCTTTGCGGGCATATCCATCGTCTTGGCTGATGAAAAGACACCGGAGCTGGCCAAGCTCTTTCGACGGAACGTTCCGGACTAGTTCCCTAAACCAGGTGGTCATCTCCTTGCGATCTTCACGATTGTATTCGTCCAAGCCATCAATGATGATGTACGTTTTCTGCGTTTTGTCACAAGTTTGTAATACAGTATCCAGCAAAGCTTTTGCTGTGCTAACACTTGATAGCACTACATCGCTACTCTTCGCTGCGCGGTCGTACAATAGTTGTACAATCATGTCATTTCCAGACATGAGCTGAGAGCACATTGTCCTTGCAATACTCACGAACGCATTCCGAGTTTCGTCGGTATTCCGGCAGTAGAAGAAGCAGAGTTTTGCGTGTGGTAGTTTGCGGCATTCATCAATCACACGTGAAGTAAGTACAGTTTTACCTAGAAAGATAAGTAGGGTATACAAAAAGAGCAGAGAATAGATTACCAGCGCCGGGGATACCAGAAAGCCATAACAATGGTTCGTGGCAATAGTCAAAGTCATACCATTTCTTAAACCTTGGATCTTTGAGAAGCCAGTCTCCACTATCACCGTAACGATTTTTCGTAGCATCTTCATGTCTGGTTTGCGCGTTGATGGGACAAAGCCATTGCTGTACGCTTAATCGCTTCCGGTCGAGTTCTGACCGATTGTACTCTTCATAATTCCTCTGTGACTGTGTCCGTAAATCTTGTAATGCTTCGAACTGGACAATCGTAGCTTGACTCTCAATAAGAGATTTGTGTCGATGTAAATTCTTGCTGAGGTGGGTCACAGTATTACTAAAAGAGCGCCATGTCGCATGAAAGAGTTCTTTCCATGCTAGTAGACAATTAGCTTTAACAAGCATTTAGCGGCCAAATAGACTTACTACGTTGACGGAAGTACCGTAAAGCTTCCTTGTGGAACTCTAGAATGTCTTCGTAGATATATGCTAGTGCAAGTTGCATGTGAGAGTTGCTCTGGAATACTGTTTGATATTGGGTAAACTGCGGTAAATTTTCGCCGATTTCCAAGTACGCGTCAAGCAGAGCGTTGAAAGCGTCTGCGTAATTCTTCGCTACCATGAGGAGAAACTTCATAGGCCCCTAAACGGACCGATTAGCGGCATGCTAACGTATCATATCTTTCACATACCCAAATAAACGCTATGATATCGGAGATATTTAGGAACACTTCTACGATCTTGCCATACTGTTCCATGGTATCCAGAAATGGTCCGAGCCGCTTCAGGTATCGCATCTTTTTGCTCTTGCGCTGATCATCCTGTATAATCGCTATTTGGCGCCTGAGATCGTCAAGAGACGTTAGCTGGAAAACCTTCAGCTCGTCCGGGCTGAGTCCAGCCTTTGTCTTAAAGGCATTCAAAGATTTCTCAAATGTCGAAACGACATTAGGCAGAGCGTTTGCCATTGGGGAAAAATTAAACTCGGAGCTGAAAATAGGCTTGTAAGTGTAGTGTAATCCTATGTGTCTTTCCACGCAGCTAACTGGAAGAATTTACACCACTAAAAGCAAAAACATGTTGCTGACTGGTGTAGAAATGGTTTGTGGGTACGTTGAGAGACATGTATCGCGGCTTGAGGCGCAGGCGGTGGGGTAGGCGGAGTTAACGCCAAGGCGCGACATCTGGACCGGTGAGACCCCTGGTTTGTGCATAACCTCACAGCCCTGAACCCCCGCCCATGGATTAAGGGTGAAACCAGCCAGCACCTTTCTCTTATGAATGGCTTGATGTTGTCGCCTGCGTCGCACGCCCGAACTCCACGAATCCTTCAACCGAACTACTTGTGGTGAACTCCTTACGATCGCCAGAACGTCATACATCGCAAAGAGGTCTATGGCAGGATATATCAACCCAAATACGCATAAAAAAAGACCATGGACACAAACCAACGATACTACCAAGCAAGGATTGATGCCGCCGAACAAGCGCGTCTACCAGGTACCAAAGGTTGGCTATGATGTACCTCTTCCGGTCGATTCACCATCTACGAGTTGTTTACGTACACCCCAAACTTCTAACAATATCGACTATAACTTGCTCACTCCAGGCCCTAGCATTGTGGGTCATAGTATCGACGATACAACTAGCCTTCCAATGAGTGATAGCATCGATTTGAGTTGGTCAAATGTGTGTGATGCAAACTTCATGGATGTTGACCAAAATTACAATCCCCCAGCAAAAGAGGTTTGCTTTGGCATGGTATGTGCGCCGTACGAATCTCTTTTTGATCCTACTCATCACAGATAGGTGCCGGATATTCAAGTCCGCTTGAATAAGACTTTTGACCCCCTTCTGGCTACGTGGGGTGCAATAAACGCTTCCGGTAGTGTAACTTTAGGGTTACAGTTCGTCGAAGGTCGATGCGATATCGTTGCGCCTTCTGGACAGGTTGCCGCAGTATTGAACATGAAGTCTTATCGATCTCTCCTACGCCTCCAACTAGACACTTCCATCAGGCTAGAAGCATCAGCCAAGCCTGCATCCTGGCTGCATCAAACGAATACGTCTGAGAAAATCGCAGAAACGCGTTACTGTTCAATGGATGTCCTTTTCTTTGGCTACCGATACGAGGCAGATACAGTTGCAACCAAGCTTGCTGCAGAGAATTTCTATCTTCAAGATCCGGATCACTTACCGGCAGGCTTCTCCTACGAAAATCCTCAGTGTCTTGATCTTCCGATCTCGAGTTACGTACAGCCTCCTACGGCGGACCTTTCGGTCATACCAACCGATCTACCTACACAAGAGTCGATGCTGATCTCCAACTCCATACTGGATACTGATGATGAGTTTGAACTTGATTTTGACAAGCTTCTCGATGCGTTCGCATGTCACGATCATCTAGTCCAAGCGTCGGCTGTCGTGCAGGTTTCGGCCAAGCTTTACAGGTATGCCCTTAGACAGTGCCCGAATGCAGATACTGAGTTATCGTTAGCCATCAGAGAGAAGGCTTAGATTTTATTTTGCAACGAGAGTTCAGTACCTTAGCCCCTTCACGAACTCTGTGGGAACAGCAACAAAGCGCCCAGGCCGAGAACGGCGCGCCAATGTGTGTCCTCCCACCCAAGGTTACATGTTATAACTTTTTACATTGAACGCTAACGTCCTATTTCGAGTAGTTTCAATCATGTGATCACTGGTGCTAAAAGTCCGCACCCCAAAGAGTGCTCAGGTGGAATCATCGCCGACGAAATGGGTTTAGGCAAATCTTTGATGATGTTATCTGCTATTACAGGAACGTTGGATCGAGCATGCGCTTACGCACAGTCCATGACCAGCGTAAGATCCTCCGGCCAAGGTATCATTGCAGCGAAGTCTACCCTGGTCCTCGTTCCGTCTGCACGTATGTGAGTCTTCGGCGGTGTACTATATGCTCCGACTAATGTCAGAACAGTGCTGATTGACAGTTGGATCAAAGAAATTCACGAGTATGTAATCGAGATTACTAGCTACAATTGAAAGCATCATAGCTAATCTACGTAGTCGTATTGCAGGGGGCGCCTTGACGTATCATAAGTTTCATAGCCGGGATCGAAAAATTGATTGTTTAAGTCTCCTGCAAAAAGATATCGTATTCACTACGTATGGTACAGTTGCAGCAGACTTTTCGCGTAAGCGTAGCCTCCTGCACCAAGTCCACTGGTATCGTATTGTACTAGATGAAGGTCCAGTAGCGAATTCTGGTCAGTTATCTTACATTTTCTGACCTGTCAATAGCACATGTGATTCGCAACGCCTCGACTAAACAATTTCGAGCGGTCACTGCTCTCCAGTCTCCACTCAGATGGGCCCTCACGGGGACACCGATTCAAAACTCGCTCGATGACCTAGGATCTTTGTTGATGTTTCTGAAGATCCCAATTCTCGATAACGTTGCGCAATTCAAACGTCACATCACAAGCCCCATTGAACGCAGGAAGGGAGACACTCCAAAAGACTATAGGAACTTGCGAATCCTCCTCCAATCAATTTGTCTTCGAAGGACTAAAGCTGTGTTACCAATGGCCGAGGTCACCACGTATACTCACTGGCTAGACTTTAACCCAAACGAGCGGATAGAATACGCACAGATTGAACGGATCTGCAAAGAAGCGCTTGACTTAGCCGTGAGCGGACACAAAGTCAAAGAGGCGCACCAAAACGTTCTCGAAATTCTACTTCGTCTCCGTCTCTTTTGCAACAACGGTAACATATATGAGCATATTAAAACGCCAAGCGGAGGGTGCACAAAAGACCCCGAGGAATCACTTAGTCTGCTTCAACAAACTGGAGATGCCATATGCTATTACTGCTCTTGCGATATTACATCGTTGCCAAGATCCGACACTCATGATACTGCAATATTGACCGCTTGTCATCACGTTATCTGTCCTGATTGCGTACCTGTATGGAGGAGTGTTTTCTCGAAAAGTACACCATGTCCTATATGTAAATCAATCCACAGCATGACTTCTGCTGTAACGCAGGATGACAGCAACATGCCCGCTTTCGACAACTTTCCTTCCAAAATATTGGCCCTTTGCGAGGATATACAAGCTCATAGAACGGAAGGAAAATGGTAAAGCTTTCAAGCGGCCCGTTAGCACTACTTCACTAACTAGGAATAGTGTTGTATTTTCGTTCTGGAAGCGTTCGCTTGACATTGCAGGCTCCCTGCTCAAAGAAAGAAACATACCGTTCTTGCGTGTCGACGGTTCCCTACTCTTCAGCAAACGTAGAATCATACTTAGCCAGTTCGAGACCCAGCCCGATATTCCAGTTCTACTAATGACGCTGGGAACTGGCGCCGTTGGGTGAGCGTCTTCTGAATTGTCATTGTCTGTGCTCTTGCTGACTCCCCATAGACTCAACTGCCTTACCGTTGCCCATCGAATCCACCTTCTTGAGCCTCAATGGAACCCTTCCGTTGAAAGTCAAGCGATAGGGCGCGTTGTCAGACTCGGCCAGGAACGCCCGGTCACTGTGATCCGCTACATCATGAACAAAACTGTCGAGAAGGTAGTTGACCGAATTCTTTTGGCTCCTCGCGTCCTAACACTCTGCAGAATGTGCAGAATAAACAGTTTAGAAAGCTCAGGCTTGCCAACGGGGGTTTTACACGCGGCAAGGGAGAGGAGGTGAAAGCAAGAATGCAGATTCTACAAGTACGTGCCGTAAACTTTGGACCGCCGCATCAAACAAGTCACTGACCTCGCTAGAATCTCATTCTCCAGCAATAGACCTTCCATGGAGGGTCAAGATAGAGTGGGAAAACGGCATAACTGACCGAGAGGAGCCCAAGGCACCAGTACAGTGTGGCTGACAGTGGGTTGAAATATCAAAGAGACAAACAAATGTGCGTAAGATGCACCCTTGCATCCACGTGGTATTGCCCCCAACGCTCTCTATAAAGCCCATAGTATGGAACATACACGCTTATGAAGTTTGGGGTTTGAAGGGCTATAGTGAATGTTCAAAAGCCACCCTCTGCTTGAAACCATCAAGTTGATTATGATATCCAAGTAGCGAAACTTGCGAGGTTCATTTTTTGTAGTCGTGTATAAGAAGAGTCGAGCAAGATTGGAGACTGAGCAGTTGAGCGTCTTTATAGCAGTATAGAAAAGACCTTTACCAACGCGCGAATAGAGTAGGCATTGGAGGATTTCCAGAGCGCCTGCGCCCTAGTTGAGCTATCGCTGGTTCTATGTAATCATTGGGGAAAATTGACAAAACGAGTTTCTTCCACAAAAAACCTGTGTAGTGGCAATGAATATTGCTCTGCCAATCCGAAAACAGAGGAACAACGGACATTAGGCCTTTTTATTGTGCCCCGAAGGCCAGAAGCACCACCCGGTCAGAAAAACTCGGACACTCACGTGATGCAGATCTGTGGCACAGTCACTTAGCCATAGCATATTCTTATCCCTATTGGCTTGCACAGACTAGCTTGTTACGTGGGGTGTCTAAGTCTTTCTGATGGGGTGGGGGACGTTGGAAGGACGTAAAGGCAAGGCATGTTTAAGCGAAGCGCATTCATTGGATACGGTGAGAGGGCAGAGCAGAGAGGCATGAGAAATGGACTTGAGAAATTGGAGAAAGAAACAGCGCCAACCCTAGAGTGGTTAGCGAATTGCCCCATCAGGATTGTGTCGGGGCAGTGTCGGCCAGATAAGATAAGACTGGTGAGTCATTTTGGGCTATTGGGCTGCGCCGGGCCCAACTAACACCTAGTCCCAAGATGCATTAGTGCGACGTGGAAAGCACTGCCAGACACCGAAACCAAGTACCACCATACACCCACGCGGCTGACAAAAAAGAGCCGACACCAAAATCCTTAGCTCACCCTACTACCACCAAATTTTATATTTATTACAAGTTTATGCAGCATTTAAAAACTTAAAAAAGTTTTATTTTATAGTTTAAGCAATTTAAGTTAAATATATACGTTATTTCCTTTTAAAAAATCTTAATTTTAGGTTGAATTTGTAGTAGATACAGCTTTTGGTGTAGGCTCTTTTTTGTCAGCCGCGTGACACCATACTCGATAAATGTCTATCTCTTAGCCACGTTGGCGTTTATTGCTCTTCTCATTTCTGTCAATCATATCGTAGCTCTTGCTTACACATTACAATATTCCCAGGAGCCAGTACTTCTAGACGCCCTTGCTTGCCTGTGCTACAACAGTGTTGTCGCTGATTATTGTGCACTGAAATCAAGACCAATCGCAGCATAGACCGACCTGTAGCTTGCTAGAGAAAGTAGTCAAGATCAAAATGTATCTTAGTCACCTTCCGGTGCTTGTTATTCTCGATAGAATGGAATGCCTTCGTTTGTTGCTCATTCATACTTTTGCTGCTTGGGTCTGGTAAAGCTAGAACGGCGGGGCATCCGAGTGCTTGTGAGAGGGCTTACAGCGCGACTAATCGGCAGCTGACACAGGGCATCCATCGCAGTAAAAGCATGCGGAAATAACCAGAAGATTCACTCAATGAACTTTTCACAGTAGATATCAGAACCACGGTTTTTAGCTTGCGCCACGAAATGCAATGATATGCAATTGGTACGCTAATCCAATGCTGCGTATACATAACCAAATCCCTTCTCTTGTCGTCATCCAACTCCCAACCCTCAAGCAACCCATCTTAACCATACATCCTTACACCTAGCAGCAAGATCAACAAGCGGGCGTTGTCACATAAAAGTCTAGATAGCCCCATTATACACATCTCTCAACAGCGGCCTGCCCTCAAGCACACCCCTCTTGCCCGCCGTGAACACCTTGCCCGGCATTCTATGCGCCTTCCTCGTCTCTTCAGGGCTGCTCGTGGACGACTTGCTTCCAATCCTCCTTACGTTTCCCCTATTCGGCGCTGCGGTGATATCACCAAGTGCTTTGCGTTTCTTAGACGGGCTAGGTGACGGACTCATATTCTTTCGAATCTTGTTCGCGAGGAAAGCCGAAGAGAACGGCTGTCGAGAAGGCGTCTTGGCCGTCTGTGTACTCGCATCATCAAACGCGTGACTGTCCAGCATGTCGGGCTGTAAATCGAGAACCCATCCCTTCTCGCGACATAGAGCGACCATATCACGCAGTAACTCGTTGCTCGAAAGTGTCTTCTCACTGCCTAGAATCACCAATTTTGAGCGCGCGCGCGTAAGTGCGACATTGACTCTCCTCCGATCCTTCAACAAATCACCTACAATGCTGTTCTCGTTGCTTCGCACGCAGGACACGAGAACGACTTCCTTATCTCTCCCCTGGAATTTGTCTGCGGTATGGAGTTCTACGCCTGCCGACCCAGGACCACCGATCGCTGGCGCAGCGAGTTCGGAGGATTGAGTTTGCGTGTATGCAGAGGATAGGGATTGGCGAAGGAGCGCAAGTTGCGAGCGGTAGAATGCTATGATGCCTATCTCATCGGCGGGAACACCAAGGCTTAAAAGGGATAAGGTGAGCTGTGTTATGAGTCGTGATTCTAGTGTGTTGGTGATGCGAGATCCGGATTGGGACTCCAGTGTTGGTGAGATGAGGTCCGTGTTGATGAATACCACGGGTGACTCGGGGGACAGTGAGCGAGAGAGCCAGCAAACAGCCGAGTTGGGGCCAGGGCAGATATGCTGAGCGCTCGACCGAGGTTGTTGTGTTTTGTGGTGACAAGTAAGAAGACCGGTAGGGTTTGGGAGAGTTAGTTTGCGTGAGGCAACGCTGGGCGTACCGCACTTCAAGCGGCCAGAGTAGATGAAGGTGTTCGACAGGAGCATGATGTCAGCGCACATGCGATACTGATGTTCCAAACTGACCACAGCTTGGGGATGCGCTTCGCAAAGAAGTTTGAATAGCGAAACATCTAGTCCACCCTCCATGGCTTCCTTGTTCTGCACGAGCGGAGGGAGTTGGTAGTGATCGCCCACTAATATGAATTTCTGTGCCATTCGAATAGGGCCTAGACAAACAGGTAGCGTGATTTGAGACGCCTCATCAACGATGCAGTAGTCGAATATGCGGCGATTGAACAATGGGTGATTGATGGTCAAACACGTCGTAGCTACGACAGGCGGCTCCATCCAGGACCTTTCAAGTTCCTCCACACTGTTCTTTGGTTCTGCAGCCAAAGTGGCAAACTGACGGACTTCGGGATGAATCTTTGCTGACGCCCCGAGACGCAAGATGCTGATCTGATCATCCTTGATCTTGAGTAAGATATTGTCGACAGCAGTGTGTGTATACGATGTGAGTAACACACTTTTCCCTTGTGCGACGAGAGTCCGGATAATGTGTGCGATGGTGGTTGTTTTCCCGGTTCCTGGCATACCTAGTACTAGAGCGCAGTCCTTCGCAGACATGACCTTTGAGATGGCGGCCTTCTGATCCGAGTTTATAGACATCTGTGACGATCGCGGTAGTACTATGTTGTCTAGGGCGGTCTTGAAAGTTGGGGCTCGGCCGTCGACGATTAATGCGCGCAGATCGTGAGCCTTGTAGACGCTGTTGTCCATGATCTGTATGAGGTTGTTGCGAGCGGCTGCCATTCCGTTACTGAACTCATCTTTATCCAATCGGTACAGCACAGGCTCATCATCGGCTTCATACTCTGCGACGAGCTCATCGTCCTTAGCGACCTCCATAATGCCGGCAAATGTCTGATTGCTTTGCGAATTGAACCCAGGAAGCTTGGTTCGAGAGTTGTGCAATCGTCTATCAACGGCAACAGTAATGCGACGCTTCCCAACGTTCGTCACGTAGCCGTTTGCAAGCGCAAAGTGACCCTGCTCGTCTGAAACAACGACTGGCTCCCCGATGATAAGCTGCGACTCCGTAAAAGAGAACCCTGGCTTCGGCCGCTGCTTGATGAACGTGTAGCTATAGCGATTGATCTTCTGGCCAGCCTTCTCCTCGTGCCCGGATCCCGGCTCCAAGATTACGTTCGAGAAGCAACGGCCTAGTTTCTCACGCTCAGTGCTAAGCATGGTCCACAACTCCCGTCTGAACTTCATCATGTCCGACTCTTCTTTAGTAAGGAGCGTGTCCCACTTCTTCATGAACTCTTGGTCGGACGGCTTTAGCGGCCCAACAAGTTCATCGTATCGCTCTTTAGCCTTCTTATTCAGCGTCTCGCCATTGCCGTCCTCAACCAAGTTGTGGTAGATGAAGCAGGACTCTTGAGCGTAGCATTTCTGGCACTTGAAGTCCTCCTTTAGGATCGGGGGTAGCTCGATGCGGTCTCGTACATAGCAAGCGAGCTCGTTACGCTTAATGATCATATGAATTATGTCATTACGAACAGTAGGAATGCGACTGGTGTCGGAGGTTTCGAGGTAATACAAAATACCGTATGCAATGTCCACATCTGCGTGTGTTAGCGAAGGTCCGTGACTCGTGGAGTGAAAGCGTACCGTATCGGTTAGTTAGCAATAGATTATATAAAGCCGTCTGAGCAACATGCGCAGCATTGGAAGAATTCTTGCCAGTTTTGACTTCGAAAGGTACTGTCAATGTCCGTTCGCCTTGGTCGTCTTGCATAGTAACCTGTACTGTAGCATCAATGTTTCCTTTCAGGCCATACATGGGTGACCAAACGTGCTCTTCCACGTCAAGCAGCTTATTGATGCTCATAGTCGATTGCCGTCCATTTCGCTCTCGCACGACAGCATCGGCTCGAGGTTCCGCCCGGACGAAAATCTTAGCCCAAGCCTGCATCTCTGGCAATTTGCTGATTAAGTGCTCTTTGACCGCTTCACAAGTCGAATTGATTTCAAGAATGGTCTCAAACTTGCTCGGCAAGAGCTTATCGATCGTTTCCAAAAGAAATTCCGAGTGCCATTGGTTCGCCTTGAGTGCTTCCTGGAATAATTCATGAAGAAGGGTTCCATATAGCATGGGTGGGTTCGCCTTGCTTGTTGCTTTGATGCGATCCTGCAGAACCGCTCTTCGCAAACATCCGAAGGAGTCTGCGACTACAGTTGCCGATATGAGATGGTCCGGGTGTAGGATAAGCATGTTGTGATGGTCGTCAATGACACATTGTCCTGTAGACGAGAAATCTCCGATGACATGTACAAAGGAGCCTGGTGTACAAGGCGTATCGTACCAAGCTTGTCGTAGGGTGATAGCCTTGAAAAGCTTAGTCTTCTCTTCTTCGACTAACAAGACCTATATCATGTCAGCTCATTGTACAGCGACAAACATGAGGATCTCATATTCCCACCTTCTCAGTCATTTGGTAGCCTTGCCCAGTCGTGTATGAGCCCTCATCTACTCGCTTGATGAGATAACGCTGAATCGCTCTAGTATCCTGTTGACTCTTCAAGATCAGCATCGCTTCGTTATTATAGAAAAGTCTGTCATCTACCTACAGTAGTTGCTGGGGCTTGTGTGGCGGCCACCTCAGCTGCAGTGAACTCATCAGCATCTATATCTTCACCAAAGTCGTCCGAATCGTCGTCTATGAGATCGATGGTAGGTGCTGGTGCCGCGTTGCTCGTAGCTATGTTTTCAGTCTCTACTGCCCGTGTCTGGTCCCCAGACGGAGAATCTACGTCTCTCGTGTCGTACAGAGATGCCACGTGCTCTAAATCGGCAGCAAAATCATCTTCGTCGTCCATCCCAAACTCATCATCACTACCTGCTTCTTTTGCCGTACTCATCTCTGGTGGCGGTGGCTGCGGGGGTGGATATATGGGTTCAGTGGGTATAGTGACATAACTCGTTATCAGCGCGTGTTGCTCGACTTCCTGAGGCGTTAGGTCTAGGGCTTCTACCATCTCTGAGTCGAAATCGTCATCGCCGAATTCATCCGAAGAGCCCGAAGCCCTCTGTAGTCCCTCGTCAATCATATGTTCGTCCGCTACGGCAGTTTGCTCGTCCTCTAGAATATCCGAGAATTCCATATCCTGTTCTCGTGCGTGTCTTTGTAGAGGAGAACCTGATGAGGGCGCTTGGCGATCTCCAGCTTCAGGCAACGGAGATGAGCTCGACGGAAGCTGTGATGATGTCCTGGATTGTGACTTGGACACGCATTCTCTCATCCGCTGGACCATGTTGGCGAGGTTTGGCTTCGCTGGCTGTCCGAGCATCATGCCATCCGAGCTGGGAGCAGCCGCAAACACGTCCTCGGTATGTTCTTTGTCGCCTTGAAACACGCCATGCGTTCTCCGTTTCTTCCGGTTGGATGCAGGAAACTCGACACCGCAGCTAGCCCAGCGTCGAAGCCCGCTAACACTCCCGGCAGCAGCAGCGGAGCGAGGCGATGATTCGTTGATGAGATGTGCAAAGGCAACACTCTTGTTGGCGCTTGGTGTTCCCTTGTTGCTCGTGTATCGACTCCATAGTTCCATAGCCGGGTCTGCTTGTGGTGTTGTGATGTCCTTCTTGAGCGAGTCGAACTTGTGCTCCTCTTGCGATGGCGCTGCGGGCGAGGAACTTCGGGCGCGCTTTTTGTTCTTCCGTGGCACAGGTGTGTTGACTGGTTGCGACCCCCTCCAGATCAACTGCTCCTCTGGGGACACGACGGGCTTCGGTACGTGTCTGGATGAATCGTCCACATTGCCAACCAGGTCCGCCAGCGGTAGCCTTGTAGTGGCTGGTGTCGACGGAGGTGGGCAGGTCGCAATCGTGGGGGGGTTCGGGGTCTTGTTCGTGTTTCCGATATGTTGCACGACTCTGGCTGCCTTTGGTGTCTCTTTCGACTTGGATGCTTTCTCCAATGCAGTGCGTAGATTCTCTTTGTCCGCCTCGCGTTCCCTCACAGCGTCGACGGCAGGCGCGCCTTCGATGAACTGAAAAGCTTTGAGCTTTGTCCGAGTCTGGGTCGATGGCATGATGGGAGGGCCAGTAACGACGTGCCGCGCTGGAGGGGCAGACTGGTTATTGTGGTGGGGAAACGGTGGACCGTTGCGTGGACGGTGCCATTGGCCTCTATATTGCTGGAAGGGAAAGAAGGTGAGTGTGTTTTCTTAGTGAAAGATATGTGATTATCAAGCAAGGTACCTTTGGCTTCGAATTCGAATCCTGGTCGAAGAAGGACTTCTGGCGCGTTGACATTAGTAGAGATAGGACGGGTAGCGTTTGGCGGTTCGGCTGGGAAGACGCGAACAAAGACGCGTCGTGCAGAGCGGGCTCTTATTGGTTAGGCGCCGAGCAGGGCGAAAACACAGTATCACGTGCTCGACGCGGCTCGGGCCAAGGCGATGTCGGATAGTCGTGCTCAACACCCGTGGGGGACTTGTGCGGATCCGTTGGACGGCTCAGTCGCCGAATTGACGTGGCTTGGCGCGTCGCAATGGTATCTGCGTATTACCAATTGTTTTCTGTGGGCTCGGAGACTAGAGCGGGCCAGAGGAGCTGGCTTTTGTGGCCAGTGGCAGCTCTATCAATTGATCGGGGAGAGCTGGGGCCACCAGTTAGTCGGCTCTCAGAGAAACATCCCACGCTGCTTCCCCAGGTCTTGTGCCGGCGGTGGATAGCTCACTCAACCACCCGCAGCCCTTTCTTCCCTCCCACCTTTCGCCTATCCTCCTCGAGTCAACACCGGCAACATGTCGACCGCCGATGCAAAGCCTCTGCCCTTTGTCTACCAGTTCGCGGCCGGTAAGTGTCAATTGCGGGACACCGCCTAGCTCCGATGCGACTGCTTCCCGTGCATTGCCTGACTGAGAAACCACTCGGCGCGCGATGGCCATTGTACTCCTTCGCAACGCACACTTCACAGGCCAATTGAGCTTCGAGGCATGCGAGCAGTCACTGACTATGAACAGGTGCCGTGGCTGGTGTGTCAGAAGTGAGTGCGCCCACTCGATAACGGAGCTCGCGTGAGGTCAGTTGATGCTAATCGTCGTGCGCGCATAGATTCTGATCATGTATGTATTATCCACGTATCAAAAGCCCTGATATCTCGAGCTGACTCGACCCTTCAGGTACCCGCTGGACGTTGTCAAGACTCGAGTGTAAGCGACTGCACACAATCGCCCACTCGATAACGCTTCTAAACCTGCATAGACAACTTCAGACAGGCAAAGTCACTGGTGAGGAGGGCTACAATGGCATGGTCGACTGTTTCAGGAAGATCATCAAGCATGAGGGGTATGGTGGACCTGCAGCTTTGAGCCTAACGAAGAGTGCTGACATCGGGCAGTGCTTCAAGACTGTACCGCGGTATTACCGCACCCATTCTTATGGAAGCTCCCAAGAGGTGAGTTTACGGAATCATCTCTCGTATCCCCCACTCTGACGCAACATAGGGCCACCAAGTTCGCCGCCAACGACTCTTGGGGATCATTCTACCGCAACCTCTTCGGTGTGGCCAAGATGAACCAGTCGCTGTCCATTCTCACTGGCGCTACCGCTGGCGCCACCGAGGCTTTCGTCGTCGTACCCTTCGAGCTCGTCAAGATCCGGCTGCAGGACAAGGCCCAGTCGCACAAGTACAATGGCATGGTAGACTGCGTTACCAAGATTGTCAAGAACGAAGGCCCACTCACCCTTTACCAAGGTCTCGAGTCGACCATGTGGAGGCACATTCTGTGGAATGCCGGCTACTTTGGCTGCATTTTCCAGGTCCGCGCTCTCTTGCCCGCCGCTACCGACAAAAAGGGTCAAATCACAAATGATCTATTGTCCGGTGCTGTTGGTGGCACTGTCGGTACCATCCTTAACACGCCCATGGATGTCGCCAAGTCACGTATCCAGAACTCTACCAAGGTCGTAGGCACAGTCCCTAAGTACAACTGGGCATGGCCGGCGCTCGGCACCATTATGAGGGAGGAGGGTTTCCCCGCGCTATACAAGGGTTTCTTGCCCAAGGTGCTACGATTGGGCCCTGGAGGTGGTATCCTGCTCGTTGTGTTCACCGGTGTCATGGACTTCTTCCGCAAGATGCGCGAAAACCAATAGACAGTTCAGCATGGAAGCGGCAGGGCAAGCGAGCATAGTTGTTGCGTCTCTTCAAGCATATCCAAGCACGGCACGAATTTGGGAAATAGACTATATATCCTGTAGCTGCTTTGCTCCGATGGTAAAGCAGTGACAAATGGCGTTCCTCTAACCCTGATGACTACACGTCTTGTACGCTCTGCACTTTAACGACTTTCGTACGTGCCATTCTAGCAACTATACAGCGTACTAGGGAAATTGAACCATGACTGCACTTGAAGGAAGCCACATGAGCAATGCGTAGCACTCGTTACTCAGATCCATTATTACACTATACACTACACACACAAAAGAAAGTCAAGAAAAACGTTGCGAAAAACAAACCTCATCCCGAGGTAATCGTTGCTATGTAACCCCCATTCCCCTTTTTTATATGACCAAAGGGCAAAGAAGATCAAGAAATGCTGTACTCCCTCCCCATACCCCAGAGAGATCAAATATGCTTCGATGAGAAAAGATCATAAAAACAAGTTGGTTGGGGGGCAAAAAAAGAGATAAAAAAAAGGGGGAGGGGGAAAATCGAACTCCATCGCTAATGCAATACGACGCCGTAACGGAAATGCCTGTCCGCCAATGGGAAAAACAACGTGTGCGATAACCAAGGAGAGAGGAAAGTAGACGTTATATAAAAGGAAAGAAAAAAAGGTACAGTCTTAAGGTTCGGAAAAGGGGAACTGTCGAACGGGACAAGATGGGTGCTGCTGCTGCGTGGAAGAGAGGCTCGGACTAAGCGGCGAGACAGACTGAGACATCGAGTTCAGACCTGGACTGAGCAGACCGAGCGTACTTGTACAAAGCTTCGTTAGCGAGGTGCAACGAGCTCCTACAGATACGCGAAGAAAGTCAGCCAATATCATGCTCAACCAACTGTGGATTGGTAGAGGTTTTATGGCCCATAGCCGGAATTCTGCCTACTGCTCAGCGGCGTATTTCCATTCGAGCTCGAGTCACTTGGCGTCGGTGGCTCCAGACTGAGTTGCGCGCGGAGCGTCATGATCCACTCATGCTGTAGCAACTCTACCGCGCTCACTCTCTTTGATGGATCGCGCTCAAAGCACTTTTGCAAGAAATCAATGCCTTGGTCGCTGAGCTGGTCCTTGGTAGGGAGCTGTGGCGGGTCACCTTGGGCAATGTGGTACATGATTGCCCACTCGTTGTCCATGGAGGCCCAGGGCCGTCGGCCGGTCGCCATCTCGAGAATAACGCAGCCGAGGGACCAGACGTCGACGGCGCCGTGGCGGCCGGTGCTGCCGCCGCGGATGACTTCCGGGGACATGTACATTGGGGTACCGGTCATGGAGCGCTGGCGGCCTTGACGCGTGGCGGTGTTGTCGGCGGCAAGGGTTCTACCTTGGCGGGCGATGAGTTTCGCAGCGCCGAAATCGACGTATTTGATGACACCATTGTGGTCGAGAAGGATGTCTTAATCAATATGTCAGTAAAGTACTTTAGAAACAGGGAGGTGTGAACTTACTTTCGGGCTTGATGTCACGGTGCACAACACCAGCGTCGTGGAGATACGCAAGACCCTCCAACATCTGCAGCGCATAGACCATGATGACCGTCTCGTCTTCAATTCGCCCGTGCTCGAGCAGCCCCGCCAAAGATCCACCGGAACAATACTCCATGAAAATATAGACCTTGTCGCGATGCGGCTCTATACCGTAGTAGGACACGATATTCGGATGATCCAAGACTTGTAGGACGCCCATCTCATCCCTGATCTGAGCGACAATAGTAGGAATGAGCTGAGGATCCTGCAGGCGAATCTCCTTGACAGCCATGAGATGGTTGGAGTCTAAATTCATAGCAGCATACACGGAGCCGAATGTACCACCGCCAACGAACTGTCCTTGTTGCCATCGTAGTGTAACGTTAGTCGCGGACGAGGAGAGGTAGGTGAGCGCTCGGTCAGCTTCGTTAGAGTCCTCCAACACCCTACCCAGGGCTTGACGCTCGGCTTCCTTTTCTTTGCGGAATGAGTCGATCTCTTCAAGTCTTTGCATCCACTGCATTTGAGTCAACTCGATCGATTCGTCGTCGTCCTTTGAGTTCTTGGGGTCTAGAAGACTCTTTCCAGCAACGGCATTCAAGCGTTGTCTCTCAGCCTGGGCAGCAATGGTTGACCTTGCGCCCATAATGTCGAAGTGCGAAATGAGGACCGACATGCATCCCGCTACCTTGGATCGCAGCTGCGAGTACTCTTGATCGCTAATAGACAGAATATTCTGGCCGCGAGTCATCATCATGGCGAACTCTAGGGCGACCACAGCCCATCGGAACGTTTTGCGATCTGAAGCAATGCAGTCATCGCAGATGAAGCTGACCCAGTCCAGTGCCAGTCTGGTCAGCTTGATGTTGTTCATGGCTCGACGATTGTAGTCCATGTAAAGCACGGAACGCTGGCCAAACTCAGTTGCGAAGGCGAAGCAAGTCTGAATGAGATCCTGGCAGTCGAGGCCTGCAGTCTGCTTGCGAACAATCTCAACACTATCCATGATGGTGTTGGAAAGCTTGTAAGCGGTCTTCTTGATTTTTTGTAACTCCTGGTTGACACGGGGAAGATTGGCCCTTTGGTCGATCAACGTGTTGAGTTCCATACCAATGGACTGTACGAATGAGATATTGGCATTTGCAAGTCGCTGTTGGGAGCCATCCGCAACCAGACGCAAGCGCCCAGCCTTCAGATCCAGATGAGGTTCATGAATGCCGGCTGACATGTTCTTTCCGGCCCAGTAAAGAGGCTGCTCTGGCTTAAGAATCAAGACATAGGGATTAGACGGATCTTCCGGTCCTTCTTCCGCGTGGTAGCAGGTTGTAAGAAGAGACTGGATATCCTTCGGCCGATCAAACAGAGCTGGCGATGCGATGATGTACACACCGGTATTGTTGCCACCACTTGTCTCAACAAGGAAGTGCCCGGTGATCATCAGCGACTCATAGAAGTCGCTCAACTGGTCTTCGTCTAGGTCAATATGGTTGATGTTGTATTCGGTGCAGTTTTCGAAACGCTGCGTCAAGATCCTGGAGAAACGGAATAGCTTACGCTGCCGGACACGGACGGAATCCAGTATTTGTTTGTAGCGCTTCTCCATTTCAGATCCCGTGAGTTCGTCTGGTCGACGTTGCAGCTCCCTTTCAAAGTGAGCGCTGAGGCGAGTGAGTGACTTGGAAGTAAGCACGCTGAACTGCTCTGCCGTCTCGACATCACCACCTTGTAGCTGTCTACCGAGCTTGTTACAAAAGTCCCACTCCTGCTCCAGGATTTCAGCCTCCTTGAACGTGTTTTTGTTTGCCGCCAGCTTCCAGTTCAGCATCTTGAAGTAGAACTTCAAAGCATCCAAGACGACCACATCGAAGTTCTCCTCAATGCAGGGAGGCAAGTCCCAGCCTGGCTCCGGCCTTGATATGACCAAGTAACTCTCCTTGACTTGCCCTGCCATTGCCAGTAAGATTTGGAATTGGGCGATCATCTGCTCCGCCATCATGACCCCCTGCTGTGATGGATCTTTTATTTTCTTGGCGTAGGACAGGCGAACTCGAATAATCTCCTGTAGCAGACGTGATGGGAAGTTGATAAGCGTGAGCAGCTCTTCAATGTAGGGCGGCAGATGTCTGTCAGCGAAGCCCGCTGCGTTGGCGATCAATGTATTCTTTGCCTTTTGGATGACCTTCTCCAGCGGCTTAAGCAGGTTCGTTTCGCCCTGCAGAGACTTTAGGCCATCTTCTTTGAGAATGCGGTCGATAAACGAAGACTCGTCCGTGAGGTGGTGGTCCTGCGAAGAACGAGGGCGGGGTTTTGTAAAGTCCAGTTCCTCATTGCCGACCCACATCTTCAAGATGGACATCTCGGTGTTGATGAGGGCAATGGTGTTGTGCCAGGCGGTGACAGCGTCGCAAGCGTCCTTGAACGGCAGCGAGGCTGCCCGTGGATATGCCGCCTCAAGCGCCTGTCGTGTGGGGTAGGCGCTCTCGACCTTTTCAATCTTCTTGACAATGTCCTCGACCTGCTGGGCGGCCGTCTGGCCTGCTTCGGCTTCTCCTCCGACCTCGAAGGAGATGATGCTCTCGAGGTGTGCTCTGATCTTGCTGCGTGCATCGTCGACTATGCGGCGCTGTGCCTGTAGCGAGCGGCCGCAGACCTTGGCGCGTATGCCCATCCATATCTCTGCCTTCATTGTGCTGTCGCCCTGCTGCTCGGTGCTGCCAATCAGGCGCTTCTTCTCTTGCTTGACCACATCGCCCGTCAGCACGCTGGCCAGCATGGAGTGCCACTCGAGTCGCTCGCGGTTCTCGGGGATCTTCAGCTCCTCGATGGAGGGCTGCATTTCGTCGTTGCCATAGTACAACAGCGTCTCCTGGTCATATGGGTCGTTGTCGACATAGTCAGCCGTGGATGGCGACTCGTCGTCGGTGCCCGAGTCTGTGCTATAGCCCAGACTGGGGGTGCGCAGGGCAGGGTCGAAGAAGTCGTCCTGTTCATTCTCCTGGCGGATGCGCTGGACGTAGGCCTTTTCCTGGGCGCGGTACTCGGCGTTGGGGTTGTTGCGGCGAGCGCGCGGGACCGAGGGGTTGCGGGTGCGGTGGGCGTTTGAGTTGAGCGAGAACTGCTGTGGGCGTCTAGCGGGTGCATATGCGTTGGAGGGCGTCCTGACGGCGGAGGGGCGCGCTGCCCTCGCGGACGAGGGCGTGGACCCGTTGGTCTGAACCGGCGGGGGGAGATCTGTCATGATTTGAGGCCCTCGCGAGCGTGAAGAGCCCTGGCTGCTCCAGCTGTACGTTGGCTGGCTCAGTAGAGCAACGTCGTCGACAGGCGTCGCAACGACAGGAGGAGCAAAGCTGTATTCGCCTTCTTCTTCGATACCGCTGGTGCCAAGTAGGGCGTCGTGATCGGATCCGCCTGATGAAGCCGAACCCGAGCTATCTATGCGCTGGGGCTCGGGCGCATTCACCACGACTGGCTTAGCCGGGTCGACCATGCCGTGCTCTGGGAGCAGGGCGTTGTTGTGAGGGACGTCGAAACCGATGCTTCGCGGCTGCTCGCCCATGATGATGGACGATGGCGCCGCCTATTTGTCCGGCCGTGGAAAGGATCAGCGTATCGAGCAAGGTCTCGGGGCGCTGTGGCGGTGCAGGCAAGACTGCAAACCTCGACGACGACGCTGCCCACTCGCTAAAGCAAAAGTACAATGGTGAAAAGTAGTTCGGAGAGGGCGCGAATAGCGGCTTGCTTCGCGCTGGCGGGCCCCTTCTTTCTCGCCTCGGCGACCGTTGAGACGTGCCTCTAGACGTTGTGACTTCGCCACAGGTGGCTCTAGGATGCGGGACTAGCAGGCCTTAGCACCGATTGCCTTGGAACCACCGCTTCGCCTCCCACCCCGACTGCAGCACCGCTCCGCGACCTGTTTCGCGCGCATCCCGAAAGCAGGCCTGCTTCTCCGACTTTTCCCTGCGTCCTGCCAGTCTAGACCATGTTCCTGGACAATTGCCTGCAACCTGTCACGTCTGTTATGTCACCCTAGCGGGAGCAAATCTCAAAGCGACACTTGAGCAACACTAGTCGACGCGCAGACGTTATTGCATACAACCAAGTACAAGCCTGAAAACATTTCAATGCGGGGCCCGATGTGATTACGCTGCTGCTTCTAATCAACGTACTTGCTTTTGAACCAGATGTTATTGTTGTTCTGTTTAGGGCACTGGACCAACCGTCCCCTGAAAACAGCAAGTCGCACACCGCAACCGAAAACCATGTGTCTGATCTGCCACCACGCTGCCAAAGCCTAGTACCGCTTCGGCGCATAGATTAAAGGAGACAAAAATAAAATAAGAACTGAATCATGACAATCTGCCAAGGGCTATAGCATTGACGCTCAAGTTCGCCGCATACATGTCTGACATCATGATCGTGCTCCCTGTCGGTAGCCCCTATAATACCTCCTCTAAAATCTCCTCTGGAAATATCTCTGAAGTCCGAAGTAGCCGTCATAACCTGGTCAGCAAAGACGCCAACATTGCCTATGGGCAGTCGCCCGGGAAGCTAGAAGACCATGGGGCTCTAAAAGCTTAGCGTGATAGATCTTTTCCATCCCCGCCCTCAACATCTGCATGTTCCCAATTTCACCATGACTCGTAGATGCAACAAGTTTTGCAAGTGACAGTACATGTAGAACGTGGTGAGAGTGTGTCTGGAAGGCAGTCTAGAAATTACCGTTTTGAGTAGGCTTTTGCATTGCTAGAGGTGTTACTACTGCCAAAGCAGTGGTCGTGGTAATGTTTTGGTGTTCGAGAGAAATCATGTGACTAATATCACGTGTGTAGCTCGGGTCTGAGCCGCGGCACAAGGCAACCGTCGGTGCCTGAAGTGCCCGAATACCCACGAACTAAACTCCACATTTCCCATCATTCAAGGCTAAGGGACACAATAATTCTAGAGAGCCTAAGACTAACCTGCACTAGTCTGAATACACGCAGATGGCCACAGCAGGCTCGCACTCGGTTCCAGCCGATGGCGGGCGAGAGTTCCACATCGCGAAACGCACGGCTTCTGGGGAACCGAATACCGCTCCTGATACCAAAAGATTCAAAGGCTTTGATGATAGGTTAGGAGAACCGGACATTCAACCTCCAATTACTACATGGAGAGTTCCTTTCCCAGAGAAGGTAAGCTAGTCCCTCAAATGTCAGAATACGCGCTTACTGTTTCCAAGCCGGCAGTCATAGAAGAACGAAAAGGCCTGATCGAATTTCGAGTCGTCAATAACGATGGCACCAGAGAGAGTACGATTATCCTCACAGGTCTCAAAAACCTGTTTCAAAAGCAACTTCCGAAAATGCCTAAAGATTACATCGCACGCCTCGTCTACGATCGCACGCATCTATCTCTCGCCATTCTCAAAATGCCCCTAGAGGTCATTGGCGGGATAACATTCCGAGAGTTTCGAAACTTCAATTTCGCTGAAATCGTGTTTTGCGCGGTCTCATCTGACCAACAGGTCAAAGGATACGGTGCACACCTCATGGCCCATTTGAAGGATTATGTCAAAGCTACTTCCCCAGTGAGGCATTTTCTAACCTATGCCGATAATTTTGCCACTGGGTATTTCCAAAAACAAGGTTTTAGCAAAGAGATCACGCTCCCAAAGTCCAACTGGATGGGGTATATCAAGGATTACGAAGGAGGGACAATCATGCATTGTGATATGCTTCCCCGAATAAGTTACCTCGAAGTTGGCCGCATGCTTCTCAAACAAAAAGAAACTGTGCAAGCTAAAATTCGCAGCTTGAGTAAAAGCCACACCATCCATCAGCCGCCTCAACATTGGGCCAACGGCGTCGTCACTCCAATCGACCCTCGCTCTATCCCTGCAATTGAGGCAACCGGCTGGACTCCAGAAATGGATGAATTAGCGCGGGAACCACGCCGCGGACGTCATTTCAACACATGTCGGCTCTTTCTCTATCAAATCCAGGGCCACAAACAAGCATGGCCGTTCCTCAAGCCAGTCGACAGAGACGAAGTCCCCGACTATTACACTGCTATCACATCACCAATGGATCTGTCGGCCATGGAGGAGAGGTTGGAGCAGGGCTTCTATACTACCGCGAAACTCCTTGTCGATGATCTCAAGTTGATTTTCAGTAATTGCCGCAAGTATAATGACGCAACAACGGTATACGTCAAGTGTGCGTCCAAGCTAGAAAAGTACATGTGGAGTCTTGTTCAGGAGATTCCGGAGTGGTTTGACTTACTGGAAGAATGAGGGTAGGGTATGGATTGAGTTAACATCGGGCAATCAAAGGGAGTTTTGCTTTTCAAAAAGTAAATATGGCGCTGACTGCTTTTTGCAGCTATTCAGTCGTACCAACTATCAAACTTGGAGCTATGCATAGCCAGGCGATAATTGTATTGAAGGCGTTGTCAGTGCTACTTAGTTGTTGCTGAATACGGGCGCACTGCAACACCCACATCCCCCTTCTCGAAAGGACGGCGTTAGGTAGCTATGAATCACTCTTATATGAGATGATAGTAACTGGAAGATCACTTGAAGCTATTAGGCACTCAACCCCAGCTATCCTCCTTGCGTAGAATAAGACCCTAGGTGAGTGTTGCGGTATCAAGGCAGTAGTTGCAGGCGCACACTCTCTCGATACTAGAGTTATTCCTTGTCAAGGCAGATATAAAGCAGTTTGAGGGACTTTATAGTTCTCGATTTTCCCCCGTTCTTTCACATACGACCATAGGATCTTGAATTCAGCGCTTCCCGTTCGCTCAGCGGTACTTAAGCAGGATACCGGCGGATTAGTAGTTAGGTGGGTGACCACTAGCGAATCCCCGCTGTTGTATGTTTTTTTCTTTTTGGTCCTATGTTGTTACCTATGCAGGACCGTTGCCCGCCCTTGCTCCTGGATTCTTGTAATGCGGCGTCACTTCTTTTTGCCTCTTACTCTCGTAGCCCCACTTTACCTTACTAGCGCTTCTAGGAACACCAAAATCCCTACTTTCAAGGGACTCAAAGATTGGCAACAATAGCTCAGCAGGCACATTCGATGGACCGGAATGTACGGGCACTGCTGGCTATTGCCAACGCCGAGATTGGCATGACTGATTAGGCATTTGACCTGGCCCAATTTGTTCCAAAACCGGGCAACAGTAATAACCCCAGTTGCTTTGCCTATAGAAAAAGACTGGAGGAAGATCGATTAGAAGCAGTCCCTCACTCGTGATGAAGAGGCCTCCGAGATCAAAAGATGGATAAGCTCAGATGCCCTTGAAGGGCGCCCGGAACTCCGGCGTTTCTCAGCGCGGAATAGTAAAAAGAAGACTTCCGGGCTACTTTTCGTCCCCTTGTTAAATAGTTATTAATAGGCCGCCGATTTGGATTACGGGATTGTAGAACCGGCGCGCCGGCAAGCGGCTGCTCCGGAACGGTAGAAGGCATCAGTGATCTTGAATAGTCGCTGGAGGTGCTCTGCTTCTACGTGATTACATTAAACACGATAACGCTAGATCCAGCCCGTAGATCCTGAGAGTCTTCGTAGTATGATCACACGTCTAATAGCGTCTACAAATATTTCAATGCATCAGCTGACAGACTGATTTCTTGCCTAGGAGTGAGTGACCTATGCAACATGCTAAATTTAACGCTCAAAGAACTTCTAGCGCTTTTAGTCTGAAGGAGGAGCGTGACGAGTCGATGGAATGGCGATATGCCTTCCTTGGCACTGATCGGGAATAGCGGGTGGACTACTCTTCCAGAGGTATGATCATCGCTGTACATATATACCCCCGACGGGCTAACGCTAGGATTAGCCTTTTCGTCCAAGTTCTTCGTAACTCATGCAGACAACAGGGCAGAAACAATACAGGAGATCGTAATGGCGGGTCTCGATGCCAGTCTATCGAAAACAAAGAAAACAACGATGGCAGGATAAGTGCTGAGCTATTGTTCGTTTTGCTAACTTTGTGAAGTGGTTTATCTTACTTATGAGTGAAAACTGAGTTCGTCAAGTCTCTACATTTCTGCGCTGGAGGAAACATCCTGTATACTCCCTTCCATGTTGTTTGTCGTCTGTAGAATTCCTATTAGTGGACTGATTGCGACCTGCCTATCTCGTGAACAGGGGATGCCGGCATGAATTGCCCCGGCTGGAAATAGAATACTTGGCGCCCAGGGTTTCTTCATTAGGAAGTTGAGAGCCATAGGACCCAACCATCATTCAGAGCCATCCTAGTCATCAATATATCGTGGAAACAGTTGTCCAAAACTCGGGTTAAAGCAAAATCTCTTAATCTAATTGTATCGATAACGCAACTTAGCACTCGTGTATATATTGCTGGGAATGGGCGTTTTCGTTGCTTTCTTTGGATAGTATCAAAAACCTTCTCGATCACTACTTTTCAAGATGAGACTTTCAGTCGTTACAGGCCTTGTCGCATTCAGCAGCAGTGTGCTAGCCCACGGTGGTGTCACTTCATACACCATCGATGGCAAGCGCTACCCAGGGTAAACCCCCACCTTTCTTGTACCCCTGCATTATATCCTTCTCTGGTTTCATTTCTACAAATATGGAACATTGGCTAACTATGCCTCTAAGCTATAAATGGTATGACCCAGCCGAAGGCCAGAAAGACCTGATTCAACGCTCTTGGCACGCCTTCCCACACGAAGATCCCACCTCTAGCAACCTGACCTGCAACTATAAGGGCGCCACCGTTCCAGGCGCGTTCCATGCGCCAGTACAGGCCGGAGCCACCATCAGAACCGGCTGGGGAGAAGACAGCTTCGGTTGGGTCCACAACTATGGGCCAATCGTGGCGTACATGGCGTCCTGCGGAGACGACTGCACGTCCATAACCGACATTAGTCAATTGGAGTGGTTCAAGATTGCGGAAGAAGGTCTTCGCGAAGGGTTTGCGATTGGAGATTTGGACGGTTGGTTCCAAAACGATCTTTGGGAGAACAAGAAGGCAGACCATTGGAATATCGTAGTGCCGAAGAACTTGAAGCCTGGACGGTACATGATTAGGCATGAGATCATCATGATTGAGCTGTCGCCGGTGCAGTTCTATCCAAACTGTGCGCAGCTAGAGGTTACGGGCTCGGGCTCTAGTGTGCCTGGAAAGGAATTCTTGGTTAAATTTCCCGGGGCTTATTCTCTCAGTGGTGAGTATTCTCCTTTTGGGATCGCCTTAAGATGAGAGAGTCTATCGGTGAAACGTACGGAAACTGATTCAAGACATAGACCCTGGGATTAAAATATCCGGGAAGGTTAGAACCGACAAGGTTACTAAGGTCAGTTGGCCCTATTTCCTTTCTTACTCCCTCCGTCTTAGATGCGACTTACATTCTCTAACCACATGCACAGACCTACACGGTGCCCGGCCCAAAAGTTTGGACTGGTTAATACAGTTTGACGACTCTGATGCGGATGTGGGCCATGGAGGACAAGCTAGTATTTGTGATGAGCATAATTGAAGGAACAGTGTCTTTTGTAACTGGAAAGAGTCTATGACAATGCCCAACTTAACACCCTAATACCATTGTCATCGCATACACGTGCTAAAATCCTAAGCGTTTCGATACCGTAGCGTGCATACGACCGATCATGAATAAAAGGTTTGGAGCGGAAAGCGTTCTCGCTTGTCACCATTCAACGGCGTACAGGGAAGGGGATCCTCTCGGCACACGATGCAGCGACGGCGACATGCTTTGAAGTTTACCATACCGTTTTAGTTTTGTAATAATTACTTAGCGGTAAGTCAGCACGAGGTATCTTCGATGTAGGGGATAGGAAAGACAAACTTTGTTATATTTCAAGAAGTCTGGGTTTTAGATTATACATGTCTCTGGGATTTCACATTCCCAATCTATTCAGGCTTTCTTACAGCCCAGCGTGTTCTCTCCTCAAACGCCGACCGTTCCTCGCCGCTCAGGCTCTGCAATCCCTGCTCTCTAATCTGTGCAAACATTTCAAGTGCCTGCTCGTAATTTTCGTTGGACGTCCATCCATCACGATATACAAACCCCTGGAGTGAGTCCCAGAAGTCCGCATTCTCATTCCAGCTTTCCCCATCCAGGAGATGTGCTTTTATCTCCTCGTCAGTGAATTCTATCGGACAGGGGATATCAGTGCTGAACTCGTTCCAGTGACTGTAGCTCTTGTGTATTAGCGGTCTATATCAACACTAATCATTGGGATTTGGGCCAATATACCGTGCTATGCGAATGAGACATTGCCTGAAAGGAATGATGTCTTCATCCCACGTGTTGGCAGAAAAGTCTACAGTGTCACGCCTCGTACGGCCTTGAATTATATGTGGAATGTCGTGGAGGATCGGATTCATTTTTTTGGTCTCAGTTTCGTATGTCCACAAGACAATCGACTTCTCAACTTGGATCCGAACGCGCAATTTTTCGTCTTCATCTTCAAGGGCGTTGTAGCTTTCAGGTAGTTTCGTCATTAGCTCTCCGTTGTAATGTACAAGCCGCGAATGTCGTGCCTGAAGGAACAAGGGACCGACCCATGTATCCTGCCAGTCGATAAGACTAGTAACGTGGTCTTCGTAAACGAATATGTTAGGGGCATGAATATCCCAATGCCACAGTGTAGGTCTGCTCTGTTCACCCTTAGGCAATAGGTATTCAGCAACATCCAGAAACTTCCTATAAAGGGCGACGTGGGATTCTGGGGTGCGCTGCGCTTCGGAGGTCGGAAGTAGACTACTTGATGGCTTTTGAGCGGCATGGCTACCTATCCAGGCGATCTCTCGTAGGCCAATCGCTCTAAGATAATCCTGAGGGCTTTTCCCTATTGAGTGACATTAATACAACTGGATTTTTCGGGTTTTCTAGAATATAACTCACACGGGCCACGATCAATACTCATAGACGCCCGTTCTCGATGCCAGAAACCTCGATCAACGACTGGACCTATCACAAATCGGTCCGCCACCAGTTTTCTTAATGATTGTGGTACATCACCAACCAATTCAGCTTTCTCGCACCCCGGGAAAGCGTCCTTCGCGAAATAGAGATTTCCATAACTGTGGTTCTCCGTCAACTATGCTAACGTAAGTATAGTATTTCGGAGAAACAGACCGAGTGAATGATAGAGACAGAAACTTTCTCTCGATGGCGACAATATCGTCCACGATCTTAAGCTTATTATGAAGCTCCATCACATCCCAAACCTCACCGAGCTGAGTCCCCGTAGCCTCCTCCATCAGAATGTACTCTGATTCCACGGGGTTCTCAGCATCTCCGCTCCAGGACAAGACTCTTGGCACGGGTATCTCAAGGACAGTCCGAGCCTGAGGATTCGATTGTATCAGCTTGGACAACTCAAAATCGTGGTGAACGAGTCAACATACAAAATCCATGGTAGCGACTTCAGACGCGGTCGTTTTGAATGGAGGCCCAGCATTAGGGTTCGGTATACGCGCAATCACGATATTGTCGTCATCCATGACAAGCCGAAAAACTTTATTGAATCCGCCTTCAGCCAATTTGCTGATAGACACGCAAATCTGCGCGCCAACACTTTTAGCCGCGATCTTCTGAAGCTCAAACACATTAAAGCGTTTATACCGCTCGCGAAGCTGATATTCCTCATCCCATAGCCAGTGCCCACTGGTGTAGCGGTAGTAATCTTCGAAGTCACGATCTGGACACGCAGACAAGTTCGAAAACGAGATCTAAGAGATGGCGAGAGGAAACGACTAAGGTCTTTCAGAGTGTTGTATCTGGGGGTAAACCCAAGGCGCTGGAAACCATTTACAAGCGAGGGCATTTCAGATCGTGTTCGGGTTGTTCAGGTCAGTTTACGCACATTCGAGCGAGATAGGTCGTGTCATGGATTGGAGTGATCCGTGCACAGATTTGGCGCGCGTTTGGCTCGGAACAACATCGCAACTGCTCGTCGACCCAACCGCAACGTCGCTAAAGATAGCAACGTGTAGGGTAGAGAATGTTTGCTGGTGGTGAAGTTCCTGTAGTCAGTGCACAGACAGCACCAGCTCAGCCACACCTACACTCACTCCAGCACCACCGCTACCTGAGAATCCGCCGCCACCACCGCCGCCTGAGTCCCCTGAAAACCGTGCAAACTGGGATGGTGTGGAGCTCCTTTCTACTCTCCTGAGTGTGGGCTCTCGGATTAGACATGTTGTATTGCTTAGTTTGGTTCAATTTGCTAGTAGCTTTGCAAGGATTTGTTTTAAAACAATAGTTGTAACACTGAGCAATTTTGTGGAGTAAACAGATAGCAAACCATTGATTCATGAGCGACGTGAAAATTCTACTGTTTTGGTGGTGTCCCTTGTGGCGTTTTCTTCGGTTCAGCCTGATTAGCAGCGACGTTATCCTCGTTATTCGATGGAAGTGGAGAATCAGGATATATATCAGGTGATTGAGGCGGTTCCATGAACGTGTACCACTCTTCTAAGTCTTTAATCTCACTGTCAGTATCGCCGCCTTTGCGTCTGCGGACTATATATGACAGATAGATGCTTCTGTTGGGCGAGGAAGGACATGGTCGGCAGCCCATTGCTACTGCGCTCGAACATGGCGGACAGTGGTAGCAGTGCTGGCAGTGTTGTCCCTGCGTCCTTTACTTCTGCACAGTCGCATGGCCCGCAGCTGTGGTATTCGTGCAGAGATTGAATATGATCGTGTTCGGGATCCTGATGCACCGGTTGGTCAAGCTTTCATATCGGGATCATACTCGCTTACCTCATGAGAGATATACTCGACCCCTGGTTGGAGTTTGAAAGCCATATAGGATGGAGTGTGCGCCGACGATAGAATCAGGTTTTCGGACTCTATTTGTATAAAAAGCTCAGTGTTCCGGGCGTCCCTTTGCAGAATACTATATAGGAGCCAGTACTAGGTAGTGTGATGATAATGTTGGTGGTGTGTGCTTGGCGCTAACTGAAACGTATTCGGGATACTTTCGTGGGCGGTGCATTTGCGGCGTATTTACTGGTAGCGTCATCATGACATCATCTCCACTTGTAACATAGATAGTAACACCTAGTCAGATATCGCAAGTTGCTTCAACGATAATCTATATCTGCCCTAGCAATAGTGTTGTTATGACCCCGCTACCCAGCGTATCGGTGAAGGCGAACGAACATCGACGCCTCGGGGACTGAAGTCCTCCGGTCCGTGGCACGGCCTAGAAGTATTTGCCAGAAGTCATGCCAAGCAAGCCCCAGAGCGCAACCACACTCTGGTATGTTGCACGCATCCTAGCAGATCCCGGAGCACCGTCCTTTGCGCAGACTACGCCATCAATCACTGCCATCCATCCAATGCAGGCGAGTAAGGTGTCCATAGCCTCCAGATGTCCGCCCAAGTAAATGCCCCAGATGGCCATGCCGATGGTAGTGACGCGTGAACCTTCAATCTTAATAAGGGGCCATGCAGCCTTGGATGATGCAATGTTTGGGGAAAGGCCATATGTGAGGATCGCCTGCTCGGGACCATGAGTGAAGGACATGAAACCGCCGATTGTCCAAATGCTGGCGAGCAGAAGAGGCGGGATGTGGCGGAGTGCGAAATTCTCAAGCATTATTCCAGTGGATAGTCACTCGAAGTCGATTGTTGATTGTGGAGATGACAAGGCGCACGATGGGGGCTGAAGATGAATCCCTTTACTCCAGGCTTGAAGCGACCGGCCCGTAGTAGTTTGATTGATTGTTTGGAAGCCAAAGGAGGTACGAGAGGAATGGAGGAGAGGTGTTCAAGTTATGAGACCGTTGTGGCGCAATTAGGTACATAACAAGGCGGCCGCCAAGCAGAAGGCGGGGTGCTCCTAGTAATTAGAGTTTCCCGTTGGAAATCTACACTAAAACTATCGACTACCACTGAAGATAATTGACATAAATGAGCGTGATAGGGCCTACTGCGGCAAAGTATTACAGGGCCCTTAGCTGAACAAGTTAATTAATTCTAATTCTTCTAAGCTAGAAAGTACAGCGCCTTAGTAAAGCCCTAGTCTTTTATTTCCTTACCTAATATTAATGCTATTTAGCTATAAAATAGCTAGCAACTTCCCCTAAGAAATCTACCTTTATTTAAGCACTTTTCTATAATAAGTTAGAAATATAAGCCTTAGCTTTAATTTAGCTAGCAAGTTTATTTTTAATAGTAGTAAATTTATATAAGGCTTTAGCGCAAGTAAATAAGTAAGTATTATTTTTAAGCTTATATTAGTTAGCAAGATTAGCTTTACTGCTTTTATATACTATATAAAGCTTATAAACCTAGCCTTATAAAAATTAGCTATAGTATTTTTATATAAAAGGGTTTTACTTATAATTTTAAGTACTAAATTTATATATAAAGAAAAGAAGCTGCTTATATTAGCTTTGCAAAATAAAAATATAATTAGTTAGTAAAAATAATAGCTAGTAAAAAATAAAATAGTAAAATAATTACTTAAGCAGGCGCTTTATATAAAGTTAGATTTAGCTAAGTAGCTATACTAACTAAACAGCTTACTATAAATTAGCAATAAGGCTAGATCTTGCACGTGATTACTATTGACCTTGGGCTGAAGGATAGCTTCGGGCAAAAGACTTACAACCTAGCGTCCTTCAGGCGATAGAAACAGTGAACCAACCAATGGACTACCCTTATATACGTCTTCTCTTTACACATCTTTGATAGGTGGCATACCCCCTCCGGGAGTGATTCTATGCTCTGCTCAACTTTACGCCCTGATTCGCAACCTCCCACTCCCGCGTTACTATAATATCTCCAGGAAACCCATTCGATTTATCCGCGCCAGAGTGCTCATTGGTCCTTGTGATATTCCTTGGCTGGACGGGCAAGCCACCCCTCTCTGAATTTGTTTCCTTATCCGCTATAGTTATCTCGCTCTCGTTATCCTTCCCGTCCTTGCTACCGCATCCCCTACCTCCGGTGCCCATCATTTGTTGATCCATCGTAATATCCTCATCACTTCCCCACTTTGTATTTGTCGGGAGGCTAAGTGGATGATGAAACTTTTTCTTCTTCTTGACGTCTTTCGAGGTTGAGTTCGCATGCGATCCAGACTTGCTGTCCTTATTCTGTGAGTCGAGTTGGTAGGAGTCACTCTTTCCGGATCTGAAGTGCGAAGTCGCTGTACCAGTCATGTCCTGGAACCAGCGTTTGAAGAGCGGGACGACCACGGGGGCATTGGAGACGAGGACGGCGAGGAAAGATTCGCGGACGGACCATGGGCCGGATTGAGATATCTCGTATTCGCCAGTCTAGGACAAAGTTAGTCTTGCATGGTCTGCAGAGTGCTTAAGAAGACAGTGCTTTAACTTACTGTTACTAGGGTGATGCAGCGTATGATACCAAATACGATGACAATCCAACTAAGACTGAATAGAATGAGAAGCTGTAGCTTTCTCTTCTTGTCGAGCCGTGCTTTCCAGATAATCTACGGGCTACAGTTCAGTCCGGTTCATATCCTGTTATGGGGCCGAAAAAGACTTACCGGAATAGGGATAGCCATGAGATACAGATCTGTAACAGTGTTCAGAGCCATAATGAAACAAACTTGGAGGAAGGAGTACGCCGGCTGGCAAACATCTAGATAGGTGATATGTGAGCAAGTTCATAGGTGAGTGACTTGATTGATGGCACTGGGACATGCTTACTTCCTGGGTTTGGATTGATCTGCCAGTTTTTGTGAAATGGTCGACACTGAAAGATGATTACGCCAAAACACGCGATGAATGTCGTTCCAAGCAAGCCCCAAGATAGCTTGATTCTCATGTCCATGTGATTGACTCCGTTCCTAAGCGACATGTTAGCAATCTGCACATACCCCTATGTCTCCTTCCTGGCAAAGATTTTCGGAATACACACGTCAATCTTGAATAGTAGATTGTCCAACAACTTTTCAACAGCCAAAACAAAGTTGTGTATGTGGACCACCCTACAATGTTCATTTTGGCTCCTTTGACCCTGGTGCTCCACTCCTCAGAGTGCGGGTCCAAAGATGCGCGTTGTTGAGGGGTCATATTGTTGTTTCCGAGACCCTTCCACGAAACAATCATATGCGCGGCGGACGTTTCTGCTGCATAGAAGAGCTGCAACCCGTCAACTAATGATCCTCGCTCTCGCGGCAGGGACTTACTAAAGCGCAGAACATGAGTGCATCGTCCAAAGCCAAATGGCGCCATCCACCATGATAAAGCTTCAAGCAAAAACGCAGTATGACAACAAACGCCGCAACGCCAACGTATGACCACGCCTCGTGGAAAAAGTTTACGGGCATAGTGAATGGTCGTAAACAGATAATGCTTGCTAAAATTGTTCAAGGATTGTAGACACCGCCTCAATTGAACGAAAAACACAAGGATGAGACAGAGAGTGCAGGTGTGTTGACCGAACTCGAGAAAACAATGGGAGCGTGACATTTCATATTGCCTTGAGATCAGCACTCAGCTTCCTCTCCGAGGCTATAAGGTCAAGTATAGGGTATTTGCTCGTCAAGTTGTACCCCTGTCGTCGTCAGCCCAATTAAAGAGCATAAACGGCCTGATACCAAAGCTTTGTTTTTCTCCTTTAAAGACCAGGGGTAACAGCTTTGCTCGCGTACACCTTGTGCAGTACCAACCCCAGCTCGAAATTACATTGTAACAAAACTGGGCGTACTGTCTCATACAACAAGGAGTGGGAGATGAAGCAAGCCCGAGATTGCTGATTGGACGGATGACGCGTCCGCCTTCTTTTAGTCCTGGATTGATCTGCGAAGGATCGAGTATAGCTGTTTAATGATCAACAGCTGCTATGTTGTGAGTTGGGGATAGTGCTGTAACCCGTTGTCCCGGTGGGGGACCGCAAGTGTGGGGGCTTTTGAAGTTCCGCGAGGTATCTTGAAGGCAGCCTAAAGTTCGCTCTAGCAGGCATATATAAGTAGATAGTCGCCTCCCTGATACTGTTTGTATTCTGTAGTGATTCTATCAATGTACATGTAAACCTAACTGCTATCTCGAGTACATCCTGCTAACATAGACCCTTTTTCACACGTGGACTATGATCCCAAGACGCGGCACAAGCGATGAGCATGTGCCATAGACATTAGACAGTCTCTATGCAGGTAGGATTCTCTTCCTGGCTTTTTCTGAGTCGCACCAAGCCTATTTGAACGCACGGCCTGCATAGCTTGTACGTATGTGAAGCACTGTACCGTTGATCTATGCATATGCGAGAAGTCCTTTAGTCAACCGCCATCCACGATCGGCGTACCCAACTACCTTGGCTCGGTGATCCGGAGAAACTCCCTTGTCTACTGGGTAATACCCAACGGGAACGAAACGGCTCTCCCGAAGAGCTGTTAAACTAATACCGACAAGAACAAGTCCTTGCACCCATAGGTACCATGACGCACCTGGTTTCTTCGACCTCAAGGCTAATATTTAGTCAAGATATACTTATCAAAGTTCAATTATTACATGGTTCCTCATATTGAAGGCGCTTTTTTGAAATAAAAGCTTTTCGTGTGGTAGTGACACCCTTGCGAATCATGCACCCTACTTACCCGGATCCCACACTACAAAAAGCAAAGCGACAACACGAAAGCGCTGCCAACCATTAAGCCGTCTTAAAGTGGGCCGTAGGATTCCATGCAGTGAAGGAACCATACCCTGGGGTCGTAGGAATACTCCGCATTGAAGGAATTTAATCCCGGTCGCCATCCCCCTGATCATATTTCGCCTCATTCTAGACACGCTCCTGCGTTTCTCTTTTCGCATTCCCAAGCGAACCTCGCAGTTATTATTAATCTTCGTCAATTCACTCAACCTCTGAGCGCAAAGATGCCGTCCTTCGAAGTCCAGCGTTGCACCGAAGCAGATATCCCTCGCTTTTTCGAAATCGTCTCTCTGGCCTTCGCCAACGATCACGAATATGTGGACGCTGTGTTTCCCGCGCACACTACCCCAGCCGGGCGCAAGATAGGAAGCGAGCGCATGCTCCAACTATTTCATGGCGACCCCAACGGCAACTTCCTCAAAGTCGTCGACAATGACACCGGCAAGATAGTTGCAGCGGCGAAGTGGAACTTGTACAAGGGCGGCGAGATTCCCCCGCAGCCACAGCTAGAGGGTGATTATTGGGAGAACGAAGAGGACAAGGAGTTTGCGCAGTGTATTTTCCACGCGTTTTTCGCCCCCAGGCAGCGCGTTATCGAAGAGACAGGCGGTCGCTTGGCTGGTATGCTGGAACACCAACTCTTGTCTTTACCTTTGCTGGGCTAATACAATCCTGTGCACAGCACTCGACATGCTCATGGTTGACCCGGCTTATCAAAACAAAGGTGCTGGTAGATTGTTGGTGAAGTGGGGCCTTGCCGCGGCTAATGAGATGGGTGTGGACGTAAGTTCCAAGTACAATTACAGCGAGTGTCCTCAGCTAACTGATTAAGGCTGTCGTTGAAGGTTCAGACCGGGGTCGAAAGCTGTACGCATCAGAGGGTTTTGACGGCCCATATTACGTGTGCCCTGTGCCCGAGAAGTTTGCCTCACGACGCAAACAGACGTACTGGTGGATGAGGCGCCCAGCGCAGACCAAGGCATGAGAACTGTACTGGATAATAGGATTGGGGATCACGCGCAGGACTTTCCAGAACCTCACTGTATCCCGTCTCTTGCACGAGTAGATCGACTATATTTTTGTGTATATACTATCCACAGAGTGATACAACGACTCGGAATCGAATGGAAGCGGGGGTGATGTTTCGAATGCGTTTTAATTCGGTTATTATTATGAGGTCTAGTCGATTGCTTAGCCCATAGGTACCAAGGCCAACGTATACCTCCATAGGCTGCCCTATAAAACCTCGTGAATATGTTTCTATGACACAGGTAGGTTGTATTACAAAGAGTAGAGAAATTTGATAGGGGAAATTCACCCTGTCACCACGTATTAAGACATGTCTAAAAGCCCCGAGGACCGAGGAAAAGAACTTTTGGGTATCATGAACGTAAAGGTTATTCTTACTCCATCAATGCCATGTTCATCGCCTGCCACGTTTCGTCCTTGCTCTCTACACCTTAATAGGATATCTCTCACGAATATGCTTGCCGTATCCTAGAGGTGTGAGGTTAGTATGTGGCTTAGACGTAATTCGATCATGAAAACTTACTGAATAGCAAAGCTGGAACTGGGATGAAAGCGATAGCTACAAAGCCCAGCATGCTGTTTCCCCACCCAAGACCCATAGTCGCGTACATACTGGGACCTGCAAGCGGCAGCATGGCGCCGAACAAGCAACGCATTGCTGTCATGCCTGCCATGGCGGAGGCGGCGTATTGAGGGAAGCAGTCAATCATGTAGGTCTGTAGAGGAGCAAAAATGCCCATGACACCGAAGCCGAAAGGCACGAGCGAGATGATGGGAACGATCCAATGTACTTTGTAGTATGCGGTCTGTCGATACGAAGTCAGTGCGAATCCCAAAAGTGTTTGGTAGAAGATCACTCACCCAACCGTACCAGAAGAAAGACACAGGGATCAACAAGCCGAAGAAGACGCAAAGCGGTAACCGCATCTCTGGCTCATAAACACCCTTGTTTTTCTTCGCTAGGCGAATAATTGTCGCATCAGACGTCTTTGCGACGAAGGCGATACCCATAAAGTTACCGATGCCAATACCGAGGTATGCAAGACCGGTGATTTCTGGCGACCAACCATATGTCCTGATGAACACGGGCGTGATTGTTGTGAAAAGCAAGTATAACAGTCCGAAGAGGAATGACATGTATAGCGAGCAAAATAGAACGATGGGCGACTTTGTGAGCATCTTGACTGGACGAATGATTCCCTGCTTGAGGATGCTGGCACCACTAGTACTAGATGCATCCTTGTCGTACGTCATGATGTTTTGGAGTTCGGGGCGGTTGAGCTCTTTGCGGAGTCGTTCGGTCTTTCGCTTGAGCAGGACAGGTTGATACGTCTCTTTGTTGAACACGATCAATCCGCCAGTGAGGAGACAGCCCACGATGAATACGACCCAGAAGTCCCAGCGCCAGCCCTATGTGTTGAAGAACAAAGTCAGCAGATGTCTCACATGTTTTTGTAGACCGATGTTACTTACTGCCCTCTGTGCAATAAAGCCTCCGCAGATTGGTCCCAGAATAGGGCCGAACAGGATGCCGACGCTGTACAGAGCAACGGCTTTCCCACGCTGAGCAGGCACAAACATATCGGCAATGACAGCAGTTCCAATGGTGAGACAAGCTGAGCCACCTACACCGGCTAGAAACCGCAAAGCGATTAGGCCTCCTAGGTTTGGAGCAAGCGCGCAGCCAAGTGTGAAGGCGCAGAAGAAAATGTTGGAGCAATTCAAGACGATAACACGACCGTATATCTCGCTGAGGGGGCTCAACACAAGGGGTCCAAACGCGAAGCCCAAGATATAGACACTGACAGCGAAGGAGCCCAAAAGCTGTGACTCATTGTGGAAGGCTTCGTTGACGAAGACTACGGCCGGCGCGAAGATGGATGAGGCCAATGGACTCAGGAAGGTAATTGCGGCGACAAAGCCTAAGAGCGTCCATTTCTTTGAATCGGGAAAGTTGCGGGGATTCACTGGGTCATCTTGAGAGTCCCATCCAACTAGATTGTTGTCGAGATCTGATAACGGGTACTTTTCTGGCGGCAGTTGGTCCTTTTTGGTGCTCTTTCTCGACAAGTGCTTTTCGAGTTCAGCACCGATGTCATCTTGTGGTTCCTGAGAAAGCGTCAGCTTCTGCTCCAGGTAACTACTATAGACATGTTGTTGCTAGGAGTGCGGGTTGGAAGCTGCAAATTCCTCAAAGACCCCTAAAAATGTGACTTTGAGAAGACAAGGACGTATCACCTAAAGTAGATTCGGAGATTTCAAAACACACCTTTTCTGCGATAGTTGCCTCGTCTTCCTTTTCTGTTCTTGCCTCACCCTTTTCCAAGTCTGGATTATGTGTCTCTGAACTGGTGCTCGAACGGACATCCCTATCATGTGCGCTGTTCATCCTTGGAAACCGATTGTGGCTTCGGCGACAGATTTGTCGTCCGACTCTTGTGAAGACTTAAATCTTTTCAGTCGCGCGCCTGTTCTTCAAGGCTATGTTGTGGCGAAATATCGTGTGTCGCAGTCAAGGCGTAGTCGTGGTCACGGTGGTGAACTCAAGCCTTCAGAGCTGAAAGATGTCGAGACGCCAAACGGGATATAAGAGGAGTATGTATAAGACTCGAAATTTGCACGAAGAGCTGAGGATTGAATGACCTCGTCGCGCGTCAAAAAGAGGAGGCCTGGCCCTTATCTCCGTGGTCTTTCCGCAGTCACTAGACCACTCTTGGGGGGGTGGCCGCTCGGTGGTCGGCGTTGATGAAAGCGCGAGGCGGCGGGCGGGGTCGCTTGATGTCCTCGGTTTGTGATCCACATCTCGAGAAAGGAGAAACGAGGAATGCGATCGGACAACATTGGTCGGTTTGCGCGACACTTTTCGCGCGTGCCTGTCTCAAGATACGGTGTAGGATGACGGTTGCGGCGGCGCAATCGGGTGGTTCCATCGGTACCAAAGTTGCTCCGTTGCTTGTTGTGAGGGCTCTCGGCCTCGTAGCCCTACCGACAGGCCCCACCCGCCATTGTCGTACTGCCGTACAAAACATGTACGATGGAAGACACTATAGTGACTATACTTGGATCTGACTAAACAGATTGAAGCATCTGATTGCCGACTGACCGGTCTGTGACTCAGGCCCGTATTCATCAAAAAGCTGCCATAATCCATTGCGCATCCTCGCCGTCAAAGCCGACTACGGTCGTGTGTGTTCCTTGCAGCAGCCCGAGCTCTTACAAGACGATGGGGGCTAGACAGGGATGGCCAAAAATGCACTGATACTGACAGGACTTGGTCGTATAAGTAGAGGTAGAGTAGGTAGGAGGTCCAGCTTGTGGAAAGAGAAGACGAGTAGTGGGCCCGACGTTGGTTTTGACTTGCGAGGGAAGCTGCCGCCGCTGGTTATGTTCCACGCTGGTGCTGACGACGGCCTTAGACCGGCAGCAACCAGCCGTCCTGGACATGTAAGTAGTCCTAGTCGATCATCACACTCTGAATGTTGATGTGATTCTGAGCAAGGGGAGTTGGAAGATCAAAAGAGTAGATACTCATAGCTTTTCATGGTATTCATTCGTCATAGACTGTCGTACCGGCACGGCTCTCCACTCGGGACAGCCCTCAGGCGCGTTCCAACACGAGACAATATCATTTGATTACTTGCACCGCAATAACTCTTAGCAAGTAGATGCTTGCATAAATGACGCGAAAGCATTCTTCTAAAAATGGCACCAAATAACCTCCAGCGCCGAAATAACGAGTAAATTTCCTCCCAGTACACATTATGGTATGAGCCCCCCTTTTTTGATACTACATTGAACGCCAGCTGGCGCTTGTTATTAGCGCACCATGAACAGTCTACCCACTTAGAAGGTCTTTCACGCTCATGCCGCGTGCACCGCTCCAGCTTCTGCGGTCTGTGTTCAACATCAGGAGAGCTTCGGTAGCCTCCTGGTCTTCACGATCTGCCTGTGGTCCAAGAGCTGGCGAAGTCAAAGTGAAAGGCGTTGCTCCGTGCGACGATCCAGGGGCAGCAACGGGTCCAGCACTAGGAGGCCCTGTGTGGAATGGGTTGCTGAAATGGGATGCAGATGGTGTCAGAGCACTGAACGCAGGTGAAGGCTGAATCGATGGTGAGGTCACGGTGGAGCGAACGGAAGACGAGGCGAGAGAGTAGCGATGTGGGTCCGAGGGTTGGAGCGCGGGGGAGGGGTTCGCCGAGTAGTGACCATGATCGCGGGGCATGATGGCTGGCGATGTAGTGGTGGAGTGGATAAAAACGCTTCGATCGGAAGGGTACATGGCAGGCGACGCGTTCATGAACTGGTACCCGGAGCTGGGAGCAGTATGCTCCACCTGGGTAGGCGACACTGCGTCCTCCATCTCTTCGTCCTCTTCCTCGTCTTCTACATCTTCATCCTCGTCTTCGCGAACATGCCTGAATGGGGGAGGTTCGGAAGTAGCAGACGAAGGTGAGTCACGTCGTGACTGGTGGGCATTCTTAAGGTTGCCAATGCACTGTTCCAGGTATCTCATGTACTCGATAGATGCCTTCAGTGTGTTAGAACATGCCATACAACGATAAACTGGTGCACAAGCGTACCTGTAAAATAGCGAGCTTATGCATCTCTTGCCCTCTGCAAGCTGGTATCATATCCTTGAGTACACCAAACTCTTCATTCATCTTCGATCTCCTCCTTCGCTCAATCAAACTGTGCGCAGTTTTCCGCGCAATCTTGCGACCCGCGGCAGTAGTGTTGCCTGCCTGCTTCTTCTTGGTACCGTTGGTGGTGCTTGATGCTGTGGCCTTTGCATTCTCGGGCTGAGATTGCGCTCTCGGCATTTCTTGCGTATCCTTCGGCTTCATTTGTATAATCTTGCGCGATCGCGTGGGCGGAGGAGGAAGGGAGTAGTCATCCTTGGTTATGATACTTTGTTGGGCAGTAGTATTCGACCGCTTGCGCGCATGACCAGGCTTCAATGTTGCGACTGGCGATGAGGGTGATGGTGGCCGATAAGAGGAATCCGAGGCACTCTCAGACGGTTCGGATGAGCTAGCTACACTCCCTCTGCCACCTAGAGCCGCAGGAGGTAGAGTGAAGCCGCCCTCCAATTGAGGGGCATTTGCGCTGCACTTGCCAGTGATATCAGTTGAAGGTTGTGGAGTGGGCGGGAAGCTAGGACGAGGCATTGTTTTGACAAGAGTAGTGCTCATGGCACAATTTAGCCTTTGACCAGTTCCCGTTGAAGAGGGATACGGGAGAGGAGGGGTTAAAGAGACTGTCAAGATGATGGAGGGACTGCATTATCACTGTCGGGGGTGTCGCGTGGGCTATTTGGTGTCGCAGAAATGGGTGCTTGAGCACGCGGTGATTCCTCATCCGTGATTGGTTCAGCGAGCACCAAAGTAGATCGGTCCGTCCATGGCGCTTCGAATGAGAGCGTCACAGACGGGAGCGTGGGCGCCCCAAACTTGGGGGGCTCCAGGGTTGTGGGCGTGCAGCTAGAGAACGGGTGGGTTGATATATGAGTGCCGATGGGACGATGGCGAACGCTGGTGAGGTCGCATGAGAGCACGTGCTGTGCGAACTTCTTCAAAATCGAATATGAAGTCTGTAATGGAATCAGCTGGACCCGCCGGCAGATGAAATTTGCCGCGAGACTGTATTTACCTTATCGCGATTCGCGCCGAATAGTCGAGAGGGATTGTGTGGTGGACGATGGTGTGGGTGATGTCGGTGCTATTGTAAGACCTAGCGTGGCGTTGCGAACGAAAACTGTACTAGCAAACGCCTTGTCTATAGCAGTACATTGTATCTTGTGAACGCCCAGACTTTCACATGCTGCGTAGTATGGAGGATATGATACGAACCATGAAATGGCCGTGAGTGGACATCACAGCAAACGACAAGGTTGCTAAAAGGGCAGTCTTCATAGTTTTTCCCAAACGCCGCCAAATGCCACAACTGATATCGTACCATGCGTCTAACACCACAGCCTCACCGTCCCATCTGCGCCAGCGCTCACACACCACGGCTCCCTCGCATGCCAATCCAAGTCCATAGCTCCCAACCGGCTCTTCACCTTGTGGCCCCTCAACACCTTAAGCGGCACAATTGTCGCATTCTCCATCAAGTCGCCCACAACCTTGCCATGGAAAATCTGCAAACTGCCATCGTCACTTGCATCCGCAAACAACGGTAGCCCGCCTTGGTGGAACTTGACGGCGCGAATGGCTTCTTTGTGGAAACGGAGAGTTTTGTAAGGTTTGTTGGAGAGGTCGAGATCGTGCCACAGCAGACTAAAGGTGACGATACAGTTAGCATTTGTTTGACGGTTTTCATGTAATTTTTGTTTTTCAGAGAGTGGACTTACCGCTTGTCGTAGGTTCCAACGATGATGTTGTCGCCGCCGGGGTGTACGTCAATGGATGATATCCATTTCGCACCGGGTTGAAGAATCTTGACGAGTTCTTGCTTCGCGAGATCGTAGCTTCGGATGGTGTTCCTGGTAGCAACGAAGAAGATGGCCTTTGAGGGGTGGAATTGGGCGGTTTGAGCGATACCTTTCAGGCGGCGGAAGGGGAGCTGGGTCAGATGTTTAGATACTGTGTGAATGGCTACGGCCGTACTTTGGCCTCGGGGGGAGACGCTTGCGAAGTAGTCGCCTCGACGGTGCCAGTTGATAACTTTGACTGCGGACCGGACTTCAATGAGAACAAGGACGCCTTTATTCTCGAGACGGGTTCCCGGGCGGCTCCATTTGCCTGGTGGTAGCTTGGGCGCTTCGCTGTTGGCTGATGTGGGGGGCTTTGATGCTGCATAACCCCAACCGGCGTCGAGGACCTCGCGACTAGCTTGCTCTACGTCGGGAGACAAGAGCGTGAAGGGGACAATCAAGTAGATGCTTTCGCCGGTAGCAGCCGCGAGTATCGATGCGTCCTTTGTGGGTCTCCATTGAACTGTGTCGACAGCTTCCTCGTCCGATAGCCTCGCGTTCCAGACTTGTCGCCCTGTGAGCAACTCCCATATCCGTACAAAGCCATCGTCGCCGCCACTAGCAACGAAGATACCTTGTGGGTCTACTGAGACGCAGCGAACACGTCCTTCTTGTCCACGGTAGATGGCTGCGCAAGTGGTTGGGAATGGCTTTAACTCTTCTGGATCGGGTAACTTGGGAAGGAGTGATTCGGGATCGATGTTGAGTCGGTTTCTTCGCACACGCGGAGCTAGGTATAGATCTAAGCTCCGCTCAAATCGCTCCTTCACGAATGTTTCGTAACCAGGAACCTTGCGTAAAGCGTCGAAGTTCTTGGGCAAGAATTCCTTCTCTCTATCTTCCGCATCTTGCTCCAGCCAAGCTTGTTCTTCTGCCTTGTCTGGTAGGTACTCCGGCGGTGGATGGTAACTGGCTTCATAGCCTGGTGGAGGTAGCTTTGGAGCAGGAATGTGCATCGAGTGCTCTGGTCGCGGTTTCTCATCCGCCCATACATCGAAGTAGACCTGCTCTTCCTCCTCCTCTTCGGTCGGCGCCTTGTATGGCTTAATGCGACCTTCTCTGATTGCCTTTACAATCTTCATGACCCGCTTTGCTTCGTGTTTGGAGGGCACGAATCGTCGCTTCGGCTCTGGCGCAGCGCTCAGTGGCATGATCTCCTGCCTTCCTGAGAAGTAGGCTACCATTTCTGGGTAAGGGTCATATCCGTCTTCCACCACCTCATTCCTTGTAAGCCGCTTGAGCACATCCAACTCTTCCTCTGAGAGATTCAAGGGCTTTCCTGTCTGTGGATCCGTCAGGCCAGTCCAGCCCTTGGGAATGTCGATGCTATCCAGCAGAGCATCCAGCGCCTCTCCCTTGGCAGGGCGCATGATCTTCTTGCCATTGATGTCGTAGCCAATGTGAGGGTACTCGTCGTAGTAGGTGAGGGGTATGTTTCCGATTGTGTTGGTCGCTTCAGCGTCCGAATCGTCCGACTCGTAGACCGGGTCAATTTCTTTGTATAGGTAGCGGACGTTGCCACGGGCGTCGGTTGTGACAGTGTAGTTGGGCTTCAAGTCCTCGTCTTGTTCGTCCAGATCACCGTCTGCGCCGTCCGAGGTGTTGAGATTTCGAATCTGCTCGCGAATTCGCTTTTCGTCGCTTTCAAACGTGTCTTCCTCGTCCTCTTCATCTTCGTCCGACAGGCCCTCGATTACACTGCTTGCATCCGTCTCAACATCCTCCTCCTGGCTGTCTTCCGACTCGTCTTCAGAATGCGACAGGATTCCCTCGAGCAGCCCGTCAGCTAATTCCCCCTCCGAGTCACTCGACTCTGGGACCGGCCTTGTCACTACCTTCCTCTTGCGCGTGTTGACAGGCATTTTGGCGGCACAAAGTGACTTTCTGCAGTTCACTGCTCAAGTTCGCATTTTCCCAAACTTTTTTTGGATCGTCCAAGATTTCGGGCGCTCGGGCCAGGCGCTAGTGACGCGAGGCTCCACCACCAAGGCAGGCGCGAGCGTTCCCCAAGTTTAGTGCAAACTCGTCGAATCATTCACCTTCAACTATACACGCGACGACGGCCAAGTGCATCCCGGCAATATCTACTGAGGAATCCTTTAACTACACTGATAGCAGATAGTATTGCACCACGAGCCGACATGGCCACGCGCGCTGATTCATCAAGGTACGACCGTGACCGTGGACGCTACTCTCCCCCCCGCCGTGCCCGCTCGAGGTCGCCTGCACGCCGTGACCGTTCGCGAGACCGCCATTCAGATCGCTACGGCGGTGGACGCCTTCGAGATGACCGCGAGCGAGTCCGTGATAGGGATCGAGACAGCCATCGCCGCGATGACCGCCGAGAGCGAGACTCGCATCGCCGCCGCTCGCGTTCTCCACCTGGCCGCCGCGACCGATCTCGTGAGCGAACCTCGGATCGCTATAGGCGTGACCGTGATCATGATGACCGGGACAGGCGTCACCGCTCCATGTCACACCGGCCAGGCTCGCGAGCTTCTACAACGCCAGCTCCCGACAGTAGGCGTGACCGCCTAGACAGCGCAGCGCGTGATGAAAAGAAGAAGGACCCAGAGACGCAGGCCAAAGAGAAACTAGCTGAGCGAGCCGCTAAGCTGGCAGAGTGGAAGAAGCGCAACGCTGAGCGCCTGGCAAAAGAGAAGGGCGACACGCCTGGCTCTGGAGCCTCACCAATTGGCACTGCACCCTCGACACCTACAGTCGCTGCACCAACACCCCCGCCAGCTAGCGAGATCAAGCAAGACTCCACTATCGCTAAGGCTAAAGTTCTGCAGAAGAGCGCTACTGAGAAGGTCAAACAGAAGCTACCTGAAAAGTCGACCTTTAAGCTTGACGAGTCGGCTGCTGCACGGCCACTGTTGACCAAGCCTGCCGGCAAGCCAGTCACCACCGCTGTTAGCAGTATGTACCCCCCCAACATCTCTTCGAATCCTAAGCTCACCCACATAGATCGTGCTGCCGCACAAGCCAAGGCAAATGGCAACATCGGCTCCTTCGGTCTTAAAGCTAAGTCTGCCACCGAGGCTGAAACCACCAAGAAGACTCTGCTCGACGACGAGGTCGACACTAGCAAGCGCAAATTTCAAGCGCTTCCCGACTTTACGCCGGGTGATGAGCATGAGCCTGCGGTCGATGATGTCGAGGACGATGCTGCCATGAGCGACATTGGCAGCGACGATGACGAGACTAATGCGCAGCTCCAGGCTCAGCTCGAGAAGCGTCGGGCAGAGATCGCAGCCGAGAATATTGCAAACGAAGACACTACCATGGAAGAAGTCCCCGCCGTCGACGAATCTGGCGAGAAGATGGACGTTGACGAAACCGCAGGCGCCGAGGAAGACGATGTCGACCCGCTTGATGCCTTCATGGCCGATCTCTCCGAGGTGCAGCCGAGCCGCAGAGCCCCAACCGGCGAAGCTATGTTCAACGACGATATTGAACCGGAGCAGACCTCTGTCGAGGCTGAGGATCTTCTCGCTCTTCGTGCTGCCAAGAAGAAAAAGAAAGAGGTTCCCGCCGTTGATCACGAGAAAGTTGAGTACGAGCCATTCCGTAAAGACTTCTACACTGAGCCAGCCGAGGTCACCCAGATGACACCAGAGGAAGTCGCTGATCTTCGACACGAACTCGACGGCATCAAGGTGAAACCCGATGATGTGCCTCGACCCGTTACGAAATGGGCTCAGATGGGCTTGCTGCAGGCCACCATGGATGTGTTTACCAGGGTGCGCTACGAGAGGCCGACCTCAATTCAATCACAAGCTATCCCGATTGCTGAATCAGGCCGTGATCTCATTGGAGTCGCCAAGACTGGCTCCGGTAAGACACTCGCATTCGGTATTCCCATGATTCGTCACGTCCTCGACCAGCGCCCTCTCAAGCCTTCAGATGGTCCAATCGGACTAATTCTGGCTCCTACTCGAGAGCTGTCTTTGCAAATCGTGAATGAGCTCAAGCCTTTCCTCAGTGCTTCTGGCATCACGATCAAGTGCGCATATGGTGGACAACCCATCTCCGACCAAATTGCTATGATCAAGCGTGGCGGCATTCACATTCTGTGCGCGACTCCTGGACGTCTGATCGATCTGCTGCAGAGCAACTCGGGTCGTGTCCTCAACTTCAGACGCATCACGTACGTTGTTCTTGACGAGGCTGACCGCATGTTCGACATGGGCTTTGAGCCTCAAGTTATGAAAATCCTTGCAACTGTGCGTCCTGATCGTCAGACCATTCTCTTCTCGGCCACGTTTCCGAAGAACATGGCTGCCTTGGCCCGTAAGGCCCTTAACAAGCCTGCTGAAGTGATCATCGGCGGCCGTAGCAAGGTCGCACCTGAGATTACACAGGTCATTTCGCTTGTACAGCCTTCGTACGAGAAGAAGGTCAACAGGACTCTTCTACATCTTGGCCAGCTCTTTGCTGAAGATGAGAATTCTCAAGTATTGATCTTTACCGAACGTCAAGAGACGGCTGAAGATCTCTTGTCGAAGCTTTATAAAGCCAAATACTTTTCTGTCAACACGATCCACGGAGCTAAAGATCAAACAGATCGTAACGAAGCTATTAACGACTTTAAACAAGGTGTTCTTTCCATTCTCATTGCTACTTCAGTTGCAGCTCGTGGTCTCGATGTGCCCGGCCTAGCCATGGTCTTCAACTTCGACTGCCCGACGCACTTGGAAGATTACGTTCATCGTTGCGGACGCACTGGGCGTGCAGGTAACAAGGGTACTGCCATTACACTTATCGAGAACCCTGGCCAAGAGCGCTTTGCTGTTCACGTCGTCAAGGCACTAAGGGAGAGCGGTACAGATGTTCCAGAGGACTTGCAGTTGATGGCTGACACTTTCCATGAGAAGGCTAAGTCGGGCGCCGAAAAGTACTATGGCGGCTTTGGAGGCAAGGGTCTCGACAAGCTTGACGCTGCACGTGCGCTGGAGAAGAAGCGAGAGAAGCGTGCACTCAAGCTGGAAGGCGAAGAAGAGAGCGAGGAGGAAACTGAACTACCTGCAATCAAGAAACCTGAAGTGTCCGGACCGGGTGTTGCTAAGCCTGCTGAAGGCACTGCAGCCGAACCAGAAGAACAGCCGTCCTGGATGAAGCTCTTGAACAGCAAGATTGTTGTCAGCAAGACCGAGCGTCCAGAGGCTTCTCACTCCGGCAAGCCAATGACTGCTAGGGAGAAGGCTGAAATGGCTGCTCAAAAGGTTGATGGTCGTCTTAGCAAGAAGGGCATGATCCATGCAGGCCAGCCTATCGACAACAAGGGTCCCGATGCTGGTCTCTACCATTCGACTATCGAGATCAACGACTTCCCGCAGAAGGCTCGATGGGCTGTCACCAATCGCACTAATGTCGCAAAGATACTGGAGTCCACTGGTGTCTCCATCACCACCAAGGGTACCTTCTACCCAACGGGCAAAGAGCCGTCAGAGACCGATCTACCGAAGCTATACATTCTTGTCGAAGGCGATACCGAGAATGTAGTCACACAGGCCATGATGGAACTTACTCGCCTCTTGCGCGAGGGAACGATTGCAGCGGAGGATGCATCTGCTGTTCGTGGTCCTACTGGTCGGTACAGCGTAGTCTAGGAAGAGTCACTCCTCGTTTCAGTCAAGGTATGTCCTGCAAGAACAATTGCTACAAGCTGGCGTTCTTCTTCTACTTCGGCAAAATGTACTATAATGGAGGATTGTTCTACACAGGGTGGGATTGGAGTTACTGGTCACCTAAAAGCAGGGGAAATTTGAACCCCCCACGAAAGGGCATATGTATGTCCAAGACGTAAGTACCGCCCTACTGAGTACCCCTTGCTGATGGTTTCGTTGATTTACACAAACCGTCGCAGGTACTCCGAGCCGCCCTTTCGATCGAATTGAGCCTTCGCTCACCAACCTGCTGCAACACCGAGAAGGCATTCAGGACGTCGAGCCAACCACAACAAGATTGATTTACACCTCTTTCGACGACATGCCGCCATTCAGAAAGCGATCACGACTTCAATAGTAATAATTGAATGCTCTGGCTTCGCCCACGGCTGCGAGAATAGTACATGGAGCGCTCTGGAAAGACCACGGTCTTCTCTTAATTGCTTAGTTTCAGAAAAATATCTTCAAAGTCACTATTCGCTCATCCTCTGCCACGAGTGACGTTCTTCTTCCCTATTGATGATGCATTGGCACCTCAAGGCTGAGTGCCATCCATGTTCCCCTTGCTCACACAACTAGTATCACTAGGCCACGTTTCAGCAGCCATTTTTAGCATGCCACATGGCACGCATACCCCTACGTATATTGGATGCATTCTATGCGGCTGACTGCGTGGTTGAGGACCGTGGCTGTTCACACCGATACAGCCACTTCCATATCCAGAGATCCCTTTGCGTATCCACGTGGCTCGGCAATCTAGACCAAGGGCTAAGTTCCGAACCTCGTGGAGATTCTAGTTGTGTCATGAGTCCTTTATCACACTACATGCTTGCCATGTGTCGTTCGAACGCTCATGCTTCAGTACGGGTAAAGCTGAAGTTAGCTCAGCCGCTGAAGATACCCTTGCGCAATCAACCGTTCTACGTCACCGTGCCGCACGTAAAACTGGCTGTTCTTCGTTAGGGTGATGGACCTATCCCTGGTATTAGCTTCCGGTCGCCCGTGACAATACCCCTTCGCTCCAGCCATGCTCGTGAAAGGTAATACGTACCCATACTCCGTCTGTATCTCCCCTGCATCTTTCAACACCCTGACGTCAATGAACAAATCCCTCGGCGGCTCCAAACTCCCCGTGAGATCAATATCCGTCCATTGCCCTTTGTACGCAGCAAGTAGATCGCTGTATTGCCTAACGTACTCTTCCTCTTCCGGGCTTAGACTGCTCTCGTCCTTCTTCGCTCCCTCTCCACCAGCCCCTGCTCTCCCTCCTTGTACATTCTGTGACTCCAAGACATCCACGCCCTCCCAACAATATCCTTCCAACTTGTCACTTCGTACCCTGTGATATGCTAGTAGGCACCGTTTATTCCTCCGCATGCAAAGGTGATTGACGAGCAGAGCGCAAGCTGTCTCGGGTGCGGCGCTGGGGTTGAACGCGCCGCTGTAGGGAGCTAGTATGTTGGATACGTCCTTGTCAAGGTCGCGTACTTCGCGGGTTATGCTGCGCACGAGTTCGCTGGCGTAGGGAGGGAGGTGGGGCAGTGCCTGGGTACGTTTTGCGTTTTGGACCTATAAAGAGGTGCTTAGTGGGGGGCCTATAGTTTCATGTGAAGGGGGAATTGGAAAGCGGGAGAAGTACGAGCTTGTTGGCAGCTTCGCCGTACATGGTTACGATGCCTGTGCCCGAGGTCCCAAATGTGATGATTTGCGCGGGATGGTGGCGCTTAGTCGAAAGTTGCTTTGTGTTTGTCCCTTTCAAATATGGCGTTTAAAAATAGGTGAAGGACAATGGAGGAGTGTTGCTCTGAAAGGGCTTTGTCGATGTTTTTGCCCCTCCTCTCATTCAATGGTAGGCGCGCTCGCGTCGCGTGGGCAGGTGGGGGCAGGAACGGCCGGTCTGTGCGTCTCGAGTCCAACTTCATCTCTCACGACAGCTCTCGTCCGGCAATCCCTTTCACAAACGCGATTCGTTCACGAGCCAATCACGCTGCCCAAATCACCGTCGCAGGTCTCAGTCTCGATCTCTGGCAATATGAGGCATTGGAGTAGTGCTCGAGAAGCGCTGAAGGCTCGTTCTAATCATAACGAAAGGTTTCTCAGTCACACTGCAAGCAAGCAACCTTTCAAGCCCAAATGCAAGAAAAACTGGAATTCTATTGAAAGATGAAATTCTACATAGACTATAACAAATAACGCCGGAGACACGATACAAGCTCGTAAGCCTCTAATCTAAACAACGCCGTGACAATATGTTGGATGCATCTCGGAGCGCGCCTTATCAGAGAGGCCGCCCAAAACTACCATCGTCCATGGGTATCTACAAACCGAATTAACTCCACAATCAAGCTCCAAACAAATGTACATGAGCTGACTTGAAACAGGCTAGTGTTCTTGCATCCACTGGTCGAACTCCGACTCTTCTTCTAGCGACGCCATGTTCGGGTCAGATTGCCAGGACCCAGAATGGTATTCGTCACGTGGGTTTCCAAGCTCCAAGAGGGTGTCGAGACTGTCTGGGTCGATCTTCTCGCCGTCCATGTTTGGATGACCGTTTCGGAAGCCGTGGTGCTGAAGCGCTGCCGGATCAATGTCGCTAGTGCTCCCACCGTCGTACGCCAACAGCATAGGGTCGAGTGGCCCTTCGTCGAAAGGTGTCCCAGTATTAGAGTGCAGTTGTTGCATCAGGTCGCCCGCATTGCCTCCTGGTAGGCCAAGGAGTCCTTGATTCGACTGGAATTGGAAAGAGGAGGCTGGCGTGGTTACTCGTCGCATGCGCATATCGTCTGCGAAGTTTTGGTTCATGCCCATGCTTGGATAGGCAGCGGTTTGGTAGTACTGGTTGTACACGTCGTGGTGTCCCATGGGCATGGGCATCGGTCTTCCCTCGTTCGTTATCTCCCACGAAGACTTGTTCATACCATTTCCGTTTGGTCCGAACGACCGGTCGAAGTACTCGGCACCTATATTGTTCGATGGATAGCTGAGTGATCGATCCACTCTCCTTGCTTGTCGGGAACGAGATCTGCCACTGCCGGGTGCCCATTCTGCATCTTCGAGATCACTTGGTTCCTCATCATCCGACCACTCACCTCTCCTCTTCCGTGCTGGAGCAGCAGCCTTGCTAGGAGAGAACTTGTATGTTGGGTGCGCGTTCTGGTGATTGATCCTCTCGATCTTGGCGTATTCGGTGTACAAGTCTCGTATCTCTGGAGGCTCCAAGGGCCAGCTTTCGCCTGCAACCGACGACACGACCTGGTGGTTGTTCTGCAAACACCAAGACTTGGCCCTTTCGGCATAAGCGGATCGATACAACATGAACGAGTTCATGGGTCGGGTGATGTATCCGTTTCGCTTCTCAGCTTCTCTCCGCCTCACGTCGGCTGGCCTGTTCACCCACGCTTCCATGTCCTTGACTATGATATGATGCAACTCCTTCGTCAAAATGCTCAATGGCGCAGTCAGCTTGGGTGTCTTTGGCTTCTCGCTCTTCCCTGCTTTCGCTTTCCTGGCTCTCGGCGTCGCTTTCGGTCGGGGGCTTTGTTCCTTTCCTCGGGGTGAGCTAGACGGTGCGACTGTACGTCCGCTTCCACCAGACGTTCTTCGGACGGAGTCGTCATCGGCAGTGGATCTCGGTGTTGGCGGCGAAAAGATGCCTTGCTCGTTCTATCTCGATCAGCAACTTTATTAACGAATGGCAGCATCCTCCACTTACCGGCAGACTGTTGACTTGTCCATTTTGGTAGTATTCTGTTGCGGGCCCATAACCGTTCTGTAATTTGGTCAGCATTGCTGTTCGCGGTTCGCGCAAGAGTAGGGGGGGGGGGGGGCTCTTACATATTGAGCTCCTAGGCCATGCCCATCTCCCGAATGGCGTTGGACATGTGACGCATGGGAAGGGATCCCTTCGTGCGCCACCGACCCTGGAGAACCATAACCCGCCTCACCAGCAGCATAGCCACGATCTCCATGGTATCGCGCAAACTGGGGCATTCCAGATTGATAGTCGGCGCCCACGTGCGGTGGAGTGGGCGGATGTTGATGGACGAGGGTTTCACTCCTCATGGTGGGTGCTCTCGACGCGCTCAGAAGACTGAACAGGCTGCGACAGTGGAGATGAAAGGGCAATGCGTTGTCGACTTTGCGAACCGGATCTCAGCTCTGGACTTGGGACGAAACAAATAGCGACGGCGGCAGATGCTTAAGCACAAGCAGTTCTGGAGTGGAATGCCAGATTTGGTCGGGCTCTCTCGGTGGCGAAATCTGCGCCAAAGCAGATGACAGGCGCAATTGACACTGCGTTTCGCTACCAATCGTGGCGCGTCTGAATCTTTCTAGGAGCCTTCTAAGCTGGAGTTTATGATTCAGATATGATCTAGATATGCGTCAGTAACGGGGTCGACTATATTGCCATATTGCTACGTTTGCTCCGTCGCGACGATGCATAGTAGTTCGCAAAGAGTTCAGGGGACGAACCTGTTGCAGTTACCCGCTTCTCACCGGCTCCAATGCTTTGGTACGCGGACAATCAAGGTGGACAAGTCTACAACACAAATTCGGATGTCAGACACAGCTGGATAGTCGGGTTTTAGTGTATCGGCTCCGCTCTTTGTCACCGGGGCAGCTTGGGCGATTGCGTGGGAGGTAAATGGGCGAAAGTTGATTCTTTGTCTAGGAGTCAGTCTTCAGAGGGTACTTGTAGCGACTACTAAGCGACCAAGTTGACTGCTCACGTATAGTGCAGTTCACATAGTCGTCTGAACACGGACAAAGAGGGATGTCCTGTCGCGCTTGCCACGTTGGGAAGTCGCGCTGCTTTTGGACGAGGGGAGCCCCCCACCCGAAATGGAGCGTATAAGATGATGCAACAACTTAGCCCGCTGGTCCGTTCGCCGTCTCCAAGTCGAAAATATCCTGTCGCTCAAGCTGTGGGGTTAGACGACGCCCTCAGCCCCTCGATAGCAGACAGCCACGATCGGGAGCTACGCCCACCCCGGACGCCCTTGCACAGGAACTTGTACCCAACAGCGCCCGTCTGCCGATCTTATCAAGCCTGTCCAGTGGCTTGCAGCAGTCATGTGCATAGAATCCTCGCCGTAGTAGTACGCCACAGGCTTTCTAGTACCTCAGCCGTTGCGGCGACCCTTGGAGAACGTGCTGAATCACGAGATCAAGGGCTGCATTCCTGGCGCCAACCCTATCCGCAGGGCTGCTGGCTCATCCTCTGTAATAGCCACTGGGCAAGGGCGCTCGCTACACGACCACTCTTCTCTCGTACTGCGTTGGAGTTGAGGAGCAGACGAAGCAAATTCCTCCTCCTCCTCCTCCTCCTTCTCCTCCAGGGCTCCTCCCATCCCATGGATACGTAACTTGGCCCAAGCTTACTGCTTCCGGATGGCTGCATCACATTCATGTCAGCACCCACCCTGACAGCTTTTGCAGCTCGGCAAGGCTGAGCCGCAACACCACATGGTCCACCGCTACGCCGTGCCTCAACAACATGTGAAACGCCTACCGAGCACACATCAGACTGTTCAGTTGTTCAGTCTCCTTGTCCCTGGGCCATCTTCCAACAGGCAGCGCAGCGCAGCACAAAAGCGGCGGCCAACAAATCCCGAAGGAATGGGCACTTTGTCCATCCACAGGGGGGCTATGAGTCTGATTGACTGATGCGCCAATTTCGTCTGTTCGCAGCGATTGGAAAGCCCGGCATGGTAGACTAAACTTTTTTTACACCATGCTCATGACAGGCTGCGACGAGGTACGGTCCTGCATGTTGCATGCAGCAGAATCTCGGTTGCTTCCGGCGGATCGTTTCAAGATGGGTGCTGCGGACCTGCCTGTGGAATGCGCGCTAGCACCCTTTTGGGTTGACAACCAGACAATCTCCATGTTGGTGTAACCATGCTTGACCGAGCCTCAAAATCCAACATTGATTGGTTTGAACAAGCGCGCAACGACTGCAGTGAGCACGATTTGCCTGTCAGTCATGGCCATGTCTCTAGGGTAGGGCCTCGATTGCAATTGCGGGTTCTGAGACATTCAATCTCAAGACAAGCGCGCTACCAGCATGGCCCAGTCTCTCACAAGATCCAGAAACCAATCTCAGGCAGTACATCTGGCTTCTCTAGTGACACTTCCGAATAGAGCAGGTGGTTCACCGACGCCGAGAGACTCGTTGAGCGAGCGAACGCGCAATCAGACCCAAACACTCGCTGACGCCCTTCACTGAACCATATGTTGGTCACTCAGATTGGCAACATGTCCGCCCCCTCACTGGCCATCGCCATGTGACAGCGTCAATTCGCGTTTTAATAATCCCAATACCATGATACCACTCGCAAAGCCAAACCGTCGAGCCCTCATTGGCGCTACCATCAACAGTCTTGGCCACTTCGGGACCAGACCTGTCCGTGCCTCTTGCAGCATCGTACCATCCGTCATCGATACCCCTCTGAACCACTCGTAATCCGTTCGCCAAGGCTGATGGAGTGTTCCGTGATATCCTCCGCGGACGCTAGGCTTCCATGTCAGACTTCTGTGTTCGCAGGAGGAGTGGTTTAGCGACATACCCCACATCAGCAGCAGTCCCCACCACGGTACCATGGTGTGGCACGGGACTGCCGTCGATAGTCTGGCCTAGATCACCATCTTCGCTGGACTGACTTCGCCTCCTCTACCACCCAATCTGCCCTTGATAACACCTGTCGCGATGAGCAGAGAGTATGTATATTAATCGCCTATCAAGAACTATCTCAACATCCGAGGTCGCGAATACGCCATGAGCATATGCCTAATGCGGCTTCGCGACTCGATAAATCTGGTACACTACTCGGAGCACGTACAGTAGGCCAACGGCTGGATGGAGCCACTATCCCGCCCTGCGCTGGTCAGTGCTCCACAGAAGGTGATGCTAGTCAAGTGATCTGAATTTCAGCTGTTAATCGTCCGCTAACCAGTCTGAAGCGTGATTGTGAGACGATGTAGTTGCGATTCTGATTCGCCTCCAAACTACACATCGAAGTCTTGGGGAATCTACTGTGTGGACCCCGGGCCTCTCGCGCCGTCTGTGCAGTGTACTCATCATTACTTCATGTCTGCCACATCACACTCACTTTTCCCAGCCGTAGTTCTAGATGGCAGAAAGCAAAACCTCAGTCTCACAGCACACTCCAAAACCAGCGCCAGCATTTTCTAAGACCGGTTGATAGTGTAATAGAGGAACTACAACCTATAACACGTGATGATATCAGAGTCTATTCGCTTACCCCTGATATTTACAAGTCTATTTACGGCTCTTTCGGTTGTTCCGAGTTATTCGGGACGTCTCAGATGAAACCGGTACGAGATGCTCTCCTTCACTCGGAATGCGGGGTCGCAGCGATTTCTCGATCCGAGACAGACAAAGAGCCCGGCTCCACGGTTGCGGAACAGTGGAGGCTATACAACAGTGCCTCGAACAAAGACTTGCCGGGTTCGTCTTTATCTGGTTCTGTGGTTTGGATTTGGTTCCTGGAAAGTCTTTGATGGACGTGTAAGAGATAATGAAGTGATAATGCTGAAAAGAGAAGTTGCTGAACTGCAACGGCTTGCAAGGCCTTGTAGCTCGACGCCACGCGTGCCCTGGATTAGTTCTCTCTCTGACGCCCAGCCTTGATAACCCAATAGCGAGTCGGACGTATGCCGCCGCCAAGCATGGTACACGAGAAGAGGATGCAAGGTCGGGATTCACCGATAGTCGAGGTTTCACGCGAAGCAAATCCACGACCGTTGACTACGGATAACCAGGATCCGAAGAGAGCGGAAGCAACATCGCCGACTACTACCAGCAAGCCTCCAAGTCCTACCAGTCCTACAGGGTCTCGCATACCACAAATCACATCTCTTATTAGACACTCTATGGAGAGCAAAGATCTCGGTGATCTACCAACTCCAACACCAAAGGATGAATGGGCAGGTTTTGAAATGCAGAGAATCCAGGGCCGCTCTGGTAGTCGATTCAGCTCCAGCTCCAAGAAGCGCCAAAGCGTTTCGAATCCTGAGGAACAGGTACACATGGCAGGCTGCTCACATCACTCGCCTTCGCTATCTAGTGATTTTCGGAACGATACTCTTGCGGATGGGACTAGGGTATCAGGAAGCTCAGATCCCGCACCTCAGACAGCTGGGCAAGGGCAGAGTGGCTTTGTCGATACTTTGCACCAGTTCTCCTATAACTCGAAGGATAGTCCTGGTTCTACAAGCACAAGAGAAACTAGTGAGCATGAACTTCGAGCAGCTGGTGATAGCCATGTCTCAGATACAGGGCGCGGTACTATTCAGTATCAGAATGACAACACCAGGTTGTCCACCAACGAACATTGGGGAAAGGAGTATGCAGCGCCGACACCTACAGTGCCATGGGAACGCGGTGCACGCGAGGAGATGAAATATTTCTCCCTGGTCAAGAACATGGTCAAGGAGAAGAACGCTGAATTACAGCATGAGATGAAGCTTGGGTTAGCGAGGAGAGTTCCCCCTCGAGCACACACATCATCCTTTGCTGCTCATACAAAGGCGTCCATGGCAAAGCAGAATGAGAAAATAGAGCATACTTTGAGAAAACAGGATTCGCCGACTCGTGAAACGGCCATACTGGAGAGTGAGAATCTTCGGGCGGCAATTACAGACCTGGAGACAAACATCGCAGTCATGCGCCAGGAGCTCGACATGAAATCTGCAGAACTCATAAGTGCGAACCTTCGCGCTGATCAAGCAGAGGCAGAACGTGAAACTTCAAGTGCAACTCTTGGAACGATACGAATGAACATAGAACATGTGTGTAGCATTATGGATCAGGGGGTTCAGACTTTGTCTGGAAGCACGACCGTTGACTGGAACGCGTTCGAGGGCCTTGTACAAAGTCTAGTCAACTCTGGCCATACTCCTAATGCTCTTCACTCGAATATTGTTCAGCTCGTACAACGGTTCCACAGCACTATACAGTCTCTACAAACAGAAAACCTAGAGCTCCAAAGCCTTCTTTCGAGTAGAGAATCCGACCTTGCTGTTGCGAAACCCACAGCTCAAAGAGAACGAAAAGATACACTTGTTGACATGGCCGAAGAGAATCCAGCCTGGCAAACCGACAGAGACACATTCAAGAAGTTGTTCGAAGATGAGCGAGCAAGGCGAAAGGCTGTAGAAGCAAGATTCCAAAAGTTCAAAGAGACGGCCGAGAAGTATTACCAGCCAGATCTTGAAAGAAAGAATCGAGAGCTCTGGATCGATCTCACGAGAGCACGAGACGAAAACGCCGTGCTGCGCGAACACGTCAAGAAGCACCAGGCTAGAGCACAGCAGTGGCAAAACGAATACGACCTCGTAAAGTACGAGCGCGATATCCGCGCAGCTGGGTTCGAAGAACACATCCAAAATCAGCAAAACGAGATATCCTTCTACATCAAGGAGTATCACGACAAGACACACGACCCCGATCACTGGCAAATTGAAGGCCTGCAGAGAAAAGTCCACACTTTGGAAAGGGAACTACAGACCACAAACGACATGTTCGGACAGGCGAAGCGAGCCAAGGCGAGACTAGAAGACGAAGTGGGAAGACTAATGGATGCAAATAAACGAAGAGAGAAGAACATTGCGAGGTTGGGAAAGGCGTGGATCACCGGTAGCTCTGCACCTACACTTGTGGACACGGCGTCCTCGGACGCAGGCTCTCCTGCTTCCTTGACCGACTCTGCCTCCTCGTCCTCGTTACTCTGGCTCACAAGTCCTAGGAAAGTAGACGAGGGCCCGAGAATTCCGCGCTGCCACTTGCCACTTGGGATCGAGAAGCGTGAGGGGATTATGATGCAGTTCCGCAAAGACCAACAGAAGAGGAGAGAAGAAGATGAGGCACGGTATCAGGAGTCGGTGAAGAAGGATGGCTGGGAGAGGTTTGAAGAATAGTGCGAGTTTAGATTGTTAGGGCATCCAAGCTGTTACAGTTACGTTACTTTGATTGTGTAACCTATTTTTACTTGAGACGGTGGAGCTACGTTGCATAACTATAGAGGGAATGCGTTGGGCGTTCATTGTTCTGTACTTTGACGTGTCAATCACGACCAGCCTCAATTCGGGGCAGGTGGACAACAAAGATGGTGCGAACAGTTCCATAGAAGACATAAATTTCATATCCATCACCGATTGGAGTAGTCTAGACAACGAAGTCCTTCTATTCAATAGCATGCTATCGTGTCTCACGGATAAAACTCCCCTTTACGTTCGGACTCCATCGCTCTCACACGCCATATCTAACAGGAAAGTAAGTCTAGACCGCCTCTGTCTTTGTGTCATGGCCCCCCTTAGACTGCGCCACGACATTTTCAATGCTAGCCCTCGCCTCACCCTTAGCTTGAGCAGTAGCAATAGTCGAGGCTTCCTGTTCAACACGAGAGTGACCCTTCTTAGTCTGCCAGGCGCGGGGTCCACCGTTGCTGAACATGACCTCGATCTCTTCAATGGTCTTGCCGCAAGTCTATATGGCCGGTCAGCAATTGTAGAAATCATTTCACAGAACTGCGAGTAACTTACCTCAGGGTATGTGAGCCAGAATTGGCATGCAGCAAGGAGGCAAAGAACTCCAAATACGACGAAGAGCCCCCATCTGATGTTCTGGAACGCAGGGGGGATGAACAAGCCAATGGCAAAATTGAACAACCAGTTGCCTATGGCCGCGATACCCATTCCCCAGGCACGGGTCTCAAGTGACCACACCTCAGCGGCGTAGACCCAGCAGATGGGCGCCAGCGTCAGGGCGTAGAGGATGATTAAGAGGTAGGAGAAGGCGATGACAGTGTTCGCTGGAGCACCCCTCACAAGCATTTGAACATTCTTGTCGCCGTTAACACCATCTGGGATATATTAGCACGCTGATATGGCAACTTTTTGATATACACTTACTAGGTATATATGTGTAGTTCGCGCCTAGAGTACCACCGACGACAAAGTGACAGAAGGCCATGGTAATGGCTCCCCAAACCAATAGAGTTCTTCGGCCAATCTTGTCGACAAAGAAGAACATGATAGAGGAGAAGATGATGAATAGTGCATATTGCACACCGGAGGAGATGAGGTTGATGTTGCCTTCCAGGCCGGCCATCGAAAATATATATACTACATAGTTGTTGTTTGAGACAAGCAGCTTGGCAGTCAAGTCTCAGGCAATCAAGTCTCAGACAGTCAAACTTCAGTAGTAGTAGCAAGCGTCACGCGCAGCAGACGTTCTTTCTGTCTATAAGTAGACACCTTCTCTATCAGATAGTTTTGAATCACATCTCATTTGAATAGATCAACAATAGTACGTCATCACGTTCGCACCAGAGAGCTGCTGCCATGCCTGCACTGAGAAGCCAGCCAGAGTTCGTCGCCACATGCCGTTGTAGACGAACTTCCTCCATGATTTGGGAGCCAAACGCTCGGCTGTCAAAACTGTGATGATTTCTTCGTATTCGGCGATGACGTAGGGGTCCTCGAGGTTGCCGTCGGCTTGAATGTTGGCGAGAATGAATATAGCCTCATCTGTGCGATCGACCTCTAGAGGTTGAGATACGAGTCAGTATATATCTCACATGCAATTCGTACACCAAAGTCACTTACTGGCAAGCCAACGTGGTGATTCTGGCAAGAACGGCAGCCCGATCATGAAGAACACACAAGGGACGAACTGGATGCCCCATGCCGTGCGGAAGGAGGCAGTCTCTCCGGGAATAAATGAGCAGCCATAACCGATGAAGTACCTTTATTTAATTAGCTTGAGCTTGTTGCAGTCGCCAGCCATACTCACATGATAAGAATACCCCACTCAATAGCTAGTTGCTGGATGATGATAATGGCACCACGTTGGGAGTGCTTCGAGATCTCTGCGAGATACACTGGGACCTGAGACGAGGTGATACCAACAGTAACACCATTGAGGACCCGACCAGCAATCAGCATTGCTCGGCCATTTGTGGCAACCTGCAGGGCGGTTCCAACGAGCCACCAGAGGGAAGCAAACATGAGAGAATCTCGGCGACCGAACTTGTCAGAAACCGGGCCCGCCATGATGGACCCGACGACTGAGCCTGCAGCAAGAGCAGAGCCAATGGCACCCTGAGTAACACCCGAGGGGTTGTTGAAGTAAGTACTGTAACATGATCAGTATGTGTGCGTTTGTCTACATTGTCGAACATACCGATATTGCGTGGTTCCGATGATAGCACTCATGGATGAAATATCGAAACCAAACAGCATGCCACCCATGGTGGCGATAATGGCCAGGAAATAAACATTATAGATCTTGGGGAACTTGTCAAACATCTTGTTGGATGGGTGCTCTCCAGAGCTTAACGCGTAGACGGTAATCGTTTGACCTTTCAAACCTCGTTCGCGGGGGCGAGGCTCAAATATAAGCTATTGAAGATCAACATGTCATCCCAGACATATCAAGCCTTCTCCTCGGTGTAGGGCACTCCATACGCTGGGTCCACCGTTGGCTGGCAAATGGAGCACGCCGAGACGGACTAGTAATCATCTGGTTTCAAAGCTCTTGGTACTGAACTTGAAGCGGTGATAGCATCCTTGTCAACGGAGTATGATGTAACGATTCAGCTCACGAACGGTATCGATTGGTGGGATATCACATCTGGCGATCGTGGGGTGGAGTTAATCACGCATAAGACTTGTGGAGGTCTCCTCACCCGCAATGGCGCTGGAAGTGGCGCGCGCCCGACAGGCTCTTGAATCAACGGCTCCCTCGCCGAGTGCTACCATGCCCAATTGTGCGTAATCCACTGCAGCACCGTTATACTGAAATGGCAACACTACCATAATTGCCGAATGTGACAGTACATCCGCTTGCTCACGTTGATGAAGATCTGCATCCCGGGGGGTCCACTTGGCACTTTTTTCTACCATCAGCTCAGTCATCTCTTCCATCAAGTACGCCCAAGTGCCCGAAGCTTGGGCTGTCGTGGTGCATTTCAGAGTTGTAGTGTGGCTTGTCGGATGGTTGCGAGGCCCAAAACACATGTTGAACTATAGGGGTTGAAAACCGCGGATCAGGCGTATATATGTTTACGAAGGTCTTCGGGCAGAACCAGAAGTGAAGCGCATCTGATTACGGAGTTTTCACAAAACAGCACCTTCGTATTCGGCGTTCGATGCTTCATTCGGCTTTGAGCGAGGCTGTTCGGGGGTGGTTCGGCGTGATCAACCCGCATCCTGGTGGAGTTCCAACGCCATGCACAGGCTCGTGCATCTCCACTCTACCAAGTCCTCCAAGCCTGCTCACTTCCGCTGTCTCTCTTGGCAAGTCATGGGAAAGTTTTGATATGATCAATTTGACTAAAATCGCGGGATGGGCGTGGTCAGCGCGTTGCGACCTTTGCCTTGGAATTGGTTGGCAAACAATTGGACAAACACAGCAATCTTGTCCTATCCTATCTCATGTACTTTGCAAACCTGGTGGAGTGGTGGAGTGGAATGAAACGCCAAATATATGATAACATATAGTATGGCTGAGCTTCGCGATTCTGCAGTCCAAGTGTTGGCGTCATCAGATTCCCTAGCACGAGCATGTAAGGCGTCTCTCAGCCATCCAGCGACCAGCGCTCATTCTTGTTTTCTCACTTCTACCTAATAAACCAATCACTCCGACAAATCAGTCTTTTCCGCGCTGAAATGTGCAATACAACCTTGGGGTGTTGTACCCACTCTCACCGCCTTCGTCCAGCCGTTTTCCCGCACTCTAGCGCTCTTTGGCATGACTGGCACCGTACCCACACATCGTGCTCCACTCCGCCAAAGTCAAATCTTACAACTATATCTTGCTACCATTTTCTCAACACTCCATCAAACTTCAAAGCACTCAGCTTTCGAAGCACCGGTCCTGTGGTCTAGTGGTATGATTCTCGCTTAGGGGTCGTCACGTGACTTCAAACACCACGTGACTCTAAGCACATTTGCGAGAGGCCCCGCGTTCGAGTCGCGGCAGGACCCGTTTTTTGCACTTTTTGCACGCTCTCCCAGGACGCACAACGCATGTGCTAATCACGCGTTTGATTGGGCGCGTGGCGAGATGCACGTCATACCGGGAGATGGACACAGGGCAGGTACATATGCCAAGTATACAAAAGCTACAGCAAGCCTCATATAAAGCCTCTCTTTTTTGGACGTTCGCTCATTCTTATCATTTACTTCGCTCTAGACGCACATTTGCTCCTCAATTGAGGCCATCCCCCGTTGGAACAGCGCGCCACGTGTGAAGTCTCATTCCGTCTCGAAACATATCCAGACATTTTACAACCTCACACCATCCAATAAAAACTCCTTTGGTAGTCTCAATATTTTAAGAAAAATATGCAGCTACGATGGCCCTACCCAGAGCCGCCCAGAGTCGGAGCCTGGGGCCCAGTCACATCCAACCACAAGTAAGTTCGCGTCGAAACGGTACCTGCCAAGGCGTTCAATGTAGGAGCTTGACTGACCTAGTGTAGTTTCTGTGAAGAGGTACGCGCCATGGCGAGCAGATCTTGGATGCAAAGCTTACCGACTTCAAGGATTACAACATCACGACGTACATTGCCGAGTTTGTGAACACATTGACAAATGCAACTTACGGTATGCCTTACAACACTATGCTTGACTTGTAGAAGCCGCAGCTCAATGCTCACATGTAATATCAGTCATCTACGGTGTCCACGGCCTCCGCAGAATCCAGCGTAAACACGACAGTGGCCTTTTCTCCACGCTAACGTTCCCCTACTGGGGCCTCATTGGCGTTGGCCTCCTATCAGCCTGGTTCCACGCCACCCTGAAATACCACAGCCAGATGGGCGACGACCTAAGCATGTTCCTGGCCGTCGGCGCGATCCTGCACCAACTCCTCTGTTTCCAAGCAACGCCCGCCCAGCGCCGCACCTACACGCTCGCCATCCTCGGCACCGTGGTCCCAATCTCCATCTACCACTGCTGGGCGGACGAAATCTACGTGCACGAAATCACGTTTGCTTTCATGATCTTCCTTGTCTCACGGCAGACCAGAGCGCTCATCAAGAAGCAAGTCAAGAGCGAAGAGAGTAGGAAGAAGCTAGGTCGGATGGCTACGTTTGGCATTTCCTCGGGCTTGTTTGGCTACTTCCTTTGGAATATTGACTTTCATCTCTGCGGCTACGTCACTGCCTTCAAGCACTATATTGGGCTTCCGTGGGGCTTTCTCTTCGAGCTGCATGGCTGGTGGCATATTTTGACGGGCACTGGCGCGTATGTAGGCATGGCACTTGTCGAGTATCTGGTCACCATTGAGGAGGGTACGACAGGACGGTTGGAAGAGGGGTTCGTGTGGCCTGTCAAAGCAGTACTTAGAGATCTGGATGGCGTGGAGAGGAGGGAGGTGAAGAAAGGCCAGTAGAGGGTTATTATAGTTGAGCTGCATCGAGTATGCATATTCGTTAATGAAAATGCCAAAAAAGCCGAATTCCAATCCAAAGCCCCGTATTCAGGGCTGAAAAGTGCATTGAAATGCTTGAGAAATCTGAGCACGAGGCAACTGTAAGCTTCTATAACACGCACACAGAACGAATAGAAAGAAGTTCCGTATGAAAGCCTGAATTGATATGGTATCTTTGAACCCCTATACTCCTCGCAATGATACACAGGATCATCACAATTCCCAAGGCCTATGACGATGATACCCAGCCATACCTCTGACCTGCCAAATAATCCCTAGAACCTCGTCGTCCCGTTTCTTCTCTGCTCTGCGCATTTCTACAACAGCCCTGCATTCGTCTCTTCCCAAAACCTGTTTCTGCCCTTTCCCTAGCCGCTTATAGGAGTCTTTCGTGCATAACAGGCGACCAGGAACACGGATTAGACGAGGATCGCGACGTGAATGTTTCCGAGGGTGCCATGGACCGCGCTTCTGTGTGAGGAGAGGGGCGCAAACAAATGGCGGTCCCTAAGCCACCGGAAGTTGCGGCCTCGATTCCTCGTGCCTGATGTCTGCCGGTAGTGGTCTACTGCCAGACAAGTCCTCCTTAATATCCAGCGCGTCCGCTTGTCCATGCGACTGAGCATCCTCCCGCCACCAAGGTAGTTTCCCGTCCTTTGGCGCGAGCTTTAGTTGCCTAGAGGGCCCCACATCCTCCTGCACAAGTGGAAATCCTTCAAGCTCGGCTGGCAGTCCTTGATCCCTCCGTCTCCGCTCATAATATGCGGCTTGGGCTTCCATGTGATTCTCGACCAATAATTCCTTGGCCTCCCACTCCTCTTTGCGCTGGCGCTCCAGGTGTTCTGCTTCTGCGCGGAGCTCTTCGCCGTCTTGGGTCGCCCAGTTCAGTTGCCGGCGTAGGAGTTTGAAGAGCTCTGGCGCGGGTAGACGAAGCTCTTCAGGCGTGAAATCTACGTCGGGCGGAAACTGCACCATTATCGGCGCATTCGGACTCGCAAGATCTTGGAAGTAGGTGACATTGTTGTGGGCGTAGTCGGCGTCTGAAGGGGGCGCGGGTGGGCCTGTTGCGCTGTTGGGCGCATGAGAATGTGAGGAGGGAGAGGCGGGCGTGGAACCTTTGTCGTGAGGCTTCTTGGCGTCGAAGTTGAGGACGAGTCTCAAGCGCTGGGACTTGTTGGAGGGGTTGGAGGAGTGGTGTTTAGGGACGGGATCGGAAGGGCGGAGGGCTTCAGTTTCGTGAACGGTGCGCATGTGCTTAGCTAGAGCATCGGAACGGGTGAAGGAGCGGTCGCATTCTATTGCTGTGTTAGACGCTGGGTCAACTAAGGGACAAGGAGAAGAAGAATGTACCTGGCAATGTGCAGTAGAAGGGCTTCTCCCTCGTGTGACTCCGCATATGCGCCCTCAGCGCATAGCCACTGGCATGCGGTATGCCCTTGCGCGTACAATCGCTCCACTCGCAGCTGTACTTCTTCTGCCGCGTCCCAATATGGTCGTCATGCAGATGCTCGACTAGGTTGTCCATGTTCTGTAGATCGCCCGCCTGACAACCTTCCCACTTGCACATCGTCACCTGGTCCTGGCCAAAGTCGTCGTCTTGCGACATGCCCGGGTGGTGGTTGGGCGACGCGGGCACCGAGCCGTCGGTGTCTTCTGAAACATCCTCATCTTCGCCTGGAGGCATGATGTTGATGTGGGCTGGCGGAGACGAGGGCTGGCGCAGATTCAGGCGTGGCCGCTTGTTGGGGCGCTGGTCGAGGTCGTGGTCGTGGTCGTGGTCGTCCGGGGTGGGCTCCATGCTGTGATGGCGGCCCTTGACATCCTCGGGGAAGTCATCTGAGGCATAGTCTGAGAGATCTGAGCCTGGCGAGTCCATGATGGCAGTGGTGGGCAGGCTCGATGGCGGTAGAGGGTTGGCGCAGGGGAGGTAAGAGAGGAAGGCATGGGTCTGGTCGTGAGCTCCAGTCGCGTCCGACTGCTGGAGGAGGTGCATGGGCCACGGCGTCTTTAGCTTCCGTCGCACATTTTTGGCATTCCATGCTTACACTCCTCCGCTCTTTCTTTCGACAGCACACATTAATTTCGAGCGAATATTACATCTTCATATGGTTTGCTCGTAGAACAAAGCTCTGTGGCTTACTGGAATGCTATCTCTAGCTGCAACGCTCGTATCATGCTTCTCAGGTCGATTCTGCCTCAGACAGGCTTTATTAACAGCTACATGGCTCCCTAACTACGCTGACATATGAGGTAAGCTCTACATTTCCCCATCTCCTACCTATTCTGATGAATCAAATAAGAGTTCTGCAATTCCAACGATTTTGCTTCACGGCGACTTCGAATGCGGAGTACTCTATACACTACACTATCTCTGATTTCCGATCTTTTCAACTACATGTCCACCTGCTATTCTGCCTGCGTCGTTGCTGACATGCATTGCCAATAGATCTGCTATATGCTAGCACTATGCGAACAGCAAAGCCTGCGCAGTCTCGTGGTACCGCCCGCCTACCACTGGGAACTTGTTCAAAATCTCTTTCAGCGCCTTCATATCCTCCTCCCCAAGCTTCGCCGGCTTCACATTTTCCTCGATCTTCGCAGACGTCGTAGCGCCGGGAATTGGGATGATCGTTGGCAGGCCCTTGGTGCCGCTTTGTGCGAGTATCCAGCCGAGTGCTATCTGCGCTGGTGTGACGCCCTTCTCCTTTGCAATACCCTCAACCGCATTCAGAAGCTTGATGTTCTCGTCGAAGACATCGGGCTGGAAGCGCGGGAAGTGATGCAGTATCGAGTCAGACTCTAGGTCGCTGTGCTTCTTGTATTTGCCCGTCTAGCGTTACACCGTTAGCATGGGTTTGTTGGGCTTGACAGTGAAATGCCTACAAGAAAGCCGCGCCCCAGAGGCGAGTAGGCAATGATTGGGATACCAAGCTCTGCGCACGTCGCCGCAACGCCATTCTCGAGAATATCTGTCGCCCAGAGCGAGAATTCAACCTCAACAGCCGATATTGGGTGCACGGTATGCGCTTTGCGAATCGAAGCGGCGCTGACCTCCGAGAGACTGATGCCGCCTAGCTTGCCTGCCTTCACATAATCTGCGATATAGCGGACTGTCTCGTCAATTGGGACCTGAGGATCGACGCGCGCCTGAGAGAAGATTTGAAGTCAGCGTTGTCTCACAGCCAATGCATACATGACATTTTACTCACACATTCAAACAAATCAAGGAACTTCTTCCCATCCAGCTGCTTCAAGCACTCATCAATGCTCCTCTGCACACCTGCCTTACTGCCGTCAGGTTTCATTTGACCCGGCACAAGCCCTCCTTTAATCGAAAGCACAACTTTGTCTGCGTCGCTAGGATACTTGGTGAAGTACTCATTAAGTAAGTGTAGAGAATTGCGTTCAGGACTGCCGTAGAGTTCGCCGCCATTCCAATTGTTGGCACCGAGGGAGAGCGCAGTGTGCATAGCTTCGAAGCTCTGCTCCTGCGACGGTGGGCTTGGGCGCCACGTGAGGCCTGTTGGTGTGATATTAGTATGAGCAGACCATAATTAGTGCTAGGAGGAGTTACCCATTAGGCCGTAGCCTACTTCGCCAACATCTTTGCCTGTGAGCTTCGGCATGGTGCTTGATGTTATGGAGTTGTTGTGAAGTTCGGTAGGTTGGTGGGGCAAGGAAGAATGAACAGAATGCTCTAATGATATCATTAACTGATCACTACTCGAGATGCCTTCTACCCAAAGACTCGATGTCTTTATTTAAATAATTCTAAATAACACTCTCGGGCCCGAAACATCCACTACGACCAGTGCTCTGGCAAAAAATGAAGGAAAGCGGACTGACAACGTCATGGTCCATCGCTGCGCATATTCGGACCCTTGCTTAACTCCGCCGGCCCACTAGGGTGGCCAGCAATTCGTACAAGAGCTGGATTGAAGGATGCGGGCCAAATATTCATCCGCTTTGTATGCTGTTGACGGAGATAGGACAAGGCATGTATATGGTTGGGGCTGCTTAGTACTTGGTGTTAATTGCATTGTGATAAATATGGGTTAACTAGATTGAGCTGGGGCGAGCGTGAACGGTTATGGAAAGCTATGGTCGGAGAAAGCGTAGTCAAATATGAGAAGTACCTGCACGTACAATCTGTTACGGATTGCGATGGAAACACTAGCCGGCGGCGAAGCATGTGGATTTACCAAATGAAATTCTGCTACAGTAATATACATCGCTGCCCCAACCCAGTGCCTGATCATATGTAGCTTGTACTCCGGCTATATTTAGTCCGCGCATACAGCTGTCAATCCACCAGGATCCAGCCAGTCATCCCTGCGATCATAACTTTTGAGATCGCAGCGTCCATTGCCTCAGTCGCGGACCAAATGACACCAAGTATCAAATAAGCCATTGCTATCCGGCAATCAAGACTGCTCTAGCGACCCTTCCTCTTGTCTGCCTCGCTGTTCTTGAACGGGAACCCACTGGTTCGCTTGTCCGCACCCGTCTTCCTGCTGATCCTGCCATCGCTGCTCGCAAACAGAATGCACCAGAGCGCAACCGCGCTAAGGAAGCCTGAGCCGATCGTTCCCAAACCGAAAGAGATGACGCCAGTCTCAGTCCACATGCCGTAGCCATAGAAGGCGTAGGCAGCGTGGAAGATGGCAGTTATGGTGAGCGTTGGGAGGGCATAAGGCGCTTTCGGATCAGCCGCTGATGTTGTCGCTCCTAGAATTCTGGTCAGCCATTGTGTGCGGTATGCTAGGCTGAGTGTTTACCTTCAGATAAGCGACTGGACAGCGGGACCGACCCCGTGAGCAAGACGGTCAATATGCCTAGCGTGAGGAGCGTGAACCCGAGCGTGCGGGAAAAGTAGACCTCGAGAGCTGTATAGACCATTAGTCTCTACAAGCGATCTAAAATGCGCTATAGCTATACGTACTGGTTGCCTCGCGGACTTCTGGGGAGAGCAAAGCGACAATCATCGTCGGCGATGCGACGAGAGGGGCGGCTTGCGTAGCTGCATCATGGTCAGCACTTTCGAAGCCTCAGCCAAGATACGGGAGCTTACCGAGCCATGCGGCAGTGCCGTAGCTGTAGAAGTAGTAAACCTGTTCACATCGTCAGCTTCCTCTGGTGCTCGTTGCAGCTCACGCGAAGGGTAACGCACATCCATCTTGATGGGAGCTTCAGAAGGGGTCAATTGATGTTTAGAGTGGCCGATGAAGAGTAATAAGCTCGTTTTGTGTTTGATGGAAAAAGGAGCAGAGACTCTGGGTGGTTGGTGGGCTGTGAACTGAGGTGGTACCTGGAATATGTCCGTAAGGGCTACATACGTCATCCATGGCGATCAGGAAAGTGCGGCATGCCAACTCGCCTAATTTGGAAGGCTCCAGCTCATGTCTAACCTGCTTGCGAGCAATGTTTCTGAATTGGTCCGCGGGAGGGCTTGAGCCGCACTGCCACCTTGGATTTGGGGCGTTCTCTAGTGAGATGAGGTAGGCATGACGGTCCAGTAGGCCACTCGGTGCAGTCGCAAGAGCTCGACATGCGAACATGCCCTAATGAGCTATAACAACACCTTTCAAGCAATTGAGAGGCGTGTATGTGCGCTATCAGTTTTGTTTCGATTAGCTCAGGACCTGTAAACATTTGTTCCAGGAAGCATAAAGTCCCGAGACGAGCTACATCACCCTGTCATAAGCGGCTTACGTCTGAGACCAAAGTTGATGGATTATCGAGGCACAAAGCAAACCTATATCCGCAAATCGCTACATACAATACAACAAAGGGTATCCGTTTTTATCCATTTCTCATGTCCCATGAGCCTTGGGGCGAGTATCTATAATCCATTCTTCGCTCCCTGCGTCCGACAGACCATTTACCCTGGTGTCCCTCTCACTATGCGGTGTCATATTACCCGAATCTTCTTCCTCAACGGTGACGACCTGCTGCACTCCAATCGCGTTTGCAGGGACGCTCGAATCAGCCGCAAGCTTGCCGCTTGAACTCGCCCATGCGAAGTTCCTGTGCTCCTTGCCCTCGGGCTTGTTGATCGCGTCGATGGAGACGTCCTCGATCCTCCGGTCGCGAGACTTGCTGGAGAGGTCTGAAAGTGGCTTGAAAGCAAAGGACTCGTTTCTAGTCGATCGACCGGTTCGCCCATATGTTGGTCGTGTGCCACCGCTTCTCGTTTTGTAGGAGCTTCCGAAAAGAGCGGGAAACATTACTGCCATGACGGGCTTTACACCAGAGAGACTGCCGCAGATGATCCCCATGTTCATTTCGAGGATCATGGCGCACCAGATAAGGGAAGCGGTCCCTTGTCTTTGAGTGAGTGGTGCTCTATAAAGCGACTATGGGGACTTACAGCTGAGGTCAGACGATTCAAAGTACATCTCAAGAAAGTACATCCTGAGAACACCTGCGATGCAAACAAGGAGACCGATGGAGAAGAGGAAGATGAGACCAAGCCGCTGCTTGATAGGCAATTGCAGACTCCACAAAGGTTTTGCAGGCCACCTGAAATGTTAGCCCAGCTTACCCAATTTCTCCCCACGGCACTCACAAATAGATGACAAAGTCGCTAAAGCTGTTCAATGCGGCAATAACGACAAATGAAAGTCGCATGTTGATGCATTTTTGCTTAACATCGCTATTCCAAAAGCCACGGATAGGTTGGCATCTGCACCTGTTAAATCAAGTATCGTAATCGAACAAACCCATACTCACTGAAATAGAGATAGAAAGAAGCATGCTACTGTGTACATAGTCACAAAGGTAACCATGCTGTAGCAGAATATCTTGTTCGAACGATTGGGAAACAATCGCAGGTATGTCAAACACAAGGAGATCTTGGTTAATGAACATGCCAATGGAAATAGGATATCGGCCGCGTAGCTTATCTTGAATATGTCAGCCTGGTTCTAAATACGGAGTGACAGCCGCAGTGTTCAAGTCGCACTTTGCACACACCTTCGCGTATGGGGTGTGCCATTCCGGCTTCTGGTCCCAAATATGCAGTCCGAGTCCGAGATTGAGGCATACCAATGGGAAAATTGATACGGGAATGGCGAACATCTGGGAAGACGATCAGTCGTGCTAAAGGCAAATGAGTGAGATTGATGACCTGCCATTGCAATCAACATGAGAAGATCATCCCAGCCCAAAATCTGTCTCAACAACCCTTTTCCATAATATCTGACGATGAGGACTACGATAGTGAAGTAGTCAGCCGCTGATTATGGAGATAGAGCTCATTTGAGTGACAGCCTATCAGGACTCTAGAGGGCGTAGAGGATAACTGACAGATGATTGCCAGACTCACTGTCGGCACCGTGAGTCCAATCACGAGCCCATGGCGGTTTTCAGGGTTCGCAAAATTAGGTTGAGGCCAGTGTGCCTTCTCGTCAGGCGTTGCCGCCGCCATATTGACGTCCCTGGATAGGGTCGCAGGCCGTCTAGATGTTGTACAGCTAAGAGGTTTGGTATTGCTGGCTATTCTGAGGTAGTGAAGATGGGCGGAGAAAAGTTCCGGTTCAAGGGCAAGACCCACTGGGGGCTACTCCATATTACGGTAGAAGCACTCTCAATGTAAACGGGGAAGGTTAGCTTCCGAGTAGGGTTCTTCCCGCCTTTCGCTCTACCATGGTGTACTTCGACGCGTTCATTGGACACTGAACATCATCGCGCGTTCGCCATCCCGAGTCGCAGGGGATTTGACGAGATTGCGGAGATTCAGATGCTGTAGGCGTCCCAGCTGACGGGGCCAAGACAGGGTGTATGAAATCTTGTTGCTCGCGGAAGTCTCAAGACGATCCGATTGATGCACGAGACTAGCGCTTAAGCCACCCCATGGGGAATGAGGCAAACTGCAAGCGAAGTTGACTCAAGAAGCGGCACAGACCGTTGCAAATACCGTCTACGGCCTTGGGCCTATAGCTCCGTTGGTCAAACTCTTGACTCCTAGTAGCTACTGAGTGGAAACTTGTGAGTGTTATGGACGGCCCATAGAGGTGCCACCAAAAAGTCTCAATCGCCAAAATCAAACAAGGAAGTTCAAGCGACGGCTCAACGCTCGGCCTGATATCAATTGGTCCTCTCCATAATTAAAGCATTAATAAAATGCCGCATACAAACGTCCTCAATTCGACGCCGGACAATTTCGAAGGGAGGTTGTATCCCGGGGAAGCTAGTAAGTTGGACGCCTTGAAATCCTCCCATGTATGGGCTTATGTCAAATGACTCGAGAAAGGGGAAATACTGGGGATGCTTGAAGACTCAGAGGAGCTGCGATCCTTGTGTGTTAGAGGCACATACCAGTAAATGGGCGCGCCCAGGAACTTTATATCCGCTCTAACCTGAAGCCACCAGGAGCCCCACCCCTTGAGACTCGTATTCCCCCCTGAACAGTGCGGAAATATATGTACGCCATTCGCAGATCGGTGATGATCGTCCAATGGTAGGTTGTTGTGGAGGTAGTCTGGAGCGTTGGGTCTGAACTTCCGGAAGTCGTTAAGCGACCCGCACTTGCCTACACACTTCAGCTACCCGCCACATAACAGCTCATTTCGCCAACCTCTCAAACCACTCGTCATACTCTATTGAACTAAGCTTACCATCTTAACTTTTCCGTATCTGTCGGCAAGAAGCAAAGTCTGATGAAGCCTATGACAGTATAATGTAACAAGTCTGTAGCTTCAATTAGGAAATTAATAGACGGTAACATACACCAAGAACGACCGAGCTGAAGGCTCGGCTAGCTAATACGTGAAACTATAACTAATGATCAGCCCCCCATGATTCAAGGATAGGCTGATACATGCATGATACTGCAGCCACCTCAACCCACCATCATGCACCTGGAAGCCCTTCATGTGGGTCTCATAGAACTTTGCCTCTCTTCTTTCGGTGCGCCCACCATCTTCTACTGACATCATACGCGATCCGACTCCAGCTCCTCGTAATGATCTTGCCTTCAAAAGTTCCACTGAAGAAACTGAAAAGAAACAGCAAGCCCAATGACAAACCGAAAACGATCGCAAACGCCCACCAATAACTCCTGATTTCAAATTCTGTATTCTTGAACTGGATGCTGAAGTAACCCGTCATTAACGTAACAGGAGTGAACAAGATTGTAATTTTGGCGAGTAAGAGGGTAACCCATGTTAGTCGCTCGACGCTGAAGGACTCTTTGATCGCGATGAGATTGAAGTTCATCATGACAAGGGAATCCTTCTGGTCTAGGCATTCCTGGATCTCGCTCAGGGCGTAGAGGAGGATGCGATCTTTGAGTCTTTCGAACCGGACACGTGCAGCTGAACTGAGGGAGACGCCAAGTAAGCTGTCGGCTTCCGGCATTGTAGGGCCCTGCGAACCGACACCAGGGATCGAAGATGCCAGCGATTGGTCACTGGCCATTATGTGTGAGTTCTTGAGCGAAGCAAGTGTAGCTTCTTGTTTCTTGAGCACGCGCTCGATGATGAGCTCGTAGCTCTGATAGACACGCTTGAGGACAGCTAACTGGCAGCCGATGTGATGAAGCTGATCGACGTGAGTGAGATTTGCCTTTACGAGCATCTCCTGTCGCTGTGCGGAAGTCAGCGTTTTCTCCTGTCGACAAGATAGTCATGCAACTCACTAAACGATCTAGCTCTGCGGCATACCCATGTTGGCGACGTGAGATGAGATTGAAGGTGGTCCCCCAATCCTCAAAGAGGTAGTAGAAAAGAAGGCCCGGAGCATCTGTAGGGCGGTGCGCAGTTTCTTCGTCGCTGTTACCGACTCGTTGGCGAATGGGCAACTGTTGGAGAGCGGCATCGCCCAGTGGCGTTGGTGCCTTCGTTAATTGCCTAAAGACGTTCACTAGGTTTCTTCGTGTAGTGTACAGCGTCTTCAAATCCTGTGCTCGCAGATCGTCGTTGAATGGGAAAGGATCTTCTGAAATCGAGATGACCGTTTTGTCTTCGCATAGCAGAAGCCAGTTCCTGTAAAGATACGAGGTTAGTACACCTTTCACCTGTGACTCGAACATTAAATTTTATACCAGACGCGCTTGCCATGAGGCATGTCCTGACTTCTATCTGCATCCTCTGGTCCCTCGTCTACTTGCTTAGTGCGTACGTTGTGCAATGAGTTATAGCCGATGGACACGACTATGCGTTATTAGTACATGTCAAGTTACGTCGAGGTCCGACTTACATCTTCGACCCCAATCCACGGTCGACCAATGCCATACATCGTCAACCAACTGGTAATGGTTGAGATCGCGTACCATCTCAAGCTGCGTGGAGTGCATCATCTCCGACATCCCGATACTCTCCTCTGAATCCAGAGAGGCTTGATTCGCCTCCCTGGCCCTGGCTTTGATAGACTCTGACTTGTTCGACTTGTGTGAGAGACGAGATCTCAGCGTTGAAGAGCTCTTTTTCTTATGCAACGATTGAGATCGCGGCGGCACGGGGTCACTTCGCATCGTTCCTAACAAACGCGGCGTGAAGTCGAAGTGACGGGCTAGGGTGCGGATTAGATCCTTTTGATTATAAGGCAACCAGATGTTGATCCATCGAGTGTGCAAATGCTGTGGCCTCGGTGACGAAAGCAACCTTGAGTACGAACGTGCATCGAGATCAAAAGCACAGTAGGCATCGTCTTCGCCAAAGTCCAGACAGAAGTTGCTGCTCCTGGGGTTCCGTGTCTGTCGGTCAAACTGGTCAAAGTTGCGATCAAGATCGAAGTTGCGGAAGCAGTGTTGAACATTCTCGTCGCCTAAATCATGGTAGTATGTCGGGAGGTCCTCTGGAGCTGAGGCGGGTCGGAAAGGACCTGCCATAGCTAGGACAATTATGTTGGAGAAGTTGGTGCATTAGTAGCGTTTGGTATGTTGACGGGTTAGCAACGATTTTGTTTAACAGTGGCCCTTAGGCATAAGTGCCGGTGATGCGAACCCGTGCGGTGGCCATCAATAGCTATGTGTCGTATGTGCACATGTGGCTGGTCACGCGTCCCTTATTAGTCGCGTTCAGGCAGAAGGTCTCACTTGCTAGTATTTCCGAACACGCTCGCAGATGGCTGTGCAGTGTTGTGACTCTAACTACCATGTCATAGGGTGGCGAAGGGAGAAAAAGAAGAGCTGCAGCAAGTGAAGCGTGAGGTTCGTCCAGCCTGGAGCAAGGTGCAGAAGGATTGTCCCGTGGCTTACCAACTTGCCTAATTGGGCAAGTATCACAATTCTGTCTCCAAAACCATACCACGAGATAATTTTGTAGAGGGGACATGGAAAAAATTGCGTTTTCTCGTAAGATGAAGATGCGACTCTCTCGGTAGAGTCCCTGGTGGAGTGTACGACACGACCTGTGCTGTTTATTCAGCCGCAGCGTATGCGCAGAAGCCACCCCGGCACATCTCTCCAAATGTAAGCCCGCAGTAATCCACACCAACCACCCTTATGCCCAATATGGTAGGTTCGTATTTCGTTGTAACAAAAGCACTCGAACTTCAGTAACGTCGCTTATTCAAGTCCCTCAAATACTTTCCAAGGTGCCCCCTCAACGCCTCCTCTTCCCTATCAGCAGCCGTAATTTCTCCTGACTGAAACCTCACCCTCGCCTTCAACTTGCTCAAGGGCTTTAGTATCATGGTTTTCTTCTCCCAATCTACATTTTCCGAAACATCTCTTATAGAAACGACCACAGACTCCAAGTTCTTGCCCTCATCTAGCAGCAAACTGACCTGCTCATCGAGCCATCCATTCATAGCCCATGGCCACTTACCCCATTCTGTTTCAACCAACCCAAGAGGAATATCCCAAACTAGCACTAATTCCACCTTCTTCGCTTGTCGAATTGCAGTGAGGGCGAGAGAGTGGATGTGATTGCGCGTTTCTTGTGAGAATGACCGTGTGACAAAGCGGAGAGTAACTCTTCCATGGAAGTAGGTACGTATTTCTTCATAGATGTAGCGGCAGGTGAGTTGCAGGTTTGTTGGGGGAGGCGTTTGGTCGAAGGATGCGATTGGCGGCGCTTTGAAGGGATAAGAACGGGGCTCTGTGCCGCAGAGATACTCGTATATTTCGTAGCGAAGCTCTCGTGGCAGACCTAGGAATGGCGATGCTGCAATATAAGAGGCCATGGTAGGAATATTGCTGTTGAAACGCGCTCTACTAAGTCATATATCGCCTACCAGACGCTTCGCCAATGACGTAATTGAACCATGGGCAAGCATTTTATTCTTGGCATCTTCCGCATCGTTTGGTTACCGCACGGGAGCTAGTATACCTTGACTATCCTTTATAGTAGATCCCTCTTGAATTGCAAGGGCCACCGAATGCCTGGTCGCTATCCTTCTTGGCCAGACCCCTCGTTATATTCAATGCGAATACTGTGAAAGATTTAAAGACGTAATCTAGGAATGCACCAGATCCAGGTGCTCATTGATATCTGATTCTGCTATTCGAAGATTACATATCGGACATTCGACCAGTAATTTCTTTTCAATGCTCAAGTCAGGAGCATCATCTTTTGGAAGGGGCCGTTTTTTCTGGCCTGCTCGAGAGCTTGTGAATGACGATTCTGACCCTACAACATCCTCGATCATAGTTGTTGCTACTTTTTTCGTTGCACTCTGGGTCTCGATCGAGATTTGACGCTCGCCATCGACGTCAATGGGCCGTTCAAACGTGTTACCATCCGGTTCGGCACGCTTCTTGGTTCCTACCTTAACCCAGCTATCCAGTTTGTTTTTCTGTCTCCCTGCACGTTCCTTGCCGCTCATAGCTTCCAACTGCTTCTTCGTGGGCACTGGCTCCTGGGTCTTGGTATAGTTCCCTCCGCACTCAGCCTCATGTCTCGACCACCAGCTGTCGGACTTGCCAGGGGCTCGATTCATACTTCGCTTCACGAGGCCAAAGTAGGGCGGTTGAACCTTACACGGTCCGTCACACTGCCACACATGTGTGCGGTAGCTCTCGACTTCATCGTGAAACGTGTGGTAGATGGTAACCTGGTAACTGCCGTGGTTGTTGATAGCGTCCGCAAGCAGTTGAAACCCAACGCCATGACCCGTGCCATCATCTCCTCGCGAGTGTTTCCACGACGTTGTGATGAAGAAGTAAGCGTGTATCGCCTCGTGGAGTAACGTATTGATGGTGTCAGGTCGCGGGCGATACTGCAACAGAGGTGTGCTAAGCTTCAGACGGATGCGTGTGAACTTGCCAGTGGAGGCGTCTTTGGAAAGTTCGCAAATTCCCGCACAACTAAAACTATTTGTTAGTCGATATTTGGTACAAGCGGTCTAAAGCATTCGGGTATCTGAGACCCTATTCAGATCGTGGTAAATGAGACGGTCGCAGGATCTAGACCTGCTGCGGCGCATAGTAGAAAGCTCAGTAGAGGTCGGCTTACAGAGTCAATCGTGGCGACCATAACACTTGTACGCGGGATAACAGAAGCTTCCGAAAGTACAGTACATTGTAGTGGTTTATCAACTCGTGAATGTCAATAAAAGGCTCTCCGTTGTGGAGTATAGTGTTGATAGCGCGCAATGCTTCCTGCTGTTCAGCGGAGAGCTCGTCCAGCGTCGCAATCGCCGCCAGCGCAGCTTCCTCGTCGGTAACAGGCATCGCTCTGGCAAAACATGTTCCAGGTTGATTAATTAGTAGCCGTCAGGATATCGGTCGTGGTTGATAGGAGGAGGGCTGCCATGGCCTGCGCGCCCAGCGGACCGGGGGCTAGCGGTGCGCCGGAATGAATGCTTGTTCATGCCAAAGTCCAAAGTCATTCTAACGAACATGCACGTCCAAGACTCGTTCGTGCCTGTGCCCCTTGGTACCCGTTAATGTGGGCTCGCAGTGTTTACCCCTGACACGCGCCATTTCTGCTGGTCCTGCTCAATTTCTCACATGGACGACAAGTAGTAGGCAGTCAGACTTCCGCTTCGCCCAGGGCCGTGTATGACGCAGCCTGTCCCACACATATGTGTAGGTAGACGTGCAGCCGATGCGCACAAACACAGCGACCACTACGCCGCAGAACGCAGCTTTCCCCCCAACATCAATACTACTTTTACCTCACGTGTCTTGATCCATAACCACACGCATGTATGCGCCCCTAGTCGCCTTTACCTGACATGGCGGCCATCGAGACACCGCGCGCCGCTGATCTCGTGCGCACTGCTTCGCAGAACTCAACCGTGTCGAACCCTCGCAACCGCAGCATCCAGCGCGTACGACCGTCGAAACGCAGCTCGAATGCATCCTTGAGCCGCAGCCGCAGTCGCGCGCCCTCGCCTGGCGACGACACCAAGAGCCTCACCTCGTTCCCCTCGCTCTCGCCTAGTCCAGAGGCCTCTCCAGTACAGTCACGCATCAACGGCTGGTTTCGCTCTACGCCAGCTCCAGACGAGACGGCCAAGAGTGCAGAGAATAGACCCACTGCGTCGCCAGACACTGTCAGAGCCGTTCCGCCACCAGAGCTCGGAAAGAACGCCGCTCCTACCTCTACGGTGCGGAAGGTGACCAAGTCAACACAACAGATTGTGGGAACACTAGTAGCTGCTTCTTCAGGAAAGGATCGGTCTGCCCTCTTCGATGACACGCCAGCAGAACCAGCAAAAGTACCGGGCAGCCTGCATTTTGCGAGCGACGAGAATATCAAGGATGCGCTGGGGCAGACGGGCGCCATTACCCTGGTCAGGCAGTTGGCTGGGGACCTGGCGCAGCGAGATGCGCAGATTACGGCATTGCGGAGAAGAGCAGAGGAGCGCGAGAGGATACTAAGGAGAATGCTACAAGAATGCGAAGTGTCTAATATGGACATCGAGAACAGACTACGAGAATTGGAGAAGAGTAAAGAGCAAACCAACGGGCTCACCAAGCCCAGAACAAGGGGCGATAGTGCACTAGCTGGGCTGCATCCCGATGACCCTATGGAGGACAGGCTTGCACGAGCCATGGAGGATGAGGTGGCCGAGCATCCTGACGCGCTGGGCATCGACTCTGGAAAGGCTGTGCCACATGCCGAAGTCATGTCGATCAACTCAGTTACATCAGACACACCCACTGATACAACAAGGCCCAACTGGAAGAGCTACATTTGGAATGGGACGAGTAGGAAAAGCAGCAGAGCCCCCTCTGTTGCGAGCTTGGTTGACAGAGGTGCAGAGGGCCTTGCAGAACAGACAAGGTCGCGCGCGTCGAGCGGAGCGAAGCCACCCCGAAAGGCACTTGTAAATGATCTCTTCGTACCTCCTACCGGTGCCGTGCCCGCTTTACGAAGACTTCATAGCCAGGATCCACCCCTAGAACGTCGGTCCTCTTCAGTATCGCTCACGAACTGGGCGTTGAAGATGGTAGCGGGAAACAGTTCAGCAAACGCCAACAAAGCCAACACAGTACGAGGGCGCAAGTCCACCGCTTCAGACGCCGCAGATCGTACACCATCTATGGATTCCACGAGGACTGCTCAATCTGCAAAATCAGCCTTGGTAGCCACACAAAGACGTGGCCGAGCTCTAGGACCAAACGGAACTATCAAAAGTATCTCTACGGAGCCGCCAAAGAATACCTCTGGCAGTGTTGGTCCTGGCCCTCCCAATCGTGGTATAAGCAATCTAGGCCCCGTGGAGATGGATCGGATACTGCCTGAAGAGTCTCGTCCACCCACACTCGTACAGCATCACAACAGATTCACTGCAAGCAGCGAGTATCTAACTGATAGATTCGGTTTCATATACGATCAGCGTCGAAAGAAGAGACAGAGTGAGGCAGCGGCTGAAATGGTCAAGCAAAAGCGAAACAGCAACGTCGAGTCTTTGGGTGATGGTAGATCAGTGCTCAACAGGCTTAGTGGACTGGAAGAGGTCGATGACGCCAATAATGTCTCCGACCTTAATGGTGCTGCCACGAGGCCGTCTAGTTCTAGCTCTGATGAGCAAAATGGTAAACCGCCGACGAAAACCTGGGCAGACTACCTGAAGCTGGCGACCCACCCCACAGAGCTGCTCTCCCACACCCCGTCTTCAGCACCTATCACGACCGTCGAATTACCGGAGACTGAGACCTCAACTCCGAAGATTGGCCAAAGCCAAATTACTCTGACAAAGCGAGGATCTGTACCAGCGTCAAGCACCAACCCCGAGCCTTCCCCATCGCGTATCTTGTCAAGCAATGCAGAACTTTCTGTCACAACCAACTCACCAGGCCCATCTACACCCATAAGCCCGTATCCACCTCAAATCGACCCAGTCAAGTCATTGCTGGATCAAATGAGCGAGCTACACGACAACCTTCAGAAAGAGAGAACCATCAAGTGGAATGAGTTTCTGCGCAAAGTGCGTGCTCAGAACAAGCGTGAAGGAAATATCTCTAGCACTGGCGAAGGTGGATCCAAGGGTCTTGCCATGCCGGAAACCTTCCTCGCGGACGGGGAGTTAATTGGCATAGCAGGCTTGGGCAACAAGGGTAAGGTCGGGCGAGCCAAATGGCAGGAGATCCGCCGTCTCGTCCTCGGTGGTATCCCAGTCCAGATGAGAGCGAAGGTCTGGGCTGAGGCAAGCGGTGCGGCCACGCTTCGCATACCAGGCTACTACCAAGATCTAGTCAACAACGGCGAAGATGATCCTATAATCGCGTCCCAGATTCAGATGGATATCACACGTACGCTCACTGACAACATCTTCTTCCGCACTGGCCCCGGTGTGCAAAAGTTGAACGAAGTGCTTCTCGCTTACTCGCGCCGCAACCCAGAAGTCGGGTACTGTCAAGGCATGAATCTCATCACAGCATGCCTCCTTCTCATCATGCCAACTGAAGAAGACGCTTTCTGGGTTCTCGCTACTATGATAGAAGATATCTTACCGCAACACTACTACGACCAGCACCTTCTGACGTCTCGCGCAGATCAGTCTGTTCTGCGCTCTTACGTTGGCGAACTTCTTCCTAGATTATCTGCTCATCTTGACGAATTGGAGATTGAACTGGAGGCTTTGACATTCCAGTGGTTCTTGTCTGTCTTCACAGACTGCCTCTCCGCAGAAGCGCTATTCCGAGTCTGGGACGTAGTGCTCTGCATGCACGACGGTTCCACCTTTCTCTTCCAAATCGCTCTTGCCCTACTCAAGTTGAATGAGAAGGCTCTCCTACAATGCGATACCCCGGCTGGCGTCTACCACTATATCAATCATCAAATGACCAACCACGCCATCAGTATCGACGGCCTGATCCAAGCCTCGGACGCTCTCGGAAAAGTCATCAAACGCAAAGACGTCGAAGAGCGGCGTGCACGCGCCGTCGCTCACGAAGAGGAACTCATGAGGCAGCGAGCAGAAGCACGGCTCGAGCGCGCGAAGAAAAGGGCCAGCACCTCCACGGACGAAGCAGCGACGGCCGCACTAGCACAGCAAGATGATGCAAAGTCTATATCAGCAAGTCTCGATGCCGAATTGTCGCTGCATACTGGTCCTATGCGGACACCGCTGAGCAGTGCGAGCATGAGAAGTGAAGAAGAAGAGAATGCCGAGGAGTTGAATGGGAAATTGGAGTTGACGGAGAGGACGCCGATGCCCATGGAGGAAGAGTGTCTCTGGCGTGCTTGAGTTGAACAAGCCACCTACTGGTCCCTCTTCTCCCCCCTAGCTAGGCCTGCGCGCCTTGTCCACTTTCTACTATGCATTTTTTTCTCCTTTGTCAAGCATAGCATTGCGGGCGCTTATTGGGAAAACGTTCATACATTTATACCCCCTTTCCTGAAATTGGATTTTCTGGGCATCGATACCCGTCTTTTCCTTTTCCTTGGTGTGAGGGACTGAAGTCCATAGCTGGGTAGTTGTTTTTCCCGGATTGAACAAGATGAATACGAGTTTATCTACAAAGCAATCTTCTTGAGTGCATCTCATGTGTCTTTCTTCATTGATCCATGTCGTCGTGAAGAGAAACGTGCAGATTGCACGTAACAGGTGTCAGCCGCTTACTAGCTAAGCACTGATTCTGATGTACTGTTACTTGACGATGTGGGGTTTGATGGCTAAGCCGAGCATGCTAGTGCTTGGTCGTCGCGTCGATTGTCGGCTTAATCTTCTATTGTGTAGGGAAACTGAACGGGCATGAGGTATCGTTCACTTACATGAGCAATTTTTGCATCTCACTATGGGAGGCGCGACGACGATGCACAAAGTAGGGATGCGAAGATTCGCCTAATTATTTATAATTATGAAGAGTTCATTACATCCTATAGATTCAATTCACGCTACTTTGCTTATTGAGAACGGGAAGAGTAGCTAATGGGCAGGCTCGAGGCCCCCCTAAACTTTTCACACAGAGTGTGTAGTATCACCGGCGAGGGCTCAAAGGCTACGGCGGTCACCTAGCTTGACCCGGGTTGACTGTTCTTGCATCTTTCCCATGCCGCCTACTTGAGGCGGCGTGTGAACAATCAACCCAGGAGGTCAACCGCCGCTTTGGGGCCGGTTCTCCTTCTCGTCTTCCTCATCCAGAACCCCCTCTTCATCTAGAAGGCCGGCTGAACGATTCCTCAGACCCCGCTTCTTATTGCCTTTCTTCGTCGTGCCCGTCCTCACGTGCCCGTTCGGGCGGCGCTGCGATGGCGGCGTGTCTTGCTTATCGAAAACCTTTTCAACTATCATCTTCCAAGAAGAAGTAATTCCCGCTCAACTTCTGGTCCTGGTCGAGCTGGGACTTGTCCTTATTGATACGGGGACGGAAAGAGTTGGGGTCACGACGGAAAGTGACGTCCAAATTCTTCAAAAACGAGTTACAGCCAGTGAGGAGAGACTCGGGCGCATTGGCACGCGCGTCGACAGCAGGTTGGCCGTCGAAGACGATGACACGGTCAGCGAGGTAGGTAGCCATGATGAAATCGTGCTCGACGACGAATGCAGTCTTCTTAGAATGCATGATGAAGCGCTTGATGACGCGAGATGCGACGATACGCTGCTCAGAGTCGAGGTACGCACTGGGCTCATCGATGAGGTAAATGTCGGCCGGGATACCAAGAGCGAGGACAATAGCGACACGCTGCAACTCACCACCAGAAAGGTTCTGAACCTCCTGGTCGATGAAGTCGTCCATCTTGAGGGGCTTGTAGACATCGGTCTGGAACTGCGGGCTCAAGAAGGCAGTCTTGATCTTCTTGAAGAACAACTGGCGGACGGTACCCGTGAACCTAGGTGTAATCGTCTGGGGCTTCATGCTAATGCTCATCTTGGGGATCTTAGTATCACCGTCAGGCTGTAGCGCGCCAGCGAGCATCTTGCAGAAAGTGGTCTTGCCAGTGCCGTTCTCGCCCATCATCACGATGATTTCGGAATCGGTAAAGTTGCCAGTTTCAACGCTGAGGTGAAAGTCGCCCATGGTCTTCTGCATGGCAGGATATGAGTAGCCACGGGAGTGGTCGATCAAATAATCGTCGCCAGCTTCAGCAATGCGGAACTGAAGCGACTCTTCGCGGAAGCGCAGATTCTCAGTGGGGATGTTGCCATCGAGGAAAATATTGATACCTTCTCGGACGGATGCTGGCAGGGTGACGACACCGTAGACAGCTGGCTTTCCGTAGAGAACACAGATGAAGTCGGAAAGATAGTCCAAGACGGACAAGTCGTGCTCAACGACAATGACGTAGTCGTCAGGGCGCAGCAAGCTGCGGATCTTTCGGGCGGCGGCGAGACGCTGCTTGACATCGAGGAAAGAGGATGGCTCGTCGAACATGTACACGTCGGCTTGCTGGACACAGACGAGGGCGATGGCAAAACGCTGCAGCTCTCCACCCGACAGGAGTTTAACGTCTCGGTCAAAGATATGTCTCAGCTCCAGCTCGTCAATCATCTCGTCGAGGTTCTCCATCTGAGACCGAGACTGGATGAGCTTGCCGACGGCCCTGTCGGTTCCCTTGATGGCCTTTGGAATCTGATCGACATACTGGGGCTTGACGACGGCCTTGAGGTTGTCTTCGAGGACCTTTGTGAAGTAGTCTGCGCAGTGTCAGTTGAGGTGGCATGATTTGAGATTTGCACGCCTCTTACTCTGGAGTTCGGATCCACGGAAGTGCTTCAAGATCTCCTCCCAGTCTGGGGGGTTATCGTAGCGTCCCAGATTGGGCTTTAGCTTGCCACTCAGAATCTTCAGCGCCGTGCTCTTGCCAATACCGTTTGTGCCTACGAGACCCAGGACCTGGCCCGGCCGGGGCATGGGCAGCCTGTGTAGTTTGAAGCTGTTCGCCGAGTATCGATGTGTGACTTGGGTCTCGAGGTTCGTGGGCAAGTTGATGATGTTGATGGCGTCGAAGGGGCATTTCTTAGGGCAGATACCGCATCCAATGCAGAGGCGCTCGGAGATGAAGGCGATCTTGGAGGAGCCGTCGACTTCGATGCACAGCTTGCCGGTGCGGACCACGGGGCAGGACTTCTTGCACTCTTGCCGGCATTTCTGTGGCGTGTCAGCGGAGTGTGCGAGTGTGTGTGGAGGGGGTGCTTCGTACCTTTGGTTTGCACTGTCATGGCGAACATCCTCAGGTTAGCCACGTCCAAAATTTTGTGTGGAGGGGTAGTGGGGTACCTTGTCGGAGTTGACAATAGCAATACTAGGAGACGTCAGTCGCAAGATGCATAGGGGGTCTGTAAGGGGGGTTTGGCATACCGGGTGAGCTTGTCAGACATGGTGGCGGTTGCTGAGGCTGTGGACGAAGTGCTGGTCGGATTCGCAGGCGGGAATTTTGAGGATAAAGTGCGGCAGTGGGACTCGACGTATGAAGACGCACTTGGGCAGGCAGACAGGGCACGCGCAGCCAGTCGAGTAGGTCAGGCGGTTTTGGCAGCGTGGGAGTCTCCAGCAACGGTAACAAGGATTGAGAGAGGACCGTGGAGAAAATGGCAGCGCAACCCTTTTCTTCAATCAATCAACCAAGGTTGGGGGGGAGCATTCACGGCGCGGTAAGCAAGTCGGCCGCGCTCTGATTGGCGAGGCGACGAGGGCTTGCGGCTGTGTGCGCTAAGGGCACAGGCACAAGCACAAGGGCTGCCATTGCACCCAAGTCCGTCTAAGGAACCTCCACAACCCTCACCACCACCCACACCACGCCCGTCCACCCAAAGATACCCCACTCCCTGCACGGAGAGTATGCAGCTATGGACTGTGAGTACCCTCCCTCTTGAACTTCCTCTCGCCTTCCTTTGCCTGCCCACGCCTGCTGCCTTCTCCAACGGCCGGCCTCGCTCAAGTCCATCTATCCATCACGCTTCTGCGTCGATGCATCCAGCAGCCCGTCTTGCACCCCTAGTACGCCCATCCGCTGCGTCCTGGTCGCTTCTACGGGGCCTCTGCCACTCGTTATAGTCGTGCTGCTCTGCTCCGGCCCTCGACCGCTCGACCGCCCTTCTTCCATCAAGCAGCCATCGATCTTGGACGCATGTCATCAGACCTCCATTGCTCTGGCCCTTCCCCACGATTCTAGTCGCTGGGCGCGTGTTCTGGATCGCGTAGTTTTGCTCTATCCAACGCACCCGCTTTCACCCTCTGCGGCCTTGGGATTGCTGAGATATCGTGCTGACCATCTCCCACAGCCGCGTCCATCGTGATGCCCTCTACATCGGGCCATGTCGCCTCTCTACCCTACACGAATGGTCATTTGTCACCTCTCGCGGTTCACATGACGTCTGCAAACAGCCCGTCCCAGCACAGCGACAGCGATCTGTCCGACGCCAAAGAGCTTGCCGCAGTCGATCCATCCTCCGATGCCGACGCGCCGGGCGAGGAATACGACGAAGATGAGGTCATGGCAGTCGCTTCAGACTCGTCTGAGGATGTGGACGCCGAGGGCGAGCCAGACGGCGATTACGACTCTGACTCACCGCCATCCGACCACGCAGAGAGCGACCGCGCCCGCAGCTCTGTGTCGCAGGAGTCGGACAGACCACTGAAGCGGAAAGCAAGCGCAGACAAGGACGACTATATAACACAGAATCCCGAACTATATGGTCTGCGTCGCAGCGTATGTGACACCCTTCCATCTTCGCGTGCTTGAGCTAACTGTGCCCCAGGGTCGTGCCCGCCCTAGTCGTCGTGTCGTAAGTCACCCTTTGTCGGTGACACACTCGTTGTTAATGCTCCACAGGTCGATAGCAGTGATGAGGAGGATGATTCTGGTTCTGACCAGCCTCGCAAGCGACAGAGGACAGCCTCGCGTAAAAGTTTGCTCATCCGTCCATCTTTTTTCTCCATCTGTACTAACCCTTTCACCTAGCCTCAAACCAACCGACACCTGTATTTAGGTCGACCAACTCCGACTCCGAGTCAGATGGCTACGTTGGCGCCCGCAGAAACATCCCGACCAAGAAGGAACGCCAACGTCAGCATCTCGTAGCTGAGGGCCATCTACCTCCCTCTCAGGCTGAGGTACGATTCTCTGCTCGTCGCACAGCGCAAGTCACAAACTACAATGAAGACGAGGAAGAAGATCCCTTCGAGGAAGATGACGACGAAACAACGCCGAGCTACTGGGTGACTGCGACGGAAGAGACTGGCCCCATCATCGACAAGATTTTGGATCACCGACCGAGGGATGGAACAGGTACTACAAGCGCCATTAGGTGCCTTCACTTGCTAACGCTTCCCAGAACTTGATCCTTACTACGCCCAGAAGAAAGATTTCGAATACCTGGTAAGCGCATCCTTCGACATCTTTCACAGCCCTGCATACTAACTCAGTATCAATAGATCAAATGGCAGGATAAGGCCCACTACCACTCTACATGGGAGGACTACCAGAATGCAGCTACTTACAAGGGCTGGCGAAAGCTGGACAACTACTTCAAGGGTCCTGTCATGAGCGACTTGTACTTCTATGCACGCAAGAAGAAGGAGCCGGAAGAATTCGAGCAGCACATGGTCGCGCGTGAGGCTGAGCGCGAGAGCCAACTTGACTTCCATGTCGTCGAGCGTGTCATCGACTCGCGAGACGGCGAAGACGAGACGGACTACTACGTCAAGTGTAAGTCTGCCCAACACCCAGCCCCTATTCGGATTACCTAACCATGTAACAGGGAAAGGCTTGACTTATGAGTTCTGCACTTGGGAGCCTGCCTCTCTTGTGAGCCGCTTATCACAATCCGAGATCGACCGCTTCCTTGATCGCTCGTCGAATCGACCCTCCTCAGACACCCGCGAATCGAACCTTAACACTCGGAGGAAATTTGTCAAGCTAGATGAGCAGCCTGATTACATTCAGTACGGCAAGCTAAGGGCCTTCCAACTCCAAGGAGTGAATTTTTTGGCACACAACTGGTGTAGAGGGACCAATGTCATTCTGGCCGACGAGATGGGCCTCGGCAAAACCGTGCAGACCGTTGCGTTTATGAACTGGCTGCGGCATGATCGGCGACAGGATGGTCCCTTCATTTGCGTAGTTCCTCTGTCAACTATGCCTGCTTGGGCCGACACCTTCAACAACTGGACGCCAGACGTGAATTATGTCATCTATACCGGCAGGGAGGATGCTCGAAGTACCATACGAGAAAAGGAGCTTCTCATCGATGGAAACCCAAAAAGGATCAAGTTCAACGTCCTGTTGACCACGTACGAGTACGTTCTTGCCGATTGGCAGTTTCTGTCTAGCATCAAATGGCAGTTTCTTGCTGTCGACGAGGCCCACCGGCTGAAGAATCGCGACTCGCAACTCTATGAGAAGCTTCTAGGTTTCAGCGCTCCTAGTCGCCTTCTGATCACCGGTACTCCTATCCAAAACACGCTCGGGGAACTTTCTGCCCTAATGGACTTCCTCATGCCTGGCAAGATCTCTGTCGATGAGAATGTCGATCTTGCTTCAGAGGATGCTAGTTACAAGCTTGCCGAGCTCAGTGCAGCCATCCAACCCTACATGATTCGGCGTACCAAGGAGAAGGTAGAAAACGATCTACCTCCCAAATCTGAGAAGATATTGCGCGTCGAGTTGTCTGACATTCAGCTGGAATATTACAAGAACATTCTCACACGCAACTACGAAGCTCTCAACGATGGTGGCTCTGGTCACAAGCAATCACTCTTGAATATCGTCATGGAACTCAAGAAGGCCAGCAACCACGCTCTACTTTTCCCGAACGCTGAGGCCAAGTTTTTGAAGGAGGATGCTACCAAAGACGAAACTTTGAAGGCCCTCATCACTACGAGTGGAAAGATGATGCTGCTGGATCGCCTTCTTGGCAAACTCAAAGCAGACGGTCACCGCGTCCTCATCTTTAGTCAGATGGTTCACATGTTGGACATCTTGACTGACTACCTCAAATTGCGCAACTACTCCTTCCAGCGCTTGGATGGTACCGTCCCCGCTAGCGATAGGAAGATCGCCATTGACCACTTCAACGCACCCGGAAGTGATGACTACTGCTTCTTACTATCCACAAGGGCTGGTGGCCTCGGCATCAATCTGATGACTGCAGATACGGTCGTTATCTTTGATTCAGACTGGAACCCTCAAGCCGACTTGCAAGCCATGGCACGAGCGCATCGAATTGGGCAGACAAAGCCGGTAAGCGTGTACCGCCTTGTGTCAAAGGACACGATAGAGGAGGAGATCCTAGAGCGCGCTCGCAATAAGCGTATGCTTGAGTTCATCACTATTCAGCGTGGTGTGACCGATCGCCAGCAAAAAGAACTCAACGATAAGATGAGCCGCGCTGCGGCCGAGCCGAACTCTGCCGACGATATCAACAACATCCTCAAGCGCCGTGGTCAAAAGATGTTCGAGCAATCTGGAAACCAGAAGAAGCTTGAGGAGCTCGATATCGACTCTGTGCTTGAAAATGCCGAAGAACACAAGACGGAGCAGGCGGCAGGTCTCACTTCTGACGGTGGTGAAGAGTTTCTCAAGAACTTCGAGTACACAGACGTCAAGATTGATCTCGAGTGGGATGACATCATTCCGAAAGAGGAGCTTAATGCAGTCAAAGCAGACATCCAGCTGCGAAAGGAGGAGGAGGAAACCCAGAAACTGCTTGAAGAGAGCGCACCGAGAAAGCGCAAGGCCGCTGCGGCAAGTGCACGAGAGCAACGAGCTGCAAAGAAGCGGGCTCTTGAGGCTACAAGAATCGACGTTGATGACGACGAGCCCTCTGAGGATGAGGACGTCAAGCGCGATCCAAAGCGTCCTCTCAACACAAAGGAAACTCGCAATCTTGTACGTGCCTATGAACGTTATGGCTCACTCGAGGATCGCGCCGACGAGATGCTTCGCGCCGCAAGATTGGTGGGTCGTGACCTCAATATTGTCAAGACTACCCTGGGCGACGTCATCTCTGAAAGCCAAAAGCTCGTCAAGGCAGAGCATACGCGACTGAAGAATCTCGAGCTTGAAGCGAACCGCCCTCTCACGAAGAAGGACAAAAAAGCCGTCCTTTTCGACTTTGGTATGGTAAAGAAGTTGAACGCCGAGACCATCATTGATCGACCCATCGAAATGCGTCTCCTCAAAGAGGCCATTGACGCTGTCGCTGATTGGCACAACTTCCGCATACCAGACGCAGTCAAACCCGCAAGCTACTCCTGTCCTTGGGGCGCGCGAGAGGATGGCATGCTCTGCATCGGCATCTTCCGTCACGGTTACGGAGCTTGGGTTCAGATTCGTGACGACCAAGACCTTGGCCTGACTGACAAGTTCTTCCTTGAGGAGCACCGTGTCGACAAGAAAGAAGAACGCACCAAGACGGAGGAAAAGAACGCAAAGTCTCCTGGCGCGGTCCATCTGGTTCGAAGAGCCAACTACCTACTGACCGTCCTCAAGGACAAGGCGGGCATAGATCCCAACGCTAAACGTCTCATGGAGAACCATCATCGCAACAACAAGAAGCACCACTTGAACGTTGCCCGTCGGCCAGAGAAGGCATCAAGCGTTTCTGCCAGTCCAGCGCCATCTGGTCTGGTGCGCAAAGTCGCCTCACGAGATTCGGAGAGGCCTGTGCAGCGTACACATAGCAACAGTGAAAGCCGGCACGCGGATAGCCGACCTGACAGCCGGCAGTACGAGAAGAGTTCGCACGACCGGCCACGACATAGCGACCAATACAGACCCTCGGATACTCACCGCAAGGAGTACCGCAACGAGCGGGTTAGCATTGATCGGCGTCCTCAGCATTCGGACCGGAACGGCACACCAGAAGTTCGACGCAAAGCTAGTGGAGATATGGATAGAGCGCGCCCCAAGGACGACCGATCACGTCTTTCGGAAGAACGCCCACGCTCGCATAGCCAAAGTCACGGTGTCAATCGCGGCGTGGAGACGCCCAAGCTGAAGGAGAAGAAGCCCGAGGACTTTGTCGAGCGACGGCTCCGACCTGTACGCGATAATCTTAGCCGGCTTAAAAAGGCGACACCGAAGAATTATCCGCAGAAAGATGCCATGGTCAAGGTGCTCAAGGTGGAGTTGATTGCCATTGGCAATTTTATCCGCGCAGAGACGCGCGATAACGCAGAGCTCGAGGAGCGCCTGTGGTAAGTTTTCGCCACGCACGTTGTGATTGACATGTTGCTAATTCATTCCATAGGGCATTCACGGTCAATAACTACTGGCCCCGTCAAAGTGTCACCGTCCCTGCAATCAAAGGGATGTACCAGAAGATGCTGAGCTCGGAAAAGCCGGGCGCGGGCACGCCATCGACCAACGGGCAAAAGAACGGTTCCTCGTGAATTGTGTAGCACAAGTTTCAATATGGTCAAAATCTCTAGCATGCTGCATATGGGCGTTTTCAATTTCACGGCGGCATACGGTCACATTTTCTACAAGCATAGCGTAGGTGTTCGGGCTCGGTTGGACTAGTAGACAGATGATTGTCCCGGGCACTGTCTGACTTCTTTTTTTTTCAGTATTTCTTCGTGTATAGCATGAACCACCTGTCGGTATGGTGTGTTCGATTTGGTGTTTGTCTCTTCGCACAGGGCGGCGCATAGTATGGCTCAAAAACCTAGTGGGGTCGGCGGCCGTTGCACGAGCATTTACGGCACCTGGCATGGACCGTGTGGCATCTCTATATCATCAAGATGGAGCAGCGGCTGTACAGGGGGGAAGGCAGAATATCTCTAGCACTGTTTCGCATGAGGACGACTCTGCAGTTGGAGTACTGCAAGATGACAATCAAGCTACATATCAATCACTCAGGCTGACTTGGGCCCTATGACATGACGCTGTAGTGGACGCACGATTGATGAATATTGCTGATGTTGCTTCTGTTGTCAGCACACGAGTTGGTCCCCCATGACCAAGAACAAGACATGGTCACGCGAGGTATATGAATGGTCCCTAATTATAACCGCCACTTGTAGTTGTGTGCCTAGTTATCTTGACAATTACCCAAGGATGAAGAGAGAACGTGGGCAGGTCACACGAGATGCTGCCTTTGCAATACCATAGCCGGTGATGTCATCTGGCGGTGCGCCCCAATAACAAGGGCCCGTCGAGGATCGTGCGCTTTGCTCAGGACTGGATTTCCGTGCGCCATGCTTCCACTTCCACAGCGTGCGCCATCACGGTACCTGGTGCGTTACTGCTCTAGTCAAAGTCGCGCGACTCCCACAAATCCGTTCCCCCCATCTCCACACCTCTTCCTCTTCCAAGGCTGCTGAGCGACGCTGCGCCCGCGATGGTCAAATCGCGACAAGGGCTTATCTGTGGGCTGCTCTTTTGGGGAAGCGCAAGAGGAGCCCCGCCTAGCGCTGCTGGAGATGCAGGAGACGGCCGGGGAAGTACCAGCAGTACCAGCAGCACTACAGCAGCTGGGAGGAGCCTCACAGGCCGGTTCCTACACATTACCGGTATGTTGGTTGGACCCCTCCTCCCCCTCCCTGTATGTCCAAGTATTGCGCGGCCACTGACAGCACTGTCCAGACCTCCATCCCGATCCCTTCTACAAGACGTACTCGAGCACCACAGCAGACGCAGCCTGCCATCGCCACCATGGACCCGCTGGCATCTACGGCGCAGAGACGTCTGGCTGCGATTCCCCCCATTCGCTCATCAATCAGACGTTCAAATGGATAAACGACAATATCAAGGACGACATAGACTTTGTCATATGGACAGGCGACTCGGCGCGCCACGACAACGATGAGAAGATACCCCGTACGCAGAAGCAAGTCATACAGCAGAACGAGTTCATGGTCTCCAAGTTTGCCGAGGTCTTTGCGCGACCTGATGGCCACGATGCGCCTACAAACGACTTTGTTATTCCGGTAGTGCCAACCTTTGGCAACAACGATATTATGCCGCACAACATCTTTCTCGACGGGCCGAATAGGTGGACGACCAAGTACTTGGATATATGGCGGAATTTCATACCAGAGGCCCAGAGACATCAGTTTCAGCAGGGAGGATGGTTCTCGGTCGAGGTGATACCGGGGAAGCTGGCTGTCATTAGCTTGAACACCATATACTTCTTCACCTCAAACTCCGGCGTCGACGGCTGCGCAAGCAAGCACGAACCTGGCTACGAACACATGGAATGGCTGCGCATCCAGCTCCAGATTCTACGAGACCGAGGCATGAAGGCTATATTGATGGGCCACGTACCACCTGCGCGGGTCGATAGCAAAGAAAGCTGGGACGAGACATGCTGGCAGAAGTACACGTTGTGGGTTCAGCGCTACCGAGACATCATTGTTGGCAGTCTCTACGGGCACATGAACATTGACCACTTCATGCTGCAAGATTTTGAGAGCATCAACAAAGATACGAAGAAGGGAAGGATGGCTAGCAGTGCAGCGTTGCAGAGTGAGAGCAGTGATTCGATAGCATTGCTTGAGGACGGCGAGGTCACGGTGGCATCCGCCTCTGACTACCTGCTCGATCTTAGGCAAGCTTGGGCACAGCTTCCAGCACCACCTGCAAAGTCGAACACACGTTCGAAGACGTTTTTTGAAAAGTACGGAAACTTCTCCATATCGGAATGGTTTTGGTCCAAAACCAAGATACCGGCAAAAGATGGCAAGGCTGGGAAGGGTGAGAAAAGGAAATATCTCGACAAGATCGGAGGCAGATACGCCGAGAATTATGCTGTAACCCACGTTGCGCCCAGTGTCGTACCGAACTACTTTCCCACGCTTCGGATCTTTGAGTACAACATCACGGGTCTAGAACATGTCCTGGTGCCCTCCGCATCCGTGCACGAAGAATTGACCTCTCCAGGAGGGCCATCCGAACAGCCCTCTGTCGTCGACAATGAGTTTCTAGATGACTTAGAGTATTTGAGAGACGTCGACACCAAGGTGAGGAGAAAACATAGAGGGAAGAAACACAAGAAGGGACCAAGAAAGTACAAGTTCAAGGTCCCAAAAGGCCCCTCAAAGTCTGCACCGCCAGGTCCGGCATACTCACCACAGGTGTTTACATGGACATGCTACGTCCAGTACTTCGCCAACCTCACCAACATTAACAACGACTTCGTCCATCCGCAACAAGGCCTAAAACACCCGACCAAACCCCACGACCAAACAATTCTCAACCCAACATCCACTAATGACCTCACCCCACACACCATCTTTGGTATCGCCATTAGCTTAGACGGCGAAATAGAAAACAAGAGCTGGAAAGAAGGCAAACATGGAAAGCATCAGGGCAAGAAACCGCGACCAGAACCACACCCGAAAGAGTTTGAATATGAGGTTGAATATGATACGAAGAAAGACAAGGGGTTCAAAGATCTCACTGTGAGACGATGGGTTGAGTATGCGAGGAAAATCGGTCGGGGCGATGCGAAGGCGGCTGATGTTGAGGAGTATGACGAGCATGAAGATGAGGAGTATGAAGAGTATGAAGAAGAACAGCTCGCCAATGAGAATGTCGACGAGCAAGACTACAGTGCAGAGCTGACAACAGGCGGCAAGAAGAAGCATAAGAAACACAAGAAGAGAAAGCATGCCTCGAAGGAATGGTTCACGTTCGTTAAGCGTGCATTTGTGGGGACTATGGATCCGCATGAGATCAAGGAGGTGTTCGGCGCGAGCGCGGAACCTCAAGAGTTGAGCGCAGAGGAGGTTATAGAGCTATGAGGTAGGAGGTTGTATGGATGGAGTCATCATCAAGATCAGGCCGCCGACGGGAGGACGTGTATGCACTGATACCCAGCCGGGGCTAATAGTCTCATCCCCCTCCCTTTGTGTTTTGCTCTTCACGCATTTGATTTTCAGTCTGTTGTTTATTTAGCGTGCATGGCATAGGAAGCTGCAAGCATTCATCGACGATGGAGATTCATAGATATGTTGGTTGTCACGTTCAAGTCTAAGATTCATTGCATTTCTACGTCTTATATTCGCAAATCTTTGGCACCTTCGTTCGCTTATACGTTATATCTCTGCGTGCTCTTCCTGATTGATTGACACCTCATCTTCGTAGTCGTCGACAGCCAGTCCGTGCTCAAAGCTGATCTCGCGCCCCGAGTTGCCTTCACCTACGCTCCCGACCCGCCCCGCCACAATATCAAACGCCCACCCTCCTTCACCATGAGATCAAATAGGCAGCAACCCGACCGCCTGATCTTCGGTCTCGCTTAAGGGCCTGCCGGAGTTGATCCGGGGGCCCTCCCTCTGTCTATATAAACCCCCCGCCTCCCCGCCTCTCTCACTCTTTTCTTCCAACAACTCAACCACCTCAACCACCTCCTCCACTGAACACCTTCATCATGGCATTGAGCATGGCAATGTCTACCACATGAGCATGTTACACTTTCTCTCCCTTTGGTATTTTCTTTTGCTGACAGGATCAGAGACTTGCTTAGAGTTGCGATGTATGATGTCATTACAACTACACCCACCTGTCGACATTGATCTTCGGCCTGCCACACACTACCATCAACATGTCACCTCAACCTTTGTCCAAAATCAACGGTGTTGACACACTTTGGCCTCGGTCTCTCGGTCTCGCATACCTACATTCACTTTGACCTTGTCCAACATCAACCTCAACCTCAACTCAGCAACCTACAACATGGGCTATCTTGATAAGACACCAACATACACCAAAGGCATTCAGACACTCTACCATGGCACCGGCTCTTGATCAACTGTCCGATATCATGACATCGTGCTCGCACAACACCTCACATTACCATCTCGACCACTTCGCATACGAACAGCTGTCCTGTAGGCAGGCGCTGGGCACCGGACAGGAGGGACTCATCGCAAGATCTCCTGGGCGTTCCTCATCTGCGGATGAGTGCACGTTGAGCTCGAAACGCACCACCTCGGGAACATCATGGAGTCACAGGGTGCAGGTCAGGCTGCAGGGTCCCTACGTGTTGGATATTGGACTCGGTATGGACATGGCTGGATGGATACATGGAATGATGGTTGGTCATGAGTCTTGGAGAATGTCTGTTGGTGGTGGAACACTTGGTTGGTTGGATGAAGGAAGGATAGGGTCCTGGTCAAGAGAAGGAACAGTGGTGATTGCAGTTGTGGTGGTAAGAGAGCAGTCTTCGATGGTCCAACCTGAGCGTCCCTCGTCCGCGAAAGCGATGCCGAAACGTAGTCTAACATCGTTGATGGAGCACCACCCGAGCGGGATGGTCCCCGGGCGCCTCCCCTTACACCATGCCTACTCTAGCTGGCGGCTTTGATTAGCTTAGCTGGTGCAGATGCAGCAACTGCAACACTACTGATACAAGTCAAACGGGTGGACTTGCGCAAGAAGGTGCAAGGTGGAGAGTGGATATTGGGTAGGGATAGGTCTTGCTGTGGAGGTGATCAATATGCGGTTCAGAAGTGTCATGGGAGGAAGCATTCAAGGACTTGTTAACAATATCACTCCTTGGTCAAGTCAACCCGAACATTGTCTTCCACTCCCACCTCGGTATACATACTAGCTGTGAATGTTGAGCTTGTTAATATTTGCTACTGCATCTATTGTATAATCCTTCAATGCTAATCAGGGCGCAACCTCACACAGAAATACTACCACACCAATAATCCGCCCGACAATTCACACTGCGCAACGCTAGCAACCCCTCCCCAAACTTAAACGTCGCCTCCCCATCCTTGAAGCACACCAGCTCTTCTTTCCCCAACTTCGCACTCCCCGCGATCTGGCTCTTGCTGAGCGCAGCCGCATCCGCGTCGATCTTCCCTTCAAACGCACCTGCGATGTCCAACGACGCTCTACGAGTAGCACCTTCCCATGGGCGAGAGGGCGAGGAAACGGTGCCGACGTCGGTGGGGCTAGAGCGAGACTTTGCGGGACCGTTGTAGTAGATTACTGCGGAGAAGGTCTCGGCTGCCGCGGTGTCGGACGGAGAAGTATTGTCTAGGGAGGAGCAGAGGATGGGGATGCTGCATTCGGGTCCGCGTGTTGTGCAGGTTGCGAGGTAGACGTTCTTTTTTGAGCCGGCTGGGGCAGCGATGGCGACTCCGATTAGGGAGAGGAGTAGTGCGGAGAAGAGGCGCATCGTGTTGACTGGCTCGAGTGGAGAGTGAGATTGGATATCAAAGTCTTCCTTTCTTAGTAGCAGGGTTCAGCTTTTCTTATCAACTTATGCGTTCCCCTGAACCACTGTATTGGGCAGTGGTATATGATACTGCCGAACGAACAAAAGAAGTTGTGATATCTTGCTCGTCAATTTTGATTACCGGAATTGATAACTTGAATGAATTTCGTCGGTCATCGACCGGCTTTTCGGATACAATTACGGGGTGAGTATACGATGTTGTATACAAGTAATACCGCCCGCATGGTTGATCCCGGTCCCAGAAGATACGCAGCTTAATTCTCGGTAATATAGATTCGGATCCCATCGAATGTTTATTGCTGCATTTGGATGTAAGAACAAGTCTATCACGGGCGGGCTGGAAAGTGTGGACCGGTAGTTGATTTGTTTTTTCGACGGCTGGGCAATAGTTTGAGTATTGGGACGCTCAGAATCTGTAAGATATGTGGCAGAAAAACTGTGCTGAAGCTAGGATTTATGATACTGGCTCTAGGTGAGATGAATTCGGGGCGGAGAGGCTTCCCCTTACTCGGCTACCGCGAGCAACGCGCGTGGCATGTGGCCAGCATCTTCGACTCTGCCTTGGACAAGACTCATAATTGTGTGGCCTGCTGACCGAGCTCTTTGATTTGGATCCATTTTAATATTGGCTGCGTAAGCTGTCTTCGCTGTTTCTGGTGGTAATTGGATGCTATCGAGTGGTTGCTCGGTTCTACCCGGGATCTTCATATAATTCGCCTCGAGCCATTTGTACATACATGGTTAGCCTGATGATTCAACGATGCCAGACGGTCCATGGAGGAAGAGAGCTGATTTCGACTATGAATAGCAAAATATCGCTTCGTTACAAAGCCTTGCGATACAACGGGGCCAGACGAGGGTCCAGAAGTCGAGGTGTGCATCTTGAGATGTAGAGGATGTTGCTGTCAAAGTCGATATGGGTGGGAGACAAAAACGCACTAGCCATTAGTGATTCCCTATGCTTTTTCTTAGCATGGCAGTGCCTCACTGGAAATTAGAGGCTCGGTGAGAGGCCAAGGGACGGATTATGATCGCCTTCGTGGAGCTTAGCTTCTGCCTCCGCCAACCAATCACCCACCCCGCTAAGTGACCTCATCGCGACTCTCCCCATCCTCCACATCTTGAACCCTGCAACATCAAGATGCCGTCGCAATTGGACGCGCTCCCACCTGAAATTCTCTTCAACATACTCTCCTTCACCGAACCCACCTACGACCCAACGCTCATATCCTATTCACTCAACGCTCTCGCAGGAACAAACAAACATCTCAACTCTGTCGTCGAAGAGTACGCGCGCGGTCTGCTGAAGCAACATGCCAACATTACGCCTCGAAAGTCTTCCAAGATATTTACATGTCGGAGAAAGTGGCTGGCGGAGATCTGTCAATTCTGCAAGAAGCTCAGCAAAAGAACGGCAATTCTATACCCCTCATTGACCTGCTGTCGCGCATGCGACAGAGAGCATTTCCCGAAGATGGTTTGTGTCCACTTCCTTTCAGGTCTTGCGACAAGTGCAAAACTCGTAGATAGTAGGTACTAATAGCCCTCTCAGACGATGACAAATGCCACCCAAGACTACAACCTCTCTAAGCTCGACCTCTTTACACCCAACGCCCTCCACCCGCGCCTCCCTCGCCTTGCAACCGGTGCATACAAAGTCATGGGCGGCAATGCGGTTATGGTGGCAGAGGCCGACGTCCTTGCGCGGCGCGACCACGTCTACAAGCTTCTCGGCGAAAAAGCTCAGGATGCAAGCTACATGCGCAAGCGGCCTGCAACGCATAACCGCATCACTCAGCATTTGGGAATCGTATGGAACTGTACAAATGGTAGTTGGGGGAAGGGGTCTGGACCATCGTCGACGCTGCCGAAAAGCATGAGAACAGAGGAGGACAGGAAGGAGTACGTGAAGAAGGCGCTGCAGAAGGAGTGGGCTGCTATGAATGTGAATAAATATGGGTTTCCGCAGGATCCTCCTATTGAATTTGATTGAAGGCATCAAGTCATTGCATTGTATACGGCGTTTATTTTGGGCGTGTACTCAATGCAGGCGCTTTGGGCTTGCAATGACTACCGGATGATACCCAGCATTTCATTTCATTCTGGTCTCCGCTTGGAATTCTCTCGAATTCGAATCAGTACATGGATAATCGATTTCAATCATGAATCCTTCGCTGGCCCCCTTCCAATCCAGAACCTGAAACTACGGAAAGGACCCACACGCTTGTCCGTGTTGTTATACTGATAATTTGGCCCCAAAGTCAGCTGATTTGTGCAGAAGTACAGCCACCCGTCCAAGATCGCCATGGAATCTGCATGTTGAATCATCGCATTACGAGCTAGTGTCCTTACGACATAGTCTTGTGCGGGAATTAGACCAGAACCACCAGGTGCGTTGCCGTTGACCGTTCTGTTGACTTGGGATTCTAGCGTGTCGACGTAGTAGATGGCGTTCTGTTCACTCGCTGCTATATACACGCGGCCTAGGTCGTCTGCGGAGAAGCCAGCTTGCTCGGATCCGCACTGGCCTGGGTTCTGCACCGCTGCAAGAATCTCGGCATCGGATTTTGTGGTGTTGACGAGCACTTCCTGTGATATGTAGTAAAAGCGACGTGATGCGAGGACGCCCCAGTACAGGTTGCCGGATGCTGTAACTGTCGTTAGTAACAGGGAAGGAGGATGACTCGATCTGAGTCTCACTTACCCAGGGCTATGCCATCTGCAGCAGTAGTCATATGGCCCTTCTTCGTACCGTTCCAGGTATAAATAAGCTCACCGGCGTAAGAACCTACATATTTCTCATCTGCTCGCACAACACTGGTGTTGAACAATCTGCGTGATGTACTGCCATCCTCGAGATCTACCACCAGGAGCGAACTGTTGGTGCTTGCATCTGGAATGAAGGCATAGCCTCCTTTCCCGCCAAGTGTCGTGTTGACTCTCATGTCATTCAAATTGGTTCTATGTGCTAGCAGTTCTTGCGGGATTGTGTAGGTACGAAGATGCTCAGCTGTCGTCTCGTTGAAACTCATAATCTTCGCACCACCATAGGTAGCGTCGATTTCTGGCGCTGTGTAGTAGGGAATCCCGCTATCCACAACCCAGAGTCGGCCTAGGTCGTCGCGGACGATGTTCTGCACGTTGATGAAGCATGTGCTCGGGTCTTGGCCAGCGGCACAGTTTTGAATGGTAGCATTTGGCCAGGGTTGCTCGTCATTGAAGGATGTACAGATGACTACGTTGTGAGGTGTTTGGCCAGCGTTGCGGGGATATGTGAGGTAGATGTTATGGTTCAAGTCGATGGCTAAGCCCGTTGGGGGTTTCTGACTCTCGTGCACTGTTTCTAATGATGGCTCGACGATAGGGAAGTCTTGGGGGTACGCCCCATGCCCAGTAGCCGGTAAGCCAGCGGTCGAAGTCTCAAAGTACTCGGTTGCTGACGAGGATGCAACGAGAAGGATAGCACCTAGTATGAGCTGCCGCATGATCTTCAGATTGGGAGATAGGTCTTGGGTAAAAGAGACGGATCAGCGATGTTGCGAACAGAAGACCACCAGAAAAGATGAGTGTCTACGGGTAAGTTGTTAATGACTGAAGTGATTGGAGACAGCAGGTTTAGTTCAAAGACTTGTGAGGGGACAACAAGGCAATATAGAAGATCCATGACGCCCAGCATAGCGTCATGTTGTACTAAACATGGATCCGTACATGTCTGTCGGTAACCCCTCCTTGAGGAAACGAGGACTAGTCGAGGACTTCAAGAATACTGATAGGAACGGGCGCAAACAACTACAAAACCAGACAGACTGCGTACACGGAGAAGCGCACATGATAAGACCCTGAGAGGACTGAGTGCAAACTCGGGCCCGAGGCTAGGAAGCTGCTCTCCATCGTTGAGGATTACCAGGACAATCGAGTATGTCCCGCTTGCTGCCGGCCTGATGTAGATCGTCTCGTTGGGTAATGACGATTTAGCGCAGCGGGAAAGCACGAGCCGACGCGACTCCCGAAACGCGTCTGCTGGGGAAAGCACGACCAGCCCTACCTCAACACTCATGAACCGCCTTTCACGACACACTTACAGCTATGCGTAGCTCCCATGTCCACCTACGCATTGCAGACGAAAACAATGCTGCAATCTGTCTCTAACACACCTATACAACTCTTGGGACTGTCCGCCAAACGCGACGAATCGAAATCACAACTGCCGTCGAAGCGAAAGAGAGATACCATATGTGGGTTGGGAGCTTTTAATAAACCCTTCACCATTAGGCCATACCCCGACTCGCCGTATGACAAGCCTGCGACTTTCAAACCGGTACGCGTAATCGGACGCTCGCAGCTGCCTCTTACATTCCTCGACACGTCCTCGGACGAGAATTTCGCCACCAACTCCCTCTTCTCCGCCCGTATCGACATACTAGAGCACAATGAAGATTTGCAAGAGCAGGAAAACGAAGTTCCAAAGGTGCTCATAGCACGATATGAATCGAAGCGGACGCTGTATGCCATAGAACGGGTACAGGCTCGGACATACAGTATATGCAGACTGGCGATTTGGGTCAAGGAGAAAGATGTTGCGGAGCTATGGGACCCCTCGAACTTGACAACATTGATTCTACCTCCAACTCTCCAAAAAGCTGAAGCAGATGTAGTTGCAGCTGGGGAATGGTGGCAATACGCTGTTGTGCAAATACCATCTGCAGGGCGACCGGCAAACCGTGCTAAGATGGCAATGATGCGGCCAAAGCAGGACCCCAAAGCGGCCGCAGATTCACAAGTGCTAGACAGTCTGGGACCACAAGAGGTTATGGATCTAAACGCAGAGCCATCGACGGATTTGCCATCGCCACAGGAGCAACTTGCATCGCTGCTTCAACAGTACCTAGACGCAGTGTACATGTCAAAAACATCTCTGGCCTACTTTGCAAAAGGCCCCATCACCCGCATACGCAATGCCTTCACATCACCCGAGGAGGGTGCGCCATCGACCTATGAATTAGTAACTTTCCTGAGATCGATGCTTCTGAGTCCCAAGGCTAGCGAGAAGAAGTACTACGAGAAACTGCCGGCTGTTATCAAGGCAATACCGCCAGGAAGCTTTTCCGACGATGAGCCAACTGCAGCGGCTGGCAAAGCAAAGAAATCGAAGAAGAAAGTGAAGCTTAGCCGAGAGGGAGTGTACCCTATAGAGGAGCCTATAATCAAGAAATGGTGGATGTCAGAGCTGCCGAATGGTGATAGCATGGGTGCAGAGTCGATGGACCAGCGCATCAAAAGGCGAATCGGAGAACTACGAGTTCGCGAAACACTTGCCCAAATGATTCTTATGCTCGAAATTGTGGCGCTTGAAGCACTATCTACACATAAGCCGCCCCCGGAAGAACGACCTGTCGCAGACGCTACGCAAGTTCAAGATGAGTCGCAGACGCAACCCAAGAAGCGGAAACGGAAACTTGACGATATCAGTCTACAACTCGATCTGCTGTTGGACAAACTGTGCATCTGGCATGCCACCGAGGAATTCGGAATCTTGGATTTTGACTCAAAGCCGTCAAAACAAAACGGTTATTCTGATGGCTTTGGCAAGAACGGGGCAAGCGACAGACTGCACAGCTTCTGTGTTGAAGTCATCATACCCTTCTACATGAATCGGCTCCCGGAGCAGGCCCTCATGGTTAACAAGAAACTCGGCGGTCCATCGCATACTTCGCCACCAAAGCGGAAGGCCATGAAGCCACCAACTGCCTCGCGCAAGTCGGGAGAACCGAAGGAGCCTGAGGCAAAGAAGTCACGACGATCGTTGGGAAGAGTAGCCACAGATACTACGGGAAAAACCGTCGAGCGAGTAACACCATCTCTGAGTCGATCTGCAACCGACTCTGCGCTTTTGAACGGTGTGAAACGAGAGGGGAGTGAAGTACCCCTCTCAGCCATACCATTCCACCGCAGCCCATCTAAGGGTGCTAGGCAATCCATGTCGCAGATGAGACATCTGCAGGGCCGTCAAATTGATTTTACGCGGCCCTCAGCTGCAGCTTCTGCGAAGATGAAGCAAAAGCAGCGTGTCGAGGAAGACCTGCAAGAGGCTATCCTGGCTTTGAAAAAGCCAAACCGAGGACTGGCTGCTGGAGGCTACATCGCTGATGTTGAAAAACGCACTCTTGGTTTGACTAGCAAGTCGAGGAAGCCTGCCAACCCCGTACGAAAGACTATCAAAGATGTTCAAGTCTCTGCAACCCCTAGAGTTGGCCGAAGAACAAAGGACATGATCGAACAAACACCTAGCCACGACCGCCACCACAATCCGTTCCTTCGACTTCCAAATGTCGAAGCGCCTCCTTCAAGCAACTTCTGCATCCCTTCCTCAGCCACTCGTCCACCATCTTCCATTGTACCGGCAACGGTCCAGCGTAGCGCAACGGCCCGCAGCCTAGCGCATTCTAAAATCGCCGAGACACCTTCCAAGGCGCCGAACACCAAATCCTTTTCCTCAGGGGCGGTTCGTAGGACGATCTTCGCAACCCCATCGAAAGTCGGTGCTTCCCCTCCAGATGGTAATCATTCCGTGCCATCACATGTGTTCGAAACACCTGCCAAGATCATGGGCAATTCGCCGCCCACGAAAGTTGATTTTACGCATCCCGCTGGTATGGCAACACCTACGAAATATGTACCTGTCTCAGCCAGTGTGACTGAACCGGCTGGCTGCTCCAACCCCGCCAAGGACGATGGAGGATCATCGATCTACGACGCCTTGGGTTGGAATGACGATGATGCCGAATTTTTATAGTTCCTTGCCCTTTTTGTTCATTTATTGCATTAGCGAGCGTGGAATGGGTCTTGCATTTGACGAAGCATTGGGCGGCGTAAGTAGCGTTCCAAAGTTGCACATGTTTGTACGGTCGCAAGAACTGTGGATACGATGGCCATTCATGGGTGTAAATTACCCAAACCAGTAAACAGGGCCCAATCAAGAAATTAGCATGAAATGCACAGATGTCTCGGCTCGATTTGACAGCTCTCAACTACCGTTCATGGTATAGCATGCAAACCATGCTGCCCTAAGGTGATGAGATTGGGAGTCGGCGTGGCGATCTCTCGACTACCAAGGCGCGATTATAGATCGTAAATAATCGGCCAGCCTTATTAGCAACTGCGGTACGTGATTGCTGCCCATTTCGCCCTTTCAGTTGCGAAGGCTTATGCAAAGAAGTTGAAGTTGAGTATTGCAAAGCGTACCTGTCGCGTCGCGTCGCACGCGTGGAATCGGTGCCGTCTCAAGCATATTAATCCTGCGCTCAACGAACAGGGATTCATGTGGTCGGCATTGCGGATATGAGCCAGCGTCCCTTGCAGCAAGGGAATTAGATGCGGGAGAGGGTGTTGGAGTGTCGAATCACAGATGGAGGCCATGGGCGGCGCGATACAATTTCCCGGCGTGGATCAGCCTCTGCCATTAGCTTATGCCCCTAATAAACCGCCCATCACAAGGCGGCACAGGTCAGTGCAGCTGTCTGCCCCAAGCAGGAGTTAGTTATGAAAATCAAAGATATGCGCCCGATGTCTCTTACTCACTCCTCCAAGTCCTGTCTTACCTGTCCTGACCCTCATTTGCGACCGAGGACTTGCGCGCAGAGACATTTGTTTCAAACATCAGCATCCCGAGCATGCTCAGCATCTCGGCCAAGCTAAGATAGCTTAGCCAACCTCGTAACCATGGCCGCAGTCGCAATGTCCCGTGCCGTTCCCTATGGCCCCCGTTCACCTACGCTGAGCGATGCGGGCATGATTCTTCCCCATGAAACCAGATTCGAGCGCAGTGTCTCGCCGCCACCATATATCGAACGGCCGCCTTCACCACCAGTCCTCTACGCTGACTCGAGTCACATCAAACCAAGTTCCGCACCCCAGAGCCGACGCCGCGCCTCGCAACACAACAAGTCTACGCCGCTCTCATCGCGTTCCTCGCGCTCCACGCTGCGCGCCATGGCCAGCCCCGAGGCAGTTGCTAAAGGAGCGACTGTCCGCGACGATGCCCTGGCGTCTTCGCCAACCATCCACAATGCCCTCAGTAGCCACCTCTCGAGCAATTGGAACGACCAGCGCAGACTCAGCACCGCGTCGAGCTCAGTGCTCAGCGAGGATTTCGAAAACTGGCCTGGGTTCGACAGTCACCAAACATACAACGATGGCGGCGTGGACCTGGAGAAGAAGGGCAAGCGTGATCACTTCCCGGACGACTCGGACATTGGGGACGACGACGACATGGGGAACGAATCATGGCAGAATGAGCGGAATAGCGGTAGCGACGAGGATGACGGCCCATACTCTTCAGCAGCTCTCAGCAGACGAGCGGAGATCATCCTCGCTAATGCTAAGAAGCGACTCAATGTATGTGTAACCTTGAAGTGCAAGGCGATTGGACGAGTGCTGACGAAGACAGGTCATGGAAGGAAACCTCAGAGGTGCACGAGAATCGCTGGTTGTCTCGCCGACGTTGGGCGTACCCAACAACTCATCCGACTTGTCACAACATATATCAGCAGCGCGAGAACGAGACAGGCGATTGTACGCTGGAATTGGGCCGATACCCCCGCGCATTTACTCCTATCGACCGTCCCCACTTTCTCCGAGCAGCAGTTCAGGCCACCTGCGAGGTGTGAGCGAGACATCTGTGCCGATACCCTTTACACCCTCATACATATCGAGAAACGCGACGACGAACAAGCGAGCCTCGAGCGCAATAGGTCACACGACTGGCCCTTGGTCACATGAGGGATACGGGCAGGGCCGCTTCCCCATCAAAGAGTCGCGAAGTGTCGAAGTACTACGAGATCCCCGAAATACCTGGGGCACTGCTGAACGAGAGAGCGTTGTGAGGTCGACTTCACGAAGTTCAAGGTCTCCACCTGCACTGGAGACTTTGCCAGAAGACGAGGCCGGGTCTGAACTGCGTCGGTCTGCTTCTGCAGCGAGTGGCCTCCGCGACCAGATGAACGATCTGAAGGGAAGGATATCAAGCTTGAAGCTGAAGGCGCAAGAGGACCATCTTCGACGTCGCAGCATCCAAAGCCTTCGCACACCTAGTCCATTCACGTCTGCCGAAACCTGGTACTCTGGGACGAACGCCCATCAATCTGGAGGTTCTCCCGTCACAGCAAACGCGGGTTTGGGTATCAAGATAGGCTCCCCCACACGGACAGCCATGTACGAGGACGACTACAATCAGACATCCTCACCCAGGACTACAACTTCCCAGAAGGAGGGCGAGAAGTTGGTAACCTACAATGATGAGTCGGAGACACTGCCGAAGGACGATGACGCCGAGGAAACGGATGAAGGCGACTTCGTGTCTGTGAATGGCGATGACTTGGAACCTGGCGCCGACAGCGTCTATGAGGACGCAGTATACGAAATGCCTGCTACGGAGCGTCACGAAGACCGTGTAGATGCCTTCGACTATGAGAACTTTTTTCTACACAGTGCTATGGGAACGTACAGCTTGGAGGGCCGCAGATCTAGCACAAGTTCCGGCAGCTCTACTGCCACTACGCGACCGGTGACGGCTGTTCAGACCAGCGAAGAGTTGAGCAGCACAGAGAAAAGAATCTCGTATCATCAACGGACTTCAAGCGTCGACTCGGTGTCGACGGTGGCCACATTCGCTACGGCTGCAGAAGAGCAGTCGGACGATGAAGAGGAAAACGAGCAAATGGATCAATTCTCCCAACAGATACTCTCCTCGCAACACCCAATCACATCACGTCCTGGATTGCCGAATGGCCTCGCGTCACTACGCTCTGATTCTGCGATCAACATGAGGCGCGGCAACGGCTCATCGCCCACTCAGACGTCGATATCCCGCGGCTCCTCTTCTCCCGCAGACTTTGCTGGTGGACTTCAGACGTCGAAGATCTTCTCCATTCTGACCGAAGCTTCGCGAGATGAGCCGCGTCTGGCATTGAGTGAAGAAGAGACGCAGCTCATCTACGGGCTTGCGGCCAGCTTCCAGCAAGTGTGCGCCAATCTGCAGAATACATACGGCGAGGCGTACGAGCGCAAAGCCTGGCGGCGACGCCTTGACGAGGCGCGAAGAGTTCTCAGCGGCGAAGAGCTCGATGATGACCAGTCTTTCTAATGTCCAGTCCACTCCTTTCAGTCTCTTTTGTTCTTAAGCTTGGTAATGTCTACTTGCTCTACTGCGTTTTAGCGCTTTGCTTCGTTCTATTCAGACGGCCCATACTTGCCATTACCTATATGATTATAATCTCCTTGACAACATTGGTATCGATTCTGTCTATCTTTTCGTCATTTTGTATCTTGCCTTGGGCAAAGTTTCTTGTCTCTGTTTTTGGGAGTTTCATGGTTATAGACTTGTTGCTACATGTATTGATACCCGGAGGTGGAGTAGCAGTGGAGTTGTGGCTCCGGTGTGTGTGGACTCGTTTGGCGTTTGGTTCCATGTACTCGAGCTCTAGAACTCTCGTATATGTATATAGGTAGCTGTCACTGACGTAGGGTCGTCTCCCAACCCAACGCCAGGCAATTGAAAATAGTACCCAGCACGCTGTCCATTGGGTTGAATTGTCTTCTAGAGCCATGGGCTAGAATTTGGAAGAAGCGAAGAGAGTCCCCAGGCGGTCGAACCCATGATGTCTACGAAACTATGGCTCCATGGCTGGTTGACATGCTGTTGACAGCCCCACTGTACAGCGTCATCTCCACGACCTAGGCACTGCAGACCTCAAACTGCTATGCGTTGTCCATGTACCATAGTGTCGACGAAGAGCGAAAGCGGCAGCTCTCATGTCGGTTCACTACTTTGTGCAGGTTGCCGCGCTCTGCGATTGGCCTCTGGGGCGGTGCGATTGGGCAACCTGAGCGATTGAAGACTGGCGGTGAAGTAACGAGGCGCGCAGTGGGCCAATTGCGGAGAGCAAGAGTGGGTACGTAGAGGTTAGCTGTCCGTGTTGGCAACGTAGGTCGCAGGAGTGACTAGGCAAAGAAGAGCGGGTTCCGGGAGTGCTATGCTTGCTCCCTGCACCGGGCAGAACTAACTGTAAGGCATGGTGGCATGGCATGGCACAACACTGGCAGCTCCTCCACCACCAGGGCTCACTCATATGCAAAGTCCCATGTGCATGTGCACCCGCGGACCTAAGCCTAAAATTTTCTCCAGCCGATATACCATCTCTCTCTTGCCCGCTATCGCGCAATAATCGTTCTTTTTTCCCTGCAGAAGCATCTGATCTTGCTTGCCATCTCACCACGCACCACTCACCTCTCTCACTCTGGACCGACCCCTACTTGGCTAGATTCGCCTCCTCCACCCCCTCCCCCCAGCAGCACCGGCTGTTTATTATACCCCTCGAACGAAACACCCCTCAATTTTGGAGATTCCGCCTGCTGGTCCGGGCGCGTGTGTAACGAGGTGGATGATTGCTACGAATCGCACGCTTCAACAGGGCTTGGGTGCGCGCAAGGAGGAGAGGCTATTCGACGAGCCGATAACGATTGGCGTTGCGGGAGCTCATCCACACCCATACCCATACCCATACCCATACCCATACACACCCACACAGGCTGAGCAGCAGCAGAGGCTTGTGACCACTCGCGACGCCTGCTCCCCTTCTTGGGCCCCCTCTGCCTCATTGCCTCTCTCTCTCTGCCACTCGCTGACCCGCAAACCTGCATCTTCCTGCATTGATCTGATCTGTACCTGCGACCAGGACAGTGTTTCGCCCAATCCGCTAATTCGACTTTCCCTTGCGCCCTACCTTGGACTGTAAACAGAGCTGTTGTTGCATCGCCAGACTTGCTGGTCGACGAGCTCTTGTTATTTGCCCTTCTTGTACCACCAATCCTGCTGCTGCTGCTGCACGCTTCTTCGAGTCCCTGCAGCACAAGAACGAACGGTTCACATCCACAATAGCGCACCCAGATCCTCCACCACAACACCAGCCGCCCTCGCAATCGCATCGCATCGCATTCGCCTCTTGCCGCTCATTCCTTTGCGGTTTCGCACGAGCGCTCATGTGCCCACCTCTGCCCGGCTCCTTCTGTTTGCGCGTCTCCAAATACTCGCACAATGTCCCCCGCCAGCTCTCCTCGCGCTACCGCAGACGCACCATCTGCGAGACCAAGGACCCGGCCGCCCTCGAGGACTGCATCAGCTGAAAGTGCCATCACTGCAAAGAGCGAGGAAATGCACTCTATGCGTGCGCGTGCGTGGGAAGCAGCCACTTGCACCTCGGCAACTACACCTGCATGCGAGTCTGAGATTGGCGAGCCGATCGCTGAGTTGATGGAGGATATATTTCACGCGCTGCAGCCGCTGCAACGCCGGGGCACTGGAACAAAGAAACCCAGTAGGAGCGCTTTCTCGGTATGACGACACAGCTTTGTTTGATCATTTTCTACCTCGTTTTGGACTGCAAATACCCCACAGTTTCCAAATCTCCATGCGATCAAGTCACCACGCTTGTACATTGTTTTGCTTTATTGGAGCTCAATATCTGACCAGCACTAGTTTCCTGTTCGCTCTCCAGAGTTCTGTAATTCACAAACTTGGAGCTATGGAACGCCACCGCCTTCCTACGATGAATCTATCGCAGACCTACCTCCTGACTATACCTCGACTGATGCGCTGGCCAATTTGCAGTCACCTGAATATACTCCATTCTCTTCTCTTAACGCCTCTCTATGTTCAGAAGTCCCAAACTGCCTGCGAATAAGTAGCAATACGTCACCTACCTCTTCGCTCTTCTTCGACGAAAAATCTGTGTATGCAGACATTGACTTCGGCTACTGCGAGACTGGAATAAAGTCCCATGCGAAGAAAAAGACCAAAGCTGCTGCTAAGAAGGCACCAGCCGCGGGAGCTGACGATGGAGAGAAGAAGAAAGAGGAAGAGCCTGCTGCCAATGGTGATAATAGTGGGGGTGATCCTCCCGCGGACGGTGGGGCAGGAGGTGGCGATGGCGGAGATGGAGGTGGAGGTGGCGGGGACAAGGGTGGTGATGATTGGGATACGTGGGGTACAGGTACAGGTAAGAAGGACAAGAAGAAAACCAAAAAGGAGAAGGAGGAAGAGGAGCGTTTGAAGAAAGAGGAGGAAGAGCGGGTCAAGAAGGAAGAAGAAGAGCGGCTGGCAAAGGAGGCAGAAGAGGAAGCTGAGCGCAAGAAGAAGGAAGAGGAAGATGCGGCCGCTGCCGTAGCAGCAGCAGCGGCTACAAGTCCCTCCGCTGACCTAAGTTGGGCCAATTCTGCCACAAATAATGACGAGTGGGCGTCCTTAGGAGTTGCCCCCGTCAAGAAGAAGAAGGGGAAAAAGGGGAAGGTTCGCAATCTCGGCTACTTGATTACACGTTGCAGCGCGCTAACTTCACCATAGACGGCCGAACCCGCGCCTCCACCTCCTCCTGATCCACCTGCAGTAGAGGTAGCAACATCATTTGACGATATAAACCTTGACGACGGGGTACCGAAAATTGATATGAATTTCGGTGATACTGGTGATAAAGGAACGGCAAAATCTGCATTTGGGCTTCCTTCATTAAGCAATTGGACTTCAGGCTGGGGTTCATCGCTTGACGGCTCAAAAGATCCCAATGCTGGCGGTGATAATCCCTGGGATTCTGCAGATAAGAAAAAGAAGGATTCGTCTGGATTTGACTTCGACTTTGATGCTGCGTTCAAAGGCACAACGGAAGCTGCTCCGGCAACTGAAGAGAAACAACCCGAAGATGACGGCTGGGGCATCGGCGTTGGAACAACCAAGACCAAGAAGAAGGGAAAGAAAGGCGCCCTAATCGAGGACTCGGTTCCGGACGCACCAGCCCCGGCCCTTGAGCCTGAGAAGAAAGAGGATGATTTAAACGCCTTCACCTTTGGAGGTGCCAAAGACAAGAAGAAAAAGAAGAAGGGGGCCGTGGTCGAGGAAGTTCCCCCGCCTCCACCGCCAGAACCGGAACCGGAACCGGAACCAGTAGTCGAGCCTGAACCCGTACCAGAACCGGAACCTGTAAAAGAAGAAGATCCTTGGGGTGGTTGGGCGGCGGGTGCATCAACGGTTAAGAAAGGAAAGAAAGGCAAAAAAGGGGCGAAAGAGGAACCCAAGATTGAGGAACCTCCTCCGCCTCCTCCTGAACCAGAACCTGTACCAGAACCAGAACCTGTGCCCGAGCCCGAGCCCGAGCCGCCAAAGGAGGAAGTCCCGGCTGTTGACCCGTTTGCTGGACTTAGCAAGGCGCAGAAAAAGAAACTTGAGAAGAAGATGAAAGACGACGCAAAGCTGAAGGAGCAAGAGGATGCGAAGCGCCAGAAAGAAGACGAGGAGGCGGCCGAGCTTAAGAGGCAAGAGGAGGAAGACGCGGAACGAATCCGATTAGAAGAGGAGGAAGCAGAGAAGAAGCGATTAGAAGAAGAAGCCGCTGCTGCAGAAGCAGAGAAGCCTAAGAAGAAAGAGGACGACATTTGGGCCGATTTCGCTGCCCCAACTACTACAAAGAAGAAGAAAAAGAAAGGCGCCAAAGACGAACCAAAGGTCGAAGAGCTTCCACCACCTCCTCCACCTCCACCTCCTGAGCCAGAAGTCGTGCCTGAGCCAGAACCTACGCCACCTGCTGAAGAGAAGCCAGCTGAAGGTTGGGATGACTGGGGCACAACTGCGCCTGTCATAAAGAAAGGCAAAAAAGGTAAAAAAGGCGCCGCGGCTGCAATCGTTCCTCCCAAGGAAGAGCCCGTCGTCGAACCCCCTCCACCGGCCGAGCCTGAACCAGAACCAGAACCAGAACCAGAACCAGAACCAGAACCGGAACCCGAGCCGGAGCCGGAGCCGGAACCTGTCGTGGCTAAGAAAGAAAGCACAGATTGGGGGATTAGTTCAATCTGGGGAGGTTCAAAGAAGAAAAAGAAGGGTAAAACCGTTGAGCCAGAGCCAGAACCGGTACCCGAGCCAATCATCGAGGATCCAGCCGTTGTTCAAGAGCCTGTTGCTGTCGAGGAGCCTAAGGAAGAAGAGGAAGACGATTGGGGTGCGCCATCTTGGAGTAAGAAGAAGAACAAGGATCCGAAGAAGGATGCTCCCATTGAAGTCATCGAAGACACTACAACGCCCGTTCAGAAGCCAGATGAGGATGATCCATGGGGCAGCGCAGCATTCAACATTGGCAAGAAAGGGAAAAAGGGGAAAAAGGGTGCCGTCGTACCCAATGCACATGCGCCTTCGGGAGATTTAGAGGCGGAGTTTCCGTCACCCAAGGAGATCGAAGCGCCCCCGCCCGTCGAAGAGGAGAAGAAAGAAGAGGATGACATTTGGGGCTTTGCTGCTACTTCCTCCAAGAAAAAGAAGAAGAAGGGCGAAACTGCCGACGATACCCTTAGCAAGACAGTGTCCAGGGACTCCGCGTCGAAGTCAGCCAATGACACTTTTGAAGACCTCATTTCGCTTGATGATCCACCTCCAGCGGAGGTAGTACCTGTGGAGGAAAAGAAAGACAAAAAGGACAAGAAGGAAAAGGAGTCCGCGAAGTCAAGCATGTGGGGCGCATTTGGTGGTTCATCTTCCAAAACTGCCAAGAAAGAGACTTCTTCTGAGAAGAAGGTTCGTGAGAAACGCGAAAAGAAGGAAAGAGAGGAGCAAGAGCGTTTGGAGAAAGAGGCTGCCGAGAAGGAAGAAGAGGAGCGTCTCGCCCGTGAAGCTGAAGAGGCTGAAGCAGCTGAGAAAGCTCGCATCGAAGCTGAAGAAGCCGAGGCAGCTCGAATTGCTGAAGAAGAGGCTGAAGCAGCTCGAATCGCTGCCGAAGAGGAAGAGAAGAAGAAAAAGAAAGAAGAGGAGGAAGCGTCAAAGAGCTCTGGGTGGGGCGCTAGCATCTGGGGCACAAAGTTGAAGAAGACGGAGACTACGAAAGACAGGAGAGCCCGCGAGAAGCGAGAACAAGAAGAAAAGGACCGCCTCGAGCGCGAAGAGAAGGAACGTGTTGAGCGCGAAGAAAACGAACGTTTTGAACGGGAAGAGCAGGAACGACTTGAACGCGAAGAGACGGAACGGCTCGAGGCAGAAGAAACAGCGCGTGTTGCTGCAGAGGAACAAGAGCGGATTGATCGCGAGGCGGCAGAAGCTGCAGAGGCGGCCGAGAAGGCTCGAGTTGAAGCTGAGGAAGCTGCAAAGGCAAAGGCCGAGGAGAGCTCTGGATGGGGTATATTTGGCTCATCGAAGAAGAAGGAAACCTCAAAGCAGAAGCGCGAGCGTGAGGCCAAGGAAAAGAAGGCGCGTGAAGAGGCGGAGAGACTAGAACAGGAAGCCAAAGATGCCGCCGAGGCCGCCGAGAAGGCACAGAAAGACGCTGAAGAAGCTGAATTTGCACGGATTGCTGCAGAGCAAGATCTCATTCTCGAGCCCGTCGTCGAGCCCGTCTCGAAGGATAAGAAAAAGAAAAAGAAGAGGGGTGTTGTCGAGGAACTTCCCCTCCCGCCTCCCCCTCCGCCTGCGGACCCTATGAACGACGACGACCTGTTCGATCTGGTCAAGGACGTGCCTGCGGATGAACTGCTCGCCGAACTTGGAATGGTGAATAACACTAAGCCTGAGGAAGTAGTAGTAGAAGAAGAAGAGGCAGAGGCAGAGGCAGAGGCAGAGGCAGAGGCAGCAGCGGCTAGCGGCTGGGGAAGCGCTTGGGGTATATCACTTCGCAAAACGAAAAAGGTAGAACCAAAGGTGGAGGAGCCTGTGATCGCTGAGTCAGCGCCAGAGGAGCCAGTTCTCGAGGAGCCCCCGAACGATCCAGAACCTCCGATTGCTGACGACCCTCCGCCCAAGGCAACCAAGTCCTCCAAAAAGTCAAAGTCCGGCTTAGTTTCCGAACGCTCAAGTAAACTGAAGAGCAAGAAGGATAGATATGTTGAGCCCGAACCAGAGCCCGAGCCAGAGCCTGTTGTAGAAGAGCCTGCACCTGAACCTGAACCTGAACCTGAACCTGAACTGGACCCTGAGCCTGAGCCTGAACCCCCTGCGGTTGAGATCATCGAACCGACTCCTAAGAAGTCTTCTAAGAAGGAGAAGAAATCCAAGAAGTCAAAATTCGAGACGGATACTCCACTTGTGATCCCTGCGCCCGATCCTGCACCTGTGGAGGTTCTCACGAGAAGATCGCCTGTGCCAGGCGGTTTCCCGATGGACGACGATATGGACCTGATTGACGTGGGCAGCCCGCCGCCGCCACCGCCACCGCCAGAGCCTGTAGAGCCCGAGCCCGAGCCTGTTGTCGTTGTAACTGACAAAAAGGGGAAAAAGCTTAAGAAGAGCAGCAAATCAAGAACTGTACCTATTTTCGAAGCACCACCTCCACCGCCTCCCCCGCCACCACCGGAGCCTGAGCCTGAGCCTGAAGCTATCGCTGAGGATGCACCCGCAGATGGTGACCTACTAGACTTTGACGATGCCGCCCCCATGGAGGTTGACGATGCTCCAGCCAAACTTCCTACTCCGCCGCCTGAAGTGAAGGCAGACTCCCCGAAGAAGGAACGTGTGAAAGTTGCCCGCAGTGGAGCGGCTGGATCATGGGGCTTTTGGGGAGGTGGTGCTGCTGCGACTCGGCAGAAGCCCAGAACAAAGTCTGGCGGTGAAGATGGAGCAAGTAGTGCGGCTGCTGCTGTAAAACCCAGTATAGTCCGCTCGAAGTCGGTGCGCACTACATCAACAAGAGACAACGATGCCAAGTCACGCTCGTCAGGATCTGACAAGCTTTCAGGAGCAAAGGCACCATCCATGTCACACTCCAAGCCAAGACGCACTTCGACTGGGCTGGGCTCGCTCTTTGGAGTTGCGCCTCCCCCGCCATCTCGTTCCAAGTCCAAGCGAACTTCTGGGACAGTTAGAACCATGTCTCGTCGGGCGTCCATCGATCACGATGCTGCAATGATGTCGCCACCACAGACAGATACTGACGTCAAGGTATCAGCGAAAGCTGCAAAGGTCATGGGTATGAAGAGTGCTTCGCGCCGCGCCAGTACTAGGGACAAGGGTAAAGCTAGAGGTAAGAACTTCCCACTAAACAATACCGGCGCATCATTGGCTGGTGAACGCGTAAGCAAACGGCACGGAACTAACCGACTGGCAGTTGTCCCCGACCCGTATCCCATCCAGGATGACCTCGAGCTGCTGGACGATGAATCTCCGACACCAACGCCCAGACCAGAGCCGTCGCGTCGCAAGTCAAAGCGCGACTCGGTGCAGCCCGTCGAGATCCTGACCGCGCCGCCTAGCGCCGACGATCCGGTTGTTGTTGACCCCTTGGAGGTGGACCCGGCCCCAGCTGAGGCTGAACGCCCCCGCCGCGAGCGCGAGCGTGAACGAGAACGAGAACGACCCCGTCGTGAGCGTGGCAACTCTGATGCCATGGGTACTCTTGCTGGTGTTGCAGGTACCGCTGCTGCCGTAAGCGGCTTCAAGAATATGTTTGGTCTGGGTCGCAAGAAGAACGCGCCGGAAGAGCGCCACAAGACTGCTTATGAGACAGAGGACGAGCGCAGACGTCGCAAGCGATCCACGACGCGCGGTGGAGCGACCGAAGACGAGGCAAAGCGACTGCGACACGAGCGCCGCAGTGTTCGTCATCCGCGCGTGCCCGATGAGGCCGACTTCATGGTCTCTGGCGCAAATGGCGGCGTGAACGGCGGCAGCGACCACGACCCCGAGCGCGAAGCACGACGAGCTGAGCGCAGGGCTCGGCGCGACGCAGACAAGGGCTCTCGACGGGCAGAGCTCGAGGACGTCGAAGCAAAGGCTGAGCGTCGCCGTGAGCGTGAGCGCGGCAACGAGCGCAACATCCTCGCGGAGAAGAAGGCCCGCCAGATGGCCGAACTGGAGCGTCGCAATCAGCAGGCTGAGGAGGAACTACGTCGTATGGCAGAGAAGGACGAGCGGCGAAAGGCACGCACCGAGCGCAAGCCAACCGAAGACAAAGACCGCGAGCACCGTTCCTCGCGCCGCAAAGAAAAGGAACACGAATCTGCTCGACCTCACACCGAGCGCCGTCGCTCGCACATAGACGATGACGCAGAACGCCGTCGCCGCCACGAAGAGCGCCGTGCTGCTAGACGCAACTCAGAGTACCCTGCGCCCTCAAACGGCGAGCCCATCACCGACTACTTTGACGAGCGCAACGGCGGTGCCCCGCGCTCCAAACATCGCAGTTCGCGCGCCGCACGGGAAGAAGAGAACCAGCCGTACATCAACAAAGGCCCCGACAAGACCTCATCGTGGGTTGAATCTCTGTCCAATGAACCACCGCTACCCCCGCCCATCTCTGAAACTGTCCTTGATCCTCCCCCAGGCGCGCACGATGATGATGACCCCGAAGATGAGGTGACGGCCTCCCAGGATGAGGATATCCGTCTTCGTATCGCAGGGCGCAGAGGCGCCAAACGGGACAAGGAGCGCGGTGAAAGGGGCGGCAAGGAACGAGATCGATCCCGCGGTGCAGACAGGGATCGCAAGAGCCATCGTCGACAAAGCCACTACGAGAGCACGAGGGGTGGTGGTGACGAAGAAAGGGACAGGAAGAGAGAAAGCAAGAGGAAGAGCCATGTCCCATCGGCGGCGTATGAGGAGCCGCCGGTTCGGACATGGGACGGCAGACCGGCGCTGGACAATGGAGGGGGCGGTGCTGGAAAGAGGGGCAGTTGGTTTAAGAAGATCGCAGGGTTTTGAGTTGCTACGACATTTGACGTTGTTCGGATTTTGATGATGCATTGCGCGGCGTTATTGTTTTTCGACGATTCGACGTTCGATATCCCATTCTCCTACCAAAGCAGCATTGTTAGCACGGGATCTCTTTGTAATATCCTTGGATTTTCACGTCTGCGTTATTTTGTGCCTGATTTGGGGGGGTTACGCTCGATACGATACTGTTTGGCTTCTCTACTACTATATTTGAGCGTGCTTTTTGTCTTGTAATATTCTTGTTGTTGCTGTTGTCGTTGTTGTCGTCTTTGTTTACGTTTGGATACATGTGGGATGAAGTTTGTTGGAATATCATCGTGAGATTAGATACCCCTCCTTGGTTCTATACAAAGAAGTTGCACGCAAAACTGCTGCTCATAGCTTCCCCCCCCCCTTCCCTTCCATTGTTATGACGTTCGTTGTGGCGAGGTTGGGCATTGCGCCGTTTGGGCATTGCTTCGTGTGCAGATGCGGTTGGACGGTTCATATGAGGACTGCAGATCACTTCTGCAAGTCTTTCCTTTGACAACTGTCCACGTCGAGACGGACCCCAGAAGATATTGTTCGAGTAACAAGTTGTTGAACGCATAGAGGTATTATCAGACATTGCCTAACCCAACCATGACGCGCCTGTCGCCGTACCCATGCTAGTATCCGAGGAAGCTATATCCTTATTCGTGATTATGTTCTGGCCGCATTCTCTATCATGACTTGTAACAGCCGCATCTACTACAGCTGCACGGCCGCTCCTTCTTCCCCTGCCTGCACATCCATCTCCTCGTCTTCATCATCTTCCTCCAGCTCCTCGTCCTCGTCTTCAAACCCCGTTTCCATCTTCAACGTCTTCAGCCTGTCTTTCATTTGGTCCCTTTGATCTGCCTGCCATCTCGACAATGCTGCCGCAGCATGGACTTTGAATCCAAACACGCGCGGCTCGTATCGACGTTGTGTTTTCGGTGGTAACATTGCAGGGTAGACTTGGAAAAGGATGTTGTGAAAGGAAGTGCCAAAATACGCGCCATCAATCACGGCGTGTCGCGACGACTTGGGGTTGTACAGGTCTTCGCAGCGTGCGCAGTAGAGTTTGACGGGTGAAGTGTTGGGTACGTCGGACTGGCCCATGGGGAGCAGAGGTTGTGATTCGCACATTACGCGCGGGCATTTGCCAAAGTCGGACTTCTTGAACTTCTCGAGCTGGTGGGAATACATTAGTCTTTGAGCCTTCGACACAGCTAACATGTTCCAACGTACCATTTTTGCCAAACCCCTAGTTGTGACAATATATCTCGCGTGTACTAGTCCATACAAGTGTCGCGCCGACTTCTCAATCTGTTCCCGCATATCATCGTCGCAGTCGAAGTCGAAGACATCCGTTACAAGGTCGAGCGCGTATTGGTAGTACTGGACTTCGGTGTTCAGGCCCGTGAGGTTGAAGCGGTCGGTCAGGTATTCTTCGTCGATCTCGCAGAAGTACTCATTTCCTCGTGATGATATGAACTACTACAAGGTCAGCATATTGCTCCAGCACCCAACCATTCATGGCTACACTTCGAGTTTCCAGGTTAGTTGTGTGATTGAGAAACCAAGGCCAATCTAGAGACATGAGGACGGATGCAGGGGACCAAGGCCTTGTGAAGAAGAGGTCAGGCAATGCGTGGAAATGGCGGCATTTGATAACTGCGAAGAAGCCTTGGAGAACACACGTCGGGCTAAGGCACGATTAGGACCAAACTCCAGTTGGATGAAAGGCAAGACGTACCAGGCAATCATGGACCTCGTCCTACCCCCGTTGCTTTTTGTCACCACCATGGTAAACTTCAAGGTAGGAACCAATGATATAGGAAATGTAGGGTGATGTTATGGAAAGTCAAGTACCTACCCAATCCCGCCAGTAGCTTGTGTAGTCGCTATCTGTTTCGCTATTGAAGTCGTCCATGTTGCGCCTACTCCTAGAGGTATATGTCGAGAGCACGAGACGTGGTTGGGGTTGTGCAGGCTATTGCCACCAAGGTGGTGGGGTGAAGCGGTGAGGCGCAAACACGGTTCCAGGCGCGGCTGCGGAGTGAAATGCGCACTGGTGGGATGGCTGCGGGCGGTTGCATCCATGCCCACTTTCAGGTTTATCCGATCCGGATGCGCTTACCGCTTCGGGCGGCCTCACGTATCATCTTTGAATACTTGTAGTGCTTCAGCGACACCGTTCGCCGTTCAAGTAAGGCATTGGAGTTGGTGCACGGATAATAGTTACATTGAGTTATTCATTAATACTCCATCTAGTCGGAGCATCGTCACAAAGCGTCTATTCTCGCTCTGATAAGCTAGAACAGGGGCGCATCTCTTCCATGATACTTTGACCCCATGATAGAGACATCCACAATAACTAACTAAGCAATACATCATCCTCGTAATATCATTAGACTTGGATAGAGACCAAAGAACCACCAGCGTGTACCTTGAACAACCGCACCCCTGTCATCTCTTAACCCGCAATGCGCCTTGCTAAAAGCAGCTAGACCATCTTACCCCAGCTTCGCTTTTACCATCGGTCGCTCCCGAGGCCCGGTTGCTGTCGGCTTTACCTCACAAACCTACCTCGCCGTCACAGTACTTGATTATGTTCCTTTCGCGTGCGAAAATTGTCTGCAAATTCCACCCACCATGAAATCTTTCGCGTGTAGAGAGGTCCCGCGACTACTGTCCAGGTCAAACATTGCCCAACGCGGGTCAATTGCAACTTCGAGGAATGCAAACACACCGGGATATAGGTGGAAGCAAGAACAGAGACGAGGGCTCTGTGAGACGAGGAGGTTACTAGTCGTGAAGCCCTACCTACTGGCAGATATTGGAGAGGGTAAGTGTTCGAGCCTGGGTTTAGTATGTCAGACTAACTTTGTGCAAGGTATCACCGAATGCCAGGTCATTCAATGGTTCGTGAAGCCCGGAGCGCGCGTCGAGCAATTCGACCCTATTTGCGAGGTACAATCAGACAAGGCATCAGTTGAGGTACGTGTAGAGGCACATACAAAGGCGCAAAAGGCTAATCCCGCGGCAGATCACTTCACGGTTCGATGGCGTTATCAAGAAGTTGTACTACGAGCCGGACGATATGGCCAAGGTTGGGAAAGTATGAACAATTTTAGCGAGCACGAAGTACTCGGGTTAACTTTTGCAGCCTCTAGTCGACATCGACATCCAGAGCGAAATCTCCTCGGCTGACGAGGCCTTGCTTAGCGGAGGTTCAGGCAAACAAACAGAGCAAGATACATCGAACCAGTCACAACCACAAGAGCAGGTGTTGGAGGTCGGAAGGAATGACACGAAAGCCGCCATTGGAGGTGCACCGACATCAGACCAATCCGTAGCTTTGCCTCGCGAACCAGCTCAAGAGGATTCGGAACCAAAACGGCAGCCAGGAAAACACGCTTTGCTAGCCACGCCTGCTGTGCGACACATGATTAAGGAACACAAACTCAAAATAGAAGAAATAGAAGGCACAGGAAAAGAAGGCCGAGTGTTGAAAGACGATGTGCAACGACACATTGAAACAGCAAAGCAGTCCACCAACATCCTCCCAACAGCCACCGCACCGGCATTCAGCCCTAGCCAGCAACAAGTCGAGGACCAAGTCAAGTCCTTGACTCCAATTCAATCCGGCATGTTCAAGCAAATGACGAAATCCCTCTCAATACCGCACTTCCTCTACACAGACGTCGTAGACTTCAGCGCCCTGGCCTCCCTTCGCAAAAAGTACAACGCCGGCCGTGAGAAGCCAGACCGCATTACACCACTCCCCATCATCGTCAAGGCCGTCTCGCTAACCCTGCAACGATTCCCGCTACTAAACGCACACCTGGATACCACCACCAACCCCGACAAGCCCCAGATCATACTAAAGGGGAGCCACAATATCGGCATAGCAGTCGACTCTCCCTCTGGCCTCCTCGTCCCCGTAATAAAGTCCGTACAGAACCACAGCATCGCCTCTCTCGCGGAGGAAATTCAACGTCTCAGTGGCCTCGCCCGGGCTGGCAAACTAACTTCCGCCGATCTCACCGGCGCCACATTCACAGTCAGTAACATCGGAAGTATAGGCGGTCTAGCCGTAGCACCTGTTATCGTAGGACCGCAAGTGGGCATATTAGGCATTGGTAGGGCGAGAGTTGTACCGGCGTTTGGGGAGAATGGGGAGTTGGTGAGGAGGGAGGAGTGTGTGTTTAGTTGGAGCGCAGATCATCGGGTCGTGGATGGGGCGTATGCGGCAAGGGCGGCGGACGAGGTTAGGAAAAGTATTGAGGGTGTGGAAACGATGTTGGTGCGGATGAGGTGAAGCTGTAGAAGGGTAGAAGATCCATTATAGATGAGCATCTAAAAAGCATTCAAGTTTAACCTTCCACATGCTGCAAAATTTGAGTGACATCCAAAAATTTATCTAACAGTCTGATGTCGAAGGTATGTTCTTCAATCAGCATGCCTTCTGGGGGGCGTTTGATGTCCCCTTATGGATGTGATGGATTGCTATTTTCCAGTCAAACTCAAGGTGAGACCGAACGATCATTATGATTGACTAGGGTAATTCGTCCACATCAGGTTCCAACTTCTCCCTCTCACTCCACCTCCTTAGCCTAGCCTGCACGCTGTAGTACCTGCTCAAGGCTGTTCTTGCTGTTCGTGTACGTTTTCTCTAGGTAGTCCTCCTTCTTATCGAGATTTGACATCTCTTTGGTCAACGCCTCGCCCTCCTCTTTCAGCCTCTTCTGCACGTCTGGAATGGGTGTGCAAACAAACCTGACATAGAAGATCAGATTTTAGATACATCATTTAGGAATGCAGCCGTCATGTAATAATTGATGTTGCTTCTACGGCCTGGGGTGCTCCTGGTCACGCGGGGGAGTAGATTAGGATGAGTTACTCACATCTTTCCCACGCCTTCGTATACTTTCGTGTCGGTAGGCAGTGAGGTGACCTCGGATGCGGTCAACTGCAGCATCCGACTCTCACGTGTTCGCGCCGCTTTTTGCTGTCGAACGACGACTAGCTGTTGCTCTGCGAAGGCCTTTTTCTGGCTGATTTCTTGCAGAACCTAAGCCTGTCAGTATTACTGCCTAGCAAGATAGAATAGACGGCTTCAAACCTTCTGCAAGGCTTCGTTTGGCATCGACATGGTGAAGGTCGATATTCGAATGCGGTATCGTGTGATGACTACTTGGTGGAGGCAGATGTCCAAGGCTCAAGCTTTCTCGGTTCGGCAGTCGCGATATCCCTGTTCAACATGTGATTGGCCGGCGAATTCAGGACGAATAAGAGCATGTTCTTTTGCTGTTCGCGATGACATTATTCGCGTTTGCGATACTAAACGATCAAGATATGCTGAGGTTTCTCCTTATGGGGTTTTCACATGTTGGCTGTCCTGCGTTCGTTGTTGCTTAGTGGCCATCGCTGACACGCTTTGCTACGATCTCCCTGCCGCAAAGTCCGGGCATGGGTCCAAGTTTCGCGCTCCTACTTTTTGATTTTGGTTTCGTCATTCCTTCTACAACATCAGCTTTTTCGATTCAATTTCCGCTGCGATGGCCGCGTTATTTTCTGGACTACCCTCGATACCGTATCCGCCAGAGCAGGAAGGATGGTGGTCTCCAATCACCTCAACGCTAGATTGGTGCGAGGAGGTCAGTCTACAGTTTGCATTTTCAGTCCTGTGTAGAGGCATTTTGTACCTAGGAGCGGATCTGGATGGAACTGCTTTGACCGGATTTGTGTTCACTGTTCTGCACTTGCAGAAGACCCTGAGGCCCATCAGACCAGGCACTACTACGGATTACCGAATCTATCGCTCGAAAAGCACAACTAGTATATTTCTGAGGCACCAAGCTGACATTCATGTAGAACTACGTTGTGACACAATACGTTGCAGAGATCATAAACACCTTGACAAACCTTCTATTTGTCTATTTGGCTGTCAAAGGCATTCGCAATTGTCTGAAGCACGACCATGACACGGTTTTCCTGGTTGCTTTTATTGGCTATCTACTTGTCGGCACTGGAAGCTTTCTCTTCCATGCGACATTGACATGTACGTTTTTCGGCTGATTTGAAGGCCGGACTCCCGAGAGCTCACGTCGCATAGATCCTATGCAGCTAGTGGATGAGTTGTCGATGATCTACACGACATGCCTGATGAACTTTGCAACCTTCTCATATGGCAAATCTAGACGATACTCTACGATACTGGCTGTAGCTTTGGTATCACTCGCCTTGTTTATTACGCTGTATTATCATTATCTTCAGGACCCGACGTTCCATCAGAATGCGTACGCTATCTTGACGGCAATCGTGCTCTTCCGCGCAATGTACGTCATGGAAGTAAACATTCGGCCAAAGTTTCGCTCCAAGGCGAGAGAGAGGGCGAATCCGCGTCCAAATGGTGGTGTCAAAGCAGTGCAGGAAAGTGAGGATCTGAGGGACCAGGAGATTCTACGCACCATGTGGATGATGATTACCTTCGGCCTGAGTATTTTTCTCGGAGGCTTCGCAGTCTGGGGTCTAGACAATGAGCACTGCTCTACATTGCGAAGATGGCGGAGAGACATGGGGATGCCTTGGGGCTTTGTGCTTGAGGGACATGGTTGGTGGTCAGTATATTCTCCGCGTGGAACGACTAGAAAGCTAACAACTGCAGGCATCTCATGACGGGGACTGGAGCGTATTTCTACATTGTCTGGGGCGTCTGGCTTCGGCACTGTTTGAACTACAAGCAGGATGAATACGAACTGTTGTGGCCAAACTTCTGGACCATGCCCGAGGTCGTGAAGCGGGGAGGCTCTTCAGCCAACGGACACACGAGCAGCTCCAGGAAGAAAGAGCTGTAGGCTACAAGTATGAAGGTAAGGCAAATGTCACACGATTGCGTCAATTTAGAAGCATTAGACTATGGGGGTTACACTGCAAGGCTGGTGTTTTGTTGTGTTGAGCAGCTGTAGGTGGAGACGGTCGGCTGCGGGCCGTGGTTGGGATGGGAAGAACTCCTGAACCGCAGCCCGTCTAGGCGATGCAAATGCACACATCGCTACCACGATATTTGAGCACATTTTGTGACTATGAAGGAATGACAAATCCCACCCGGTTCCAATAGCTGATTCTCCTCACGACTCCACCCTATTGTCGCGGTCCGTATGCTGGTGCCTGTGGCGCGTTGTTTACAACTAGCGTTAGCGCGGCACGGGCCTACCCACACTTTTAACTCACCGCCGCTTCTCCTCCCTCTACCTCCACACCCAGCACCACCCAGCAGCCTCAACCCAACTCAACACCATTCTCAGCTTCACTAACTACCCTTACCACCCCCCAGACCGTCAACATGCGTGAGATTGTACGTATACACTCTGCCTCAGCCCATTCGCGGTGGCGCGTTCCTGCCCCGCGTTTACATCTCAGGGTCAACACAACAATGGGCGAACAACAGCTAACGACTTGTTTTTGCGCGATAGGTTCACCTTCAGACCGGCCAATGCGTAAGTACACGTCCGAACCGCTCCGTGGGCTCGCAACTGATGATTTGCAGGGTAACCAAATTGGTGCCGCCTTCTGGCAGACCATCTCGGGCGAGCATGGCCTCGACAGCTCCGGTGTCTACAACGGCACCTCAGATCTCCAGCTCGAGCGCATGAACGTCTACTTCAATGAGGTACGTGATGTCCTTCTTTCTCCTGGTGAGACGAACAGTCGGTGCTGACCAATGGCAGGCGTCCGGCAACAAGTTCGTCCCCCGTGCCGTCCTCGTCGATCTCGAGCCAGGCACCATGGACGCTGTCCGCGCTGGTCCTTTCGGACAGCTCTTCCGCCCCGACAACTTCGTTTTCGGACAGTCTGGTGCTGGTAACAACTGGGCGAAGGGTCATTACACTGAGGGTGCCGAGTTGGTCGACCAGGTCCTCGATGTCGTCCGCCGTGAGGCCGAGGGCTGCGACTGCCTCCAGGGTTTCCAGATCACCCACTCCCTTGGTGGTGGTACTGGTGCCGGTATGGGTACGCTTTTGATCTCCAAGATCCGCGAGGAGTTCCCCGACCGTATGATGGCCACCTTCTCCGTTGTGCCTTCCCCCAAGGTCTCAGACACCGTTGTTGAGCCCTACAACGCCACCCTCTCCGTTCATCAGCTCGTCGAGAACTCTGACGAGACCTTCTGCATTGACAACGAGGTATGTCTCAACTGACACGCGTCACGTTGGACGCAAGCAGCTGACTGTTACAGGCTCTGTACGACATTTGCATGAAGACGCTGAAGCTCAACAACCCATCCTACGGTGACCTGAACCACCTCGTCTCCGCCGTCATGTCTGGTGTCACCACCTGCCTGCGTTTCCCTGGTCAGCTCAACTCCGATCTCAGGAAATTGGCTGTCAACATGGTCCCCTTCCCTCGTCTCCATTTCTTCATGGTCGGATTCGCTCCTCTGACCAGCCGTGGCGCCAACTCTTTCCGCGCCGTCAGCGTCCCCGAGCTCACCCAGCAGATGTTCGACCCCAAGAACATGATGGCTGCGTCCGACTTCCGCAACGGTCGCTACCTGACCTGCTCCGCCTACTTCCGTGGCAAGGTCTCGATGAAGGAGGTCGAGGACCAGATGCGTAACGTTCAGAACAAGAACTCGTCTTACTTTGTTGAGTGGATCCCCAACAACGTCCAGACCGCCCTCTGCTCGGTTCCTCCTCGTGGCCTCAAGATGTCGTCCACCTTCGTCGGAAACTCTACCTCCATCCAGGAGCTCTTCAAGCGTGTCGGTGATCAGTTCACTGCCATGTTCAGGCGCAAGGCTTTCTTGCATTGGTACACTGGTGAGGGTATGGACGAGATGGAGTTCACTGAGGCTGAGTCCAACATGAACGATCTGGTCTCCGAGTACCAGCAGTACCAGGAGGCTTCCGTCTCCGATGCTGAGGAGGAGTACGATGAGGAGGCTCCTCTTGAGGCTGAGGAGTAGGTTGTTTACCCACGACAATACGCAGGCTTAGTTGTTGGAAATTGGCACGGCGGACAATGTCAACATTACAATTCGTGCTTTGGAGAGACATGATTGTATTTGATGGGACGTACTGGAGGTAGAAGCGATTTGTTGCGTCTGCTTCTGTGCGTTGTCAATTGCAGCATAGCCATCTCGAAGCGTAGAGGAAGCGAAACTCTTGTTAGCGATAAGTTCTATAATCCATGATTGTTCACCACAATGCTTGCATGCTGATGGTTGTGATGAATATCTGTGTTACTAATACTTCCACCTGGCTAGCTATCATTCGTCTGTTGCACCATGTTCCCTAAGTTGCTCGAGGTACCCAACTAGTCTCTTCTTGATAATGACGCCTACCAACCTTCCGGTTCCTTCTTCCGTCACACACAGATACCTTAACCCCAGCTTCGAAAACATTTCAACCGCGTACTCCAGCGGCGCTTTCGCACATAGACTCAGCGGCGTCCGATCAACAAAAGGCGTGAGGTCGACCTCAAGAGTGTCTGGCGATGGCAGATCATCTACTTCGTGTCCTAAGAGCCTGATCTGAAAGTCCGCCTGTCCTGGTATTGCAGCTGGAACAAGTCTCGTAAGCCCAAACTCGAGCTCTGACTGGGATATATAGCCTTGCAGTATGGGGACATTGGACGCTCCATGGCATTGAACGAGGACGAGACCAGCGTCCATCAGGCCCCTTTCCTTCAACTTGGCCAACTTCTCCTTCAGCAGCGTGTATGCGACTTTGTTTGTAAGGGGAACAAGGACGGTGATTTCATCCATTGTCCTCTTTGGCGGAATGAGCACTTCGGTGCACATCTTCCTCTTCCTAACAATCTGAATGGCAACATCGGGATCGAGAAAGGGATGGCCCAAGACGGTCTGCGCAAGGTCGTACACACCTTCCTCCGAGATGGCATCGGCGACCCATTTTGCCACTAGGATGGCTAACATGTGCGGAACCACGTATGCTAACTGCCCGGTGAGTTCGAACATGATGACCGCAAGGGATATCGTCATGCGCGACACGCCGGCGAGGAAAGCAGCTGCGCCGACCATGGCAAATATGCCGGGGCTAATCGATGGGATGAGTTGGCCAACCAGGCGGCCGAAAAAGGCGCCTGCGTCTAACGCCGGTATAATAACCCCAGATGGGACTTTGATACCAAAGGTAACAGTCGTAAGAACCAACTTGGCCAACGTACCGTATATGAGGTAGCCGACGTATAGCCAACTCGTCTCGTCAGACAGCTCGTTCTTGCACACCAAAGAGTGCTGCGACGTGCCCTTGTCGTTGCAGTCTACGAGGAGGTTCTTGATAACAACGTCGCCTGGTTCTCGCGTCAATGGGTTGGGGAATTGGAGGAGTGCAGTAGCAAGGACGACGAGGAAAACTTCCAAGACGGGATTCTTCTTGATAAGTGCAAAGCTCCTGAACCATTTCGACCACAGGAAATTCAGCTTGCAGAACAGGCCGCCGAAGATTCCTCCCGCGACGCCCAAGAGCACAAAGACAAGGTAGTGTACTGGTTTGTAGTCTGTGCCATAGCTCGTTTCGAAGAGCACTAACTTGCCTGTTCCGGTCGGGTTTAGTTCTTTGAGTACCATTGCGGCAGTCAGACTGCATAGGAAAGCTCGCCAGAGCACTTTTCGCGGAAAGTACGTGCTGATTTCTTCGTAGCTGAAGAGGACGCCGCCAATTGGGGCACCGAAGGCTACGCTTAGGCCGCTGGAGCATGCTGCGCTGAGCAGTTCGCGCATCTTGCGGCCGTTGTCGCGGTACTTTGGGAATAGCATGCCGACGAGGTAGCCTACGCATGTTGAGATGTGGACGAAGGGTCCTTCCTTGCCGAGACACATGCCAGTCGATACGGCAAAGATGGCGCCGAATGCTTTGACGGCCAGAACGGGGAAAGAGAGAAATGACGGGATATTGAAGCCAGATAGGATCGTCTTGATCTCGGGGATGCCCGAGCCTGCAGCCATGTACATGACTTTTCCTCCTGAGACATCGGTTGCTGGGCTAGACCTGCCATCTGACATGTCAGCACCATTGGGCTTGATTGTTGTTGACGATTGCTGTTCGCCTGTTGATACAGAAGGCAGCGAGCTCTTGGTCAACATAGTCGCGCTTGAACCAATCACACCAAAGACCAGTGCCATCCCCACGTAGACTGCGAAGCTGGCATAATAGCTGTCCGTCCATGCGTGCCACGCTTCACACTCCCCTAATCTTGGCTCCTGGCTAATTACCAAAAGTAGCGGCGAATTCTCGTGCGCACAACAAGCTTCGCGGTTCTTGAATGGATTGCTGGCGCAGTACCCCAGTTTCCAGTCTGACACCGTTGCGACAGCGACATCGACCACGAAAGCGACGCACGCGGTGAGTGCACCGATCAACACAACGGCGATCCATCCTGAACAGGCGTCGAAAAGGGAGAGAAGTGTATAGCGTAAACCCCGTCGGGATTGGATGTAGCGGAAGCGGTATGAGTCCTTGACCTGCCACCATATCAGCCATGTATCCCTACAGACTGTACATGAGACGCGGAGCGAGCTACCAAATCATGCAACCAGTCAATCGTAGTGTAGTCGTTGTATGGCAAACGTTCTCCAACCGTGCTTCCAGCTAGTTGCTGTTCATCTTTCGTTACTGCAGACGAGAGGGCAGACTGTGCTTCTTCATCCTGGTCATGCTGAAGCTGCGCTAAGCGGCTTTGATGGAGAAGCGGTGTATTTTCATTATTTGCTTCGAGGTCTGTCATCCTGGTGGCCTGCAAGGTGGAGAATATCCTCGGTGTAGAGGAGCGCAATCACGCTGAAAGCTGGCCATGGTGTTGTTACTCTGCGGTCTAGATATGGAAATCAAACTGTGGTTTGTCCAGTGGCGTAGGTGAACATCTCCGCCATGCACGCTTATCTACCGCGGAAACAGATCTTCTGGGTGCCTGGGGAGGCTTGGGGGAAAGAGATAAGAAGGCGAGGCGTCGAGCATGCGTCGCGCAGTAGACGCTAGCCGTTCTGGGACGCGTTATCACAGCCTGGAGTAGAATTACCCTAGTTAGCTTTCAAGCGTCTCCGACAGCCCCTCCTAGGAGAATCACCGTCAAGGGAAGACTTTAACGGCCTATTAAGAACTGATGGACATTGCTACCCTACAATACCTGTATGGAACAATCCTGAAAGCAAGAAAACCTGACAAGTTGCAAGCTTTACACAGAGTGTAACGTCTGGTATCCAGATCAGACGCGTCACGAGGTTGTACGGTCCAAAACATAATCGTAAAATGAAATTGTCGCCGAGCCCGAGTACACGTCGATAGATATACCTGCGCCATAACCAGTTCCACAGCCCATTAACTCGTACAGGGCAAAGTTACAACCATGAGGAGACATTGCTGTAATCAAGGTAGGACATTGAATCAAGTGGACGCCGCAACCGTCTTGCGGGCAGCCTTTTCCTTCTTGGCCTTTGCTTCATCTTCGTATTTCTAGGCCACTGTTAGCACGGTCTTTGAGGAAGTGTCTATCAACGCCTACCTTCTTCTCGCCCGCACTCAATGCTTTCCATTCATTGCCAACGAGTTTAGCAGCATCTGTAGTCTTGATGCCCTTTAAGTCTCCGCTGGCGTACCGGTCCAGGTTAAAGAGTAGGTAAGCCGAAGCGGGCTTTTTCACATGCCGATCATCATGAAGTTTACTGGTATGGGCAGGATACTTCCTCTTCGTCGGAGTGCCCGCAAGTTTCCTCCGAAGTGCGGCGCGAGCATTATTGGCAATTCTAATCTCTTCGGGAGTGTAAGAGTGGATCCAAGCTCGAAGCTCGGCTTGTCTGGCTACATTCTTATCATTCGCAAGGTGGTTGTAGTGCTTCACAACATAGTTAGCATACAAGCATACGCTACAGTTACACGTGTGATGTGGCTTACTTCATGCTCTGCGGGGGTCAGATTCTTCCAGTTTTTAGCCGCGTCTGTGACATTTCGTGTCGCGTCTCCACGCGATTGTCCTTTGATGGGGCCGCCACATATTTCGGCTATGTATGCATTGAATCCTGTGAGCGCGCCGAGGGGGAAAGGCTCCTTGAGAGCTTGCTTCCGCAGCTTAGAGATTGTTGCCTTCTCCTGCTCCTCGGGAGTAAGCACCTTCTTCACACGCTTCTTTGGGGCGGCCTTTTTGGGAGCGGCTGTCTTGGATACGACCTTCTTCTTCTTAGGCTTCTTCACAGTCACAGAAGCTGCCTTCTTCTTTGGTGCGGCCTTCTTCACTGCCTTCGCTTTGACTGCCTTCTTCACCGCTGCCGTCGGCTTAGTTGCGGTTGCGCGCGTCGTGGTAGCATAGGAGCGACGTAAGTCAAGGGCAGATACGTAGGCGCGTGAGAGCGCGCGGACAGCTGGTAGTTTGGAAGCATTTCGGGCGAGAAGAGCGCGTTGCAGGAAGCGGGCGAGCTGCGGGAGGTCGTGTGCGGATGTTTTGGGTACATCGGCTGTCAAGCGACAGAGCGCGCCGCGGACCAGCATCGTGGCGGTTGGCAGATGAATCAAACGGAGTACTGGCAGGTTGGCGAGCAGCAGCGCAGCTCTGAGCAGGCAAATAAGACAGGACCGTGGTGTGCGGATTGGGAAGTGTGAGACAGTAAGGGACCTTGCTTGTGGTCTGCGGAGGCTGGGAGCTCCCAACAGGACAGAGCTAGCGATCCGAAAACGTCATGCCGCCAGGCACGCCTTGCATGAGCGGCCCCACGATCTACCCAAGCCTCAAGCCGTTGCAGACAGAACGCGATCGATGTGGTGAAACTTTATTGTCTAGAATATAGACACGCATTCAAACTACGTGCTTTGCTACTATTGTCTCAAGAGATCTGTGGAGCCTAGAAAGACGCCGCCCATGCTTGACTCCAAGTATCATATCTACATAGCTCTAGAGCCTACATTTTTCGAACCTTTATCAAGTCTATATCTGAGAGTTGTGCTGTAAGACAGGATTGCAAACATTGACTGTGTTGTCAACTATAACACCTTGTAACTGTTTCCGGTCAGCATTTGTACCTATTCAAAGGCTCAAAAAGTTCGTACCTCCATGGGTGGTCCTCGTCGCCATACTGAATAGCCTCCATCCACTCCTTCATTTGCAGCGCAATTGGGCCGGCTTCGACATGGTCCTCCAGACCACAGTCGACAAGGCGTCCTTTCCAGCTGATCTTTCGCACAGGGCTGACAATGGCAGCTGTGCCTGCGCCGAAGATCTCCATCATGCGGCCCTCATCAGCAGCGTCGGCGAGGTTCTTCATCGTGAACTTTTGCTCAAGCACCTTCCATCCCTTAGGCTCCAATCGCTCCCGCGCAAGCGCAAGGATAGAGTCTCGCGTAACACCCTCGAGAATGGTTCCATCCAGGGGTGCAGTGAGCAACTCCGGTTGTCCAGTCTCCTTGTTCTTGATCGCTGCAAAGAGGTTCATAGTGCCAGCCTCGGTGATATATTCCTGCTCACCAAACAACCATAGGTTCTGGTGGAACCCACGGCTGGCAGCCTGCATCTGTGGCACGATGCAGGGCGCATAGTTGGCCCCAAGCTTCTTGTCTCCCACGCCTCCTGGCCATGCCCTCACGGCATAGTCCGTGGCTTCCAATGACACAGCCTTGAATCCAGTGGGGTAGTATGGCCCGACAGGCGAGGCGATCACGTAGAGTAGGGCAGAAGCGGGAGGGCCCACGCCGAGCGTGCGCTGGGTACCGATCATAGTCGGGCGAAGATAGAGAGAGTACCCGCGTGCACTACACCATGTCAGTCATGGCACAAAGAAAGCATAGCATTGAGGCTTACTCGGGAATGAAGCGCTCGTCCTGCTTGACAAATTTGCCAATGAGATCGATCATAGCATCGGGGTCGAACGTAGGCAATGCAATTCGTGCTGATGACTTGTTCAGACGTGCCATATTCTTGTCCGGCCTAAATAACCTGATGTTGCCGCTCTTGTCCTTGTAGGCCTTCATGCCCTCGAAGCACTCGAATGCATAGTGGAAGACGCAGGTCGCAGGGTCGAGACTGAGATTCTGGTAGGGGGTAATGCGCGCTGGCAGCCATCCTTCTGATGCTGTCCATTCGAGCGAGAGCATATGATCTGAAGAGTCATCAACTATGGAGCTAGAATGGCCCTGAAGCTAATACCTGAGAAATTGCGGCCAAAGATAAGCTCCCCTTGGGGTAACAGATCCTTAGGAGTGGTTGTATTGGTGATTGTAAGCTTCGTTGGGTCAATGTCTTGGATCTTGGTGCCAACAGAGGCATCAGCATGAATGCTGTACGCTCTCGGAGTCCGACATCGCAATGATGCGCTGAGCGGTGCTGCAGCTGAACGGAAGGCACAATTGGAGAATGAGGAAAGCAGCCTCGACGACCGCTGCTGAAGCATCATGTGTTATGCCTCACAAAAGGGAGAGGAATGTGGAGAGAGAGCGTTGGTGCGGATGGTGTTCTTGGGATAATATTTAACATCGGAGTTCTACAACAGGTCCCCGGTATCAGCTAGGTGCATACAAGAACGCGACCATCAGCGCTACATCCGCTACCTCCAATGGACATGTACCTTCACCGCCAGAAGATACCCAAAGGGCGCATTTGCCATCTGGATATCTTCTAATGCGGATATTGGACGTTATTCACGTACGCAGTAATCTCATTGGGCAGTTGCATTGCACAGTGCATTCAGCATTCACACATGCGCTTATGTCATGCAGGGGCGGGAGGAGCTAAACTCTTACCCAACATTTCTCCACAGTTCGCGTGGGGTTACCAAACATTGCCTGTCTCTGTTAATTTGTTCTCGTCTATGGTTCTGGACTTTGGGCAGTATCAGAGCTCTCGAACACCATTACGATACCGTATACGGAAGGAGCGACTCTATCTGAGATGTCTTGAATGCCATCGGCGCGCTTCCAGCTGGCAGTCTCACATCGCACGCATCGTCACCACCACATCCTTCGCCCACATCACAGTCCATGACGCGATCGCTATACGTCGGACGAATCGCCGCGCGGGCGAGTAAACTACCATGTTCTCCAACGCGCTGAAGTCGTTCACTTCGAACATCTCGAGCAACTACTCCCTCAGTCCCCAACCTACGTCGTACTCCGGGCCATGGAAGATATACGACGCGAAGAAGAAGTCGACAGGCAAAGCCGCATCCGTCTTTGTATTCGAGAGAAAGTCATTGGAGCCGCCAGCGGGCGCAGGTTTCGGCGGACGCTCAGCGGCCTCGGGTCTCAAACGAGCGCATGAAGAGGTTGTAGAGAGGCTGAAGAAGGAGGCCAGCTCGCTAGCACGGCTACGACATCCCAGTGTATTAGAGCTGGTCGAACCGGTGGAGGAGACTCGCGGTGGCGGGCTTATGTTCGCCACGGAGATGGTGACGGCGTCTCTAGCAGGACTTTTGCAGGAAAAAGACGAACAAGAGAAGGCTGGAGGAGTCGGCGGGCGCCGGAGCCGCTACGTTGTCGAGGAGGCTGATGGTCAAAAACGAAGACGAGAAATCGAGATTGACGAGCTTGAGATTCAAAAAGGGTTGCTGCAGATTGCGAAAGGCCTCGAGTTTCTGCACGAGAGTGCAGGCTTGGTGCACGCCAATCTTACGCCAGAGGCTATCTTTATCAACGGAAAAGTAGGCAATACAATCACGTTACAGTTGTCACGAAAGCTGCTGATGAACATGACAGTCCGATTGGAAGATCTCAGGTCTCGGCTTCTCGACCCCGCCAGAGAATTCCACCAAGCCAACATCAGTCACTCCGATCTCCCTTTCCGAAGTCTTGAATCATGATGCGCGGTTACCGAGATACGTTCAGCTCAATCTCGACTACACCTCTCCTGATTTTGTCATGGACGGGAATGCTACACCGGCAGCAGACATGTTCAGCTTGGGTATGCTGATTATTGCTTTGTACAATTCGCCACACAAGAGTCCAATGGAGTTCAACGGCAGTTCGTCTTCATACAAACGGGCTTTTTCGTCGTCTTCATCGATTCCGACCAGGAACAACAACTTCATGTCCTCGCAACCACTGCCACGAGACGTCGTGAATGGAGTCCTCGACCGCTTGATCACCCGACGACCCGCACAACGAATAGATGCGCGCGAGTTTCAGCAAGCACAATACTTCGATAACATTTTGGTGTCAACGATCCGCTTCTTGGACTCCCTTCCCGCGAAGACTCCAAATGAAAAGTCACAGTTCATGCGAGGCTTACCACGCATCCTCAACCAATTTCCCAAGTCAGTCTTGGATAAAAAGATTCTCCCCGCTCTGCTAGAAGAGACGAAAGATCGCGAGCTTCTCACCTTGATACTACAGAACGTCTTCAAGATTATTACAATGCTGCCAGGTGGAAAGCGTGCTTTTACGGACAAGGTGATTCCGAAGCTGAGAGAGACTTTCTTGGTCGTTCCGGCGTCGGGCGCTAAGGGAGCGGCCCAAGAGAGAGATAGCCTCAAAGAAGCTGGTCTAATGGTTCTATTGGAAAACATACAGATCGCTGCTGAGAACGCAAGTGGGAAAGATTTCAAGGACGACATTCTTCCGATTATCAACTATGCCCTGGAGTCTCCCACCCATTCACTGGTAGATGCCGCTCTTCGTACCCTGCCTGTTGTCTTACCGATACTCGACTTTTCGACAGTCAAGAATGAACTCTTCCCTGTAATAGCTTCCATCTTCGCAAAGACCAGTAGTATGGGTATCAAAATTCGAGGGTTGGAAGCATTCAAAACACTCTGTGGCGGTGGAGGCGATGAGCAGAACGACTCCCAGGGAGACGGGCTTACCGGAGTGGTCGCAGCTCCAAAAGCAAAAGGCTCCAGCGTATCGATACTGGATAAGTATACGGTTCAAGAAAAGGTCGTACCGCTGCTTCGAGGCATTAAGACCAAGGAGCCTGCTGTCATGGTACGTCCCGTAGTCGAAATTTTTCTCTTGTGTTTCTGCTAATTTGTGTACCAGATGGCCGCTCTCGACGTCTTCAAAGCCATTAGTAACCAAGTCGATAGCGATTATCTTGCCATGGATGTTCTTCCTATTATCTGGCAATTCAGCTTGGGACCATTGCTGAATCTTCCTCAATTTCAAGCTTACATGACTCTTATCAAGTCCATGTCAGCGCGCGTCGAGAACGAGCAAACCCGCAAACTCCAAGAACTTGGCGCCAATAGTGCTTCTGTCACTACCCGCAATGAGTTCATGAGCTTCGGAGGCCCAAGTGCCACCAATGGCTTTGAATCGAGCAACGGGGATGGTGAAAATGGTTTCGAGGCGCTCGTGCGAGGTGGGCCGCAAGGTTCATCTGGTGGGACAGACATGCTTGGTGGAGATGCATGGGCAAACACTGCAGGATCTGCATCGTCGTCTACTGTGTTACCATCACGGCCCTCGAACCACCGTACAAGATCGAACAATGCGTCGCCAGCGGCCACGTTCTCATGGTCAACACCACCCGTATCACCACCTCCACCAAGTACGCGTCTCTCGGCGCCGCAAGCGCAAATTCAAACTATAACGCCCGACAACAATCTCAACACGCTCAACTCGTCTTTCCCAGCCCTGAGCGCCACCAACCCGGGTATTGGCAGCTCGTCGTTTTCTCAACCACAGCAGCAGGCGCGGCCAAGTACGAGCATGAATAGCATGATGTCTCCTACTATACCACCATCATACAGTAACTCACAGAATTCCGGTATAGACTGGAGCAAAGCAGCCGGCTCCTCGTCAACGCCAAGCGCATCAAGCGGTTTCTCAAGTTTCCCTTCCTTGGCCCCAGCTCCTTCACAGCCGCAATCTCAGAGCAGTCCCTACTCTTCGTTCAGCATAGCGCCTCCGAAGGCTACCAACAGCGCCTTTAGCATACCTCCGCCACCGAGTTTGAACATGGCAAATAGGACGGCGAGTGCTGGGAGTGGCATGGGCATGAATAGCATGGCATCATTACGGGCGCAAACGCAGAATCATCAACAGCAGCAGCAGAATCGGCAGCAGACACAGGGAAGTTGGGGAAGTGGAGGTGACAGCTTGATATGAGCTCACGTTTAGGGTAATTTGATAGGCTTTAGCGAGCGTTTGTGTAGTAGCATAGCAATGTTACATGAGATGAGACCAAGAGGCTACCTGGAATCCTTTGGGGCCCAGTACGCATGAAGGCGCATGCACGTCGAGTTGCTTTTCTTTCCGGGAGTCATATACCAAGGCGTGATCAGCGATCGATGAGTGCCCCATGGCCCCATGCGACAGTTTAGATTATGTACTTGCGTGGGTTGTCCAGGGTTGACCAGGTAAAATTGTGTGGCGTCGGTTTGCACGGACTCTCACCTGCAGCCAAACCCAGTGATCTCCAGCGCGAGCGTTATAGCACGAAGCTAGGTGGTCTAGCTACTTGAGTTCGGAGATGTCGGCAGAGGCGGATCGCGGACGGTCAAGATGTCACGAGGGGGTGAGAAGACGCATGGGCTGAAGAAGTGTGTTGGAACAAGCAAATGCGAAGAAAGCAGCCAGAGATTGGCGAGAGGCTTGATGTCGTCATGGCACGGGCAAATAGCGTCCCAAGTTCAGCCAGGCAGGCTTGACCCGCTGCAGGCGCTCTTGGCTGAGCTTACTGGCCGGCCGCTAAGCATTTCAACGTCATGGCGCCTTCAACAGTATAGCATTTGGTCTTTTGCGAGGAAGCTCTGGAAGAGCGTGGCTCCATCTGAAGCCAAGACGAACTTGCAAGTTATAATTAGGGGTGTGACAATGGAATAAAGTAACTGCATTCCGCAATCCCACACATTCCACGTGCGTCTGAGTGAAGACGGCAGACGGGAGCGCCAGCCAGGCCAAGGTGAGCAGCCCCCCCAATGCAGCAGAGTGCCGACAAGACGTCGTCGTCAACCAGCGGTACGAGATGCCCACACCTTGTACGTCAGGCCGGCCATCAGGATCATGCTACTGTCACCAAACGTGGGACTTGGGGCGTCTGCCGAGCGATCCAGTGTGAAAACTCAGAGGCCGTCGACGAAATTTTGGGCGTCCTAGCGCGCTCTGTGTAACGCTTGATAGGCCGTTTTCGAGCTGCAGAGAGGCGCAACCAGGGCCTGCCCACTCTTCGCCTTGTCCGGACACTGAGCGAGTGGGCCCTTTCACCCCCGCAAGTTTAAGAGCTTTTAGCGCTCCTCCTTCAGCCAACTATAATCTCGATTATTGTTTCGCCCCCCGCCAACAAAACACTTAAAGACTATCCTGGTGTCCGGCTCGTCGCTTGTCAAAACGTCCACTTACCGTTTGGGTGAACCCTCCTCTCAACATCAACACCTACCCAATAACCCAGAGTAGCAATTAATGCTATCGGAAACGACTTATCGTCGCCGTCTTTCCTACACTCCGTGCAAGAAGTGCATTCGCTACATAAAATGGCGTTAGGACTATTTGGGTCCAAGAAGGCTGCCCATGGCGCAGCCGACAGACACAGCACCAGCAGCGACGAAAAGGAAAAGGTCGCCAGGCCTGACAAGGCGTATGACGCCGAAGCCGGTCTAGGGAGGATCGAGGACCCGTCGCGCCGCGATGTGGATGAGGCTGATAGCATCACAATTGGCAAGCAGATAGAGCTAGAGGCTGAGAATGCCATCAAGTACCGTACTTGCAGCTGGCCCAAAGTATGTCTTACAATTTCCCAACGCCATGGGTTTCTCATCAAGCTACCTTGCTTGCTTGCTCGCTAGCCCACACCAATTAGCTGCTCTAGTAACTGATTCCATGACTAGACCGCTGCCTTATTATTCTCCGAGTACATCTGTCTGGCTATCATGTCCTTTCCATGGTCTTACTCAATTCTTGGGCTTGTCCCGGGTCTGATCTTGACTGCCGTCATCGCTGGCCTAGTATTGTATACATCTCTGATCACTTGGTAAGCCCCATGATAATAAGCCACTTTTCCTGGCTCGTCTTCTAAACTCGTTTATTAGGGAGTTCTGCCTGCGCCACCCCGAGATTCGCGATGTCTGCGATCTTGGCCAGATGATTTTCTGGAACAAGAAGTGGGCCTTCTACCTCACTGCCGTCATGTTCCTGCTGAACAGTAAGGCCCCGGACTCATACTCAAGACATCCAACTAACTCTGAATCTAGACACGTTCATCATGGGTCTGCACTGTCTCGTGGGCGCCAAGTGGTTTAATACCATTTCTGGACATGCTACCTGCACCATCGCCTTCTCCGTTATCACGGCCATCATCTCCTTCCTCGCCTCGCTCCCACGTACCTTCTCTGGACTTGCCAAGATTGCCACCTTCTCCGCGCTCTTCACCTTCATCTCGGTGATGCTAGCAGCAATCTTCTCTGGAATCGAGCAGAAACCCGCTGGTTATCCTAGCAAGGGCGAACCAAATGTCTTGGCCTTTCCCGCATCGGGCACTACGTTCGTGGCTGGCATGAGCGCTTTCATGAACATCAGCTATACCTTTATCGGACAAATCACCCTTCCCAGCTTCATCGCCGAGATGAAGAACCCCAAGGATTTCCCAAAGGCACTCTGGGTCGTGACCATTTGCGAGATCATCGTGTTCAGCTTGGTCGGCGGCGTCGTTTATGGCTACACGGGCACCCAGTACATGACGAGCCCCGCGTTCGGATCGCTCAAGAACGAGGTTTACAAAAAGGTCGCCTTTACGTTCATGGTACCCACCATCATCTTCCTGGGTGTTCTTTACGCCTCAGTGTCCGCTCGTTTCGTCTTCTTCCGCATTTTCGCCGGTACCAGACACATGGGTAGCCACACTGTGGTCGGATGGGCGACTTGGGCCAGCATCCTTGCTGTGCTCTGGATCCTCGCCTTCATCATTGCCGAAGTCATCCCCTTCTTCTCCGACTTGCTCTCGCTCATGAGTTCGCTCTTCGACTCGTTCTTCGGGTTCATCTTCTGGGGCGTCGCTTACTTCCGCCTGCGCAGAGCCAAGTACGGCCCAGACTACTGGAAGACACGCGGTTTCCGTGGATACTTTGGATTCTTCTTCAACATCCTTCTATGTATGATTGGACTGCTCTTCTTGACGGGAGGAACGTATGCCACCGTGCAGTCCATTATTGATGGATATAAGGCGTCTTCGTTCGGGGGACCATTCACATGTGCGGACAATGGCTTGTAGACAGCTAACGATTCAAGAAGAGATGAGGACATGGAATCTTTTGCTTAAGACTGTATGATTTGGATGTTCTGTATACCCGACGTCCCGTAGTAGAGGTTATTTGGATCTTGTGTACATACGGGTAGAAACATAATAGGGCTAGAAAGATCCTCTAGCAGGCGTTTATATGAGGTCTACACTGAAATTCATTAATGTCAATCACCTGCTAAGAAGCCAAATTCGGTTCGATGCGAGTGTTGCTCAAGACGTTGTCTCAAATGTTCGCGAGCTATGACGTCTCGCTAACGGCACATGCCAACTGGGCAGGCAAGCTGTCAACATCCCCACATCTCAGTCGCAAGCTTGTTCCTTACCACATCCACGTTGCGTCCTAACTTTGTCGATTTCCGGATCGGTAAAGCGTAGCAAAATGAGTGCCCTTGTAGATTTCAGCCAACCTAGCTTGTGGAGTGAGTCTGAGCAAAGTCCACACCTAGATGATAGAGACTAACAGATGCAGTATCCGCGGCGAGCATTGTGTTTAATCCCACGTTTTGGAAGTGAGTTAGGCAACCATTATTATTGTCAATGTTTAGTAGCTTATACATGGTTAGCATCGCTGCGCAGCAAGGTACAAAGCCCTCCTTTCTCTCAGACGAACAGGCCCGCCATCCTCTGCCCCGCGCCTAGCCGCTGTGATTGCATCGCAGGACTCTCAAACATGGAATAGACTCTGACGGTTCTCAGAATACCATAACAAGGTCATCACCAAGCTTTTCGGCGGGAACCCACGGCTCGGCTGCTATGCGCTTGCTGTGACAATCTTCTCGCTGGGCATCTTCAGAGACTACCTGTACGTCTACGCTGTACCCAGAATATCACTTTTTCCAGCACTATAGTCAGCTAACCATTGCTCTCTGCAGCTATAACGAGGCCCTCGCTGCGCAACCCACCCACCCAACCCTCCTCTCCCCGCTAGTCAAATACTCCGCCATTCCCCTCTTCCTCGCCGGAAACACACTCGTCCTGACATCCATGTGGGCGCTCGGTGTCACTGGTACCTACCTCGGCGACTACTTCGGCATCCTCATGGACGCGCCCGTTACATCCTTTCCGTTCAATGTATCCGAAGCGCCCATGTATCACGGCTCAACGCTAAGCTTCCTCGCCACGGCCATCTGGTTTGGAAAGCCGGCCGGCATACTGTTGACGTTCTTGGTGGCTACAACATATGCAGTTGCAAGGAGGTGGGAAGATCCGTTCACGGGCACGATTTACGCCAAGCGGGACGAGGAGAGGAAGAAGGGAAAGAAGGGCCAGTAGTAGCTTGTCCCTGCCACACGCCCATATGTACTCGCCATCACGCGGCTCGAAAGACGAAGCGTTATGGAGTCACATACACCATAGGGCGAGGCAAAACAATGTGCAAAAGATTCTGAAGGGAGCACGGCATATAGGTCAAGGGAGGTGAGCCGAGAGGCAAGCAGAGTAGTACGTCGATTCAACATGACACTCAAGCACAGCACCGGCGTTTCAGGTTTGTTTTTTGGGGGGTATTCAACTGCCGTTCAAGGAAAAGTTACTCATCATAGCATGAAAACATCAGTCAATTGACTTCAGAGCCCAAATGCGACAACTGCCCAAGCAACCTTCTTCTACATACTTTGTGTCCAGGTAGGAATGAGTTCGAACTAGGCTGCGTGCTGTGAGTGAGTTGCATTCGCCTTCGACGTGGTAGGATCAAGTTACAGTATGCATGTTGGAAGAATCAGAGACCGGCGTGCTGCGTATGTAGCGTAACTACCACTTATCTTTAACTAATTAAGCTTCTTGTGTTGTATGAACGGAAGGCTAACACACGCGCGAAGACCACAAGGCAGCTGGAAATGGACATTATCCAAACTCCCAATAAGACATGGGAGCGACCTTATAAAGACTGAATAGAGATGTATGAGTCGGACATTGCAGAAGATGACAATCATGATGAGATGGATGTTCTGAACAGCAGCGAACAGAGGACACAGATGTCGACCGCTACACTGCCAGTCTTCAAGTGGAAATCCAAGATGCCGCCAGGTAATAGCACGCAAAGGCATACCTGCAAACTAGAAAGAAGACAATAACTCCAAGTTCTATAAGTAGTCTGCGCAGAGCCAGACTCTTCTAATGATAAGAATTTCAGGTTCAACTTTAAGCAGGCGCCGGTCTATGTTGCATACGTTCAGGATAGCCAGTATTAGAGTACCTATAAGTTAGAAAGAAATGATTATACAGCGCAGAACTATACCTTACTAGATAGATATAATCCTAAGGTGCTAAGCTAAAGACATCATAAAGAAATATGAAAGATATAAGAAAATGAAAAAAGCAGAAGGAAAGAAAAGAAATAATACAAAGAGTAGTTTAGATGCATTCAAGCTGCAACATAGAGTATAAAGAGACGTTGTCTACGCATCACCCTAGGCCAGTCTAAGGGAGAGGTGCCAATTTACTTACCAGCAACAATTTTTCGCCCTCATATCTCTCAGATTTATTCGTGGCCAGGCGAGAGCTAGACCTTGAGCGGGTAGGAAAGGCTACGCATCGCGGGCTGAATAGCGTGTCAGCATGTATAGGTATACATTTTTTTGTCATTCTGCATAGACAACTAGTCGGTTATTGTTTGGAGTGCTTTTTTAGCAGGAGTTTCGCTTTCACAATATGGTTTCAAAAATGGAAAACCCGGTAAAGCGATGGATGTACAGAAGCGCTTGCGGCCTGTAAACGCTGATACATGTACAATATCTATACATAATGCGTCCACTAGTACGGATTCTAATACAAAGACACGATGGCACCGCACCACCGCAACATGTCTATTCCTTCTTCTCTTCCACCCCCTTCTCTTGCTCCTCCATATCCATTCTCCGTCCTTCAACAGTGAAATACAAGCTCCTACTGGCACCCTCTAGTGCATTCGTAAGGCTGCCACCAACGCCTTGTAGCATATGCACCAGCTGCGACCTAAGGCCGTCAAGGCCTCCATCGATCCCACCAACCCACTTGGTTCCATCTACATCGAACACCTTGCCCTCTACTCTCGCGCCTAGCAGCATCAGCTTCTGCAGACCGGTTTGCACTGACGGCTCGTAGTAGTCTGGGTTCACCCTTCGAGTCGGTGCGGGGAAGTTGGGCTTCGAGGGGGAGACGATGGAGAGGACAGTTTTGAGGTATTGGGGCGAGACGGAGGGGAAAGCTACGACGGCGAGGGGACCCGAAAGTAAGGGCTCCAACTCGAGTTTCAGTTTCCTGTTATTTGCGACTTCATGGGCGCGGCGTGAGAGGCCGTGTGTGAAGCGCTCGTCGTCGGGGCTGTTGCTCGTCTGTGGGATGGTTGCGCTCGTAGGCGTGCGGGGATCCGAGGGATGTTGTGCATGAGAGAGGGTGTCTGCTTCGGGATTGAAGAATTCGACAACACGGAGGGCGCTGGCGAAGATGTTTGTTTGGATCACCTGCATCTTGACCTCCTCTGCTAGCGTTTCTTGCCCGTTCTTCAGCCGCTCAGTGTCTAACTTCCGTAACGCAATGGCTAGTTCCCTTCTTATGCTCATCCATTCTACTGCTTTGACATTGTTGTGCTGGAAGATCAGGATCAAGGGAGAGGACTTGAGGAGCGACTGGTATTGACGATGCAATTGGGTTTTGCGGACCTCCGGTGGCTTGTGAGAGGGTGGTTGTGTTGGTGGGTAGCGTAGCACTGGGGGTGTTGAGCGAAATTTCTGGTGAATTGGAGGTGCCGGCGTCGTTGCTGAAGCTGTTGCAACAGATGCGTAGGTTGCGATTGCGGGTAATGAGAGGGTTTGGCTTTGGCACGAGGTGCAGGCGCGAAGGGCGCGTGGCCGTATGCGTATCCGAGGAGGCATCCTGGAGACTGCTTAGTGTGTCCTCGAGGAAGACTTGACGAGGAATGTCCAAACGTACGTGAAATGTGGTTGTGGCTCAATTGGTGGAAGGAGCATGGTCTCGAAATATTTCATCGCATCTCGAGATTCAGCAATGGCCCGTGCTCAGACTTCCATCGGCAACTCTCCCGTGGTTGCAGGCCATCTCTTGAAGCAGCTCATCTTTTGCTGATTCACTTCCCTTCTATAACATACTGTCTTCTTCAATCTCTAGTACATCATCTCGGGTTGAACTTTGGAGCCTCGCGCGCCAATGACGGCGCATATATGGAAAGCTGCACATCACCCGCGTATACAATTATCTTTTCGAAGAGCTCACAATGCTCGATTCATAGCGGTAAGTTCGAATGATCGGCTGCTAATATCACTCCCACAATTCACTAGACTGACCGTTTCAGACTGATTCAAGGAATCGCTTATCGAAATGCTGGGCGCCAACAGGAGGTATCTCACCACAAGATGGAGAGCAAGGTGAGTTCCCCAGACCTGTCTAGTAGGACGTTGCCTAATGAACTAGATGACTCACATGCTCTTCTCCTACGAGGGGGCTTTCTACGCCAGGTAATACCTCTATCCACTCTTTCCAACACCCATCTCATCACGTGTAGGCCCACTCAGGAGTTTTCCACCTCCTTCCCCTCGGCCTCCGTGTGCAAAACAAACTCGAAGGCCTCATAGACAAGTATATGCACTCCATCAGCGCCTCAAAAGTCTCCCTCTCTTCAATCACCACAGAAGCGCTATGGCGACAGTCGGGCCGCTACTCAGCGAACTCAGAACTTCTCCGAATCAATGACCGGAAAGAATCAGGATTTTTATTATCGCCTACTCATGAGGAAGAAATCACTGCACTAGTCGCTAGTATGGTACACTCGTACAAAGATTTACCACTGCGGTTGTATCAGGTAGGGAGAAAGTATAGGGATGAACGACGACCAAGGCAGGGATTATTAAGGGCGAAAGAGTTTATGATGAAGGACCTGTATACATTCGACCATTCTCCGCAAGATGCACTCAAGACCTACGAAGCAGTTCGGCAAGCCTACAACAACATCTTCAATGACCTTAAACTGCCTTACCTGGTCGCAGATGCGGACTCTGGAAATATGGGCGGCAAACTCTCCCATGAATACCACTTCGTCTCACAGAAAGGCGAAGATAATGTCTGGTCATGTAATTCCTGCGAATATGTTGCAAATGAAGAGCTAGTGGAGAAGAAGACAGCATTGCCATCAGGGGCACGATCACCAGAAGAAAATTCTCGGTATATCTTCAGGGGTATAAGCGTCGACCGTAAAACAGAGATCCAGATCCAGATCGGACGCCCTTCGTCGGCCTCTGGAGAGGAGCACGTATCCTGGAACCGCGTGTCGGAGTTTGTAAACTTGCACGCAGTCAAGAAGGCACTTCCCGACAACGTAGAACTCGACACTGGAATTGAGGCTTCTACACTCACCGAGCTTCTAGACAATACCGACAAGAGAGGCATGGTGCTTCTCCGTGACCGTGCTTGCTTCGGTGAGCTTGAAGATCCCTCTGTACCGGATCTCACCATCACAAAACCGGGCGATGCGTGTTCCCGGTGCTCTACCGGGCACCTCGACGTCCAGAAAGCCATCGAAGTCGGCCATACATTCCATCTCGGCACCCGCTACAGTGAGCCCCTCAACGCAATGATCGCCGTACCGGACAAAAGCACAAAAGAGGCCATGCAGATGGGCTGTCACGGTATTGGCGTCTCACGCATCATCGGCGCGGTAGCGTCCCTTCTCTCCGACGAGAAAGGCCTGAATTGGCCAAGGGTCATTGCGCCGTATGAAGCTGTCATTCTTACTTCCCCACAAACCAATGAAGGGGAGGCGTTGGACGTATACGACGCTCTGTGCGGTACACAGAGTAAAGCGCAAGGCACAGTAGATGGAAAGGCATATGTGGATTTGGTGCTTGATGACAGGCCGATCAAGAGTCTAGGGTGGAAGTTGAGGGATGCGGATCTAATTGGGTATCCTGTCATCGTTGTGTTGGGGCGAGGATGGAAGGAGAGAAAGGAGGTGGAGGTTCAGTGTCGGAGGTTGGGAGTCAAGAAGGAAGTGGGATTGGGTGATTTGAGGAGCATGGTGGTAGAGATGCTAGACCAACTGTAGGCCGTACATGTCTCTGCGTACAAGTCTGTGTGGAGCGAATACACGTATTCAAAAACGTAATGTAAGATACGAGTCACTGCTAGAGAGGTACATGTAAATTATATGATTCGATTCATTTTATTTAGGTTCATCCTAAGGGTATCATGAGGGTTTTCCGCCAAATATGCACATCTCAAATACAAGTGTAAGAGGAAACAATACAGCCAATAACGAGACCGAGCCCTGCTCCTGCGCCGAGCTCCATATATGTATGGTAGAAATAAGTAATCATACTCGCCTGTGCCGCTGCGCATTAATGCCGTTGAAGTGATATGGTGTGGTATAGAAGCCTTCCAGCCGGTCGAGTTCCACCATTGCTTGCTTTCGTAATCCATTTTCTGTAAACGCCTGCCGTGAAGACATCAAAAACCCAATGCTCTAAAAAGTTGAAGTCGCGAGTAACAAAACATTCCTATCGTCGTGCGCCGCCCACTTCCACGGAGTGAGATGTTCGTTCAAATTGGAGCTTCCGCCGCTTCGCCAGGTTCCCCTGGGCGTTATCCTCTCCGCCTGTCGAATCTGCGTATTCGTCTCCATAGCCTTCGCCATAGCCTTGAAATGCAGCGTCTGTGTACTGTCGTTTCGATCCTGTGCGTTCTGGTCTCGATGCCCCCCTGTGCGTAGCGGGATTGCTTGGTGTCGGCGCCGACGATGCGAATGGTGTGGTTCGTTGTGGTGGTCCGTCTTGCGGCTTCGGTTTCACGGTGTCGTCTGTGCCGATGTACGCACGGTATTTAGCCGTGTCTGCCGTTGGAAGTGGGCCTGGAGCCATGCCTGCAAATGCGCCATCGAGGAGTTTGCCAAACTCTGGAGCCAATGCCGTCTGATCTGGGGTCAGAGCTCTTTCTAGCTCTTTCCCTTGCACTTTGAGTACGTGCCAGTCGTCCTCGGGTATGAAGAGGGGATCGAGGAATACTCTGTCCATCTTGGTTGCCTTTGGCTTGCCTGCTATCTGCAGATACTTGATGTGCCCCTCGTAGGATTTTCGAAGCTTATTGATCTTCTCTCCTGTAACCGGATCGTTTCTAGCGACCGAGCTAGCCAGAGAATTTAGACTGTACAGATCGAAAAGATTTTGCGAGCCGTGCGGTCTCGACATTGTGTGTTCTTCTTGGGGGGCTTTGAACAATAGACTCCCGCAGGTGCCCACAGAAGCTCTTAATCGTCCGTCCTTTGTGTATAGAAATTGGCCTTGCCGATTATGGTTGGAAGGCCTGTGGTTACGCAACCGCACTGTGTCATCCTCGGCACTGTCGTCCATCATCGCATCGCCGTCGCTGTCAAGATTTGCACTGGACATGACTCCAGCGGTACTTGCGGGGGTCGGAAATGGGTGGAGTATAGAGGCCGATGTCGCCGATTGTGAGAGCGACTGCGACATGGGAACCGAGGATTGCGGGGACATGTCCGAGGACGCGGCCGTGGAAGTCATGGCAAATGCTCCATTAGAGTGCGAACTCATCGAGGGATAGGGTGGCGATGTGGGTGTGCGAGGGTGAATGGGCGTCTTTGTCGTCTGTCCCGCCAAGGCGGCGACGTCAAAAGGCGGCGAGGCGGGAGAGAATCTTCCAATCGAGTCCAAACGTTGCCGTTTTGCGCTGGGATCCGACATAGAGGCCGTCTCGCGAGGCGCAGGTGAGGGGCGGAGGCCCGTAGGCGGGCGACGGGTGTGCAAAGGGTGCGTGGCAGCGCTCGTAATGAGAACGCTTGGCGTCTTCGCGCGGGTCGAACCGTCCAACCGCGGCAGAAAGGTGGGCGCTCTACTCGATAGTGCGCATTCGAAAAGAGCAGCGGTACTCGTGGATGTGCTTGGGGTCGGCAACGTGTGCTTGGGGTGGTGGTGGTCGGTGGAGATGTGAAGGAGAGACGCTGGCTTGACCAGGCCGTCTGGGTTGAAGAAACGCTGATCCACCCTAGCTGCTCGCGCACGTGACCTGACCTGACCCTAAGCCACGGATCCATCCAGCGTCGAGGCATACTCATCATCAACGACAAGACAAATCAAACCGTCGCTCCACGTAACTCAATGCCTGCCTTTGGCCAGTATGGATGACAATAGCACCCGCGTCGGCAACGCTGCTGCACCCGCTGTCCCGCCCAACGCGCCCAACAAAGTGCAACAACCGAAACCGCAGTCCTTGCCGTCACGTGCTGGTCCCAGCTCCATTCTGGTCTCGCCGCGCCAGAAGGGCAATCCTATTCTGAACAGCGTCCGCTCAGTTGCATGGGAGTACTCGGACATTCCCGCCGACTATGTCGTTGGCGCGACGACCTGCGCCCTGTTTCTGTCACTCAAATACCATCGCCTCCATCCCGAGTACATTTATAATCGCATTCGCGACTTAAAAGGCCAATATAATCTGCGCATACTGCTTACTATGGTCGACATCGAGAACCACGAAGATCCCCTGCGAGAGCTGTCCAAGACATCGCTGGTCAATAACGTCACCGTCCTGCTATGCTGGAGCGCTCAGGAAGCCGGGCGCTACCTTGAAAACTTCAAAGTATTCGAGAATGCTGCACCGACTAGCATCCGCGCCCAGCAGTCCTCCACATATGCTGAGAACATGGTCGACTTCATTACAGCACCTCGCAGCATCAACAAAACAGATGCTGTTGGCCTGGTATCGAATTTCGGGAGCATTCGCACCGCAATCACTGCTAGGCCTGAGGAGATTGGACTTATTGCTGGCTGGGGAGACAAAAAGGTTCAGCGCTGGTGCAACGCAGTGAGAGAGCCATTTAGGGTCAAGCAGGCAGCGAGACGGGGCATTAGCCGCGACGATACCCAAGCGACCATGTCAAGGGACATCTCGCTGGCAGAAGGTGAGAACCAGACACCGATTCGAACTGATACTGAAGACACTGCACGTCGAAGAGTAGACGAAGCAGTGCCTCTCGCCGCGGAGATGGAGGGGGCCAGGTCTGCCGTGGTTGCCGAGTCAGATGCAGACAAGCGACCTGACCATCGTCCTGCTGAAGTTGAACAGGAGGCCTTGGGTGAGATTAACATGGGTGGTGTAGGCATTCGTCCTGAAAGTCAGACTACTGCATCTAAGATAGCAAAGAGGAAGCAAACAGAGGAGGAGCTGAGCGAAGGCGTTATGGCAGCACTAAGCAAACTAAGAAAGCAGTAGTCGAGGCTCATGCACATAGTAACATAATCATAAACTAATACCAAGAAGCGCTTAGACCTCAGGGACTACCTGTTGCGCTATCGCAGTCTATGGATATTCTTTGAGAGTAGGAAGATCTTGGATTCCGTTGATACACTGTTTTTTTGAGTCAACATTCAATCAGGGTAAACATAATTCGATTTTCACGCACTACAAAGTTCTTTTGAATCACGTCGCATAGATATCTAATTAGTAGATAACTATCGTGAACTCATTGTGCACAGGGCTCGACTACTTTAAGTGGTCCCACAGTTTGAGGGCGTAAAATGGGTTGAGAACTGGTATTGTATCATGTGATGACCAGCCGTGGCTACCTGAGTATATATATATATAGCTGCCGGTCCTCTTACAGATTTGCTTATTCAAAACTGCTCTGTTAATAACAGTTAGGTTTCCGGGTACATATAGTCGAGGCCCAGACTAGACCCTAGTTAGTCTTACATCATTGGTGGCTCCTAGTAGTTCTTCCCCTCCTTGCAGCCTACCCGTACAACCTTTGTAGCAAACACCCGCCTTCATATACTCGCCACTCTACTTCTACCACCAGAATACCCTGTCGGTAACGACTTCCAGGATGGCTCGCTTCGAGTTGCTGCCTGCTGAGCTCCAGCTTCAAATATTCAGTTACCTTTACAGCTCGGACGTCAAGGCTGCGCGCGCCGTCAGCAGAAAGTTGCGAGACAATGCAACGCCCGCGTTATTTCGCACCGTCGTTGCGTGTGCACGCTATCAGGCTATGGGCGCATTTCAGAAAGTCGCACTCCACCCAGTCTATCCAACTTACGTCAAGGAAATCATCTTCGATGGATCAGTGTATGAAGCAAGGCTTGCACTATACGAGCATGCTTATAATCATGAAGTTGAGGAGCTTCGAGGGGGATCCCACTGGGGAAAGCGAAGCAGGTATGTACCGTGTTGACATAACTAGAGGCTGTTCGTTAAGGCTCACACGTCTGCAGGTGGAAGCGATACCAGGTGCTGTACCAAGAACAGGAGGATATGAAGACTAGCGGTGTCCTTCTACAGACAATAGCACGAGCATTGGAGTGGATGCCCAATGTTTCCTCGATTGTGTACTCGCCTCATCCGCACCTCGTTCCCGTCGAGGCCAAAGATATGCGCGATTTGGTTCCAAGAGGCACTGCCCGTTCCTCTAGTTTTCCGTCGTATCAAATGAGCAACGGGTTTGCTGGCGTGCATCATCCATTTCGTCAGCTCATCGGGGCCATCTATCTGTCAAAGTATGCCGGCATCCGCGAATTCACAGTCGAAGCGTATCAGAAGCATCATTCTGGTACGCAATTTTCGCTGAGTGTCTTCGATTTCCCAGAGGCGGTCGACCTACAAGCCGGTCAACACTTCTTCCAGCACCTAACGAAACTCGAACTGAACATAGCGCTTCAGGAGTCTAGGAGTAGAATGGGTGGTGTCGACGTCCATCGGAGTCTCAAACAACTCGCCAATCTGGCCAGTCTCCTCACCGCTACCAAAGATCTGCGGCATCTGGCTTTCCACGTTGCAAACTGGAAGTGCTCTGCGAGCCTTATGTATGGCTTCATAATATCAGACGAGCAGCCTATCTTCCGTAATTTGGGTCTCCGAACAACATGGGACAAACTACAATCGTTGAGCCTGGAGGGCATATACGCCGACGAAAAAGACTTTACGGATCTGATCAAGCGCCATAAGACTACTTTGAGGTCCCTTGTGTTCGGGAAATGCAGTCTATGCTCCGGTGTCTGGGCAGAGATTGTCGATGAGGCAGTGTTTGGTTCGATGACTGCATCGTTCGTGTTGGATCGAGTCAACGAGATACATCTTCCAGGAGTGGACTGGATGACACTTAGCACAATAGAGAAAGAGAACTGGAGGTATGAAGGCCGCCTTCTGGTGTCGATAGATGGCGAGCGAACATTCGTACGTACATGCTCTAACTGAGAGACATTGAAGCCATCGCTGATGAGAAAAGATCAATACCAATTCCAGTAAGAAGTCGGTCTACGACTTGCGGTCGTAAAGCTAGCATAGTTGTTATGAGACCGCGTCATATCCTACACACTGGTCGCAACTTTTGGACCCCAATCCGTCCTTCGGTTGAAAAAACGCGGTCTCTCTTGCGCTTCGATGCCAAGTTGCGAGATCGTTCTGGTGTCTTGGCCCGCAAGCACTCGCAGCGAATTGGTCACTTTGCGCCCCAAGCGATTGGCCAGTGGTACAGATGCGGACCCAGATGACAGTTCGCGTGTAGACACGATCTACAGCGCCAGAATGGCGGTAAGTGCGAGACTCCGTGGGTGTCTAATATTACAGCAGGGTTGCATTCAAGACGGTTCCCGTGCATGCCAATGTCCCAGCGTTCTCTCATTTGTCTATCGGATCTACCAGCGATGCGTGTGTTGGACAAAGCTAAAGCATGGCCGCTTACGCACCCCACAAACCAGACGTCTCCGAGGGCTGAATGCACTACCGTTGCCGTTACTGTTCCTGTCTCTAATAACTTTTACTGCTTTTCGTTTAACATTTGTCCGTGCATTCTCAGTGTGCTTGTGTTCTCGCCATTCTGAAGCAGCATGTCTTCCTCACATCTTTTCACGTTTTCTTTTACCGAGCCTCTATTCTTGTTAGTTTTCGCCCGCGCTACGCAACCAAATAGTTCTTGGAGGTATGTATGCCCTACAGTGAAAGGGCAAAGCCTGGTCTGACGTACGCACTGACGAGGGGCGCATACTGTTCGCGTAGGTGATCGGTGATCGCATGACCAGGCCCCGCCTACTGCACAGGGCTGTTGATTGCGTTAAAGCAAAAGCAAATATCTCAAATTAGGTCAGTAGGTCTGCGACCCATGAGGGGCGAAGTTACGCTTGCCGTGCCTGAAGGGCTGCATTAATATCAACCAAGCAACGGCAGGGGCAACCTAGTGTACCGGCCTTATGGTCCTTGAGCCTCCTCTCTCCGAATCGTCCCACACATCGAGCTACAGCACTAATCATGCTCCCGCCAACCAGTTCAGAAGACCCCCAATAGAGCCATTGTCTTTACTCTCTCGGCCACGTCACGGAGTCTGCCTTAGGCTTCCGTCCAATGAGAATCCGTACGCCCTTCCTAGCTTGCCCTCCTACCGCGCCCTCCCGCCGCGCCCTGGCTGCTGGACTACGCAAATGCGCGACCGTCCCATCTCACCAGATTTGGCCATCAGCAGGCCATCCTCTTAGCGGATGTGAGGTCAAGAGGACTGTCGCCTTTCCTGGCGAACCAGCTGCACCAATCTATATACGTCCCGCAGGATGTCACGCAGCCGAATCATCACCAGAGGCATACCTGGAAGATTCTGTTTAAACCGAATACGATGGTACGTGTTGCTGTCGGAGGCATGCTAAGTCCCGCGGGCACGGCTGCCTAAGGCCGGAGGGGCAAATAGCGACGTGAACAATAGAGCAGGACTACGACTATGTTCGCCTCTGCTCTAGTACCCTCTGTTTTTAAGTGACCCCAGTCCCGCATCACATACAGCTTCTGAGTACATCTATCTACCAGAGCCCTAGATTGCTTACGTCTGGCCATACTTGCGACTGACTCACCGTCCCTGGGAACTCTTAGCCAGGTCAAGGACGAAGCTCCTGAACTTGACTTATCATTCTTTCCCCCGGCTTTCCGTTGCGTGACTCACCCGAGCAGTTTTGCTGTGGCCTAGATACCGCTTCGTCCTCTAGTTAGATCATACACCGAACACTACACCACTCGGCCTCATTCGAGCAAGCCATATTACGAACCAAGATGTCGCGTTCACAGCAGCCAGACCGTCCTAGTCAGAACGGCCCGAGCCGAAATAGCCATGGTCGAGACCGTTTCGGCTCTCGCACTTCTGCACAAAATGTGAACGATACAGTATGTTGGCCATTGCTGCCTATGTACACAGGTCACTAACCATTGTTTACAGCCTGGAAACCAAGGCACCTCGTCACAATCCGAGCAAGTCTCTCGCCAGCGCACTTCTGAGGTTCATGACTACGGAGCCCGAGACGACTCAGACCCATACCATCATTCACCTTATGACAACCAGCAAGACTACGCACATCGACAATACCGGCAATACACCCAAGTGACTCGCCCATGGGAAACTCCTGACGAAACTCCTAACCCAGATCTGCATCAAACTGTTGACTCCCCTGCACTGAATATCCTCCCCCGGCCATATCAGCCTTTGCCGCCAACTCCAGCTCCAAGTTATCAAACTCGTGGCGCTGGTCAAGATAACAATGAGCGTCTGACGTTCTCCAATCTTGAAGACCACGATCAACGCAGGACATCGACGAGTACCATGAGGACCATGATGCGAGAAAGCCAGCGTGCTGGACCTTATGATGCTGTCGGGTACATCAGGCAAGACGAAAGATTGTATGAGTATGGCGCATATGAAGAGCAGGATGTAAGAAGCCACACTTCATACTCATACTAAGTACTAGAAGGACAGCATAATTTTCAGTAACGAAGGCGCCCAGTGGTTCTTATATCTGGTCTCATTATATTCTTCCGGCATGGAGTACGTAGGGGCGTTGTTGAGTAGGCTGTGTTTTCAGCTCTAGGCTTCAGCATAGTAGTGATCATCTGGCGCTTATGGTGTCTTGTTTAATGATCAAGTTCATACTTCTGTGGCGAGTCAGGGCTTGATGCCTGGCCTCAGCCTTGCGCTTGCGCTTGCTATTCTCCTTTCACCGCTTCGATGGGACGTGGAGGAGTAAACGGGGGCTAGGGATCGTTTACAGTCGGAGTTCATGGTAGTTTAATGTTCACATGTCTCTTCCATTAAAGCATAGCACTGCAGTCTCAATTCTTCGGTCATAGTAACTTGCGAATGCATCAACCTAGCGGTGCTGTTGTTGACGTGCTTCGTGCCAACCCCGCTCCTGTACGATTGGCCCCCAACGTCATATCATATCATATCATGTCAGCATCAGCAGAGCCTCATCCATCCCGCCCGAGTCGTGCGCAAGTAAGCTACGCGACACCCTCCCGACGCATTTTGTGCCCGCCCCTGTAGTTTTCACTCTAAATGGGGGGCCTAAATGGTGTTATCTTTCAGCTCTGATGTGCCCTTCAGATACTAAGCTGCGAACCGACGTCCTGCAACCCCGTAATTTTGTGCCGCATAGAGCCAAGAATCACCGGAAACCTGAGGGTTGCCATGACACGTCACTCGCACATGGGTCGAATATAGTTGATGCTCGCCCTGGAGGACTTCGGCAAACGGTATAATCTGCGAGAAGGTAAATTTAGCATCGTTGGAGGCATACCAGCCGGTCCTCCCATGAAGGACTCCTCAGCTCGTTTGGATGAACTCTGAGGATGAGGCTCTGTGGAAGCCAGGAAACACGAGGCCTGCTAAGACCTCTTCATACCGTAGAGGAGGGCAACGTGTTCCAGGGAGGGCGTGTCATTGGGTCTTTTGGAGCCTCAGCCAGAGCCCCTTGGTGCGGTGCATATGCATGTGAACCAGGGAGGTCGCACATATGCACGTGATGGAGGCTCCGTCCTCTTGGTCTGGCATAGGGCGACGTGCTGCCATTAACGTGTCACGTAGGGCGACTGATGGACGCCAAACCCTTACGCAGGGCAATAGCTGCTAAGTTGTCCCTTCTCGTAAATCAGCAAACGGAACGCCGGCCGGCCTTTGTTGATTCGCTCAGTACCTTTTTTTGCTTTTGCTGGAGGTGATGAGATTCTGATTGCGCATATAACCGACGACGAACTGTGTTGGCAAGTGAGCTGATAGCTGATAACGGTTGCGACGACGACGAGGTGACGGTTGGATGGCGGTGGTGTTGTGTCCACCCAGACGCTTGGACATACGGGCCACCCCAATAGCGGGGAAATTAGCGCGCTTGGGCCCACTAAGCCTTATACGAACGTCGCCGGTCAAAGAATTAAGAGAATGTCATGCAGTATGCCTCTAATCTGGCATTTCCAGCGGGGTTTCGCCTCATTATTCGCTTTGGAGGACTTTGAAGAGTGGGTACTTGTTAGACGCTATTGATAAGGCAGCTGGTAGATGATAATGGCCTCGCTGGAGGCCGCTCTCAGGAGCGAACATTGACTCAATCGCGGGGCCCCAGGGCGAAGGGCTAATTTTGGCTGGGGAGTCCTGCAGGAATTTTCGGCAATCACAGCAGCTTCCGGGTGGCACGAGGCTCGAGTCCTGCAAGACCGGCATTGGCAACGGTAATTCGGGAGTCCTTGGGTATTCAGACCGTCGTGTCGACGTCTCCCACCCGCCGGCTGTTTGTGGGCTAGCAACTTGGAAATATCCTGTGCTCTTATCGTTTCTAGCGACCATGATGAGTGGACCATGCACCTAGACGAGCCCAGCCAGCTATCAAGCGGCTCATCAGTACATCGGTGTTGTGTTACCGTAAGCGCGGAGAGACTCCCCATGTTCCAAGACATTCTCCAATGGACGGACCGCACGGTAGACTTGCCAACAAAATCGCACCTGGTTGCTACGATTCGTGTTGCTCCTACTCGCTTCATTTGAACGCCGGGGTAAAACGCGGGAGCCGAGGCTAGGCCGACGTGGAGGCGCCCAATGCTTGTTGAGGTTTTCAGGTTCTGAGGCTGCGGGGTTGTCCTTTCTCCTTGACCGGAATCAGTTGTTGGCATAGGTACACAGGGACTCCGCCTCCCTCAAGGCATTCATCAAGGCAGAAGCGCTAGAATAGCCCCAAAAATATTCGGGATTCTCATGAAAGTGCGGTGTGTTTGACCGCAATTCCAGATACTATGTTGTAGGCAGTGCTGATTATCATTCTGGGGTATATCAAAGAGCATTGCCTCCGAGCGATTTCCGCGAGATCTGGCTCGTCAGTAGTTTCAATTAATCTCCCACTCGTTTTACGCAAGCAGCGCAGCAACTGCTGCTATTCCTCGCGATTCTTGACGACCGGTCAACCCCACGCCTGCAGCAGGTGAAAGCACACAAAGACGCGCGTTCCTCCTGGACTCGCAAAAGATTTCTCAAGCGAAGTATCCGACTTACTCACTCCGCGTTGGAGGCCTCCTCGCCGTCGCCGGTGTCGTTCGAGCCAGGATAGCCTTGCTTCACTTGTCGAAAGCTAGGGTTGTCGTCATCGCCGACGCCTATTCTGGACCCCTTCTGGATTGCAACATGGATGCTAGAGACGTGGAATTGCCCAACATCGATGCCGCTCAATGATCGCCCGACAATCCACCACATCTAGCTCGCTTGATCCGTCTCTTGGTATTCATGTGAGCACGCGTCTAGGCATTGTCTGATTTTAGACGCGTACATTGTTTTGCTCATATGCGCAGTTGTCCTCCGGGCCATACTACCGCCGAGGTTAATTCAAGCCTCAGGCAACACGATTGCACAGATCTTCGACTTCACACCAATGCCATCGCTCCAATGGTATCAACGTCTGCGACTGGCTCTTTACAGTGCCGCAAGATGAGGCAAAGGGGGACATATACACATATAGCGCGGCCCGGGGGTAACCGACGTGCTGCCACGTCCGCCCACGCCCTCTTTTGCCTTCTTTCTCGACCTATGGATCTGGATTGCCGCCGCCGACATGGCTAGAAGGGCTTCATGTCGCGAGGTCCTTCATCCCGAGTGCAAGAGCGTGTTTCACAAACAGGGTTTCGTGTCATTACCAATTAATTTGCTGTATAATCCTGCAGCACATCAGTATGTTCCTTCGGGAAGAACCCATTTACCTTCGATGATGACGTCTGGCCCTTTCCACGACGGTTAGGGTTGATAAGTGTCCTCCACTCTTGCTACCTCCCGGCGTCAAATATTTGGACTGGTTCCCCGCTGTAGCAACATGCACATCCAGATTGAATCACGGAGTGGCTGGAGATTTACGTGAGTTCGTGATACCGTCCAGTGCTTTAGTGCCTTTGATATAGCTTATTGACTGGCACCCAGAGTCACTTCGTCTGACCATAACGTCGTCAAGGAGACTACACGGCCCCGCACCAAGTCATTCGTTAATTACGATTCCAAAAAGACATCGACAGTCGGCGACGAGCCGCCTACACCGAAGCTTACATCAAAAGTGTCGCGCCGACGTAGCTTTCGAAAACGTGTTGGTCGGTTCCTTGTCCACTTTCGAATGCATCCCGAAGATACCGCATTCACCAATTGCGACGCCAGTGACCTCCTACCGCCGTATGAACATCGTCAAGAACACTACGAACTTCCTGCAGACTCGTTACTTCAAGAGCTCCCTGATTTCATACCTGAGATCTTCGGAGAGTACTCATTTGAGCTTGGATGCCACGACGAGCACCACGTCGAATACTCCCCCATGGATTACGTGAACCACCAAAGCGCTCCTTCGTGGTCGCAAGTACCCAACAAACGAAGCTACCCCACTATAGGGTATGCAATACCACCGGCATCCCAATCAATAGCAACACCGGTGTATAATCCAAGTCCGAATACCGCGTATCAGCTATGCGCTTTACCAGGCATAATCAGAGGAGGGCAATCAGACAATTCATCGCCGGTTTCACCCTTCACGCCCAAATTGGAGGTCGGCCTGGGAACACAACAACAATCCGACTCTGGCTTCTCTAACGGAAACGTGTCGCCTCACGACTCGATCTCGCCCGTCGTACACCAATATGCAACGGATGGGGCAGTCTACCAGGAGATGCAAGGTTACCCTTATTGTCCGACTCTTACGACTCCAGCTAGGGCATATTCAACAGTGCTTCCCGCTTCTCCCACACCAACCACAGACAACGACTCCTTCAACTATCAACACTATACGAACCTACATTCTACCTCTTCGTCCTCATTCCGGAATTTGACGCCATATCTACAGCCAAGTCAAGAGTCGCTCACATCACAACAGTCAATTCCTAATCCTGAGACACCCTGGTTTGATTACGAAGACCACCGCCCTGATTCTTGGGAAAATATTGGCTCGGCACGGGCCCGTCAAATGATCCAGGAACCTGGAATGATTGACCGAGACAACATCAATCATTGGTCCCAGGGCATTGTGCCTGATGAGAGACATAGTCTGGCGCTTTCCCCTACTGAGCTTTGTGGTCACGAAACCGTCCTGACAAACAATTATCCCAATGAAGATACAACCTTAGAATACCCTCCAATGGTGTGCAACGACTGCGGAACCGAGTTTCACGGCAAGTACGCAGACCTCCTCAGAACCAGCTTACAATCAAGACACTCGCTGACTTTGTACAACAGGTACCGTCAGGGAAACTTGAGAAGGCATGTCCGTGAGACACACAGCTTGCTTAAATCTGCGGTGGGTAAGGCATGCCGCGTTTGTAAGCAAGTCTATAATCGCACCGACGCCAAACGCAAGCACGAATGGAAGAAACATCGCCTGCCTGATGCAAAGCCGAATAAGCGTGCGAAACTCATGATACCAGTGGCGACATATTGATCGGCTGTGGCTTCACCATGTCATGGCGCAGATCGGGCGCAGGCAACGCTCTTACTTTCATAGTCGTCTCAGATCGCTTGCGACGGATTTTTCCCTTTTACTAGGGGGTTCGACGTTCTGCTTCATTCAGGTGGAACCTAACCGAGGGCGTGGATCGCATCCTAATTCTTGTATATATCTTAACATCTTAATCACTGCAACTTCCACCAGAGTCGGCCAGTGACCTATACCCAGTAGTTTTCTATCGATAGCCAGTTTTGTTAGCATAATCCCTAGAGTCTCCATATTCGTAGGGCTGGTCGCTTAATCCTAGAACCCCGTGACGTCGGTAGGGGCATACGGCTTAGACCGTAACACGACATCGGCAGGAAGTCATGTGCAGAATCCTTCGGATTAAGGCGCCCGTGACGGGTATCACACCACTTTGATTATCCAGTCAATGTTCTGCGGAGCGCCCGCCGTAACGCCTTGTTATCAGTGGTTGCCAGGGTGCCACGTTGTCAGCGATCCAAGCAAGCCCGTTGCCCTCGAGGCTCCCACAAGTGATGTCGAGATAAGCATCGTTATGCATCGAGGCTCATTCCTGCCATATGCAGCATATGATAGAAAAGGCGAAGGGCATATTATGCGCCCACTTTTATGCATGTTCCCCGATCCTTCCTGCTTGTGCCAATGCCACCGACTTCGTGACGCAGACAAGGCGCGTTGTGCTCGACATTCCTACCTATGACAAGGCTCTTGCCAGCTTTCAGCTTGAATGTGACTCTTTCCAGACCACCCGGGGGTCTGGGTGAATGTCATCTATTATTTTGGCTCCAGATTCGGGCCACCGATAGCCTCAGGATCAGTCATGACGGAAGTATGGTTCCAGCCTTGTTTTGCGGCGTAGTCCCGTCAAGTGGTGTGTAGGATTCAAGTGGCCGTTTATGCATTTAGGCGAGCCATCCGACATATAACGGCCGAGGATTATAGCGAGTGAGAGCTGAATAATGGGTCAAAAAGGCGTGTCGAGCCCACTCCTCCCGGGATGTGACACACGATTAGGAATCGGACCGAAGCTGACACCGATTACAATATTTTCCACATGCAGTGGAAGCGGCCTGAAATTGATGAATTCGAGGCTTTGAGCGCAAAGGGACATCTAGGCGATTCCGCGATAGCTCCAAATATAGGTCCACCTAACCTTTGGCGAAAGCATGGCTCTTGCAAGACCTAGATAACGACGCGAGTCCCCGAAGTGGCGAGAACGGGACTACAGTGCTACAGGGAAACGTACACTTGCGATTTGCGAAAAGCACAGCGACAAGGTGGTACTACTGTAACTTGTCTAGCTTCGAATATGGGCGCTCCCAGGTCGTGCGAGAGCGACATGAAAATTATCGTTAACTTCCGAGCATATCGAAGACACCCTGCACAACCAAATTCAGGCCAGTAACCTCCAGCAGACTGACGAAGCTATTAAAAATCTGCCATTTTCCAGTTTCAGCATCGAAGGCCCAGGGATGCTTGTTAGTGTTGCATGGAGCTAGTTGGTGCGAAAATGGTGTGCACGCGCGAGTAAGCATACCAAAGCTGCCTCACTATAATGAACAGAATCCCCGTGAGAGCTTTGGGCTCACAGTACTGACGATGAGCCAATGGCAGCATTGGGAGGGTAGGCCGGCCCATGATCCGGCTAATTGATAATGGCCGCTTGTCGGACGACAGTGTTGCAGCTGACGAGCTTCATGTTTGGCCCCCCTTTCCTTGGTGTAATTTGATGGATTGCCTTTGATTACGAATGCCTTGCTGTTCGTTGTAGGTGATCACCCCCAGCAGGGCCATCCTGATATGATGCGACTTTCATGGTTACGAGAATAGCAACCTTGAGTACGTGTCAGAAGCGGTGTTTACGCGGTATGTAGGCATTCGTTCCAAAGCGCATAGTAAGATCAGGTCTTCCAAGAGCCAAGAGTGCTATAACCCCCCGGTATTGTACGGATTATGTCACCTCGAAACGGTTATTGGTCGGGTTTGGCCGTGAACCTGTCGTATGACAGCAGAATTTGTTGGTGAATGATTTTCTGTAGCGAGAGACAACCTGCAGCTAGGGTAATTATGAAGCGGGACCAGGTATTAGAGTAATGCTGAGACAAAATTTTGACAGCGCACCCCTTACGGTGTAGTGCGGCTCTGCTGCGGCGACCCTTGTAGGCGTGCGTCGTGCTATGGACATGGTCTAGGGTAGTTGCGCGCCATGTCTTATAATTTTCCACTACTATGCTCGAAAGAGACGTTGGATCATACGTTAGTTGTGGTCCAAGAAGACCACTAAGTGTGGCCAAAAGCTCGGCGGGTGATACGAATGGTAGGCTAATCAGGTTGTGAAGCAGCGGGCTCATGTACGTGGTATTGGGAATGCTCATGTCATCGTGATTCCGGTAGGTCGATCAACTTGTGACGAATGGCCACTCTAACCCCAGATTGAGCCCACATGGAACTTTTCAACGCGACTGGGAAAGTGGTATGCGGCACAAGATGATATCCGATCCGTTCGACTTGTTCATAAACTCCTGATTTTTCAAGGGGACTCGCTTCTCACGGCATCGGGATGTTGGCGCAAGCGGTCAAGTTAATGTCAATGGGCAAGCTTCTCTCGATTAGTTGGCCCCTCTTAATTCGGACGTTGTTTGGCGGATATGTTGGCGGAGAAATGTCGACACGGGCTGTGTCAAGAATCCTATACAATCTTGGTCGATTGAAGGTGCCGTACGTGACAAGATCCCAAGCAGTAATTGCAGCTCCGTCCAGACTAAGGATGCCATTGTCCTCTTTGAGGTGTCCAATATAGCCCCACAGGGTATAGAGTTGCTCTGCAGATGCGATGGATGGCTGGCACGGGTAGGGTAGCCGCTATGACGAATCCAGGCGAATATGCAAGCCATTATTGGGGCGGTTTCATGTCCGGCAATGATCTTAGTAGTGCATTTAGCGTAGGCGATTGTAGCGAGATGTTTCATTGCAGTGCACCTTCTTGTTTAGTTGTAGTTTTTGAACGCTTGTCGTGGTGCCGAATGCGCGTAAGATCAACCAACTCCCCCCGCTTTCGCGTCGCTGTCATTTATTCGACGCAGGGAGAAGCGCGCGTCAACCGATCGGGTTTGCACTCATGGTGTGCATGGAGAGAAAATTGCAGGCCCAAGCGAATGCTGGTGTCTATTCTCTCATATGGCTAGCACTGGATGTACTTGAGCGAAGGCGCATACGCACTTTATGCGAACACGGATGATCGCACCTTTTTCCGTCAATGCCCTTCCAGGAATCTTCGAGGAATGATCTCGAGGCCTTGGTGAACATGGTAGCCGGGCGGGCATCCGTGGAGATCCAGCTGTTTCTGGCCCGAAAGAACATGCTCCATGGCTATCCCAGCAGATCGCTGTCTCAATGCGGTAGCCCGCTCAGCTGCAATCTCTCTTGCAGCAGCACGTACGTACGTTCTTCACGAAGCTGCGATGTGCGCCTAGTCGCGCTAGCTTCAGCACTAGAGGAGTGGAGACGGATCATGTCTTTCTTAGTAGTCATGTATCGTAGAGGCGAGGGTAGTGAGTTAGGCTCCAGAAACGTCATGAGGTTGTGTCGACCAGTTGTCAGCTACCCACCTTCACTGCTTGCGAGAAGCCCCCCCGTCCAAATGCATATTAGATCTACACACGCACGCATGCCACCAGCATGGAAGCGAAAAATATGTGCATCATCCATCAATGCGACGGGAAGCCTACGGTGTAGACTTTTGGCGTGTCGCCCAGGCGGCGATTAAAGGGGCTAGCAGAGGGGTTTGACTATTGGGTCCCATTTTTGCATAGGAATATCTCGGCCGTCCCCCGGCATGTTCGAGCTCTGTCTAAGAAAAGTGGTAGTCGTGCTACAAGGATCACTACTCTTCTAGCTCTCCTCGTGTGATGTCTTTCGCGAATAGTTCTTCGAGGCGTGCTCCTGCGCGGGCGACACGTGTGCGCAATTTGGAGCGTTATTAAGCCAGCCGGCTGCAAGGAGCATATCTGAGCGTGCGCACAGCCTCCTAAATACACATTTACGTCCTCCTATCTGCCTTTATTCTGCCTCGCGTGTTGGATCTGGGATCCCCGGTTCTGTTCTTCTTCCACATTCCCGCTGGTTTGGACTAAGGCTTCCTTCATCGTAGAGAGCTCTTCCTAGGACTAGACAAGCCGCAACTGACAACGACGTTTCACTAGGCCCGGGATACTATAATGTACTCGCTCGCGGCCCTAACACCCCTGACGATTTCTTTTTGACAAGTCCGGTAAGCTAGATCGCTTTCTGTTGCTCGGATGGGAGATCGTGTTAGATCTTCGATGACAACGCCCGTCTTTTGATCTTACTAACGAATAGTATCATTGGCCCAACAATACGTCCCCGGGCGCATTGTCATGCTCTACACAGCCTGCATCCTCTCGAAGGAAGCTCATCGCCCTGTCGACCGTACGTACTCGTCTCGTATCCCTTCGGCTGTACAACACACTGGTGGTTGCCGCTCGAACCTAACCCTGAAAGGAGTCCTATTTGCGCAACTTCACAACACGCAAGTCCAAATATATGAGTACTTGAGAGTGCTCAAAAAGTGAAGCGGACGGCACCCCGGAGTGTATTGAGCTTTCCGGGGAGAGTGCTGAAGCTTCATAGGTGCGCGAGCTCGTTTATGTTCCATGCCCATGTCGACACCCTCTAGCCCCAGCTTTTCCCAATCGTGGACTGCTTGAACAGGGACACTAGTCGCTTCAGTCCTCCCCCAGAACTGTCCGATCAACTTGACAAGACGGGTTTCCAAGCTGGAACCGGTATTTCGTCGTGCTCGTCCTTCAATTACCAGCCTGGCTGGGGTAGTGCCTTGGCGGGCACCCAACACAGGCAAGTAGTCATACTACTCCAGGACTCTTGTTCCTAGCTCTTCCCTTACTACCGCTCCAAGCATAACATATAGACTTCGTCTACTCCTTGTCAGTATTGCGCTATCGATAGAGCCTATTTTCCACCCTTTCATCGCTTTCGAAATTGCGTCGCTCCTCCAAACGTCTCAAGGCATTCTCGCACCCTCTTAAATCATCTTGAGCCTCAAAAGTCCTGACGGCGCGATAGATCTTCAGTACGGAACGACGGAAACCCATCCATGATCATAGCTCTACCGCTTGACACCATGGCTGACCGTCAGACTAGTTGGATGGGAGAGTACGAGGAACGAACATCGAACGAACGTCAGTCTCAGCAACCCAACAACCAGGCCCGTTCAACACAACACGATGTAAACAACTCGTCCTCCTTGGGAAGTCTCGTGAATATGAACTCCCCATCGATAAGTCGCTACGGGCCCCAAGGTGTTTTGTACCACCCGCACACGAGACGGACGCAGTACCAGGCTCTACCTGAGGGTGCTCAATCGCGAACGCCAGCTCCTAGTCAGGAAGGCTTCGATCCAGAACACTATTGGAGGATGGGCGGGCTGCACTTTCCGGTCTTCGGCGAGAACTCAAGCGATCAATCTACCCGGCCTCATCCCCAAACGATCTGGCCAGGGTCGTCCTACGACACGAACGGTACGGGAAACCCAGCGGGTTTTGGTGAGGAGCCTCGACCTATACCTGGAGATCGATACAATCGGTTCACCTCGCCAGCTGCCACGGAAGGCCACCCAGCCTACTTACAGCAACAGGTTGCCGATGTAGATCAGAATTCTGGGATAGCTAGTGGCACCTCAGTATACACCTTCAACACCTCCCCCTTTGATATAAACCAGATAGATCCAGCTGACCCTGGATGTCTGGCTTCAGAGGTGAACACTGTGGGCAACAAGAACTCTGAGCCGTGGTCGTTCTTTGAACCAAACAACGGATGTCCAATTCCATGGCAATGCGACGATAGCGAGTCGATTATTCAACAAGACATGTCGGATACAACGCCTTCGATGGGTACTCATGATAACACGGCATCGAACCATGTTCCAAATCAAGATCTGTCAACGCAAATGTCGACTGTGGACCTGGGCCAGCCTGACATGATGACCAGCATGACCTTTACCGAGCACCCTCATCAACCGTCGACTTCCTTCCAATCCGTGTCCAACGACACGTTCCGTCCTTTCTTGTGGCGCATCGAGAGGTCGGCAACTCCCCAGACGACTCCGCTTGATGTTGATACACGAGAAGACAACACCTACACTCTGTAAGCCCAGTCCACTCTGGAGAGTCGAAGTCTCATTAATTCAATAGGAATCCTGGAGGTGAAAACAGCCATCTCGCCCCACAAACACCAACAGCGTCTGAACCACCCTCTACCCCTACCGATGCTTCCTCACCTGCAGCGCCAGAACAACTGTGTTGCAACGAGTCGAGTTGCAACACTATGTTTACTGGCCTTTACCGAAAAGGAAACCTAGCCAGACACAAGCGACAGTACCACAAAGGCCCAGTGGTATATATTTGTGAGAGTCCCTTGTGCGACAAGGTGTTTCGGCGGAAGGACGCTCGCTTGAAGCACTATCGAAATTACCACCCGCATCTTGCTTCCAAAACCCCATATGTACCCCGAGGTCCTCAACGGCAGCAGCCAGGAAGAGATCAGGATCACGATTTGAATAGCATCTCCGGTTGGACTTGAGAGACGCTTGGACAAGCAGCGACCATAAATTTGTCAGAGGAACCCCTCCTCATGCACAATCACAACACCAAGACCATCTCGTACATTCTCGGAACGACGTCTTTTTTTGCAGCATCTTCGATAGCTTGGTCGGTGTCTCCATAGACTCGATGCATGGGCTCAAAGCCTCGGCGTGTGCGGCCCGCTTCTCGTGCCGCTGCAGATCCTTCCCTAATGTTGGCAATATTTAGCCCACGCATTGCGATTTCTTGTCTTCTCTTTCTTAATGTAATGACGATCATGGGTTGTTGTATGAAGTTGACCATTAGGTACATTCGGTCTTTGCTCTTGTTGGCTCATCACGGATTTGTATCGATTGGATTTGGTTCTTGTTGGTGTTTGGGTGTTCGGTATACGTTGGTGATGAAGAGGTCCTGGCATCGTTGCATATCCTGACCGGATGTTGCTCCGGCAGATACGACGAGAGACCAGCGACGTGTCGACTAGCAACTCTGCCGGCAGCCAACAACGCCATACGCTGCACGTGGGGGGGTCTGTTCATGATAGTATCAGCCGTTTTACATTGTCGTCGATGATGTTGGATGCTTCGTGTCGATTCAGAGAGATTGATGGCGGACGTGGGCACTAAGATTGTTAAGAGTCAGGGTCCCTTAGGAGCACGGGCTGGGCTTGACCATATCTTGACCCTAGTTTGAGACTAGGCATCCTCAATGACAAGGACCGGCTACATATAGCCGACAGCGAAGCCTGGATGTCGACGAGTGATCCGTGTTATCTAGCAATCAAAAGGAAACAACGTCCCAGCAGCAGCAGCCTTGCGTCCCATCCCGACGGTGGTTATAGGTCGTGGTCCTAACACAGAAGAGGGGCCGGGCGTGGTACGAACAAGCCGCTACCCGTGGAACGGAAGTGAAGCGACGTCTCAAAGCTTTGTATGATTTTGATTTGGAAACGTTCATGTTCCTGTGGACGACCGGTTCAACCTGTAGACAGAAGAGGTAGCCTAGACGCTGATCATGAAAGTGAAGCAATAACGCTTGGTACGCAAGGAATAACACAACTTTCTTTTTTCGTGCGATCCTCTCTTGTTACTTTGGTTTTATCATGTCGCGGGATCTTCGGCTGTGTTGCGCAAAAGCGTAGGTGGGCCAACTGTTCGTTTGTTTTGCTCACAAGACTAGGCCTGGTGGTAGGGTATCCATATATACCTGAGCAGCACAACCTTCCTTTCCATTAGCCTATTCTAGTGGCGATCCTCTTACGCTCTTACCGACCACCTGTTGACTCACCAATGAGGTACAGGTGTTAACTTACATCGACCCCTGCCACCTGTCGAGCTCCTTCCTACCGCCTCTAGTGATGACGAGTCGCTCCCGAGAACCTTGATAAGCGCTCGTAATCAATCCTCCAGGCTTATGTAGATCGGTTCAATCCCACCGGACGCCTCGATTCTCCCAGGTCGAGAACACAAATCTTGACAGCCAACAACCCAGCGCAGCAATGCCTGCATATGAAAACAGGGTTGCCTCCTGGCGTGGATGCGCCTGCCAGTCGTCGCAAGGGCGCATGTCAGACTCGAATCGGTGACCAGTCAGTATGTGCACCTGAACAGTCATTTCGCGCGTTTGAGAAAATGGTGGTTTGGGGCCTTAAGAGGATTTCCAAAGCGCCTGCGCCCTAGTTGAGCTATCGCTGTGGCTTGGGGCCTTACTGTCAACGTTATATCATCTTGTCAAGGTTGCAGAACGATTGTTACGTAGCTCAATCCTACTCCTTGGTGTATAACTGGACTCGAGAATATGCACAGCACTCATATCAACTGTACACCAGTGGACAAAGTTGCTTTTTAGCCCAAATTAGGGGGTCCAAGCCAACGACCTGAACTCCCGGAATCATCTACGCCACCCAGAAAGCAGGGACGTATGCTCCACGTAACCCCAATGTGCTGAAACTCTCTGTGACATCGCCGACCTTTACGACGCGATTATGTGGGATTTCGCCATCAGCGTGGCTCAGCCCCCCTGCATCATCGCGAACTTAAACAATGCATACGGCGAGCCCGAAGGCTACAAATTGCCACAAGGGCGAATTTGTCATCTCTAATATTCTTTTATGCCCAAGGGGTTCGTATCGGTAGGTCTGCGCGAGATGAGGTTGAAAAAATATGCTGTAGCCAACCTTGGAAACTGCACAATGCTTGTACATGCATGATTGGTCAGACGGCTCGGCTGATAGACGGCGATACTAAACCTTCTTTAGGTTTCTGTAGTCTTCTATACCAGTCGAAGACTACATGACAAGTCGAATCTTCCAATCGTAGAGATGACGAGCTGCTAACTTTGGGTCACCGTTCCATACCTGCCCTCCCATCTGGCATCATTCAATACGCCTTCATAGATCTGTTCCAGCCCAAGTCGCCCTACGCATGCCCAATGTCGTGGACTCTTCCCAGGGAACCTGAGGATCCCCGCGTTTCCAGCCCGACGATTTTCAGTCCCGTTCCCATGGCTCCGGTGAGGCTACTCAAATAGCGTCAACAAACGGTGCCTAACCAGCATTGCCGCCCTACGCGACCCGACTTTCTGAGGAAACTTGGCTTTACTCCAGGCGAGCTGTCATCTTTTGAACCCGAGCAGAAATCGCAACGACGACTAAGTGTTGCGCTAGCATGGTCCAGTTGTCCTTCAAGAACCCACAGCTTGATTTCCTAATTTTTCATTTATGAAATACTACTTCTCATTTGAGTATTGGAGACAGTTTTCCCAGTCCTGTCTCAAGGCAAATATTCATATCAAGATCAGCAAGGTAAAATAATTCTATTGACTTCATAGGGCATGCTTTCTTCTCGAACTGCCTCGGAAGGTAGTACAACGGGATTTTCAAAAAGATGACCAACGAACTATTTCCACTGAAGCGATTCTAATATCTAACTTCGTATATTAGTTAGCGATCTTTTAAGGCCAACATCGAGAGGGTATGCAACTATTTTTAGAGGATCCTACCATATGGGTGTCTGGTTCAGACTGGCTATCAAGTATTAAATTAATGAACCTAATAACAACAAAGACGACAACAACAATCTTAGATGAACACTAGCTAAGATATAGAAGTTCTCTTCGAGATTCGGTTTTGCTAACACATAATTTAACCTGCAAAAACGCTCTTCTCTGACTGCGTAAGTTAAAACGAGGACGCGTTATCTAACTCTTGAATTTCCTGTCTGAAAGTAAAGTTATCGCGCCAGCAAGAGCGGATTATATAACGCAGTAGGAGATGTCTCTGGCCCTTGAACATCAGACGAGTAGCGTGCAGCCGTAGATGGCAACATCTTAGAAACAATTGATTGTTACAGCCGCGGGATGTGTTCTTCGTTGCGTGATAGGCTCTCCTACTGTCTGCTTGGGTCGGCTCATGTACCAGCGGCCAAGGTGGTGCTGCAATAGCACTGCATTAGCAACGTGCCCTGGGTTCCGAGTTCGAATCACTCCGTTGCACACAAAAACAAGCAGCTGCATTTTTGCACTGCTTCGTCACTAGTCACGGATACCAGGCAGAGTATGTAGTATCTACAACAGTGTAGAAATATCACGGAGTAGCAGACACCCCGCCTGAAGGATTCGCAGTGGTTCTAAAGAAGAATAAAGTAGAGCTCCAAACAGAGATCTCTTAAGAGATCACATCCACATCCCGTCGAAATATAGCAGCACGCTGAATAACCACGGGTACGCCTTGCGCACTGGAGGAGATCGAATCGCTAGCATGGCGACTGCTTTCTATCCCGTAATCCGGCCCGTCCCATGATGATACGTGCGCTGATGTCGTAATACGCCATTATCGAGCCAGAACCAAGCCAAGTGGAGTCGTTCTGCGGGCGGCAGTGTGGGCTGGCGCTTAGCTGGTGTTTTGTGGCTAGCCTCGGTAGGCAAGCGTAAAACGGGTTGACGCCATCGTTGGGAAATCGGCAGAGCAGGTCTGGCCATAGGACATGCTTCTCTGATGGTGTGTGTGTGTGCGTATGGAGATGGTTGAATACGAAAAGCCGTGCAGATCCATATTGGCAGATTGCGTTCATGCACCACTTGCAGCGGGGGTGGCTAACCTTGCAGCGTGTGATTGCTGGATTTATTGCCTGAGGCCCACAGCAGTTCCCAAATGGTTCGAGATCTGTACTCAAGCGTTCTGATGCAAACAATCGCGCTTCAATCACCGTCAATCGAGTCCCCTGTGGCTATCGTCGTGTACAATGGCGTATCGCTCTCGCTTAAGCTTACTCGAATGAGTTCATCATGTCCTCACTCTCCACAATCGCCAAGGAGATTAATGATCAGGCCATCAATCTAGTCTTAAACTCACACATTGTGACAGGATTTAGAGTCACCTAGTGGTCTTCACCTGCAGCTGCTTCTCAGCTGCGATGGATTGGCGATATAATGCTAGCACGTGCATTCACCGTGGCGCAACAATATACTGGGTCCCTTGCGCATCCCGACGACCCCTCCAAAATGAAAGCATGTTATCTACGAACCGCGTCTAGAACCACGCTTAGGTGCGGATAAGAGTGCAACGAACGTATGGGAGGCTCTGCGCTTCGTACATGATTGGTATGGCTAGCTGGAGCTGGCTTGCTGCTCTCCACTTTCGGGTGCCGTGGCGGGCATCTTTCTGAATCAGTCGATTGACCGCGGCCCCGTATGTGTAGCACCCACCCTCTGCACATGCGGCATATGCGGTACATGCAAGCCTCATGCCGCTGCTCCTCACCCATTCCCCATATCACCCTGATAAAGATGGGACCGGATCAGAGGAGAGCAACAGAGCGCAACTCGGGGACTTTGCATGTAGAGGGTCGAAGAAGCGGATGGTTAGTTGGACGTGTATACAAGTGACTCGAAATAGGAGCAGTATCGTTGCGAGATCGTTTACACCGTGTTGTGAAGATGGCGACGGCTGGGGAAAGGATCTCCGCAGCCATTCCCGGGGCGGGTGAACATGCCGCGCTGCCTCCACCCTGTTAACAAGTGCGTCAACATCCTAGATGCAAGTCGCGAGAGGAGAGGTGCTGTAAGCGATCTCACATGCGCTGTACACTAAAGGCTGTCTCCGGAGATGAGTACTGTGCAGATTGATAACTGGACGATAGCCCACCGCATAGACCCGATGGACTCTTTCTGGGATCACTCAACTTTGGAGGCTCTGTGTCAGCCAAATTATGGCCGATTCTGTTTTCTACCTGTCTTGTTGCTCGTTGACCCGAGCCTCCCCGTGGAATAACTGCTTGAGCATTGCGCATGGCAGCCTGGGTCGCCTCCCGCTGCTGACAAACGGTTGCTCCTTTTCAACCATATGGGGACTCACAAGCTCTTGACGCATGTTCCGCTTGCCTGCCTCGACATACGACGGTCCGTCTACCTGCCATCGCCTCGAGCTATTGGACTTGCAGGGCATGTTGGATCTATTGCTCAAGGTCCTCGTCGTCCAGATTGTGGCTGTGATAAGTGGGCATACCAGACAAGCTATCGCCCGGTTGACTCGGCGCTCTTGCAGATGTGACGAAGCGTACAATGGCATTGAGATTCCGCCTGCTGTTCGTGTTGTTCTAATGGGTCTGGGTAGCCTCGTCGTCGCTGACACGGTTTGGCGATGACCAAATTGGCGCGGCCTTGTCTCCCAGCGCTCGGGCGTCCCCGTCTGAGGTCAATTACTGGCGCGAGGAAGGAGGACGAAAGCAGACCTTGTCGTCTGCCAGTTGTTCGACATTCACACCGCTTTTATCTTCTTCATCTATATCCCCAGATTCCCCCGAATATCCTACCCCTTCATCATTGATTGCTGCTCATGAATAGCGCCGAGAACGACCGAGCTTGTCACCTCAGACACTTCCGTGTCCCGTCAGCACACCTGATCGATCACCTTGCTCGCCCATCCTTTGCCGGCATTAGCTGCTTGTAAGCGAGGCTTTCCATGCCACAGTGCCTGTTTCTAGCAGACGTAATAATACTGAACGACGCCGGTATGATATCGCTGTTGTCCGATGAGCATGTCATTTTGCTAATACGAAGCAAACCAGAGGATCTTCCCGGCCGTGAAGTGGATAAAGAGCGCTGCCATAATATCATCCCAGATTTGGTCCTCCGAGGTGAACGACCGGGTTCTGTTGCTGTCGTTGGTAGTAGGTTTCACGCTACTGGTCCTCCTTCTCTTTCCACGAGAAAACATCCCCTGCACTATCAGTCTCTGCTCCTGACGCCAGCCTTTCACAACACTCCCTCTATCATCCCTCCCACACTTTCCTTCTTTTCCCGAACAACCAGTATTCGCAACGCACGCTCGTAGCGTTGGTGTGAGCACAGCCTACCTTTCTTCACAGGCTGCCCCATTACCCTCGTCCAATAAAGTCGGTATCGTCTTGCGGAAACAACTTCGGTCTTGTGCGATCCTAAGGTTGTCCTACGGAGTCCGGCGATGACGGGTTTGACCCAAACGGAGTACATCGATATCCCTCGAAGACGTCTGCCGCGCTCGCGAGTGGTTGTGCAGAGTGGTATCTCTTCGCAAATGCAACACGCCCCCACACGCGTCACAAGCAGCAAGTTGGGTGAAGACGATCAGATGTCTCTGGACAGCAGAACCGGCGGCACCGACTTTCTCACTGGATCACTACGGTATGATGAAGCCCTTCCAAAGTATAACGAAGAATTTCAGACACAAAAGGGGGGTCCCTGCACAGATGAACCCGACCAGTCGATGGGAGACACTGTACTTAGTTCTTCTGAGAATCCACTCGCCTGTTATCCGCAACGCCCGAATTCGAATACGGTTCCGAGCGACTACAACCTAGACTTCCTAGGAATAACGGGTGGCTCGGATGCCTCGACAATCCAAACACCAATACTAGGATCAATTAGCCCGCAGTCGCAATACATCGATAACGTTTGGGCTATCGATCGAGAGTACCAAGCTTGGGAGACGGATAATCAAAACCAGCCGTTATACAACTTCTCTCGTCCCTACTCACAACCGACTGTCAGTGTCTCCGACTTCGACACGGGGAGATATGTCGGACACCAGGAGTATGCTTCCACAGGGTGGGATAAAGGCCCAAACAACGACACCACTGACATGGATGCTGTCGGCACATTTCATCGTGACCCGACCTTTGATAGGCAACCTATCTTGAACCAATCCTCATCATCAATCATGCGGTATGACCCGTCTTTACACCCGCTCCATCAAATGGACACGACTGGGGTAGGTTCATGCGCGCTAGCAGGCGTCGAAAACATCGGACAAGCGCCTAGAATATGTTTTCAAGAACCAGAATTCCCCTTTGCGGCGACAGCTGAACAACAAGAGCCATCTGTTGGATACGATAGCCTGGCAGCCAATGATCATAATCTTTCACTTGATAGGTTGTCTGCGAGCTGGTCCAGCTACACGAACTCTACGACGTCAAAATTACTGGATACAATGACATCGCAGACCTCGTTTCAGCCGACCTGGCAGGAACCAGTAGACAGGATGTCGACTTTCGGTCCTCCGCTACTCAATGTGTTGAGCCCTTTACCGTCAACGGCTTGTTCTCGCTCCGGCTTCAACTCAGATACTGGAGGTTCCGACTTTCAAGATAGCGCGTACGTACCACAGGGTATAAGTCGCTCAAGGTAGGTCGCAACAATCCTCGGACCTCCGTACAAGGCTAATCGACTCGTAGATCAGCTGGTGGCCGTTTGTCCTCTCCCGGGGATTTCACCCCCGCTCTCGGTCAACCTTCGCCAACTCTTTCTAGCGTAAGCATTATCTCATCTAACTTGGCAGAAGTCCTAGGATGCGAGATGTGTGACGCCACTTTTACCGGGGAATACCGCCGAGGCAATCGCCAGCGCCATTGGCGATTGAAGCATGGACAAGCCCAAGGCCAGGAAGAAAGGATCTACCCATGTGAGGCAGATGGTTGCTCAAAGGTTTATAAGAGGCAAGATGCACGCCTGAAGCATTACCGAAAGAAGCATCGAAGCATGGCTCCCGGTCCAGCCCTGTCCCGCAAGAAGTATCCCTCGGTATAATGACGCCATGACGCATGGAATAACATCCCTCTTTGGAGGTTGAACGATCGTACCACGCTCGTAGGAGCTTTGGTTTGGGGCTTCGAAGGTGGCAGGCGAGGCTTTCGGGTTCAACGTGTATCGAAGCCCACATTCGTTCGCAGAGAATCGATTCCCTACAACTTTGTACCGACTGACAGTCGATTTTCTCTATACCCATCTCTTTCTTCCGTATACTATTCAACCGAGTCGTGGTGGGAGTCTGATGCAGACATTTCTTTCCATGCTTTTGTAACAGCTTCGACATGTAACGCCAAAAAAAATCTTTTGTATTCTTTTCCTTCCACTTGCCTATACTAGATCTAGAGGAGCCATCTCCAAGGCGTGCACTGGGTCTGGTTAGTGTAAGACAAGTAGCGCACTATTGTCCCATTCGTTTTCGTTTTCGTGTTCGTGTTGTGTTATTGGTTTACAGCGGGGCGCGGGTGTTGGTGTTATAGGGTTATACGTTGGGAGATATGTTTTGCAGGCCGGCGTTATAAGAGAGGCGGGAAGGCGAAGTCGTGAAGAGCTGAAGGTCAACAGGCAGCAGCTATACAAACGTCATCGATAGCAGACTGGACCTCGTGGTGTAGAATGGCGGCCTCTTTAGGCGGCGATGGTACTGCAGAATTGTATCGGCCTATATGTTCTTTGAACTGGCATCGAGGTCAAGGTCGGTGATGATGAGTGGAAAGTCCAGCGGGCCGTGGTGGAGACTGGCCGGTGGTAGCCCCGGTTGAGGAAACCTAGTTGCGGGTCGCACGGATCAAATCATCAAACACGAGACGAACCTTAATGCTGCGTCAGGGGCTTCCCAAGCCACCCAGGGGTAACGATCCTCTCCGAATGTCACTCTGGCGTCGTTGATGTGGCGACGATCGTCAAAGAAGGCGCCCAACGATTTGCTGCCTCACTTCTCTGAGCTTGGACTCGCGGCGCTGCTTGACGACGGAACATATGAAGCGAGGGCGTTGAGGAAACCAAGTGATTGAGGGGCCTTGTGTGTGACATGGTAACGTGGGTATCGATAGATACGAACGAAAATTCCAAACGACGGGGCGTATAAAGTTCTGGAAAGAGAAACAATGTTGTAGCGACCTCTGGAGTAGAGTCTTGGCACTCTCACCCGTCCTACACTAATTTCATTAGTTAGTCATGATGATCAACGCTTTCTTTTGCACAATGTCTTGGGCAGGCCTCGTCATGTCGTGATATGAGTCCTGACGGGGTGTTGTCGCCTAGAAGCTACAGTAGACCGGTCAATAGTTATATCTTACAAGTCCTCCAGGCCAATATCTCACCTGAATATACAACTCCGCGCATCGCTTTCCTATTTGTCTGATATATAGCATGACGTTTCTTTCATGATATACTCGTAGCTACCTGTCAGCAGATGGTGTAGGGGTGGTTACACTGATTTGATACAGTATATTCGCCTCTTTCTTCCTTCTTCCCCCCGAATCTTTCTTACACCCGGTAGATCATGAGTTCCAATGAGTCTTCACTATAACGCGAAGAAGACAGGTGCAGATGCGTGTAAGAATGATCTCATGACGCACCCCAGGTATAAGCTTGACAACGGACCTTCCGGTTCGCCCAGAGCGAAGGACGGTGGACGCTCGTGTAAATGTCACGAGCACATCAGCTCAAGGCAAATTCAGGTCGTCACCGCTACACCTCAGCGAGAGGAAGACAGGAAGATATTCTAGATGGCGAAAGCTGGACCTGAAGGCGCAACCATCACCCTATCCATAACCCAACGCCCAATCTATTGGACCCAACTACACCCTGTAACATGCAGGGACGGACATGCCAAGTGGTTTCTAGCGAATTTCAGGAACTTTCCTCTGCTGAAAATGCACGTCGCCGCTTCAATTTCGTCGGCGGCGACACTGTACTCAGCCACCACTGTGTGTGTTCAGCTTACAAACCCATGGAACTATCTGGTGAACCTCATTTATCTCGCCACAACATGGTGATGAGTTGATCGAAGACAAAAGAACCTAACATCAATAAGACCGATGATTCTCCAAGGTTTAGATGTTGTTGAGTTAGGATGCAGGAAGACGGTCAAACTCATGCAGGTGCGAAAGGCTAAAACTGACATAGTATAGGTCGCTTGCTCCGGGGATCAATCCATCCATCCCCCCGCCTATCCCTAAAGTTGCTCATTTTCTCACTGATTCGACCGTAGTAAATGCGACAAAGCTTCTCCGTTCAACACTTTGCGCTGTCGTGTTATCCTACACTTGACCAACACCAATCATTGGCAATGCACTTCCGACTCAGACAGCTCATCTTCTGCGCCCTTCAACTGAGGCCCAATAGCATCCGCAGTCCACTGGTGTCTCCAGCATCGCCATCATTCAACAAAGAAGATCCATATGGCAAACTTACTTAAAAAAAAAGCCACCAAACTTCACCCTGCATGAGACGTGCGGAATGACATCTCACCGGCAAAAAAATGGTGTCTTCGTGCAAGGGTTACGGCTCACTAGCGCCCAACAACTTGTGATTAGGTTTGCTTTTTCATGCTTGCTTTTTGATGTCTTGATAGGAACCTGGCGAGGTTGTCGTGGGTAAAATTGCTGCCTGACCCGCAGCGCCACCCGAGTGGCTTGCTTGATGCCTTGACACTTGGTCCTGGTTCAAAGGCCAATTGATAGCCTAGGAACCTAGGAACTAGTTTGCCATAACGGAGCGAAACACACGAGCCGATATCATCCAGAAGATTTCATGTACAGAAACTTGATGCTCAATTACCTCGTCTATCTATCAGTCACGCTATTCAGGCCAGTCGAGAATCGCCGAGAAGTTGTAGTGCACATTAGATTAAGCTTTGGAGTATGTCTCAGCCTCATATCCCACAAGCTGAGCCATATTCCAACCTCGTCCATGACGCCCTGTCCCACATTCTGCTACCCGATCAAACACGCTTCAACCCTTCTTCGACAGCGGCAGCGTTCCTGTTGGAACCCGACATCAGGCTTGCGTTCACCTGCTCAACGTCCCAGAGGCTCAGTGTTCGCTATGCCTCCAGCCCTCCCTGACGACTTGCCTCCAAGCGCAAAGTTGCCCAACCCTCGTGCAGCAACATTACCCACAAGAGGCTGTCGAGTCAACGGTGAAGCTTGATATGAAGGACCGGCTTCCGGGTTCAAGTAGGGGTTTTGACGAGCCCCACCGAGGACAGGGAGACGGCTTCGGTGAGCTTGAGATGGTGTCCCAACCGGGGCAGATTCTATACGAGGTCAATACGGAACACAGGTCAACGCCCGATGCAGCTCAACACGGATAGAAACTTACGGCCTGAGTAAACTCTGCCGCCCAAATCGCGCCCTTGCAAGTTTGGAGTGTATGAAGGTCCAATTCCAATGCCACCTAGCTGTTGGCCACTACTTCGAGAGCTTCTGCTATTGTTCCTATTATGCGGCTTTTCGCCGCCGGTCTGCCGGCCTACACCAATCTGCCCGAAGTTTGTGGTACTAGTTCGCGCGCCTGGTAGGCGGTCGATGAAACGATCGCCACGGCCGGTTTGAAGCGTGAACTCTGCTTCGTCGCCAGCTGCATGGGCAACATGCGATGCCATGACCTGCGCTTTCAAAGACTGATAGAGCTTTTGGGTCTGCTGTTGTGACTTGGTCTTCTCCTTGTAGGCGTCGACTAGCTCGTGGTTCTTAGCTTCGAGAGAGGTCTGCTCCGCCTGCATAGCTAATGGAACCGTCAGTCTCCATGGCCTAGTCTACGTAATAGAGAAGAAGCGGACCTTGGATCTTGTCTTGCAGGGCCTTGATCTGTGAGTTCGCATCGTGGATAAGCTGATCCATCTGTTGGCTTAGTGTGTTGTATTTCTCGGTCAAGCCCTTTGCAAGATGCTCCTGGTAGATAATTTCCTGTGAAGTTTGATAGCTATGGAAGGCCAGGCCACGACTTGCGCATTCCATGATGATGGTTGGACTGAGGCCACTGAGCACGCTGGTTTTGTAGTCTTCTGAAGGATTCAATCCAGCAATAACGACATCATCTGGGTTGTGGAGCGAAGCATTGCATGCTGGACACGTCCTATGCGCGTTTGTTGACCTCGAGAGTCCGGTGGTGTCGGCGCATTGGTTGCAAAAGACATGACTGCAGGTCGTGACTACAGCGCTATCATGAAGCTGCGTGCGACACTTCAGTTCGTTGCATCGAAGCATAAACTCCATTGTGCGAAGGCTGACGTGAGGTAGAGGAGGTAAACTTCCAGGATGGACGGATCAAGAAAGTGCGCCCTGGACGTGAAAACAAGTGAGGGTCACTGAGGCAAGAGCGATTGCGCAGGGTCCCACTCGAGGTTCTTAAGAAGTATGCAATTCCGTCTTCCTGGTATCATGGTATATCGCTGCGTTACGCAAAAAGGACAACGAGGATAAGAATGTGTAGCAGTCACGTCTTGGGCCTGTACTTTTGCCGATGCGCCGCCCGTGGAGACTGACTCTACCGGTCGTCCTTGTCTGGCTTCCGCCGCTGTCTTGTGCTCTTCTTTCCCGTCGCCGCTGTCTCATCCTCTTCTTCGTCGCGGCCTTTCGCCAGGTCCTCGTCGAGGCCCCACTCCTCATTGTCATACCAGTCCTCGCCATCGCTCATCTCTCCAACATGAGCTTCAGCCTTGGACCACCTGAAGACATCCTGTCTCATGCGGTCGGCCTGTAGCATGCCTTGAAATAGATCCGAGGTTATCCGTGCAACCTCATCCTGCTTTTGTATGTAGGCCATGAGCAGCATACGCGTTTCCTCGGCCTCATTAGATGGTATCCCAAAATCGCGATCGGGTATCGAGTCGGTGGAGAACGTGAAGAGAGGGTGTATTGCGTTATCGCTGCTGGATGGGGATTGAGGCGGCGAGGGAGTCGACGCTGCTTGCGCGCGGGCGCGCGTCGTCATTCGGTGTGCTGTCTGTTGTGACGCGGTATCGGACGCATCGTCAGCTGCTGGAGAATCCGCTCCTTCACCGTTGTCCTGTAGTTTATCCGTATCTACGTCATGTGAGGTGCCGTTTGTCACGGGCTCGGCTCCATTGACTGCTTCCGGTCCTGTGTCGCCATTCGTCACGTTCTTCTGAGAAGCGCCGTGAGCGTGTCCTGCGTCTTCCATGTTTACGTCGTGCGCGTTTTGTGTCGCGTCTTCCATCTCAGCATCTTGGTCCTGTTGGAGCTCTCCATTCACGGCGCGCTCAGCCGTGCCGTTCGACCGTGAAGTTCGGAAAGTCTCATTGCTCATGGCCGCTAGAGCAGTAGGCGCAAATGAGGAGTCCCCTTGTAATTTAACAGACAAATTCTTTGCGCGCGCAATCGTGATCTGCTCCTTTCGCGACAGCACGCCCGCTTCGTTTGCTAGGTCGGTGAGGTGTCTCGAGGTGAATGCTACGCTCAGGGCCTGGTGGGTTGGCAAATCGGCTGCGGATGTCAACGGCGCAAGAAGGTCTAGAATATCTGATCAGTCTGGCGTTCCTCATGCCCAGGTTCATGAGCCCACGTACTTTCTAGCAGTATGTTCCCATATGGATTCTCCTCTACGGCTTCCAGATCTTCTTCCTCGTCATATTCGTCATCTGGCTCAACGAGGTCTCCGTCAGGATCAAAGCGCGGAGGGTTACGCTGTAGGATAGCTCTGCGATAGCCAGCGTGCTCGATGCGCTATATTTTGTGAGCGTTCAGCTGGGAGTGGAATTCTGAGCGGCGCAATATCGGAAACGCACCTTTTTATAAGGACGAGGATCCGACAGAAAATCTGGGTCGCTGGCACGCGCATAGTGGACCTTGCGCTTCAGGTCTTGCTTGTGGCTACCGAACGGCGACTCTTCTTCCTCAGATTCCGCTGTGAGGATTAGTGAGAGTCTGTGGGGAAGAGGTATGGGGCTCTTACAGTCGTCTCTCCGCAGCATCCTCCTCTTCATGTTGAAGATGGTGTCCATGATCTGTTGCTGCTGGCCCGCCATGGTGTTGACGGCCTCCTGGCCAGCTCGAGTAGAAAGTTGGCCAAGTCGGGAATTTGCGAGTGCCGGCGCGTGCACACAGTCAGGGCACTAGCTGGCGCGCTGATAGAGGGGGAAGAAGGTACAAACCCGCAGAGAAGGAGGAGGGTATCGGGGCGGCGGATGAGCTGTTCGCGCGTTGGTGTTTAATTGAGCGTTGCGGAGAATCATGGCAATGACCGGCCAGCCAGGGTTGCAATTTAGCGCGCTGCGTCCCGCAATTCACCATGACATCGCAAGCATCCCTCTACATGCATGTGCTCAAGCAGGGGCCAGCAAACACCCACCAAGCTCCAGCCCTTCGAACACCACGCTCAGAAAAACGGCACCTACAGCGAACCTCGCGACACGCAAGCAAGTGACAATTCAATCTACCACTCTGCGACGTCGTCACCCCTCACCTCCGAAGCTCCTCTTCATGGCTAGATAGCTCGCGCATACAGCTATGGATGCGTATCCATCCGACTACGTACAACACAACTTGCCCTTCATACTTCTCTCTGGCCTAGGAAGCAGCAAAGAGCTTGATTCTCCGCCTCCTGTGCAGAATGTGCTGCCGGGTCGGGCTGTTACCACTGTTAGCCCAGAAACGCCGCCGGTGACAGGCGATCGCGCAGAGGAGCTACTCCGGGAGTTCCTGAGCGCTGATGGCACCAATGCCCCTTGGAATGGGAGGGCATCTGGTCAAAAGGGCATCACACATGGCCTCAGAATACGGGCTGTAGGGAGGGTAGGTCAGGCGCCTGCGCAGTGCAACTTGGGAAGAGGCACCCAACTGATGGCTACTAGAACTTTCAACTACCTCCAAGGAAGGCCGATGCGCCCACGGCGTCCACAACAAGCCCGATAGGCAGCCCTGACATCGCAGCAGCGACATCGTGGATCCTGCACTCGCCCATATCCCCGCTCTCACCAGCCTCGCCAACCTTTCCCGACGGCATCATCGCGCCTTCCTGGGTTGCAAAACACCAGCACTACGTACCCGCCGTGTACATATCCTTCTTCAACTTCACCACCGACCCCATTACCAACAGCCTGCATGACAACCAACTGAAGACGGACATCAACAAAGTCAAGGGTCAAATACAAAAGTCGGAATACCGCACACGCCATGTGGTCGTGCTACTTAGCAACAAGACTATACTAGAGTCGCCTGATATTGAAGAGCGCCTGGCTGTCATACGGCGAGCTACCGGCCTAGATCCGAAGAACTCTTTTTTCTTTCTGCCCCCGAATACATCCCCAGTGGAACTCAGAGCCTTTGTAATATCGGTGCTGTCGATACTGCAACCCATATGTGTCGAGTACTACAGGGATCTCACCAAGCATGCCAGGAGGAAAAAAGGCCGGGGCACCATCCCTCCGCCGACATCTCCGCCAACATGGGGCACATCTCAAACATTGTCCTACCCTGGCTGGGCCCTCCGATATGACTTCAAACTAGGTATCTTTGCAGAGTTTCGCCAGGAAATGGACGCGGCGCAACGGCACTACAACTCTGCTCTTGAAGCCCTGTTCGGCCTTGAAGGCATGTTCGAAACGACAGCAAGCTGGTCGCCTAGATGGGACGAGATGCGATTACTGGCGGATATCATCGCTCTTCGACATATTCGATGTCAACTATGGAATGGCTACCCTACCTCTGCTGCCCAAACTTGGTTACGATACAAGATCAGACTAAGAGACGTGCTTGACCGTCGAGGGAAGGGAACAACAAATTACGGATGGCAAGCCTGGGAGGCACGGTGGGCTCAGGTTATGGCGCAGGTCATTCAGCGAACCGATCTACCAGTCTTTAGCATATCACAACCAGTTGTAGACACAGACCCTCTATCGGACACAGTGATTTCCATCTTTTCGCCGCCCGAGAAACAGTTCCCCGTCGGTGAGAAGCTACCGCCGTGGGAGTTGCTACACCATGCCGGCTATTGGCACAAAGTATCGGCCGATCATGCAAAGAGGCGATATATCCTTGCGCGAGAGATGCCCGAAGAAGACCGAACACCGCCAGGTATGTCGCCTGCTACCAAGGTGTCGAACCGGAACCAAATGTACGATCAATACCTGGTCCCACAACCACACGAAGAGTTTCCCGTTCCTGGGACGGGCGGTGGATTCGAGCACTGGAAAGATATTTCGGCAAAGATGAATGCGGCAATATCCGAGTTCAAGGCTCGGGGACAGCATCGGAAGGTCGATCAACTACAATTAGAGGTGGCTAGAACATTATTGCATGTCAAGAGATTTGATGATGCCTTCAAAGTACTACGACCACTTTGGGAAACAATGAGCTGGAGAAAGGAAGGCTGGTGGAGCCTTGCATCTGAAGTGCTATGGGCTCTGCATGAATGCGCACTGCGCGTTCAAAACCGAGAGACCTACGTCGCGACGGAGTGGGAGTTGTACAGTCAAAGTCAGTGCATCATGATTGAGTAAGCTGATGACAATGCTGATGACATCCAGCTATTCCCGGCAAAACGAAGTACAGATACGATCTCATGGCATGCTTAGACACGTTTCCCGCAGATGCTTCCGCCGACAAAGTGAGCGTCAGTTTGGATACCAAGGCCCACATGTCTTGCTGTACGTACAACCCTGCTTGATTAAGCTTAAAGGCTAATGGTGTAGTATCCGTAACTTTTGCCTTCTCAGAGGCTGAGGGCAATGTGGGCGAACCGTTACGTTCGCAGATTGTAATCACTTCGAATGCTCGACAAGGCTCAGCTCCCATTACCTTATCTTCTCTATCCTACCGGTTCAAGGGCGGCTTGAGCGAAGTACGACTGACACATGCCGCGGTCGAAGACGCTTCTGGAAGCGGCTCGAAACTACTCGAATGTAGTCTGCACGAGAACATTTCATCAACGGAGAAGCCGCAGTGGATCGGGGTGTCTGATTTAACAATACATTCCGGGCAAACTAAGGTGTACAACTTCCCACTTATTTTCCGCGAAGCAGGGGACATAGATGCCATTGCATGCATTTTCGAGGTTAACACCGAGCGCTATAATCTTGTTTGCTCGGATTCAGACCTTCAAACAATGCCTTCTCCGACATGGTGGATCACTTCCAACGCGGAAGTCAAGCCTCGGAAGCTGAAACGAAGCTCTGGAATTTCGATACATATCCTACCAAAGCCACCAAAGATGGAAATCAGGCTACCAGATGTACAAAGCCAGTACTATACCGATGAGCCCGTGGTCCTAGCAATAGAAATTCAGAACCAGGAAGAGGAAGACACAGAAGCTGTTCTGGAAATTCGATTTCTCGGGCGCTCGAAGGATACGCTCGGCTACTCATGGGTCGAGCGCCCTGCCTCTTCACCAATGAAAGAAATGCCGCCATTACTTGATGGCTCCACAGACGTCGACCTTCCAGGCCATGTGGTAGGTAAGCTCATCCAGGGCGCAAAGACGACGGAGAGGATACGGTTCACGGCGCCGCCAGATCCAGCAGACTACGCTCTAGAAGTGAAGGTTTTATACCACCTCCTCAGTGACCGCGACATCCCAATTTCGAAAATCATGATTGCCGATCTCGTGTTTAATGCACCTTTCGAAGCGAGTTATGATCTGAACGCCAGGGTTCATGCACGTCAATGGCCAAGCTATTTCGAGCTGCAGGAGGCTGAAAGCAACGTCGATCCTGAGTCAACCGATGCTTTTGGTATTGCACAGAATTGGGGTTTGCGAGCAAAGGTTGCATCTTTTGCCGACGAGCAGCTCGTAGTTAAAGACCTTGCCGTTGAAGTCCACAGTATTCATGGAGGCGCAACATGCGACATAACAAAGGAATTCGACGTCGTAGACATGGCAATGGAACCTAAGGTCCTGAAGGAGTGGTCTTTTAGCCTCGACATCCGCAAAAACAACCTTGAAGAACGCCGCTCGACCGCTCTCGACACTACACTTAACATCACTTGGCAGCGGACTTCTGTCCCCGATGCCCCAGTCGTGACCTCTTCTCTCCCCATCCCGCGTATCCAGATACCTTCGAGCGAACCACGCGTCTTGGCCTCAGCTATCCTCTCCCCTAGCGTGGCATCGCTCGTACACCTCGACTACACACTCGAGAACCCGACGATGCACTTCCTAACGTTTGAGCTCAACATGGAGGCCAGCGAAGAGTTCGGCTTCAGTGGGTCCAAGCTACGCACTTTGCATCTGCTGCCTATGAGCAGGCAGACTGTACGCTATACTCTCCTGCCACTGGTCACGGGCGCGTGGATCACTCCAAACTTGAAGGTTATGGATCGCTACTTCAACAAGACGCTCAAGGTACAGGCTACAGAAGGGTTGACTATGGATAAGAAAGGTGTGGGGGTTTGGATACCTGGGGATGAACGGAGTGCGTCTAAAGCATAGAATCACTGGAGTTATTTTAGAGTGATGAGACGATGTTAAGGGTAATTGATGTGCACCAAATGTCCTGATCTATCTACTTTATGTCATATTATTGAACTCGTGATTCTCTCGATTTCATGGCGATGAGGATGAACACATCGTCCTTGAGCGTCGGATTCAGGACGGTTGAAGATGTCCTTGGTCTATACATCATTCCTGCTGACGTGAGTCTGGCGAGGTGTCCAGAAGGCCTGCACACAGGACACGCTCCTCCGAAGGCTCTGGTCGTTTCCCCAAAGCTCTGTATGTCCAACATACTCTAACAGCCTCCTTCAACCATGCGTAATCTATATATACATCCCTCGATGCCCTAGACTAGCCCCTGGCGGTCTCATAAGTTCTTTCAGGTACAGCTCCACTTGTCAGTTCCCAAGCCACGGCATCTCCGGCCCACGCATCCCCGTCACCGGATCGCGGCCAGGAACAGCATGTCTCCACCGATCCTCGTCCTGCTCATGTCGCGGGATGCGCGTTTGATGTGATGTGTCAGCGGTGGTAAGAGGCGTTAACGTTGTAGGTCCTGAACTGATCTGAGATCTCATCAGTTATTATTAAAGGTTCGCTGGGGGTGGAAGAGGAGGTGTGATCATACTGTTCGGAGCCATCACCGGAGTAGATGGGCATGTCGAAATCTGTGGCTGCGTAGTCCAAGATCTGAGGATCGACGCCGGGGATCTGGGTTGTTGATGCTGGTTCTTGTGGCTGCTGCGATTGCGTGTATGGGTATGAGGTGAAAGATGCTGTTGCGTTGGCTTGTGAAGGTGCCGAGTCGGCGTCGTTGACTTCAACGATTTTGTCCTCTTGGACTCGCACTTCGCGGTCTCGCAGTCGGCGCATAAGTTCGAGGAACTGGGAGTTCTGAAACTTTTCGCTCGTGTTGTCGGCCACTCTTTCCAAAAGGCGTCCTGCGGTTTCCGCCATCTCATCATCATCATTCCTTGGTGTTTGTTCTTCCCTTTGCTCAGTCTTTTCTTCAGTCTTTTCTTCTACACGCTCGTGCTCGGGAGTCCTCATGTAGCCTGCCGTTTCTAGCTCTTTCCATATTTGCTCCTCGTTCATAGGCACTCGTGCGCCAAGCGGATACTGTGACATCAATCGCTGGTTGATTGCCGTGATGAGCTTCTCTGCGCGCGTCTTCACTTCCTGTGGTGCGTCCCGATTGACTATTCGTTGCAGCGAGTCGACTATCCATTTCGCTTCGTTCGCGTCCTGAACCAGGTGGCCGCTCCGTTCCAATTGATCCATATTGTCAAGATACGACACGGCTTCCTCGGTGCGCCCAAGCCCCGTCTCGCTCCAGACCTGGATGGCTGAGTAAACAGCTAGAATTCATGTTAGCTACCGTAGTACTGCTGAGCGATACTACACACCTGGCCGCGTCTCTCGTATCCGCATAAGGAGAGGATCTATCTCACTTGGCCGGTCCAAGCCTAGCACTTCTGGATTTGCTTGCGCTGCTTGTGCGCGCCTCTGGTCGGCTGCTGCTTCGTCGAGCATGTCTTGCTGCGCCTGCGCAAATGCATTCTCGAACGCTGCTTCATCGAATGCTGGCACCGCGTCTTGCGCGCGCTGCTTTCCTTGAGCAACTTGCGCATTTTGAAAGCCAGGTGTTTGCATAAAAGGCTGGGCCGCAAACCCGCCCATGCCATACCCCGACATGGCGCCATATGTGTTCTGTTGGAGCACTGGAGACTGAGCAACGGGCGCTTGCTGCCTTATGAAGTCCTGATGCCATGCTGACGCCGCATTCGCCGCTTGCGCCCGCTGTTGCTGCTGCTGCTGCTGTAGTAGTTGTGGAGGCGGACTGGAGATGTTCAAGCTCTGAAAGTCGTTGGCCCAGTCAGGAGCTTGGGGAGCTTGTGCGAAATGCTGCGGCGGGGGAGGGGCGAATTGCGGAGGGAAACGTTGGAAGTCTTGCGGCGGGCCAGGCCGTCCTGCTTGAAAGGCATCGAATTCGGAATCTACAGCACCTGCATTTGGTCCTGGAGATGATCTGAAGCCCTAGTTATCGTTAGAGTAGCACACCTTGTGTTTCGTAGGTAGTACACACCTGCGCTGGAGAATGCCTCCCGATCAAGCGGTCCTGCTGCAGTGTCCGGTCGACGGTGGTGTGCTTCTGAAAGTTCTGGAGGGCGTTTGAAGGCCCGCAAAGTGCGTCTGCCATGTTTAGACTAAGAAAAAGAGGGTATCACCGCATGCTAAGCAAAAATGTAACCAAAGAGCAATAATCGAGTGTTGCGGGCAAATGCACGTTGAAAGCGCAAGAGGCGTCCCGCGATGATGAAATCCATATGCCGAGGCTTTCCCTCGGTGCGGGCCGACCTAGGAGCAGATGCGCGTGCACATGCACATGCTCCATCTTCACCCTCCAAGCTTCCGCTGATCTAAGTAAACAGCATCTAGACTGAACTCAGATGGCCAAGCGACGGTCACACGACATCGGCTGAGTGTCCCCTGCGCCCACCGATCGCGGTAACGTGGCGGAACACAATTAAGTAGCACAAGCACCGGTGAAGATCTGCGTCTTGTTGAGAGAAACAGTGCATGCCTCGCTGCGTACAGCATATGCACGAGAGAGAAAAGCTGAACCAGCTGAAGAAACAAGTTGCACGTATGTCTTGTTCATGTATCTGAAGGATAAGCTACCCAATATAATGATCCGAACGCCACCGCGCGTATCGAACGTATGAAAGTAGTATCCCCATAGCCTTTCTGCTAGCTAAAAGAGTAGAGAGATGATGAATGGTATATGAGAGAAAAGTAGAAGTTAAAAAAAAAACCCCCAAGACGACATTCAACTCGAACTCTTCCCTTTACCATGGCACTGACTTCCACACTCTATCTAAAGAACATACTGCTCAGATTGACATTCTGCTTGGAGGAGCGGTTCACGTCGCTCCTTGACCTGGACCTAGACTTCTTGCGCACAAACGCATATTCCTTCTTTCCATGGTAGTCGCGTCCCTCGGACTCAATGAAGAGCTTGCTGCCACCCCCGGTACGAAGGCGACGCGTGTGCTCGAAGAGGATATCAGTCTCGGTTTGGCTCATTTCGCGTAGGACGATGATGTACTCTGGGTTCTAAGGTTGGTGGAGTTAGTACTTGAGCTGAAATTGATGGTGGGAGGGGGGTGCAATCTTACTGTGTCATACTCGTAAGGAATGTTATAATAATGTAGCGTCTCAACATCAAGATACTGCCTGTGCACCTTGGCATATGTAGGCTGAGGTGCAATGCGCATTGGATTCAGCGGCGTCATGCCTTGCTGCAACTCCTTTTGTTTTTCCGGATGAACAAGAGCTTGGATCTGGTTGTCTTGGAAGCCGAACTGAGCGAGTCTCTTACGCATCGTCTCCTCGAGCTCCTTCTCCTGCGCCGCCTTCTTCTCCTTCTCCTCTTCTTCCTTTTCCTTCTGCTTGCGCATAAAGGCTTCGTATTCCTCCTTCTCCTTTAGCTTCTTCTTTTCTTCTTCGAGCCGGAGCTGCATGATGAGTTCTTCGCGTGCGCGCTTCTCCTTCTCGGCGTCCTGGAACTTCTTGCGCTCGTACTCGAAGATGACTCGCTCGCGTTCTTCCTTGGCCTCTCTCTCCTCCCTCTCTCGCTTCTTATTGTAGGCATCAACAGCTCGCTGCTGTGCTTCCTTGGCTTCCTCTTCTTGCTGGTGCACCTTTGCTGTATTCTCAGCAATAATGCGCTTGCGCTCTATCTCCATAGCTCTTTCCCTGTCAGCGCGTTCTCGGGCCTCCTTCTCGAGCTTCGCGGTATTCTCAGCAATAATAGCCTTGCGTTCGTCCTCCTGCTCCCTCCGCTCCTTCTCCATCTTCGCGATGATCTTTTCGCGCTGTTCATCGGCCTCCCTTTGCTCCCTTGACATTTTTGCCCTGTTCTCCGCAAGGATTGCCCTGCGCTCTTCATCTTGCTCTCTCCTCTCCCTCTCTAATTTGGCTAGAATCCGATCGCGCTGCTCTTCTGCGTCCCTCTGCTCCCTCGACATCTTCGCTCTATTCTCGGCAATGATGTTGGCACGATTCTTCTCTTCCTCAATTTCCCTTCGCTCGCGGTCTCGCTCTTCCCTCTCGCGCTTCAACTCCCAGTCGTGCCGCATGTGCTCTTCTTGATACTTGATGCGCTGCTCCTCAGCATCACGCTCCTTCCTGTCCTTGATGTACTTGAGCTCCAGCTTGCGCTTGAGTAACTCTTCGCGCCTCTCCATCTCATCTTCCTGTCGTTCCCTCTCAAGCTTTTCTTCAGCTTCTTTGAGTCGCTGCTGTGCAATCGTCAACTGGAGCTTATCCTCGAACCGGCGATCAGGTGAGTGGCTATGATGGTCATGATGGTCATGGTGGTCGTGCCTTGAGCGGGAGCGCTCACGGTGGTCCCTCCTGACCTCCAACTTTAGCTCGGCAAGTTCGTCCTCTAGTGCCCATTCACCAGGGATTCTTCGCGGCACTGCTCGGCCGCGAGGACTGCTTTCTCGATGCTCAGTGCGAGTGGTGTCCCGGTGGTCAGTGCGGACATTTGGATTACTCTCATTGTCGTTGCGAGTGGTGTTGTAGATGGTCACATTGGGAATGCGGTCTTGACCTTGTGAGCGGCTTCGATGGAGAGCGGTTGTGTAGTGGACCTCGTGGCCCGGGTACGCACTGCCACTGCGACCATATTCGGGGCGGAGCTCCTCTCGTCGCGGTGCTGGACGTGCTGTGGGTCGAACATGGCGAGCACCGGTAGTATACTTATCGGTGGCATACCACTCGTCCTCAGTGTAGTTGTCCCACTCGTCTGGGCCGGGCATGGTTGGAGTTGGAGTGTACGGTAGCGGGGAAATGCAAGAGTAGAATAGTCTCAAACTGTCTTGATAAAGCTAAGAAGCAAGAACTAGAAGCAAACAGTTCAAAAGACTGCTGTGTTGCTGTCCTGTCTCAGCGGGCGGCGAGGGCGGGGTGATAACAGAGTCTGACACAGCGGCGCACGACAGCAGGTTAACGTAAGAAACAAGGAAGCAGCTCGAAAGTGCGGCAATCCAGGGCATTTCAAAGAATTCAAGCCCCCGAAGGAATTTGGGGTCCAAAAGGCACCCGCAGCTAGTCATCAGGCAGAAAGACTCCTGGGGCTGACTTGCATTGGTCTGGTGGACCACCAGGCGGCGGCGGCGGCAGACCATAGGCGGCATGGCATCTAGATCGAGTGGCTCGACGCATGCCCACGCTGCCGTCTTCACCTTTGTGACGGCCTACTGCTTTTCGAAGCGGTGTACCAGGCTCGCCGCCCGCTTGACCCGTGTCTCTGCAATGTTTGAGCGCGCGCGAACATGTCCATGGTGACAAGGAGGGGCAGTCTAAATTAGTAACCTTGGAACACTACCAGCATGCTGATCCGTCTTTCCTCTTCCAGCCAGCGGGGGCTGAAAAGTAGCGGAGACTTCCAAGGTTGTTACCGCTGTCAGCCTTATTCTCGACCGACTATTTCAAAACTCCAGGCGAGCAGAGCATGCACTGGGTGTCATCGCTCTGGGCCGTTTTGCTCCTTCAAAGTATCTCTGGCTGTCGCGCGCTTCGAGACACATGGGCACCACGGGAAGCGCCTCTTGAAACAGTGTGTTCGCGTGCATAAGACCGTGATAGATGTTGTGACCACTATCTTGATTAGAACAAGCTCCCACGTGCCTGTTCGGCGACAGCGGCTAGACATTTGGCGCCTTATCCACCCGATGCTGGGGATTGCACCTCAGCCGCACCCTTTCATTTCATCGCACTACAGCATGTTCAAGTAGGTGTGGATGCGAAGTCGGTACGAGAACCACGTACGAGCCTGAAAGCTACAGAGGGTTCGCTAAAGTACTGCGCTCATGCAAAATGGTCATATATCCAATCGTTTCCTCAATTAGCCGAGTTCCCCGTAGAATAGACACGTGATGAGACCCCCTGTATCATTTGGTCGCGCCTTGGACTCCGCTGTAATGTTTCGAAGAGCCCCAGATGAGTGGAGAGAGGTATCATCCCAGCCACCAATACCAGAACGCCTTGAATACCGTTAATCATACACGTACATTTTTCTCCTCCTCAGCAACCTCCCGCCACTCCCTTTCCGCCCTTCTAATCAACTCTTCATACACTGTCCACGCAAGCGCACTGCTCATCGCCTTCCTGGCGATCCTAATACCTAGTCCATCAAAGAAGCTCCTCGTCCCCTCTTCAGCAAACATCTTCTTTGCCGCATGCACCGTGTTCCCGTATCGGTCAGGCATCAGCTGTATGCGCGTCTTGATCGCATCGAAAGGGTTCGTCATCGTCGTCCCGAGTCCTGCTGCTGCGACGCCAGAGATGAAGTTGATGCCCGCAGATGTGCTGGAGGAGAGTTTCGTGCTAGCGCCGGACGTTTCCTCAATCTTGGTTGCGAGACTTGAGAGCTTCTTCTTGGACTGTTCGTAGAAGAGGACGTAGAGGCCTGCGTATGGTGCGTCGCGGACAGCGGTTGCGCCAAAGCCGGCGAAGAAACCCTTCAGACCTTCTGTACGGAATATGTCTCTCGAGGCTGTGAAGAGCGAGTTGTAAGAGTACAAGCTACTCTCGTACCGCACCTTCAGCACTGTGATGGGCATCATGACAAAGCCCGCCCATGTTCGCGCGAATGCTCCGGTTGCCAGGTTTCCAGTGTTGCTCAACTTGGGTAACGAGCTAGAGTGCTCTCCTCCTTTGATTACTACATCACTCCTGCCAGCAGCAATTAGACTTGCTCTGCGCCGCAGCGCATTCAGAGTAGAGAAGTATATCGCAGATCCAAAACCTGTACGTATTGTGCTTGGTAGGGTGCCTCTCCAGAATTGCCGTATGGGGTTTGGTCCGCTGGCTATCGACCTAATAGTGCCGAGGAGTGTGTTTGAGTGCGATTGCTGGACGCGGGTCTTGAGGAGGTCGGCGGGTTGGAGAAGGACAGCGGAGAGAACACCTGAGCTCAGGCCGGCGAAGAAATGGACTACTCGAGGTGTTAGCAGGCAATTGAAGAAGATTTTGAGGTATTTGAGTATGTGCTCAAACATCTAGACTACTATCAAAGAAGTTGGGGCTCACAGTAAGACGACGCGCGCGACTTCCCGCCATCTGACATTGCCGCGCCGTCAAAAGTTTAATTGCTATATCGTGGAGAGTGAAGCTGCACTACGCATGGTGCTGGTAACCCTGGAGGTTTGGCCGTATATAATCAAGATGAGGTGAGACGAGCTGAAATCGCTTTGTCAAAGTTCGTGTCGCCGATTTGTTTGATGACGTTTTCCACAACCGTGAGCGCCCGAAGACGGCGGCTCAGAACACCGAGGCATTGCACTCGCTTACGCCCACCTTCCGTGCCCATGAGCGATGGCTACTTCTTCATCGTCACTACACCTTTGCTCTCAGGATACCGGCGTGAATGAATGCTTTCCTCGCTTTGAACCAGAACAGACGCTGTATTTCCCAGCCTTATTCGTATGGCTGAAAATACCCCGGATTTGCTACAGTCAGAGCGATTCGTCTCCAAATCTATACCTTCACATTTCAGTCTTGTAGGGTCATAGTCTTTAAAAACGAGCACTTTTACAGAATCAAACTCGAGTACTAGAAACATGTAATTGGAAAGGTATCATGACTGGCATGATACAAAGCAAGTACAAAACACCTTGACGCTCACCAGAAATACTCAATCGAATATCATATTTTCACAACTCCAGTACAAGTCGATCGCATTCTCGCCAAAAGTCTCGAGCCCTTCTTTGGCACCTTCAAAAATCTCATCGTCGACCATGTAGAAAACACGGCCGTGGTCGTCGCACATGTTCGTCCACTTTTCTAGATGGGGGCTGGAAAAGTCTTTGATGTCCTCCTCGTATTCTCCTCGTCCGTCATCGGGTGCCGTATCGCACATCAGCGCAGCGGGCCCGCCGAATCTATACGTTTTATCCAGTGTCCACTGGCTAATGCTGGCATCTGGAGAGACTGCCATAACGAAAGTATTCCGCTCGACATCGAGGAAGCCTTCAGGCTGTTCCACGACAGTGATGCCAAACATGTATCGTAAAACCGTCTCACAGTTATTGCAGTATGCCGGGTCCTGCGCGATGAACCTCATGGGCTTCTCATTTGGATCTTGTAGAGTATCTCGAATTGTAGCAGCGACCACGTGCTGTAGAAACGCCCGGTCGTTCTCGAGGCTTCCAAGGCCGAAGCAGACTATACGATCAATTGGCCGCATGTACTGGCGGATGCTCTGGAGATTTTGGACCAACTCATTGCATAGATCGCCTTCCTTCCAGCGGGTTTGCAAGTCTCTGAAGCGTTCCATCTTTCCTCCGCAGCAATTCCGAGAAGTGATTGCTTCACGACGCCAGCGCATCCAAATGCCACAACGCGTCCCATGTACATACGGGTACAGGTTCTCCTCCATTGTGATGTTGTCCTGTGCTGGGCGCAACACCAGCTCGACGCCGTTGTGATAGTAATCGTCGTTGGGTGGCAGGCCTCGTTCGATATAGCTCGGGGGGAAACAGCCGCGTTCTGTAACCATGCCTGTGAATATCTCGGGGATCACGGGGTCAGAGGCTGTGGAAACTTCATTGCCGTGCACGTCCTTGGTTATGAAAGAGCCTCCGCGTGCACGTATGTTGTCTCGCTGCACGATTGCGAATGGTAGTAGAGTCCAATCGAAGAAACCTTTCGTTTCAACCAAGTGCCATAGCTCGTCGGCTGCCTGGGGTGGTATGTTAAGCACCATGATTTTGTTGTGAAAATGTTGACAGAAGCCTATAAAAAAGAATAGGCCCACAGAGCCAGAACAAAATGTGGGTGAAGCTGAGTGGAGGCAAGGAGATATTGTAATGGGTGTGTACTGCTTTCATTTGGATGAGTCGTTTGGTACGGTTTATTTTGGCTATCGTCGTACAGTCGTGCCTGCGAGAGATGGGCCGACGTACTTGCCTCCACAAAGAGACTCATCTCATCCACTGCTGCAAGACCGCTTCATCCACATCTCTGACTAGGACGTGCACATGCTCCAAGCTCCTCACACTCTGCAGATTGGTCGTATTCTTGAACCAGATGATCTTGCTTCCTTCCTCTTTCTCTCCCACCTTTTCCCTAAACTCCTTCCTCACATAATCTTCCACCATAGATCGCCCTTCCTGGCTCAAACCGCCTTCCTCATCCACCGGTAGCCGCTGCTTCAACCACACCACGATGTGTCGAATGCCGCGCTCAAACGCATAGCCCCAGTCATTTCTCAGAATCTTAAAATCCTCCGTATTTGCAAAAGGAACCGGATTTCGTACTTCGAACCGAAGCGCTCCCGTCTGATCCTCAATCGGTTCCCAGAGCAGGCGCTGCTGGAGGAGATATGGCATCACGCTTCCATACTTCTCCTTCACGTGCGCCGTCCAGGCTAAATATGCTTTCAGAGCGCTTGGCCAGCGTTTCAACTCTTCGAGTTGACCTGTTGATATGAGATGGTGTAGGTTTGACCAGGAGTGCGGTGTGAAGTCTGTATCGGCTAAGGAAAGTTGGTGCCAGTCGATAGGTGTGAGTTGAAACGGTGGGTTATCGCGCGGAAATGGTAGCGCCGTTGGGTCTGAATTTTGTTGCCATTGTGCTTGGAAAATGGCCGGTACTGAAGATTCATCGACTTTGAATCGTTGCGACATCTTTGATTGCGCGATGGACTTTGCCAAGTTTACTCGTTCGCAAAATTCCGTGTGAGGTGAACCGAACACGAAGGGCGAGTGTTTCCTGTATTATAGACAAGCGATGCGAGGAAGACGGATTAAAGCGGGTTCCGTGTGATATATCCCGTAATTGATCGATATATGTGGTAAGAGAAGAAAGATTCGGTGTGGTACCTCAAGGTCGAAGCGGAAACGTTGCCACTTTTAGACAGCTGCAGGTGGACGCTAATGCACCCACCCTTCGCACTAAATCCTTCAAGTCGTCTCTCAAACCAGGTATGAAAAGAAGAGACATTTGTTATTGACAAATACATGTCGAAGTCCAGCGTTGGATTGCTACATGTAATAAACACTAGCCGCATCAAATAGCCTTACCTGGGTACCTAGGCACTTCCCTTCGTCGAAAGGATCCTAAAAGCCATGGCTTTCAAATCTTCAATTTACTTGAGCCGATAGTCTTCCGAGGAAGCACCTCTGATAAGAAGAAGCCCAGACTAGCAAGCCCATCGATTGATTCATACTTCGAGATGCAATGCAGCCACCCCATCTACGGAGTAGAGCGACACCCGCCATTAAAACATAGTCAAAGACTCACCGCATTGTGCAGCATCAGGTGTATTCTAATGTAGAACATCAGTATTTGCTACTAGTATGTACTTCTATGGCTATTATGCGGTATGTCAGCGACTGGCATCGATCTGAACTCCTTTATCAGACAATGGGGACAAGGCGCAAACCAAGTTCGGACTTTTACTGAGAAATATCTGTTAGTTGAACGCTACGAGAGTGTTATCACCTATTAGAAAAGACAAATGGGCAAAATAGCACTCTGGGGGCACAAATGAGTCACGGTAACGACAGTGTATTTAGCTATAGAGTATGGGCTATGAAAAGCAGGCTGTTCACCACCTCGCGGGACGACCTTGGCGTCGAGCGCTGACAAAAAGCAGGTCAACTGCTGGTTCGGCTATTCATCATCATCATCGCCCTCATCATCAGTGGGAGTGGGCCTCGGGGGGAATCCAATGCTGCGCGAGGGCCTGGCCGAACGGCTCGGAGTTGGCCGGCGGGAGGGAGTTGGGCGGACAGTAGGCGTTGGGCGCACCGAAATGGTGAACGAGCGGCTCACGGGAGGACGAGGAGTGACGGATGGGAAGCTATCGAAGACTTAGTAGAGCTCACTAGTTGAAATCCGAGCACAAGTTTCGTGCGCTTCAAATGCAAGCTATCGGCGAAGGATGCTTTCAGGAGAAGTTGGAAGAGATTGGGACTATACGTACGTCGGGGGCGACAAGGTAGGGATCGGGGGTCGGCTGAATGACGGACGAGGAGTGCGGGATGGGCGGGGGAAACCTCCAGTCGGGAGAGGAGTTACAATGGTGGGGATGGGTCCACGCGTGAAGCTAGGCAACGGGCCGCGAGAGAAGCTAGGCACAGGGCGGCGGGAGAAGCTGGGGAAGGTAGGGAATTCCGGCTCCTCCTCCTCCTGAGGAGCAGCAGCCACAAGGCTTAGTACTTGTCAGTTCAAGATATACAAGTAGTGGGTAATGGAAGATAGACGTACGCGCTCAGTCCCATCACGTAGAGAACAGTGGAGAACTTCATAATGATAGTTTCTGAGTTTCTGACTTAGAGATGTTCTGGAAGTGCTGGATAGCGGTGTAACATGAAGGCGACCTACTTCTTATATACTTCGAGAGCAGGCACTTCAGGTTAGGCCATCATCAACACCCTACGGAATAAGTAGATTAACGGCGGATAGAACGACCGTCTTTCCGTATGAAGATAGGCATGATGGCAACCTTCGAAAGCTGTGAATGCGCAATACTCTCATGAAATTGGATAACGGAAGTTTTCCTCTGACTAGGTTAACCGAGATAACTTCAGTGGGATCGATGCCAGGAACTCTGGGAAGCTACTCTATCAAGATGCACGACAATAACTGCAGATAGAGTCGCGTACACGACGACTCAGAGCTAGCCCTGCGAGTATACGTCAACCACGGCATCAGTTCCTGGAGTAGAAAGGTGCACCGATGTCTAGGTGGCGTTTTCCTGGGTTTGTGAAGTTGTTGTGATGATCTCCCGCAAAAGGTAGCAAATCAAATGGTCTGGGCCGTTTTCCTTGAGGGCAACATGGCTGGAAGAATTGGGCTGATGGGTCTAGAGATGCGTGTACCTGACTAGGGAGATCCTGCAAATATCCAGCCAGCTCTCCGGGAAACGATGCATATGACCAAGTAGATATTGTACGGATGCTAGGAAATCTATGTCTTCTAGTCCGATCAGGAATAGGGAGAAGTTGGCCTGACATGACAGATGGATTGTGGTCAGTCTGTAATTTGGTAGGTTGGATACATTGCTTTGATCGAGATCCGAAGCAACTGCTTTACTACTGTTTGCCAATAGAGCGTTTCATATTAAAAGTCCGGGGGTAGGGCAGCATGGTCGCCACTATACTATGAAGCAAAGGACCGCGTGTTGCGATTGTCAGAGCTTACAATCGGACTCTAGCGCGTCGCACATGTTCTGAGAGAAATGACGATTGCAAAAAGGATGCTTCGGCGTTCCCTCACGGCTAATCCATCTTGGTCCTGGAAGGCTAAGGTGTTGTACCTGAAGAAGTAGAGTTAAGCATCTATCAAGCTATTAGCCGAGAAGAGAATAGGTGTAGTCGGCAAATGAGAATCGTGTGGCAATCAACTCGTACAGAGATGCGGGGAAGGATCGCGAATTTTATTATCCGTGGAAGCTTGTGTTGGGCTCGTTCCAATCAATATGTCGCATGCTACAAGTATTGCCATGCATCAGAAAACTCGGCCTAGGACAACGGATGCTTGTCAGGGCATTTCAAGATATTTGCGCTGCGAGGCCAGAGAGAGATATCATTCGCTCAGCTGCGGGGAAGTCCGTCAAACCGAGGTTTAGGGGCGGGGATATAAGTGACCTAATCTGAATGTTCCTATTCCGGTTCATGGGTAAAAGAGAACCATGTCTCGCGGTTGGATGGAAGAGTGTTGTGCCCAAATCAACCAGGATAAGGCCGGGTGTTGGGGAAGCACCTCATGTCACGCCAGGTTAGAGAGCTCTGACGAGACAAGGAGACTGCAGCTGTTTCACATAGTAGGTTGCGTAGGAGGAACCGGGAATGCAGATGCATGAGATTGCAGAAAGCGTGATGGCATTGAGAGATCGGTAAGGACATGGCGTGGAAATCTACGAGACTATGCTGGGCAACGATGAAGCCTCATCAATCGTGATGCAGTGCAAGTAGTTGTAAGATATGAGTCGCGATGGAGATTCTGCGGTACTGCTCCACTTTGCCCTGGTCGCGGGAGAACATCGGCCCGCTAGCTCAGAAAAAGTTCGAGATACGCAACTTTTCGAAGGTGCGCGCTTGAACATTGCGCCTATACAATTCTACACCCAAAATGGCCGGAATAAAGCGTAAATCTGCAGTACCGAGTGCGTCTGAAAGCAAGACCACCAGTAAGAAGGCCAAAGTCGAGAAGCCCACGTCTAAGCGCGATTCGAAACACGAGGTGAAGCCTCTGAAGAAGTCGAAGCCTCTGAAAAAGTCGAAAGAGGTCCAGGAAGAAAGCCCCGCAGAGATCGACGAATCAGATGCTAGCGAGGAAGCGAACGTCTCATTCGGCTTCTCGGCGGGTCAGGATGAAGACGAAGAGATGAGCGATGCAGACAGCGGCGAAGAAGTCGCGCAGAGTGGAAAGGGACATAAGCGCGCGAATGAGGATGAGCTTCCGAAGTTCGAAAACTGTACGGGATTTATCTTGGACTATTAGCTTCGTGTTATAGGCTAACGTGGACTGCAGCGAACAACTCTCGAGAAGCGCATGCCAAACAGAAAGCCCTTGCCAAAGAACGCAAGGCCGCGAAGCCCAACGCCGATATCATTGAGCGCACGAAGAAGCTCTGGGAGAAACTCAGGCTCAAGTCACACATCCAGAAAGATGAGAGGAAGGAGCTTGTCAAGGAGCTATTCGAGATTATAACGGGCAGGGTGAAGGACTTTGTGTTCAAGCATGATTCCGTGCGAGTTATACAGACTGCGATCAAGTACTCGACAATGGAGCAGAGAAGGATGATTGCGCGAGAATTAAAGGGAGAGTTCAAGGTCCTTGCTGAGGGCAAGTACTCAAAGTTCTTGATCGCCAAGCTGATAGAGAAGGGGTAAGTAACCCTATTATGTCTGGTCGACTTGTGTGCTGACTGTGCATAGTGACCCCGAAATCCGCGACTTGGTCATCGTCGAGTTCTACGGCCACATCAAACGCATGATCAACCACCCAGAAGCGGCGTGGATAGTGGACGACATTTACCGGCAAATCGCAACCCCGGAGCAGAAGAGCCGCCTCCTCCGCGAGTGGTATGGACCCGAGTTTTCTATCAAAGGTCTAGGGACTCAAGGAACAGACAGTGGGGAACTCTCCGTCATTTTGAAAGAGTCGCCCGAGAAGAGGAAACCCGTTATGGATTACCTGGAAAACCAGATCAATGCTCTCATCCAAAAGAAGCTCACCGGTTTCACTATGCTACACGACGCAATGCTACAGTACTTCCTGGTTTGCGAGCCTGGTACAGAACAAGCAAACGCTTTCCTCGAGCACCTCAAACCTGACCCGACAATCAAAGAAGGCGAAGAGGCCGACAATGTGGATTTGTTGAAAAACCTGGCATTTACAAAGTCTGGTTCGCGGCTTATGTCACTTTGCTTCGCCTATGGCACAGCCAAAGACCGCAAGCTCTTCCTGCGACCATACAAGGACACCATTGAAACAATGGCTTACGATGCTAATGCTCACCATGTTCTTCTTGCTGCGATGGCAGTCACAGATGACACCAAGCTATCGTCGAAATCGATCTTCAGCGAACTTCTACCAAGCAACGACACATTGCCCGAGAAGGTGATCAACTTGATCAACGACGCTCGCGCTCGAACAGTCCTGCTATATCCATTCGCGGCGGATGCCAAGTGGTTGTTGGACGATAACACACGAGAACGGCTGGCCGAGATATATACCATTCGCCAGAAGACCTCCAAGAAGGATTCAAACACCCGTCTCCAGGAGATTGCGAAGAACATCGAACCTCAGCTACTGAGCGCCATCACCGCACGAGCCTCTGATTTTGCATCTTTTACATTCGGTTTACAGTTCATGGGCGAAGTCCTCGTTGGTGCACCTGAGGTCGAGCCAGCAAAGCGACAAGAAGCGCTCGTAGAAGTCGCTCGCCTTTCCCAATCAATTCTTGACTCTGCGCTCCCTGCCTCCGCCGGTGATAACAAGGCCACAAGTCACGGAAAGAACATGCTCAAGACGCTCGTACAAGGTGGCAAGTTTGATCCTACTACAAAAAAGGTTGTACCCGTAGAGCCTGCGCTTGGTTTTGCAGGTTTATTATGGGATGAGATCAAGAGCAATGTCGTGGGCTGGGCCACTGGTCAAGGTTCGTTCGTCATTGTCGCTCTGACCGAAGCAGAGGAGTTTGATAGAAAGGACGAGGTTTTGAAGGCGCTCAAGAAGGCAAAGAAGCAGCTCGAGGCTGCCGCCAGCCCTCCGGGAGGTCAAGAGGCAGAAGCTAAAAACAAGAAGCAGAAGAAGGGCGAGAAGCCGGCGGCAAGCGCAAGAGGCAATGCCGGCGCGAAGATACTACTTGAAAAGTTGTAGAATAGGCGTTTTATCAGCGTGTCCGAGAAACACAACGAGATTCCAATGATATCAGATTCATTCCTTGAGCGGTATTGAACTGTTGTTGATGTGTGCAGTCCTCACCATTGCATACTCTACGCCACAATTGTGAAGCACTTGTAATAGAACTCACGCTAGAAAGTTAGAAAAGAAAGTGATGTAAAATCTCACCTTTAGGCCACACTGAGAAAGTATATATTTCAAAGTCCACTATGAAGTTTGGAGTGTCTCGGCCTCGACGCGTTCGTCCAACCCCACCTTCATCGTCGCTTTCAGCGGCTAGCGACGGGTGACGTCATACATGAAACCGCGACGCTTCTGCAGCCTAGACATCTGACCCAACAAACACTCCTCGACCAAGTATTCACAAGGACACAGTCTACATAAATACTGTACTCAATCCCCGCTTCTCTTCTGCTCCACACAACTACATCTCCCGCCTACACGACATTCACGATTCCTCCGCAACCAAAGTTTCCACACCTCCTTCGAAGGACTTATACACATACGCTTCCTACCAAAATGCCTCTCGTAGTCCCCGGTCTGCAGTCCAAGGACGGCTCCTCAGGCGACGACTGGCTTACCAAGCTCATGGGCAAGAAGCTCGGTGACCAACACAACGAGACTGTAAGCTCTGCTCCCCCTCACCCCGTCATCTTCCTTATCTACCAACGTCATACGTGCGTGCCAGTGGACTTATCCACTGTCTTCTGTGTCCTCACATCATCCCTGTGCACACATATCTGGATAGCACGCAACATCGAGAGATCGTTCATCGCTGACCGACTGTGTTTCCTGCAGACGTTCGCCAAAACCGATCTCCCCAAGGAGCACCGCGTTCTCAAGCCCGACTCGATGAGCACGATGGATCATAAGCCCGATAGGCTGAATGTCCATGTTGATGAAGATGGCACCGTTAAGAAGGTTACGCACGGTTAAGCTGCTGCAAGGCATTGAACAAGGCATTGGGCATGATCATGAAATTGGGATAATGACGTAAGGTCTGGACACTTATGACGATAGGGATATGACTATGACTGTTCTTGGGATCTATGTAAAGGGAGCAAGTAATGAAGCCATTGCACCTTGAGATAACGCTGTTTGTCTGCTGCCCTGCACGTTGCGATCAGGCAAAGGGGTTGGGGCTATCGAGCCCCTCGCCCTGCCTGCTGTGAGATTCTCCCGAACTCAAATGTGAAGACATTAAAGGCTGTGAACTCGTAGAGGATCGTAATTGAGGTGAAAAGTACAGGAAATCTGTGTTGCTTGCCCAAGCTTTTGCCAATTGGCTTGACTCCACACGCCGTGAGATTAGACCCTTTTGCCTACCGACTTGAATCCCCAAGAAAGAATGGTATAAGAAGACATAGATCAAGAAAGTGAATCGCGCCTTGCACAGCCCCTTCATTCCCCAAGACCTCCCGCGTTTCAGGCCACCCTCAGCCCTATAGGCGCACGGATATCGATCCCTGATAGATCAATATCTCGGGGACGCCAAAGGGCTTCGTTAGAAGCTTATTCCAACGTCGTCCCCCCTGCTTTGCTCAAACCATACTATTGGCGCAGGAATATTCATTTTGTCTTTAGACCCTCCTCTTCTTCCCCAAACCCTCGCTTCCCTTGCGAACAACTTCTCCTTTACTTTCGTTGCTCAACCCCTCAACCACTTCACCCATCCTCAGCATTGTAGCATTGATGGCCTCAGGATGCTCGAAACAGAGCATGATCCCTGCCCTCATCGCTGTGGCTGAGAAGTATTTCTTCGACAGCTTGCACTCGCTGTTTCTGCTCGCTGCTCCCATAACGAGCCCGATCCAAAGCAACACGCCTGCCATGTCTGACCAGCAATCTGAAATATTCGACTTTTCGAGCGTCTCCTTGAGGGAGCGAAGGAGTGCGGTGGGCCCGCTAGGTGTAGGTGCCGGAGGCGGCGGGAAGAAGAGCGAGTCTGATGAGGTGGAGGGTATCGAGGAGAATGAAGGACGTGATACATTAGAGGATCGATGTGTGGAGGAGATTGACGGGCGCTGCGCGTTGAAAGGGAATCCAGTCTGCTGCATGGCGAGACTCGTACTGTATGTGCTGTAAGGGCTCGTTGAGTATTCTGTCAGCGGCGTCTCGTGGGGCATGTCAAAAGGTGAGACAAGTGAATCATTAGACCTCGAAGCGACGGAGGATGCATAGAATGATGGGACATTTTGTGGTGCCACTACAGCAAGGGCTTCGGAAAGAGGTATTCGTTTGATGATTGCCGTTGCTTGAATGATAGCGGTGACACGGATTGCTTCATATATCCAGTCGTCGGTTGTAAGGACGTTTGTTCTGCGGAGTTCAGATATAGATACGTATTCGTTGATGATCTTTTTATGCAAAGTGAGCAGGGTCTGAGAATTTCGCCGGCTCTGCTTTGTTTCGTGACGGAAGATGTCGATCATCATCCGGATATCGCCGAGGAGTTCCAGTGTTTGTGGCTTACACCTCATTGATCGTTCCAGCGTTACAAATTTTCCGCGCGGACAATAGATAGGCGACTCTGGAATGGTGGCGGTAATGGGATAGGCCTTCGTTGACTTCGCGGTACAGTAGTCGGCGTACATTGCTCGTGGTTTTTCTTCCCGAAGGATGGCAGATGCCAAAGTTACCCACGAAATCGCAGATGCTAGTCGCCCGTCCATGCCCAACTGATTCAGCCCACCGCGTTGGTTGATCATAGTTTCGATGCCCGTTTCATGGAAAGCCAAGCCGGCTTCTTCTCGTCCGATCACTTCACCAATAATGAGCTGGGTGACCGCGACGATGTTGTGGTCGGCTACCCTCTCATCGGGGTTGCGTAAGTTCCCGCCTACAAGAAGGATGATTTCCTGGCGAAGCGCTGCTGTCACCAAGCTTTCTACCGGCAGCTCACGTACAATATCATGATGCGCAGAGGCCAGACACAGCGTGCTGAGGAAGGTGTGCGGGTACTTGAGACAGGTGGGTATCCAGTATCTCCCCAATCCCTGCGTTCCAAAGTATCTGCTGCAGTGAAACTTTAGCTCCTCTACGGAGACTTGCGGATGGCTTGATTGAAACATTGTCCTAAAAGGGTCCAAGGATTTACCGAGAGAGTAAAGGGGTGGTGACTCGAAATCATCGTACGGAAGCCTAACGTTTGTTCGCATAGGTAGTACAATAGGTGCTGGAGGAAGAACAAAACCGACGGGTTTCTGGACCCTTGCTACCTGGGTCTTTGAACTCGAACCATCTTGCTCTTGCCTGGTCGATATGGGAGACTTGGTGGGAGCCAGCTGCTTTCTTCGGTTGGTACTTTGTCGTGAGGCCGATTTAGCAATTTGAGGTTCGTTGACGGTTTCTTGGCTTCCGAGGCTTGCTCGCGAAACATCCGAGGCTTCGCTGTTCACCCTTGATCGGTCTGCAGAAGCCGTCGACTTGTCGTCCTTTTTCTTCTCATCCTTCAAGTAAGAGTCCATGGCCTTCCTACGTATGATGGCCATGTTCTTCTTTGACCTGAGCTCCGCAGGCGTGCTGCCTGTGATGAAGCAGAGGTCCCCAACAGTCGGTGGCTCCATAGCAGTTGAAGGGCTCCTCGACTTTTTGCGCTGACGATGAACTATAGAAGAAGTCAAGTCAGCGCACGATCGATGCGTAACAGATTTAGAGGACCGACGATTAACGAAAGGCTCTTCAAGTGTTGTGCATCCAAGGGGCGTAGCCGACGCACGCATTGCGCTTCATACCTTGACATGAAAAAGACTTGGCTTACCATCTGCGTCCTGATGCGGCGGCATGGAGGGCCAAGAGAAGCTCGAATCGGATGCGATGGTTGATGCGGGTGAGAGATAGGGCGAAGGGGTATGTAGGTGTTCGGTATAAAGTAGGACTCGTGTGCTTGAGGGAGCCGAAGTCATTTCGAACTTAATGCGTTAGGAATGCACGCGAGCGCAATGATGGATACGATGTCGAAGATGCGTTGATCATGCCTCAATCGAGTGTGAAGCTTGTAATATAAGCTGGAGGTGGAGATATTCGGTCAACGGCAAGGCTAGGGATGTGGGTCGGTCGCCTGGCGTATATGTAGGTGTATGCCTTGCCACTTGGTGTGTCCTCCCGGAAGGCGCAGACCCGCGATATAAAGGCAGGGATTCAAGCTAGCGATATGGCGAAGCAGCTATGCGTCACGAAGCATGTTGAGAGACGCGCAGCAGAATGAATATGCACTGCAACTGGGGAGCGCACGCAAGACACGGTGAGCGAGGGGCACTGCCTCCGGGGCCTTGTCCACTGCAGATGGGCTGCAGGAAGGCTAGGCGTTACCCTCATATGGAAATGGGCTTCCACGACCCGTGGAAAGCTCGGGCTGACTGATTGACGGACATGCTGTGTTCGTTTCCAGAAAGACAATGTGGAACAAGTCGCTTGGATTCGAAGACGCAATACACAGCATCATCTCTCTTTGCGAGATGGTTGTCCAACACCGTCACGCACTTGTTTCCGCGGGCGGCCGTCGCAGGCCCCGGTTCAACTCCACATATCCCACAAAGCCCACACAGCCCAAAGCCTCCTGCCGTCCAACATGTTCCGCCAGGACAACCAATAGGTAGACCTTGCAAAGGTCGCCAAAGCGGTCGAGACTATAGGAAAACGCTTGGCTCAGCGACTCAGCGACATGGGTTCCCGCTACACAAACATTGGACAAAGAGATCACAATGCGACTGGTAATCTAAGCCTTCGCTTTAACAGGTCACCCGTAATGTGGGCGCAAAATGGCCACTCGGCCGACATGTTGTGACATGCGCTGCAGGAAGATCATCCTCTGCCAGTCATGCAGCCTCCCGTAGTCGCTTCATACTTGCGTCAGCAGCCCTGTGGAGTCCTACACCAGCTTATACCGCCTTTTCAGGTAAAGTTCGAGAATTTCTCTCCGTCGTGCAGTAGGCCAAGGTGCTGCGCAAGACCCGACAAAGTGTATACTTTCCGACGCACATTTAGCTAGATGCTCGCTGTGTGGAAGGCATGTGATAATCCATCTGGCCTTCTTGCTGGCCATGTTCCTTGCTCTAGATGATGATGATATGTTACTTCCTCGTCCCAAGCCCGAAATAGTCGCCGAGTGCTTCATGTGCCGCCGTGCTACTCGGACTCACAGAACTCCCACTAGGACTGACACTACCGTTTTCTCTTGATCTCTTCTCCCTACTCTCAGCAGACGCAAAGTCAATAGCTCTACTACCGTTGCTGCGACCCCTCGGAGGAACGTTCAGGCGACTAGTCTCGAAAGTGAAGTGAGACTGGCCGAACCCTGGCTCTGCTGACGGTGACTTCAGCTCCACAAGCTCCAATGTACTCCGCAGCGTTGCGCCCGACTCATCGAGAGCCATGAGAAACCGCGCAAGTTCTTTACATAGTTCCCAGTCCTGTTCATCTTTCGCGCGCTGGAGTAAGCGCACAACTTGATCGCCCGTCGACCGCAATTCCTCAAACGTGTGGAGGACAAGGAGATAGCCTCCTGCAGTTTTCAAGTTGCCCTTTTGTAGCGATTCTTCGAAGAGATCTTCTGGTGGAGGGAGATTTGAAAACAGCGTTCGCCAGGAGCGTACCTCCGTCTTCCGCGTACATTGGACCACAATGTCAAGGTACTGCGGGAATGAGCTCAGGAACGACAGCACACTCGGCAGCAGTGCCGATTCAGGTGGTGGCTGTGTGTCCACTTCATCGTCAAGAATCTCATGCAGTAAGATTTCCAAGGCATGGGGGAAATACAGCAGATGCTGGTAATGGTGGCTTAAGTGTAGGGCTGCTGGGTGGTTATATTGTGCCAGGTGATAGCGCAGCAGTGCGGGAAGGAAGAGGTGCGTCTGCATGGCGTGTCAGCAGCTGATCGATATATTCATCAACGATTCGCTGGATGAAAACGCGAAACTTACCCTGGTCCCAAACCGCAGGAAGGCAAAGTTGGTGTCCCTGCGCTGGATTAGTTCGGATTCCACACCGAAAATAATGGCCTTGTTAAGCAGTGCCGATAGAGGGTAAAAATCAACTGGGATCTTTATGGGTGTAGGCAGCTCTCTGCCAAGTTCGGCGGATACAGACGACAGAACATCTTGCATGTCGATCCATACTCGCATGTCAAGGCCATCGAAGAACCACAACGAGTCTCGCAGATCATGACCATGCACGTCGTTGACCGCCAGCCCAATCGATGGACTAGGCGGTAAAGACCCTGGCTGCATATCTAGTGCGAACGCTGGGTGGTCACGCATGAGAGCATATGTCTCCACGTTCTGTGCAATGATTCGCATCTCGTATTTGAGCTCACCGCCTTCCGTAGTTGTAGGTTGGAGAAGGACAAGCTTGCCATCCACTAAGAACAGTATTGTAGCAACAGCCACGTCTTGCGATGGATCTCCATTGTCTACGGCCTGTTAGTCTGATCATCAGTACAAGGTCATCGAAGACCTACGAATCTGATCCTCTGGCAAAATCCAGCTGAGTGCTCGCACTCGTGGGGGTGCGCGAATGATACCGTGCAACGCAATCTGGCCGACTTGTATTAATTTAACAGCGGCATCCGCCACACTGATTATGTAGTGATATAGAATATTCTCGTAGGTATAAACAAGAAGCGAATCCTCCCCGGATGGTGTGATTAGCACAATCGGAGCCGGGAGTTTTTGAATATGCATGACATTGCTGTTGTCAAGTGCCGCCTCGCGTGAGTATACTCGAACCTAAAGAGGGCTTCGTCAGTTTCAAAACATCATTGCAAATGTGAGTGTGTATACCTCGTGAGAGTCGTGGCACTCTACTGCTGCGATCAAAACGTGTTGGAACCAACACATGCCCCCTCGAACGGTGAACTCATTTTCTAAAAACGGATCGTCGAACATTTTCCATCTCCCACTGTTGACACTATAATGCGCAAGTCCTCGTTTCCCTGCAACCGCAACATACCGGCCATCGTTTGAGATAACAGCGCTTCGAACAGGCCATTGGTCGACCAGATACGAAGAAGGGACTTGTACGGTGTGCCAAAGAGAGACGTCGGCAGAAATAGTTGTAAGATCTGGCAGATCGTAGCCGCGATAGATCATGAAGCCAGTACTTGTTTGCATCAGCGACCGGGAGATATTGGCTGACGAGAAACAGCCTGTAATAGCGCTTCGAGCCATCTCAAGTACGAACAAGCGATTATCATCAGGGCTCAGCAGGATGAGTTCTGCGCCACCGCCAATCCAGAAAGCTTCTTGTACACCAAGGAGCCATCCTTCCCCATTGGACACCGACAGTGTCCGGTCGGTGGTAAAACTGGTAGCCCCAGGTTTGCCGTAGACACTCCACATGGCCCATCCATTCTCGTAACCAGCGAAGAGACAGTATCCATCGGGAGAATAGGCTAAAACATTCAGCTTCCCAGGTGATGAAGTGTTAGGGCGCATCTTGTGCGAAAGGGGTATGTTTCCAGTATAGTCACGGGCGGTGTAGACGTATATCTCCCCACTGGCGCAGCCGACAGCCAGTAGAGAGAACCTCGCATTGATTGCAGCCTTTACGCCGTGGTCAGCGTCACTCTCCGGAGTGTGGAAGCCGTATCCACGGAAAAGACTTGGACTCGCGATCGCCTCCCGCTTCACGATTCGTTGAACAGCGAAAGCTTGTCCTTCCCCAGTAATCCAGCACGACAGATTCATGGGCCGATCGTGGATCATGTCACGAAGAGTCGCCTTCTTTCCCACCCAAGCCATCTTCGAGAGTAATTCAGTACTCGTCTGACTCCCAGTGCTGTCAGGTGCCCAGCGGATGCATTGTACGGCTGTAGGCTTCTCAGTCGCAACGACCAGCTCGTCGTCTAAAGCAAGAGCTCTTACTATCCCCGCATCTACGCGTATGACCATGCGAAAGCGGAGGCTGAGCTCCTTCAATCCGCTACTTTCTCCAGGCCCGGCATTGGCGTCATGCTGACGTTGTATCTTGAAGCCTGAGATTGTACTTGTTCTCCTAGAATGCCCTCCATGTGTGTTTGTGAATTGTGTCTTGTAGACGCGAGACGAGTGATCTGTCGCAAGCGAGTACGTGATCAAGAAACCAAGGGTGGTCTGCACGACAAATATTTGAGAATCGGGCCGGAGAAGGATGTCTGTATTTGGGCCGTACGTTTTCAGTGAATGTTCTGAGCGCAGTACGGAGGCTAATACAACTGTAGGCTAATGAACCATCAGCAATAGACCAATTGAGCAGAAACGGAGACATGCCTTCGTCTGCCAAATTGTCAAGGTTGACCGGGTGAGGGTAGCGAACATATGTCCACTCCTTGTCACCCTGAGCGATATAATCTTGCCATGTATATCGTCCTCTGCAGACTGCTCCGAGCCGCTTTGCTTCTGGAGATGTGCGCCATCTTTCTTGCCTACCCCGCTCTTCCCTTGCGTGGATGTCTCATCGTCCACCCGAGACTGTGGGCTTTGGTCCGACTCGCCATGTCGCTCGCCTGGCTGTTTGTGCTCCACACCATCGTGAGATAGACGCGTCCGCTCCGGATTCGTGTGCTTGGTCGCCGCAAACACAGAGGGCGACGAGATGGGCCAATACGTCATGGCGCTCTATCGGCGTTTGATGGCTTCATCTGCGCGGGCCCATCTCACTGCAGGGTGGTGTAATTCACGAAGCTCATGCTAGCTGAGCGGGTGCAGGGTACAAGTGGCTGTGTGGGGTTCGGCGGTGAACAACAGCCCCTGGTATGGAGGCGCAGCAATCGCGCTTTGTTGGTCCGAGCGTCGATCGTTCGCCCGGCCTCCTTACACTGACACCGTGATGATAGAAATGATGTCAACTGTGTCGATCGTAGGGAAAGCAGATCAGCGCATTGAGATGATATCGAGGAGGCTGTGCGATCCGATGTTGGTGGCAAGTAGGAAGAACGTGCAATGGCAACTGCCACATTAGGCAGTTATGCTGAAAACCATCGATCACGGCGCGCACTTGCGCACTTCGAACGGGTTTGTCGGTTTGACGCCACTGATGGTAATGTAGGTGGGTGAACACGTGCTCGTTTCAAGGTCTCTACCATTGCGAGTATTTAATAAAAGAGCATAGCTGCAGGCCACAATATATTCAATGTATTCACATGTTGGAGATTGCAGTTCCAGGAGCCCTGAGGTTCATGTTTGGATTCGGTTCGGGTAGTAGAATTCCTCGCTCTAGTGTTGTGTATCAAGTGATTGGCCAGCAAATTTTCCTTCAGCCGCTCCCACCCTCTGGCACAAGACCAAGTCTTAGATCCACACCTTGCTGCTGGACATTGTCCGGTCTTTTAGGCTGAAACGGTCATTATTCAAGTATAAGTTGTGGCTTACAGGCAAGTCATCTATCAAATCAAATTGGTGAGATGGCCGAGTTGGTTATGGCGCCAGGTTAAGGTCTCTCCTTAGCAACGCAAGGTTAATTCCCTGCTTCCTGGTCACGAAAGTGGCGTGGGTTCGAGTCCCACTCTCATCAGCATTCGTCTGGCTTCAGTCAGATACTCCAGGATTCTTTTTTTGCTGTTGCTCCATACTAGAGGCACACAGGATGTAAACACAAGGAGTTGCTCTTTTGCTCTAGATTGTCCCGCATCTACGTCTCTGCCAACTATGACTACGCTTATCATCTTGACTCTTTAACACAAAATTTTGTAAGTCGACAAGTAAAAAGACAGCAGTTTATGTGAGTTTTGATTTTTTCATGAAACGTTAGTTCTATAGGGATTCCTTGTAAGCTTATGTATCTACTCCATGATTCCACTTGCATTGAATCCTGTAATCATTCACTACACGGTAAGACCAATACCAGAGGGGTCTCTAGGATCCAGTCCAATCCACCTTCGTGCCTAGTGATATAGCTGTCAGGAACATGTATAGCTGAATTGATTGATGGTTTGGGGAAATCTGCTCAAGGTTGTGAACAACGAAATTAAAAAGCCGCAAGTAAATGTGTAAGATTGGAATTTACACGTGCTCGCACCAAAGAATACTCGCTAATCATGCCTCTATTGCTCCGAGTTGAAGCAACCGACTGTCTTCCAAAATAGGCCCCGAAAATTCATCTCATTTAGCGTTCTCGGACCCCAAATTCAACTCCGGGTACTCTGGCAACAACCACTTACCCTGCTCTGCTGGGAACATTCCATGAATCCACTGAATCGCCTTGTCAACCCTGAAGCAAGACAAAGTCCATAAGATATTGTTCACGATCCTTATCCCTAAAGCAGAGGAGGGATAGAAGCCTCCTTCAGTCCCGGGACCCAGCTTCTGGTACTCAGTAATGGGTTGTCGCATCAACTTGTCGTATGCAGTAAGTGCTGCACTTACGTCGTTCTTGTTTCTTGCCAATTCGCCTGCGAAAATATAAGCACCGAGTAGAGACAGGGTAGTGCCCATACCGGTAAACGGACTTGGACAGTACCCAGCATCTCCGAGCAGAACAACCCGACCGGTGTGTAGCCGTGGCATCTTGACTTGGGCAATCTCACATGCGTAAAAGTCTTCGGCTGTCTTCATCCCTTTTACAAAGCGCTCACATTCCCAACCAGCATCTTCATATACCTCCGTCCAGATTTCTTTCTGCTTCTCCTGTGACTCCTTGTACATTTTCTTCATCGTCTCGTTGCGCTCCTTGTCCTTCATAAGGAAGAAATACACCTGTGTTATCGGTCGATTTCCTGTCCGAGTCATGACCATCCTGCTGTCGGGTGCGAAGTGGATGCGAGCGAGGTTGTCTTCAGTCGAGAGTCGGGGGATGTTGAAGTAGGCGGCGTGAACACCAAGGCCTTTGAACGCTTCCGTGCTCACCTCTTCACCAAAAGCCAGGCGTCTAGTTCGCGAACCTTGGCCATCTGCTGCAACGACGAGATCATATTGCGCCGTCTGCCCGTTTGAGAGAGTGACTGCAACTCCATTGTCACTGGATTGGTCGAGAGCTGTCACTGTCGTGCCGAACTCGTACTTCAACCCTCCTTCCTTCTCTCCATTCCGTTCTGCCTCTGCTCTTTCTGCAATAGTAGCATCGTAAAAGATCTTCACCATGTCCCCCCTCATGAACTCATACTCATTCGTCAGCGCCAGGCTCCTCCCACCTTGGTCAGCACCCTGAACACCAAAATGCATCAACCTCTTCCCGTTCGTATCAACCAGCTCCATACCAGTTTCAGCAACGAGATGAGATCTAATTGCTTCCAGGAGGCCCATCTTCTTCACGATAGGTATGCCCTGGGCTTTCAGGTCGATTTGTTGGCCGCCAGTACGGAGAGAGGGATAACGCTCGATTACTGTGATGCTATGTTTGGGATTGGACTTTTGGAGGAGCAGGGCTAGTGCTGGTCCGCAGACACCTGCGCCGACGATGAGGATTTTGAGAGACATTGTAGCTTTGGGCGATGCTATTGAGACTCTCATGCGTCCGAATGTGGTAGCGTGCTTGCGAGGGATGATAGAATCCAGTAACAAGTACTGGACGTCCGATTTGTGAGTCAAAGAGAACTTGAAACGTCAGTCTACGTCTACGACTTAGCCTCGTACTTATATATTCACTATTGGTCAAAGCCGCGCTGTCTTGGTTCTCTCCGTAAAGATCTCCGAACGAACTGTCGGCGACATTTACCGCCGACCGCATCTCCGCCGGCAGTTTCCTCTTGTCCCTTTTAGTGTGGAGAGCCAATTGAGACTCGTGATGGGCTATTGCCTGGGATGGCCCATGTACCACTGCACGCATGGCTACGCTCAGATTGGGCATGTTGAGAGTTGCAAGTCATTGTTATGACGAAGTCGTACTGAGCATGACCAATAATGGTTGCGAAACTAACTTCTGCATTGCATCATATTTAATGTGAACGTGCAAGATAAGATGTAAAAGTTATACGAGATACGAAAACTGGGACAACGTATTTGAATGTGCAAGACGAGTTGTGGAGGATACGTGAAGCGGAAACGATATACGCAACAGTAGGCTTCAGTGCAAAAATGCGGGTCCTCGAAATGCCAAGCAATCTATTGGAAGCTCGTCGCTTCGTAGCCTCCACCTTGGCTCTCACGCGCAACCAAGTTCTAGGATATCACACGACTGCTCCTGTCCCTAGCATATAACGATTACTCGATTTGCGTGCATCGCAACTACCTACACGTGCCACGAAAGGATAATACTATTTCCATCAAGCTCCGCAATGGCTTTCTTTGGGACGGTGCTCAACACCGTTGGCGCGTTATTTCTAACGCATGCGTACGTCTAACCATAGTCCGAGTCTTCAATCCTAGTTTACGGAGTCTACGATTACATCAAATTGAATTCGCTGACACACTTGCAGCGTGTACTCCACCCACGAGCATACCGCAACCTTTGCTTCCACCCCACTTCCCCTCGACATTACCATCGAAATGCTCGCATCAATCCTACTTCTCTCACTCGGCATTGTAATATCCTTCGCACCTCTCAAGCCAATACAACATGCGGAGTGGGCGGGTCAGATCTCGCGCGGGGGTAGGCACGGAGAGGGCCAATATACGAGAGAAGGTGAAGAGGTGTTGAGTGAGGGCGACCAGTATGCGTTCTTGGGGCTAGATGGAGGAATTGGTGGGAAGGGAGAGGGAAGGAGGGGCTTCTGGGATGTCAAGGGAAAGAGGAGGGAATACGAGGAATGGGTTAGGAGTGGTGGGAAGAATTAGGTAGCCAGAAAGGTGCAGAGAGGAGCAGCGACAATTTGAAAAATGGCATTCATGTTGCAGAAGCTATATGGAGCTGGCTACAGATAGAGCGCGATACCAGCACGGGCCTGCAAAGGACATCGAAAGAGAAGGAGACTGGAATATCGATATTTTGGGTCATTTCAAACATGGACTACATTCGGCAAATCCGCCGATTTTATATCCCATAACCGCCATACATACCAAACGCCTTGCTGAAAGAGCATCAACTGTCGGATCGGAGCATTCTGTCCCATTTAAATCCCCACCAAATCCACTAGCTTCCCACTTCCTCGACTGGACATTTCAAGCATCACCAGTCATCTTTTCCACTTTACTACCACTACATCCATGAGCATTGCATGCCCAACACTCATTCCCCTCCATCGCCCTGCTAACAGCCGCCACGTCTGCACTCTTCCTTCTAGGCCCATCCTCGTCTCCATTGACGTCAATGCCACTAACCCACCATATGCTCGCAGCAACGATCCGCATCATAATATCCACCTCTATTTCGTCCCTTGGTGCGTAGATCAACACAAATTCCTTGGGCACAAACCTCCTGCACCACCCTCCTCTAGCCAGCGGATGTCGTTCGCCCCATCCATTCTCTAGCACGAGTTTAGCATCCGCTGGATGAAGAGTCATGTGCATGGATCCGTCCGAAGGATGAGCATGGCAGATTTCTCCTCTGCAAGTCCGCGTAATAGGTATAGAAGTGAATAGGCCAGAACTGTGCTTCTCGAAACAGGAGGTTCGCTCCAGTAAGCAATTCCTCGGGTCGCGAGCAACCTCTTTGATCTTTGCGACTAATCGTGCATACACGATCCTATCGCTCTTCTGAGTCTGCTGTCTTTGTGGTGCGATGCCCTGAACCACGGGTTTTGTACCTGGTCTCTTGAGTAGCGTGCCGTCGTTGAGATAACCCTTTTGCGGCCTGAAGTGCGGTGGTATTGGGAGAGGGCGCAATGGATCTCGAAGACAAAGTATAGATAGAAGTTTGATCTTTAGGTAGCCGAGTGGTGTAGAGGGTGTGCCGCCAGGTCCAAGGGAGAGGAAGGCGCGGTAGTCGTAGTGGATGTAGAAAGCCGTAGCGAGTGGTAGCAAGAGAGTCAGGACAGCGGTGAAGATGTGGATGTGAGCCTCAGAGAGCATTGGAATGGGAAATGGGTATAGGGTTTCCAATGGCGTCTTGAGTCCAATGCTGTCTTTAACAAGGTCGGCCATTGTTGAAATGGCTTTGAGTATCTCTACTAATTGAGAAGCATTGGAAGGCTTCCAGGTCCCTGTGACTCGAAGCTGTCGAACGTTCCCTTGGGCTCCTGTAGGTCGTATGAGGTTGGATCAGCGAGTAAATGTAGAAGGGTTCAGGCACTTTCAAAGGCACGTTCAAACAGAGTAGAGGGTCTTCAAAGCAAAACAAAGGTACTCGGTTATCGTATTTCGGTAGGCCTAAAAGCCTCACTGTTGTACATCCACAACACCGACGACCCGTTATATAGGTACACCAAGATCTCAGAGGATTCGTTCAGCTCCTGTGAAGAGACCCAACGGGCAGAGAGCAACGTCAATGGGTCGTACGCGCGGACAGTTTCGGGTATCGCGCAGCACGTGTCGTCGCCCTTTCGCGTTAGCACCAGTCCGCTATGCGCTTTCATTCGTCCACATGGTCCCTGTGACGCAGCGTGTTTCCCCACCAGATGTATTTGCTCACGTCTTCGTCACAGTGCGTAATTGTTCGTTTGCATTTCTCTGGCCTATCGTATCCATGTTTTATTGTTATCGAGACTCGATATAGGGTGGTTTCGGCCCGTATCTTCAGTTTACTGGACGTGGTTGCGGGAGGCGGCGTAGCAGGCTGAGATCAGCTGTTCGCAAGACAGGCATTAAAAAGGCCCCTTTTCGCCGATTGAACTTTATATGTACTAGAAGACATCAGCCGACTTTCGACGGCTGGCATTGGTCAAATAATGGGGTGACTTTGTTATCTAGCTGGAGAATGAGGCCGTGTGTTGGTATTGAGTTGAGGTTCACGATGGCCGTTGTCAGCTGCGCTCGCGCGCACCCTGCATTATGCAGTGTGCCCATAAGAGCGGTGTTGAATTGTGTCGTGGCAGTCTCTCAGGACTTCTTCTATCCATGGTACTTGTCATTGAACTCCTTTGCTTCATTCCGCTCTTATACCATTATGTTCTACCATGGAGACCAATGATAAGATCTCAAGTCCATATTACCTAGCTGGGTTTAAATTACCCACACTGGAATATGACAAACACAAATAAAATAGATGACAGTAGTGTGCTGGGCAGATTTCGGTCCATTCCATCATGTCCGTTGCTCAGCTCAGTAGATGAGGTCGGCCGCCTCCTAAGATATCGAAGCTTTAGGTCGAATAGGAACTGGGGGATAATGCAAACCTTAGAAGGAAGCCTTCGAGATGCGAGATGAGGTAGGTGGAGGCTTTGTAAGCGTCAAGAAAGACAAAAAATTGTATAGTCTAGGAGCAACGACTTGATCTTTGAGGGATGAGATTTGGCCTAACGTAGCCCAACTAAAGCCACTACAGTTTTCGACTCCTAACCAATCCACTTTTGATACCCGTAAGTTCACCACCATAGTTAGCACTCCCCTTCGCCGCGGCACCCTTATCAAAGACGGGCTTCATGCTCTTGAGCTTCTTCTGCTTCTCCTTATACTGCTCCTTCTTCTTAACTCTCGGATTTCTCACACTCTTCTTACGATGCGGCGTGAGACCCTTATTCTTCTCAATCTGGTAGCTGATCATCCTGCGGCCGTCATCGCCGATGATTTCTTCTTCGATGACCTGGGCACCTTGTTGCGCGGCGAGCGCGTATGCAGCCGCGCGATCGAGTTTGGTCTGCTTTTTGGCATTGGAACGAGCTGCTACCATGTCGTAGTAGCCGTCTTCGTCTTCGAGGTCGTTGTTGCGAGCGGGTGGGGCTTCGTCGGCTGAGCTGGCGCCATCATCTTCACCCAAGGCAACACCGGGGCCAGCTTTGTTTTGGCCGCGCTTTTCGGCTTCAGCTTGTAAGCGGGCTTGCCGGTCCTTGAGGCGCTCGCGATGCGGTACGTCGGCATCACCGCCAGCGTCCTTGCCAGCGGCGTCGCGCTTGTTGGCCTTTTGTACGATTTGTGATGTGTAGAAGCGAAGTGACTTCTTCTTCTTGGTCTTCTCTGCAAGTTCGTGTGCAGTAAGCTCGGTCTCCTCGCCGAAGTCTGAGTCCTCTGCATTCAGCAGATTGATTTTCGGTTCAGTAGTCTTATTCTTCCTGGCAGCCTTCTTCAAGGCAGCCTTGTCCGTGAGGGAGTCAAGCGAAGCAAGGCCTTGTTCAGCCTTCGCCAACTTCGCAGCGCGACGTGCTACTGCCTCCGCTTGAGCGATCTCTGTAGCACGCTGTGCCTTACTCTTCTTCTGCTTGATTGCCTTCCTGTCAACTACAGCTGCATCCAGTTCCGGATTTGCAATGGAGCTGTCTTCTTCAATCACGGAAAGCTCATCACCGTTCCTAGTCTCAACCATAGGATCGGCGACTGGTAGACTCTCAACGCGTGCCCACATCTTCTGGCATTTGAGTAGAGATTCCATGACTGGGTGCTCATGGAGCTCCGCAGGGTCCAACGCTATGACCGGGGTGCCATCGTCTTTCGCGGTCGACCCGAGAACGGCAAAGTACATGGCCATTGCGGCGAGATACGCTGCGCAAGCTCTATACTTGGTGACTGCCATAGGTATAGACACAGTCTTCCCATTCGTTTTTGCTGACTTGGCGGCTTGTGCCTTGAGCAACCGTTCAGCCGCAGTGGCGGTAGCAGCCAACTCATCGTGTAACGGCTGCAGCCTGACGTATTCTCTCGATATGTGCTCGAATTCGGGGTATCGTGTCCGCATAATCTTCAGCCGTTCCTCCTCAGACATGCTTTCCGTGATTTGAAGTTGTGGAAGAACCTCAGTAACCACAGTGCCGGCTTCTGCATCCTTCTCGCCATCTTGCGCCAGCCACTCGTCTTCATCGAAGCCAAAATCTGCCTCTGTCATAGCTTGCAACTGCTTCTTCTGTATCCGCCGGGCTTCTGCTTCCTCATCCAAAGCATCTTGCTCCGTCTCTATTGCGTCTGCATTGTAATAGTCCTTCTTCGAGGCGCCCCAGCCGCCCACGTCCTCGTCTTCGGCATCTGGTCTGTGTTGATCAGTAGAGCCGTCGTCGGATTCAGCGTCTTCATCGGCATCATCGTCGTCCTCGACACCGTTATCGAGGATTTCTTCGTCGGAATGTTCCAGAAATTTGTCTAAACCACATAAGTCAGATGGTAATCTTTGAGCCCAGAAGACGAAGGTGAGCTAACCTTCTTCTTGGTGCTTCCTCAGCCTCTTTGCCGTCGGTCCCTCGTCCAGCAATACCTTGTCGCGATTGATGTGAAATTCGTCTTCCGAATCTGCAACGTCCTCCCATGTGCTAATCGCAAGCTTTGAGTCCTCGTCTTTCTGCTCGGCAGGATCGCCATATGCGCGACCGCCAGCCTTCCTCTTCTTTGCCATACTTAGAAGTCTAGGCGTTCGTGATTGCTGATGTGAGCGTTGCGCCCAACTTTTTCCTCGAAATCTTGGCTTGGCCGCGGGATATTTCACGCTAATAAACACGTCTAGTCTACAAATGGCTTAGCATTGAACGCCTAGAAATCCTACGTGATTCCAACACCCGCAGCGGCCCGTTAACTGACCAAAACGAGGCATTAGGCATGATTTTGAGTAATCTTCAGCTGTTCCCTTCTCCTCCCTTCCTTTCCGTCTCACTTGGGACCGCAGTAGTCTTGCGCCCATGTCTCAATTGCTTCTAGGAGCAACAATCGTCCTTTTGATACTTGTTGCAATCATCAGTTTGGACGTCATGGGCCTCGCATTTTGGAAGGGTAACCAGTTCCCGGTGGAGGGGAAAGTAAGCACTATAGCCCATTCTCTAACAAAGTCTCTGCTAAAACAATGTGTAGACAGTCCTCCTCACCGGCTCATCCCAGGGCATGGGTAGAGAAATTGCACGCCTTCTTTCCGCCCGTGGTGCAAACCTAATTCTCGTCGCCCGCACAACCAAGAACCTCGAATCGGCCCTTGAACACGCCAAAGTCCACGCAAAGAACCCTTCAAGTCAACGCTTTACCTACATTTCCGCCGACGTGACCTCTGAGAGCGAAAACGCGCGCATACTCGCTGAAGCTACAGCCTGGAATAATGGCAATATGCCGGAGATTGTGTGGTGTATTGCTGGAGCTTCCACGCCAGGACTGTTTATAGAGACGAGTACAGACACACTGAGGAGGCAGATGGACTTGAACTACTTTGCGGCAGCCTATCTTGCCCAGAAGACGCTGCAGGCTTGGCTTTATCCCGAGGTACCGTACGAAAATGGCTCGCATGGCAAGAGCACTGCGCCTGAGCCGCCGCGGAAATTTATAATCACATCATCTGCCCTTGCCTTTGTTGGGATACTGGGCTATTCACCATACGCCCCTGCCAAAGCAGCCTTGCGCTCCCTTGCGGATGGTCTACGCTCCGAAGTCCAAATGTACAATGCAGCGCGCCGCTCGAGTAACACCACCACAGGTCAGGTGCCCGCACCTTTCGATGTTAACATCCATGTTATCTTCCCTGGAACCATACTCTCTCCCGGGTTCGAGAACGAGGAGAAGACGAAGCATCCTGTGACTCGCGAACTTGAGACTACAGATCCCAAACAGACGGAGCTGGAAGCAGCGACTACTGTGGTCAACGGCTTGGAAGGCGGGAACTTCATGACAGCGACAAATTGGGTGGTACATTTGCTGCGCTGGGGAGCAATCGGTTCCAGTCAGAAGAACAACATTGTTCTAGACACGCTTGGAGTGTGGATCGCAACGATAGTCTGGCTGATCGTGGTACCGGACTTGAATAGCAAGGTCTGGAATTGGGGAAAGAAGAACGGAATGCCCTTGTTTAAGCAGAACGCACAATAGGAGAAGTACAGCTCCGTGTTTGTAAATTGTAATCTACGCACATAAGGTAGAAAATTCACGTATGAAGTACATATTAAGTACAATCCACACCTTGAGCAAAGATTCGGGAATGATCAATTTAGGCTCATTATCCCAATCGCTGGGATAGGCCCTCTACGGACTGTTTGATACCCCCTGGCAAACAGCACCAAATTACAACACAACCTACTAGTGTACATCTAGTACCCTATTAAGTTACCAGAATACTCGAATCGTACCTCATTTCAACTTCCAACACATAGCATTGACATCTGTAGCCGTTGTTCTTTCGAAGAGTGCGTGTATAGGTACCTTCCTGCAGGACCAAAGGCTTTGCAGACTTTGATTATAGTCATCTTACTCGGAGGAATGGGTCTTGCATTCTAGTCATACATCATAATCTGTCGGATGGCTTTGTGCAGTCCCTCAAAAGCCATGGGCGTACTTCGTTAGTTGCTCATGGCTGTTGTTATCGTTGTTGATAAGTGGTCTGAAAGTACTACAGTGGTTAACTGCGGACGTGTGAAGGGCTGATTAGATATTTACTGGGTAGCTATTTGTAGAGGTGCATATAGAAATGGGGGATAAGTCATACAATTTAGTAGAGTAACTGACTAGGAGTCCCCTCATGCTCGGCAGAAGTTGTAAACTAACCCATGATTCCACAACGCTAGACCGGTATATTGGTGCTTACTCAATTGGGATTTTCACTACTGCATGCTCATGTCAAGACAACAGAATCATAAAATAATGAATGGAGCTTGATGTTCCTAGTTGCGAAGTGAACAAGATCCTGCAGCCACCCAGGCTTTGCCCTGCATCAATCGTCAAATCCCTTTTCAGAACAGCGAAATTAGTTGATGAGAACTTTTAGAAGGTCTTGTCTGTATTCTTGAATAGTGTAGTCAAGTGAGGCTGCTGATGACGTTGTTGGAAAAGGGTCTGACCCGCCCTACTAGAAGAGGAAGGCACAGGGTGAGTCTCCACCCATGCGCAGCACTGCTTTGGCTACCCTGCAGCGGCAGCGAGCGCCCGAACTGTGAGCTTGTTTTGACTACCGTGGCTCGCAATATTGAATATACATATGGCAGTCTTAGTTGCGAGCTGATCGTTCTCTGTTTGGGCTTGCCGTGTTTGCTGGTGTCAAAGAAAGCGAATCCTAGAACTTTGGTGGAATTTGTCGTCACTATAGTGTCGTTGCGTTTAATTAAGTCATGGGTGCTATTTTGATAGCTTCCTGATCTACCACCCTTAGGCTGATTGAAATTCGCGGTACAAGTCGAAAAGCCTATGGTGGTATGAAATTCCCCGAGATCACTCTGCATGGCATTGTGGTTGACTCGCGGGGTGGAGCATGGCGTGAAGAGATTAAGTCACTAACGGCTTGGCATTAGATGGTCGAGAACAGAAGAGATTCAGGGACCAGGATGTTAGGCCTTTGATTTTCAGACTCTTCATAGGTGGCTTGGGAGCGTAATTGGTGTGTGGGGTCGGTGGCGGTCAGTCAACACGAGACCCGATGAAACGAGCGAGCGCGTACAGTTCGACAAAAGCCGTTCGCGCCAGGCATACTGAAGCACGGCATATAGCACCTCTGCTCGTAAAGTCATCAAAGATGGAGAAATATGGCGGTGAGAGAAGGACGGGCGACAATCTATAGTCTGGGAGATCATCAGCGGGGTCTATTGAGTGCCTGTGCGCGCCGCAACGACGGCTTGAGATGAAAGGACGGTGTAGATGTTCTTTTCACGGAAAATCTTTTCTGCGTTTCAAGTTGAAGGCTGTTGAGATGCGGGTCGAAGATAGGAATATTGGGCGACTGCATCTTGATACGTAACAGCGGTTTGCTGCACTGGTTGTGGCAGATTTGTCCACGGTTATGGTGGTTTGCCGCCCCTTTCATGTGAACTTTCCATAATAAGCCGGCAATACCCTAGCCATCTCGCTCGGCTGATCTTATGAGATGAGAGTAGACCGCCTTGAAGTCAGTGCCGGTTCTGCAATATTTGGCAATGACTAACGGCGTCAATGAAGCCGTAAGTAAGGTTCGGTTCGATTGAGTAGGCTCGCTCGCCATGGCTGCTGCCTTTCGTAATCGTGCAGGCTTAGGGTGTCACCACGCATGCATATTGGCCCTCGCCCGACCTTCCAAGTGGACTACCTGTCGACAGCAGAGGCGGCAGTAGCAGCATGTCAGTCAAACTACGCTTCAGAATCGAGATGGGGGAGGCGGGCTTCATGCCTGGTGATGAGCCAGGGCGAGCTTGATGATCCACCCACCCATCTCCTGCAAGCCCACACGCCAGCCGCTCCGACATTGGGCCTGACCTCGCCAAACTCGACGGCATTTTGTGTACAAGGGTTGTGACTTTTTTTTTGTATAAACGGGGATCGGCGCCTGGGCGGGCGCCGTGGGCAGTGGTTGGTTGGATGCAAGTGGCTAGCAAGCCGTCTAGCCTTGTGTGCTCAGACATGGCTTGGCATGGTGTGAAGGCTGGAGTTGTGCAAAGGTTGGTGATAGTTTGGTGATCTGTGGGACAAGAGTCGTGGTGGTGCTACATGGCGACGGCAGAGAGACGAGGACAGAGTCACAGATTGCAGCCATGAAGCTACTGGCTGGGTAGCAGCAGTCTAAATAACGAGGAGTGATAGAGTTGCTTGGATCGTCCCCTGCTGCAGGAGACAGCAATGCCGATCACGGATTGTAGTGCAAGATAGCAGCACACTGGATGAAGGCGAGCCGTCGAGGAAAGCGGCTACCAGGCCATCAGATCAATCATACAAAGGTGAACGAGGCACAGCCAGGCAACATGGCGATGGCGTCTTCAGCCCAACCCGCTGACTCCGATAGCGAGGCCCTGCATCTCCATGCTGTCTCGTGAGCTCCCGCGTACGCAAGTCTGAGGTTGGTCATTCTGCTTCTCCAAGTCGCAATAATGAGGGGCAATCTGATGATCATGAGACCAAGTTCCATGGTTATTGCGCCAACACCTCAGCACCACGCTTATCAGACGCTTGAGAGGGAGGGGGGCAAGGCCGCCGTCTCCCGGCTTGACGACGCTGCCTCTCTCCTGCTCACCCTCGACGACTTGCGACAGCGGGCTCATGCTGGCATGCACAGATTTTTTTGTTTCAGGGCGCGAGCGTTGCATAACGTTGGTGAATGGTCCTATTCAGCGGACTAGTACCGCTAAGGCCCAGCGAGGTCCGCTTAGTGGACAAGCTGCCGCAAGACCAATTTCGTTGCTACGATCCCTGCAGCACCACCCCGACCTAGCAACGCGCCCTCACCTTAAAGCTCTCGTAGCCCTGGGCCGTCCGCTGGGCTTTTCTTCTATCCTTCTTCCTCTCTCCTCCGCTGCTCAGCTTCTTCTACAAAGGTCGAGCGTGCTTGTCTCCTGCGGTCACTTGCCAGCGTAGAGCCTTCCTACTACCCTAACTTTTGTAATACACAAACAGTGAGGTTGTCTCCTACTGACTCATTACTTTTCCCTCGTGCTCCACCGCCTCCGCGCCTTCGCCATATATCCCTCTTCCACCGACTCCTGACTCGTAACAATGTCTACCGTCGAAGCAACAAAGCCGGTTGACCAGGCCGTGACTGGCAGCGTCGCGCCTGCGCCTGCTCCAGTCCTGGCCAGCGATAACCTTGCCGCTCCCGTCGAGGCACCCAAGACCGAAGACGTCTCCAAGCCAGAGGGCGAGACCGTCGTCCCAGTGGAGGAGAAGAAGGACGACAAAGTAGAGGAGAAGATCGTCGAGCCTATCTATAGCGGTGCTCTGGGCTACAAGGCCCCGGGCCTGAAGAAGTGAGTCCGAATATATCAGGCAGTCAGCCACCTTAACACCATGCTAACCATATTTCTAGTGCTTTCCGCTTCGCCAAGAAGTACTTCTGGTTCGGCGAGGAGCCCGTGCCATCGTCCAACCTGGCTCAATACCTTCGTGGTGAGAAGCCCGAGGTCGCCCACCCGGTTGTTGCGTGGTCCAGCCAGACTGGAAAGGGTCTCCTGTACTTTGTCAAGCACGCCGACACGAAGGAGCACCCCGCCGGTGTCTTGAACTTGGTATGCACAAACATGCAAAATTCTGCGTCTCACCTATTCTGACGGTTATGACAGGCCTATGCGACCGACCTGCACAAGGATGGCCTTGTTGCCTTCGCGTTCAAGATCTCTGGCCACAAGCATGCTTTCGAGGCCCAGACCGCGGCTGAGCGTGATGGCTGGTTCCTCGCCGTCGAGAAGGCTATTGCGGAAGCCAAGGAAGCCAAAGAGGGTATCGAGTCCAGCGAGGGCTACAAGGAGCAGAAGGAGAAGATTGGTAAGTTCCCGATTTTCGTGTCAGACGCGTCGCGTCGTCTCACGACTAGTTCGCGATTCGGCTATTCCTGCTGCAGCTCGCTGACATCATTGACTACAGGCAAGCCTACTCCGCTAGCGGCCGCCTCCACCTCCGCACCCAAGAAGAGCATCGACGCTACGCCTAAGCTCGCCGAAGGCGACGCACCTGCTACCGAGGGCCCGGTTGTTGCTACTCCTGCACGTGCTGGATCATCTTCCAGCAGCTCGTCCGATGGGCAGAAGAAGGCCAAGAAGTCGAAGAGCAAGTCTCGCTCCGTGAGCCGCAAGCGTGCTAGCATCTTCGGTGGTCTTCGTGGCAAGAAGGACAAGGAGGGCGAGGCTGTCAAGTCTGAGTCTGAGGTCAAGAAGGACGAGTCTGCCGCTGCTCCTCAACTCGGCGAGAGTATGTCTTTAAGATCCACTGCGAAGCTCGTATTTACTGACATCTATTAGCTTCGACCACCGCTCCTGTCATCACCCAGGACATTCCCAAGCCAAGCGAGGAGCTCAAGACAGACGCTACTCCTGCCCTCGCGGAAGAAGCTAAGACAGAGGAAACTCCTGCGAAGGCGACTGAGGAGAAGCCCAAGATCTCCAAGCGCGGATCAATTTTTGGTTCCTTCGTCGAGAAGCTCAAGAGCCCCAAGGAAGAAAAGAAGGAACATGATTTCCCTGCTCCACCAGCCCCGGCCAAGGACACTGACGCCGTTCCTGAGGCTTCAAAGCCCCTAGAGGAGGCCCATGTTGCTCCCCCGGCCACCCCAGTTGTCCATGAGACATCTGCTACTGAGGACACCAAGCCTGTCGCGACTAGGACCCCGGAGAAGGAGAAGGAACACTTCTCATTCGGCAAGCTTTTTAACAAGGAACGGGCTAAGTCGCCTGCACCTGAAGTCAAGGCCGATGTAGCACCAAGGCTTGAGGACACTGCTGTCGCAGCCCCGGCTGTTGTTGAGCCCGTTCAGCCTGTGGCCGAAAGCAAGCCAGAGGTTGTTGAGGAGAAGAAGGAAGAGACGCCAAAAAAGGAGAAGCGTGCTTCCTTTTTTGGTTCGTTGACTCGCAGTCTTTCCAAGGCCACAACCAAGAAAGACGTCAAGACCCACGAGACCAAGGAGACTCCCGCGACGGTCCCAGAAGTCTCTGAGGAGACTCCTGTCATTGCTGAGAACAAGACTGAGACACCTGCTCCCGCTGCCCCTGTTGAGCAGACGATCGGCGATGTCCCTGCTGAAGCCGTCACTGTAGGCGAGCCGAAAAGCGCCCTCCCCGTCGCCACCAAAGTATAAGGTCTGGTGGAACCAGCCCTTCCTCGACGACAGCCACGACGGAATGACGGAAAAGCAAAGATACCGTGATCCCCTTGTTTGACCGCACGGCCACAACCCATCGATACCCCCAAAATCTTTCTTTGGATCTTTTATATGGATTCCAGCTTAGGATTTGGCTCGAGCTTTTCACATATCCTCTCTCATACCCCATCTTGTCTTTGCATTTGGACCAACTCTTCGTCGCTCCTTTCCGTGGATCACGATTTGTGCGGCATTGACATGTTGAAGATGTCTATCTTGCCAATTCAGTGTCCATGCCCACTTTGTGTCTAGATTGATACCACTCTGCACTTGTTTCTTTCGTTTTGATACCATTGTCTGATTGTGGACGCACCTGGCTGTCGTTTCTGGTTGTCCTCTTGTTTTATCGCGCAATACCCCCTGATACCCTCTGCGTACAGCCTTATTAGGAGATGTACACAAGCGGCCGCTAGGGCACACACCACGACGTAATAATATCTAATTGAATTGTGGTTTTCTAAGTCTGTCCGCCTGGTGATTGCAATTGCGATCCATAACCTGGAGTTGGGCCTGGATCGATTCAATGAATTACCAGAGCTGTAATGTGATGTATATACTGCAGTTCTCCGGCTACCGCAAGGTATAACGAAGGTGCTCGGATAGCAATTGATCAGAGTACGGGTGGTTGAGTGTGAAATTCCGCCAGTGGAGCAACGGATGGCATGACGTATTGACTAGTGAGGTAGTGCTAGTCTGGTAGTGAGTCGTTGGCCCATGGTCAATTGTGCCAACATCACTCATAGGCCGTTCTAGTCCGCCTTGATTGCACATGTGGCAAAGCTTCGATGGACGATACCCATCTTGATCACGGGAGCAGGGGGAGGGGGGAAGAAGCGTCCGCGGCTACTGATACAAGTCGACCTCACCTTCCTCTTAGTTTGATCGATTGATACCTGCAAAGGCCATGTACAGAAGCTCCTCGCAGTTTGAGGCTTTTAGGGCATATTCCCTCGCTTGAAATAGCTTTGCGCATGCGATTATTATCTATTGCTTTACCCCACCTGTTTCGTTGCTCTTGCAACTCCACACTCGTGCTCTCAACAGTGTTACGTGAACTCATATTGGCTAGGCCGTGGGTTGGGGATAGCAAAGCCCACCATGGTATGTTGAGCGCGGACAAAATGTCTCAGAGAATGTTTCTATTTCTACCACAGTATCTAAGAATGGTCTTCTAGGGATGTTGCGCTTCCCGTCCAAGCGACGATAGCCCACCAGCCGTCCAAGGGCATTCTTCCTCGCACAACATTACCGCCCCCTCCACGCGACCAAGCTCCATACCCTCACCGCGCGGGTCGCATGCTTCTCAAGGCAATTTTCAGACATTGCGCAGCCGACAAGATGCCAACGATCGCCCGAATACGCCCCTCAAGGCAATTTCTGCAGACCAGCGCTCGCGACTGCCCAACACGCTCGCCTCACCGTCCGCAAAGAGCAGAGGGCGCGTCAAGCCTCTGACTGACTCGACGAATCTTACATGGACGCGACCGCGACTAGACAAGGAGCGCCAAGATTGGTGGGATACACAAGTAACCGGCTCGCAGGAGATATGGGGCGCGATAAGGCTTGCGGCACAGTACTTGCAGGCAGGAGAGCTGCAGGAGGCGCAAACAATGCTCGATGCGACGGGGTGTACATGTCCTACTGGACTCCTGTGGAGAGGCGTATACGATACCACTGGTGTCCAGTACAAGGTACCAGAATGGGTGGTGGTGGAGCCCGATGGCCTGTTGGAGGGGGTTGAGACACAAGGCGGGGCTGCCACCGGAGCGACAAGCGCTGCTGCTCAAATTGATGAAACAGAAGACTCCGATGGAGAGGACGAGGATGATTTCAAGCTTGTCCGAGTCCGGGCCAGCTATAACCAGCGGGACGTCCTGGTCAGTATACGGAGGAAAGAGACCATCGCATCGGTTATTGAAAAAGTCAAGAAGCAAGTCGAGGTACGTGAATTCCCTTTTTCCACAGTATATCGTGAACTCTCATGTTCACCATGTCTGTCTGCTCCGTGGCCAATCACTCAGCTACCGCGCTTTCCTGTCTTCCAGCGGAAGATAACGTCGCTAACAATCACAGCTTGATTTATACTCCAGAGTCCGGCTTGCCTATGGCGGACGCTTATATCAAGACTACGAAACTCTCGAGTCCCATCCGCACTGGGACTACGCCAACGACTTCGTCCTTACCGCGCTGGTCCTTCAGTAATTTCCGCTCATCGTCCATACTAAGCCTCCGATCCCCGACCATTTTACCCATTTTCCATAGTAGCCTATTTAGTCATACGACACCCGCCACATTTTCTTTTTTTTCCCTAGCATCGCAAGCGGAGACGGAGTATATTTGGGAGTCGGGCGTTGAGGAAGTTGGCTTTTTAAGCTCGATTTCGTCGCCCGCTGCATCTAGGTTGTCCCCATCGTAAGAGTTGTCATCATTCATTGCACACAGGGAGTTTCTTTCTTTCAATTCTACTCGCGACTGGTAGCATCTTAGATACCCCCCTTTTCTTTCATCAAACCCACGTCTGAACAGGCGATGGGTATATTTTTAATCATGCCGGCCTTCTAGGGTCGTTGCATCTCACCTCTTCGTTGGCGGCAGTAATGCGGATTAGAGACCTGGAGAGCATAGCATGCCGTAGCTAATAACCGATAATCACATTTCACCACTCTAGATTTGCCTCATGCCATTATTCTAGTCACTATATCAACGCAGCTGCATTGAGAAACAAACAACGTTCGTCTTTGTCGCGCGACTAGAAATAAGGTGTAGGATTCGTGCGCCAGCCTCCAAGACAGGGCGTATGACTGCCAGGAAAACGCCCACCTCGACACCTACTAATCCATGTTTTGGTTCAAAGAGGCAATAGCGAAGTCGATAAGAAATGCAGTGGGCGTCACGTGAAGCGCCCTTGCACTACCCCGCACGCGGGTATGTACGATGATCCTCTTTACTCCTTAACCGGATTTATCATCTTAAGCAAAAAGCAGTCTCCAACTTGTTGACCCCGCGTTGCTAGATAGTTGTAGTGTGCGGAGACGCGGGGATATACGCTCGCAGAAGCGGATCTTGAGGATGCGGGGAAGACAAGACACTACACATGTACCCATCTTAAAATACTTGTAGTTTCTCGTCATGTATGGTGTTGATTATTGCTTCCTATTTCTCGGTGATTGAGATTCGGAATGGCTCCTTCTAATACTGGTCCAGCACTGTGCTCTCTCGATGAGTTTCTCTCCCACAAATACGACTACATCATAGTCGGTGGAGGCACAGCAGGCCTGACTGTCGCTGCTCGCCTGACCGAGAATCCTTCAGTGACAGTCGGCGTCGTTGAAGCAGGCCAGAACCGCATGGCTGACCCCCAAGTCAGCACTCCATCGCTCTACCCAAACCTCATCGGGCGGCCAGAGTACGATTGGTGCATGTCCAGCATACCACAACCAAATGCTGGCAACAAGACGTATTCGATGCCGAGAGGTAGAGTCTTAGGCGGAAGCTCGGCGATCAACTACCAAATGTATGTACGCGGCTCGAGGAAGGACTATGATTCGTGGGCAGAAATGGGAAATCGTGGCTGGGGTTGGGACGATTTGTTGCCGTACTTTAAGAAACATCAGACACTTGATATTCCGGATCAGGCTGCGCTACCTGAAGACAAGCAGTTCATGCCACACGCTGCGAGAGAGAAGTACCATGGCACCGACGGTCCCATCCACACGAGCTTCAACGACTACTACATGCCTTTTGAGGAGGATTTCTGCAAGGTGGCGTATGAAGTTGGCGGTGGGAATAGCACGCTTAGTGATGCTTGGTCGGGTGACCATATGGGATTCTACTCTTCACTGGGGGCTGTTGATCGAACGGCCGATCCGGGAAGGAGGTCGTACGCAGCAACCGGATATCTGCGGCCAAACTTGCACCGAGGGAACCTCCGAGTCCTCACGGAAGCACAAGCGACCAAAGTACTGCTTGAACGTGGCCGCGCTGTGGGTATCGAGTTTTACCATGCAGGTGAGCTTCGTCAAGTGAAGGCTGCGAAAGAAGTCGTACTGTCAGCGGGTGTGATTCAAACCCCACAGCTTCTCGAGCTGTCAGATATCGGGGACCCTGCTATCTTGCAGAAGGCTGGGATTGACTGTGTCATCGAGAACGCATCTGTGGGAGCCAACTTTCAAGACCATGTTCTCGGTGGTATGCTGTTCGATCTCAAGGAGGGTATAAAGAGCTCGGATGCGCTACACGGCGAGGAGTACGCTAAGGCACAGCAGGAGGTGTACGAAAAGACGAATAAAGGTCCGTATGGTAGTCCAGGAATGTTGATGGGGTTTGTGAGCTATGCTAGTCTGGTCGGTAATGAAGGCGTGAAGAAGCTGCAGAACGAGATTGCTAGGACGAGCTTAGCAAAGACCAAATTTGAGAAGAAACAGGAAAAGGTACGCGATGGCCCACTCCACACCATGTGCTCAATGTCACTGACGAAAAACGCAGGTCATCGTGGATCAGTTGCCAGATGCCACCTTCGCCAACCTCCAGACATTTTGTATCCCTTGTCAGTTAGACATGAGCGCCGGAAGCGACCAAATACAATTCTTGAGCGCACCACCAGCAGGCAAGAACCGCGTCTCCTTGCTCATCTGTCTCGAGCATCCACTATCTCGCGGCACTGTGCACATATCCTCCTCAGATCCTCTTAAGCCCCCTACCATCGATCCAGGCTACTTTCGCAATGAATGCGATGCGAAGATCCTCGCGGCAGGAATCAAGTGGTTGGATACCGTCTCGAAGCACCCTCTTGTTGCAAAGTCCTTGGGCGACCGCGTGCAGCCGCCTCCATCGAATAGTCTGGAAACAGAGGAGCAGCGTATCGCGTATGTGAAGAATCACATCTCGACGCAATATCATCTGATTGGTACTGCTGCGCTGGGCGAAGTAGTCGACGAGCGATTGAGAGTGATGAGCGAAAAAGGACAAGTTGTCAAAGGTCTGAGAGTAGTAGATGCTAGTATTTTCCCAGGCCACGTCAGTGGTAACATCATGGCAAGCACGTACGCCGTTGGTGAGAAGGGGGCGGATTTGATCAAGGAGGACGATGGTAGGTTTCAAATGCAGGCAGAGACGGCGAGGCTGTGATGGGCTTCCTGAAGTTGCAGTACTGCGCAAATTGAATGAACATCACTCCATTTTCCTCGTCGCAGCATTTGCTTCGTCGGCCGTCGCGTCTCGAACGAGGCAATTCAAGGAGGCTGGAGTTTGTGGGGCAGGCGTGCCAAGCAATCTGATTCATGAGGCATGGGCCGGCATGACGACGACGCATTTCTAACCACACCACCAGCTGTCTGTCTCCTGACCGCGGGTCCTTGCAGTGCCAAACTTGCCAAACTTCTCACCAGTGCGGTTCAAACCGTGTTTGATCTGCACGTGGTCGTTGTCGTTCCGAGCGGTATCCTATCGAGTGGATGGGACTCGCGGCAAAACTTCGCTCTAATCATGTCGTATCATAGGCTCTCCAGTTCCACAGCATCAACTCCCGAAAGCCGACCAGGAGGTCTCGATCCCTGATCGCAGTTCTTTTTAATTCCTGGCCGTTTCAAGGCATCGACGTCAGATGGTTTTCTTCCACCATTCAAACACTTGTTTGCAAACCATGACTATCCGCGCACCGCAGGTCTCTTCCAACACCTACACAGCTGCTGAAAATGACGGTCTCATTTCACGCGTGAATACTTCCAAGGTACCTCAAGTAAACCACAGTCCCTATTTCTTGGTTACAGCCTACATCTACATCTAGTTCGAAAAGGTAAAAAACTTCTTGTTACTAAGGAGATGAACATCAAGGGAGTCTTGGCTTAACAGCCCTTCATGCTTTGACCTGACGCATGCAATCTAAGCAATGAAGCCGACCCCATTTTTTCATTCCGTTTACTACTTGTTGTTGGCATGACAAGTGCTACCTGGCGTTCCTAAACGTTGACAGCACCCGCCCCCGCCAAGGAAACTATTATGCAAAACCACTTGGATGCAAGGCTTGTCTATCGCTAGTTTTCATGCCGTCCACACTGTTTAGGTCTGACGCGGCCTCTCTATTGGAGGAGCTTATAGCTCCATAGTCTGAAACGACGCTGATCCGCGCTTCAATCCGAAACAGGTACGACCCAGTCACAACTCGATACCCGAAACTTATGGTTACCCCAGCATGCATAGTTCCGAACAAAATGAGCGTAGTTTCAAGCTGGAAAAGTTCCCTACTTGGCCTCGATCAACCACTACCTTGCCTACTTTGGGTGCCGACCGTAAATTAACGCACCTCTAGACTCAGTGGAGACTGTGGGGTCACTCTATCTGCGATTCCAGCTCGTCTGCATGTCTCAGTCATGACGCTGTGGACAATTTTCGAGAAGTCGGAAGATGCACCAGCAAGAAGTATAAGAGGGAGTGAGCCCGGCTTCCTGAAGTCTGCACTCAGCATTGAGCTACCAACAGTCTTTCAGCTTCTCAACCGTACATATTTTCTCTTCACTTCACTTCGTTGCTTGACGCACTACTCTCGCTAGCCGACCTTATCAACCTTCTCTGTATCTATCAACTTCCAGCTTTTCCCACACCAAACCTCCAACCCGACCAACCCGACAACATGAAGGCTTCCGTCGCTACTTCTATCTTGGTGTTTGCCGCCGCCGCCACTGCTGGCCCCGCCGAATCCTCCCCTCTGAACTTCTTCAGTCTTTCCAAGCGTGCTACGCTTCCTATTCCTGCCTCTAAGGGTACCGAGACTTTCACTGCACCTAAGGAGATCACTGGAGTATTTGACGGTGGTCTCAAGACCTATGGCCGCGGTGTTAGCTGTACCGGCCAGTCTGAGGGTGGCGACAAGGACGCCGTCTTTATCCTTAAGAACGGCGCCACACTCAAGAATGCTATCATCGGCAAGGATCAGATTGAAGGTGTTCATTGCGGTAAGAACCTCTAGGCACGAAATGCTTATCGGACATACACTGACATCCACATGTAGAGGGCGCTTGCACCATCGAGAACGTTTGGTGGGCTAAAGTCTGCGAGGGTAAGCTCCACTCCATTCCCAGAATCGAATTGCTCACATGCTGACTTGCTATTAGATGCTCTTACCATCAAGGGCGATGGTGCCGCCACCGTAACTGGAGGTGGCGCAACCGGAGCTGACGACAAAGTCGTCCAACACAATGGCGCCGGAACCGTCACCATCGATGGCTTCACAGTCGACACCTTTGGCAAGCTGTACCGCGCCTGTGGTAACTGCAAGAAGAGTGCTGAGCGTCACGTCATCATCAAGAACGTCAAAGCGAGCAACGGCAAGCTTCTCGCAGGAATCAACACAAACTTTGGTGACTCGGCCAAAATCGACTCCACTACCTGCGCCACCAGCGTCAAGCAGATCTGCGAGGAGTTTGAGGGTACCACTCCTGGTAAAGAGCCCAAGTCTACCCACACTGGTCCTTCCACCGCTTGCGCCTTCACCGCCCCTCTCCGTGCTTGCTAAGCTACTCCAAGTCAAGTATGACCTGATTTAGTGGAAAGGAAGGGCAATTAGAAGTGTAGCTGTAAGGAAGCATTGTTACACCGGAGATTTTGGAGCGTGGATGGCGTACATTCATTTCTTGCATAGACTTTGGCACTCGACATTAGGGTCACAAAACATGGATTTTGTTCTCAAACATCTGTTTTTGGGTGAACTATAGGCATAGCGAACCGGCTCAAGGAGCTGAATACCATCTCGTTGACCAAGATACAAAGTTGTACCAAGTTTCCATCCAACAATCCATCCTGGTTCGATTCAACATCATACAGTTCATACATTCTCACTGCTCCACTCTAGTCTCAAACCATGGTCGAAAGGCCAAGACTCTCGTATGCGATGCGCACAACAAATCTAGCACGCTCATAGTAAACCTCAACAACTAAGTCTCAGCCCTAAAATCGCCCTCCTCCAATCTCACCCCGTTCAGGATCTTGCCCATGTGCGTCTTTTTCTCGAAACCTTCGCCCTCGTGCCTGATTTTCATGAGTAATGCTCGCAGGAAAGGAACCGGGGACTTGTGCAGGCCCCACTTTCCGGTAGGCGGATCCATGAAGCCATCAGCATAAACCTGCTGACCATCCGTCGCCGTCGTCCGAAGCAATCCGAGGAAGTCGCATAGCTCGTGGTACTCTGCGACAGAGCGGAGATAGAGGCTACCGGCGAAGAGGTTGAGTTGCATCGTTAGGCTACGGGAAACCCAGTCTGGTGAGAATTCGTGGCCGACGTTATAGAGTTCGAGCTTATCGAGAGGTGCAAAGCTAGAATTGGAACGAGGTGCGAAGAGGTGTAAAGTCACCTTGTTCGACTCACGAATCAGCGGGAGTAAGAGGTTGGCTTCAACAGGGCTGACGATGATGAAGTGTCGAACGATATTCTTGAAGAGGCAACTGGGTACAGACAAGATGAACTGAACCGGTCGCTGATATGAGTCAGAGACAAAGGACGCACAATCATCGGAAGGAATCTTGACTGTGCGCATGAATTCCTCGGTGACAAGTAGTTCCGATGGGAAAGTCGGGAACCCATCAAGATTGAAGAGCTTTGCCGCACTAGTTGAGTGCAAAGCTTTGAAGGCGGGCCTCCAGGCTCTAGAGTTAACTGCGAGCTCACCAAAAAGTACCAGTCGACAAAGGTCCCGGTGAACACTGTGCCATTCAGCGCTCATCGGTGGAGAGCATTCGATCTGTCTTTCTTCCTCGATCTCAGGAGCTAGCTCCCTCTCCTGTTCTTCGCTGAATGAAACAGAGCCAAAACCCATAGCTTCAAAGTCGCGACATCGGGACGCAATCTGAGCTATGTTATTGTTTGACATGTCCCACCTGCTAAGCTGATGATCATCATCGTCCCGAGTACGCGGCTTGTAGCGAGTTTCTAGGTCTTGGGCTTCGTCCTCTAGAAATCCCTTCGCTTCATCTTTCGTCGTATTGGCGCCGCGCAAGAGGTGCCTATGGCTCTCAAAGCGTAGACCTTGAACTGCCCACAGTGGCATACTCCTCTTCAGATCTTGCCATGTCTCTGTTATGCTCCAGCACAGCACATCGCAAACATCAATCGGCGCATTAGGCTTGCCTGTTCGCTCAAGAATTTTGGTAGATACCTCCTCAGGTACGATGAAAGTAACTGCTTGTCCATGTCCAAGCTTTCTCATCCTCATGCATGCTTGTGTCAGCCGATCCTTGGTCAATTGGCTTCCAAGTGTGACAGCAGCCCTGTAGTCTCGTGGGAGCTTCAAGTCGGTACCTCTCGTATGCGCTTCATCTAAGTATACAAGACAGACGTCGAGGGTTTTGGCGAAGGGTGAGGTCTGGAAGGATTCGATGCGGCCAGTGCGGTCCAGCACCGAAATTTCCTCGTCGTTGAAGAACACGACGGCTTGTATGTCATGAGTGCGCATTTTCAACCAAATCTCTGCCACTTGTTCATTATTTTGCTCCAGGATGGTGGCACCGCAGTCAAGTATTACTCTCACATCTGAGTCGAGTTTCTCAATGACAGTGAGTAGATGTTGCGCATCGCTACCCCTTGTACGTGGTGGAAGAGGCTCAACCAATGTCTCGTCCTGAAGTAGGTAGCTGACAACTTGCGCATTTGTGTGGCTCTGACTTGGCAAATCTAGGTGCTTGACGTCGAGAGGCAGAAGATGCAAGGTATCGTTGGTGCCGGAAAAGCCAGTCGTTGGGTGCGTCTTCATCATACCAAGATCCCATCCAGAGGCTGACAGCTTTCTAGGGAACTGCCTGAGCTGCTTTGGGAAAACAAGGTACGACAGATAGTAGTCTACGGCCTTTTTCGAATAGCGTAATGCAGGAAACACAGCAACGGTGCATTGATGGCGATCTCGTATGCTAACACCTGAGAGCTGTCGGAAAGCTGCAGGCAGGCTAGAAGATGCAGTGGTGACAAACTCATCATAGTGGATCGCTGCTTGATCTGAATCGGAAACGTGGGCCATCGTGTCAAAAAGCGCTTCGTCACTGAGCCCACCGTAGTAATATGACAACAGTGTGAGAAGGATCATTACATCTGGATGCGAGAATTCCGACCGAGGTGACGGAGAGTCCTTGGCTCGATAAGGTACTGCAAGAGAAGTACGGGCGGGATCAAGACCGAAATTTACACGCCATCGCTTACTCAAAGTGAAGCGCAAAACGCCACCAGCGATTAAGCCCCGGACCAAGAGCAAAGGTGATTTCGTGGCTACGGTCCAGAACTTGCTATCCTCAACAGCCTTGACATCCTCCATCTTCAGGTCTGCTTGGGTGATGTAACGGAGAATTGCAGCTTGTACATTCGGTGGTTGTGAGTGAGAAGGGAGTCCGGATATGCCCCATTCGACGACATGTCTAGCAAGCAAATCCAGCAACAGGTCGGCTGCATCGCTGCGAAGGAGCCTGATTCGAGGGAACTTTCCATCGCCATTGTCTTGGATATCAACGGCTTGAGGTAGACTGTTCTTCACTTGCGTAGCGAATCGAGGGACAAGGCCGAGAACTTCTTGGATGATCAACCATCGTTCCGGGGCGAAGTCGATAGATTGCTGAGATCCCATGGTGTAGACGAGTTCGAACTTGACACTGTAATTCTCGTCGCTTTCGTCCACAATATCCCGACTCATCGCATCAAAGAATTCTTGTGTAGATAACATCGAACGTGCTGCTTCGTCTTGATTCGACAAAAGCATCTCGATGCCCATTAGCTTGAATGATAGTATGTGCTCGGGTTGAATCAAGAGCACACCTCGAGTAACCATGCATTCTCGGTACAGCTCTTGTATCATGTTAGCATCATCTGCGGTTATCTTCAGCGCTCTCGAAAATGGCAGGTGGTATATGCGTCGATTCAAGAGACCACCAAGCTTGGAAATAAGCATATACAGCATCTGCTTGCTCTGAGGCTTTGCAACAATAACTCTAACAAGCCTGGAAATCATAGTCAGCTTTGTCGGGCATGCGCAGAACATATACATGACTTACTTATGCTTGTCCGTCAAGGCAGCAGCGACCATTGGGGTCACAACTGTAGACTTGCCACCGCCCATGAGAAGCTGAAGCACGATATTGTTGCTGTTTTGAGGCGATCGCATGTGGCTCGCAATGAATTCTTGCTCCTTACGGACCATGATACCACTCTCGGCTTCAAGTAGCAGTGTCTCTGAAGAGTCTGTTCCATTCCAGTTGCTGTGGCGAACATGCTTGAGTTCTTCAGCCAAGTCAATTGGCTTATCAGAGAGAGCTACTAATCTCTGGGCGCGGTGAAGATGTGTGATAGCCAGCCCATATTCGATGATGATTGCCTTCCATGGCTCTGACAGGGAGTCAAAGCGGTCGCGATGCAACTGACTAAGCCAGAAGGACGGCGATATCCGAGGCGAGTTTTGTATGCAAAAACCAAGCTGGTCGCTCAAAGACTTGCTGTTTTCGATGCATTGAACCAATGCACGGTTGATCTTGTCGAAATACTCTTCGCAATCGTAGAGGTACCTTCGAAGTAAATCTTCAGTACCAGCGGCTAATACACTGCGCGTCTGGTCGCTGCTGATGTGCTCATCGAGAGCAGCGCAACTAGTGCGTAACTGGTTGACATAGTCTTTCTCGCATTTCGATTTGGCGTAAGCCTGTAGGCTGTGGCAAAAATTCTCAAGTCGGTTCTTCATTTGCAGGTTTCTAGTTGATAGAGATTGCTCCACAATTAGTAGTTCAGGCTCGCAAGGAGGTATTAGCGAGAGAGGCGAACTCTGGCTCGTGGCTGCCCATTTTGTTAGTGAGTGCATATCGAAGGCATCTACTGATAAGCAAATCGTCCTATAACTATAGATAACACTTACAATTCCTTGATATGGTAGGTGGAATTCCGGCAAATATTCCTCTCGTGCTGAAATGACGATCTTCATCACTCAGGCTACGCTTCTCAGATACCAATGCGAGATTGTAGCACGAAGGGAGCACTGCCAATTCTTCTTGACGTGCCATCGCAACTGAGATCTCCTGAAGATACTCGAGGAAGCACCGATTATCGTACCAGTCATTGAACATGACCGAAACCTTTGACACTGCGGCGGAAGTTCTGAGATATGCGTTGAATTCAGTCGACCGTGGGGTCGAAGGGTTTCGAACTGGCCACTGTAGTTGTAGAGCAGACGACAAATTCGCAATCGCTGCATTCTGGCGAGTTTGGAACAAAGCATATGTCCTCTCGGTGTGCTGTCGATCTGTCTCAAGGGCTTGTCTTGGAAGCCTCGCCTCTGCAGATCCTCTGTAGGGTCTAGCGAAGCGTTGGATTTCGGTGTGAACCTCTGCAAGTCTACAGGTAGCCCCGAAATCCAGATCATACTCATACGCAGAGGGCGGCTCTATCTCGGCGACGCGTTGGAGTCTGTAAAACGCTGAGAGAGCTTGTATAGCATTTATGTCGGCTGATGTTGCGTATGCCATGGTAGCTAGCCATGCCATTATGTCGAATTTGTTGCAGTCACCAGATGCGTTAGCCAAGCCATGATGAAGACTGCACCACAGTTCAGTCAGATGCGTGGAAGAGTCTTCCAGCCATTTTGAATCGAATCGAAGATTGGACGGACAGAAAGAGCTCTTTATACCCCGAATCAGGGCGGTACCAAAATGCATCTGCAGAAGGTTGTCTTTGAGATCAGGGACCAACTGATGGAGGGCAGCTGTATCTCTGGCGATCAATGTGGCAGCTAAGAACGCACGTTCACCCCTCTCTGAGTTCTGCTGTCTGTCTCGTGCGTCGTACTGGACATCGTGAATGGTGCTATATTGTTCGGCACCGAATCCTGAAACACGGAATATCGATGATCGAATAGCATCACGCTTGTCCAAGTGAGAGCCTGTATAAGATTAGTGAAAGCTAAGAAGAGATCAGACTGGCTAGTCTCGATGCTCGAAATAAATCTCGATCGGATCGCATACTTGAAAATAATCGATGTTGAATCTTGTTGATAAGTCCGCAGGTGTTATTTTCCGGATAAAACAACTGCATCTTTCCTGCCTGCTCGAAAATAGTATGCACGAACGAAGAAAGGGACGGATGTTGTGAGAGAGAGGGTAAATCTGGGTCCCAGGCGATTTGCTGCATGACCATCTCACTCGCGGGGTAGAAAGACCTCCTGGGTGAGAGAGCTGCTATCTGACCCAGAAACTCGATATTGGTCTGTGTGAGGGTGCTGAACGATAGTAGAGCGGCCGACTGCAGGATTGTAAGAGCTGCTTCTGTTCCAGTATACCCAGTAAAAGGGTCTGGCACACAATGGGATGTGAGTGCAGATAGGTAGCAGAGAAAAAGCCGACTCTGTATGTCTCCAGTATCCAGTATTCTCCCAAGGACCTTGTCAAGGGAGTATACGTACACTCCACTTACATCGTCTTTGTTGATATCGACGGTAACATGGTGGAGATCAGAGTCCTTCGCGTACCTGATAGATTGAGATCCAGGCTTGTGTGGTACCGGTATAAGAACCAGACGTTCATGGCCAGATTTTTGCAGCACAAGCTTGCTGGACAAGCCTACCAGAGTACCGATGCCTTGATTATCATCAACGATCATTCCACGATACTGCCGCGAATATATTCTGGCATCATTGTGCTCAACGAAGAAGCCAAGTTGTAATCTCGGAAGCTGTATATCAATCGTCTGAGATATGGAGTCGAGTACAACGTGAATGTGGTTCGCATCTTCCAATGATCGGAACATCCTTGATAGAACGCGTGCAGAATTGCTTGCCCGGTCAACTAAAGTGCTCGAACCTTTCACTAAACGCCATGTTCTAGCACTATCATCGCGTTTAAGGTTCCAGTCTCCAGGATTGCATGACCATGGGGTCGCTCGAGACCGAAAGACAACTTCACCCTTGGTGTGATCGAACCAATGAATGAAGTTTGTGACGAATGCGTGTGGTAACCGGTCCTGAAATAAACTAGAAGGAAGTAGATCCAATCTACAATTGTTGGCATCGTACGAAAGAAAGTCTGTATGTTTAAAGAACAGGTAATGGTAATGACCGGGCCATGGCAGTGACCCGGTCCTTTGCGGAAATGAAAAGATGAGATAGACTTACCTAGAGTTGTCCCCAACAGCCACTACAAGCATTTCCTCATCCTTGAGCCCCAAGTAGAGCTTGTGGCCATGATATTTTGTCTTTGCAGAAAACGTCATCCCATGCTCGTCCGTCGGCACTACTTCCAGCATAGACTTCTGGAATAGGGGAAAGTACATTGAATGGCGTATGAATTGCCAAGGTAACCGAGCTATTGGAAGTCCGTTGACAACTAGCTTTGCGGTGAGCAAGTTGAAGTGTACCGGAAGTGTACCGGATAGTATGTGGAGCCAATGCTCATGTGGTTTGTTGAGTGAGACCCAACGAGACGCCAATGCTGGTTGAAATGCAGCCCAATTGGCTGTTACGACCTCGTTGAGTTCTGTGTTGTCGAGGAGGATGCGCTTGCGTAATTTCGGCAATACGCGATACATCAGCGCTCTCCATGACTGGAACATGGTCTTGTAAAGGGCCGGAAATTCGGGTCGAACAGACCGATGGTTATCCTGTACTAGAATCGAGCACCGTAGGAACGTCGAAATTGCGGGCTGTTGCTGGAGGATCTCTTCTATGTGCGCTTCCTCAACATCGTACGTGCTAGTGCACAGTAGAGCAATTTCAATTGCCCGCGAAAACAGCTCGTCTCTCTGCTTAATGTCTGCGGAGGAATGTGCCCTTTGCTTTAGACGTTCAGCCCAACGCAAGAACACTCGACGCAATTCTGCGAGATAGTCGAGGCTACGCTCAAGAACCTCAGAACATAACGAGAAACTCAGCAAGCGTCGAGCGAGCAAAGAATATGATGCCAAAGCCCTCCAAGACTCCCAGTTCTCCGCGACACGTTGTAGTGCAATCTCAAGCTGTCCGAGCATGGCATGACCGAAAGAGGCTTCCGTAAGAACGTAGTGGCTTTGGCGTTCAATATGCTTGTCTGGCAGTCCGACTTGTTGCACAATTTGGAGAATGAAGCACAGGGTCTCGACCTTAGTGAGGTCCACCGTAGGTATCGCCAACTGTGCGAGTATGTTCGAGTAGATAATGCGACTACCGAGTGGCATTGCTCCTAACGCTTTGTACTCCTCAATCGAGAGGTGGGCGGGGCAGTCAGACAAACTAGCCTAAAATTGATGTCATCGTTAGTAAAGAACTTGAAGCAGGGTATAGTGAAAGTGGTATTCTCTTGGATATACTTGGAAAACATTGCATCTGGGTGAAGAAGGGGCGCACAAGGTGCTTTAAAAAAAGTCCAGACAATTGTGCTGCGTGTATAACAGATTGTACTTACAATCACTTCGTTTGGTGGTAAGCCATCCGGATTGGAAGGTGGCTTGTATAGGAAGCGCTTCAGGGCGTTCGACCGTAGTGGTATTTGATACATGCACTGCTTCGGTAACTCTTCCGTGCAGACTGGAGCGGCAGAATTTATAAAGTCTTGCGATTTGTCGTAGTAAGCATATTGCAGCGCGTTCTTCAGACACACATCATCATCGTTCAAATGGGGAATTGCCTTCTGGAACCTCCGGTGAGTGACAGTGTGCGGCTTGATGGAAGACAAGAGCACTATTTGCCGTTCTCTATACCGTGAGGAGAGCATCTGAAAAAGTCCAGCGTGTTTGTCGAGAGTGTATGAACACTCTGGCTTTGTAGCAAACTTGTCTCGGTGACGCAGTACGGTCATGATGAAGTACCTTGAAGCATCACGCCAGTCGCTAAAAGCCTGTGGAACCTTCAACTCAAATACAGTCGCTTTCGCAACGGACGGTACAGATGAAAGTGGCCACTCGTAGATCTGGATAGTTAGAGAAGCTGCCACGCTTTTGCATGCGCATCGAGAGCAATCCGACTTGTGTCGAGTTTCCGCAAACCCATGATAGCTGCCGGTCAATGCTTCATGTGTTTCGCAGGCACTATTATTATAGTGGTCCATTAGTGTGGTATATTCGCGTTTCATTGTCTTTAACTCCTCGCATTTTTGTGCCCGCTTCTCGGTTGCGTCCTGCTCGATATGTGACAGTGTAGCCTGAAGGTCGTCGGACTGCTCAAAAAATCTGACGGCGAATGATGAAGCATGACCAAAATTGCGATATACAGAAGGTTGGCTTTTGTATGCTGCATCCCGTCGTGATTTGACGTAGCATTCGACTTCGTGTAGGCGCTTCATCTGGCTCTTCAAGGGAAGTACGAGACATTGAAACTCGGTTAAACAGATCTCGGGATCGTATTCATGCAGTAAAGGATGAATGATGCACGCAGAGACGTCGCAGGCTGCCCAAAGTTCGGTAACAGTTAGGTACATGAGTGACAGGCCGATTGGTATCCCGGCGTAAGCAGTATTGGCACAAGCGTAATAGTGCTCTATTAGGCGACGAAGCCTCCCACACGTATTCACATCGTTAAGATGCAACAAAATCCAAGTCCTGAGGTGTTTCTCAACCCACTTTTCGAATGCTGCCAAGCGAAAGTACGTGTCTGCTTCGGGGCCGGCTAGGCTGTCTGGTAGCTCGGCAGCAGGAAAATCAAGATACTCTGAGGTAGGCCTGAAGCTAGAGGAGGAAATATTGCGCTGTCGAGTAGCGACCTCGGAGAGAAATGTGTCTAACTCCGGGAGGGGTAAATCAAGATCAGCCGTAGGTCGAAGAGTACGAACTGCAGCTGTGTCGATGTTGGCTTGAGTGTCGCCCACAAGGCCTTGCCAATGCGTTTTGATGATGTTATGTGCACTGGTGATGCCGGATTGAATTGACGTCGCCCAATGCGGCTGAAGACATTCGTCTTGACCTAGAAGTTCGAACTTGCGTAATCGGCGGGCCAACTTTACAGTTATTATGTGAAGAACTTCACTGCCTAGTTGCTGCCAGTTGTTTTTTGCCGATTCAAGCAATTGGGACAGCATAAATATCATGAAAGCTTTATAAAGCTTACCGGAAGATCGCGTATTGCCGTCGTTGCGAGCGAACAGGAGCTGCAGTGATACACGTATCAGTAGCCACAGTGGGGATCGTCGCCATGGCTGTAGGCAGTTGCTCCATAGTGTCTCTTCGCGGGTGTTCTTGATGATGCCCGGTACATCAGTTGCCTCGCCTACAGCCGCGATCATATTCATGAGGAAGTCCGTCACCAACCCAGGGTGAGTCGTATCGCGGTCTTCATCAAGCATCTCGCCATTCTTGCGAACCTGTGGCTGGAAGCCTGGCGCAGTTTGTGTCGTCATCTTAGCGATGGTGCTGGCGAGAGTCTTTTGCAGTTCCAATTCTGCCATTTTTGTGACTGGTATCCTCGAAGCGTGGCCGGGGAACGTCCTTGTAAGCCGTCCTGAACGCATTGCGGCCTCGTTGGTGGGCGAGAGTTCGAAAAACTCGAAATATAGATTGTCTGAACAACGGCTCACAAGAATACCAGCGTTCTGCGCCTTGATTTCGAGCGGCACTGCCCCCGTGGTCTCGCCCTGAGTGAGTTTGGTAAGAAGAGCAAGCAACTGGGCCTCGCTAACGTCTCCATAGTGATCTCGGCCGTCTCGAAGGTTCTCGATCGTTGCTATAGCCGAAGTGACAGCCTCAATGTGCTCATTTCTCACGTTGTCCCTCAGATCTTTCAGCACCTGAATGACGACGCTAAAGAGATGCCGCTCGTGTGAGTTAACATGGTCGTTCTCCTGAGGCAGCTTCGGGGGAAGCACTATATGGTGGTAAAGGTAGGTTGTCGGTGCCAAAGCCATTGCGGCGAAACGCTCGACGCGCGCCCGTCTAGACATTCGTGGTCAGCAAGAAGCTCATTTAGCTCCAACGCTCTTCTTGTTTGCAAATCCGTGGTTACGAACTTTCGAAAGAACCTCAGTTAACCGTCAAGGTGTCGAAAACTCCAAAAAAGCGAAGCAGAAACGTGTCGTTGCAACAACAGGCGGTGTTGTGGGGTGGGGAACAGGTGATGAGAGCAAGGCCTTGTGGGATTTACCAGTCACGCGTAAACAGGAAAAGTTTTGCGTGTTTTTGTTGTGAAACCGAGACAACCAAGTTGCTTTCACCTTCTCTATCCGACTCCCCAACGCCCCTTCGCCTGGGCACGACACTCAATAGAGGAAAGATGCATCAAACAACCTACATAAACCTCTACAATTCTGCGCCTCTCCATTCGCTGACACCCCATCTTTTGCGACGCTACTTGAGGTCCGTAGCGGTGAGGCCGGAGAGGTGTAGGTATATTTCCAAGGCAGTATCTCTTGCAACTCGAGCTCACCCTGATTCATCAGCTTAGGGCTCCTCGCTCTGCTCATTACTATCATTCTTTTTATCATTCTCTTTGTTGTCCATGAGGAGTGACAGACGGACGCGTCCTGGTGGTATAATGCGACCAATTGCACCCACACTTTACGGTCGTATCTGCCGCCCCACTTATACTGTTTAGCAATCAACATCATAGACAGTTCCCATTACCAGTAGCGGAACATTGATCACAATTCATCAGTTGTTGCGAGAGTTGGGAAACGGAGTGAAGTTGAAAACGCGGAGGGACGAGCGTCATCGGCTCGCGCTAACCCTTTTTAGGAAACACCAACACAGCATGCGTGACTTTGGAAGTCGGGACTCCAGCACCACACCAGACAGCATTGCGATTTTACCGGCACACTGCTGATGATAATTGTGGCCGCGGTGTACAATACAGAGGACCGAAGAGCACCTCAATATGCTAGGATACGTGCAAGAGCTGGCCATCGCAGCCCACCTCCATAGGATCAAGAGTAGACAGCGCACATCTACTGAACTTTACCTGAATTACAAGCCCTCCGATAACCCTGAAGCTTGAAGAGCTTTTAATAAGAAAAATGGGCGATGCAGCTACTGAAGTCCACTGGTACAGCCGTCGAGAAAGACATCATGTCAACTCGTGGTACTTTAGAACGCAGTTCATCGAAACAGGATACATTTTGCGTCCCATACACCGTCCAGTATCCCAAATTCCCCAGTCCCCATATCCGTCAATGTCTCTTCGTTCATTGTCAATCAATCACAAAAGCTTGTTTCCAGAACCCCCGCTCCAACCTGTTCATACGCCGCCGTAATATAAACGAATTACGCACCAGGTTCGTCAGTTATATTATCACCATGGACCCTAGCTTTCGCTTCCAAACTCGTCACGTCCAAGGGGCTTTGACCTCCTTCCAATCCTGCGGATATATCCCGGGCTGCTAAGAGCAGGCTTTCCCCCGGCCCGCTTGATGCCAGCCAGGTTCGGAACCTGGGGACGCGTATGCCGGACACGGCCCACGTATATGTGCCTGGCGAGGGTGTATATATGATCTGCAAAGCACCGTACCGTCCTTCTGAATTGAGAGAAGTTCAATCGCGCATTTTTGTGTGTGTTTCCGGAGTAATATAGACATGTCGTATGGAGAGACGGAGAAATTTCGAAGAGATAGCATATGATAATCATGGCGGGATGGGCGTACGACAACTGTTGGGACCTAGGACACGTACCAACGCAGCAGTACGTAAGTGTCATTTGCTCTACTCTAATTTCATGCACTTTTGAGAGACTCGGAGATCTACACTACATACTAGCAAATTTGCGCTTATCTAACGAAGATCTGAGATCCAAAACAAGTTGCCCAACACTAGTTGGAAGAAAATTTGTTCTACGTATCACAATCAGCTAGTAAGTAGCAAATCTACCATTCATTGAGACAAGACCCACGCTACTGCTCGAGCTTTTCGATCATGTTTCACATTCATGACATGCCCAGCAAGGCAACGGGAACCATACAAGTACCTCAACGCAACGCTAACCCAGTGCAGCAGCCTCCTGGAGGATCTCAGTACCGTGGTAGCGTATCAAATGGGCCTTGTGTCAACCTCAAACAAGATCAACGGGTCCCAACGAAGGGAGTAGCTTACTTCACACGTGAGTCAGGTAGTAGTCGGTGCACCGCGCGAAACGGATTGCGGAGACCACGATTTCAATCGCGCCATTGTCCGTGCTGGCGAGGAGTGGAAATGTAGCTGAAAGGTGCTAATAGGCCGCTACTGTTTGATGACGGCATCCTGGGCCGTTGAAACAGACTACCTTGGTTGAGCGCCTCAGGGCGCAGGTTGTATGGTGAACCACGGGTCATGAAAGCTTAGTTGCCGGGTGCCGGGATTAAACTCTCAAGGATAGAGTGGCAAGTTTAATTGAGAGCAATAGCTCCGAGGAAGAAAGGTGAAAGAAGAAAATGTGGTGGAACAGTTAGGATTCATTATTACATATAGTGTTTGTAGGTCTTTTCATGTTATCCAGAATTAGGAAACGCCTGCCCGCTTCTGTTGGTAGCGATTGTGATGCCCGAGTTCCCAATGCTCTATGTGGGTAATGCTGCCAAATCAAGCCCAGAACGCCGTGATGCCTTTCAATTGTCCCAGTACCCAGCCCTTGGCGAACCTCAATCGGGGCGCTCTTGCCGTGTATGCCCATGCCCATGCTCATCAGCCATCTCCCATCTCGTATGTCAAGTAGCCTACCGGCCCTCTACGGGCACCTCCGTCATAGGCCTCGGCATGGGCTTCAGTTCTGCCCCCCCGCTTTCGGCGCGCTTTCGACCGGTCAAGGAGAAGTGATGGCTCGAAGCTGGTCGCTCTTCCTGCTTCTCGCTGTTGTCTCCAAAGCGTGCAAAAAGACCGCGCTTCTTCTGGGGTTGTGGTTTTGGCTCATCGTTTAATCCAACCTCTTCGAAGCCCTCCTCGGGTACCTCGGCTTGGCTTTCGCTGTTGCGGGGTTGTTGCATCGACGACCGTGGCGTGGCTCGCGAGCGGCGTATATCGTAGGAACGCCTAGTATCTACAGAGCGGCGCGCGTCCAGCGACTGGCGGGGATATGTCTCGTTGATGCAATCTTGGACAGGTGATCGGGCAGAGATGTCCTGGATCGTCAGCAGGGCAGCACAGGGCGACTATCATAAAGCGCCCACATACAAATGACCTTCTGTACGAGTCAAAACTCTCGCGCGAGATACTGAAGGGCTCATTTTCGCTAAGAAGACTTCGGTGATTCGACGAGGCGACAGAAGTGTTAGACTTGGAGTGCCAGAAGGTTGGCTTCTCTTGCTGCGGGGACGGCTGGCGCAAATGTCAACAATACTGGCGCAATATGCAGTCATCGGTGTCGCATAGCAATCGACTGGGTATGTCCAGCATGGGGCATATTTGGGGCGCTTACTGGCAGGTAGACGCCGCTGTCGTTGATATCTGTTTCCACAACTGTAAGCGCCAGGTCACCCGATGCACGATGCGGAGATCGCAATGCGCTCCCAGCGCGTGTTGAAGGAGTCTCACCACTTAATTTGTATTCAACGGGGTCTTTGATCTGCAGGGGCTGCGCTCCTGAGACTGCTGTATTCGTGAATCCATTCTCCGGTGTGCTCCGTTGGGCCTCATCGACCGGTTCAGGGACGCCAGCGCGGCGAAACGGGTTGCGGATAGGCATCGCAATCAAGCACCGAGGAAAAAACAAGGCAATACGAGGATTAGGCGAGATGTTTTAGAGGTTTGGTGTATGTTGGTTGCAGTGGTTGAAGAGAGACCTCTCCATCTGGGGTCTAACATCATGACTTCCTTGCGGGGCCAATCGGGCAGGAACGCCCTCCCTTAGGGCTGGCTCGGTGCTAACATTATCCGCACCTAGGACAGTCTTGTATCGGAAGACGTCATACCGCGTCCTTTGTGAAGGCTTGTGAAGACTCGATCATCAGTCAGACTCTCTCCAGCGACATGTCCTGCGAAATGCTGTGGTGCAGATCAAACATAGCGAGAGAGCCTCAGCCGGTCCCTGCATGAGACAAGAATGGAAGTCGTCAGGTACCAAACGGTAACGGTGGGGACCGTGAGCGCCCCGGCCTCAGCTTACCACAGCCCGCCTCAAAATCAGCCTCTTGAGTGGCATGGCTTGAAAGTCAATTATCGCAACCAAAAACTCCGTTCGGCACTTCACACACACTTGTTGCTGTCTCAGCATCAGCCACCGCTCTCGCCACGACAAGTCATCCGACTGACATTGGATGCGATGGTGTGCGTGCCAACTCGGGTGATCGAACGAACAGACGCCCTGAAATCACATACCCGATGCTACCTTTAGTAGTATGAACAGTCACCAGGCGTTCAGCTATCTTGTTTATTTAGGGAGCACTCGAAGAGATTTCTTGCGCGAATCATGACCATGCCGTTGGTGTAAGCCCAGCATTGCATCTGCAACACCTGACGATCACCAAATCGAGACCGCGGAAGATGCATGCAGACTCCACCTCTGCATTTCGAGCCCCTCTTTTGCTCTCTAATAGCCGACCTTTGAACATGGTGTGATTCTACAGAGCAACGCACAATGCGTGGCTGCGGCGTAGACAGCTTTCTAGTTTTACAGCTACTGATCTAGCTCGGAGCCTGCGCGAAGCCATGGTTCGAATAGGCCATACTCCGCCTGCTCTGAGGCGTCAGGCAAAGTATGACGCTTGCTGCTATAAGCGTACCTACGGGGCGACGTCTTACAACTTGTATGATTGCAGGGGTCCTTGCCGCTCTGTGACTGTCAGGCACTATAATTTGAACCGCTCACGCGGTTTCACGACCCAGCGAGTTCGTCATCTGCGCTGTGCTTTGAGCCTGAGCGTGGAAAGTATGCGCAATGAAGATTTAGTGGTAAGCTGGACCTCAGCGTGGATTGGGGCTGTTCCGAGGCTTTCTGTGTCCCGATGGTACCTGAACGTAATGAGAGTTCAGCTGACAGCATAGTCAGCCCTAACGGTTGCTCGACCTCTCTTTTCCCCCTCAGTTCCGGTTAGTCATCTGCGCGAAGCTGTGGATGAACGCGGAGTAGATCATCTCAGCGCTTGCTGCTTCTAGCCATCCGCACAGAGCAGCAAGAAGAGCATTTACAGATGATGCCCTCATCACGCTGGGCACAGCTCCAGCCTGATCCGTGATAATATGCCAACCCGTCTTGTGACTGAAAGATCTCAATGTAGGACGTTGCATGACTTGACTGTTTTCTGAGAGCTGAAAGTCGCGTAGATGGAAATCTCCGCGCCAGAGAATGAGGAAAAACTCGTCTCATGCATAGAAGCATTGATTCGGGAATCGGCCTACCGATACGAGCGTCTAGGAGCCTAAGCCAATATTGATTGCTTACTGTACACGCACTATTCGCCTCGTACATGCCTCCAGCTCAAGGCTGAAATTTCAGCACCAAACTAATAACATCAGGATACCATGACAGCCGGTGGCCCAGTCTACTTGGGGAAGGAAGATTGCATCAAGAATGCACCATGAGAAGCTTGATGCAGTCGAGGTATCCTCTGAGGCGGCTGCAGGTTGCCTGCTAGCTGCATTGTAGGGCCGATCTTCCTGATGTGTTGTCCAATCGATAGCACACAGCTACCAAACCTGGAATCGCGGGACTGAAGATGGCAAAATCAGGATGTTCCAGAAACCCATTACCACGGCTGCTGCGTGGCCTCTCACGGAAAGGTGCGACAGGAGCGGTGAGTTGCTGGGTGTCGCTGTTACACAGACGCTGTGCGTGGTGGCATCAATAACCTCTCCATGTTGTGCTCTCTGCCTGGTGCCGAGAAGTGATAGAGGCGAGCAGGGACATGGCCCCCGCCAATGGTCAGCAGGAATAGGCAGGCTACCATGATGGTGGAGCAGCGAGGAAACCCATCCCGATGGCGAGCTGGACGACGGAGCAAAAGCCACCTCGTAAGGTCGCACGCGGCCAGTGTTGCTGGCTCCGTGTCTTGGATTGGGGATAGCGAACCAGTAGTGATTCAGCGGATAGCAGACGAGAGAGGCCCGTCCCATGTGGGGTGCAAAGTGTCTTTCGCTTGGTGCGTGGGAAATTGGATACCTGCTTGTTGAGCGACGATGCAGGACGTGGCTGATGAAACTTCAGAGCTGGTCATGACAGGCCGTGTTTGCGTCATGGGGAATAGGGCGCAGGGCCTGGCCGTAGCGGAGGAACTACTGTACAGACGGGCGGACGAGCAGAGAAATTTTTCGACGGCCAAGTAGTGAGGCCTTGAGGTCGTCGAGGCTGCGGTTATGCACCCAAGAGTCGTCGGTCTCTAACGGCTGCTAAACAACGTACTCGCAGTGTGCAACATGGCGAAACGCGAGAGAGCAGCAGTGTCGTCGCAAGAGGAGCTAGGAACGGAACAGTGAATAGCCGCAAAGTTTCTTTTCTTTATGACAGCTCGTCGTCAAAGGACCATTTACCATTATCGCTGGTAAGAGGCGCTCTGGCACCCCTGCTCTGCCTAGAGAAAGACGGAGAGAGAGGGGGGGCCCAAGAGCCTGTTTTCTAAGCTAGGTACGGTTGGTATGGCCTGGTAGGGCGGGCGCCACTTGTAGCTGGGCGACCAGGATGGCGCGGGCTTCTCACTCAACATCTCGTCACATCGCTTCTCGCCATATTTCCGACAAGTTCTGCAAATACATGTATTATTGTATTATGGTACTGTACTGTAAGCACGGACGGCGCTGGGCACTTTGTCGCACGGCATCACGAGGCTCTCACGCAGCCGCGGCGTCACCCACGCACTCACTCGCATGCTTGGGTTCCATTATTGGCCTGCCCTCCACTCCGCTTCATCCTGTCCTGCGACTCTAAGCTCGTATTGTTCGACGCCCGTGGCGCCGATCTGCGAGCAGACCATGGCCGTTCCAAACACTCGCGCCGTCTGCTATTTCGGGCACGCTGGTTTTGCCGTCCGCCCGCCGCCAGTGCGTGGCCCTATGCAAGCCCCTGGCCACAGGGAGAGCAGGGGCTTCGCTATGAGCATGGTGGCGCAAGGCCAGCATGCGGGATGCGTGCAAGCATAGCATGTCTGGGGCGTCTTGGGACCAGCGGTACCGCGCTCTTCTCCTCAAAATGAGGTTTCCCTTGTATCCTCCGCGGGTATTAGTGGACGCGGATCCCTCCTCAGCCTGCACGCAATATACCTCTTCTTCTTCACCCCATGCACCCTCGTGCTCGCTGTGCCCGGGTCTCGACTTTGACTATTCCTTCCCCCACCACCGTTCCAGTAGAACGCATACTTGAACAGCCACCGCCGAGCACAAAGTCTACGTGCAGTTCCTTGGCAATCACCGTCTGTGTATGACGGCTGTGATTCACTGGTGACACCCGTTTCCTCGTTTACCCAACTCGACGTTCCACACTCGTTTCCACTACCCCCAGCGCTTTTCCCAAGCTTCGACACAAAACCCCGCCGCCTACCCCATTTCTGTGGCCTGAGAATCTTGGCTACTTTTGCATCTCGCCCTCGCTCACCTCCCAGCCTTTGTGGAAGAAACGTCTGCTTCTCGCTCCCCGTCGTTGCCAGTCTTGTCTTGCCATCATCCATTGGCAACTCCGCTCATAGTCACACCCCTTCTTGGCCAAATCCCTGACGTCGTTCTTGCCGGACAGGGCGGTGACTGTTAGTCACACCTTCCTGGGTCGTGGACCTCTGTTTCCTGTGTCTCACCTGCTATTCTTACCTCGGAGGACCTAATTCTTTAATTCGTTTACTTCAACCGCAAACATGGGCGGCCGCCAGTTCTTCACCAGCTGGCCGTTATGGCAGAAGATGACTTTTGTGAGCATCAATCCTACTACCGACCATGTACATGGCGCATGCTAACGTCATCGTGATAGGTATTGGGTTGCTCAATTGTACGACTTTCCTCCATGCATCCAGTGGCAGAGCTAACCGTCACAGGCTATCACAATCGTACTTGGTTTCATGAAGTTGTTTGTCGACCGACGAAGGCTCAGCAAGTACACAAAAGTCGACAAGGGAAAGCAAGCACAGACGCCAGAGATGCTCGAGGCACAGCCTGTAACAGCTGTTTCAACCGAAACAAAAGACGAGATCCCATTCGGCATTCGAGCGATTCAGAGTGGAATTGAGGTTGACGGCGTCTGGATCTCGAGAAGCAACACACCTGTCGGCAGCAGCAGGGCGTCCATCATGAGCGACCACAAGCCCATGCGCAGCTACAACAACTCCCAGCTTGAACTTCCCCAAACCGCAAAAAATGGGTCGAGCCGCGGCAGTTCGCGACCACCCAGCTCTTTTGACCGCGCTGTGTCTGCCGAACGCATTCCGACTAATGACTATGACTCTCGTTCCTCGTCACCTGGTCGCGGATTAGCACCCACACAACGCTGCAGCAACTGTAGTCACAGTATTTCACGCAACTCGGCGACTCTGCAAGCTCTTGAAACTCCACGGTCGGCACCTATCTCAGGCCCTCCTTCACGTAAGTCTCGCCTGTTCTTTGGGGGCATGTTCATCGCTAATGGATGCAGCCCGTAATGGCACCCGCAGTTCCTCTAACAAGTCGAGCCGCCGTACGAGCGACGAGTCCGACTACATGGCCATCCAGCACGATGTCCGCGCATACGAAAACGCTTACATTAGGCCCGCATCGGTGCAAGCTCCCATTGATCCTCGAACCGACCTCGACCTTCTCCAAAGCCATCGCCTATCCCATGTCGCTGAGACGGGGCAGCTCACCCCTAGAGTCCGCAGACCAGGTAACAGCGGAGAATGGGCGAGCGTGGCGGAACACCAGATATCATCGCTCAATGGTGTTAATTATTTCGTGCCGCAGAAGACTCCTTCACCTCCGCTCCCACCTATTATCGACCCACCAGACGAGGAAATAGGCCTAGCTTCATCCTACAACCCTACCCAGGACGGCCACGCAGCGAACGAGGCTAGACAGGCAGTCCCCCTGACGGAGTCATACGCGCCCAAGGCCGCCTATTATCCTGATGCCTACCAGCCCCGAGGCCCCCATCACCAATACTCGTACGATGAGGTGCCGTACGAGGTTAACACGGACCAGAACCAGCGCGAATCACAAGTCCTCCGCAAGGTCAACGCCGGATTCGAGATCCTAAGGCCAGGCACATTCCAGCCGCCGACACCAGCAGAGTTGGAACTGGCTGATAGGAGACAATCAAAGAAGCTCCAGAAGAAGCGAAGATCATCTTCGGCTTCGCGGAAATCTGCCTTCGTGGAGCAAGTCTGAAGCCCTTACTGCGATAGCGTCGACACGTCATCATCTCTGACACGTTCTGTGACATGAGATCTCACACGAACGCGACGCGACCGTCGCGCTGGGCCGCCCTTTCTACGGATCTGTACTACCTCATCGGCATCACTCGGGTAGGCCCGATGGCCCCACCATTGCATTGGAGTTTTAGCGTTTTAATCATGTACCAACGGGGAATCTCGGGGTTTTAATCTGGCATTCTCGCACTGCATGTATGGTTGGCATGTAATGTTACGGCTGTTTCTTGCCACACTGGACTGCGGGGCCTCATAAAAGCGATATTATAGTTGCAGTCATCATACCGGCGTTCTAATGGGTTCAACTAACGACATTATGTCGACGAGTACATAAGACGGCATTCTGGCCGTCCCACACTCACTGCATAGCATCTTGGAGCTCAGCTCAATGGAACAGCATATCGAATACCTATCAAATGCTTGCTATTACACACTTTTAATTTCAATTTTCAATGGTACTAACTTGGCTCATGATTCAAGTCTACAGCCACAAGCACCAAGTCCATCGCAGGAGTTTACTCCGACATCTTACAGCCACAGAAACCTCATAAAGTGTGACGCCTTTGCGCCATTTTCGCCCAAATCGATCTTTCTCTCGCTAGCTGTTTCCCTTTTTGAAACAAACAGACGCGCAAATAAGGTTTCTGATCCTCGTATCAGAAAAACTGGCCCCCTGGAGATAAAACACTAAGGAAGCACGGACTGTTTTGGTGGCGCACCCACGGGTCTCTCCCATGGAGTGGGGTTGGCTAGGCTGCAAAAAGGAGAAAAGGACGGACGTCCTTCAGCCTTGTCATGGTGGGTCGTAGTGCTGACGCGCCGCGATGGATTGTGATAGTGACTTGACTTGACTTGACTTGGTGACGATAGTTTAGTGCGGCTGATGGAATGTCGCGCTATGATTACGATGGGCTTGAATGAGTCGCTTGGTTGTGCTGGGGTGGTAAGCCGAATATACGCGAGCTGAGATGGCCTGGTCGGAAGGAAAGCATTGACTACGTGTTTGACAGCTTAGATGATGGTGAACCAGGGTTTTGGATCGGATTATTGTGTATATACGAGCAGCGGAAGGAAGTGGTTTCTCGCCGAGCGCGTTTGTGGCGCTGAATGTGCTCTCGGCCCGCTCTCTGTAAATTATGGATTTCGGTAGAGTGTGGACCTGGTCATAGAGCGGGCCCGGCCGATGCTCTGGGGAGACGGGCAAGACGGGCAAGACGGGCAAGCAGTGGAGATGAGATTCATCTTACTCTCGTCACGATGTCTTGGCGTCAAGTCACAGCATTTTCCGCCTTTCTGCCCTGAATGGAGAAGACATGGAATCCACGACTCGCAATTGCGACATCGAGCTGACTCTTTGCGGTGGCAGTCTGGCCTCAACACGATGCATGGTATGCTGCAAGCCCCGCCAACTGCTGTACACCCTTGTTCTTGCTCACCGATTCGTCTCCTTCGTACTTCGTGTTAAGCAAGAGATGTATACGAGACAAGAAGCTGGGCAACCCAAGCACTCTTTGCACAATCTAATCGGAAATGACGGACCTTCTCCGGACCTCTATGCAAGACTTTGCCATTGTGAATAAATGCTGGATAGTGTCGCTTATTCACCGACGTCACAGAGGTTCACTCACGGAACGGCAAGTGCCTCGGCCGTGGCTTGCATGTCTGCAGGGCCTCAGCTCAAGGTACTATTGAAAGGTGAGCGGGGATAACGAGCCGGTGAACCTCCTTCGTCGAAACGGCACAGAACAGCCACCACATCTTGTCGCCGTCCCCGCATGAGGCTTCGCGTATATTGACATGGTGAGAGCGGGGTTTGGACGAAGCGTTTAGCGAGCTGTCAGGCTGAGAAGGAGAAGTTTGACGGCGATGCAGTAACTTACAAGGAGCCGGTACATTTTCTTTGGTGGAATCGGATTCTAACGAATCTATCCAAGGTAACTCACTCAACATCATGTCTGTGGTCGATCGATCTTACATGGACCTGAAATGAAATGCTCATACTTCAGCCCAGCTTCCCAGAAACTTGGTTCCTTCTCCTCCTCCTACCTTGTTTGGAGTGCAGCTGTCGATTGCATCTGGCCAGCGGACGATAGCCTAGATTCTCATCGAGATGTCCCTAGATCCTGATGACGCTACAATCATCGCAAAACCTGATTGGGATCTGGTGGCTTGTAGGCTTTTACGCTCACCTCATCGGAAAAGGCATGACAACACATGCACCAATGCATCCGACAACTCTAGTTGACGAACGAGAGTCGTGCTAAGGTATCTTGCCACCCTTCGAAAACAAGCCTCTAGGTTGGGGTTCGCCAATTTGTGGACACTCGGCTTCATGGATGTTCCATGTCTCTTGGTACGCATCACGCCGTATGCCAGTTGCGACATCTGTAGTGGCAACGATCAATATCAAATCACTTTGCTAACGCACTTACGCGCCGTTCACGTGTTCATGCTGGTCTAGTCCAAGGTACGTTGCGAATCAAGGTAGCTGTTTGAGGCATGTGTGGACGCGCGGTCCGATGTGCCTCTTTCAAAACCTATCTGCCTTGCTCATAGCAGATGATCGACCCGGCGATGGCTGCAAGAGGCGTCGATGAGTTGTCATGCTGTTGAGGCGGTGGTGGCTTTCGATGAAGAACAGTCAGCCTGTCGGCAACACGTCGTGATAGAACTTCTGCGACGGATCGAGGCTGAATGGTATGAGAGAGGCTCTAAGTCAAGCGACGACCTGTTGGCATGCAGAGGCAGCTGAACTCCTTCTTACGCATACTATTGTTAAAGATTTTCCGGATCAGAATATCAAGGCAGCTCGAATGTACCTCACCGGTGCACTTTTCAATGCACTTACTGATTTTGAATGCGACCACCGATGTAGGACCTGGGAGGTTCACGATACGCCAGGACGGTTGCTATCCATCCTGGAACACCTCGTCACAAATGGAGCTGACGTAGACGCCACAGACGCTGAGAGTGGTCTGACTCTCTTCTAGACTGCAGTAGAATCTCATCTTTATGACGGATCCATTGCGTGTTTGCTGCTAGCTAAAAGTATGCGTATAGACGACGGTCCTGACGATTCTCCGCCTCCTATCATCAACATGGTTGCGGAAGTAAGTGAAGTCGACAATATTAAAGCCATGGTAGCAGCTGGAGCCAATGCGGTAGTCACAGATAAAGACTTGACTACACATCGTATCTCTTCAGTCTCGGCGCAAATCTATTCGTGAAAGATGCTCAGGGCAGGACTCCTATACACGTGGCATGCCAAGACGGGCGCATTGAACGTGGACTTTCTTTTATCGAACGGCGCCAGCGTCAACGAGACCGCCACCGAGGCGCAATGGACGCCGCTTCACTGCGTCACGTGCGGGAGTGCACCTCCACGCTGCGAAGACGTGAATCCACGGCTTGAAATCGCGAAAGTACTTCTCAATTATGGAGCATATCTTCAAGCAACTGTCTTGGATGGTCGAATAGCACTTCATTGTGCGGCGCAGAATGGTTATGTTGAGATCGTGCGGTCCTTGATTGAGCAAGGCGCAGACGTTTGCGCTGCAACAACAGGCGGAGAAAAGATCCTGCATTCAATATGCTCGATCGGAAACTGCCCCCAGATTCCTGAGCGGATATCAACCCCAGAGATGCTTCTTGACCGTGGTGCCAATGTAGACGCCGGAAACGAAACGGGGCAACACCATTGTATCTTAGGCTTGATGGCTGGAAGCGCAAACCTCTTCACTCTGCTTGTGCAGTAGACTTGCCGTGGACAACGCGGGAAAGAGAGTGATCGACTTTGTGGATAGCGATACTTGGGTGTTTGACGAAGCTGGCATGTTGCGCAGAGCTGTAAAGATTGTACTTACATGGTAGCTGAGTGAGTGGATGCGGACGTGGTGAATATAGAAAGACTAGTAATATATTGATGAGGTGCGGGGGAGCACGAATACCAGCCCTACAATATGGACGCCGTTTGATGAATCATATTCTCTTGATTTGCTACACGCATGTGTTTCATCCGTCTTCGAGCACTTCTTCAAGTGCATGTTCTGTCTGCTATCGAGTGGAGACTGCTTGATCTAGTAGATAGGTGTGGCCTCGCATCAAGCTCTGTCAAGAGCGAGGCTGAATGCTCTCATTGCCTATGATTTGGGACTAAAGGTCTCAGGCTGTGGAAGCATTAGCTTGGTGCGTTGTCTGAGGGCTCTCATACTCACTCATTCCCCTTGCTTCGTTGTGTGTAATCTCATGTGTGTAATACACAGGCTGGACAGGTCCCGCACGTGCCATCCTCGCATTGTTGTCGCGCTGGGGGTGGTGTTGCGTGGTGATCTGAGTTGAACTTTTCAAAGATACAGACCCTCCTCGTCTCCGCTGTTATTCCTCTGCTCTTGCGCCGCCGTCCCCCCACCTGCTACATGGCCGTTCTGCGAACCTGCTGCATTGCCATTCGTAGTCGGGGCCTGCGCGACACCCTCCTCGCCCTGCGGTCTGAACGGCAATCCGCGCACCTCCTGCACCTCCTTCTTGATCAACTCGATGCGCTCTTGGAAGCGCTTCATGACCTGTCTGTTTTCCAGGAGCGCTTCGTAGCAGTCGCGGTCGTCGTTCTCCCGGGCAAAGTCCTCGAGCTGCTGGTTGCTCGATTCGAGATGTTGGATTTGGTTCGTGAGCTCGGCGTACTTGCCATACAGCGAGCTGATGGGTAGGTCGTCTAGGGCTTGGGCAAAGCGCGCCGGGGTTATTGGGAGGGCTTCTGCGGACATGGCGTTGGAGTGAGAAACGGCTTGGAGTGCCTGGAGGTGATAGTGGTCTCTGGGAGATATATCTGGGCCTGTCAGTGACTGTTTGGTTGCCTTCAGTAACGCTCTCGCCACTCAGCTGCGACTTACTGGCGAGCCTTGGAGGGTAGCACTCAGGCTCTTCGACTGAGAAAGGAGGTCGTAGTCTTCAAGGATGATAAAGGGCAAGCTCCTCCTGTGAGAGTCTGCGTAGTATTGAAAGCCTATGGTAGAAGCCCCATAGCTCCGACACTAGCTTGTGAATGCTAGTGGGGGTGACTCCAAGCTCTCTGCCCCCGCCCCGCACGGCCCGCTACCACTCCCATATGCCGGTTCGAAACCGCCAAGTCGCCAAATCTAAACTTCGCGTCCGCTTTCCTACATTTATTTCTACGGGCTATATACCATAGGATAGCCAAAATACATATCAATAAGTCATTCGGCCGGCACTTTGGCGGAGTGGTTAACGCGCTGGCCTGCTAGTCGTTCGAAAGAGCGGAAGTTAGCCAGTTCCTTCGGGAGCGTGTGTTCGAATCACACAGGTGTCGCATAAACCTGGAGTAATCACCAATGCCTTCTTTTTTGCGGTTCTTCCGTCCTTGGATAGGGCTGAGCGTAGTGGTTCGATCTCCTTGAGAATAGTATGACGGTTAGAAACTCCTTTTTGCTCGTGTTGACGATAGGAAAAGTGCGAAACCGAAGAGTATTATGGTGTGGATTGTACAGTATGGTATATAGCTTGGCCGTCCGCCGCCAACGACACTATCTATGAACAGTTCAGTTATCTCGTACACACCCATCGCTACCGTTCTCGTTCATGAAGCGTGGAGTTCATACCCGGCATTAGATCAGGCTTGTCGAGCACCATACCTCTCAGCAAGATCCACTGCCGCAGCCCCTCCCACTCCTCACCCTCTTCGTCGCCCCTCTTCCAGAGCTCCTTAAAGCCCCACGCGCATGCGATCCGATCCAGTGCCGCTCGTTCATCTTCCCTGAAGTAGCGATCCAACAACGGAACACCTGGCCTCCAAACGACTCTGTCGTGGCTGTCGTTGTACGTCGAAAGTGCGACGAAGCCGAGCGTACCGGTGCACAAGACGTAGGTGCTCAAGCCCGCAAAGGCGTACATCTTAAAGGTCCAGGGGTCGATGTAGCCACTGTAGACGGAGAGCTCTTGAGCGATCATGTACATCGCGAGGGGTGAAATTCCTGCTAACAATGCGGGCAGGCCCATCTTTGTGACCATGCGGTGCCGTCGCCAGGCAGGGGTGCGGTAGGTCTGGTCAACAACATCGAGGGCCAGTGATAGATCTTTCGCGTCGATAGCTGCCGTCAGGGCCTGGTCGGCGAGCTCTGCTGGGACCGCTTGTTTCGCAGCTTTTGGCGATGGGTGCGAGAACTTGGGTGGTGACGAGCCTTCTACAGGTACGGCCTTGTTGGCGTAGAGGTACAGGGCTTCTGGGATGGTCTTGGGGCGCGCAAGCAGCCGTTGGAGGTGGATATACACTGCGAGAACATTGGGCGAAACAAAGACTTTTTCATGTTTGATAAGGTCCTCGGCCAGGTTGGACAGGTACGAAGGCGACGGAAGCGCATCGAGTCCCAACTGCTTGGACCTGGTCCTCCTCTGGCTACTGACACTCTCTTCGTTACCCAGGCCAGAGAGTATTGCGCCTGCGGCGCTTTGCCTGATGGGAACCTTGGTGGGCGGAGGTTGCCGTGCGCGTATCGCTATTGCTTGCTGTGCAATGTGTTCCAGTCCATCCAATGCCTCCAGCACAACGGCCTCCGTCTCGACCTTGGGTGAATCGTATATTGCCCGGATCCGACCTTCCACCACAACCAGCTCCTCTCTCAACGCAGCGACCCTCTCCGATGTTTGTAGACCCCCATCGCCTCTACTATCAGACTCACGTGATTTCCGCGCCGTCGTCGTAAAGCTTCGCGAGGGTACCCGTGGTGTTACGCCATGTGCTCGCGCGGGTTGCCTTGGTATTGAGGGTGCCTGGAGGGTGGAGGCGGACACGAATGCGCGGCGATATGTAGGCTGCTGCAGTATGTAGTCGCACAATTGGCACACTGGCCGCGTCCGGACGCGCATTGGCAGGCTGCCGGGTTTCATGGCGTTGGATGTGGTGTTCGCATTTGCGGTCAAGTTCTCAAGTGACGAAGCCCTGCGTGGCTGAGAATTGATGCCAAGCACGGGCGACTGTGACGGAATGTTCCACCACGACGAAGCCCCGAACACTACACTTTTGCGAACCAACATACAGTCAAGGCAGCAGGATACTGCCACTACTCTTCATTTACTCGGCGAGGAAAACGAAACCTTATAGTTCAAGGAAGGGACACACACCACGATGCCTCCACCACCTCCCCCTCCGCCCATGCCGCCCATGGGAAGAGGCGCCGGGGGTCCACCACCGCCGCCACCAATGCCTGGAATGAAGGCTCCAGGAGGAAAGCCGCCGTCGGGAGCTGGAAGAGTATGTCACCTTCACACCGAGGGATCCAACAGAATGCTGTGATTGCGAGGTTGGCCCAACATGGAGCCCAAGCTAATAGGTCATAGGGAGCGCTCTTGTCAGACATCGGGAAGGGCGCGAGGTTAAAGAAGGTCACACAAGTCAACGATCGATCCTCTCCAATAGTTGGCAAAGTAAATGACGGACCCAGTGGACCGCCCATCGGAGGAGCACCACCAGTTCCGGGTATGGGTAGACCGCCTGCGCCGCCTGGACTTGCGCCGCCGGTGCCTGGAGGAGGAAACCGAGCGAGGAGTAACAGCGATACAGGAGGCGGAGAGAGTGCAATGGCATCAGCACCTCAATTAGCCGGGATATTTGCTGGAGGCATGCCGAAGCTGAGGAAAGCGGGCGGCGTGAAGACAGGCGCAGACCAGAGCAATACACCATACCTCTCAGATCCGGAGACATCGCGAGGTTCAGCTCCCAAACCACCACGAGGGGCTGCCCCGAAACCTCCCGGGGCTCCTCCTGCGCCTCCAATCCCAGGATCACGACCGCCGCTCAATCCAGTATTTGGCGGACTAAAGGATTCGAGACCGTCATCAGTAGCCTCAAGCATAGGACTCAAGCCGAAACCACCACCTCCAATCGGCAAGAAACCGCCTATGCCACCTCCGGCTTCTCGAAAGCCATCTGGACTCGCTCCTCCGCCTCCAGTGTCTCCAGCTCGCGCGCCACCTGTTCCTGGAGGTGCTCCACCCGCACCTCCACCTCCACCGCCTTCTTCAACACCATCAGCACCGCCTCCTCCACCTCCTGGCTCAGCACCCCCACCTCGTTCGTTCCCGACTTCAGTACCGCCAGCACCTCCACTACCACCTTCGTCAGCTCCGCGAGCCCCATCACGGTCAACACCACCTCCTCCGCCGTCCGCTCCTCCCCCACCGAATGCGAAATCAGACGACGAGGACGACTACGATCCATACCGCTATGACGGTCGAGCACCTGCAGCACCTGCTCCTCCGCCACCAAAAGCGCCGACCAACGGTCACGCGCCATCACTAGCAGAACAAGCAGCTCGCAACGCCTTCGGCCGCGCATCGCCTGCCGCACCACCACCACCGCCACCCCCAGGGTCCGCACCTACACCAACTCCCTCCCACGCACCATCCGCCCCTGCTCCTCCACCGCCTCCTAGCCCAGCTCCAAGCCGTTCTGCCTCTCACGCTCCTTTACGTTCTATGCTCGATCCGTCCTCATACACGTTAACGAACGGCGGATCTGGTATCAAAAGCCCAACAGGTCCGGGTGTGGTTGCAGGGACAGGACAAAAGGGAAAAATTGTCCCAATACATGACTTGCGGTGGAGGTTTCAGGACGAAGCCCAATTTCCGCGGCCGAGAGAGTTTAGCGGTGGCATAAAGAGGTATAGGGCTGGGAGAGGAACGAGTGTACCGTTGGATTTTAGTGCTTATGAATGATCGAGCGAAGAGTAGAGGAGGTAGAGAAGATGTGCATTGACTTGGAGCACGAGCGTAAATATTGCAGGTTAGCTATGGCGCTTGGGAGGTCCTGGGTGCTTTGGCAAATAAGAGTTGTGATACACCCAGCCGAGAAGGTGGTATGTATCCTTGTGCATTGTTCAATGGACATATATTCCAAAGACACATATCAAACAGGAAGCACTGTTCATATCAAACTACATTCCTCATAACAAAAATTAACAATCCACCTATATCGTGAGCTCGCTATGCTTCTGCACCTTAACTATCTACCTGCATGCCTCCACTGTGAGGGTCGTCTATAACACACAAACAAGGTCTTGACTCAGTGTGCGTGGAGTATTTCGCGTTATTGCTATTGAGGATGGATCCTAGAATGCCCAATTCCCCTTGATTCTGAGTAGACTATTTATTCTTTTGTTTTCCCACCTCACAATGGGGAGCATTCAGATAAGAGCTTAGTAGATTCGCAAAACAGAAGTAAGGTTTTAGGTTGTCCCATCTCTTATTATTACAAAGTCTATGTAGTCCTATTATGCGAAAAGTACTCAGAATACAGCCGCCAGAAATGCCAAGAACAAAATGAACGTCTAGTAAAATCACAAGTACAGATAAAGAAAACTATGTTGTTTAAGTATAGCGAAGCTGCGAAAATGCTGCACTTTCCGAACGCACCGTAGTCAGGAGGGACAGCAAATATCCAATCACTCACACACGCTTCATCTTCTTGCTTTTCGGAACCCGAAAGACCCAGTAGAGGAAAACCGCTGCCGCAGCATTGAAGACGACGTATACCCAGAGCAAGCCAAAATCCCTCCAGCGAGTGTCCCAGTCAGCGTTGATGCGCTGCAGGAACTGGTTGGTGCTGTCCATTTGGCAGTACTGGCATTGACCAAAAGCCTGTGCATCGCGAAGATAGCCACCGGCCGTTTCAATATAGTCCCGCATGTACTGTCCGCAGGTCTGGTTCGCCGGCGCCGCGAACGTCTGGAACTCTGTTTGTGCGCAGGATACTGGTGCTTGGCCTAGAGTCGTCGACATAAAGCTCGATACTAGGTATGTGACGGGATTGACGCGATACATGAAGATCCAGAAGCGGGGGAGGTCTTTTGGGCCTGCAAGAATACCCGCGAATGCGTAGAGCATAATGGATAGCAAGGTAGCGAAAGCTGCTGCAATCTCTTCGCTAGGCGCGCCTGCGATTAGAAGGTGTGCTAACGAGCTGGCAATGAGGAAAGTCACCACTACGATGAGTACCGCATGGAACCCTCGGATGTGAACTGAGTCGGTGAATTCGGCGTTGCGGTAAAACCCTGCTGGATAATACCAGCATATGAAGCAGAAGATGGCCATGAGCTAGGATCATGGTCAGTATTCGCTGGGTACGGAGTGGGTTTGGTAGGTACTTACAGCGTTCCACGCCATCTCTATAACAATGTTGGAGAGCACAAAAGCTTGCCATGCGTATGTCTTCGACTGACGCTCTCGAGCCTCATACAGCGTTCGCTGGGAGATAAACATTGGGAGAATCTGGTAGATGAGTTGTATGACGACGAATAGAAAGATGAAAACGCCAAACATCTGATTTTGAAGGCCTTGTATGGTGTTCTCGCCGTTCAAGAACGACAAGCCGATCACAAGCGAGGATCCGACAGTGAGGAGTGCCTTGGAGTATATGTATGAAGGTGTTCGCCAATACTGTTGCGCGCAACGTAGAGCGACCGCGGAGAGCTGCATCATGAAGGGAGCTGCGAACTCTTGATGGCTCGCATCGGACGAGTCCATGACAGCTGATGGCTGGTTAGAAAGCTCCCTTAGCTTAGCTAACTCTGCTTGGACGTCAGAGTATTCCTTGCTGTTCTTCCAGACGGAGGGCCAATCAATCTCCGTTTCATGACCTGGGGCGGCTCCGATTGCTTCGAGCATATACTCTGCAGGATTAGTACCCGCAGGACACTCTGGTGCGCCATTGCGGGCGAAATAGTCCACGATTGTCTTCGAGCCAGAGCCAATGTCACCAAAATAGACTGTCCTGCCGCCTTTTGCCAACAAAAGTAGGCGATCAAATCTCTGGAATAGAAGCGAAGAAGGTTGATGGACTGTACACAGAACCGCTTGTCCGTTACGGGTAAGCTTTTCCATCAAGTCGCAAATTGACCAGGACGTTTGGCTGTCTAGGCCTGACGTGGGCTCATCGAGGAAAAGTAGTAACTTCGGGCGGGCGGCGAGTTCTACACCAATAGTAAGGCGCTTGCGTTCTGCAAATGGTTAATCACAGCGACTTATGTAAAGTACGAAACTGGAGGAGACACTTACGTTCTACGTTCAGACCTGATCCAGGAATCCCAACCACGGCATCGGCGTACTTTTCCATGTCCAGTAGTCGGATAACGTGGTCCACGTATGCTAATCTCTCTTCACGATTGAACTCCATAGGTTGTCGCAAAAGGGCGGAAAATTCCAGAGCCTCTCGTACCGTTGAGGTTTCCAGGTGAATGTCCTGCTGCATCACATACCCTGTCTTACGCTGGAACGATTCATCGCGTTCACGTCCGTCCACAAGCATGTTGCCACTGATTATGCCCATGGTGGTCCGACTTGCAAGAACGTCCAGCAATGTGGTCTTTCCTGCACCTGAGACGCCCTGTGACTTGTTAGCTGGTACAAGGATAACATTATGTAGAGCTGTTGGAGACTTCCATACGCCTTTCGATTCATGAATGACAACAGTCAGGGCTATCGAAGTCTTTCAGGCTACCAGGAAAATTGAACTTACCATAAGAGCGGTCAATGTTCCAGGCTTGATCCATCCGTCCACCGAATCCAGAATTTTGCGGTGTTCACCTTTGATTTGAATCTCATAGTTGACTGCTTCCCAGTGGAAAATTGAGACCTGCTTTTGCACCTCGTGCTGCGAGTCGTTGTTGTCGCGAAACTTTTCGGCTTGATGAGCAGTTTCGCTACCGGTCTCTTCATCGGCACTGTGTCCTTTGCTACTATTCTGCATCTTCGAGCGGCGAAAAACTAGCACCTCGCCCTTTGACCGCTCGGATGCGACAATTTCGCTCATGACGAGATGCGCAATGACTGGGAGAAGCAGAGGTACGAAGTCAGTATATGCCTCACAAGTACCTCGTACTTCGACACTTACAGAGAATTACTGTTATCGCCAGGATGACTCCGTAGTTCGGCCATCGGGAACTGTAATGGTACTTATACGCAGTTTCAACATACGTAGTGCCACTGACGGAGTTTGAACCAGGAACTGAGCCTTGGACAGCGCATGCTCGCTGCTCGGCAGAAACATTTTCGTATGACGGCCCCGAAGGAACGAAAGATGTACACTCAAATGTCCGTCCATTGAATTCATTGACCATGACATTGGAGAAGCCGTATGCAACGGGATTGATAAATCGTATCCAGCTTGCCCATCTGTGCACGTTAGCATAGTTATTTGGCTTGAATGAAAGATTATACCCTCTCATGTACTCTATCGGAATGACAAAGCCAGAATACAAAACGAGTGCCAGCAGGAGGATCGAACTCGGGGCGAGCGCTTGAGCAATCGTCTTAGTCATAGAAGCAAAAAGCCGGAAGAGCATGCTCATCGAAAGCCCCATAGTGAAACTAACGAGCAGAAAGAAGAAAAATGGGCCAGCTTCTCGACGTAGATTCGCCATGACTAAGGGTTGAGATACGAAGTTAGTATATGTCTCACATGCAATTCGTGCACCAGCGTTACTTACAATACAGCGTAGAGTTGACGAAGATTGCGTTGGCGATTTTATAGGGTATGTCTATTATCATTGAGGCTAGTGCTTCAGCGCTTGGGTGGTAGAGCGCGTATCGATTGTGCTTCGGTCAAAAGGTTAGCTCCATGCGCATGCATCATCTCAAAGCGCGGAACTCACCTTCTCGACAATAGTCCTCTTTGCGTATAGACTCATGATCTCTATGATGCTAGCAAAGGCGTTTAACAAGACCTAGGGCAGTCAGTAATCTGAGCTAGCTTCGTTCAACTACCGCATTGTGTCTGTACGGAAGCTGCGAAGGAAGTGTGAGGTCATTCGATAACTTACCATCATGAAGACAATGGCTCCACGTTTAAAGAACGACGCCGTGGTACTAGGCAAATTGTAGAAGATACTGGCGATTATTAAAGCTTCCACAAAGTTGATCCCCAGCATAGCAAAAATAACGCTTGGGTCATTCTTGAGCATTTGTACTTCTCGCCACATACAAAGACTGACTTGCTTCCAGTAGGATAGAGTATATGGGGACTTCTGGCGTTGGTTTCGAGATTTCTCTAATGTCCTGGAAAGACTGAACTGTTCGTGGGTTTCGCCTTTGAGTGGGTGAGTCTGGCTGTATTCTTCAATCGCATTCAGCAGTTTTTGTCTTTCAGGGCTTTTTTTCCAGCATCGGGCGAAGTCGTCTGATGTGCGGGGCGTGCTATTCTCGAGGCCAGCTCTGATACGACGCTCTGACGGCGACGTCATCGAAGTCAAAAAGTCAGGGGTGGTCTGAGAAGCAGGGCATTCGAATCCCAGGCTCTCGAAGTATCCGCGTGCCTCGCAGGAAGGACCAAAGTAGATCTGTCTGCCTTCATATAGAACGACCACTTTATCGAAGACCTAGTGCAAGTTAGTCGCGCCCTTCGAGCCAACTGATCTCTATTCCAGACCGCAAAGAAAAGCCAAAGAGCTTCAGATGGCACTTACATCGTAAGCAGCTTGTGGCGCTTGGTATATGGCGACGCAGGTTGATGTCCCAAAGACATCGCATTGTGTCCGTAGCGTCTTGCAAAATTCCACCGCGTTCGCCGAGTCCAAGCCTCGAGTTGAATTATCCCAACATTGCAGAGGTGCAAAGCTCAGAGTAGCTTCAGCAATGGTAACTCTCTTACGCTCACCACCGCTGACACCTCGTACAAAATCGTTCCCGACTTGCGTATTGATTGTATGAGAGATTCCAAACATCGCCATCACAACCTACAAATGTTTGTCAACCAAGCAGTACATTAGTAGAAATGATTACATACGTCGCGTAGATGTTCGGCGTAGAGTTGCCGACTGACCCCTCCTGGGATGTTCCGGGGTGCTCGCGCCCTCGCAGCAAAGTAAAGAGTATCTCCAACGCTCAGTTGGGAAAAATGAGCGTCTACTTCTGCTGTGTATATGGCTTCTCCTCGGAAAGACGTCTTCATGTCCTTTGCAGGAATGCCCTGATAGTTCAGGTAGGCGTCTGAGTTGACTTTGAATCCATGGGTGTCGCCTGCGATGGTCTTCAAAAGCGTAGAGCAGCCAGAGCTACCAATTGTCAGTCAATCGCCGCAAGACAAGTACAGTTGAGACTTACCCAGGAGGACCAAGCACACACAATTGTTCTCCGGGAAGTACCAATCCCTCAAGGTCTCGCAAAATCTCAACCTTCTGGGCTCCTCGTCCAAATAAGGATGGTAGCTTCAAGATTTTGTTGCCTACTGTCGATTGGAAGTCAGTAGGAGACCCCTTGCCCCAAACATTAAGGCCTCTGAAGGCAACACCGGCCACACGAGCGATAGAGCCTTCGCTGCTATAGCGTAAGTCGTAGAAAGACCTGGCCCAATCCCGAGCTCGAAACCGATCGCTCTTCGGGTCCAGCCGACTGTTCTGCTCGGCAGTAAAGGGTGACTCGAGATTCTGCTGTTGTGACTGCGACGTAAACATGCGAACAAGTTCTGCCACTTCCTGCTCAGACTTCACGTCCTGTATAACCTCGTCCCTTGTCCCATATTCGGAGTCACAGCTTGACTCGGGTTTTGTGTGAATTGTGAGTGACTTTTCTGCACGATCAACTTTTTCTGCGATGCCCATAGCGGCCGACATATCAGCTCAGATTCACTGGCGGTAGGGAAACTCCGGTCAGACTGTCACTCGTCCTCAGTAGCCGAGCAGTGGCCAACCAAGTTGGAAACGCAAAATAATCTATACCCTCCAGTCTGAGGAATTTAAAATCATCAAAACACGGCTGGACTTGGCGGTGGCTACCGGAAATACTGTCAATAATGGTACTCCTCAAGTGTTAGCCAAGTTGCACACGAATGAGCTCGTAGAGGGCTCCTTACCGATGGGAAGATCGTTCAACGTGTCGAAGTCTTGTGCACTCACTCTTCGATGACCTTAAGAGAAGTAGACGGTAGCTGCATCCTTTTGAAAAGCTCCCTTTTCCGCCATAGCTCCCAAGGCAGTCTCGCTCGCGGCGAGAGTCCGGATGTCCGCCAAAGAAGCATGACAAGAAGACCAGTCAGCGCTAAACAAAAGATGTAATTAGCGCATGCACCCTGCCCGTGGTTGAACTATCGCTAGTATTGAGTATATGCTGCATGACCCTGTCCAAAGGCTTGAGCCACCGGGCTTCACTGCGCTTGAGCATTGTGTCTGTTACGCTCAACGGGAGGCTAAGGATGCAACAAATGTGTCATATTCAACCAGCATTATTGCATCATGCTTGTCGAAGCACAGCACTCTAGTAGGCCCACCTACGCCCGGCCGTTAGCTCGCGCCTTCCGGACATTCGGTGCCCCGGGGTTTACCCTTTACGGACATTCGGGGTTCGCATTTCCGGCGTTTTACTCGCGTCCACGTCAGTGAATCCTTTCATATTTTTGGCCCAGCCGGGCTATACTTCTTTACAGTGCATGTTATCTGTATGAAAAGTTCCATTTACGGACGCGAATTCTAAAGGACATTCGGTACTAGGTGAGCCGACCTGGGCGGAACACGCGAACATCTCGCCGGACAACACGGCCTACGAAAAACCTCCGACTCCGGTGTGATAATACCATTTCCCAATGGTGATGAAGCTTGCCGTACGTAATCTTCTTTCATGTAAATAGAGGACACTGCTAAATAGTTACTTAGTGCCTGCGCTGCAAGCGTAAGAAAGTAGGTTCAGCTCCTCCCGTTGTAGCACACAATTTCTATTCTGTAGCATATGCTCCTGGAAGAACTTGATGTATTTCCCTACAGCGCAAAGTGGTTTCATGTCAAGGCCAGCATTTTAGCAAGGTGCTGATGGTTGTTAGATCAAATGTGACAAGGAGGAGCCAGCTTGCCATCAATGCGCTACCGCCAAATCCGAATGCCAGTATGTAGAGCGACGTCAAAGGCCTCGACTTGCGCAGCAGAAAGTTGCAGTGCAACATCTAACCCAAAGATTGAAGCTGCTCGAGGAACAAGTTAGTCGTAACGGTGATGGACATTCATCGTCTACGTCTGTGCCTTCAAGCCCGGATGCTGCTCGAGATATCACACCTGTGCCGTCCCCTGAAGCCTCGTTGACGGTCGGTGATGGCCAAGAATGTAAGAATCACATACATAGCCCTGGATCTCAGGTTTCTTGACATGGAACCCGGAAACTTTGCAGGCTAACGAGGGCAGCGTGGATTTACCAACTTGCCACCGACACCAGACGTAACTTCCAGAACCAGAAAACTCCAGTCGCTATACCGACGCCTCAGGTCGATAATGCAATGCTCTCACTAAATGAGGCTCTTGATGACCTAGGAAATCTTAGGGTCCGGGCAGATATGTTCGACGTCGACTTCAGTCTTTCTCCCGCAGAGTCGAAAGAGTGCATTGATGCATTCGCGAACCTACTAAGCGCCATGGTTGTGCCAGATATATTCACTATATCTATAGATGTTCAGCTTTTCTATGCACTTCCTAGCATTATAGATTCTCCCTATGTCCACATTGAGCCAGGGATCCGCGTCATGTATTATAACGCGCTTTACTATGGCCTCCAGCAGACTCGTGGCACAGGATGCCCGCTCGTGCGAGCAGCATATATGAAAGTCCTTGAGGCCGTACCTGCATGGCTCGAGGCTTCGAACGAGACTAACATGGATGGACATACAGCAGCCTTAACCTCATGGACTGCAATGAACAACCAAGATTATCAGTTGTCCTGGAAATTCCATTGCAAGTCCTGTCATTACGTAAAGATGAAAGGCATTGACCAGCTCGACACAGTGCCTTCAAAAACGTTTGAGGAGGAGGGTGGAAGAGATGTCCTTCGATTCTTGTATTGGCATGTACTCTCCACTGATACTCTATTCCGCATGTTCTATGGAAAGCCTACTGTTGTAAGTGTGTACTTATCATTCGGGCTGCATAGTCTCACGGGCCTTCGTCAAGTCTATCAAAGAGCCGCCAAATCCGCCAAACTTTCCCGCCTTCTACATGTCCCATTCAATACTTTCCATAGACGTGGGTTATGCTGATACTGTTCTAGGTACGATGGTCACCAAACAAAGTCAGAGCACCAGCCTTGTTCCATACCAATAACATGCACCCTTCCGCCCCTCAAGTTATCGTTACGGTCGTTTGGGTACGATATACCCTCATGACTGCAGAGATGATCAACTTCATAGACAACAACGCTTCACACAATCGCGATGAGGTCATTGCTCAAAAGGTTGACGACTTTTGTCTCCAGCTCGAAGAGCTAATGGCCGAATTTAAGTTGGAGTCACTGATGGACGCCAAAGAAACTACCACCAACTTCCGCTGCCTCCTCGCAGATCACATAATGAATGTATACGCTATAATCATAGGAATGCAACGGATGGTAAAGACGACTGTGCAGGGACGACCTGTCAATGCCATTACAGTTCGCGCTGCTCGAAAGGTCGTGAGCATCATCCTTGACTTTAACACCGGTCCCCCTTTGGCCAATGAGGCCAAAACTATATTCGATCAGTAAGTGTTTATCTCCACTCAACCCTAGTTAATGGTACATGTACCACGAACCCTGTCTCATCGACAGCACGCCACGTTAGCCACTGTGCGCCGTCAGCACATCTCAGCGCGGTCGCTAACTGTACCGCAGTTTCATAACGTTTTATCCCTTCTGCGCCGTTTTTAGCCTTTACGAGTATGTACTTGCATGTACCGATCCAGACGATTGCGAGAACGACATACGCTCGCTCGAGAAGGTCGGAACCGCAATGGCGCAGGCCTCCACGCGACGATGGGACTTTTTCCCGTTTGCAAAGACGATTAACGCATTAAACAAGGTGTCTAGAAGCATGCAAGACGAGAAGCGCGCAGCCAGAGCAACAACTGCGATGGGTGGTGAGGGAACGCATATTCCCCCCATGCAAGGAGTCAACTTTCCAACCTCAAGTCTCGATAACTTTCAGAACCTCGTGGCAAGTGAATTGCCTCACTTTGATGCTGCGTCGTTTCCTTCGCTGCCTGACTTCCCAATGACACTCGATGGCGATTTCTATCCGCCTGGCTTCGTAAGAGCTTTGGAAACCGATTTTCAGAATCGAAATTGGCATGACAACTGGTGGGATTTAAGCGGTGGTGCTGGTGAGGACGGACCAGCAATCCCTTAAGGTAACTATACTATTGTGCAATTTGGCATGTTTTTTGAGGCAGTAGAAACTAACTTTCTTCGTTAGATGTTCGCCTCCTTTCACGCCTTCGAATCCCCAAACACCCGGTCTAACAAAAACCTAGCAAACTTGTCCACACCGGGGCTCTGCACACACCACTGTACATTGTTCCCCCGTCGCGAGTCGCTCCACCCTCCCGCATCCCCAATAACTTCCTCGTTCAAATCCCCCGTGCCAGCCGTAACAGGTCGCCCCCTCCTATCCACGACCAGACAGCCCCTCGTCCATTGCCCGGACGTCTCAACCCTAATATCCTCCGTTTCGAACGTCCACGCAGGTTCAGAAGGCGACAACGCATACCAGATAGTCATCGGGTCGTGGAGTTGCAGGCCACGTTTCGAATCATCTTGTTGTGGGTTTAGGGAGTGGTTTTTCTGGAACGTTACGTCTAGGAAGAGCCTTGCCCATTGCGCCAGAGGGCTGTCTTTCACTTGCTCACTGCCTGTGTACTGTTCAAACAGTGTTTGGGGGAGGAGATGTCGTTCCGTGGTGTCGAGCGGGAACAGCTTCAACTTTAGCGTTCTACTCAGTTTCTCGGGATATGGCGGAAGCTGCTCTTTTTTGTGGCCGCTTAGGGTGGGAGGCATGGTCATGCGGGGGTTGGGGGATGTGAGTGCGAAGACTCGCGCGCTCGCTACGCTATCTGCGTACGTGTTGAATTCGGCGCCGGGCGTCATCTGATTTCTGTGGTTCAGCGCTCTGCGTAAGGGGGTGTCGGGCTGTTTTATGAGGTTGAAGTTGGGGACGGGGATGTTCTGGATGGTGGGGGAGTAGATGAGATGCAGAGGTGGCGGCTATTGAGATAGCTTCAGACCAAACCAGTCTAGAGAGAGGAAGAATACTTACGTTCCCTGGTGCGTCAACCGCTCCACCCATAACGACAACTTCTTTCACCCTCAAGAAAGTCTCAGGGTCCTTTGCAGCCGCAATAGCGAGGTTAGTCAGGGGACCAACAGCCACAATCGTAATCGTATCAGACTCATTCTCTCTCAACAAGTCCAGCATCTGTTCATGCGCCGGCTTCAACGATGGAATAAAAAGCGAGTGCTGCTCCTTGACAGCTTCGAGGGCGGCTGCTTCTTCAGCCGACAAGTTTTCTGGTGTGGGTAGGAAGAGGGATTTCCATGTTTCTGCTGGCGAGAGGTGTGGGTGCTGCGACCTGGATCAACTCAAAGTTTCTGTAGAGGATGTGAGAATGGAGCATACACTGTGATGGATGCCACCCAAGCCGTCGATGCCGTCTAATTCTTGTTAGCTAGCTACTTCACTTCCCCTATCTCAGCCATCGTGCACTTACGAAAGAAATCAGCTACCATCATGTGCTCTGCCAAGGGCTCTTCGGCACCCACGGCAACTGAATTAGAAACGAGTTAGTGGAAGTGTGATGGTGAGATCTGTTAAACGCCATACCGATAGGTTTCCGCACATTCAGCGTTTCAAACCCCTCTGGTCTGCCATTTGCTTTACGCCATGCCCGCTCCTTCTCGATGTAGTGGAAGAGTGTGACGACATTTCTTAGACAGCTGGAGTAACTCGAAATTAGTTACATGTAGTTATTATAGTTGATCTGAACGAGGAGAAAAATGAAGATGTGAGGATGTAAAGATGTAAAGATGTGAAGATGGTGTAGAAACGTGAGGGTGGACGAATGAAGAAATAACAACGAAATCAAAGAATCTTACTTCTGCACTTCGACATTCCCAAAGGTAAGCGAGATCATCAGAATCTCTAATTCCTCTGGCTTCGCTGAGAGGGCGAGGAGCATGGCGAGGACATCGTCAACGCCCTTTCACACCATTAGTCAACCATCTCACTGAGATTGCCCCGCATTCCACGAAACTCACCGGATCCGTGTCTATGATGATCTTATTCGGTGCCATGGTGTATGAGTGTCAAGAAAGAAAGAAAAGGGTGTACAAAAACTTAATCACTGCTCGGCAATGTTTGTTCGTTGCTGGTTAGCATCGGCCACGATTAGATAAGTAGCGGATCTCGCAGACCAAACCCTGCATGGAAGGTGAGCGGAGTCCCCCGATAGGCGAAAACTCCCCGCTATGGGGTCAGCAAAATGAGGCCCAACTCAGCGTTACAATCTAGAGATCTGTCCATAATTTGGTCTGTATTCATTTGCTGAAATATAAAAAGTATTCCAATGCGTGCGATGGACCCAATCGCAGCGGACAAAACGCCGGAAAATGTACTTTACACGTCTCATGCCCGCAAACACTATACTGGCTGAGGCAGTTGCGCTTTTGAACCCCTTCTGTTCCTATTGTTTGATACCCTAGTGAGCCTAAATCATCGCTCCAAGTTGCTCCCAATTGATAGATGCGTGATAGCAGATATATGGACGCTCGTTGCCCAGACTGAAGTCAAATACGTGTTACACAACGTAGATATAGTCTAGTAGACCTTCTTCTTCTCGTCGACGGAGAACTGACCCGGGCCCATGTTGACTAGCAAGAGAAGACCACCGCTGTGATGACGTTAGCACTGCCACACTATTGTATACCGAGATCTATTACTTACACAATTGAAAGGATCTGGAAGAAATCGTATTTCGCAAAGTCCTTGTGCGGGTGATGCGGGTGCAGCGTCCACCAGTTGTTGACGTAAAGGTTGAAGACGCTGAGAATGAGCACGAGCATAATGGCGGAGAACTTGGCCTTGAAGCCCACGACCACCATGACGCAAGCGACCAGTCCGAGGAGGGAAGCGACGATTCTCCAGAAGCCCCAGTCGCCACGGAAGACGAACCCAACAAAGAGGAAGATGAGCAGAACGCGACCAGCAAGCTGGAAGTACATCTTCTTGTCCTTCTCATCGAGCGTGGGAAGACCAGCTGGGGCAAACTTCTTGCGAACCCAGGAATCGGAGAGCACCATCAGCAGACCTCCCATGACGGAGAGATTGCGCAGGAAGAAGTTCAGGTCAAAGACCAAGCCGTATCCGAGACCCTGTAGGACCACGACGCTCATGAGACCAGCCACAGCATATTCCGAGTATTTCCTTCCGATAACTAGGACCGAGCAAGAGACCATCATGATAACGTTTACGATGAGAAATAGGTGGGTGAGGCCATTTGGAACTGTGGAGGGGCAAATGTCAGCCACGACCGACGCGTGTGTTGTGAGAGTGTTTGGGAATGCATACTGTGTCGGTAGTCGTGAAGATAGGTGAGCTGGTCACGCCATTGCGTTATTATGCGCAGCGCATCTTCGAGGAAAGTAACAACGATTAGGAAGCGGCCGATTGCTGGGAGGTATCTGTTTGGAGCCCAAATTAGCTACCACCTCCTGCGAGCGGCTTTGTGGCACCAACAAAGGGCACCAAAGCCTGTCGTGTTGCGGAGAGATACTCACGGCTTAATAGGATCCGCAACAGTATCTAGCATATCTTCGAGCTTGCTTGTCTGCGCCCTCAGTTGGTCCAGTGGGCTCGGGTCATTGCTAGTCTCGTCGCTTCGCCCAGCGTTGCCAAAAGGACTCTGATTGCCCAGGTGGTAGCCAGCAGTGCCGCGTATTTGCGCCATGGCTGGTTTCGAGTGTGAGGAAAGAGGAAGGATTGAGCGGCTGAGAGCGCGGCGTGGAATGGGCGAGTTGGCGGTTTTGGTGTTCCGAAGCTATTACGGCGCGTGAAGGACACCTTGCGAAGTTGCGGATGAAGATTATGTCAGCGACTAGCTTCGGCCGTTGTATCTTTACCCTGGACAGCTCTACTGCACTTTCCCCGTTGCAGGTCTATGCAAATTGCAATTCTGTAAAATCTTTGCTCTTGCGCGTGCAGGTTGTATAAATAGGCAAATATCGCCTTCTAGGGGCTAGTTGTGGGTTTGGGAATGTGATCCTTGGTTCGCCAAAATATTTCCGTGATGCCAGATCGCTCGTTTCATGCTCTGCGTCAGACCTACGTGACCAGAACAGTAAGGTTTGTTGACATGGCTCTTCCCGCTGCAAATCCTCAACCTGCTATTGCAATTACGACCTGATGATTGCGTTACTCGCTGAAGACCGTCTCGCTATGAGTAACTATGGTTCCGCTTGCAATTTCAGTCCATTGGAATCGCTTACCGGTGGCGTTTTTGGCTGTCTAGTTTCACCAGGGAGCAAGCGAGCAACGGTACTAGGCAGTTTTGGTTCAGTTCACATTGGCGACTTGCTAAAGGCCCGACCTACTAAGGCCTCAGAGCTTCAAGCAATACTATATAAAGGTCTTGGCGCATTGCCACTCCGGCTGTTTGGCAAGGATAGAAGAGTAAACGCTGTCAAAATCAAATGCAGTTCCGACACCGATGCCTTTTGTTGTCTGAAGCAAGCAAGACGAGAACATAAACAATCACCTCCCATCTCATACATGAATGGCGAGCGCACAACTCGGGATAAGCACCATGGCATTGCACTCTTTAATTCTGCCGTGAATAGGACGACAGTAGTGTGTAGCAATCGTACAAGTTGGAATACTGAAGACACCGTAACTCCAATTGAAGATGCCGCCGGAAAGGGGGAAGATCGAACGGGGTCACCTCAATATCGCAAGAAATGACCGTGGGATGGTGTTTGGTCTGAAAACCAGGGAATGATCTGAAGACGAGTCGGTTGTTTCACACGACAGGCCAGTCGGAATCATCGTTGCCCTGTGCGATGTAAGGCTCGGAGAGGATTTGGTATCGAGAGCTGGGCTTTTGGTTCTCAGGCTTCATGGCCTGGGTGGGTCGGACGGGCTTAGCCGGGACGTGTTCCTGCACGGCACTGAAGTTGCTACCCTCCTCGAGCAGCTCATCATTGATAGTCTTACGCTGCTTCTTGCCACCCTTGGGGACAGTCGTCCAGGCAGAATCCTCCATGGCGAGCCTCAACTGCTCTTCCTCGGAGGGCAGACCGTTGTACGAATCAGATGTCGATGTCGTGCCGTTGGTAGGGGCATTGCTCGAGCTGGTGGTCGGGGCAGCTTCGAAAGTATCGAGGAGCTGGCCGGTAGAGGCCGATGCGGGAGCTTGAACAGGTCCGCCCTGAGCAGCACCGCGAGACGGGACCGCGGTCCAAGCGTTCGACGTAGGGGCCTTAGCAGCTTGGAGACCGTTCTTGGCCGACTCTCCACGAGCCTCACGGGCAGTGCGTCGCTGCTGCTCGAGGAGGGCTTGGCGTTGCTTCTCTTCCACTTCACGGGCAGCCTTGGCCTCCTCCACCTTCTTCTTGTTCTGGCGCTGCTTCTTCGTCTCCTGGGAGACATCTGCCTTCTGCGCCTGGGGCTTAGCGGGACGGCTGTGCTTCTCAGAGGGCTTGATGCTCAGAACTGAGGGCACCGCAGCCTGGTTACCCAACATGTCAGAGACATCCCTGCCACTCGGGGCCTTGTTCGAGGCGATGGCGGGAGAGGCGACCGGGGAGAGGTCATCGTCGGCGTCGGCGTCGGCCGTGGATGATGCGGTGGACAAGTATGCCTCTGCCTTATTTGCGACTTCCTGGACGGTCGTCTTGACCGTCTTGCGAGGCGCCTTGGCCTTGGCCGGCTTTGCGGGCTTCGGTGCTGCCTTTGGCTTGCGCTCCGAGTCAGTCCATTGAGCTGCGTCCTTCAATGAGCTGGCTGTTGGAGTGCGTGTGGTCGAGCGGCCCCGCGCAATTGCACCGGTGTTCTGGTTGTAGTACCAGTAGGCTGCGCCTGCAATGCCCAGGAACACAGCCCAGCTCATCCAGGTCTCCATCTTGAATAAGGCGTGATATGAGACGGTTCAGGTGGTGCTATCTGGATGCGGGGAGTGGGTTATGGATTCGCAGATCGTGTATGATTGGCCGATGGAAGTGTGGGTGAGTCTCGAACCGCTGGGGTTGATGACTTCAACAAGGGAGCTTGGTGAGGCCGACCTCTGGTGAAGCAAGGAGAGTCAGAGCAATTGAGGAAGTGGCTGCCCTTTCAATTCACTGTGCTGCGTCGAAGCTTCTGCACACGTTGCACGGCCTGTTCGAGTCGACAGCTCGGATACCGTTGCGAGCAAAGGACAGGTAGAGGCGGTGGACCACTTCGGAAAGCTGCTCCACGCGGCCACCTGCAGGCACGTCTGTCAAGCACTCAGTTAGCGGTGACGTCTCTTTCGAGATTTGGTCGCGTTCAGCTGCTGCAGATTGAGGTCGAGGGGACGATAGAGCCAACAAAATGGGTGGTGAGAGGGGAGAGAATGGGTGAGGTTGCGGAGGGAAAGGTGGTCGCAGGTGGTGTTGAGCTGCCCATTCGGTACGCCGCTAGTGGCACTAGGCGCGAGGGCAGGGGGGTGGTGAGCTGCGTCGCCCTGCAGTTCCAACCAAAGGAGCCAAAAGGAGCTAAAAGGAGCTTCGCGTTCGACGTTGGGAAATCATTTCATCTCCTTGATTTGCCCTCGACTGTACGCACCTATTTCATTCAGAAGCTGAAGCCAACTTGGTGCCGATGAGCCGAAAGCCCCCCTCGAGGACATGGGCGCACGGTGGCAACCTGGAAAGGCCACCTTGCTTGCTCGTATGAAGCTCGTTCAACGGAACAGTAGCACCGACACTTTCCGACCAGAACGAGGATGGGGGGCATCTATTCTTCAAAACGGTGACGACTCGTGTCACACTGCGCACGATACAGATCCATCAGGTAATCAAGTCATCGGGCTATCGAGCCACCGTTATATCATTTGCCGCAAAGCAATCTGTTCTCCCGGGCCGTTAGCGTACAGGCTTTGGACAGCCGCCTCCATCGACCTGACGTCTGGTCTTCTTCCAACATAGTACCTCCTCCCATCCCAGGATCGCCCTGCGCCGGCATGTCTCTGTGGTGACACGAGCTGTCTCTTGGAAATGATGGACAAGCCTTGGCGAGGCCTGGCGCCCCATCTCCCTTGCACCACACTCTTGCCAGATATCAACAACCGCTTGGAGATTCTTGTCAAGGCCCCTGGGCGTGTTTAAATTTAGCACGTATTGCAAGGCCCATGGGCTGGTCAGGGATGAGTATGGTATTGAGCTCGTCTTCATGAAAGTTCCAGCTATCATCCATCAGACCAGAATCAAGGTCTGATTCACAAAACTCAACAGAACAGATTACCCCCGCATGACATTCATGTCTGATCATGTATTCGTAGACATGGTCGCTAACCAAGAGAGTTCCCATCAACGCCAACAGTGGTAGGTATACAACAGAAGAGGCACAAAAATCAAAAGAAATGACAACGCTCAACATTGCTTTTTGCAACAAGTCTCCCCGGTATCACCCTCGGCTTTCCGCTTCACGCCACCTGCTCCATCACCGAAACTCGAACTCCGACTCATCGGCGGCGTGGGAGCGTGCAAACTCATCAATCCCTGCGCTGCATACATTGTCCCATGGTGTTGGGCGATCGCTGCCTGAGCTTGATACAATGTCTCGCGACGCTGAGCTAATGCTGACTCCTTGACATCTGGAGGGCTTAGCGGCGACTGCTGCTGCTGCTGCTGCTGCTGAGGATGGTGGTGGTGTTGCGCTTGTTGTTGTTGCTGCTGTTGCTGTTGCTGGGCTTGCTGTTGCGCATGCAATACTTGATTCCTCTGCGCCAACTGCATCTGCCTCGCAATGTCGCCCAGTCCAGGACCAACGATGTTTCGATCTCCTATTATCGTTGCCCCACAGTTGACGGTAATGTTGAGTGTGGAAAATTGCTTCTTCGTCGTTTCATGGGCCACTGGCGCCGCTGGTGCAGTGGGTGTCGTTGGTGGACTTTGCGGATGTGTTTGTGTCGGGCTCTCGACCTCTGTCCCTTTGCCTCCATGTAGCATACAGGCGATGAGGTTGGCTATTCGTGCGCTGTCCATTTGCGCTATGGAGATGATATTCCCATTTCCTCGGATCTGGGTTGCAGCGTTGATAGTAATTTCTGGTGTGTCATCCTCGTCTTTTTCCTCTTCCTCTATGTGTGGCTCGTAGGGACTTGATATAGTTGGAAGGGGTGCATTGGAATCGACAACCATATGGTAGGCTGGTGGTGCTGGCATATCCTCACCAGGCGTTGATCTAGTTGTAGGTTGTTGTGTTGACTGGAAAAGGGATCGCGATTTGGCGTTTTGCAGCGCTGCATTCCGGAACGGATCCATGGATATAAGAAGCTCGTAAGGCTGAAGCCGATATGTGGTGATCAGGATGTGGTGAACCGTGGGGTAACGTGATACTGGTGTGGCGTGATGCTGGGCTGAGGATTTGGGCGGAGATCATGCGAGTAGGGATCGTAAAGTTAGGTGGGTAAAATCTCTCCCGGGCAATCTTCGATAATGACGGGTAAAATTGTCAGAACGGGATGATATGTTATACAGCCTTTGGCGGAGTTGTGCCCGACGGAGGAGCCCGACGATGTGGAATGATCTTGAGGTGTTCTTCCGGAACCGTATGCTCGCAAGGCAGGTGTCTTCACGAGGTTGTTAGCGAACAGCCCTTGAACATCGACGGCTGTACAACTCACATGAACGTCTAACGATATGTGTGAATGTACAGTCTGATGCCAACGGTCGTAAAAGTCGTTGGGAAACGCAAGATCGCATCAGCCTACAGTCAAACTTCAAACTTCAGGACTCACGGAAGATACTTCACATGTCCTATATACTACATTCACAGCCTACCGCTATTGACAGATGCTGAAACGCGCACACAATAGCAAGCCTGCGGCGCTCATGCACCCCTCGGCCAAACACTTGCGTGCAAGTGCCTTGCCATTGCTATTGTGACCCTCGTCACTCAATAAGGCGCGCTAGAAAATCGGGTAATCGTGCTACCATGTGGCCCACTCACAACGACCCACACCATTCCCGGCATTGATGTCTGAGGCGTGGGGCCTATCAAGGCGTCTGGAGATGACTGCCGGGTGAGGGATGGTAATGGTGTGAGATGAGACGACTGCGACCAGCAAGCTTCTCGTGCCTACACCCACGACGATACTTCGGAGTTGTACCCGACATGAGCAGCAGTCGTCGCAAACAGAAAAGACCTGATACCTTCCCGCCGCAGTCCACAATAGGAAGATTTTGCATCGACAATAGAATTCTAAGCTTGGGCGTTACACTACATTCAAACAACGTAGACATTTATCCGCATTGCCTCCAACGGATTTCGTCTTAGTGTCAAATCTGGCGGTCATCAATCGCTGCACAGCCTACAATAGGAAGACTGTGCAGGAACAATAGGAAAGGGGGTTTGAAATGACCAAACATGCAACGCGTTTAGCCGCATTATTCCGCCGAGTGCATTCCCACAAACATCTCAGGAAATGTAAGATGGATAGAATAATGCAGTATAGTTGTGATAATTAAAGTCGCATCCTTGGAGATTTTGTTCCATCAAGGCTGCCTGGATTTTATTTTGTTTTGTTTTGAAAGAGCGAGCGGGGCCCTCTGTTAAACGGAGATGACCCTTTGACGCATTTGCGACAAGTATTAGGCTCTTGCCCTTGTTCATTGCTTACGTGGACGTTGTGAGCATTCTACGTGGCACAATACGTTCAATAAAGGCGCTAAGAGCCATGGTGTTATCAAAGAACAATAGGAATGCCATGGTCGGATCTGGCCCAACGCGCTATCTTAACAATACATAATCTGCTACAGTTACAAATCCTCCGAAGTAGGGCCAGACCGAGATCTGAGTCAAATGTGACGCGATCGAGTCTGGATTGGTTTTGCTGTTGTCGTGACCGCTTCCTGTTCATCTCCCCGATTGATTCGTGATCTGCTTCTCTAAGATCTAAGCCTTCGAGGTAGGCTAGCACGCCTCATCCGCCTATCAAGACATTCCGTTTGTCCTTCGCGGCGTTTAGTGGGAAATCTTACAACGCCTTTTCCAATCCACGGGATATAGATGTGTGACATGGTGACCTTGAATGCGTAGTGTTCTAGCTTCGAAAGCAACATAGGGAGTTACGCTGATAACTGCTGCAATATATTTGGAAACATGGTCGCCGTGCAGCAGAAGACTTCGGCGGTCCATAAGGCTGAGCATAACGACGTTGACCAAAAAAATGATTCGAAAAGTTGGTGCTAGTGAAAAAATATCCTATTCCAGCCTTGGTCCATTACCGTTGCGGCCGTTGCTGGATTTCGTGATACGGTCGATCGTGGTAGAACAGGTTCTCAGACCAAGGCGGAAGCTTCTTATCTCGTTCGTAAAGGTAGCCGCAATTGTTGCAAAGAGTGCGTGGGCCCCGTGGCCCGTCGCGGACAGCCCAAACTGCAGTACCCCACACCCAGCAGTGAGCGCATCGCCACGTTTGTCGTTCCCTATCCGGCCTGTTAGCGATGTCTTCAAAAGAAATGTCGAGGTCAGCCCATACCCTTCTTGCAGCCCGCCATCCTGTCCACCATACCCAGACCCAGCCCCGGGTGTGCCGCGGCCAACAGGACTAAGACTCCTAAATCTCCTCTTCTTCTTGCTGCGCTCGCCACGGCCCATGTTTTCTTGCTGTTCAATATTATTGAAGAACTCGTTTTGCGGTGTGCCTGTCATATTCGCGGTCGATGAAAAGCGCGCTGTTTCTCTCCGGAGTCTTCGAATTTGTCTCTCCCGATCGCCTTCGCGTTTCTCGATTTCTTCTGGCGATAGAATCTCGACCTTGGGTTCCCATTCGTCGCATAGGTGCTCGTGGTCGTACCTCCAGCCCGCGCCAATCGTGGGTTCAACGGCGTCATTGTCAATCTCTCCATCTCCGACTAGCCCGCCATTCTCGCATGCTTCTTTCTTGAGACGTAGGACTGCTTCATAGATGGCATGTGTCATTGCTGCTACCCACTCCCCAGCTAATCCCAAGTCTGCGCAGGTGATTTTGGCGAACATTTCAGCAAACCCCGGCGGGTGTAACAAGGACCATTCAAATTTGTCGGTGTATAGTCGGTTCATCAGGTTGATATTTAGCGTGACGATGCAGCGGTAGGTGTCATCAGGGTTGTGCAACTCTTCGGACGGCAGTGCAGTAGCGGAGGCACTAATGCCGTTTGGTATGCCTGCTGGTGTCTGCGCACCATTTGTCTGTGTCGCGCCATTCAAGACAGGCGTTGAGACGCCATTTGTTGCTGGTAGCGCAGGTGTCGAGGTTCCGTCGCGCGACAAAGATAATATCAGGGGCCTAACCGTCGTTTCTTGGAGCGCAGGCGACGCTGTCGAATGGAAAAGGGGATGCAACGCGACACCGGCGTATTCCTCCAATTGTTGCCGGATCTGGTTCGCGATGTTGAGAATCAGATACGGCTTTCGATCGTTTGGAAGATCTAGCTCATCCACAAATTGCTTCGCGAACTGGTCAGGTGTCGTCAGAGCTTCGTGTAGGTTCCAAAGAAACATGTCATGTAGTCTGTACGCTGGTGTGATATCCGGTTGCTTGTAGGCGGGTAAGCTCTCGTTGATGCCGAAATCCCGGGCGTTTGAGGGCGTTGGTAGCGGCGCATCAGGGCGGAAAGACTGTATGTCCATGTCTATTCGAATCGGTATTAATGTAACTGGGAGAGCCGACTGAGTTTGTACTTGTTTCTCCGTCCTGTGTATTGCGTTAGCTCACGACTCCAGGATCCAACGGCCCATTGCTGAACCCCATCTACCATTGCACTCACAATGTGCGCTTCGGTCTGCCCATCCAGTCTCGCCAGATACCTTGAATGTCGATTGGCGCAGTGAGCTCCTCCCCCAACGCTGCGATTTGCGCCGTCTTATCCACATTGGAGGGATCTTCCCTTTGTATACTACGCAAGCCAGTGGCGCGCCGCGGGCGATCGCTGTCCTCAAAGTCGTCGTCGTCATATGCATCCTCTGCATAGCTAAGGACAGCCGTGCCGCGCTTCGTCACGCGAGGCGCTGGAAGCGTATTCGATGGTGGAACAATTGGCGAGATTAGAGAGTTTCCATGGGATCGCAGTCGCGGCGCATAGCTAGACATGAATGCCTGCGGCGGCGCCGTCTTGCCCGTACTGGTGAACATGGCTGTTCAGATGCGCGATGGGTGGTAATGAAAAGTTGAGGAAGCTCAAGGAGCTCGCGAACCCTGGACGCGTCGCAATGCCTTTGGTCGAAGGAAAAGCGTATGCAAGGGGGCCAGATGCTTCAAGTTGTCTTCAATATATCGATTCGTCTTGCGCCCACTCTGCGCCTAGAAGTCTCGTCTCGTCGTATTCGTTGCTGCGCGTCCCTGGCGATCCATGGGATGCTTTCGCGGGTTGCGATGCTGGAGTGAGTGGATCAGTGCCAAGACACTAAATCTCATCCAGCTAGACTGTGTGTCCCCAACTCCACTTGACTTCGTCCATGTCCGCTATCATGCCCTCTCTTTCACATGTCGCTTCCAAGGTTCAGTCTGTCGCCCAACTCTGAAGCGTATCACAAGCAGTTTTGAGCTAGTTCGTAACGACGTCAGTCTTCAATGTTTCTAGAACGGGCGATCACAGCTCTAGTAGCTTCGTCACCTTCACCACTTCTCTGATACTAAGTTATTACTAGACAAATAGCATGAAGGTAAACTCAACCTATAGAATTTGGATGCGTATCCATACCAAAGGTCATGCTGCTGTTTAAGTGAAATCTGACCAACCACATCGCAGCATGGACAGCATGCTTCTTCACTGTACCTCATCATGGCCGCACCGCTTTTGTCCGCACGATGCTCTCTTCCTTTCTTAGCTTTCTCAGGGCTCCTGTGTGTATTCTATCTACTTATGGTTACTTGGTGCCTACTTAGTCGTACTTCTGTGTGCAAAAAAATGTCGAGCATGCGGCGTAGCATTGCTTCAGAGTCATTGTCGCCTCCTTCCAGTTTTGCTCTCACACAGTTCCTTGAATTCCGTTGGCTGTTACTGCACAAAAGCCTTATTATCTCGTCATTCACTTTCACCTCTCTTTTCACGCACCACATTCCCTGTCCTTAGTCCTATTGTGAAGCCCCTGTACAGTTTCACTCCGACAATACTATTGTATCGCTTCCGCACAATGCTCCTGCAACTTGAGGATACCAACTACATAAGCCGCCTCTATATCTTCCCTACTTAAACCATCGAATGCACAAGCAAGAAGACCATAGCCTGCAATCAAACATCCAGAACTTCCCTACCATTCTTGCACCGAGCGCTTGCGACAAGTCCTACACGGCACTGCTTTCGATCACACACGCTACCCGACCCACCATTTCGATTCAGAACATCAACCGTTTCTTAGCTGGTCTTGGAAATATGATGTTTCAGAAGCCGACTCTGACGGCGGTGGCAGCCCTGCTGGCCATGGTGCCTCTGTCTACAAACGCTCATATCATCATGGCTAGCCCTGTCCCCTTCGGACAAGCCGGAGAACCCAACAACTCGCCTCTACTTGCCAGCGGTGCGGATTTCCCTTGCAAGTCCGTTCCCTACACCATTAGGAAGATGAACGACTGGCCTGTTGGTTCTATACAGTCCTTAGCGTTCAAAGGCTCAGCTGTCCACGGCGGAGGATCTTGTCAGATCTCCGTTACGACCGACTCAAAACCCACCAAGGAGTCCAAGTGGAAAGTCATCTATAGCATCGAGGGCGGCTGCCCAGTTGCGGCTGAAGGCAATCTCCCTGAGTCTCAAAATGCGGATGGCACGTTTCCTTTCACAATCCCCTCGGAGCTGCCAAATGGAGAGCTGGCGATGGCCTGGACGTGGTTCAACAAGATGGGAAATCGAGAGATGTATATGAACTGTGCCCCTATCAAAGTCTCAGGCGGCTCGGACGACAAGGCTGCCTTTGATGCTCTGCCTGACATGGCGGTAGCCAATATCGGCCCAGGCACTCCAACTTGCACGAACAAGTTCAACAACGACTACTTCTTTGCGGCCCCCGGCAAGTACAAGACATCCGGCGGAGTAGGTCCCTTCTCCTCTCTCTGTGATGGTGCTCCAGAAACCGGTGGCGATGCTCCTGCTCCACAAAAGCCTGCTACTCCGCAACCCCCTCCAGCCAACCCTGGCATTCCACCTGCTGCCCCGGTTCCTTCTCAGGCCTCAGCCCTCACGTCAACTTTGCGCACAATCTACACTGTGACCGCGCCTATGGGTTCTCCTCCAGCTTCGTCGCAAACCGGCGGTGTCGTTCCCTCTACAAAGCTCCCATCTGCTCCTCAACCCTCGCAAGCACCGCCCGCCCCAGCTCCTGCTCCGGCCCCAGCTCCAGCTCCAGCTCCGGCTCCGGCTCCTGGCTCTGGCACTGCAGGAGGCAATTCCTGTTCGCCCAATGGGAGCATCGTGTGCAATGGCGAGACGCAGTTTGGCATCTGCAACTTTGGCTCTGTCGTCTGGCAAGATGTCGCCGCGGGCACCAAGTGCCAAAACGGCGTGATCGCGAAGCGGGATTATTCCCACCGGGCCATGCGGACTGCTGTCTAAGTATGACGCTATCTAGCTTTGTACGAGCGTATGCGGGGATCTACCCGGACATTTCCTGTTGTTCACTAAATTGTGTATACAATTGATTGTATGATGGGAAATGCAGCATCGTACATTGGCATCTATTCACTTATTTCTTTGATTTTAGCGTGACACCTGGCTGACTGACTGAGGTAATCACTCTCTTACACTACCTGGCGTAGATGTTTGGAGTTCTTGAGATTCGGCACATACATTGTGTTAGGTAGACAATGTCATATAATTGGGGGCTATACAATGTCTTACTTCTTTTTTGCTTGTGATATCTGTATCACCGTGATTTTATACTGTACTTACTTTCTTCGTCCCCTTAGATCGATCACGAAAGAATCCATAAATACGTCCTTGCATGTTGTCTCCACTCATGTTTTACTTGTTTCTTGGTCATCCTTGAAATACAACATATGGTCGCTATACCTCCCATCTCCTCATTACCGGAATCGTACTCTTGGCTGTGGCTGCGGTCCACCCCTACTATTAAATAAGACGAGCCCCAAAGCCACTGCCAGCGCACCGAGAGCGACCCATTGAGGCACATGTATACCGCCCTCGTCTTTACTCATATATCTCCGTGCGGTTTCGGCGTAGTTCTTCTTCCTCTGCGCAGGTGTGTCATGCTCCTTAGTTTCATCATACTCGTCTTCCTTCTTTACGTGTCGAACCCCGTTTTGTTTTCTGTGCTCAACATCCCTCTTGCTCCACGGAGTGGGGCTCATGTATTCTAGAACCAACGGATCGTCTGAATCGCTTAGGTCGATCCATTCTGTTTGCTTGACCCCGTGGTCCAGCGGCGATGCGATGTTGAGTCCGCCGATTTCCCCCTCCTTGCCTTCCTTTCTCCCTTTGTTGACACCTTCCATCTCGCTCAACCAGACATCTAGCGTTTGGCTCGGAAGCGTCCGGAAGGCCAAGCACATCCACATCTCGAGCAGATTGAGCAGCAAATCAGGACAATCCATCCCCGGCAACGTGTGGTTCCCCAGGTTAGATGACGGAAGTATGGCGAGACAGCCTATGGTGTTGTAGATACTGTTTTGCATGGCGTGATAGTGTAAACTCGGATTATCACGTCTGTAGCGGAAGTTGAGATGTTGCGCTACGCGTTGGCGGAGCGAGCCTGCTTGGCCGATGTACACTCGAACGCGTCTGTCTAGGCCGAGTACGCCGTCGAGATACACACTTCGTCCTTCAAACTTTAGGTCGCCGCCGATGGATTTCAGGGCGTCCAGACTGCATCTTCCGCCAAGGTAGGCCCATACTTGTGGTCGGACGCATCGAAAGCAGAACTCTTCTAGTTGTTGTCTGGGATGGCGCTCAATCCACTTCCCATATCGACCGTAGTATTTCGAGTCCGTCTCTTTCAGTTTGCTCACTAAGTGTGCTAGAATCTGCTTTGCTTCTAGTTGTACTGAGGAAAGCTCTTGTTGTAGGTCGTACATCCTTGATGCGGGGAACTGTTGGTGAGGATGAGAGGCGCGACGTGGAGACGGAGAGCCATTGGGGACCTGGACTGCCGCCATGTTGTTTTATGAATTTGATTGGGATATTGGATGGTATGCGCGATGTTAGGCAGCGTACCCTTCAGGGTTAGCGTCGAGGCAACGCTTTGAGACGAACTCTAGGATAAATGCTGCATGTTCTTTTGCTGCCTAGTATTGCTAGACCATACAGTAATCGCAATCGTAAGGTAATCCTTGAGTTCGGTTCTAATGTTGATGTAGGGAAGGTGGTGTTGTGACGGGTTCCACCTTGAGGCTACCTAGACGTTAGCGCCCATAACAGAGGGCGAATATACCTGATTTGGCAGTTTACATAACCCCGTCGATTACGGACCCCCTCCGGCCCGCGCCAACCCTTCAGCTATTGGCGCAGACAGCAAGATCGTTCTGCCTGTGATCACGTTCCAAGTGCTGGCCTTTGAATACATCTGCCTTACTTCTGAGGTGCTGGAGGAGCAGCATATCTGCACCGAGACACGTTAGAATTCTGAATGTAGTTAAAGCTCGTCTGTGTATGGTATTTCAACATTTCAATTTCCGTGAATCGATCATGGCTATGGTCAGATTCGTTGAGTCACGAAGTCCCAAGTATCACGGAAGAGAAGCGGGTTAGATGGACTTGACGATTGATTGTTTCCTTGATATCGCTCTGATCATGCACGCTATTCGGAAAAAACGCCTCGACAGCGTTTCCAAGATCTTGGTCCAACCTCATGTACTGTGAGGGTCGTGGTCTTCTGCTACATGATTTGATCTTTTACCTGTAGCTTACAGCATTGCTTCCGGTGTGGGTTTTCCTTGCCTGTCGGCGAGGAGCCCTACTCCTCTATTGTCTTGACACACTCCCATCCGCCGCTCAACCTCTCCTTCCAGAGACTGACCCGGTTGTCGCCGGTGCTTACTGCCAATACGTTGCCGCTCAGACTCCAGCTCACGCGCCACGCAACGGCATCGACGTTAAGAAGAGTAGACTTCCAGTCACCTAATCACTGTCAGCGCTTATTCTATACTTATTTCCCTCGTGTACGTACGCAAGTCTGAAGATGTCCAGATGCGCACAGTCTTGTCTTGCGACGCGGACGCAATGTATGACTTGGAGAGAACCGTAGGTGACCAAGCAACATCGCGCACCCAGTCGGTGTGTCCTGGCAATATCTCAGAGTTCTGCCAGCTTCCAGTCTCGGCGCTGAATTCCCAGATCTTGACCTGGCAATCGCTTCCACCTGTAACAAATCGCCTCGCAGCGCCCGTTTGGTTTCCACTCGCGCTAATGACCTGTCCTGGAGCAACAGCAGGAGCCCAAGACACACTGTTCACACCACTGCCGCATGCTTGGAAGATCTGATGTGTCCATGCATTATCCTTGAACTCGAGGACCGAGACATTTCCGTCAGAGGAAGCGCAGGCGAGAAGGCAGCCTGCTTCGTGCGGTGCCCAAGCAACTAGGTTTACGGATGCGGTGTGTAGGGCAACGTCGTAGATCTTCTGCCAGGTGGAGGATTGTTCGCGCCAGATCAGGACCTTGCCGTCGTAGGAGGAGGATGCGAGGATATTGCCGTATTTTGGGTGCGCCCATGCTACACACCACACAGCGCCTTCATGTCTGCCCAGCTGTCAACACCGAGTGCTTCTGAATCATGAGCGGTGACGTACCCTCGCAGCGTCTCCACCAGTGTGTGCTTCTCGCCCTCGACCTCGAAGATCTTGATCGTCTTGTCTGAAGAGCATGTCGCTAATCGCCGACCATAGTAGTCCAGTACGGCGTCATGCTGTGTTTCATTAGCTTCCATTGAGAGCAAGTCGATGTCTTGTCCAGGGCCTGCCATTGCGCTGTCGGCGACAGGGTCCCTATTCTTGTGTACAGGCGCGGACTTCGAAGTGAACTCGTAGACGTACAATCATTTCATCGTGGCCTGTATTCGCAATTACGTTTGCCTGGAATGCGGAAACCGCGAGTTAGCGGGAGAAGTTCGGGTGGGCAGGCGCGTCTGCGAGTGGGGAAGGTGTACCATTTTCGTTGTGTAGCAGGGTTGTGATGGCTGAGCCGTGGATTGGTGGAGGGGTGCTTTCGGTGTGAAGTTCAAGAAGTTGAGAAGTTGACACGCGCTTGATGTACTGGAGCTTGAACTTGCGATGTGTTGCTGTGTCCTGAATTGCAGGGGTCGTGGCCAGTTCCCGGCTGATGAGATAAGATTAGATCTAATGGACACGCTAGGAAGAGCTTATGTAAGGCACTTTTCACTACCATCACCTTTCTTTGCCTCAATATGGATACATTACTGATGCTTTCGTATCGTTACATGATTAGAGGAAGCATTTATTTTCAAACCCGAGTGGTCGCTAAGATGTCGTCATTATAAAACCATGCCATCTTACCACTTGTCTGAATCCTACCTCAACCTCAATCTGGGCTGTCGGCTCAAGTTACAGCTACCAGTCTCCAAGACTAGTGGCTTGTTGGCTGACCATGTTGCCCTACAAGACCTCATCCGCGCCCACTGACTGTGTATCGATGCTTCTTTTCAAAAGCACGTAGCGTCGTGGTGTGAGGGCACTGGATTGTAGATTCCTAAGTGGCTTGTGTAATGCTCACTTAGTTTCGTCTGAGATTAGGATGCGAGTTCACTGTTCGATCAAAAACCACCACTTCATCGCCATCCACCCACTCGGCCTTCATCCCAGCGCTCTTTTCGCTCCCTTCGCAGATAGGCGACCTTTCGGCCCTCCCTCAATCGTCTCACAAAGTCGATGGCCTCTCGTTCACTGGCAACAGCATCATGGCCCCCAAAGCCCTCGCCCTCGAGGAAGCTCTCTTCAAGGCCTCGACATAGGGCTTCTTGCTCGCCCACTGCAGCATTTAATCGCTGATACAGGGCCGGCGGGCTGAACTCGCGCAATGCTTCGTCTTGCTCAGCCTGCTTTGCCCTCCACTGCCGCTCCAGAGCTCTCAACGATAATAAACGTGACTGCGTGCTATCGCGTTGGTGCTGTACATGAGCTTCAAGCTGTTTTAGTGATTCTGCTAATCCTACGTTTTGGGCGAGCAAGGCCTTCAAGGGCTCAATGGATGCGGGAAGCGATGGATGTGTTGTTTCAGGGTTGTGTATTATTGCACTTTGAAGGTCGTGCGTTTGCAGCACGTGGTGGAGATCTTTTGTCCTGTTTGTGGTTTAATATGAATGTTTTGGGTGTTTCCGATTCCACGTACGTCTTGTCCCTGAAAACATCAGGTAGCCAACCATCTTCCGGCGGTTGAACAGCTAGCTGGTCATACTGAGCGTAGGCGGGATTTTGAACATGGGATGGTGGGTTTAGTCGATCGTCATATGACTGCGTCTGGTTTGGCGGGGGTGGAGGCAAAGGAGGGCCTTGTGATGGCGTGGTAGTCCCGCTTGAGTGGGTTATTGGCTTTGGCGGGGGTGGTGGAGGGGTAGACGCATCGTATTGGTAGAAGGTTTGTGAGTGGCGCGGCGATTGAAAGGCCATTATTGAAATAGGAGAAGCTGACCGCAGCTCCTTTGTGAGTTGATACTGGTTGTAAGCTTGAATGAAGCTAGGTGCATGATGTAGAAGCGATGCCTTGACGTCGGTTCAGCCGTGGTTTCTACGCCGCCACGAGTCAGGAACAGCGCTTGGCGCACAGGGTGGGTGACTTTCGGCCTCAGGGGTCAACCACCACCAGCACCTGCATAAAGACATGATATCTCCCGTTAGCAACAGACAGTGGCTGGATTGGTCCGAAGAGGCCCCTGGGGCCAGCAGGTTCCAAATACAGATCGGCGAGCAGGCGGGACGTCCTCGTTGAGTCGTCGCGTTGATCGAAAAGGAAAAGGGTTGCGCCATCAGGGGTGCTGCTCTGCAAGCCAGCCGTTGCGGGCGCCATGGAGCAAGAGAGCTAAGACACGAGTGCGGTTTGTGCATATTGTGATGAACTGCCCAGGCGATGGCATATGGCTGCAATGCAAGTACAACCAGGCTCACATGCGTGTTGGTTTCAATGGCATCGGGCGTGTTTCAATGCTCTTCCGGCGTGACAAAGCCGTCAGTCGTTCCAAGGCATGGAACATGATCTGGTTCAACGCCAGCTGCGACCTTGCACAGTCAACATCAACACTACCTCCATCCCATCTTGAATGAACCGCCGACGGCCGCCCTCGAATCACCCGATCCCATCTGCTATTTTCAACGAGATAGCTCAGGCCGCCCACGGGGTCTTCTCCTTGGCCGACGGCGCTCATTGGGCGGGTGAAGAGTGTTCCTGCAGCAGCCAGGCCTACTCCCCTGGCACGGCACGCTCCACTCGACAGCGCGAACCGCCCATCACAGTCAAGGCCGTCGACTCTGGCGCCTCGCCAGAGACTAATTCGGTCGCTACGATCCGCTCAGAGGCCCCAGAGTGCACCCTTTCTCCCGCACATGCGCGTAGCTCGCTAGCCAGGTCCCCTTTTTCGAGCCTCGCTCTCTGGCAAATTGTCTACCTCACTCTAGGCCTCTTATTTGTGCAAGGCCATGTCCATCGCGGGGGAATAACGAGAATATGCAAGCAGTCCAAGCGCCCACGGAGGGCAAGCCTCCCTCCTCCCAGCCGTCACCGCCTCGTCAAAAGCCCCCGACGTTGGCCTCGATTGCTATCTCGTCTTTTGCTGCCTTTCGTTCCCAGACATCCTCCCAGCCGGCCCCCGTTGCAGTCCAGTCGCCGGTTCGACGAAAGCCCCTGCCTGCGAATTCACCTGTAGTTGGCCGCTTCTCAGCAGGGCAATCTAATAGCCTACCGCATCCTGTACCAGATATACACAACTCCCTGTCTTCCCAACCTTCGCTTCGCCGGGACACCCTACTGTCACAGCCATCGACAGACGGGGAACTGTTCCTGCCCAGGAACCTTGACGAGTAAGCACCTCATTCATGCACTACGCGCCCCCCTCCCCCCTCCCTTGCGCTGACCAAAATCGCAGCAACCCACATGGGAAGTCCCCTCTAATAGAATCCACGCCCCAGAGACCCTTTCCACAACGCAAGAGCTCGCTCACCGTCGCAAAGAGAAGCCCTACCGCGACATCTATACCGCGGCATGATCGATCGGTTAGCAGTGTCCAAACCCAACGCCACAGTAGGACAGAGGAATTGAGGACTTTTGGAAGCAAAGGGTGGCACGCTCGGTCTCCTACCATGCCCAACATGTCCGTGTATGCCTCCGACTCCCGTACACCAGACCTCAAGCTCAACTTGGATGGCGTAACGGAAGACTTCATCGATGCTTATCCCACCGCCGCCGACGACGACGCGTTGCGGGTAAGACAGCAGAACAAGCCCAAGTCACCAGGAGGAGGTTTCACTTCATTCTTCGGCTGGAACCCGTCAAAGAACCAGAACGGTGCCGAGTCACCGGCTACCACATTTTCGGAAAAGTCGCTGTCTCCTGCGGATTCGCCGCACTACAAACAATCCAACATGCCTGCCAAGACCAAACCGAACGGCCTAGACATTCCAGCCGCCAACTCCCTATCCTCCTACTTCAACGTTCCTGGAACACCTCTTTTGTCATCGTCGCCCCAGATGAATGCTCACGTGGAGGAGCTCGAGCGCGAGCTGCGGGAAGTAAGCTCAGAGCTTGCTGGTTCGATCCAAAGAGAGATGGAGCTGGAGGATGAGGTCGAGCGCTGGAAGGCAGAGAGCACAACTGCCATGTCAGACAACCGGAGAACTAGTGACTATTATTCAGACTCGGGCACCAGCTCCGTCCGGTTTCCAATCGGAGATCCCGAAAGTAAACTAGAAGAAGTGGAAACGCTACGACGAAGAGCAGAGCAAGAGCGCGCACAACTAAAGGTGCGCATGGCGGAGCGATTACAAGAGGAGCTTAGACGGCGTAGAGACCTTGAAGAGCAGGTGCAACAACTTGAGGACCAGGTTAGCTCAAAGTCTAGATCTGGTTCAGTTGCTGTTGAGCCGCCCCGTGTTAAAGAGCTTGCAATGTCATTAGAAGATGCGAAGAGACGTTTAGCTGAGGAAAGACAGGTCAAAGAAAATTTTGAGGATCTCTTGACGGCACTCCGCGAGGAGCTCGAGAAACATCGCAATGAAGCCGACAATCTGCGAGACGAGGTAGTTCCTCAGCTTAGGGCCAGGCTCGAAGGACTTGAGGCTGAAGCAGCCGACACAGAGAGGCTTGTCTATGAAACTACGCGCATGCAGCAGGAGATCCAACAACTGAGAACGGAGAACCAGACGCTCGTCAATGCGCGAAGAATGCAGCAAGAAGTGTCGCAGCAGCCAGTTCGATTCCAACCTATAGCCGAGGAAGCAGACAATGCCCCACTAACAGCTCTACGCATCGGGCTGACGCGATCAAATTCGCTGGCTCGAAGTTCAGCTGGCTTCAATTCAAAACGAGGATCTCTATCGCGGTCCAACTCAGTCAAGGACAAATCAGGCGATGCGTCCCCTCGGGATGCGACAGCAGCCAGTAACCCTGTAAAAGAGCTGGAAGAACAGCGAGATGCGCTACACAAAGCTTTGAAGCATCTCTTACAACGACAAGAGATGCAGCAGAGAGAGTTCCAGAGACGCATCAAGGAGCTAGAAAGCGAGCGGGATGCCGCTCTCAATCTCACCCCTCGACGAACCGCTTTCCATAAGGAGGTCACGGACCTTAGACAGGAGGTCAATTCGCTCCGACGCCGCGCTGATGATGCACTTGAGCAGAAGTGGCAATGTGAGAAGGGCCTAGGTGGTTTGCGAATGGACCTCGACCGCGCGCAGCAAGAGACTAGTTCGCTTCGCGACCTGCTTCATGAACATGACATTACGATTCCCGAGATCAGAATCGAGAACGAACCTCTTCCCCTTGACAAGGCCTACAACGAGCTACGAACAACTCATGCGCTTTCACTTGCACGCGTCAAGCAACTGGAATCGAGCGATGGCGAATCGCTAGGTGCTGCTGGAGTCGAAGCTGAACGGACGCTGGACTTGCTGAAGCGAAGCATTTCGGACGCTGAAGCAGAGCGTGACTATGCGCAGCAAGAAGCCGAACAGTATCGCAAGCAGGCTCGCGCACTGCAAGAGTCTGAGATAGATCACTTGGGCAAAGAACTAAAGCTTAGTAGCGAATTGTTTGCCGCAGCTACCCGCATGGACGCGCTTTCTAGCAAGATTCAACAGCAGCTTGAGGCCAATGGCAGCCTGCGCAGTCGCCTTACCGAAGCCATCACTCGTGGAGAACAAGAGCAGCAGAAGTCAACAGAGCAGATTATCGAGCTCGAACGGCGACTGAAGACAGCAGAAGACAAGGTCATGCTTGCCCAGCAGTCGTCTGAAGAGTCTATTGCAAGGCATGAAGAGGAAGTCCAAGCGATCAAGGAAAGCCACACTAATCATCTGCGCCGTGTGAAGTCTGGTCTGCTTAGTCCGTCAGCCTTCTCACCAAAGATGCCCTCGTCGCCGGTGTTCGCTCAGCGGACCCCTCGTCTTGACATGACAACTAGCGGGCCTGCTATGACCTTTGCCGAAGCTACCAAGACGGAGTTGCTCGAGAAGCGTGTGGAGGAGCTAGAAAAGGCCCTCCGCGATGCCGACCGGGAGATGGAGGAGGTCGTTGGGCGCATGAACATGGCACAGATTGAAGTTGCAGATTTGCAATTCGAAAGGTAAGAAGCCCAGCATGTATCCTTATGCGTACAACGCTAACATAGCTTAGGGATGAGGCAATGAGGCAGACGAGGAGACTGCAAGCCGATATACTTGCTGAGCGCGAGAAAGTTAAAGCCCTAATGGCTTCCGCATAATTTGATCAGACATGACAACGCGGCCTAGATACGACGCCTTCCACTACCATAATTCTATTCAGCGGCCTACTGAGAGTAATCATACTAATTTCGGCATACATTTCGACATACTCGGCGTTCTCTTCTTGGATATCGCATTTACCGGCGCCGCGATCACACGCATGTTACACTTGATAGTACTACCTTATTGTACTCTTCTGGACATTTACCCAGACTATTATTCGTGGCGGCAACTTTGTGGTCACTGTTTTATACCCTCTAGCGGTTACAGCGCTATATACACTCGCTCTTTTGAGGCAGTTGTGCAGATAGACTGTGGGCTTGTGGAGAATTGGGGCTTTGAGCCTATTTTGGATACATTGTACCCTCGCAGCATCTGTATGCAGCTCTTGTACTATAATGGTGTAATGCATGATGATGGTTGAATACGAGTTAGTTGTTGTACTACCCTACTCTTGCCTTAATAGAAGCAAGTTACTACCCGATGATGTGTCTATGGTCCCACGTACAAGTATTGGATATTCCGAAGTACCAAACACAGAGCTGTTCTGGAGTACATGAGTAACGCGTCCACGCTGGTTTCTCGCGTGGCTGCGTATACCAAGCACTTTTGGCATGAGTCTGTAACCCTAACAAGCAACGAGTGGCACGTGGGAAGTCGAAGCAGCCATACAATTGCTTTTTGAGAGCGGCAGCAAGTGCGGTAGAGTGCTTCTGTAACTGTCTGTGCCCTTACATGCTCGTATCTGGGCGGTTGACGTGCTCCTATCGATAGTTGATGTCGCCTTCGAGTCTGGGGTACAAAGCCAGCATCACAACCGTCCGCATGGAAATTAATAGCAGTTTCAACTCAACCAGATGAGTGATCCATGAGGCGGGCTTGATTACGAGTTTCACTATCCCTATTGATACAAAGCATGCACCCTGAGTAAATGACTCGTGGCTAACCTAAGCTCATGTGAAAGACTGGGACCGGTCGTACGCCTCCGACGTAGAAAATAGGCATCTAATCCGAGAAGCTGGACTATAAACTGACAGCCGCGCGTCTGTTCTTCATAGGAGTGAGGGGAGTTATTTGAGATTCACCGAGTATTCGTCCTGCAGCGCTCTCCCCCGCGTGTTGGTCCATGCACTTCCTTGGAGTTATCCCTGACTGAGCTACTGCGACACTCACCCGTCTTCCTCCCTCTCCTTGCCAGCTGTTCGCTCCGAACTCCTTTACCGAAGCTGTGCAATTCTTCCGCGTCCTGCGAGATTGTGGCACCGCTCTCCGGACCTGCTCCTCCCCACTGTCGACTTGGGCAGCACTCAACCACGCCCCTCCCCGATTCCTTACGGCCCTCTCGTCTCCCTCCAAGCCCCCACAAGGCCTCGCACTCGCGACACTCGCCGTACTGAGAGTGCTTCTGCGGGACTCTCATTACCTTTCGTCCTCTACCCATCATGAACAACCAACAGCCGTCGAATCGGCTGCAGCTCAATTTTGGCTTCGGTAGTGACCGAAACAACCAGTATCAACAGGACGCAGGCCGTCAGTTTCCCACGACCCCGTCGACATTTCCACAGCCCGTATACCCAAACCAAGCTGGTCAGCAGGAGGTCTGGGGTGCACAACAACAGCAGCAGGGCGGTAGTGGCTATGGAGCAGGCTACTTCGTGAACCCTTATCAGCAGGCCCAGTACCAAGGCCAGCAGGGCAATCTTCAGCCGAACGCGCAACGCTTTGAGCAGGGTGCCAACGGCCTGGCTCAACAGCTGTCACATCAACATTTGGGGGGAAGTGGCCGCTCTGGAAGCCCGTATGGTCGCCAGTCCTCGCCACACCAGCAGCGTCCCCGCACTGCGGACAATAGGGGGTATGGATATGGAAGCTATGGCGGTAGTTCTGCTCCCCGACACCCTTCGTTGTACGACGAGGAGCCTCCTGTAAAGTCACCTGAGAAGTACTCCGACAATGTCGGTAAGCAGGCAACCATGTCAAAAAGTCTCATCAACACCTTCTTCAAAGACAGCGTACAGCGAGCACGCGACCGGAATCAAAGGTACAGGGAGCACCACATCAACCCTTCGGACGTTGCTAATTCAAAACAGAGCCCTGGAATTAGAGTCGATTATGAAGGAGCCCTCGATTTCAGATTCCCGCAAAGCTCAGAAAGAGAACACCATGCGCCGCGCTGAGATCGAATACCTACGGTTCTTGCGTACCAAGGAGAAGCCTGATAACTTCTCGACATTAAAGATCATTGGCAAGGGTGCTTTTGGAGAAGTCAAGCTTGTCCAGCGAAGGAACGATGGCAAGATCTACGCATTGAAGTCGCTTGTCAAACAAGAGATGGTAGGTCCTCAATCTTCGGTGACGTACGGAGTGACTTTGACGTTAACCAAGAATAGTTTAAAAAAGACCAACTGGCTCACGTTCGAGCAGAACGTGATATTCTTGCCGAGTCAGACAGCCCATGGGTCGTCAAGCTACACACCACTTTCCAAGATAACGCCTTCCTCTACATGCTGATGGAGTTCTTACCTGGTGGCGACTTGATGACCATGCTCATCAAGTACGAGATCTTCACTGAGGATATCACTCGCTTCTACATGGCCGAAATCACTCTTGCCATAGAAGCTGTACACAAGCTTGGTTTCATACATCGGTAAGGATATGCTGGGTTATATGCATGTTAGAGTAGGCTTTGCTAACGACAACAAGTGACATCAAGCCTGATAACATCCTGCTGGACCGTGGAGGTCATATCAAACTGACCGACTTCGGTCTATCAACAGGTTTCCACAAGGAGCACGACGCCGGTTACTACAAGAAGCTACTTGCTGGAGGCGCACACAAGTCCAACCGGGACAACCGAGCTTCAATGAATCTGGACCAAATTCAGCTAACCGTCAGCAACCGCACCCAAATCAATACATGGAGAAAGTCCCGTCGGCAGCTCGCTTACTCCACCGTGGGTACTCCCGACTACATTGCGCCGGAAATCTTCAGTGGCCAAGGATATGACTATGGCTGTGACTGGTGGTCTGTTGGAACGATTATGTTCGAATGCCTTATCGGTTGGCCACCATTCTGCGCTGAAGAACCACATGACACATACCGCAAGATTGTCGATTGGCCGCGCAACTTACACTTTCCACCGGACCAGCAGCTAGGTGCAGAGGCTGAAGATTTTGTCAGGCGGTGAGTGTTTTTTGAGTTGTCAATATCCACCCGAGTCAGTTGAAGCTGACGAACATGCCTTAGCTTGATCTGCGATGCCGAACATCGCCTTGGCCGCATTGGTGGCGCCAGCGAAATCAAACAGCACCCGTTCTTCCGCGGCGTCTCATGGGATGGTTTGCGCCGTATTCGCGCGCCATTCGAGCCCAAACTGCAGTCGAACGTTGACACGCAGTACTTCCCCATCGATGAGATTGATCAGAACGACACCAGCGCTGCGTATAGGGCTCAGGCTGATCAATCTGGTGATGACGAGTATGCGACGAGGTTGCCTTTCATCGGTTATACGTTCAGGCGTTTCGATGCCTTCAGAGGATCATAGAGACGTGCATTACATGCCTTATAGATTATAGCATGCGCTTTGAACGGCTTTCTCATCGGCCAAATATGACTTCAGAGTATCACATCGGATTACACGCATCGCATGGGCGTTGGATCCTCTTCTCACCTTGGTCTTTTCTCATTAGAACTCTCCGTCACCTCATAGCTACCAGTTTCATGATTCAAGCCACCCTTGCGAGGCGTCAAGTCTCACAACAGCATCGAGATGTCCACGTGTATAACGGTACTAGCGTTGAGCGGATCGTTGTCCGAACCTCGATGCCGGATCATCTAGCAATTGTGGAGCCATATGCAACCTCCCTCTGTATTGGCATATTTTGGTGGTTTACTGTTATGGGAATGTATGATGGGATTGACGAGAGACTTTACAAGATAAGAAAATGAGCATGGTGTGCGCATCAAGGATTTGTCTGAGCCGAATCGTGACTATGACTATGACTAGGTGCCTATAGCCTACATGGCTTCCCTTTCACATCTCTCTCCTTCCGCATATCGTGCGATTTTCGCCACATGGAAATGGTTCCTAGGCTGCCGTAACTCCATGTTCAAAGCCAAACCCGCTCCGATGCCACACTTGACAACTCATAAATCTTTTGGTCAGCACCTATGTAGCCGGCCCATATCATGTCCCTTGGTATCTATTCTCGCAGCGAAGCCGCATCCACTTGTCGTCGCTCATCGCGCCTCAAACTGAACCATACTATGAAGAAACGTTAGCCCTCGTCATTATCCAGATACTCCCCTTTTCTTTTTTCCCCACTATCCTCTTTATTCCTGCCTAAACCATAGCCAAGTGTCCAAACTACTCACCGGTTTGTCCTCTGCTTATACAGCACGCGATGTCCGCAGTTCCTACACCGGATGGGCTCACCGCGCTTCAGCGGGACGTCCTGATCGCAGTCGCCGCACTTGTAGTGCACGGTGCGCGCGGTGGAATCGATGGCGGCGGCGTCTTGCGTGCTGGTTTGCGTAGCTTGGTAGCCGCCGGTGTAGGCTTGCGAGGACATGGCTACCTGCGGTGTTCGATGATCGATGAATGGGGGCGTGGAACGGGGGAGTGGGCTTGCGGTTGATTTGCGAGGGTCGGGTGGTGGATGGTCGATGTTGTTGAGTATGCGCGCGTGTATTTGTCGTGTCGTGTGTGTGTGTGTCAAGAGTATGTAGAAACGTTCGAGATATTCGGCAACCGCGGTGAATCTTGGGCGCGGGCAAAACGAGGGTTTCGTTGCGATGGCACGTGCTTAGGCTTATCGATAGCGCTTTGATTCACATGTGTCTTTGTTGACAACCTTGTTCGTTCTTTCCGCTACACCTTTACTGTCAAATCTTGTTAATTTTTTCTGATTTGGATTCTAGAGTGCTCTAGGATCTAGGTTCGGGGATTACTTCATAGCTTTTCATCACTGTTTTTTGAGTAGAGTAAAGGAACACGATTCAAGACTACTGCTTCGCGCAGAAAACAACTGTAGGGAATAGGCAGTTTAATGAGTACAACATGCTGAGTAAATGGGGTATCCTGATCGTTCGTCTAACTTCAATATATTGCTCCGTGCTCTTTACCCTAGAGACTGTTACTGTGTAAGTTTCATGGAGTTGAGGCTATTCAAGATTTTGCACTCGAGATCAATAATGTAGTATGTTCGTTTAAAAAGCTAGAGAGAGAACTATTATCTACCATGGTATACAATCCTCGACATCCTTCTCCTGAAATTTTGATTAAAAAACAAAGGGTTGTCCAACGCCTCCTCAGATAATCATACACGCATACATGAAAGCTACACAGCCTGACCAGGAGCATGCAATGCAGGCAGATCGCCCCTCCTCTCATCATGGTTATTGAAAACACCGGCATGATCCCTCAATTCCACCTCGTCCTCAGGCCTGAGTTCGTTCCCATTATTTCTCGGCGCCGTCTCCGACTTCCCAGCCCTGTTCCAGCCCTCAGTCCCAACGTATGAACCCCTGCCGACACCAATACCCCACGCGCGTTGATAGCTTCGTGGTCCCCATGCCCATCCAGCTCCGCGAGTAATGGGAAGGTGGTAGAATCGGAAACTGAACCAAGCTGTCGTGATACCAATCAGACTACCAAAGAGGAGATCGAACCCGAAGTGACGGAAGTCGGTGAAGCGTGTGCTCGCGATATAGATTGCGGATCCAACGGGCACGAGGATCAGGACGAGAGTATAAACGGGAGGCGCGGCGTTTTGGTAGCGAATAGGTACAATGTGTTCTTCGGTGTAGGTTGGCGTGGAGAGTGTGGACTCTTGCTTGTGGAAGGGCAGCGCTGAGAGCTTTTTGAAGTTGGAGGGGGCTACGGCGGACGTGTGTGCCGGGTTTGTACTGTATGGGCGAGGTGGAAGGAATGGAATTGCCACAGAGAATTTAGAGGCGAGGAAGAGAGTAAGGTAAAGCAGACCAGCCCATGAAACTGCATTTCGTAGTCAGCAAAGGAGAAGTTGGGTGAGGAAGCTGAAACACTTACAGCTGGCGTGGCCGCTGGGAAACGACTTGAATCCGTCCTTCAAGAGGTCCTCGTCCTTAGTCGTGCAGATGGCTGAAGTTACGAGTACCCAGTTCTCGTTGAATATCTCTCCTATAGGGTTGATGGCGGCTCTCTTAATGGCACCGGGCGACAAATCTGGTTGACAACGCGACAGCAAATCAGGTCGGGGCTTGCCGAATAGGTTCTTCATGCCTTGGGTAATCATGAAAGCCGTCGCGAGAGACAAAGCCAAGCCCATCCATCCCGTGTTCCATTCCCAGAGCTTCCTCCGCCAAATGAGCGACTTTGGCGTTCCTCGTTCAGCCGTTGGCCCTGGCACGAACAGCAAGCAAACGAAGAAGATGATGCCGGCGGGCGCGAGGAGTGCGACGACGATAAGGAGCCATGTTGGGATTGTCTCGTGGTTTTCGTGGGGGTACGCTATCGAGAGATCGACTGGGGAGAAGGGACGGTGGAAGGGCTCGACATATTCCCATCCAGCGCCAACGGCTGCTATTGCGCTGTTGGCCTGTCAGCTCTCGGTCTTTGCACGCAACTGTCTGGTACGCGACACTTTGTCCTGTTGAAGCAACAGGCTGGATGTCTCAGTGAGACATATCGGCTATTCACTTACACAATGACGATCCAGTCGAAGATGTATGATGTAATGAGTCGTACCGAGGGCAAGCTCACGCCTCTGAGCGTCTTCATGTTTGCGAGGAGTTGCGTAGCGACAGCAAAGGAGGAATTGGTGAAATCAAGAGTGTATGCCAACGAGGCGCGAAACGTCCCAAGCCGCTTAATGAAGCGAGCGCATAGAGGGTGGATCGCCGTGCGCAGCAAGGTAAAAGGCCGAATCCGGCGTCACTCCTACAGTTGCTGCGGTCACTGTTGACGCGTTATGCAAGACAAGGTAGTTGGCGGGAAGACACTTCAAGAGTAGAAAGCCTACCCGGGGCGTCAACGGAAGCAAAGCCCGGGGATGAAGGGCACACGACACCGCCAAGCCCAATCTGACGTCCCCTATTGAGGCTGTGAAAGCAGTAGCTGGGTGGTGAATGGCGCGCATCGTCTCAGCTAGCGCCCAGAAGGACGAGCAGTGGACACGGGCGCCTCGGGCTCCATGTTGTGGCCATGACAATTAGTCGGGGCCAAGCACACCAAGCGTCTCGCTGATTTCAAAAACAAAATTACGGCAACAGATCGGGGGTGATATGGGCTAGGATCATGGAGGTCAAGACGATCGGGTCCGAGAGAGGGTTAGATGCCGACGACGCCACACAAATTCTCCGCACACGTCATTTTTTAGATCTGTTATTAGTTAGTTAGTCAGTCGAACCCCAGGATACCAAAGACGCGTAGACCAAAAAAACCGCAGTCGACAATCGAACATTGCCCCTCCAGTCATGGCGCTCCCGGCACCTACTATCGATCTCCTGCTCAACTTGATCGATACTCGTCCCCAGGCCATCCTCAGCTCGCTTGCCCAACATCCACAGCTCGCCTCAGCGCGCGATGCGCACGGCTACTCGCTCATCCACGCAGCCGCATCGTATAACCAGCTCAGTGTGCTGCGCGAGCTAGTCCAGAAGTACAACGCCAACGTAAACATCCTCGACGAAGACGGCGAAACGGCTCTGTTCGCGACCGAAAACGCCCAAGTCGCAAAATGTCTAGTCGAAGAGCTGGGCGCAGATATCAACCTGAGAAATGAAGAGGGCAAGACAGCAGAAGAGAAGATTGGTGAAGAGGAGGGCGAGGCGCATGAAGTCTACCAGTATCTGAAGAGCCTGCGGACAGGCAGCGAACCAGCAAGCGCGAGCGCAGTCGAGGTGGAAGGTGTACATGCCCCGCCTCCGCTACCAAACGGTGTTCAGATCAACATGGGTACCATGGCAGAGGATGCTGCGGGAGAAGCGCCCGATCCTGAGATACGGAGACGGATAGAGGAGCTTGCAGCGAGGGACGACTACCAGTCAGATGAGGTACAACAACAGTTGCGAGAATTAGTGCAGGATGTAGTCATGGGGATCAACACGGATGAGAGTGGCCGCAGTGTCAGGAGGAGAGTGGATTGAGCAAGGCAGTCAGAGCCTCACTGTGAAGAGGAAGAGCATATACTTGAACCGACGTTGATCCAAGCAACATCCAAACGTAGGGGCATGCCAGCGGGTCAGAGCGCTTACACAGGATCAAGCGAGCATCTATGTACCGCATCAGCAGCATCGAGAGTCCAGATCGTCCACTTAAACATGGCTACGAGAGTCTACAATTTGCGAAAAATGTTCTCAATAGGGCATTGGTTGCGAGCTGCTCCTAGGAGCTGCAGCCATGAAGACTGCTATGTGCCTCAAATCTTGCGTCTCAAGGCTGGTCGCTCACAGATGTACCGCTGGGTATATACCGCTATTTTCAAGTCAAATCTACTCGTGGCATACGCCTGATTTGGTTGATCGCCTCTGCGTCAAAGCAAGCGAGGCGCCACTGGCAGAATATGTACTTCAACGACTTTCGATTTGTCTTCAATAGTAATATAACTACGATGACGAACCAGTGTGAAGTGACTCTATCTAAGCTGAACACTTTCGAACCACGGGTGTTCCAATGCCTGCTTTGCAGTGATCCGCCTCTTAGGATCCAAACTCATCATGGATAGGACAAGATCTTTAAAGCTGTCGTCCTTGATCTCTGGCCATGTCGAGAAATGCTTGTAACCAAGGTCGTCATCGTCTTTGCCGTCGTAAGCATTGCTCAGAAGCTGCAAGCTGAGCTCGTCATCCCCAACATGCGTCAAGAGCCCGTTGATTCCGTCTCTGTCGCTAAAGTACGACACTTGTCTCTGCAGACGAACCATCGAGGCTAATGCCCCTTGATCCGTAAATTTCCTCATTCCTTCATCTGGCCCAAAGATCACGCGACCAAGTACAGCGTATATGCACTTCATGCTACAGTTAGAGCAGTCATGCTTCTAAACAAAAAATAAGGCTTACCATGGCGCCAAAGGAGAAGATGTCCGTGGGCTTGTTGAGTTCACCACGAAGATGTCCTTCCGGACTCCGCCAATTATCGTTCCCTGGCAGCATCCCCTTGATACATCGGCCTTTCGGCAAGTACGCTGCATTTTCGAGGTCCGTCAACTGAGCCTTTTCAACGACAAGCTCGCTGCCGCTCCCGTGGATATCAACCATGACATTGTCCGGCTTGACGTCTGAACATAACATTGTCAGTGCTGGAAATCGAGCCATTCAGCATTACCCACCTAAATGAACGACATCCTGGGCGTGCAGGTCAACCAGACCTTGCAAACTTGACTTCAGAATTTCTTTCCGCCCTTTCAGAGGAATTTGATTTTTGACAAGGGTCAGGAAGTCCTCGGTAAAAAACCGATACACAAATATTCTTTGACTAGGAATGCTGTCAATTGGAAGTCGCAGATATGGGCTAGCCTTGATCTGAGCTCGAGTGCCAGATTCGAATGCCGTGAACATATTTTCCGGGATGTCTTTCAAGATGAAGTTCTCTTCGTCGGATCTGCGGATCCTTAGCCAAATGATCAGCACAAAAGATAGCGAGGGACAGGCAGACCTGGCAAGCCAAACGCGCCCGATATATGGCCGCTCTTGGATGAGTTGTTTAAAGGCATAGCTGCGCCCGGTAGCTCCAGTATAGTTTGCCGAAGAAGCCGCCAATCTCACAGCGGTTCGAAACATGTCGAGTCCATTGACTCCAGGATGCGTGCGCTGTTGGATGAATGGACGTTGGGGAAAGGATCGCTTCTCAGCAATCCCGAGGCTTGGACGCTTTCCCAATAATAGGCTCGGTATTAGCCTATAACTTTGTAATTATTAGCTTTAATATTTTTTTTTAGCTAGCCTTATATTATATGAATTTTACTGCCTCAATACCCGTGGACTATAGTTTATGGCGTGCTCAAACTAGCTCAGGGCAAGCTTAGGTATGCATAGCCACCGCTCGTGCTACTTATTACCTACGTTACACCCCTGCATAACTTAGGTTTAAATCCGGAAACAGCTTTGTGCCAGAGTAGATTTTACTTTAATATCTACCGCTATGTTACACAGAGAATTAATAGCCTTTGACTTTGCCGAAAGAATCGTTCCTCAAAGCATGACTATGAAAACTTACTCCATTAGGAAACATGCCAAAGTCAATCGAGATCCAGGAAAGCATTCGGAGAAATCCTTCTCAAACAATTTACCCAAACTAGAAAGATTTCCAAAGATCCATTGAAACCAGCAACTCTGATCGCCCTCAAACCCAATCGCCCAAACCGGCCAACCACTCACGTGCTAATATCACTGCGGGCGGTAGGTGGCGCAGCAATACAATACCCATCCACTCGCCCCAAGTCAGCTGCCTCTGAACATCAAACTACACCCCACGTCGCTCTAATAGGAAAGTCTTCGGCCAAGGCGTTCATTGCAGACATCGGGATCGGGTGATGATCGAGATCGCAAGGGAAAGCGGCGGCATCACATCCATCTTTGCCGGCTTAGCGTGCCGGCGAATAGTAATCATAAGCTTACTGTTAGGGCATGAATAAGTGGATTTACTTGCACGTAAGCCTTTTGGAAATCTTGTGTCCTCTTTTACCTTTTTTTAATGGGGTCGTGGAAACAGACTACTGCGGGTTGTAGAATACTAGGTGTTGGAGTCATAGGCACCAAATACTGGCCGAGTGAAGATACCACATCGTGAGAAATCGCGAGAATGCATGGAACGTCAACCAACCTCTTAGGCAAAATGACGGTTTGCATTTGCCCCTGCAACGTCGTGATCGTAGTCAAGTCGACGTCCATCTTAGCCCAGAAGTCGACCTCCTCGCTATTAATACACCTGTCTATGCGTTCCCGAGACGGACCAGAGCGCCAGAAGCGCGCCTATTGACGAACCAGAGCGCGCCTATTCCATAACCACACGTGGACAAAAGTACTTTTGATACAGAAGTAAGAAAGAAAAAGGGGGTATTCTACACGTCCGTAATCATAGCTTGCTCGTCTTGTCGCTGGCCCTCCGTGACGATTCCGAGGAGGCGCGCATACGGCACTGTTATGCGCTGAAGATCACGGTGTTTACCTATTTATTGAGTCAGTTTGGTGTGCATGGGGTCATGTCAAAGCGTGCAGAGCACTTACCAAGAATCAGCACCGCCTCTTTCAGTAACTCTTCTCTCTTCCACCCACAAATCACCTCAGGGCTCTTCGTGTCCTCACTTTCGTCCTCATCCTCGACGATGAGATTGCCACTCAAGCTGCGTAGCAACTCTTCAATCTTGCCTTTGAGGCCTTCGGCACCGAGGCGCTTGATGTACATGGTCAGGTAAATCTTGAACTCCTCCCGTGCGCCCAGCGTCCTCGCAGCAGCGACCCGGTTTTCAAGATGTGCTATGCTAGCACAGCTCTCCAAGGCCTCAAATCCTTCGGCTGAGATCAGCGCTTTGATGAGTCGTTGTAGGTGGAATGCTCGACCCTGGAGGAGAGACTGGTTCGTCGTGTTGCGTTCGAGGGACGGTATAATACCGGCGGAGATGTTCTCGATCGATACCTGATCGTCCTTCTCGGTCGGCGCATGCTTGTCCTGTGATGATCTAATGTTGCCGACTGATGAGTCCGTCGAGTTCCAATATTGACTGGCAACACCCCACCAGGGTTCCGATATGCGTTGCCAGATATACATGTCGGGATTGTATGTGTACCCCTCGCCGTTCGACATGGCGACTACCAGCCGACCTCCAGAATTTAATCGCGCAAATACGATTCCAGGAGAGCGTGTAAGGTGCGGACCTTGTGCATACGCTGCTATGTCGAGAATGGGCGCTAATGAGACCGGTGGGTGCGGTGCGGACATGGTCTTGAGGTTCCAAATATAGCACATACCGACGGCGCTGATGCACATCAACCACCAGCCACGGCAATCCATGATGACAGTCTGCGCTTCTAGTACCACGGCGTTCATTGTCCGTCGACCCGCCGGTGACCATGCGTACACTGAACCGTCTTCACATGCGGCTGCAAAAAAGTTGGTGTTGCCTGTTACCAAGAGCACGGCCTTTGGCAGAAAGTCTTGCCAGAGGGACTGACCCTTACTTGTGCAAGCCATCCTCGTTGGATCGTGATCTTGAGGTCGTCCTGTCCGTGATGGCCCTGTGGCATTGCGTGCTTCCAAGATCACAGTGTCCGGTATCTCCGCCTTCCCAGTGTTGGCATCCACTCCATTCTGGGGCGGCTCGCTTCCATCCATTGTCCGCACGATGACACTTCTGACTTTGGGCACAGCCAATCGTACCTGACTTACACTTAGCGATGGGTTAACAATAGCCGGCCGTAAGACTTTCGGAGGCCCCTGCAGTTCGTTTCCACCTGGAGGAGCCGCAGCTGGTGGGATGAGGCCATTCTCGCTATTCAAAACTATAGCTGCGCCTCCAGGTCGGACCGAAGCAGCAAGTCTTCGTTCAAGTTGACGGTCCTCATCGCCCTCAATCTCGGCGAATTTCCTCTTGTTCCCGATCAGCATTGACGCCAATCCCCCCTTGGGGAATCCATCGTATGGTTTGGACAAATCGAGAATATTGTGCGGGTTTTCACTTCTCCCGCCTGATGTCGTCGTCGCGGAGATGAGCTGGGTTTGTGGTAGGGATGATGCGCCAACCCCAGAAGATGACGATACCAACATTGGGGCTATTCGCTTCTTTCCCTCCTTGGTAACAGTCACTCGTTGCTTGAGCTTTTCCACCCGTTGATCCGGAGGTGGCTCGACGGGAGCCGGTGGTTGGGCAGTAGAAGTCGATCCGTTCGTGAGAGTTGTTGTAGGTAAAATACCATTGGTACCGTTTGTGATCGTTGGCGGCTGAACAGCACCACCGTCACCCATCAAAGCACCCATCCTGCCCTGCACACCTTTCAATTCCCCTTCTTTGCTACTCTCTTCTAGAAGTAGAGCGTCTGTACCCTCGATAATTCCGACTCTTCTGCCCGCACCAAACTTCGAAAGTGTTTTCTCATTCTCCATAAGCGACGCAGGGTATCCTAGCTCTCCTGGTTCAAAAACGAGTGTCAATATGCTTCCGTCTAAGCTAGTCGCAAAAAGGGTCTCTCCGTTGGGCGCCCACGCCAGGTCTGATATTGACTTCATGGCTAGCTCCTGCGAGATCATGAACGGTCTAGGGAAGCTCGTATTCCACACACTAAGGCACTTGTCCTGTCCGGCACATGCGACAATCGTAACGGTAGGCTGATACACGCTTCCATCATGCTCGGGCCTCGGCGGGTCTCGGTAGAACAATCTTGGAGAGAAAGCGGTGACCTCTACTGGCCCTTCGTGGCCCACCAGACTGATGTCTCCATCCCAGGTTCCGCGCGCAAGAATAGCTACCGAACTCACCGGTCCATTTGTAGCGTTCGCCGCAGCTATATGTGCTCCGTCTGGCGACCAAGAGCAACGTCGGAAATATGTGGTAAGCGGTGATGTGAGAAAGGGTGTTGTGATGGTGTGTTCGAGGACGAAATTGTTGACCTGGTCTTGCTGGGTCGCATTCGGCGGTGGGGAATTAAATCGATAGACTTTAATCGTGCGGTCGTCGCTAGCTGTTGCGAAGTATTTGTTCGCTGGATCAAACGTAATGCCCTTGACATGACTCTGGTGGTTTGACAACGTCTTCAGCTTCTCGAACGAGTGTCCCGACCAGACCACGACCTTCGAATCTAACCCTACAGAGACTAATATGGACGAGTCGAATGACCAGCCGAGATCCTGTACATCATTGTCATGTCCTATAAGACGGCGGATGACTCGCCAGTTTTCGACCGGTGGAGGCTCGTTTGATCCTATCCCTTCCATCAGCAGTTGTTCCCCTACACGTTCTATGTCACCCACCAAATGCAGCATGTGTTGGCGCGTTCTTATCTAGCGCATAAACGCATACTATTTTGTCGTCTGCGCCTGATGCCAGATATCTGCCGTTGGAGGAAAAGCGGACTACGTGTATCGTGCCTGAATGGTGGCTCACAGCTGCTAGCTGCTTTGGCTTCGTGTATTCGGGGTTGTTGGAGTTTAGAATAGCTTCGGTGGACCATATTCGGACGTAACCGTCTGCAAAGTAGCAGTTAGTCTTGTTCCTGGGATGCGCGCAGCGCGCATGAGCTCCGCAATGGAGGTTAACGAACCTCCGGCGGCCGTAACCAAACGCGATCCGTCCGGCGAAACGTGGCAGCTGTATACTTCGAAGTCTTTGAGTTCGCCTATTGTACAAACGTAATGTTAGCACGTATTCCCAGATGTTGAGAGGGCGTGAGTAGCGCTGTTAAAGAGCCAAGGTGAACGAACCCGGGTGTGTCAACCACTGCGGCTTGATGAGATGCATGGTCGCGTATAGGAATTCAGCAGTTGAATTGAAGCATACTATGACGCGACCATGAGAGAAGAGAAGGGGGGAACAAAATTAATAGTTGAGGTTGTGGTTGTGGAATTGCACGTATCGGTAGCTCGCGACAGTTGGCTGGTGTTGGCGACGCGAGCTCGCAGTTACGCGCTTGGCAGACGGTTGGGCAGGGGTTTAAAGTTTAGGTGCATGCGGCGATCAAAAAAGTGGACTTTACATGGAAAGTTAAGAGAGACGCATTGATTCAAGGTATTAGGAGAGTATTGAATTTATACTGTCTAAGTGATGACTTAGTGATCACACTGGAAGTCTTGCAGGTTGAAGTTGTCAAATAGTCAATACTCGCCCCGCTCCCAAATCTTTGTCTGAGCGACCCAGATATCGACCACTGTGCAAATGGCTCTGCGCGATGTCTATTACCGGCTGTTTGCACTGTATATCTTACAGTCTGATCGACCTAATCATCTACCCTATGCTCACTCCTCCTCAAGCGATATCACAGCTAGATTGTGTAATGTGGCTCACACAAAGTCCACAGTAGTCAGCCAAATCTCAAAGAGTTGAGCGGTATGATTTGGCGAAAGCTTTCGGAATCGCAAGGTCAAGGAATAGTGTGCTCCCGTGGCCTGTGTTTTGACGCCGAATGAGTCCGTGGGTCGTCGAAGCATTTGCGTCGTGAAGTGGTACTGTCGAGTTTTGCTTCAAAAGGAGCTTTATCCTGCTTGCATCACTTCGTAATCCTTTTCCTCTTCTTGAAAACTACGGTGGGTGCGGCTGGTGCATCTTCCTCCTGTTTGACCGTGGCCTTAGAAGCCTGTGCCTCCGCCTCCGCCACCGTGGGTATATCCTGGAGAGCCTTGTCTTCGCTTTCCTCTTTAGCCTCTGCTTTCACACCGCTATCATCTTCCTTTTCCTTCTTGACCTCCTGATCTGCTGGTTTCTTCCCAAGTAGTGTCTCTATGTCATCATCCCCACCTTTGCTGCCTGGGAAAGCCTTGAATGTATGACCCCATCCTTTCCTTTTCGTAATGACTTCACCCGCTGCTTCCCGCTCTTCTTCCTCCTCGTCGATTTTCCTCTTTCTTACACCCTTATTCAGGGCTAGTGATTTGAACTCTCCCTCCTCGTTGACTTCTCCCACCACCTGGTGAGAGACGGTTTTCCAGTCCCCTGCAATCGCCAAATCCCCTCTTGCAGCATCGGGCAGTGCAACCCCCATAGCTGCTAGTTGTTCCCATTGTCGTTTCCTGTCGTCTACAGTCGCCTTCTTCTCGGGCCGCTTCTCGAACGTGGGTGTGCCGCCTACGCCGGTCGCTACTGAGGGAGTGGAAGATGAGGGTACAAGGCCGTTGAGTCGTGCGACCTCAGCTTGCGCGCGGGACTTCTGGCGCAGCTCATTTTCTTGCTCGCGGTGTAGACCCTTGAGACTGCGCTGGATGTTTCCCTGGTGGCGGCCAGTGGCTTCGTGTTGTGCGCGCTCGAACTTGGTGTCTTTTACGTACGTAGAGCAAAACTTGCACCAGTATTTTGGCTGTCTCGATGTCAGCCTGCATGCGCAAAATAGAAGATATTTCACTTACCGTTGACTTCCAGTACTCCGCCATGACGACTTGTTACAGGAGTCTAAGAGCTTTGGATGCAAGAAAGATGGAGATGCAGCGGGAGCTAGTGGACCGCACGGTCACCGGAAGCCCGCAACGCCACATAGTGTATACGACGTTTCGTCCTATTCTACACCACCAGGGACTCGTGTCTCTGTAAATACTGTTTCTGGGCATAAAGCTATTGTACCGCAAGTACAAACAAGCAAGGGGATCCTTCGACACAAGACATGTTCTATCGGAGAAACGTGACTTCGTAATGCAAAACTTTGCGCTAACAACAAGTGTGGTTGATGCTCATATTTCTCAAAGGAACCAATCTGTAAGTATATTCTAAAATCTTTACTTGTCGCCTTGGCTAACGCCCGTTGTTGAAACTGCGTAACTGCTGTTGCGACTGGATCAATCGCGCGTTTCGCCATGTCGCAGATTAAGCGCTGCGCCACAGGTACAAAGAGCCAAAGATCAACGATTCGCCAGCAAGTTTCCGTGTCCCCTTTGTCTGATCGGCGCTTTCACCCCTTGTTCGCAACATCGCGCGCCAGCATTGCTCGCCAGCATGCCTTAATTTAGGCGTGAGACCTTGCTGATGATGCCATAGGAAGAGGCTGTGCGCTGAAATTCCAACGTGCACTTTCATCTTCACCTCTGACTTGAATTCTGGACGTTCTCGCGATTTCACGCTGTTTACTGCGACACTCTGCCATACAAACAGGTCTCGTCATAGACAGACTTTGATAACCGAGAGTGAACATGGTGTTCAACGGTGGAAATTGCTCGCATGTCCCAGACTCTACACACACAGACGCTGGAGTAGCAGGTGCTGGAGTACGCAAGATCCCCTCCATCTCCACCCGATGACTAGACCCAAGAAGTATTGTTCTCACTGACACTCGGCAGACCTTGCTCTCCTTCATAATAACAAATTTCATCTCCATCCTCCTGTCAGCTACAATAATTCTCCTTGGGCTGCGCAAGTCGACTTCCGCGCCAATATGTCGCAAACTACTACAGTCCTTCTCCGATCAACAGATCTTGACCGGAATCGGCATTCAATCCGTTGGGCTCGCGAAAATGAAGACGATGGTTCCATATCACTTCTTCATCATCTGGCTCCTCTCTTCACTCTCGACGGCAACCAATTTGGCGACACTGCTAGCGTTGGTCAACGACTTCAAAAGAGACTGGGTACTCCGCTGGATAAGGCAGATTCTCATGTTGATTAACATGTTTCTTGGCATTCTATCTGGAATTTTCATCCTACAAACCGTCCTCAAGAACATGGAGCCCCGACTTCCCATTGCCTGTGTCTGGGAAGTCGAATCTCGAGGCTCCTCGTCCAACGCCGCGCTCAGCATTGCAGGCACGATTGCCGTCATAGCTGGTCAGGGCATCGTCTTCATTCTGTCCACCTGGTACCTACACAACCGCTCGAACCCTCGCTGGCTGAAATCGGTTCAAGTCGTCGGCCTCGCAACGTGTCTGGCAATGGGTATCGGCGCCACGGTGCGCGTTGTCTTGGAGTCTCAGGCCTTTGGCAGCCCACCCAAATCTGTTAATTTGGAAGGACCGAGCGAGGGAAGCTGGAGCTTTGGGCAGTTGCTACCATTGTTGTTGCTTGCGCTACCGATTATTAGTACGGTGGAGATCATGAGGGGTGAAACCAAGACAACGCCGAGCAGAGTGGATGACGATAGTACACCGCTGTTTGGTGGAGGAGATATGGAGTTTCAGCCCCACCCACTGGCGGGTTCTGCGACGAGTCTGTTTAGGAAGTGAGTGAGCTGAGGGTAGTATTGATACTAGATGAGCATACTTGCCAATTTCTAGTAATTAAAGTCTCTATTAATGCATTACAATTACGTGTAGTCGCTCTTAAAAGCGTGAAGTGGTATCTTTTTGAAGGCAACGCTAAATGCTCAAAGCAACCCCCGCCCCCATTGTATGTGTCACAAATGCGAACATTTACGCGCAGAACGTTCGGTGTTAAGTTGTTATTCCTCAGCAGACGATGGCTTGGCTGTGGGTGCATAAGCACTCTTCGCCCTGATTTTCGCGCCTCTGAGGTAGAACCAGATCGGGACTGGAACTAAGAGCGCAGCTATACAACCAAGCAGCGTAGCTGCCCATTGAATACCCATGCCCAAGAACATTTGTCGGGCGAACAAAGGGAAACACGCTCCACATAGACTGCGCATGAACGTGTTGGCTGCGATCGCGGAGGCGGCGAACTGGGAAGAATATTAGCATTAATCTAGGTTCGCGCCCAATTTGAATATACGCACCATGAGATACGCATCAACGAGGTAATTGAGCGACTGTAGGAAGATGCTCAGAAGGCCAAATCCGATCAAAATACCAGAGAGAGTGGGGACGATCCAGTGGATATCTGCTCTATACCCAGTCCAACCGAACCAGACTAAAAGTAATTAGCATCATTCTTTACAGGAGGACACAAGTACTGTGTTAGACAAGAACTAGGGTAGGTGCTTGAGACAATCTCTAAGCGGTTGTTGGGAACGTCATTTACTAGAGAAGTAGTTACTTACTATCTGTATGTTAGCAAAACATTCGGATATTGTTTGTCATAGGAGTACGTACCACATGCCTACTGAGAAGCAGATGCCCCCGATGATTACCTCCGGTAGTCGCCATTCAGGAATAGGAACGTTGTTATTTGCGGCAAGCTTCTTCTGATATCCCGGTTGTCGAATGAAAATCAAAGTCCCTGCCAACAGCTGGCCAGTAACCATGCCTAAGAAAGGCAGACCTCCGACACCCAAATTCATCCCGTGGACACCTTGAAATACCAAGGGGTAGGCTGTTAAAAAGAGGTACAGCAGACCATAGATAAAAGCCGTGTACACACTCAGGAGTAGCACAATACGCTCTGTAAACAACATACGAATCGGCCTCGAAAAGTTCTTTTCGACCAGCTGTCGAAAGTCGATCTCAACTTCTTCTTGCTTCGCATGAATGCCCCAGTTTTTCGTCCGGCGGCGCAGCTCCGCAGCTTTGAGGACTAGGATCTCGGGGGGATAGGACTCGGAGAGGAAGAGCAAGTTCAATGTGAACGCGGCGAATCCCATGAAGGAAACGATGTATGTAGTCCAGCGCCATCCGAGGTCAGACATGACGATGAAACCGCCGATGAAAGGTGCCAAAAGCGGACCCGTAAACACCGTCATACTGAAGATAGTAATTGCCATACCTCTCGTAGCGTTATTGAACATGTCGGAAAATACTGCTGCGACGCACTAGCCTTTGTTAGTATATTGATACCCCGAAGACCTACAGGGTGTACTTACCGTGAGAGGACAAGCTCCAAAGAACCCAGAGAAAAACCGACAGATCAACACAGTCTGTAGATCTTTGCCTGTTGCTACCGCAATGTTGAATACAGAGAATCCAAACGAGGCGATGACTAGAGGCAATCGTCTACCCTTTAGCTCAGAGAACGGTGCCCATAGAATCGGTCCAGTCGCGAAGCCCAGCACGTAGAAGGACGTCCCTAGCGTAGCGACAACTGATCCTACATGGAACTTGTGCATGATAGCGCCCGTCGCAGCACTGAAGATGGAGCTACCGAACGCTGCAGTAAGTGTCGTGAACCCAAGCATTGCCGCCGTTGCGAGCTTCTTTTTCAGCGGCCAATTCATAGCATGCAGCGGGTCATCGACACCTTCAAATTCAACGACATATTCTTCTCTCTCCGGTAGTGGTGGTGGATACGGCTTGCCAGCTCCAAACGCGGGGAGCGGTTTCCTAGACATCCTATTCTTGAGGCTGCCACCAACCGTCTGGCTGTGTTGGCTTCTCTGTGTTTGTATTCTGCTCAATGCTGTGGCATGACGTTCGAGATCTACTACATCGTCGCGTTGTGTTGGAAACCTGGACATGTCGGCATCGCGTTCTGCTGCGGAGGCGCCCGATGAGGACGTCGAAGTTGTCGCAACGCTGGACCTGGTCGGTGTTCGCTCGATTTCTTCATGTCGTTCTTCCTGTATAGGATTCGTGGGGTGTCCATGGGGAATGCGATTGGGGCTGGCGGCACTCTCTGCCTTTTCGACGAATCGATCTTGATTGCTCATGGTCGATGAAGGCGCTACCCAATACCAGCGATATGTTTAGGCAAGTTACAGGAGCGATTGGTTTTTCAAGGTGCCGGGGTGAAGCCTGATATATCTGCTGCCGAAATTCCGTTGAGTCCATCCGTAGTCTAGCGGGTGCCCACGCTTTCGGTCGGGCACTAAAAGAACGCGCCAGTGGCTCAGTGAATGTACTGCAGACGCCGCGGTGGTGTGGCAAACGTCAAGTCCTCGGAATTCGAAGTATAGTACGGCAAGGAAGGCGGGATATTTTATTGTAGCGAAAGATACTTGAGTGCTCTCTCAAGTGCAATAATCGTGATGTTATCCTAAGGCGTTCAAAATTTGAGATCAGCAGGGGGTTCCACTGCTCTGACGCAGGGACGCAGGAACGCGGGCAAGGGGCCGTTTAGCCCGTTTTGTTGTCAAGCTTTGGGACAAGCCTTCTTAGTCTTCACCGTGGAAAACCGAGCCTTGCCGGCTTCGGATATCGGCTGTTGGGTGCGGCGGAGATATACAGAATCTTCTTGGGCTGCAATGCAGACACCATGAGAAGAGGTGCATTCCTTGCCCTTTATACGGCATACTGACCGTTACACCCCGGGGCCAGTGCTTTCGACTGTAGCCTGTTCTGTACGAGTAGATTCCCGGCCGTCTGCGCCCTATTCCTGTTTGTAGATATCCAAAAGACCATTCATCAGGTCAAGTCACCCATGTAGCGATATTTTGAAGGATTGAACGTCAGTGCCTGTAGTTCTATATTGCAAACCCCAAGTCATACCAGTCCTTTTCGTACAGTGAGATAAAACTTACGCAAAGAAGCGTCCGCAAAAGCTCATTACAGACAGTCTGTCCGGAGGTAGTAACGAAGCCCTCAAAAGGGGTAGAGTTCATGAGAGGCTTTCATCTCTCGCACTATGTCACATCGTTTAGTACCGATTTTTCTCGTTCAAGCATGCGCAAGGTTCACAAACAAGGACAATCAATAGTTGGGTGTAGTCGCCAGACGATGAATGTATAGATTCCACAAAGGAAGGCGGTATTTTTACCACATCATTGTTTCCGTCTAGCAGACGCTCATAAAGACGTCAAACCGTAAGTCGTCCCCAACCCTATCCGTCATAATCAGGCATGCCATTCGTCAAATGCTCAAGATACCACTTGAAGTACTAAAAGCCCTTTTATAACTTTTGCATAGCAACGACATCGGTGGACTGGATGTGGTCCTCGAAATCCTCGATCTGCTGCTGTAGATCGGTCAACGAGACCTTTTCGTCCTCGATGACCAAGTTGATCTGGAGCTTCTTGATACCGAAACCGACGGGCACCAGCTGGGACGCACCCCAGACAAGGCCATCTTGCTCGATAGACAACACGTTGGCCTTGAGCTCGTCCATGTTCGTCTCGTCGTCTAATGATTGTTAGCACAGCTTTTCTTGGGCAACTGGTTTCGGTGACATACCCCAGGGCTTTACGTCGAGGGTAACGATAGACTTGGCGGCAGGCTTTACTTTGCCAGCCTTCTTCTTGTTGTACTCGGCCAGACGCTCGGCCTTTACCCTCTCAGCCTCCGCGTCATCCTCCTCATCGTCGCTGCCGAAGAGGTCGATCTCGTCGTCATCCTCCGCCTCCTTCTCAGGAGCCTTGGCGGGGTTGATGGTGAGGTCGCCGGCCTCTGGGCCGTAGGCGGTGAACTCCTTTGTGGGGTCGCCGGGGAGGGTATCAAACTCGCCCTCAAAGGTGAGGAGATGGTTGTACCAGCGCCATGCGTATGGGTACTTCTCTGGTGCAGGGATCTGCTTGATCTGCTGGAAGACCTTGACGTCGGCTTGCGATGGGGAGTAGCTGCAACTTCGTTAGCTGATGACTCCTCAGAGGAACTTGAGAAGGATGCAGCATTGAGTATGAAATTGATCAGAGGTGCGACAAGCGCTTGGTTTTGTATTCAGATAGCGGGGTCTTAAGCCGCCTCATTAACACGGACCAAATATTCTCATCATAATAGAAGCGGGGAGTGTGTGCTGTACGAAAACACAATAGTGCGCAGGACATGATGGTGGGGTAGCAACTTACCCAAGAACGTAGCTGCGAGTCTTGACCCAGTTGTTCAGGAGGGTCAGGCCAGCGTCGGAGACGAGATCGGTGAAGCCCATGTTGATAGTCGGAGGAGTTTGTAGAGTTTGTGGTGTAGATGAGGAGGCGGACACAGTTTTTTAGGGCACAGGAGATTGAGCTCGCTCGCCCGGGCGGAAAAATCAAGCGCCCAGACGCTAGCCGCACGTGCTTTCGCGCTCCCAACCCCTCCTCTCTACCTTACAGATGTCACCCAGCAAGTCTACGTGCATCTCGATCTTATTCATAAAGTTTCTCAATGCTCAATGAGCAGATACGTGGCCCCTGGACTGGCCCTCTGCTGCTAGATGGTTCTTCTGGTGGTGGAGTGCCTCTGAAGCACCGTCCTTAGACGTAGAAAGTCATCGAACCCTCGCGGAGTTTCTTCAAAGCCTGTGCTCGGCCGCCATCGATCTTGCATATAATGATACCGTCTTCATCCCTTAGAAGCTGACGCTCGCTCATTTCCTACACTTGCCATCATCATGCTGACCAATAGAGCGCGACTCGCTGCAAGGCGCATTGTGCCTGTAGCCACGCGACAGCTTCCTATCCGAACGTCGCCGCTATGTCAAATATCTGTTGTTCCATCACCTCGAAGTCTGATCAGACCGGTCACAGCTGCCAGAGGCTATGCTAATGGACGACCTCATCCTCCAGGCGGAACACATAAAATGAACCTGGGTGGAGAACCAGAAAAGCCAGCATTGGAGCAGTATGGCGTAGACCTGACAGCACGAGCTCGAGACGGCAAGTTAGACCCTGTTATCGGACGAGACGGTGAAATACAACGGACAATACAGATATTGTCGAGAAGGACGAAGAACAATCCTGTCGTCATTGGAAGTGCTGGTACTGGCAAAACAGCAATACTCGAAGGCCTAGCTCAGCGCATCGTAAAAGGCGACGTACCCGAATCGATCAAGGACAAACGCGTAATATCGCTCGATCTAGGGTCGCTCATCGCTGGCGCGAAGTTTCGAGGCGATTTCGAGGAGCGTTTAAAGAATGTCTTGAAGGAGGTAGAGGAGGCGAAAAAGGGCGTGATACTGTTCGTCGACGAACTGCATACACTTCTAGGTCTAGGCAAGGCTGAAGGAAGCATCGACGCGAGCAATCTACTGAAGCCGGCACTCAGTCGGGGTGAGCTCCAGCTTTGTGGCGCAACGACACTGAACGAGTACCGGCAAATCGAAAAGGACGCGGCGCTTGCAAGGCGCTTCCAACCCATCGTAGTAGGAGAGCCTACTGTACAGGACACCATCTCCATCTTGCGAGGCATAAAGGAGCGATATGAGGTTCACCACGGTGTACGCATTACGGACAACGCTCTGGTAGCCGCTGCCTCGTACAGCAACCGATACATTACGGACCGCTTCCTACCCGACAAGGCGATCGATCTAGTCGATGAAGCCGCTAGCGCACTACGATTACAACAAGAAAGCAAACCGGATGCTATTCAGGAGCTCGACCGTCAGATCATGACCATACAAATCGAGCTCGAGTCACTTCGCAAAGAGACTGATATTGCCAGCAAGGAACGACGTGAACGCTTGGAACAGTCGTTGAAACAGAAGCAGGATGAAGTCAAGGTGCTGATGGAGAAATGGGACAAGGAGCGCGCAGAGCTGGATGAAATCAAGAATGCGCAAGAAAACTTAGAGAAAGCCAAATTGGAACTCGAGCAGGCTCGCCGGGAGGGCAACTTCGCCAAGGCTGGAGAGCTCCAGTACAGTAGGATCCCAGAACTGGAACAGAAGTTGCCCAATGACGAGGGAGTGGCGGCAGGTGCGAGTCGTCCAGACTCATTACTACACGACTCTGTTACCGCTGACGATATCGCCTCTGTTGTCTCACGAACCACTGGCATCCCGTTATCGAAGTTGAATAGCGGCGAAAGCGAAAAGCTGATCCATATGGAAGATTCCTTACGCCAATACGTCAAAGGCCAGGACGAGGCTCTCACCGCTGTTGCAAACGCCATCCGCTTGCAAAGAGCGGGTCTATCTGGAGAGAATAGACCCATCGCGTCCTTCATGATGCTTGGACCAACTGGTGTGGGCAAGACGGAGGTCTGCAAAAGATTGGCGGAGTATCTCTTCAGCACGCCTCAGGCCGTTCTTCGGTTCGACATGAGTGAGTTTAGCGAAAAGCACACTGTCTCGCGCCTTATTGGCTCACCTGCGGGTTATGTCGGCTACGAGGACGCAGGACAACTCACCGAGGCAGTACGGCGCAAGCCTTACGCCGTGCTACTGTTCGATGAGTGGGAGAAGGCTCACAAGGATATCTCGACACTTCTTCTCCAAGTACTCGACGAAGGCTTTCTCACGGACGCACAAGGCCACAAAGTTGATTTCCGCAATACCATTATTGTTATGACCTCGAATCTTGGAGCGGACATCATCGTTGGAGACGATGCTCTTTATTCGGCCGACAAGGATTCGAGCGAGATATCGCCCGCAGTTCGCAGCGCCGTCATGGATGTTGTGTCCGCTACGTACCCACCCGAGTTTCTCAATCGACTAGATGAATTCATCGTCTTCCGACGTTTGTCCCGAGAAGCTCTGCGAGATATTGTAGACATTCGGTTGAAGGAACTTCAGCAGCGCCTAGACGATCGAAGAATAGCCCTCGATTGCCCAGACGAGGCTAAGCAATGGCTCTGCGATCGTGGCTACGATCCGAAATTTGGCGCGCGACCTTTGAACAGGCTCATTGCGAGAGAGATAGGCAATGGCCTTGCAGACAAGCTCATCCGTGGAGAGATTCGAAGCGGTGATGTAGCCAAGGTCACCATTAAAGAAGATGGCTCTGGCCTTTCTGTCGCTGCATCATTAACTTGATGCGGCGAGATTTGATAACGAAGACACGACTGTACAACAGAAAGTAATTGTACTATAGCATAGCATCGTTGGCGTTCAGTAGGTAGCATATTTCTCTCCAAATGGTTAAAACTCAATGTAAAGATACTCTGCTCACATCACGTTGCTCTCCCTTCCTGGTTGTGGCAAGCACGCGTGTCGCGTCCGCTTCATCGCACCTACTCTTTCTACATGATCACTCAACATCACTCACCTAATGCCTCGCCATCGCCATCGCCACCCTCACCATGGCGCGCAACCGATCCGTCAAGCTCCCCCTCTACTACAAAAGTAGCCGCAACGGCAGCAGTCGAGGCACCTCTGCCTCCAATACCTTGCGTCGCTCTTCGTCGCGCGCAACTTCAATTATGACCACCAGACCCAGCAGGCCGCGCGTGCAGACTCAAAGAGAACTACATCTAAATAGCGCGTCTACGCATACGCCTTCTGCAGGAGCACTGACGAATTCAGTGGAGGATAGCGAAGATGCAAGCGATGATACGCTCAATGAGGTCATTATGGCAGTTGATCTTACGCCACGCGGAACGGTGGGGTGCTGTTACTATGTTGCGCGGGATGAAAAACTATATTTCATGGAGGACATTCATTTTGGGGACGCTGATGTTGTTGATTCACGTAAGTGCAAAACCGCCGACTCCATTGACAGCACTAAATAGCGCTAGTGAGAATGTTCATTGACCCTACGGTCATATTGGTGTCGACAAAGATCGACGATATAGTCATTGATCGTTTCGATCCAGAAGCTAAAAGCGGTGATTCTGTAATCAGCGACAATGATCAGTTCCGCCTCCCGTTCTTGCTGGAGGTGAGACCACCGAGTGAGTTCTATTACGATGCAGCGAAGAGCAAACTCGCCAACCTTAGACTTGGCGACGATGACGGCACTCGTGTCAGCTTCAATATCCCAGGAGAACTTGCTGCGGTCGATCATCTCAACGGAGAGACTGCCGCTAGCCAGCATGGACTGTTACTTCGTCTCGCAGGATGGATAGATATAGAGAGCCGCGTCACGGTAGAATTTATACCCTATGAAGATTACCCCTATTCTAATAAACTACTAGGTCGGTTGTGCGGGTGCACTTATTTCATATCTGCAACGACGGCGTGCCGCTGCATATCTACCCGGCGACGACTCCGCGCATCTGCTATTTCGCGTCACGACACTGGAGATGTTCAGCCTTCGCGAGACCATGTTCATTAATGCCGATACGCTCCACTCTTTGCAGATACTGGATGCAGAATCACATCCACATTCGCATAATCGAGGACCAACACCTAGCTCAGGGGCCAAAGAAGGTCTATCTGTCTATGGATTGTTCCACCACCTCGCACGTACACAGCAAGGAAGAGTCATGCTTCGCCAGGATTTTCTCCGTCCAAGTCTAAATCTTGATGTTATCAATGAGCGTTTAAGTACCGTGGGCGTCTTCATCCGACCCGAGAACGAATCTGCTTTGCAGACTCTGGTAAAAACTCTCAAAAATGTTGGCAACATGCGTGTAAGGTTGAGTAATCTGAGAAAAGGAGTCGGAGGCTCAATCAAAGGAAGGAGAGGCCTCTCAAAGAGTGTTTGGGCAGCTATTAGGGGGGTCAGTAGTTCCATGAACTAAATTGATTGACTGACTTATACCTCTTCAGTTTGCCTTTCACGCTCTGAAGATCAGGGACACTTTCCAGGAAGTTCTCGGTGCAGACACGTTGATGATCCGAACAAAGGTCAGTCTATCGTTGTGTCATTATGATTCATGGGGCGCTCCACTCACCCAAGCTTTCAGATACTCGAGAAATTCGATGGTCAACGTTTAGCTCAGGTCGGCAGCCAAATCAGCAAAACTGTAGATTTTGAGAAGTCGGCAGAAGAATCTCGGACCGTTATTCTTCCGGGAATCGACGAGGAGCTCGACCAGATCAAGAGGACTTTGGATGGCCTTGAGGCATTCCTTAATGAAGTCGCGAGGAAATTGTCTGAACGAATGCCGTCTGATTTGCGCGCAACTCTCAACGTCATCTACTTCCCGCAAATAGGATTTCTCGTAACAGTCCCTGTCGATCCGGAGACAGGAGCCGCAGTCCACGATGGGAGCTTCGATAATCCCTGGGAGAGGATGTTCTCCACTGAGTAGGTCATGCTTTGTATTAGTATGGAAGCATACTGATCAAGTGGAGGGAGCAAGTATACTTCAAGAATAGTGAGATGCGAGAGATGGACGATCATTTCGGCGACGTCTACGGCATCATCTCAGATCGGGAGATTGAGATTAGCCATGAACTAGCTCAGTATGTCCTCCAGTATGAAGAGCTGATGATCTCATGTTCCGACATCTGTGGCGAGCTTGACAGGTAAGCTAGTCCGCATTAGTACTCACTTGGGTCTAACAAATGTACAGTCTGTTGGCGCTTGCACAGGGTGCGAAGTTATACAAGCTTTGCTGTCCTCGAATGACGCTTGACAACGTTATAAGCATCAAAGGGGGCCGGTACGTGTTAATCACTGACTTTCAGGTTACACTAATAATGCCGGTCATAGCCATATCCTTCAAGAACTTACAGTAGCTTCTTTTGTCCCAAACAACACGTTTCTAGTGGGCGGTGCAGGAGAGTACATATCTCCAGACGATGTTGATCGAAGTCATGGCACCAAAGGCTGTCCACATACTAGCTCCTCCCCGCAATATACGTATGAACACGAAGAGGGCCCGAGTATGCTGGTATTAACCGGTCCTAACTATTCTGGAAAGAGTGTATATCTCAAACAAGTAGCCTTGATCGTCTTCCTGGCACATGTTGGAAGCTTTGTGCCAGCGAACAGTGCCAAGGTTGGACTGACAGACAAAATACTTTCTAGGGTCACCACACGAGAGACAGTGTCGCGTGTTCAGAGCGCTTTTATGATAGACCTGCAGCAGATCTCGCTTGCTTTGAGTTTAGCTACACGAAGGAGTCTGCTGATCATCGATGAGTTCGGCAAGGGTACGGAGTCCAGTGATGGAGCAGGGTTGGCTTGTGCAGTCATGGAGCATCTGCTAAGTTTGGGGACCGAGAGGCCAAAGGTTATTGGTGCTACCCACTTCCATGGTGAGTATCTTTTGCATTATTACCTCTTGATCTGATCTAGGCAGAGATATTCGAGATGGGCTTTCTTAAAGCAAGGCCTACACTCACTTTTGGGCATATGGAGGTACGCATCGACTCTGATGCTTCGGAGGTCAGTGATCAGATAACATACCTGTACAAGTAAGTCGGATGGATCGGTCGGATCCGGAGCCTACTGACCGTACCAAGCTTTCGTACTGGACGAAGTACCTCGAGTTTCGGAACCTGGTAGGATCATCGACGCCCCTCGACGCGAGACACACTGACAATTTACAGCTGTGCAGCCATGAACGGAGTCCCTCCAGAAATCGTACAGCATGCGGAGAAGCTCATCCTCTTAGGCATGAGGGGTGAAGATCTAGTGGCGATGTGTTGCCAGATGCCCGAAGACGAAGCTGCAGAGCTTGAGGAAGCGGTAAGTCTGTAAAGTTTCTAGTGAAGCGTTCTAATAGTGGTCAAGGAGCAAATTGCAAGAGAGTTCCTAGAGGCAGACGTATACAGTAACCCGAAAGCGACTCTGGCGGAGATTCTGACTATCTCCACGACTACGGTCTCGCGCTCGTAAGCGTTTTTGTGTTCTGCACTACTGCTTCAGTTTTCCTTATCGTTGACTTCCCGGGTCTTCTACCTCGTCTTCGCTGCAGCGAAAGGTCTCTATGGAATGCTATGTCTGCTTATTTCGTTCATATGGAAGGGCAGACAAGACCAGAACTTGGTATATCCAATCGATAAGTCCCAATCAAACAAGTTTGGCGAGCTTGACCGAAATGGTAAGCATCGTGAAGCATATCGACAGTAGTCAGCTGTGTCAGCCGTCTGGTCATCTGCGCTGACTGATCCATCACGGGGATAAGCTTTGCTCTACATCCTTGAAGACCCCATTGCGGGTTATATGTGGTGTGTTTCTTCTTACAGCATCGTGAGGTTGTATAGCCACTCATTGGGACTCGCTGAGCTCCAGACAAATATTAGAGATCACTATGCACGGCGGCAACTGGGGAGCCAGCTTCTATGTCACCCACTAGTCATGATGTGTCAACTGGACTTGGTGTTACTGAGGACAGAAAGAGCAGATCGTGATCGGTGAGCGAGGCGATTCCGGTCAGAATAGACTACCGATCACCCGCCATATTATGTCTCGTAAGTTTGTTTCATCCGGCTCACGGAAATATATGGGAGGTCTGCCCCGCCGGTCACCTTGAGCATTCCCTGACTCTCTCCGCCTGCCTTCATCAAAATTGGCCTTTGCGAAGCTTCGAACGACCGAGGGATGCCAACACAACCCGCCATCAGAACGACACTCACAACTCTTGCGAAGTTCCATCCTTCCCCACCAACCCGTTGAGCAAGTCTCGCGTTCTATGGAAGTGATAGCCACTAGTCCTCCCAAATAGAGCAAGACTTGATGTCTCGCAGCAGGGACAAACATACACCAAAGGCTCAGGTGGATGTGCTAATGTACTCTCTACGGCTCCCAAAAGGTCTGAGACCGCACATCATTCGACGAATCACCTCTGCCTGCTCAGCGACAGGATATCCTAGCCTGCATTTCAACCGGGATGCAAGGGCTTTCCGGAACGCCAGAGCCAATCTGGAAAGTTGACTTGAACCGTCAAAATGAGAAGTCTCCGACAACTACTTCTAGTACCTGTCGGCCAGCGAATCTGGGCAAAGAATTGGAACACGAAATTCCCACTTATCTTACTACATTCAACACAATGAGCCGCAAGATAATGAACGGGGTCCTCTCTAGTCAATCATGGGAAATTGATTCGAAGTAACTGACCGTGGAGGTTTTCTGCTGTTTTCCCCTGCAGAAACGCTACCCTACACAGCTTTCGGTCTCCGGGAGTGGTAATTGGTAATTACTCATTGAATCAGGGAAATCAGAACTACCGAACGCGAAACCGATCTACTTTTCGCCAGCTGAACGTCAAGACACAACCCATGGCATGAAGCACAGTCACATTGTCTCTTAAGCGTTTGATGAACCTGCTTCGGTATAAACGCATGTACGAGAGAGTAGTTTTATTCTACGGACACTTGACTATACGCCAACCGTGGATCTACTTTGGGCAGCTGTGTTGGTTTTATACTCATCATGGGTGTGAAATGCACGATACCAGCTCGAGCATGCAGAATAAGATCATCTTCGAGGAAGTATGATTCTTGACACTTTCGTCCTGGCCATTGGACTACGTCGCGCTGCGGACGTGATGGCCTTCCCTCTCGTTATCGCTCGATGGACCGCCCAGTGTTGTTCCGGCCGATGTGGAGATTTCAATGGCATAGATACATTTGATGTTGATCTGTGGACTCGATCTAATTGCACGCTTTTTCTGCTACACGTGTGGATTTGTTAGCTATTTGAGAGTTAGTACAGAGAATGTACCACCTGCATACGCAGCCTAAATGGCGACTATGTGGTGAAGCCATGCATATGACAGCGAAAGGCCGAGACTTCTACTTGCATAACTTGTACACGCGAAATACAATGTTTCACGAGGGACCCAGCCGGAATGTACTATCACTCTCGCCTATCGAGGTACGCCTGATACCTAGGGTCTGAAATGAGCGGGAGTCGAAAGCGACGGCAGAAGTTAATGTGGAAAGGCCAACATCTGCAGATTGCATTCCAGCATGGCGTCTGACGCTAGATCTGTGACTTCCAAAGGATGGTGTGGCCAGAGCTTGAGGGTTCGGGGTCGTTCGATGTGACCTTCTGCCAATGGCCAAGCTTGACAGGGGCCGACAGGAAGCCTGTTGCGGGCGGGAGGGTGACGGGCGGTTAGATGCTCGGGCAGCCACGCGGCGCTCGCATCATGTTCTCCTCCGCCTCGCAAACCCCACTACTCGCGCAAATTCGACATGTAGCGCTGCCTCTTCTTTGTGAGCCTTTTCGGTACTTTCCAAAGCCCTGGAAGCGCCTCTTTGATGTTTTGCAAAGCTATTAACAGCCATGTCAAGGCTACAGGGCTGACAATCTCGTCCCCCCCTCCTTGCTCGAGGCTGAACCAAGGTACCACGCGCACCTTGTGGCCACGATACGTTATACTTCGCGACGTTTTGGCAGATCAAAGACGCAAACTTTGCAAGGCCTCCAGCTGTGGAGCGTACGGGTTCATCTCGTGAAAGCAGCAAGTACTCGGTCCCTGCGCAATGGGGCAATGTCTTAGTCTGTATCAGTGCATATCCTGCACGAACAGACCAAGCTTACAGACTGTGCGACTCTCAAAGCACAGTCGAGGACAACGCCAACTAGCTCAGGGCTTAGATCTATCGCCGGTTCGACAACGGTGTGCGACTGTCCTACGTAGCACCCAGCCTTAGGGAATACCAAACCTGCCCTTACATGTCATGAACTAGCCGTGTTGATTACGTCCGCAGCCATGATGTCAAGAGTCCCAGCCTTAGGCGCAGTTGATCTTGTGTGTGTGTCGAAGGTTAGCTAGCAAGCGCCGTTTATTTTTGTATAGCAAAACGGAACAAGGTAAGTCAGCACTAGAGACCCCGTACACCCATTGTTGAGCGCGATTCAAAACGAGAGTTGAACGTGGCCTGCAGCAGCAAAAGCTGACTAGCTGATGGGCCTGTCATCGCCTTGCTGAACGAGCGTACCGAAAGTACGGAGAAGATCCTACAACCCTCGTGGAAGCAATCTATCTATTGCACCCGGCTATACTCTCTCCGTCGTGCGCAGCCTCGACTCGGATTACCGAGCCTGTTCGTGTGCCACTAGTTTGGCACATTCCATTTCAGGGTTCCCAAACTGTCCAAAATATGCAACAAGGCATCAACCCCAAACTAGAAAGTCTCCAAGCTATGTCGGCGAAGTTCTAAAGTCTGTATCTACACCGAGGCGGCTCGAGCTCCATTGCTAGCGGGCGTGGACGCGCTCCATATGACCTACAGGCCTGGGCACAGGCCCAATTGGGGAGATGCAACTTGCTGTAAGCTTCAGCCCCAAGTCTAAGCACGCTCGCCCGCTTTGTGCTGCAGCATTCCCTGTCCCTGTCCCCTCCAGCGTCAGCTTGCCTTGCACCGGCGAACGTAGCCTGCATGCTGTACGCTGAATCCTTCCCACGATCCTTTCCGTATTGATCCTAGTCCGGGTGGACTCATTCGCTCTCACTCACTTACTCTATATAATGTACTCCTCTTCTTACTCATTGAGGCCTCCATCCAAAGGTCACCCACCACATATACACAATGTTTCAAGCAGTACCTCAAGCCTACACTCCTCAGCAATCACAATCACCACCCAAGGACAACATGCTCGCCATCCCGGAGAACACTGTAATGACTACAGGTCCAAACGGAGAGCAGAAGCCTCGAAAGATGCGAGCTTCCTGCGATGCATGCTCTCGCGCAAAGGTAGGGCGTCATCATTGGTTTGGCCTAGATAATAGTATGCTAAAGCCACCATCAGGTCAAATGCGATAAAGTGAGACCTACCTGCCACCGCTGTGGTAACATGGGCATTTGCTGCAACTACTCTCCTTCCATGAGGTACGATTGATCCTCTCCGTCTTTCCAGAATCCGAAAAGCTTACAGAAATGTAGACTGGGTAAGCCCCGCAAGAACAGAAACCCAGATGGCACCATCATGCGCGATGTATCGCCTGCCAGCTCCTGTGGACCTCTTGGACCAAGATCCGATTTCATCCCACGAACTACCTCATACACTGCTGAGAGCTCCCCGGAACCAACAGACTCATTCTTCCTTAGTCCAGCGACTCCAGAATACCATTATCAGGATGCTTTTATGGCGAATGGCTTTGACGGTAGCCAGTCTCCAGCGTACTCGGATGCGGGTTCTCTTGTCAGCGGCTGGTCAAATGATGATCAGCTAATGTTCGGCAGCCCGGCGGACATGTTCGCTCCACTGCCACATTTTACTCCATCTCACTCTCCATATGCTGGACACGCGCGGTCTGCCAGCGTACAAAGCCAACCGGATATTTTTGCGCCTTTGGACGCATTGAGCCCCCCACCGATTGCGAGCCCCCAGTTCTTCGGTCTGTCAGATCCAATGTTTGTACACGACAAGATGATGGCCTCACCTGCTCCGATGGTTCCTGCGCCTCTGCCAACTCCGCCTGCTTCTGCTACCTTTCAGAACCATGACTGCACTCAGTTTGCCTTCCAGACACTGAACAGCTTGTATGCACCGCCCTCAACTCAGCCATCAGCAGGCGACTTCAATGGCGCCTCAAATGGTCTACCAACTCTCGAGGCTGTCCTCTCTACAAATAAGGGCGCTGTTGACAAGCTTTATGTTCTACTTGGATGCCCTTGCTCAACAAACCCCCATTTTTCTACCACTATCGCGTTCACAATCACTAAAATCCTTTCGTGGTATCAGGCGATTGCTGGAGTCCACCAACAGGGCACAGATTGTCCCGTCAATACACAGATGGAGGCCTTCACCCACACTCCCACATCCCTAGGTGATTTCAGGCTCGGGGCGGAAGATGAGGATACCTTCCGAACTCAGCTCGTCCTCGTAGAACTGCGCAAAGTCGAGAAGCTCATTGATAAGTTCTCTGAGCGCTACTGCAAAACTGCCAATCCTGCTGAAACAGGCATCGACGGCGGAGTCTACAACGCATTGGAGGCTTTGCTCCGCACTCGCGTTCGTGACACCTTCAAGGTTACCATGCGTACTGCCCCCGCGGATGTCAAGCGCCAAGTATCGCGGACCCAGAATCGCGCCCGCGTCAACACTTTGTGATTTACTTTGCTGCGTTCCTAGCGACTTCGCGTCTGGTTTCTTCTTACGTCAGACGCCGTTCAACGGTCTCCAATCCACAAAACAGCCGCGCATTTCTTGCAGTCCATTCGCACTATAGACTTGATTACATGCACGTCTTCGAGGACAAAAAACCGGGAGGCTTGTGGGTTTCTAAGTTTTCGCATCATTGCAAAGGGTTGTATTGTTTCATCATTTCGGGTTCGGCCTTGTTTGGCCAATGTCTGCCTCGCTGTTTCCATCGCTGCTTCGCAGTTGTATATATATTTTTGGAAGATTTTAATGGGTACAATATGGGCTATGCAAGGACAGGGAACATGGGCGCGTGGATCGGATCGTCTCGAAGCACGCGACACAACAGTGCGCTTGCAATCGAGCAACCGAATCAATTCTGATACTGCCTAGCACTCGGCCCTTTCGCATTTCTGCCTGCTTGTGGATATTGCTGTGCCTCATGGGCTCCGCTCTTCAAGCCTTTCGCTTGCTCCAATGTCTCGAACAATGCATCGCCTTGTTCGCTTCCGAGCTGGTAAAGTAGGCCGCGCAATGCTCCAACAGGTACAACATCTCCTCAGTCTTCAACAACGTCACACAAAATCCTTCTCCATCTATGACATATTGCCTAAACGAAGTTGTTTTGCCAATCACGATCCCAAATCTGCCGTTATCGGCCCATCACCCTCCCGAAACTGGCCCCCAAGACCTGGGATGAGTATATTAACCACCTCAACCCACGCAGTCTATTTTACCCGGCATCTTGGTTTCCTAGCACGAGGCATACTCGCGACATGATTGACGAGGTTTGAGAAAGCATTTTCGACCATGACGTAGGTAAGCGCTGGGAACTTCAGGGCGAAGCTGCAAAGCTGCACTGGGACGAGCACCAGACAGATAGGAGGGCATGCAAGTGCAGTCATATCTCGAAAAGTGAAGTGATTTACAATCTCACTCCCCCCCCCCCCCCCCCCCCCCCCCCCCCCCCCGGAAATAAACATAGTAAGCAGTGGTTTGCTACAGCATTTGCTTGTGGGGAAGTCATACCATAGCTTACCTTGGCTATGGCTTGGAGTTACCCCGTCGCTTTGCCGTCGCGCTGGAATAGATCGACATTACCTGTATTCAGCAGTGGCTTCAAAAGTGACGTCCATCATCACCCACCAGCTGTGTTCTGCGCTGCAATGCAACTATTGTCATGCCGCCCGCCAATTCGTCATCCATACAGATCATCGGACGGCTAGCGCTCCCGTGCCGGGGAACAGAAGATGTGCGGGTGGCTACAAGCCACGCAGAATCCTTCAGGTAGGGGTGCGATGACCCTAACTGCGAGTAACGCCAATAGCGGAAGGGAGGGCGAGGGACAGAGATCTAATAAGAGGCGTGATAGGAGAAAGAGGGGTGATGGGGCCGTTCCCGGGGCAGATTGCCGGGGTGGCTGAGATGGAGGGCGCTGAGGCGCGAGGGGCGGTTCTTACATCAGGCCATAACTGTGGAGGTGCGTGTAAAGGCCCCCTCAAGGCGGTTGAGGTAGTTGTGGAGCTTGGAGGTGCCTGATGTTGTTTCTCTGACGAACCGGAAGTTCATCGACTGATTATTACCAGCAGGCATGCGAATCCTCCAGCGCAACTGTTGGCAAACTACTGCCACTATCAGGTTCGATTACTATCCTCGCTGAAATTTAACCCATGGCCTGACAGCCTCGCATATCACACCAGCCTGTTTCTATCCATATCTCCCAATGGACGCCTCACATGCCCTTGCTCGAATCCATAATCACGCCGCCCGTTTCGACTTTCCATCTCAACTGAATACTCCCCGCCGCCACCTACCCAGGACCAACAGCCACCCCACTACACTAGACAAGGATAATCAGCACCAAGCTTTTTTAGTGTGACGCCAAAACGGGAGTGTGCTCTACCAAATTTGGCTACTGGGCGGAGCATGCTCTTCTCGTATCAAGCTAAAAGGATGCCGATGCCTATTGGCGGTGATAGATGAAGTGCATATGCAGGCGGAAGGATGTCGAATAGTCGACAGATCCAATCACCGCCGACGGCTACGTGTCGTGGCAGCGCCTGACGAGGAGTGAACAAGAGTAGTGGAGAAAGCGCTTTTCGAGTGGAAGATGTGTTTGGTGGAGGTAAGGGCACAGATGAAGGAGGCCGTAGCAGAGTCGTCGTAATGGAACTGTTAGTTCTGCTTTCTATGGCTGGCAAAGTCTCTGCTTCGTGTAGCGAGAATAGGGCCAATACGAAGGTACCTTGAAGATATCGCTTCGCTGGCAGTCTCCAGCGCTCGCTCGGCATGCTCCGCTTCCTTTACGTATCAATGAGGCAACCTACCAACCTGCAGTGCATATCATCAGCGCAAAAACCCACGGATGGATTGTATCCTTCGAATTCCAAGGCATCAGCGACATGCTACTCTCCTGCACAAGGATTCTGTCGCACAAGAGACACCGCACTTTCAGCCATGTGGCTGCTTGTGCCATGGTGGCACCAAATCCGCTCAAACGGTCAGACCGGAGTTAGTGTAACAACGGAACCTGGCAGACACATGCGGTGATGTGGTGGAACACAACAGGGTTAGGGCAGGTTGCTCCAAGGCACCCAGCAGCAGGCAGCCCGTGTGCAGTTCGAGGGTCAATTAATTAAATCGCAAAACTAGCTTCTTTTCTTCCGAGGATGAAGCAGTAAGAACAAACTCACATGTTTGCGCTTCGTATTTCGTGCTTGCATCTTTGAACGTCCCAGAGCACTGGGGATTGAACAGTCGACATGGAAAACCCTACCGAGGGTTACGTGCAGGAATGTGAAGGACACTAAGTTCGTAGCGCGTGTCGTACAGTCGCTCTGTCCGGTGACTGAAGGAGGACCACCTACGCTCAGCCTTGTTCGAGGAAGCACACGATTAACAAAGAATCATCGCGATTGCCCGCTTTTTTAGTTAAGGTTCTACTCGTTCGACAGCACAGCCAACCCGCCGTTGAACCCTTCCGAGTCTTAGCCGTACTGAGCCACGCCATGAAAGCTCTTATGCATGATTTGTTCAAGCCGCTTCGCCCAGTAATAACTTTTTGGTAGTTGCGAACTCCTGTGCACAACGCGAGGAACGCGGTGCTGGAGACTTGTCCCGCAGTTACGTTCCTGTGCCAGGTTGATCGGCGACAAACCACACCAATCCCTCGGTTCTATATCCGACACCCCGTGGTCCCAACTTAGTGGTCACGAAGTTCTGTCGGCTTGTCTACTGGACTGACATGGTTTTACACCTCTTGAGAAGCTATGGGCGGCAATCGCGCATTTCCTCATCTGACAGGCGAGAGGTTTGGCCGACGGTGGAATTAACGACCGTGCTGATGGTGGAGGACAGGCTGACGTGTTAGTAGTACCAGAGGAACGGACGACGCTTGGAATGGTGTACCATGGTGTGGGAGAGATTCATGAACCAATCGCTGCGATTACTGTCCAGATGAGGACGAGCGGACAGCAAGGCGTGATTTCGATTACTGAAATGGTAGGGTAGCATTCAGACTACTCTTCTTTCGATCGGTAAGCGCTGAGAAGAGGTGGCGCTCACACACTGCCGTCTCAATCAGGCTGATCCTGTGCATGGCCCTATGCTCACTTAGCACTTCTTAGTCGAATCACCTCGTGCCTATAGGATCGATGCTTTCGCTGTCATATCTGCACATTTCGCAACCTGGTACGACCAAATGCGCTCAGCCTGTGCACCCTTATATGCAGCCATGCGTCTGCACCTCTCCACTTCCCACACCGACCACTGCAACGGCGGAACCGAAGCTTCTAGCGTCCTTCGAGAAGATTGCCCATAGTACAAGACAGCACGTTTGAGACATGGGTGAGCGAGGGGGTTTTAGAAGGCTATTTGACTGTGCACTCTAATCTCGGGGCTTACGTAGTGCGTTGGCCCGGGTAAGGACCATGGACTCCCAAGTCGGCGATTCGTACCGGGGCTCTCTACCCTTTTCATCCACTGATTCTGGAAGAAACGTGTGTCTTATGCAGGAGTGCAGTGTCAAAGGATTGGTCGAGGCCATATCAATCGCCTGTTTCACGTTTGACCCGACTGAACATCGTGAGGGATGCAAACGAACCGATATCGTGGGTCAGCCTATCGAATACCCACTGTGCGTCAATGCTGGTAATAATTCCCGTCTTATTGCAAGAGGAGAACCCGCGCATACACCCCGCCACGTGTCGGAATCTCAACATCCGCGAAGCTCATCTCAGGCTGGTATTCAGGGTTTCGAGGCTCTGTTTAGACCATTTACCCTTTGAGATCGCAAGAAACTTTGCAAGGAGGCGGATAGGATAGAGACCCTCTGGTTAGCTCGAGGGTGGCATGCCAGTATCGAATGACCGAGAGACTACATAGTGGCATTTGAAACTTTGATGGGTACAAGGAAAGAGATACCATTTTGTTGGGCGCCTTTTGTCTCTAGAGGAGTGTAATAGCAGGAAAGTCTGTTGACAGTTAGGGATAGACTTGTAGGATCTTTTTACCTCAAACGGTTAGTGTAGGTGCAGATGTGGAGGCCCAACCTCCAAGGAACGAATCAGTGGTGATTGCAACTCTGCACACTACAATGTCTTCTTCTAGGTGTTGGAGTCAGGAGAGCTTACTGGAGTAGTAGATAGAGTCGTGCAAGACCTGCATAAAAGACGAAGGCCTCAGAGCCTCAGACAAAGATCTAAATCCCTGTTTTCTCTGGTCGTTGCCGAAAGTGAGGTCCGCTGCATGTTATAAGTGTTCACGGACCACAGCTGTGTTTTCCTATGACAAGCGAGAAGTGAGTAGCGTTTGCAAGTATGACAGTCTAGAACTTCACATCTAGACATACTATTCCCCTTTGGCGTGCTAAGCGAAACGCCCTGCACACCTTCCCTTCTGAGTTATCCTGCTCAGGCCATTCTCAGCACTAACATCAACTACGCGGGTGACATAGTAAGACAGCCTCACAATGAACGCGTAAGAAGAGCTAAGAGAACACGGAGAACAAGGCCAATGGCTGACCGAAGTAGAGCGATGTCGCCGACCAAGGATAGAACAGTCGAGATACGGTTGCATATAAGCGAGTAAAAACATTACCTGTGGACAGGTTGCGAGGAGGACACCAAGTTCGTTGCCCGTATCAATGGCAGGTGGCCTGAGAAGACTACGACATGCACTGTTTCCAACCGGTGAATCAGAATCGCCCACTGACAGCTCTACACCTGCCCCTCCAGGTGATACGGTTATGAAATTACGTCCCATTGGGGTTCCGAAGATTTTGGTAGCTCTTCTGACATCACCTATATTGTTGAGATAGTCAAGAGGCAGTGCAGAACGATTGGGATACAGACAGGTAGATACGGACACTAATAAACAGTCTTGGAGCGTGGAAATACACAGGACGAGCGTTGTCAACAAGGAGTAATTCTCAAAGTCATATAATACACTAAGACCATCACAACATTTCATCGTTCACTACTGCAAGCATGACAAATAATTAAAGTCAACTACTGTCGAGTCTAATATATTACTACTACTATCCCATGGGATATAACCGCGAACGCCATCGCTAGGACTAAGCCTGGTATATCCCGTTCCAAATCCCATCTATTCAAACGTGAGGTGAAACGCGAAAGTGTATACAAAAGAAGATGGAAACCATCGACAGAAACGCTAATGTTTCGACTCAGATGCAGTTCTCTCGTCAGGATGCTCCAATCCTTTTACGACCTCATCAGCAGGAGGAGGCTCGTCCGTCGTAGTTTCCCCAATTCCGTTGACCATATCTTCATCTTGGCGATGACCCATCAAATCAGTGGCGTCCTCTTGAACCTCGTCGGCCACGACTTCGGTGCTACCATGTCGCGTCTCCACTTCAAAGATGCCCAAGTCTATCGGCGTTGAAACGTCTACCGATACCTCAGCTTCCCCGTTTGTAGCCGACTTCCCTTCCCCAATTCCCAACTCCCTCACAGCCCTCCTCATACTCTCCAACCTCGCCCGCTCAATCACCACCATTCGTCTTGCAAACTCCTTTAGAGTTCTCCTCCCCATCTCCACTCTATTTTCCTGCCAACTCGCCAGCTCTCCCGCAACAGCTTGCTGCGTATACCTGAGTTCCCTCCCAAGATCCTCCAACTCGGATTTGCTCTTGTCCATCTTCTCCTGCGCATCGCGCTGAACACGAGAGCGCGCGTCGTCGAGGAGACCGAGCGGCCAGCGGTCGGAGCGGCGAACAGAGAGGTTGTGTCGGTCTATAGCCTTTTGGGTATTGGACATGGAGGATATGATCGTGGAGGGGCGGGAGAGCGAGGTTAAGATTGCGGTGATGGTACTGGAGATGGCATTCATGGAGTAGTAGAAGCTAGCCATGGGACTTGCCTCACTCTGCGCTAACGTCTTGGTGTAGCGCTCGAAAGCGTTTAGGTGCTTGGGAGGAAGGAACGTGAGGGAATGAACCGCTGTATTAGAGATTTTGGCAGCGTCATTGAGGTCTAATGCCGCAGAGCGAAGCTTGTTCGTCCGTCGTAGAACGGATTTGCAGGCGTGATGGAGGGAGCGGATATTTTCTCGTGCGTGTTGTACGAACAGCTCTACTTCTCGGACATCATATATAGGAGCGTATTCTTCGCGTAGGCGCTCGACTCGCAGCTCGGCTTTGCGAGCGGATCTTTCGGCGAGCATCGAGGAGTCAATATCTGGGACTAGGAAGAACTCCCATACCATCTCGTGTGTTGAAAAAGTGGGATGCCGCAGTAGTATCTTTAGAAATGCATCGAGCCTTAGTTGCATGTCGCGTAATATCGAACGTGATGGCCTTGATGGTATCAGATAAGGCGACGCCAAGTTGTGAATAATTGGTAGCCAGGACGCGGGATGTTCTTGGGCAAGCCATTTGGCAAGGTTCTCAAAATCCTGTGATGATCGGCGGCAAGTCGTTACTGTAATTGTTCCATTTCCGTTGGGTGCTCCTGATTTCAATACCAGTCGCACCGTCCCATCTTCCACGAAGAAGGATCGAACAACGGTGGTAGTTCGTCCATCAGGCCCAGGGTCGTTAGATAACAGTACAAGATCATCGATACGGTTGCGGATATCATCGTCTTTGGCGAGTTCAACAGCTGTAAGGCCTCTTGCGTCTCTGGACGAGAGGTCGACTCGCGGGTCCTGGAACAGAGCTCGTACCATGTCCGTTCGGCCGTACTTGCTTGCCACCATGAGAGGCGTGAACTGCCTGTCATTGGTAGCATTGGCATCTGAATCGCAGCGATAGAGTAGCTTGACTGCAATTTGAGGATCAGTTATGATATGAAGCAGACTATTTCCTTTGTTGTCGACATGTTCGTCGAGATGTAACGGTTGGCCATCGGCCTGGTCATGAGTTGCTACTAACAGGGCTTTGTCCACCATATCATGGTACTGCTCGTGATCGTACGATCTGCATAGGGCGAAAATAGGCGTCTGTCCGTTCTTATCCTTTAACCGCCAAGGTAGAAGATGGCCGATGCGGTCGAGAAGTCGCGGTTGGTTGAAGAGATAGTGTGCTGTGCACCTCCCTTTCGAGTCTTGTTTTGCCAGATAATGTCGTAAAGACTCTGGAGAAGGGCTGTTATCTAGGATGTAGTTGAGAATAGTGTCCGTGGTTCTCGCGTAAGCCAGCTGAACTGCTGCACTCAGTAGCGTTGTTCCCTCATTGTTATAGTCTTCGAATATAAAAGTTGGGGAGTAGTACTCTGTCAAGCTGAGCAGGTACTGTAACGCCTTGTCTTGCTTGCTCTCAATGGCCATCATTAGAACCGACTGGCCTTCAGTACCTTGCGTCATCGTGAGTTTCTCAATCGACGTATCACCTTCAATAGCGCTGACGCGAGAGTCGAGGGTTGTGCGAGACGTAAATGATCGTGCTGAGCCGCTTGACATGCTTCGCGTATCCATGGATACCCTCTTCTTCATCTTTGGTCTACCGGGCAGAGGGGGTGATTGTGCTCGTTGAAAGGGAAAGATGTGTGCTAGTGGACCGTCTTCGATCTTATTTTTGTCACGTGAGGGGCTTCGGCGTCTTCTTCGTGGTTCGCAGTCGCCATTGAGGGTGGTTGATCCCAAAGAGTGTAGATCCGAGAAGCTTGCCGCGAATCTCACAGGACGATGGTTTACTCGTACGTCATCCTCATCTGAGAAGCTGTCCATATCTTCATGAAATGATCTATCGGGCTCAAGGATGCCTTGCATCGTTGCCAGATCGCCTGACGTGGTCGCTTGCCATAGTCTCCGGTTTCGCTGACTTGCTTTTCGTAGACCTCCTGAGTCTTGTGATAAATATGATAGGACTGCCTCGAACGTGCTGAGCGCATAACCCATCTCGCCACTTTCGACATCGTCGATGAAGATGAAGTGCTTCATATATGATAGGCGGGCCTGCAGATGTCGAACCGGAGCGCGAATGACTACAATAAGCAACAGTGACACAAGAGTATCTGCGTTGATTGTAAGAAGATGATCAGGCTTCTCCGAAATCTCTGCTCCATTCGTTAAGCCTTGCAACTCTGACTGGTTCGCAGTTGATGCTGAGTCCGGCTCAGTGATGTGTTTTTGCACACCAAGTAGTATCTCGAGCATTTCCTGTGGACTTCCTGCAACGCCCATCTTCTTGAACACGTCCACAGCTTTCGAAAGGCGTATAGCGAGCTCTCGCTTGCCTCTGCGCCCGTTTCCGATGTCGATACCCACTTGCGATATATCGATGTCCATCATCTGTCGCGTTCGACGCTCAAGATCCGCATCTTCAAGTTGCCGTATCTCGCGGACTCGAGGGAATAGGATCGAATGGTGCACCTGCTCGGCGATATAGCGTTCGATCATACGCTCCACGATTGGGCCGGTCAAGTCCGTCGTTGCACCGAGGAGAGAGAGCTGTTGCTTGTCCACCATCTGAAAAAGGTCAATCGCAGCAGTGACTGCTGTCTCTAACGATCTTCGCATTTGATCTTCGTCATCGCTGATTTCTAATGTGGAGATGAACCCATTTGGGCCTTGGGACATGCTGCTGTGCATAGACAAGGGCGCTGTCTCTGCCGATGAAACGGATCCACGTCTTCTGGAGCTTATAGATGTTCCCCGCGAGCTTTGTGATGGAGTTGGTGGCAGTGGTTTCTCCAGCTCCCTCCCGAACTCCTTGAAAAGCCTCTCCAGCCCCGGTTGCATCTGGCGTGCAATCATTGGGAAATGGTTCAGAAGGTCGCTAAAGGATTTAACCTCCTTCTTCCGTGGCATGGACGAGGTGTGTCCCCCAGAAGCGCCCGCCGCAGCGGATTGTGCCACGACTACATCTTTCTTAAGCTCCAAAGTAGCCGGTATTATTGGAATGGCCTCCCATGTCCCTATCAACGGTCGAGATATGAAGTATACCAGCCACGGTTGCGCATCGAAGGCATCGGGGTAGTAGATGGTGTCACTCAAGAGCTGGGCTTGGTTCAGCGTCTTGAATCCTGCGTCTTGTCAGCGCCTGCCATTCTCTCTATTTACTCTCACTTGTGCACCTTTGTTGCTGTACACGAATGCGTCCTTGACTATCACCGTGCGGCCGTTCGCGGTTGTGAACTGCTTTGCCTTGCCCCTTGTCTCCCTGAAGCTTCCGCCGTCCTTGACATGGTTATTGGGGCCCACGCCGCCCGGCACGCGCAGCACATGGCTTGCTAGGAAGTCCTCTGAACCGCTGAGGTCAATGTACGACGTGTTCGATTCCTTGTCGCGCGAATTCAGGAGAGCTTCGGTTGTGGGAACGAGTAGGACCTAGCGAAGCGGTTTTCTTAGCGACAACATCCCGGAGTGAAGTAGGAGAGAGGCAACGTACGTGGTGCTGGGCGGGCGAGCACTGGCTAGGGAGTGCACTGCGGAAGAAGGCCCGTAAGAAGGGATTCAGCACGGGAGGCATTCAATCGACATTAACAAGGTTTCGCGGGTATGTCAACATGCAGGGAGCATGTGAGCTCGCAATCTGGACCGGACAAGCCGGCGGGAGCTGCGGGCTGGAGACGGGCTGCTATCGCAGACGGGTGCCTGTTGTAGGTGGTGATTCGGAATGCGGAGGATGCCGAGTGAGTCTTGGGGGGTGGGACGGGCGGGGGGGATCGAGCTTCAAAAGAAAGCGCAATGGGCAGCGATATAGGACAGGGCGATGGCAAACAGTTGGGATGGGTGTTGATGGAGAGATATATCAGATTGGCTTGTGAAGGTCAATCCGTCCCTGATCATGTCCAATTATCGATTAGCGAGGAACGCGAAACATTCGTCATCGTTCCCGCGCTTCCTTCCCCAGCTTGTCTCACCACTCCACGTTTCATACACTCGTCAACAACAACAACACACACATGTCCAAATCAAATTCTGTAGTATATACAAAAGCTTTCTGCATACAGGAGAAAAAGAAAGACGATTTTATTTAGACGCCTTCTTGCACAGCTTCGTTCCGTAGTCGATCACACTCCAGTTCTCCGTCCCAGGCGTGGTTTGGGTGTAGAAGACGCCGTTGGGGTCATACTTGCTGCGAATCTTTAGAAGTCGCGCGTAGTTGGAGCCCCAATACGCCTGCTGCCAGTTTGGCTCGTTCAGATCACCCTGCGCTTGGATTAGCTGCTTGTCCGGTTGTCAAGTTGTTCTGCAAAGGACGTACCTCGTTGACGTAGCTAGCACCAGAAGGAGAGACATCCCTCAACGCCTTGCCGACGACGTTGGTGTTGAAGCTCTCGCGGTCTTTCCTGACAGCCCAGCTTTCGGTGCCACTCATGATGACATTGCTGATGACGAAGCTGCTCGCATTGCGCCATGTAGGGTGAATGGCATTGTCAACTTTGGGTACCCCGTAGCCGGGGTTGACAATGTGACCAACGTTGAATCCCAGCTGTGTTGGCTCAGGCATAGACGCAAAAAGGAGGGCATCAGCGATCTTATCGCCATGCTGAGCAATGTCCGACTGTGAGAAGAGACGTCCTCCAACGATTGAGTTCTGGTTCGGCTGTTCGTCCTCAAACATATCGATGTAGAACTCAAAGAAAGTCGGAAAAGACCGGGTGTAGGCGTCGTAGGGTATCTTGGCCGCATTCAGCTGGTCGTATAGTGGCTTCAAGACGCCCTGGAGCTGCGTCTCAGTCATGTTGGGTCCGACGAATGGGGCAACGTGGAGACGTCCTAGGCCAGGGCCTTGCTCAAAATATACAAACATGCCGTGGTTGCTGTAGTGGTTCGACAGATTGTGGAAGATGTGGAAAGCCTTGCCAAAGGTTGCGCTGTCATTTGTATGAGTGGAATTGATGTTGAGGATGGTGCCAGCAGTCGGTATTTCAGGAAACGTCTTGACGGTGATGGAAGTAACAACGGCAAAAGTGCTAGGACCGCCACCCTTTAGAGCCCAATAGAGATCAGAGTTCTCTTTGGCGTTAGCAGTGACGTACTTGCCCTCAGCTGTGATGGCATCAAAGGATAGGACGCTATCAGCGCCCATGCCGTAGATGCCAGAGAGCGGACCATGCCCGCCACCCTGGATATATCCACCTGCCCATCCAACAGTCTACCGTGAGTTAGTCGTATGCGAAGCTTTTGGACCGAAAAACCTACTGGGCACTCTCCACCAACAATGACAACCTTCGGACTCTGCGCGAAAGCCTGACGGTACAATTCACGACCCTGCACGCCCGCGCCAACGGTGGCTGCACTGCCCGTCCAGTTACCTGGTCCGTTGTACTTTTGAACGAAGTTGACGTCCTTGAAGCTGTGTGTGTTGATAATGAGAGATCCAAAGCCAGTGGAGCGACCCCTTGATCTTCGTGAGCTTCACTGGTCTCTAAGCATCTAGAGGAAATTACTTACATGAAATCATGGCCCGTGTTCCGAATAATCAAACGCAGGTTGCGCTCTCTTGCGAAGTTGACACCAGCTTTGATCTGATCCTTGGTCTTTGCTAGAATTACATAATTTCCGTAGAAACCGCGAGTGCAAGGTGAAGACGGGTCATCCGTTGGCAGGCAGGTATTATTCGTGGAGAATGGCCAGAGGTTAGCAATTGGGTGATCAGTCCTATGATAATTAGCACTGTGGGCTCATCTCTCTTCCAGTCGGTGGTACCCACAGCCACTGTTCGTTCAGCCAGTTCGCTTGTGTGTCTTTACACTTCGCCGCATCGTAGACGCTGACCGAGGAGTTTCCAAGACTTTTGTGACATACAGCACCTGGTGGTATCGCCAGCTGTAATTGACCATTTACGGTCTTGTTGAGTGTCTCCCAGTCTTTGTTCGTCGGCCAGCAAGCATTGTCCGAGTAGCACTTGCACTGATACTCAGTTCCGTCTACCTTCTTAACCTCACCAATCCATTTGGCACCCAATGCGCCGTCGGCCGCTAATAGCAATGAAGCGAACAGTGAGAAGCGACCCATCTTGATAGAGCATGAACACAAGAGTTGTGGCGACACGCGAGGTTCTTTATAGTTCCCATCTATGTATTTGGACCGAAGGCTGTAAACGCCCTCGCTACGTCTAGTTACGTCGCTAGACATCTGACATGAGGCCAGAGCTTCATTAAACATTTAAACAACCCTGCATCTATTCTTATGGCTTGAGGTGGACCAATGTAAGGTCAAGACACAGGCATGTACCCCTACCGTAGCTCTCATGTCTAGGTCCAGGGGTTATATGAAGGGCTGATGCTGAGCAAGGAACGAGTGAAATGGGCAAACAGCTAGCCCTGAAGAAGACTTTCGATACCGGGCCGCTGGAGAACTCGGTGGTTTACGCGTGTTTGTAGTGCCCTTAATCATCCGGTTAAAGTGGACCCTACCCTGCAGCAGCTATCTTGGTACGCAACCCGCGGAATCGAACGTGGCATCCTATTCTATTACACTTGTAAGGTTCCCTGGGAAAAACTCCGATCTCCCACATCGGCGTCATCTCTCCACGTTGCTAAGCCACGTTGCTAAGCCTCCCAAAGGCTTGTAGGGGACGCCGCGGTTGGCTCCAATATGCGTCGCTTGGAGTATACGGCTTCGTACCCTCCGTCGCTAGCGAGTCTGACAAGCAGTCTGCAAAGTAGGGCCTGTAAATTCGCTTGATATGATCCTGCATCAAGATCTTACGTTCCCGACAATTGCATAAAGAACTGAATTTGGAATCCAATCAGAAATAAACAGTACGATCTGTTTCTGAACAAATTGCAATATGCTCGCGTTCGTGGATGGTAAAGGCATTCCTTTACTCCGTGCACTATCAATGGCGGCGAGATCGATTACTAGCTCTACGGTTGTTGTGCCGAAAGGAGTCTCGGATGGGCGGTGCGGGGGTGGGCATCACTGTGCTGTCTAGGCCTCCACAGATATGCAGGTATTTCTTTTGCTGCGGTCGAGACGCTGTCCTAGCGTTGAGCGGAAGTGCATTAGAGGATGCTGCAAAGGTCTTAGCACAGCGACTGCGGATCCCCCAGTGACTCCATACTTTCCCCGCGGGCTATTTCACGTTCAAAGGAAATTGCTGTAGGGCTAATAAGCGAGCGGCGTAGTATTGGCAACGCGGCTCGGTGCACACGGTCGTTTTGTACTTGGTCCCGTTCTCGCATAATGTGAGGAATACGCGAAATTAGGGATATTTGTCTATATAGGCTCTACCCTGTTGGGAAAGGTGATCGATAAGTGGCCATTCCCATGTTTTTCGAGATCGACAATCACAAAACCGGCGCGATGAGACCGGTGGTCCCGCAAAAACGATCTTTGAAATAACAGGTTTATCAGCACTGTTGATAATTGAGCCGATGCAGTATCTGATATCCAGGATCATAGGCGAGTAAGTCTAAGTCGGGAAATTCATCACAAATTCGTATAGGCGACACAAGATCTGCTGCGACGTGCACTGACCCACTGTCAAGTGTTTTCTGTCGCTTGACGAATATGTGTTGTGAGGCCCGCTGAACAATGTGTCTGTCATCATGATTAACGCCCAGGGCAAACTCGGGTTCGAAAAAGTCGCCGCCAATACCCAATACCAACACGTTCAAGTAGGGGCAATGGGGATGTACACCCTGGAAGAAACGAGTAGCTACTTGATGGGCGCCAACAGCGGCTGCATCACCGGCCAGAGAACGTGGAAGATGAACCGTGCTCACGGGATATTCGTAGAGTTGCAAGATACGTAGATCTTTGAGTAGTTTGATAGGTTCCTGCCAGGTAAAATTAGCTTCTTGTACCTAAATGCCACCCCGGGGCACCCTCAAACTGACCAGATATTGAAGTAGGAAATCCGTCCTCGCGTCAGTTTGACAGGCTGACAGTAGATCCTGCACAGGCGGTTGCAATGCAAATTGTTGCAGGCCTAAAAACTCACGGCAGATGTACTCTAGGCTTGAGTCTGGCAAAAATACGAGCGCCGTTTCCAGAACATCATCTCCCAGCGACTCATTAATTGGATCGTACAAGGCGAGCGTCTTAAGCCTGTGATGCAGAGGCCAGAGATATGATGTGTCGCCCGAGGGTGTCTCAGGCCCTAAAGGTATATCCGCAAGCCAGCTCAAACTGAGGTAAACATGCTGAAGACTTTGGTTCCGCTGAAAAAGGTCTTTGCATTCTCCTGAGAATTTTGGGTACATGCTGCTGTCCTTGGTGTAGAACTGGAAATGCGTCAGATTTTCCAGTTCTGGCAAGCATGAAACAGCTGCGAATAACCATGTATTGCAATCAGACAAAATCAATCTCGTCACCGTGGATAAGTCGAACATGTGACATATAGCGGCCGCGAAAGTATAAGGCATGTATCCAGAAATAAGGAGCTCACATGTCTTGACTTTGCGGTGCTGAAAGAGATCCACGTAGTCTCTCTTATCCCAGTAGTCATAGATATTGCCTATCCACCCGCCGCAGAAGACAATGGATAGCGACTCGAGTGAAGGTAACATTTGGGCGAATTCGACGAAAGAACAAGTTTTATGCTCCGGTAGGAATCCTGCCATAATGCGTCGCCTTGTAGAGGTGATCAGTTGCCGGGGGTCGGCGCATTGTGGAATGAAAATTGTATCAATCAACTTTTGGTGTTCATTGATGTGACGGAGAAGGATTGGATCCACACTAGTTCCAGATATGTATCTGTGCAAATCGTCAGTGAGGCCCACGGGATACAGTAGCTTGGCCTCTAGGCTTGGCTGCATCGTTTGCGTATGAACCTTTATGTTTGCGAAAGTGAAGACGCGGGACGAGTTGAGGTTATCGGGCTGTGATGCAATACACAAGTTTCAAGGGCCAGGTATCGATCCAGTCGAGACATGCAGCATATAGTGTCAACACACTCGTCGCAAAAGTAATACTCACCGAAAGGCCCGCAACTTGTTATGTGGAAACAGTTGCACGACGTTTAACAACAGCTGATATTTCTTTCCTATCTCCGGCCATGGCAACCTTTCGCTGATCCAATAGCTTTGTGAAAAGGATCGAGCATCTGGTATCTCAAGGAAGCTCAAGCTTCTCGTGTACTGCAAGTGTCTTAAGGCGCCATTTTCAAGGCAACGCTGGAAAACCGACAGCTGACCGTTAGAATGGCGGATGTCAAGGACGATATTGGCGTATAGATATCTCGTGGCAACATGGCTCCAAGCTCGAGATGTCAGACATAGCGCTCGAAGGTCTGAGTATAGAGAAATCTAATGACATCTATCATTAATGAGTTCAGGTACAAGAGCCCTGTAGCGGGGTTCGCACATTATCCAGTACAATCAGCTTAACATCCTCAATGAGATCTAGACCGGGCAACTTTTGCGTAAGCTGGGCCATCGTTATTCTGCTGGGCCGTTGGGGTTGGAGGCTGAATGATGAAGTGGCAAACACGAAAGTGGGGGAGGGGTCCATCATGTGAGCACGCGCCGAGTCCATGCTCAACATTGTCAGATGGCCACCGCATCATGCTTCTTTCCTCACCATCGTTCATCGGCCAAAAGAACAGCTCCAATATTCAAGTCGATATATGTACACACAATGACCTCCCGCAGACCGTTTGACGCCCAGTCTCCCCTGAACCTGGCCATCCAATATCACCGTCTCGACCTGCAACATAAACACAAATGTCTCCCCACGCAAAGTACACCTACCTTCCTACCTCGCGCTTTCCTTCTCCAACATGCCCACTCCCTCAGCAGCCTGGCCCTGCATTACCCTCTCGTCAAAACATGTGTTGTCTATTGCGTGTTCTGTTCTGATGTGAATTCTTATGAGACCCACGCTTAAAGCCCGTGAACTTATCATCCCGTGCCTCATCTACATCATCTCCAAGCACGAGACTCTCCCTCGGCTTCAGTCGTGACATGCTCTTCTTGAGCGCCATCTTCTGCCTCCTCTCTTCTACTACCATATTCAATCGCGAACAACCAGGCACAATGGTATCGCCAACCGAGCGATTTCCGAAATCAATCTTTTTGTAGTGTACACTCCACTCGCACACTGACTCCGGCTCCCCAAAGCCATGCATACGCACATCTAGCGTCGGGAATCCTACCAAAGTTTCCTCTCCCGTCGCGCTATCTGTGCGGAACACAGCAGGAAGCGTAAAGCGGAGATCATATGGTTTGAGGAGCGCGAAGGCGGCGGATATGAAGCGGTGAGGACGTACGTTGGTCAGGACATCTTCCTGATATCCTCCTATTTCTTCTTGTGCGGTAGGAAGGTGCCGCATGTCCTCCTTGTTAAATACGCGGAGCGTAAGCGTATCGGCGGTGTGATTTCGTAGCCGGATCCAAAAACGTCCGTCGAATAGTCGGTATGTCTCTCTTGGCCTCGACGTCGTGTGCGTGGTGATCGGCACTGTGATGTTTGAGGGTGGGTATATGATATGGTTAACGGGGTCATTGCGCAGAGGTTGGCGGGTGAGAAGCCATTCCCTTGGATGTATTTGGGCACGATGGAAGCCATCTTCTGGAACCTCGAAAGGAGAGCGCTTGCCCCATATGCGCCACCAGAGGCCGTAAACGCAACAGTACTTAATGGTATTCTCCCTTTCGGAGGCAGAGAGGCCTAACCCTTCGGAGGTTTCGAGTTCGGGATAGATGTAGTCAATTATACCCGCGATCTGACCGAGCGGGGCCTTTAGCTTTGGAGTGACCAGTGCTGCAACACGCTCTATTAGGCAGTACGCATTGTCCTTAGCTTCGGTCTTATCGGTCTCGGTCTCAATGGGTCGAGCTAGTAGAGAAGACAGCGGTGGAAACCGGACGAGGAGACAACCCGTCTGAACGTCAAGCTTGATCGGACACAGGTCGAAGAGCTTCCGGGCGTGAGCTTTGTGCGACTCAATGCGCTTTTGCATATTGAGTGAGACAGCGACTAGTGACTTGATACTCAGCGCCTCCGGCATCTTGTGATTTTTGTAGATGTGCCGTATAGCGTTGCGCGCGGTCAAAGTCTGCATCTGGTTGGTCCTGTCCTCAGCCCACACGATGCCATTCTCTTCGCAAGTCGCGATAAGCCGTGACTTCTCAAAGGCCAGAAGGGGCCGTAGAATCTGAATGCCCCCCTGCTCTATGGGAAATGGGACGTTGAGCCTAGTATCTTGTTTCTGGGCTTTGCCGCTATGGTAAACGCCGTATATTCCCTCGCACTCGGGTATCCACTCGACACTCTGCATAGCTCGGAGACCAGAACGCAGCCGGTTATTCGCTAAACGCATCATTACTGTCTCTGCTTGATCGTCGCCATGATGTGCCACCATGAGCATGTGCACCTTCTTTTCTTTGCATGCTCTACCGAGAGCCTGGTATCGGAGGGCGCGTGCTTCCGTTTCGAATCGCCTAGGATCGAGGGGGTCGACGTCTTTGGGCCAGGTGAGAGGGAGTATGGTAGCTTCCATCCCAACTAAACGATATTAGTGTCCACGATTGATGAGGTAGCTTGCGGTGTCTCACACTTCCCGCGCAATTGCTGCGCAACCCACTCTGCTTCCTCTGTGCTCTCGGGGCGCACTTTATGATCAACGATAAACCCATGGGCCATTGGAAGGAATGGATTAGTCGTTCTAGCTTGCGCATACAATGAAGCAAGCGCCATAGAGTCCACGCCTCCACTAATTGCGAACCCTATTGATCAGTCAATTCTCACTTTCTCGGGTACTGTCCAATTTTACTAACCAAGTGGCTTTTTGATTTCAGGCCACATGTTCAAATTCAAAACATTTGCTAGGGCATCTTCGAACTCTGTGCCTGTGACTGGCAAGCTCCTTTCGGAGCTATACCATCTATACACTCCATGCCCTGTGGTTGTAGTAGAGGAGCAGCTCCTCAACCTGAGGACATTGTTTCTCCACATATACGCCGTGGCATAGATCCCGCGCGCAAAAGCTTGTACAGGGAAACTGAGGCTTAAGGAAAGTTCCGAAAGGGAAATGCACGAGAATTCGGGAGAGAGTTCGGACTGCGACGCGTCTGTTCCGAGGTCTGGGGCACGGGCCCTTCTCGAACTTTCTCAGAGAATCTTTATCTCCGTCTCTAGCTCTCCAACATCCCCAGTATTTCACTCACCAGCGCATCTCAATCTTCAATTCTCGTGATACCCTGTCTCTCCATCGCAAACTTCTAATTACATACACCATGGTAAGCTTCCCTCCCCACCCATCTCTTCCATTACTATCCACCTCCGCACCTCCGCAAGCTCCCCACCGCTCGAGACCTCTGGACTGACACCCCAGTAGTCTGCCATCAAGTCCATCCGCTCCATTGCCCCCCTCCTGGACCGTATCTTAGTCCAGCGCGTCAAGCCCGAAGCCAAGACCGCGACCGGTCTTTTTCTGCCCGAGACTGCCGTCAAGGAGCTCAACGAAGCCAAGGTCATTGCCGTCGGCCCAGGAGCCTTCGATAGAGATGGAAAGCGTGTTACGCCGAGTGTACAGCCTGGCGATAAGGTCTTGATTCCGCAATTCGGCGGTAGCCCTATCAAGGTTGGCGAGGACGAGTTGAGCCTGTTCAGGGACCATGAGTATGCATATTATCCACCCAAGGAATTGGTGCATTCCGACTAATAGTGTACAGGCTGCTTGCGAAGATCAACGAGTAGACGGTATCTGCTTCTCCTAGACAATTCACGACACAACGCTTGCGCCTCAATTGTATCTCTACTTGTACCAATACCACCCGCTATACTAGACCCCTTCACGGTACGCTAGCATCACCGCCGGCGTTCATTGGCATATACTCTGGCTTGAGGGAATTTGTTTTGAGAGCGGCTGTTCGATGTAGTTACAACATCAGGCTAGCGGAGGAAGTGAGATGAAGATATGAAAAAAATAAACGAAATCTCTACTCTGTCGGATCGAAGATATAAGTCATTGTGGTGACTCAAAATATGTAGGAGAAGTGATCAGCATTCCTACAGCGTAACTCAGAAACATTCGCAAGAAGCGGTACTCATTTACTAGAAAGCTTCTTTCTGACCGGAACTTGCATTACTCATGATTATCTGTATTCCAAGGAACCATGACGAAACCCACCCTTCGATTAACATCCCACGTTCCTAATGTCAACCATTGACACAGCCAAGAACCCCGTGTACCAGCAGAAGCCGCTCACCACGCCGCATTGCCACCCCCACCGCCCCACTGGCGTCCACCACCCTGAGTACTACCCTGAGTATTTCCCTGGCCATATGCACCATACCCTCCAGTAGGCGGTGGCTGCTGCCCATACCCTCCAGATGCATGCTGTGGACCAGGGTTCTCATAGCCCTGCTGATAGTTTGTTGGCACCGTATAACTCGGCTCCGCCCCTTGACCACCCGAATACTGTCCTTGGCCGAATCCATGGCCTCCAGGCGGTGCAGCGCCGCTATACTCGGCTGGAGCCTGGTACCCTTCGCCTGAGTAGGAGGACTGGTAGGGCTGGAAGGTTCCCCACTGTGAAGGTTGCGGGGAGGGGGAAGGCTTGTAGGCCTCGTTGGACGGGGCAGAGAAGTCATCGCCGACTTCGCGTGTTTTACCGCCACCGCTAAACTGGCTAAAGGCGCTACCCAGACCACCAGGGAGGTTGCTGGTTAGGGAACCAAGGAGCCCACCGGGACCGCCAGAGCTGGATTGATGCTGCTGGCCTGGGTAGCCTCCTCCACTGGACGAGTTACCGTGTCCATTGCCATGGCTTTGGAAACCTTGCATACCCGGTGCGCCATGACCATGGCCATGCGAATGATCATTGTCTCCACTATGATTCTTACCTGCCTTCACAGACTCGGAAGATAGGAGGTTATTTAGGTCCTTACCATGGTAGTTTTGCGCCCAGTTCTTGACGACTTCGAACATGTTGACGTGGACTTCGCACCGTGGATCACGCAGCGTTGGGTGGTGGAAAACGCGCATGCAGTCATTAAGGACCTGGTCGACAGGAACATCTGGATGGTCCCAAGCGTAGATCACTCGAGGGGCGACGTACTGCAGAATAGCCACGGCGACTTGACCGGCAGGGGCGTTCAGGATATTAGAGAAGTGGTCCTTGGAGAGCATTGAATGCGTCGGGTTGGTGGAAGTGGGGATCGTCCAGACCTCGAACTGATGCTTTGCAGCTGAGTCAATGACGGCGGAAGAGCCGCTCTTCAGCTGGGCTGATGCTGTCTTGATGATTGGCAGGATGAAAGGCGCAAGAAGCGACAGCACAAAGAGGGTGACCCGTTCAGTGATGGTCTCGATAAGTTTCTCCAACCCGGGAATCTTAGACACGATGGCCGAAATGCTACGAACAACGTTGTCCCTAAATACTAGGATCGGATAGATCTTTGGGATGATAGTTGCTGGATCTGTGTCTGTGCCAGGAATGTTCGGTCCAGGGGGTCCACCAACAGAGCCTGGAGGCGCGTCGAAGGAAGGAGGCTGTTGATATCCAGGCTGTCCACCTGCTCGAGAACTATAGTCGTCATAGCCTCCGGAACGAGCGTTCGCCGCAGCCTGAGCATCCGACGCAGCTTGCAGATTCTGAGCTTCTGATATCAGGCCATGGGTTCCAGGAACCTTGCTGAGAACGTCTATAAGCCCGCTGCAAGCATCAGGCCCGCCAGGACCTCTCTTTCCGGGGGCGTTGTTTGACACAGCATCCACTAAGGCGGTGTTTACTTCATCGATCTCCGATTGAGTGATATGATCCGTAGCCTCCCCTAAAACGGAGTGGAAAAAGTCGACACCTCCGAAGGTACCGGTTACTAGTGGATATACATGCTGTCCGTGAAGAGTGATGCCAGCCTGTGAACCAACGTGCGCGAACACATTAGTGTACCCAAGCTCACGCAGCACAAGCTCGGTATAGTTGGTGTGGGCACCAAAGTCTTCAAGGCAATGCAGACCTTGGCCTAGGCAGCGAAGTGCTTCCGCAAGGTCTTCATCGCGCCCACTTTGACCAGATGGACCATGCGTGTACATTCGACCAAAGTGAATTGCTCGTGCGAACGAATACTTCACGTAGCCGGTGGAAGTAGCCCAGCCCCCTTGTTCGTTGGCAATATAGTTTTTCATTCCTAGTAGGACTTAGTAAACGTCAGGCATGACGGACCACTAAGATTTCGTACCTGTGTTCGGGTCAACAGCCAACTCGGCTTCCGATACTGGGCCTCGCAGTCGAGGATCGAGCTTTCGCGCGTCTGCATTGTCGGCGTAATCTTTAGGGTTATCGATATGTTCCTCGGGCCTGTAGACGCCTAGCCTCTCAGCTGTGACTTCGAATTCGCCAGTAGCGTAGCCAAAGGACATGAATGACAGAACCCAGACAAGGATACGGATGGTCTCAGACTAGCAACTATCAGTCATGACGCAAGCGACAAATATCCTCAACAGAGACATACCTGGACTTTCGCCAAGGTTCCAACGTCGACAGCCTTTGAAAGTCAGCATTTTACCAGTCCTCGTCATGGAGTTAGACGTACCTGCGAATAATCTCGGAGCCAGTTGCCAAAGTATACGCGCTGCATTAAGAATTAGCCACGACTATAGTTCCCTAGTGATATGACACCATACCTTGATCATATTAGCCTTCCACTTGTGTCCGCGCAAGCAGGCGACTGTCGCGAGCATATCTTCAATGTCTCCATGGCGCCAGTTCTTGCCTTCAACTTTGGAGATAGAGGCAATGTTCCCCGCGCCAAAAGCGTCGGCTCCTGAAGGTAGCAACACCAGAATCGCAATCGCGACAAGCAGCAGGTAGTTGGACGAGACTGCCATGAAGGGCGATATGGACGAAGTAATTGTGTGATGGAGTGAGGTTAAAGAGAAGTCGAGTAAGACCCGCCGTGGACTACTTGCGCGTCGCCCAGTCAGCCGTTGATATTACGGGAAAGTGTTTAACGCGCCACGCCGACCTTGGAAACGAGGACCCACAACCACGTAACAAGACCTGCAAATTGCCTTGAAATTACCAAACTCGCATTTTCTGATCTGTGTGGATCCTTTTAGTGCCCGAGAAAGCCGTCTTGGGAGGCTTTACTGCATCATGGAGCGTTGATTGCGCCACACTTGCCCCGCCTTGGGCGTGGATGACGATGGAGGGGCTGGCGTGCAGGGGAGGGACATTTCAGCTGAACTCTGCTTATGCTCACCAAAACCGCCGACCAATGGGTGTACCAACTATCATGTGCCGGTCACGCTTCTCATTGCTTACTGCAGGCGGCCGCTTGACGATGCTGCTGCCTGGCACCTGATTAAGCTCAGCCTGGGAGCATATCCTTAGATGCAACTATTCCCGTGAAGCACATATGCTCTATCATTGTCCCTTTCCGCCTTTTCTTACTCGGGGCAGAAGCTAGAAACAGTCTCATCTGATGTCTCAAATGGGCGAAGAAACGAATGCTCACCCGGGCGACCTCGATCTAAATGATGACAGTATGAATGAATCATGGCAAGATATCTCAACACCTAGCACACAGACGATGCAGGAGGTAGAACCAGACGAACCAAAAACGCATTCCCCCGAAGAACGACGACGACCGACTACAGACGATTGCGAAGAATTCCACAAAGCTATTATACGCGGCGACCTCGAGACTATTAAAGCCAAACTAGCCCTTGGTGTGGACGTCGAGCTAAAAACAAGAGATGGATACACTGCACTAGTCATCTCCATCATGGAGACCCAAGTAGACATAACAAGGCTGCTGCTGGAGAGAGGAGCCGATGTACATCATCGAGTCCAGACCCTGCCTCCTATCGTACACGCAGTCATGAAAACCGAACGTGCACCGCAGCTCATCCAGCTCCTCATGGACCACGGAGCTAACCCGTCCACTATCTCAGGACCTGATCGGATGAACGCTCTCCACTGGGCCGCCGTCGATGGATTTGCCGACGCTGTCGACTTCCTCGTCAGCAAGGACATGCACCTAAATAGCACTTGCTCGAAAGGACGAACACCTCTGATTCTCGCAGCCGAGCAGGGTTATACCACAGTTGCGAAAGTGCTATTAGCCAAGGGCGCCGAGTTATTTAAGAGAAGCCACAATGGCGGGACAGCTTTGGCATGGGCAGCGTGCAATGGCCATCTAGACACGGTGAAATACTTGCTGGAAGAGGGGATCGATGTCGATGACTGTGATAATTATGGTCTGAGTAAGTTAGGATGCTTGGTTTAGATATTGCGAGCGATAACTGATACCCGCAGCCGCACTATTGCTCGCCAGCAACACGGGTCATCTGGACGTTGTCGAATTCCTGATCTCAAAAGGCGCGGACGTCAACAGACTCAGTGTAAAACCAAAAAACCATACACCAGCCATGGCAGCAGCTATGGCAGGCCATGCCAAAGTGCTTCAAGCTCTAATAAGAAGCGGTGCCGATCTCAATATCCCCAACGGGAGCGGAGAGACTGTTCTCGGAAATGCCATGGCAGAAGGCCGACTCGAAGCTGTACAGGTTCTCCTTGAAGCACTAGGCGGCCCCAATCATCCCCGGGACAGCGTTGCTCTTCGAATGGCGATGGCAAATTCTGATACTACGATCCACTCGCTCATAGCCACTGCTTCAATGATGTATCCGCACTTCATCCTTGGCCCAGAAGCACCAGGAAAATTTGCCTGGATGAGCTGGGTACTGGAAAGTGGTGGGCATCTTGTCAAGTCAAAAGCCATGTCCAACATGATGCACGCTGCCTTTCGCAAAGAACAATACGATATGGTTGAAGTTTTGCTTGGACATGGCTGCGACCCTAACACCTTCCTTCCTACAGGCCACACGCCGCTTTCGGTTGCCATTGGTCGCCGGAAGCTCGAGGTCGTCCGCATGCTTCTCGATGCTGGTGCTGATCCCGCCAAACAAGGCCGTGAACGTGGACGTCTTTGTTACACGCCACTTCACCAAGCACTTCTAGCTCGGGAAGATGACCGGGAGAAAGATACCTCAATCATTGATCTTTTGATTACCAGCAGCCGATGCAATCTTCTCCAAGGGAAACGTTTCCAGTCCACTGCGTTCTCCTACATACTCCGTCAGTTCGATGTTGGGGCCCACGGAGTCGCTGAGAACCTAGCATTCCGAATGATAGAAACAGTACCCGATATCAAGCAGGACCGGTCTGACGATGGCTCAACCTTGATACACGTCGCCGTCCACTATGGCCATCGGGATCTGATTGACTTTCTCCTCCTAAGGGGCGCAGACATCAACGTTACGGATCAATTAGGTCAGACTCCCTTCCTCAGGCAATGTCAGCGCAGTGCGAAGGATCTCCCTTTTCTCCTCACCTGCGGCGCAGATGTATTCGCAAAGGACAAACAAGGCCAGTCCGGGCTACATGTAGCCGCCTTCCATGGGCGGATTGATACCTTGAAACTGCTGCTTTCCAAAGGACTGGATATTGACGCTGTCACTCTGAATGGGGATACGCCGTTGCTATGCGCACTGGTAGCAGGGCAGGAAGAAGCAGCACTGTACTTGATGAGCCAAGGCGCTGATACTAGGGTAAAATGTTTGACCATAGCCAGGAGGAATGTCGTGCACAACGCGGCAAGTCCAGGGATAGAGAGCTCATCTGAACCCGAACGCGTAAACACGACTGCGGAAGAAAGCAAAGGCTGGACGCCATTAGCACTAGCATGTAGAATGGGTTCGAGGAAGCTCGTCGACACGCTCATCTCAGCCGGCGCAGACACGGAAGCCATGTCAGAGAATGGAGACCGACCCTTGCACATCTCCCTCATCACACGCAACGAAGACATAGCACTCCTCCTCCTCACACAGCACAACGTCAGCGCTACCGCCACCTGCTCCCTCAACCGCACACCACTACATCTCGCAGTTGAATACTGCAATCCGCGCACCGCCCGCTTTCTCCTTGAACACCGCGGTGTCTCGACGGAAGACTGCGATGATGAGTCCTGGACGCCGCTGTGCGTGTGCGATGACCCGGGCATCACACGGCTTCTCGTCGAGCATGGCGCAAACGTGAACCATGTGGATGTCAATGGATGGACGGCGTTACACCAGGCTGTTTCATGTGGGAGCGTGGACACGTTTAGGATTTTGTTGAGGGCGGGTGCGCAGCTTACGGCTAGGACGAAGGACGATGCGTTGAGTGTTGGGGAGAGGATCGATGGGCTGGCGAATGCGCGGGTTCGACAGAGGCTTCTGGATGTGGTTTATGAGGAAGCGGGGGGTAGGAGACGTTGGAATTGAGGAGTGGGAGTGGGAAGAAGAGGGGAATGGAAAGACTCCGGGCATAGGGCATACTAGCAGAGTTTAAACTCGCATATCTTCATCAATGATAATCGTTTGAATTGGGTGCATAAAGAAAGAGCCATAAAAGTTCATTCCCAGCCAGCCTGCACACTGAATCTCATCGTGCCAGCTGATTGTATGTTGTTCTCATGTTATCCCAACAAACTAGTTTCCACCAACCTTCTTCGACTCTTCCTGCAGTTTCTTGATCTGCTCCTGTGTGCTCGTTCCGGTTTCCGCTCGGTCCGCCTTGACCTATTTCTTTTCGTCAGTACAGGTATTTCCCACATGGGACATGGCATGTCCATAGATGACGACTGTATCAACGTACAATGCTCTCGCTATCACTCGCAAGGCCCTCCTCCCAGTGTCCCTCGCCCTGCTTCCGCTTGTTCAATTGCTCCTGCTTCTTCTTCTCGACTTCGTCCGCGCGGCCTTCGGTGTCTGCGGGAGTTTGTCAGTATCCGCATCTCGAACTTTGGACAGGTGGATTGATGGAATTGGATGGAGCGGAGCAACGTACGAAGAGCCGACTCCTTGCCCGAGCGACGAGCTATTGACTGCGAAAAGGCGGCGCGCTGGGTGAAAACGACGGGGGAGCGACGAGTCGCAAAGGCGCGGATGGCAGACATGATGGGTTGGCGAAGTCTGGCGTATTGTAGTAGACGTTTGTATACAAGGCCTACGTCAATTGAGATTGCAGTAGAAGAACGGGGAGAAGCTTTTTGCACAAGGGTAAATGACAGCCGGAGACACGGTACTCTCTTCTTGCCCAGTAGCTTTCAGACTGGCACACAAATTCCTCGGTAGAGCTCCGGCACGGTCCCTTTGGTGCTGGTGCAGTGCTGTTGACGTCATGTTCCCCAGCTCTGCAGCATTACGACAATTGGGGCCCGCCCGCGAACGTCCAGTTGCAGTGCGTCAATTAGTCAAATAGTCAATCAGTCAATCAGATGATTCGAGCCCATGACGGCACTACTTGTGAGGCTATGTTATTCTGAAGTGAAGTGAAATGAAGAATGGCGCTGTGCGGTCCTCGTTACAAGCAGGCTTCGCCCCAGCAGCTCCGCCCACCCGCAAAGGACGCATGGTCGGCGCCCACATGTTGAACCTGGGCCGCAACCAGACTCGGTCTGTTCCTGCATCTGTCTCCCCGGACAAGGTGGCGTGGCTTAGTACCCGGCCCGTAGTTTGTGTTTTGAACTCAGGGCGCAGTAAAGTCCTGTTCCGAGTGAGGATGCTGAACCGCTCGGCCTTGGGGGATACTCTGTACCCCGCAATGAAATGAGTGTCAGAGTGTCTGCCCGTGAGGTATTGCTATGAGTTAGTCTCGTGCTTTCAAGATGAGTGTAGAAAGTGTAACGGTCATCACAAACAACAAGCACCGTTTAATGTGAAAAAGCTGCGATTGCATTCCTGAATAACTCACTGCCCTCTGACCCGAGGCGTGTAATATAAAAGGAGAAGAGTTCCCCGAAGCAAAGATGAGACGAAAAGATTCCAGAAAGATGACCACGACCGCTCGCCCTGGGGTCGTGTATAAAAACCTCATACAATGAAAATAGAAAGCCTCAACGCAACCTGCGCCAATGACTGCGTAGAATCATCCCAGTGTCGTACAGTGTAAGACCGACAATTGCACCCGAACCGATTGACCCATACGCTTTGACACCGCCGCTTTCGAAGATCGCGCCCACAATGGTATATACCGACCGCTGAAACCGAGAACCGTCCGCACAAAGGAAATCTACCCTTTGTATGGCGCCGTGAACAGGCAGCCGGGTGACAGTAATGTAAGATGGCAAACGCTACAGAACACCGATATCTGTAACCAAGAATTTTCTGAAGTCTTTAGAACGCTGAATGATAAACCCAGGATGCGACCCAAAACACCATAATGTGCAACCGCCGTGAATGCGTTAGTAGGCGCCCTCGAGACGCGAGGCGAATGCGTTTCTATCCGGAAGTGATGTTTTCGCTGCTACAGTGCGACGCCGTCGCCGGATCAGTGGTATTATCCAAGATGTCCAAGGAGATATCGTAGATTTGTACAAGGAGAATCGATAGTATAGACGCATGATCCTCCGGAGGATATCAAGAAGAGAAGATTAGATCCAGGTAGCCACTAGCCGAGCAACGAGACGCCGCCATTACCGACCGAACAAAACGCATGGCCTCGAGCCTGCGAGGCCTTTACCAGCGTCGCGACATGAACTGCTGCTGCATCTGTCGGTTGGGCGAGACGGACGGTGGTGGGCTGGCAACTGTTCGTGTCGAGGGGTCGACGATGGGAATGGCATTGCGAGTGCGCTGGGCTAGTGGCTGGTGGAGCTTAGTCTGCGAAGAGTTGTTCTGCTGGAAGCCGGCCGGGGTATACGGGTTCGGGGCCGAAGAGAGGACAAACGAGGGGGTTGGCTGCAATTGGTGCTGGAGTGGGGACTGCTCAGGTGATCCACTCGACAGCGACGAGCGGTCTGAACCAGACGAGTGAATGGATTGCAGCTATTCATCCCAAGGTCAGCGCTGTTTGTGGCGGAAGCGATGATATCATGGGCTGGTGTGGCTCATATCATGGACTCGGCTACTTACATCGTCCTCGGTGAGCAGGTGGAAGGGGCAGAACATCTCGTCGTCTTCAATGTCAAACGAGCGTGCAGCCTCGAAGTCGCGCTTGAATGCGAGCATGGTAGGGGGCTCGACGTTGAACTCTTTCGGGGTGCGGGCTTGGCGGAACTGCTTCTGGTTCTGGTTGTGCTGGGCCGAGATCCGGGGCGCCCTCCGCGACCGGCCGCCGTGGTGGTTGTGCGAATGAGCAGTGAGGTGTTGTTGCTGGTGGTGGTGGGCACCGTAGTTGAAGAACTGCTGCGACATGGTTACGGGTGGTGTGGGTGGTGGTTGGGATGAAAGCCGTGGGAGACGAAGAGGGGAAGTGGAGGAGCGACCACAACAAAGGCGGGACAAAGGGGTATAGCTCGGGATGGTGCGGAAGCGATGTCGCGTGGTTGTGCAGTAGATGCAGCGGTCGAGGAGCGGGAGCGATAGGTATTAACTTGGAGTGGAGTGCGATGGGAGGGCGAGGCTGAGTAGAGGAGAGTAGAGAGGATGGATGTCTTTGAGCGCTGTGGTGTGTGCAGAGGAGCGAAAGAACAGAGACGGAAGGGAGGGCAGGGAAAAGGCAGGTGCACTGGTCGCGGGCGAGTGGGTCTGTGCGCAGCCAGCGCCCCACGACGTCTGATGTGGTTGGACGGGCGAGTTCGCCACCGCGCTGGTCTTGACCGGAAGCGGCCTAGGCCAGGCTGTCGGGTGCGCATGTCGAGGAGGGAGCGAGCGCTAGAGGAGCCTCTTGACGAGACGAAGGCTGCGGTGCTGGTGCTCAACCATGGAACAGCCAGCCCTTGACTGCCGCACACGCACAAGCACCAAACACCCGCCTAGCCATGCTGTGAGAGCCAGTCCTCCTCGTTGTCGCCGTGCGCGCAACCCCCAACCCCAGACGGTGGTGGGCAGACGGGCCCTGAACAAGGCGGCGCATTATCAAACCACGCTTATGCGCTGCACACGACGCTACAAGTTGCTTGCCAGCCAACTCACAGCCTCGGTGGGCTGGTGACCCTCAGACTGCAAGACTGTCCGCGCTGACCGCCTCTTGCTGCAGGCCCTCTTCCCGTCGCCAGGGGAATGCATGCTTCGAGCCCCGACAGCGAGGAAGAGGTCCTGTCGGCAAGGGCGGCCGCATGGCACCTTGAATGTCGAAGCCTTGGTTGACGTGGAAGAGGCCGGCCGCAAGCTGCTGGAAGGCTGGCTGGGAACGCTAGAGCAGCACCCGCCTCCTCTCCCTATGGCAGCACGCCACCACCGTGGCCGACTGCTTTCTGGGATTCGCTGGGCTCACGCTCAAGTCCCTGCCAACGGGCCTGTAAATCACTGCCATGTCGAGGGCGCAGTGCGCTTCTGGAACTTGGAATGCAGCCCCTCTGGCAACCGCAAAGTCGTGTTGAGCAACCCCCCCAACATCTAGACGCTCGAGACATCGTGCACCCTGGACACCTGGGGCATCTCCAGGGCTTGCACCAACGAGCGCCAATGGGATCGGCCAACACAGAGTTTGAGCGAATATTTATAGCACAGCCTCTTGTAGATCCCGCACTCAGTTGCTCCCGCTGCGCAGAGCTCCCTCCATTATCTGATCTGTCTGCCTGCACAAACGCCTGGGAGAAGAAGACGTTGTAACGCTCAACCAGCTTGTGCACTGGCCACGCTTCGAAAACATGTCTGCCACAAGCTAACCCTACACGCATGAATGATCGCTATCACGTTCGAAACACCTTCGGTTCGGAGTTCTCTGCTCTCCCCACTGAGGGACGGGTGGGGTGACCACAAGCTGATAGATAGCCCCGGTTGAATCAACTTATATGAATACTAGCGAGCTGGCTTCCAATCAAACCATGCCTGGAAATGAATGCGCATTCTGTGAGGCTGCTTACTACTTCAAGTGCTGACCACCTAGATTGTTGCTGGGAGGCCTCTCTCTGTGGCCTGTGGCGCGTGTCAGCGCTATAGCGAGGAATGATTTAGCCATGTTCGACACTCTGTGAGCGTTTTGTCAACAGTCCTATCTGGACTAGCAAGCATCGAGTACAATCTGTAATATTCATCCCGATGGTATCATAGCCAATGTCGTCCCAACGCCCCAAGAACAGCCCGAACCACAAGAAATACTTCATCCACACAGTCCTGTCACTTGTCGAGTCCTCTTGCTTTGACGAATTTCGCAATCTGATCCTTGCATGTCTTATCCGTATAAGACTCCCAGACCTCGTAAAGCGATATCAGCTCCTGCGTGCACTCTACCACTGCATCGATGTCGACACTGCTCTCTGCAAGCCAGTCCACCAGCTTCTGCACTCGGTTCTGCGTCCCCCCTGCGTTTCGAGCATTGCCCAACGTTTGGAGTGCGTTGGCCATGCCTGCTGCGTGCGCTTGGAGGCCGCCTTGCGTCGGCTTAAGAACGACGGCAAGAAATATCGCCGTAATGGCAATTACGTGTGGAGCATGGAGAAGTGGCAGATCGGTGAGGTAGTGGTCGTTGATGATGGACCATGCGAGCGCGTTCTCTTCCTGGGTCAGTTGAAACTGCGTCTGCAACTCTGCGAGGCTCCGATATGGGTGGTGGATGATGAGCTGCGAATTCATCTCGGATATGAGTGTAAATTCGCACTCTCCGATCTTTGAGATGTCGTTGAAAGACGTGTCTGCAACATATCTCAGCTTCTAATCATGAATTTTCTGGCCATCATTCTACTTACCCCAGCAATGGCGAGCCTCTGCTAGCACCATCCTAATGTGCTGCGGACACTCTTCCATTTTGCATGACAGATAGAGCGCAGTGGCCAGTACAAGGGCCGGATTCGTCCTTCGAATCTCGACCTTTGCATAGAAGCGTCGCACGTAGACCTGAGCCGTGGCCAGAGCTTGCTGCCGAATACCCAATGGTCTTGCCATCTTGGAGAGTTCTACAAAAGTCAGGCTGCGAACAGATGGCATCTTTGGGGATTGCTTACGGTGATAGAAGTAGATGCTGAGATGCCTGCGGTCTGGAAGGGGGTAGAGATTCACCAAGTTTCGCTCCGACTCTTCCATCTTCTTTCGCTCCAGTGCCAGCTGCTGCTTTGTGAACGTCCAGAACTTCCGTTGCGTTGACTCCCAGTAGCTGGACGCCATGATGCTATGTCGCTGCCAGGCAGCGAGTTGCTTATTTGTTTATAGATACGGACGATTTGACAGGCCTTTGTAAGAAAATACTCGCTCTGGTCGTGATGGCCACATGTGAAGCGCGCTTTGCTGGACTGTAGCTAGGTGGTCAGCCACCCAAGAACAGCGCAATCTGGAGATCCCAGCCTAGATCAAGTAATGGCTTTTAGTTTGTGTTCAAGGAATGCTCGATTGTGTCTTCACTTCTTGGAGTTGTCGTTCAGAATATTGGTGCAGCCGCCTAGTTTTGGAGATCGAGCGAGGCTGACCCTGATGGGTCGTGTCAGGACAATTTGGCTCTGTGAGCTGGTTGGCAGCATTCGTGCATCAACACATGGCCGAGCTTAAATGGAGCACATATAATGATGGCTATTGAGAAGCACACGGCCTTGAAGCGTTGGATGTCAAAAGGAGATAGTGATGAAGCGTCCAATCAGGTGCCGGCCAATGTTCGACGCTCCCTCCTGCCGTTTTCTCGGTGATGCCGCCCGCCCAGCTAGTCTTTTCCAGGTCAACCCTCCAAGCTCGACACTGACCTCATACCCCACGTCGGATCCTATGAACTTGCACATCATCCTCGGCCATTCTTCCAGCAATTCACCTCGCCCAAAGCCGACAGCCGCCCCCCCTCGCATGTCGCAACCCACAGCCATGATAGACCGAAGATAGCACCAAGACAATGGATAAAAGGAGCGCAAGCGTCTCGGACGCCAGGGCAGACGAGCTCTGGGCAACCCTCGACACGCGCAAACAAGGCCAGCTCGATCTCCCAGCGCTCAAGAAGGGGCTGCGGAAGCTGGATCATCGTAAGGTGCAGCACGCCGTGCCTACGTCATTTGCTAAAGCATACTGTAGCTCTGAAAAATGCGGATCAACTCCTGGACGAGGTGATGAAAGCTGTAGATACAGATGGCGATGGGCGCATCACATATTCCGGTGAGCCTCCCTACCAGCACGCACCGATGCGCTCGAATCTTACTAACACTCTGCTTCCTAGAATTTCGCACTTTCGTGGAAGAAACCGAAAAAGAGCTCCTAGTGCTCTTCCGAAGTATCGATCACAATCGCGACGGAAAAATCTCGAAAGAGGAACTACGAGTTTCTTTGAGTCGCGCTGGGCTCTCGGTCCCCAATAGCAATCTCGACAACTTCTTTTCAGAAGTAGACACCAACAACGATGGGACTATCAGCTTTGAAGAATGGCGGTACGTATCCCAGTTAAACAATCCTTGTTCGAGCATGCTGACAGGTGAAAGCGACTTCCTTCTATTCATTCCGGTCAGCGCGCCCAGCCTTCATGCGGTAATGTCCTACTTTTCCGCGACAATGAAGGTGAACCCGGAAGGTGATGTTCAACTGAGCGACGACACGATCCAAGGCCTAGGTACTGCAAAGCAATTTCTTCACTATTTCTTTGGTTCCCTCTTCCTCCTTGTAGCGCGGACGCCGCCCTACTCTTTCCTTCCACCAGATTACAGCACACCGCTAGAAATGGCTTCACCTTCTACTTCGAACATTACGACTTCGCAAACACTCCCGCCACATCTAGATGACGGGGAGTTTGACACTCCCCTCAGCGAGGTAGATACGGGGCTTATTGAGAGCTTCGGAACCATGCTGATTGCTTGTGTTCCCAATCCAGGCTATTTCGTGGCGGGAGGCGTTGCAGGAATTATTTCTCGCACCTCCACTGCACCCCTCGATCGTTTGAAAGTCTACCTTATTGCTCAGACCAATGTGGCGGAAGAAGCTGTCGCCGCAGCAAAGCATGGCAATATTGCCAGAGCCGTGCTCAACGCCTGGAGGCCGCTTGCGACCGCCACAAAGGAGCTGTGGGAGGCAGGCGGCATGCGTAGTCTATATGCCGGTGAGTACAATCAGAACGACGCTATCTCGACAAGTGCTAAGAAAAACACGAGGCAACGGCTTGAACGTTGTCAAGGTCATGCCCGAGTCAGCCATCAAATTCGGTTCTTACGAGGCAAGTCCAACCACAACTAGAAGTATCCTTCTCCTAATGTGTCCAGGCTGCGAAGCGAGTTTTTGCTAGGGTCGAAGGACACAATGACCCAGGAGCTATCCACTCCTGGTCCAAGTTTGTTGCTGGTGGTCTTGCAGGTTAGTTGTACACGTTGAAGTAGCAAAGATTCCGCTAACGTGCCTAGGAATGGTCGCGCAATTCGCTGTGTACCCTATTGATACCCTGAAATTGTGAGTACAACCGGGTGAGATACTACCGTACGAACTGACATTCTCAAGTCGCATGCAATGCGAGATGGTACACGGTGGCCTACACGGTAACCGACTGATATGGGCCACGGCAAAGAAGATGTGGCAGACGGGGGGTGTCAGCGCTTATTACCGCGGTTTGCCTATGGGTATCTGTGGTATATTTCCGTACGCAGCCCTCGATCTGGGAACATTTGAATATCTCAAGCGTTCCGTTGCGAGACGCAATGCCAAGAGACTTGGCTGCCACGAACAAGATGCTGAGCCAGGCGGCTTCATGACGGCAGCTATCGGCGGCTTCTCTGGCGCATTTGGAGCAAGTGCCGTATATCCTCTCAATCTTCTACGAACTCGACTACAGAGCCAAGGCACAGTTCTGCACCCGCGGACTTATACCGGAATCATGGATGTCACCAGACAGACGATTGCCGGTGAAGGCGTAAGGGGACTTTTCAAGGGCCTGACACCAAACCTCTTGAAGGTGGTCCCTGCTGTCTCGATTACCTACGTTGTGTACGACAAGTCGAAGAAGGTTATTGGGCTGCGATGAAGCACTTTCTAGATTCGGAGAACACCATCATGTGGAGAGACTTGGCAAATTCCTTCAAGCCATCTTATTCGTATTACCGACACAACGCCAAAACTTCCAACTCCTCCGTCAACGACACAAGCGGCGGCGGCCGCCGCCAACGACAATACCGCCAGTTTCTTACGAAACTCAACATTGAAGAGCGTTTCTATTTGCATATCCATACAGTGATACCCTTTTCGCTCTAGTATCAGCATTACACAGGGCTCAGCGACGGCATCGGCTTCGTTCGGTTATTCTTGCATAGGGCATGGCGTTTCGGATGATATCTCTCTCTTTCTCTCTCTCTCTCGCGAGCAAGTTTCATAGTTGTTTGGTAGATGCTCGACATGGCGCATGGGGCGGGCCTTGGCGGGCCTGGCTGGGCTGGGCTGGATGTTCGTATCATACGTGTATTGTAACTGGCAATGAGAGAAATGACAGCGACGGTCAGCTGCGTTGTCGTGACATCGAGCCACCAACCACCCTTAGTAAACAGTCAATAGCTGTATGACTTTGTCGACCCATATAAATTGTGTAGGCTCTAGTAACGATTTTACCCGTCGCTGATTGTGTAATGATATAGACATTCCTAGGTGTCTTAACTAAGAGTAAGAACAACGAGTACTCTCGAGATTTAGCATTCCCAAATTGCGCAAAATACCGTCCATAAAAATACATGCTCCAAACGCCATCTATGCCATGATATCGAACCATCTTCGCACTTTATCGCACCGATTAGATTTTCTCCACAGTCGCTTAGTTTTACTTGGTGATGATGATGAGGAAGAGCAAAACGCAAATCAAGACGACAATAACAGTCAAGCTCCAGTTCTCCCTCGCCTTCCTTGAAAAACGATCTAGCCGACCCCTTGCCCGCCGAAACTGGGCCGTATGTCGATCAACACCCTCCTCTACATCATCAAGCAGCACCACCTGTCCGTCTAGCTCATCTCCTATCTGCATACTGAGCTCCCGCTGCCGCCCGATGCTCGCACCTAATTGGTCGAGCTGGTCATCTTGGTCGCGAATCACTTGGCTGTGGTAGGCGTGAATCTGCTGGTTGTCGAGATCATCTTGATTTGGCGCAGCGTCGGGGTCAGAAGAGGGGTCGTCGCGGTAGGGGAAGAGGGCTGCGCGGTCGGCCTCGTCGGCGGCGTCTGCTGTGGACGTAGAGGGGTTGTCGCTGAAGCGTACAGACTTGGAGGCCTGGCGGGGCTTCTTTTGGGCGGCGGCGAAATCGGAGGATAGGGACGGGTTGTTGGGAGTTGTGAGGGTGGGCGAGCTGGCATTTGGTGAGGCACGGTCGAACTGGGAGGTAAGGTCGTTGAGCTGGGACTTTAGGCGGGGGAGTTGTGATGCTATGGATCTGGCATATGTTAGCATCATGCTCAATCCTAGGGGGGAGGGGTAGAAAGTGAGACATACTCATCCGATGTGTCTGCGACCTGTGACTCTAGACTCTCGATGCCTGAGCGCAGCTGCTCCAGGGACCGTGAGATCTGGCCATCCTGGGTGTTGGGTGAGAGGTTAAGTGATATGGCACGTTGGCGCTCCAGCAGAGAGAGCTTGATATGGTCTGCCAGCAGAAACAATTGGGGAGGGTTCGTGGACATGGCGGCAGTGTTGAGGGGAGTAGTAGGCGCTGAAGACGGAGGTGAGGGCTATATACAAATAGAGGCACCGGAAGCGGCAGGCGGCGTAGACGGGTAGATGAAGCCAACGAAGGCGCGAAGCACGAGAGGGTATACAGAACTACATGGAATGGCACATGCAAGAGCCGATGCACACGAAGGATACAGAAGACGATGATACTAGAGACGGCAAGGCTGCTGCTGCGAACGAGGAGCGGTCCGCTGACGACAAGGCGCGCCAGTCTAGAGGGCCCGCCCATGGCTTGGCGCCGGATTAACCTCCCGGACGCGCAGTTGGGGGGGCCACTGGGGCGCACCGGGCCAACTGCACATCCCATGTCTCGGTCTTGCGCAACCTTCAACGCACGACACAGACGCCCGCATGCTCCCTTCCACTTTGGGAAGTATGCGTTCCATTCCAGAGGGCCCTGACTGATATATAACATTTGCTTCCGTCGCTCTGCAGCCCTGCTTGGCTTGCTTGACTGTCAGGGCGGCCAACCCTCTCCACCCCGCCGATCAACGATCAACTGCCACTCCCCTACCTTGCGACAACGCATCTCACCGCCCGGCACCCAGTCGACGGAGCACAAGACGCCTGCCGCCTTCTCCGGCCCGAGACGCTGTCTTCGTCCCTCTATCTAGAAGATTGTCCGGCCAAGTCGAGTCTCGACTCAAGCTTCACGCCCCGCCATGTCGTCTCCAAGCCCCATCCCGCCTCCAAACGACCGGCGGAGCTCGCGGTCCTCGAGCAGTGCAGCGCCATATGCCGGCGACGGAATACTGGTCGGTGGCCCTCCTGGCAGCCCTTCGCCGTTGGCTCTGCGAGCATCCAACTCACCCTCCTCGAGGCGTCGACACAGCCGAATCGTCAAGACGCCCCCTGAATTCCAGTCGCTCGATTATGTATCCGCGCCCGACAGCAACCTTGTTTGCTTGATCTGCCATACGCCCTTCGATAAGCCTGTCCAGCTCTCATGTGAGCACTACTTCTGCCGAGAGTGTCTCGACCATGCATGGGCTCCGCAGGCCAGTGGACGCAAGACGTGCCCTACGTGTCGCAACAAAGTAGAGACAGACAAGGACATTCGACCCGTACCCAAGATCATCGAGACTATGCTGGACGAGCTGGTGGTCAAGTGTCCGAACACAAAGGCAGGCTGCACCTGGACTGAGCACCGCGTCAACGTCAACGACCATGTCATGTTGTACTGCGAATACACACCCGTCGAATGCTCCGGTACAGACTGCCGCCTGCAAATCTCCCAGAAGGATTTTCACAAGGGCTGCTTGCATTATACTGTGAGCTGCGATGACTGCCATGCCTCCTTGATGAAGAAGGACCTTGAGGTAAGCCGGATCACCTACACCCACCCCTAGCATTGGCTAACCACCGTACTCTACAGGAGCATAAACGAAACATTTGCGCCAACCGTAAGACCTCATGCGCATTGTGTTCGGTTGAAGTACTTCGACTGGACCTCAAATCCCACATCAACAAAGACTGTCCTAAGCACGTCATCTCTTGTCAGGGCACAATTGTTGGCTGTAAGTTCACGGCGGAACGCGCAGAAGTGGTGCTTCACGAGGTGAATTGTGCCATGGCAACAATGGCACCTCACTTTCGTGAACAGCAAGCCCGCATCGAGAGGAATGAAGCGCGTATGGAACCATTGGCCAGGAAGGTCGGCATTCTTGAGGATGGGCTCACCAACATCACCAACATGCTGTATCCAGCCAATTCAAACGACCAATCGTTCCCCGTCACCGATCCCTTGGATCCAAATGATACCGATCCCCAAGCACCGACGCCCGATTTCCGCCTACCACCAGCCTCATTTCCACCTGTTCCACCAGGGAATGAAGGTGCCCCCACTCAGCCTCCTTTTGACTCACAAGTCCACCATCTCCTTACGCTGCACGACTCCCTTCGCGAGGAAGTGTCTCGCATTGCCAACGCCCTCACTGATCTCGATGGCCGCACCAACATGATGATCATCAATGAGAGTCAGCGAGCAAAAGACGAAATGTTGCATGCCAATGCCGCCATCAGTAGTCTGCGTATGCACCTGCAGTGGCTAGTTAGCGCAACTATACACCAGCGCACCACTTCGGCCGGTAGCTCTCCGGCTAAGACCGCTGGTAGCACAAATGTCAGTGCAGGCGGCAGCAGTGCGACACGAGCTACTAGTGCCAGACCTGGACCCAGTGCAACGTTACAGGGCCCTTTTCGGAGACTTAGCGACTCAACCAGGCAGGACACCAAACTGTAATCGGCTTTTTCTTTCCGTTCTCGATCGCAGGTCGATCCACCAAGCATGATTTACGAATACGAAAAGTGATTTTGGTCGGCGTTCATGATAGCCTCCTGGGTTCGGGCCTTTGAGAGGGAGAATCTTCATCGGTCATGGCATCGGCATGCATTGGCTCGTCGGTGCCTCTACCGTCGTCTTCAGGTGGAGTTCATGGTTCAGGATAGAACAAGGATGTAAATATACCCTTCACACTTGGTCATCAGGGTCGCGTGAACGTCCACGCGATTCTGACGAACAGCATCGAGAGAGCATAGGATTGGCGGAGGGGGGGAAACAGAAAAAAGCCCTTCTACAAAACATTAGTTAAGCAACAAAAAAATACTAGCTAACAATTAACATATTCAAAATACTACATTGCTTGCCACTGGGTGCGCCTATAACCCATGATTGACTTCTGATCAGTATGTCTTTATGATCTCTCAACATCTCTAATTATCTCACAACAAATTTACAAGAAGTCTGCCTCATTCACATGCTCTCCTCTCCTAGCAGCTAAATAAACCATGCCGCTTTCATACGCCCCAAGATACAATCCGCTCCCTACGAATGTCCAGACACCTCTTAGCGCGCCACCTCTCCACAGGCCCTTGACGCCCTTTTCAGCGACGATCTCCTGCCCAATTCGCCAACTGCTCTTCCTCCCCCTTTTCTCCGACGTGGCCAACGGATTCAAACTGCGCACTGCGCTCTTCGCCGAGACTTTTGTAGACTCGACCGACTTCCCAAATGCATCAACTAACCCATCCGGCTTGACTTTCGCTTGGGGAGACGCGCCTTCATGTGCAGCATCATCCATAGCAGCAAGCATAATCCGCGTCTTAACAACATCCACAGGCGTCGTAATAACCGCAGCAACCGCACCGGCCGACCCAGCACTAAACGCTGTAATCAACGCACTCTCATAGATCGTGCCCGTCGACAAACCCCGGCGATCCCGATACTCCCTGATCAAGACCTTGAGCCTCTCAAACATGGGGAACTGCATAGCAGTAAACGGTAGGTTCCTGCCCGCGAGAGCAGTATAGCCCCGCCACAGGGCTAGCGGATTAGATTTGAATTTGGCGAGGGTTTGCAGCGTGGCGTTGGTAGGGGAGCCGGAGGAGACCATTTGGGCGTTTTGCTTTATGACTTCGGCTGGAGTGAGGATGGCGCAGGAGACAAGCTCTGCGAGAGAGGAGGCGCCTGCGTGGACTGCTGCGATGGGGAGAACGCCATTGGGCGAAGCGGATGTGGTGTTTAGGCGGGTGAAGAGGGTTTTTGTGCGCTCGTAGGTGGTGAAGAACGCTCCTGCTATAGTGATGTTAGTTCAGAGTTCTGCTTTGATGGTTTAGATATGGTTGGTATTACATGAAGGTAGTGTTGCTATGATGACACTTCCAATTCCCTGGTACACTCCACGGAACAGAGCGGGATTCGGTTTCCCCGTCTGGGCGTTTGTGTAAAAGTGAGCATAGTTTGGAGACTGTATTCTTGTTTTGATAGTGTCTAGAGGATAGACAAGGAGGTCGACAGTAAATGCTGCGATTGCGCCGGCCTGGCGGAATAAGCGGTCAGAGCTATCATTCCTCAAATTTGGGTTCTAATGTCTTGTCTATCATCATAGTATGAGCACTTACAATTAGAATGTCGGAGCTAGTATTACTAGACATCTAGGGATAGCGAGGTGGGGGGGAATCCAGGGCAGACCTAGCGGTGATCAGACGTTTTATTTTATTTGAAGCTCTAGGCGCGGATCTTCAGGGCCCGGCGTACTAATGCACTGTACTGCAATCTAGGACGTCAGCGATATGGCGCCGATAGGCCAGCGCGTCTTCACGTGAAGTATGTATTCACAGCGAAGTCGGCGCTCTTTCGGTGATGCTTATCATCTTATCTGATGGTGGAATTTGTGTAACCTTTGATACATGTGATGGTGTCTTGGGGGTCGTTGAAGCTCACGTCGCTACCAGATTATACACCCAACATGTGGAGATTCACATTAGAACACTAGAAAAGATATTTGCATTCCAGACACCTTGATAACATAACCGTTTTGCATATCGCCTTATTCGCTGTTCAGTATGTTTATCATCTTGCTGCATATCAGATTAATCCGAAGGTTGTATCGTGATAAGGGCAAGTTTAGCCGAGTCCTCTAGTCAGAGTAGCTCCAAAAAGTTACGGTTTGCTCCCCGCGACGAGCATACCTCCAATTCAGGACACTCACGACAGCCTTGAGATAGCAATGGCCGACGAAGACGAGGATATCTCACATCTGCGAGCACCAAACGCCGTAGACCTTGATCTGACGGAGGAAACGCAGGATTTCCGATTTCTCGACAAGCTCACGTACATTCCCTCCAATCCCTCGCCTTGAAGCTACGGCCTGCTAATACAATCGCAACAGAGCACAAGACACCGACGAACGCACCCTTCCCAAGCGCGGCGAAAAAGACTTCGAAAGCCATGCGACGAACCTGCAGCTTGAGACACTCGAGGCCTCGCGCCGGGCCATGCACGGCGTGCTGTCATGGCAGCGCACACACACCCAGAAGAATCACATCTTGGCAATGTACGAACCTGACAGCAACACGGCATACGTAGACAAAGTCAAGTCGCAGCATTTCCAGACTATGGGTACACCGAGAGGTGGGAAGGAGTGGCTTCTCCCGGAAGAAGCGCTCTTTCTCATTGAGAGAGGGACAGTGGATTGCCGGTGGCCGGCGAAGCGCGAGGATGGCGATGAGGAGGTCTACAAGATTGAAGATTGCGCGCCAATGAGTTTGCAGGCTGCTTATGCGACGTTCATTGGTTTTGAGGGCGGGATTGGAGGAAAACTGACGCTGGAGATGTATAATGTCTATGCTGGGCTGAAGAGATCCGGATATGTCGTCTTCCGGACAGGATCATGGGACGATGACCGAGGGGAGCTGCTACTTGCAGGAACAAATGGAGCGCAGGATAAACCAGCAAGAGGCCTCATCACACGGTTCTTCTCCGAAATCTGGCGGCGTCTGAGCCAGCCAACGCATACCACAACACCAGAGCAACTCGCATTCGGACCTCTTGTCAAACCTGGCTTGTTCAGAAGCTACGCCGACATATACCGCCTGCTCCAAATTATCCCCACGCACGACCGCACATCACCACCATCGTTCATGCTCCCTCCATCTACAGATAACTCCTTCAGAGTTCACTTCGACGTCTATCGCACTACAGCAAAATTCCGAAAGAGCGCTCGCGGCCCGCCAGACTTCCGCATCTGCGTCATCGATGCGCGCTCTACACCAATCCCTACAGGGGCGCAATTGAACGATCTCCTGGCACAAGTGCCAGAAGATAGGCCAAAGGAAAGCGACCAGCCATACCAGAAGCTGAAGCACGGGCACAGGAACGTGCTTTTGGCGGTCGTGGATAATGGCATCCCGAGCTATCTTAGGGTTGCTGATAGTCCGTTTGAGGACGTGAAGCTGTATGAGAGGGCGGGACCAAGAGGGAAGGGCGGGAGAGGAAGGGGTGGCAGGGGCAGAGGTAGAGGGCGAGGAAGGGGAAGATGAAGCAACTGGACTCTACGAGCTACGACAACTACGGCGTACCATGCATTCCAAGGTTTCCAGTCGTTGAGCATGCACGGTCGAAATTAAAGCGATACCCTAACGTACAAGCCGCCTTAAAGGGGGCCCACTAGGTCTTCACGAGATCGTACACTGGCGTACAAGCCTTCTTTGAGGGGTCGGGACACCGTTCACAAGATCATCGCAAGTCATCCAGTCCAGTCACTTCGACGCTGTCTGGAATGGTCTCTAAGCCATTGAAAGCGACACGGATTCGAGTCTGCGGCAGCTTAATGCTGATAAAGCATCATCTATGATAAACGACAATTTTGGAGCCAGCCTAAAACATGTGCTGTGCTATATAAAGTTTGATGGGAGATGATGAGTAGCCTGATTTTTCAGTAAAAGAATATCATCCAAGCTTTAAGAGTACTTTTTGTCGTCTGCATCATGTGTTCTACCGCCAATCACCTTGCCGAAGTGGGACGAGTGACTGATGTACCGAGGCAACTTCCCCAGATTTCGTAACCTCCGCTTCATCTCCGCAACCCACTGCCGTCGACTCCTACCCGTGGACCACAACTCGAAGACAAAGTTTCAACATTCGACATTAATTTAGACGAGGACTTTCATAGTACCTCCTAAAACTACTCATTTGTTCAAAGATGGCTCCTGCATCGAAAGTAAAGCAACAGGCTCAGAGCAAAGAGCTCTCAGAGCCCCTCCCAGACCCGGGGACCTTTGAGGGCTTGCCCGGTGTTCGGACTGTCGCTGGAGACTTAGGAAACCAGTAAGTATGGATATTTGTCCATTACCAAGCTATTAAAGTGAGCTCATTGTTTGCGATAGGAGAGTCAAAGGCAAAGTCATCATCGTTACTGGTAGGTCTACCCTCCGCCAACTTCTCAATTGTCTCTATATTAACATGTGTCCACAGGCGCAAATTCACCAATAGGTATCGGCCGTGCCTCCTCCCATCAATTTGCTCGCCATGGCGCCCGCGCGATCTATCTCTGTGACTTCGCTACCTCGCACCTCGACCTCCACAAGCGCGAACTGAACTCTCTATATCCCAACGTCGACATCCATACCCGGCAATTCGATGCTGCGCACGAGCCCTCTGTCAGGGACATCGTTAAAGAGGTGGTGGACAAATATGGCCGGTTAGACGTCTTTTTTGCCAACGCAGGGATAAGCAGCCAAAAAGTATTTTGGGAAGAAGACGCGGAAGGCTTCATGAAAGTTATGAAGACCAACGCTCTCTCGGTCTTCCTAGCGGCCAAGTACGCGAGTCGCGCAATGCTGAAAACCTCGACTGAGAAACCATACCCTGGTGGCAGTATAATAGGCACAGCCTCTGTAGCAGGATTGCGCTCAAACGCCGGCCCTACCGACTACTCCGCTAGCAAAGCCGCTGTAATCTCCCTCATGCAGACCTGCGCATACCAACTTGTCGGCACGGGTGTGCGATGTAACGCCGTCTGTCCCGGGCTTATTGAGACGGGTATGACGAAGATCACGTACGATGCTGCGAGGGCTAGGGGCTCAGAAAAGAAGATTGGGCAACTGAATCCGCTGAAGAGGGGTGGTCAGCCCGATGAGATTGCAAGGGCGGTGCTGTTTTTGGCGAGTGATGAGGCTAGTTATGTAAATGCGCAGGCGTGGGCTGTAGACGGCGGATTAAGTGGTGGCCTACCATTTGTGCCTGGGAAACTGGCATAGTGGGAGTGTATAGAGGTATGTGTGAAATGCAACAAGCAAGAAGCTCGGATTAAGTTTGATGCTAACAACTGTAGTTGCATGTACATAGAATTCGTCGACTGGACTACTGCATGGAGACCATTTTGAGATGCTGGTATGACGAGAATAACACATGATAGGAAAAGGAAATATAGCCGCATAGCCGTTCCAAGCGATCCTACTACTCAGCCCGCAAAAGAGATCTGTTGATATGTCCGAACCGCCGTTTACTTTGAAGTAAAAGGGCCCTCCTTCTCCTCCGACGCCCCAGTTTTCGTCTTTGCAGCGGTCTCAATTGAGGGCCTGATATTCTTCTCACTGTCTCCCTTCTCACCAACATCCTTTTTCCCCTGCCTCTTATCCTTCATTCCCACATTCTTCTTGGGTGCTGTTGTTGAGTGGGGCCTGCCAGCCTGCTTTGCCCTCGCCTTTTCAAGCGATGTCGTGGTAGGCTCTCGCAAGTCCGCCCTGCTGATACTCGTCGACCAGCCCATATGCACCTGGTGCTCGTACAGAGATGGATCGTACATCCTCTCTTCTCGGAACCAATACGGCTGGTTGTCGCCTGTTGCTTGTCGAGCTTCGGGATACTCCGGGTCGCCACGTACGGGGACGAAACCTCGTAAGAATATAGTCGGTGCGGGCGGGGATTTAGTGCGCCGCTTCTTGGCCTTTGGGGATGATGTGGGCGGGTGGGATATGCGGGCAGATGGGGTGGGTGGAGCCATCGTTTTAGGGTGGCCGGGAGGTCTTCAGTGAGTTGAGAGTTGGTGTGGTGTTTTGTTTCGATGTAGTGTGAAGGTCTTTAGTAGGTAATTAGAATTGGGTGTGGCCTTTTAAAGGGTCAAGGCATCGGGTGGTCTGGGTTACATATGTTTTCTGCTGGATTGGTGCATGTCAGAGGACTTTGCTGGTTCACAATATCGCAAACCGTTATACAGGAATCGAATCGGAAAAGAGGTGATGAGTACACTTGGAAGCTACAGGCATTATCTTATTCAAGAACTACTGCATCTTCTACATTTTCTTGTACGTATTAAAACCTATGCCGATCCTCTTAAAGCCTTTGTCGTCTTATATACTCGTCAAGCCGTTCATAGGCTTCGATACCGTAGGTACCGCACCGTGCGCGTCAACCTATCTAGTGCACTCTATTCCAATTGGATTACATTTGGCGTGTCTCATGGACCCTCGATCAAACTCATGAATGTCGTGCGCTTTTGGGTTGCTAGCCACCATAGTGCGTCCGTCAAGCACGATAGACTCACTTTCACCTCGAAGTCACCACACAACAAGTGGCTCGTCGCACCCAGTAACGTTCACCATGAGACTTTTCTGCCATGCCTTCACCGAATACTGACTACTTAAAATCATCTTCTTCGCTCAAACACGACGATACTCCCACTGACAACCACGCAACGACAACCACGCAGACACCATCATGGACGACTACAGAGCCTCTCTCGGCCGTTCCGCCTCAAACGGAGCGATCAGAGATAGTGAGGCGCTGAGGAGTCCAATGATATTTGGCCTGCATACTAGGGATTCATCTACCGAAAGCAAAGGTAGCCCGTTACTCGCGAGGAATAAAGGAGCCGGGCACTCCAGTCCACACGACCCTTTCATCGAGTACAAAGACACATGGGTCAACACACCAGCTGCCAGCCCGCGCGTGGTCTCGCCGCGTAAGCACTTCTCATGGGCGTCTCCTTCTTCAGCTGGTACACCAGCTACACCGGCCTTCCCAGCCTTCGCGCCTCCAGCAGCTACAACAGCACGAGCTACGTATCCCAATCTCACTCCTACTACTCCGTCCTTCCACTTCCTCCCCTCACCTACTCGTTCGGAGCTCCTCCCCATCCCCCCTCCACCCCTCTCGTCGATCCAAGGCCAGTACACGCACTCGCCCTCCGCCCGCGCCCGTCTCGACGCGCAAAAGATCGTCCGCGAAACCTGGATCCGCACCGAAGCCAAGGAGATTTTCGATCTTAAACAAGCTGAACTCGTGGCCGCCCAGACGTACCAGTATACGCATTCCAAGCAAGACTATGAGGCCTGGCAGCGCGCTACAGCCTCACTGAATGAGGCTACGGATCTGGAGAAGAGGATGGAGGAGCGCAGGAATTTGTTCTTGCCCGTGGGTATGGAGGCTATGCGTACGGGGCCTAGCAATGCTGTTGGGGATGGTTCGGCGGCGTATCCGGCCGTGAATGGTGGTCACCACGGTGGTGGTAGTGGCTCGATGAGCGGCGAGGGAGAAGGCCGGCTGTTGGGCTATCAGATGGCGGTTATGGAGCGTGTGTGTGCGGAGGTCCAGCGAAGGGACGAAGATGAGGAGGACGATGAGATCTCTCGTGAGATGTTGGCGACGCTGAGTTTGGCGGAGAAGAGGGCGTTGAGGGAGCATCTGGTGGGGAGGCTTGAGGCTCGCAGGGGTTGAAGAGGCTCGATGATGCTGGGAATATGTGCTTCGCGCATATTTGAACGACGGTTGGAGATGCTAATATAGCAGCCGTACAGTTTCGTTAAAAGAAGCTCAGAAGTAGCTGGAGCTATACACGCTGTATCAGCAGATGATCCATTATCATTGCAGTTCGAAGTGACGCACACCCCAATGACCTACCACCTAAATCTTGAGAGTGCTTGATTAATCTGGCATATACTTGGCCCCCTATTCTAAATACATCTTGTACTGCATAATTACACCTCTAAGCCCCACCACCTTGAAGGATCTTCTTCCCCTTCACACTCTTCCGCTCCATACCCAAACTGACAAAAAACGCAATACTACTTGTTGCAATCGCCAGTATAAAAGCCGTAACAATAGCATTGTTATACCCGTGTAAAACTCCCGGTAACAACTCTGGCGGCACAACCTTCCTGATATTAGTCGCTCCCGCCTTGGCGATGATCTTCGGATCGAAGCCCGGCACGTATTTAGGAATCTCCTTGGACAGCGTATTAACGAAGATGTTCTGTGCAATGGAGATGCTGAGTGCGCCACCTAGCGAGTTGAAGAACATGACGCAAGCATTCGCCGTAGGCATATCTTTCTCGCTAGTGACAACTTGCACTGCGACAAATGGGATTTGCACACCAGCTCCTGCGCCAATGCCAGCGAGGATCTGATAGCCTATCCATTGTCCCGCGGGCGAACCGACTTTGAGAGTGTATAGCATGCCTGCGCCGATGGTGAAGACTGCGCTGCCAAACCACATGAATGGTGCGTACCAGCCTACTACGGTGATGAGGCCGCCGATGACAATGGAAGAGCACGTTATGCTGACGAGGTAGGCGATGGTGCGGATTCCTGACTCTTCGGCTGTGGTGCCTTTGATGGCCTGGAAGTAGAAGGGAAGGTAGAAGATATGCCTAAAGCCTATAAGCTTTGATTCTGGTAGTCAGGTGGAGTATGAGATGGACTTACGTGTACAGAGCCATAGACAATAGCGCAGAGTAAACGCAGCTGACCAACACAGTCTGCTGCTTAAATACGCGGATTGGGATCGTTGCTCGATCTTTCTGGTAGATCTGGATCACGATAAAAACGGCGATGAGCAAGAAGAATCCCATCAATGTGCCCCATACTTTTGAGTTCTTCCACGTATATGTGAAGCCTCCCCACTGCAACGCCAACAGTAAACATACAATTGCACAGATCAGAAATATAGAACCTGCAATATCGATGTTCTTCAGTCTTTCCTTGACCGACAGATGGTTGTACTGTCGTTCTGGATTCGTGAAGAAGAAGAATACGACGGCAAGTGAGACAGCACCAAACGGGAGGTTTATCCAAAAGCACCAGCGCCAGGACAGTCGATCTGTGAACGCTCCACCGAGGATAGGTCCGACAACACTCGCAATTCCGAACATGGACGACAGCGCGGCGATGTATATGGCTCGTTTTCGTAGTGGCACTGAAAAGCCAATGATGTTCATTCCTCCCGAATACAACGCCGCAGCTCCAGCGCCCGCGATGGCTCGTCCGACGATGAACATGGGCGAGCTGGTCGCAACCGCACAGATGATCGATCCAACCTCAAATATGACCAACGCGGACAGGTACGTATACTTGACATCAAAGTACGTATACACTCTCCCGAAGGACGGTTGCAGTGATGTTGTCGTGAGTAGATATGAAGAGCCGTACCACCCAACATCTTCGAGGCTATTGAACACTGATGTGATCTTGGGGATGGCAGTTGCAATTATGGTGTTGTCGAGGGCGATGACGAAGGTTGTGAGACAGAGGCCAATGGAGAGAATTGCGAGTTTGAAACCGGTGAGGTACTTTGATTCGTCTTCCATCTCTTCATCTGGTGCACCGTTTTCATTTGCAACAGCAGTTGATGTCTGTTTCTTGTCTCCTGCTTCCTTTACATCTGTGGCCTTTGGCGTGCTTGCATCCTGACTCCGTCGCGAATCGCCATCGAGTTCTTTGTTCTTTTCGTCTCCCTGAACGTTGGCCCCAGCATCGCTCCTTACCGACCCTGGCCTCTTTTCCGTCTTATCAAGCACCCGAGGCTTCTCATTCTCGCGGTGTGTTGCACTTGTGTTGATGGTGGTGTCGGTTTTCTCCATTCCCTCCACCAGAGCACCCGGTGGGCGACCCAACCGGAAACTGCCGCTGCGGGCCGCGGTGGGTTACGTGGGACTGGTGACAGGCTATTGTGAGGGACCGATGAGTTGGCGGCGCGGCACTGAATGCTTGATTGTTACTTTGGTGCCACCAAGCGTCACCTAGAATTGTCTAAAGATGGTTGCGCAATAGAAATTACATCGGAAGCCAGATGAAAAGGAGAGATGAGAGCTCTTTTGTTTGAATGGAGCCCGGCCTAGATGCCCTCGGAGGTATGCCTCCCTTCTTCAACGCCATGGCCGTATCCTTTACGGTCGCGAACTGTCAAGTGAGCACCTCGAGCCGAGATGACAGACATCGAATGGTGCCGGCTTCTGAGTTACCGAACTGAAGCAACCAATTAGGGGGCCCAGAGAGTAGAACCCTCGGCGCCCTTGCCCTTGTTCGGTTCGCTTCGAGATGCGGCAAGAATTGTGGCGTCGTTGCCCTTGTTCGTATGTGCTTCCACCAATCTGCAGTCTTGACCATGAAGCCTCATTTTCTGAGGGCAGGCGATTTGGTTGACTAAGTGTTCCGCTGTCCATCTCTGCTTCCATCACGATAGAGATTGATCTTGGGGTTCGTTGTTTGGAGCGGAAGGTATTTTTTATAGAGTTTTATATAGACAACGAGATGGGGTATCACAAAATAGACACAAATAGTCCAAACCAGTAAATCCCCTCTACCAGTAAGGGAAAAAACACGAAAAGCGTGACAAAATATAGGTATACACAGAAACGCCGGTCTCGTTTGTTGCGGGTGGTCGATGCTCGAGCTCGGCGAGCACGGCCTGGCCGGAGGTTCGGCACGCCGACGCCGGAGCGGAAGGTATGGCGTGGTAGCTTCACCTGAGTTCCACCCCCTCGCTTAGACGAACGCACGGGCGATCCTTGCCTATGAACGATTCTAGGTTAAGAGCCTGTTCGGTAGACTGTCATGCAGCCTCCGGAATAGCCCAAATCCTAAGTAAGCCCTCCTGCAGAAAATGGAGTATAGAAAGCCTGGAAATAACTAGTAAGTCACGCTTACATTCTTATGATCAACATCACCATATAATTAACCAGCGATAGCTCAACTAGGGCGTAGGCGCTTTGAAAATCCTCTTAAGATTGAGAGTAGGAAGCCAGAAAGAGGAATATTGCGTTAAAAGTACATGAGTTGCGATGCAAAGGAAACGTCGAGTGAGCGTAGCAGGTTTGACAAATTGGCCAAATCCAGACATGAAATGCCGATACACTTTATGCGTCCATGTCCAGACTGCTCACGTTCGCAAAACACCCTCATTTTTCAAAGCTTGTATGGCGTCCGCCGTCCATTCTTGGCATCGTCGAAGTGGCTCCCTTGGATTAATGCGCTTCGGCCCGTTGAACTGCTTCGCTGGTGGCTCGATAGATTCGACGATGGATTGAATTCGGTCGAAGTCGGTTATTAACATAGTGCCGATTTGCTTTCTGCTAGCGAAGGAGGCCGACTCTTCCGGTACATTTGTATTCTTGTGGCCGAATTCCATGCCTCTTTGAACATCCCCGGTCACTTGGAATATGTATCCTGAGCCATCGGGATTCTTTTCGATGATTATCGAATGATGGTTGCGCGGAGCACCGATACCTTCGACCAGATAAACGTTGTAAGACATAATGAATGTAAGTATGTTGGTCAGGATAGATGGATCTGCAAAGTGTCAGCTATATGCTAAATAATGGGAGACAAGAGGACTGGTTACGAGAAATATGTTCGCTAAAACAGTAGGAAGTACTATTTAATACTAGGCGTATTTCGTACGAGGATGTCAGGCTTGACCTTGCCCTCTTGTCTGTACTACTTCGAGTTACTATACATCCACATGATGCACACTAAGCGCCCATATTCGGGCTAGAAAACAACGGTTGCCACCAGGATGTGTGGAGAAGTTTGATATACGAATGCATCGTCGTGATCAAACCTATTTTCGTTGATGCTGTGCCGCAAAAAGGTCCACTCACCGCGCGCTAACGGGCAACGAGAGCCAGTTCTTTAAGATCAACCCATGGAGAGTGAAACGTCCAAATATCAAATGGTATATATCAGCTGTGGCAACCAAAGTCTAGCAGTTGTAAGAGCTATAGGAAATCCTGGAAGCGCGCGCATCCACGTCTGTTCCTCAATGGCTGGGTAGGAACCAAGACTTACGAAAGTTCTCAAAGTTACAGGTCCACAAGGTAAAATGCTGCAAGCGCTTGAGAGTTAACACTGTTCACAGTGCCAAAAGGAGAACTTTAAGTGAACGTTCCGCCCGATCTTGTGCATGCGTGGAGAAATCGCATCCAGTCTTTAACTTCGAGTTCAATTGAAACATAGCAGGGCGAGCCAAATGTGATCTAAAGTAGGAGGTATCAAGGCTCTATATATAGTGGTAGTGAATTAGAAGATGCTCAAAGATGTAGCCAAGAAGTGTCGGACCGACACACGTGACAAACGGTGGCGCGACATGCGTCTATGGCCCGTGCACCTCATCCTGAGAATCTTATGAAGATGCACCTTTCTTCCCCTCAACTCCAAGTTCTGCAACATGACGTCCTACAGCCTCCCCTACTATGCCGATCCAGCAACGCTCCCAGCACAGTTGCCGACAATTGAAGAGATCGGCGCGGCCCAAGACATCCTTGGCGACAAGTTAGCGACCAAGGTCGTAGCTATTGGCGATCACTTTGTCGTCAAGTACGGACCACAAGCCGATCTTCTAGAAGGCGAAACAATGCTCTTTTTACAAAACTGCTCGTCTGTTCCAGTACCGCGTGTATACGCACTCTTTTGGAGCCCCAATACTAAGATTAAATATATTGTTATGGAGCGGATCAAAGGTCAGGACCTTTCTTTGATATGGGCAAGACTAGATCACGCAGCAAAGGAGACATTAGCAATTAAACTCCGATCCATATTCACGGAGTTGCGACAATTAACGTCGCCAGGGGGATACTGCAGTGTTGGACACCGAGGGTTACCGGATGGTATTTTCTGGACAAACAACGCCTTACAGCCGTTCGCTGGCCCGTTCGAGACAGAGTCTGATTTGAATAAGGCCATGGTGGCAAAATACGTAGAGGACGGGCTCTCTAAGCACAAGGCAGAATACTACACTCGCACCTTCAAAGAAGTTCTTCAAGATCACCCGCCCGTATTCACACACGCGGACTTCCAGCGCAAGAACGTTATAATCCGCACCTCTTCGAAACCCCCTACCGATCAATTAGGAGAACAGCCACACGCAGAACTAGAAATTGTGATGATTGACTGGGAGTTTGCGGGCTGGTATCCAAATTATTGGGAATACGCACGCACCATATTTGCCTGTGGAAGATGGGAAGACGATTGGAGTCTTTGGGTGGACATGATATTAGAGCCCTTTCGAAACGAGTACGTCTGGACGAACATGTTTCTCTCAGAGCTATGGTCTTGAGATTGATTACGATTAGGCAAGCCTGGATGCATACGCTCCTGAGAGAGTTCTGGTGTTAATATTGACCAGAAACATCTATGATAGGATAGGGACGACATAAAAGATGGTGGCGTGGCGTGGAAACAGGATAGACGTGAGTACAGTGTTAATCCTAGGTTTACTCCGAGGGTCTATAAATCGAGTCATATAACAACCGGGCAGTCTTATCTTATCTTCTTATTCGCCCCTATGGTAGAAAAAAAGTAGAACGAGAAACTTGTAGCGAGAGGTTTGATTAGTCGTTCGAATGTTCAGATCGAGGATGAAGAGCACAAGACGGGGCGAGATGCAACCAACGCTTTGTTGTGAGCGAGCTGTGGTTCAAATGGAGGGGCTGGGCACTTTTTTAGACGTGTGCATGTGCGAAGCCGAAAGGGCTCCTTAAACTGGGCATGTGACGCAGCCATGTTGTCGCTATTTTCTGCTATCCATGCTATACTGCGAGGATGCACTTTCGGACATGCAGGCGGCGAGTCAATAGGGTGACATCTGTTCGTGGTATCGTATCCGCCATATGCAACTACGTTCCCGTCTGGTAGGGATACTGCAAGCTGCATCCCTGACTGTGAGCCGCGTAGCGGGCCGTTCGGTCCCGCCCTAAAGTCGTGGGGTACCTTACATGTGGAGCGAGAAACAAATGTCTGAACTACATATATTCTATCAGAACTTTGAGTACACTTTAAGCTTAGACAATGAAAAGGGGTGGCGTTCGTGATGTTCAAAAAGGTACATTAAATAACCATGAATATATGTCGTTCTTCTCTCAAGGTGTACCTCACAGCCGTAATCTATAACTCCCAGTCCAATCCTATACCATACCAAACGCCTATCAATACCATCAGTGCGCAGTTTTTTCATGGCACTAGGAGCATGGTCAGTATTGCATTCTTCTCAAGAGCGATTACGTTGACTAATTCTCACCTATCGAGGACACACAGCGCAAGGTGTCTCAACCTTGACAGTTGCCAGAATGATACCATCTTGGCCTCTTGCGCATTTCTGCTGAATCATTTGTCCTTTCGGACATAGCTGCTGGAATACCATCGTCGTGTGACCGCACTTGTGGGAGTATGCGTGGTAGAAGCACATCGTGGTTTGTGGTTGGAGCAACGGTAGAGGAGGTTCGTCGATGCTGACTCTGATCGAGGCTTGGGCGAAGATGCTGCGTCTTCGAAGAGGAAGTACTCGACGGGAGTGAGATTCGGAGATACGCTCAAGACCCTATTCCAACGTCAGACATAGCTCTAACTCATCTTACATCTTATTAATAGAGTGTGGTGTGGTTCGCCGCGCTTACCTTTGTGTTCAGTCTGAGTTATCGGTATCAGAAGCGAGCGCCTTGGTGTGAGCGAGTGATGGAGTAACGCGATTGTTAAGAAATGAGTGACTGGAAACGCAGGAGATTGTATAGTGTGTAAGTCGTGTTCTTGTCCAAGTCTACGATTACAGTGCATGCTCTTTATAAATTGTCTCCTACCTAGCCCCACCCCATGATTGCTTCTCGTTGCTTAAGTTGCGCAGTTTGACTCCTGCGGGCAACAATGTGACTAGAGTGCAAGCTATACCGTGAGCTTGTGTGAGTGGTACCTTGGAAACCGCTGAGCTTGGTTTCCCATCGGGATCATCAACGCCGGGTCGTAAACCATCACCGAATGTGGTTTCAAGGTTGGACAGCTCAGTTGCCGCTCACGAGCGTGTTGGTGAGATTCCCTCTCTCAGACGATGCTGCAATATTAACATCGTAGTCAGCAACAAGCTACAGCAGGACCGTGCGGGTAGACGAGGTACCGATTAACTATTGGGGATCCCAAAGTGGTACAACGCGTGCCTCCCGGTAAGACGTACTCAGCAGAGGAATCTAAATCCTAATCTAGATTACGGCAACATCAGCCCTGCTGGATTGGTAAAACTGCTAGCGTAAAGTGATTCAGGGTGTTTGCTTCATTTGTCGGATGTGATTCCTCGCAGAAACGTTAATGTTTTCCTGCTTTGCCGCCTAACCGTCGGAACATGGCATGGCTCTCCCTGAACACTTGTTCTTGTTGCATTGATTTCAAAGGAAAGACTACTTGGCAGTCGGTCTTCGGTTCATCGAGATATGGAAGAACGGTGGGGTCTAGTGGCTGAACATTCAAGCAAGAGGCCTCGGCACCGTTGAACAGCCGCGCAGGGTTGACTTCTGCAAATCCTACGATGTCGTCATGCTTAGTAGATCTCGAGCTTGACGAGGCTGGTTAGGTGACGAAGATGTTTGCCGAAGTTCCACTACGGTGTTGGCTAGCATTTTCGGAAATTCCACCCAATTAGAGGGTGGTCTCACCGCCAATTCAGCGGTGCAAACATGCTGCAAGTGGTGCATATGAGCGCGTATGACGAAGCGGTTAGCTGAGGCTTGTTCGTACTAGTCACCTTGTTAGAGCTCTTGCTCGTTCGTTGAAAAGCCGAATATAGGTAAAGCCAATATTGGGATTGGCTTGTTTTCGCCTCCCCAAGGCTGTGGGTGCAGAATGCTCCACCCACGATGTACCCCAAGTTGCATCTTGAAGGAGGAAATGGCCGGGACCTGTCGTCTTTCCTGGGAGAGTCTGGTCAGCCTGCAACCTGTTGCTCGTCTCCACCGTGGGGTTCCTAGGAAGTGCTGGCCCCCCGTCTCTGATATGAAAGGGCTGTCAAGGGTCTCTTCGCGGGTAGGAGGGAGGAGAAGATGATGGAATACTGCACCCCACCAGGTCGTGGAATGATGCGCTGGCACACGGTTGTCGTTCGTTCATCTGAGACCCCAGGATGAGGCACAGCCCTGCAGGTGCACACGTCGTTGGCAACCCTCGAGAAGCGGGCGACATCGCAGAGGTGTCGTCGTCGATCGAGGCGACGACGAGATGGCAGCTCTAGCCTCCAATGCCAGCTGGCAACGCCCCATCTGAACTATTAACGTGAAAAAAGCCTATGCATGAGACGGTTGTAGTTTAGCGGAGCGCTCGACGCTTGACACGTCAACCCATGGCTCGCCTGTCTGCATATTGACGCAGGAGCTGCACCTGCATCTCTAGGAGCGCGGCATAGATTGAACGGGTTAATACTAGCATCGATTGCCTTTGCGTTCGCCCTGCCATTTCTCTCCTTCGCCGTCGTTGTGAGTTAGTTGTGTGTGCGCGCTCAGGCACTGCGCGCCCTCTCTTGCCCGTCTCTCTCACCACCAAGCCGAAGGTGGTCGCGACACCAAGATAGCCCCACCGGCTAGCAGAAGAGCACTCGACGGCCATCCCACGGGCATAGTCGCAAAGCTGGAGTCTCTGGGTGTGTGTGCGGCCCAAATTCGCTTCCCTCCACCGCTTAAAACACAGCATTGACCTCTCCTACACCGCCTGCCAAACGTCACGGCTTTAATATCATCGCATACCCTCACGCGCTGGACAATTGAAGCTGGAGAAGGTCGCCATGCGCTGTCCGAGGCCTCCGACACACATCTCCCAGCCACCTAGCATCTCACACACGAGGCCTGACGTCTGCTAGCCCGTCGCAAAAGCTCCCGCGTCGCCTCATTCATTGCGCGCTTCCATTGGCTCAGCCGCTGTCTCCGTCCATCGAATGGGAGTAGAGCTACGAGTCTACGCAACAACACCATTGCGACTTGTCCATTTTGAGGTAAACGACTTGTCTGCAAGCCATGCCACGCCATGTGCGTTGTTGAATACTTCGAGTCCATCGCTGACAGCTGTCCAGCTACCTTCCAAATACTTCTGGCGTTGACTCGAGCTTTCTGTACATTACCACCGGTCCTTCCACCCTCGGCCTTGTCACAAACATCTGTATCGAGTACTATTCTCACTATCATCATCATTGCCTAATCCAGCAAATCTCCGAGTGGCGCCTAGCAAATCCATTGGGCCCTGTATTGTCAATCTCCGGCTTGAGCTATCACGAGAATTACCATTCACTCGAGGAGCCACCGCGCACGGCCACCCGGTCGGCTGTCGAAACGTATCAATTGGCTAGTACTGGCTGCTTAGGCTTCGACTCCTCATCTCCTCGGCGGCATCACCGTACGGCGTCATCGGTCAGCTCGGACCGGGCTGCACTGTGTCTATCCATCTGGAGATACAGCGCAACGGTCCGGGTTGGCGGTTAACAGTAAGCGACCGCTTTCACTTGGGCGGCGACATCACTAGGTGGTGGGTGCTAGGTCCACTATTATCAACTCTCCACAATTGGGTCTGCAGGAAGTGTCAACGAGTTTCTACCCTCGCGGCATTCACTGTACGTTCTGAGTCGAAGGTTTGTGAGCCCCGAGTGTCCTTATCTCTCACACGTCCTTTCCGTATAGCTTCGCAACCAGTCGTCGTCATCGCTGCTCCTTGACGGTCAACGAGCTGACGAACTACCATCAGACCCAGCGCTAGAAGATGGCCTCTTTGGACTTCGATCAGAAATTCCTCGGTCGAATAGCCAAGCAAACATCAGACTCCAACCCTTTCCTCTCTGGTGCTCTCTACCAGATTCTAGGTCTATCCGTCTTACTGGCTCGGAGACTCATCCGCGCCAGAAAGCTTCGCAAGCTAGATACAAGTCGAGACACGCCCTCCCTCGCAGCATATCAACACATACTATGGATATCTCGCGAAGGTCTGTCCATACTAGAGCTCTATGTGCTCCCCTACGCGCAAGACAATCAACATGGGCCAGAATGTAGGGTTCTAAGCGTCAAGCTACGAGCGAGCTTTTACCACATCTTCTGCCTATTCCACAACCACCCACCTGTCACAACAACCAATATGGAAACGACTGACTCTCGAACACTCGGTGCGCCTCAGATGTCACTTTCGCCAAGAAACGGCAACGGACAGGGTCGCAAGACAGATCCGCCAGGACTGTCACCTTTATCGAAGCGCGCTGGTAAGCAGCCTACTCTCCGCGAACCCATCGACTCGATCGTATCCGAAACCTCGTTCGTCACGAATCCGTATGCAGCAGGAGGACCAGTTGGGACACCGTCACCCAGACCTCCACTCAATGCGCCTCCGGGGCTCAATCCCGTCCCCATTCCGCAACCCTCATCATTCATACTACCACCTTTGAACTTTGTCCCCCTAGCTAGTGGCTATTTCTCGACAGCGACATCATACGCCACCCAGTTTCTTCCTGGTTCACATCCTTTGAGATTGTCTGTGGCTCTTGAACACAGCGCGTTCCTCTGGGACTGTGTTCATGACCATGAAGCATCAAGACGGGTCGCTAGGCGCGCAATCAAAGACGTGTACCGCGCCCAAGAAGCTATGGATGATACCGAGTTTGAGGACGCTGCAGAGCTCGTGGGGATCCTCGGGAGAATGATGAAGCGCAAAAGCTGGGAAGGTACACCTCGAGTGGGAGGGATGGGGAGCCCGGAGCCTGTCACCCAAGGCGCTGCCCAAGCCGGTGTTGCCGACAATGAACAGAGCATTAGAGCCAATGTCGCCCCTCATCAACAAAGCCCACAGAGCAACAGGCGGGCAGCTGAACGCCCCCCAATTACCGATGCTTCCGTGCAAAGTCAGCCAAGAGGCCCTGTCCGTAGTAGATCGACCTCTACCAGCAAGGCTACATCTCGAAAGAAAGAGAGTGGCAGCTACGAGAACACACCACGATCAGAGACACAACGTTCCACGGGAGGTGGGAGTCAGGACACAACGCCACGTGCAAGGCATGTCAGTGTAGAAAGCGGCTCCAGCACAACGCCCAGGGCGACGCAAGGTGTTGGCCGCTCTCCCGCGACGCCTTCGACGGTCCGATCTACGCACCAGCCTTCCGGCAGCGGAGGATCCCATAAACGAACACCTGTTGTTGGAAACTCCACACCCGTCACACCAAGTGCGGCCGCAACATTCGCTTCAGACACAGTTCGCAACTCGCCTACCCTTCGTCGATCACCACCGATACGATCCTCGCCATCACAAGAAAGTACGTACTCCAGGCAGCAGAGGTGACTGGCGGAGACGGGACAGGAAAGAACCAGGAAAATGGAAGTACAGTGGACCGTGCCAGATCGAGAGGCTGAAATAGTGCTTTTGCCGTCCACCCAGCCCTCGTCGGTCTCGTCAACTCCCGTGGATTACGCAAGACCCCTCCCGCCTCCATATTGAGTTCTCTGGAGCTTTCATGCGCATCAACCGCTTCCACTCCTGTATTTCCGTCCCGTCGATACATTGCCTCAGCGCACCGGCCATAAGCCACACAACACGCCATGCTACCAACACCCCCGCCGCCACCCGATCATCCGATCCCACTACTGTACCATACCGGTGTTCACAGGCCATACATACCGTCGCCATTTTCTTTTCGGTCCCTGCATTGTAGCAATACGGATGATACCAAAAGCGTTGCTCTTCCTGGGCGGCCTTTTTTTGCATTAATATTTGGTTGTTTCACCTGCCTGGAGTTTAATGGGTCCTATTATTTGCTTTTGGCTGCTTTTACTCGTTCGAGATACCACTCCGTTGGTCCCTATTCATTGCATGCATGCCTTTGGGATATTTTGGTAGATATTCTGGATCAAGACGAATTGGATACATTGGACTGTCTTTTGGACCTATTTTGACCCCTTTGGATCTTTGTTTGACGACTCCCCGTTCGGCCCGGCGAGCTTGCTACTCGTTGAAGTACTGACGTGCATATGTTTAGGATTTAACATGCCTCCTCTGTACCGAGAATGAAGGATGTGTGCCTAGCAGGCTGAACGACACTCAAACATACTTACACGCCTCTCTAGTCCAAGGCTCTAATAAGCTAATCTTTAATGAAACCAGCGCAACATTCTGTGAAAGGAGGTCCATGGTCCCACATTGCTTTTCCCAGACCAAGACAGCCCACAGTTTATTGATACCAAATCAAGACTGCATCGATTGGTAACACTTAAATCAAAAACATACTCTTTCTCCGCCAAGGCGCAACAGCTTAGCAACATTGTATCAAGGTAAATTTGCTACTGCAGTTAGCAAGGCCGCAGCATATAAAGAAGGGCTCAAGGCAAAGCGAAGACGAAGGGATACCTAAACCCTTTGCCTTTCTGCTACACATTTCAGCTATAGATTTGAAGCTCAAAAATTCTGCATGGAATAAATCCAGGCATGGGGTCCTATTAGAATCGCTATAGTAACCGACTATCCGTACAATTACATCACCTAACACCATGCCTCTCCCCACAATACACACGCAGCCTAAGCGCCATTCTGCCCCTCTCCAGCTTGCGCTTGCGCTTGCGCCATCTTCCACCTCTGCGCATTGGCCATGAGTTTGGCCAATTTGGCCGCGCTCTCGTCGTCGGCCGGGAAGACATAGTCGACGTACTCCTCGAACGAGTCGTCGTCCAGCTTTCTCCTCTTCTTAACCTTTCTCGGCATCTGTTTCTCAATCTTTTCTTGGTCCTCTTTACTACCGTGTATGGCTTCGAAAGAGCGCCATGCATTGAGTAAAGCGACGCGGTCTTCTTTGAGGTCCTTGTCCTTGAGACGTTGGTGAGCACGGTCGAAGATGGCGCGGGCGCGTGCCTTTGCATCATCTGAGATGGGGCGATCTTCATCTTCATCAGCGTCGCTGTCTGGCACGCCGATTTCGAATTGTGCCCATGATATCCAGACTTTGACGTGGTCGGTCTTTTGTAGCAGACGCTCGTACAACGCCCTAGTCCGCTCGTACTCGCCCTCCCCTTCTTCGAAATCAATATATGCCTTCCACAGGAGTTCAGGCATATCGAGTTGCGATTCATCGACAGCAAGCTCGAAGATTGCGCGCGCGCGTTCCAGATCATCAAGCCCGCGCTCGAGTTCGGCGAATTTGATCCATGTTTGCGAATTTGTGCCGCTCCATTCGATCCACTTTGTGTAGAGCTGGCGACACCGGCCAAACTCGAAGAGCTTCATTTCCAGCTCAATGTAGCCTTTGAATAGCTTGTCTTTTGGACACATGCCGATTGCCTGACCGAGAAGCTTTCTTGCGGTCGTAAGCTGACCTTGACGGACCTCAAAGTGAGCGAACATTAACCAAACCTTCGCAAAAGTGAAGCGCTTGTGTGGAAGGAGACGAATGCACTCCTGGTATATTTGCCTTGTCCGTTCGATGTCTCTTGTGACTATCTCTTCCCACGCGGCGTAATTTAGGAAAATGTATATGTAGCGTCTCCAATGTCGTTTCTCCTGTGTCGGCGGTATCTGTGCTATGGCTCGCTCGTATACGTCTCGTACGCGGTCGGTGTTTCCAGACGTCTCTTCTAACCGCGCAAAGTCGATCCAAGCGTCGTAATTCTTGGGGTTCTCCTTAATTTGCTCTTCGTAGTGTACTCTTCGTTTTGATAAAATCACGTCCTCGATGCCGTCCCTATCACCGTACTGCTTTTCGAACGTGGTGAAAGCTCGATGGAGATGGACCGATTTCGAACGTGGCATCCTGTCCAGAGCGAACTTGTAAATGGCGCGTGCCCGCTCCAACTCCTTCAGCCTCGCTTCGAACTTCGCATAGGACATGAAAAGCTTCTCGTCCATGAACTCGTCGCCGAGCGTCTCCACTGCCGTGCCATATACATCCCGGACGAGATCGCTGGTGCCATTCTCTTCCTCAAACTTTGCCCATTTGATCCAGTTCTTCGGTTCTGGATGCACGACAGTGAAGCGCTCGAAGATTGCCCTAGCTCTTTCAAACTCGCCGTGTCTCTTCTCCAACTTGATGTACGATGACCAGGCGGCCTCTTCTGGTTCCCACTGCATCCACCGCTCAAAGACGGACCGCGCACCGTCAATGTTGCCAAGGGTCTCCTCCATGTACACGTATTTGTACCACAGTTTATCGACACGCGGCAGAATGGTGACAGCGCGATCCAGGAGGTTGCGCGCATGGTTGATATTTCTCGTCTTCATCTCGGCTTCAATGTACCTCAGCCATAGCGTAACACTCGTGCTGTCGACATCCAGCGCTCGCTCAAAGACGGACCGCGCACGCCTGTATTCCTTCTGTTCAAGTTCCCATGCCGCGTATCTCGTCCAGTTGTTCATATTTATTCTGTTCCTTCTAACATAATCCTCAAACTCCTTGCGCTTTCTCCCTTGAAACTCCCGCAGCTCCTCTTGGTCAGCAAAGCGCTGCGTTGGCGCCTTGAGCTTCTCATCTTGACGGTCGACAGCTTCGCGGAGCAGCTGTTCGGCAGAGATCTGGATGGGCGCCGCGGCCTTGTTCTTGACGCGTGGAGGTCCTCGTGAGCTCTCCATAGTGACGACTACGGGCGCAGTGGCTGCGAGGTTGATGGAGAGTCGGTGTCTTAAAGCTTGGGTTGTTGAAAGTTCAAGATGCCCTTACCGCCTGGCAATATTTCTCCGCGCCAAGCTTTCTGCACTTTCACGTCACCCGCGGTCGCGACTGCTTAGCTCCCTCTCCAACTACGGAATTTGTCACCACCACATACCTCATCGGCGGCCACTCCAGACACAAGGTACGTATAAGACTGCGCCTATCTGAGCCCAGCACTCAACCAGACATCACTAGGAGGCAACCTCCGGCCGCCGTTGCGACTCCACTTCGACAACTGCCTTCGCGCATCAACTTGCTCCATCCCGCACACCCACGCAGCCCCAACACCAGGACAAAGTAATAGATCAACATGGCGACACTCGAGCAGGAGCTTATGGCCGACTTCGCCGACTCTGGGGATGAAGATGTCGCGGATCTGGAAAACGATTTTGGTGAAGCACACGACTCCCCAGAGGCCGATGGCGATGATGATGCCATGGTAGACGAGGAGGCAGAATACGAGGCGGAGCAAAAAAAGTTGAAGAAGGGTCCGGCGGATATTCGCGGTGCACAGAACCTGATGACCAACCTCGAACCCGTGCTCCAGCAGATCGATGAAGTCAAAGACCGCATGGAGGAGGTTATGGATGGCGAGTCGATAGAGGATAATCCTGAATATCAGCTGTTGAAGGAAGCGAACGAGTACTCGACACAAATCGACGGCGAGATCGCAGCTGTGCACAAATTCATCCGGGACCATTATTCTCAACGTTTTCCATATTTGGAAGAACTGATTAAGAATCCTGTCTCCTATGCTAAAACGGTTGCCATCCTGCAGAACGGCCCTTTCGATGACATCAAAACCATTGCGCAAAAGGCGGACAATCTTGTGGGGGTACCATTAAAGAGCATTTTAGATGGTCCACTGCTCATGGTGGTCATCGTCGAGGGCACGCGGATACAGACTAGCGATCTCACAGAAACGGAGCTCGAAGTCATCGTAGGCGCCTGTCAGCTGCTGCTCTACTTGGACAAAGCGAGGGGGACACTCATTTCATACGTACAGTCACGCATGACCATCTTTGCGCCCAATCTCACCGCGCTGGTGGGTTCGCTGACAGGTTCATCTCTGATCGCCAGTGCGGGTGGATTGGCCGGTCTGGCGAAAACCCCAGCCTGCAACATCGCGCCCCTCGGCTCCAATCGGTCCACAGGGTTGGGTCTATCAACCAATATCGGTATACGAAATCAAGGATACCTGTTCCATAGCCAAATCATTAGGGAGATACGGCAAGACTTGAAAAAACAGGCACTCAGAATTGTTGCGGCTAAGGTCATCTTGGCTGCACGTGTCGACTTTGTACATTCTGCCGCCGACGGCTCGACAGGCCTTCAACTCAAGGAAGATTGCGAACGCAGGCTTGAAAAGCTCGGGCAGGCGCCTCCAAATCAAGGTGTGCGCGCATTGCCTACTCCAGATGACAAGCCATCACGGAAGCGTGGTGGAAGGAGAGCACGTAAGGCAAAGGAGGCAACAGCTCTGACCGAGATCCGCAAAGCGCAGAACCGCATGGCGTTTGGTAAAGAGGAGAAGGAAGTCGGCTACGGCGACTCGGTCAAGGGAATGGGCATGATTGGTGCCACGGACACGGGTCGTCTCCGCGCACAACAAATCGACCCCAAGACGCGCGCAAAACTGTCCAAGAAGAATCCTGGATGGGGCGGCGATACGACCCTTGGCGCTGCGTCGTCTCTCAAGGGTTTCGGTGCAGGAGGCACAGCCACGAGTTTGCGCGCTCAGGGTCTGAGGACTGGTGGTGTGGGCTTAGGCGGTGCAGGAACTAGTTCGATTGCGTTCACGCCAGTTCAGGGTCTGGAACTTGTGGACCCGAAGAAGAGGGATGAGATGCAGAGGAAGAGGAAAGCAGATGAGGATCGGTGGTTCAAGGGCGGTTCGTTTACGAACTTGAATGGCGGAGCGTCGAAGGTTGACGCGGGCGGATTCAAGGTCCCTGCGTTGCCTAACAAGAAGGCGAAGACAGATTCATAGATGCATTTTCAGCTGGTGACGAAGAGGACGAGGCATTCTTGGCGCTTAGGTGGGACTCATCTATCGGACACGAGCATTGGGCGGCGTTTTGGCTGACCGATATTTTATGTATCGGTTCAGCATGGAGATATCCACGTGTAAAAGTAGTCTCGAGTAGTGCAATAATCAGTCAATCTTCAATCAGTATGTCTTTCCTTTCCGTGCAAGTGAACTGCCTAGGCCTTGGGATGGAAACTTTGCATAGTTGATCACTCTGCCTATTCGTAGTTCACTATACGAAAGCGAAACAACAGGATATGTGCTGCTAACCGTGTCTTTTAGCTAACCACTATATACCTCTTGCTCACTCCCCTCACCGCACCTGGATTTCCCAAAAAGAAAGAGTAAAATTCCCATCTTCATTACCCCACCCCGCTACATGAACGAGTCTGGAGTGAGCGTAGAGCGTCAAGTCATCCAATCCAGCAAAAAAGGAACAATTACATGGTCAGTACGAGGGTCGAACTCGCGACCTTGGCGTATACAAAGCAGGAAAGACTCTCACAAGTCAGAGCAAGCTTATTAGCACCACGCTCTAAACCAACTGAGCTAACCGACCGATTGGATTCGTTGTGTCTTCACGTGATTGAACGTCGTCGAAATCTAACTTTATATACGCAGACATCTTGAGAAGAAGAGGAGGAGGAGGAGGAGGAGGAAGTGAATCTATGGATAGATAGCAGGATAGATTGTTTGAACGAAATAAATTGTGGGGATGTTGGTTAGGAGGGAAATTGTCGGAGGAGACAAGTCCAATGAACTAACGAACTTGTTGGGGCTTGTTAATACATGCTACTAAATGAATTTTTCGCAACTACTAAAAATGTCTTGAGGGCCTTGTGGCTGCTGCATTATGATTTTCTTCCTCTCAAGATCTGTTTGCATAGCACGCCACAGAGTTGGTGGGGACGGGACGGGACATGGAAGTTTTTTTTAGTTAGCGGGTTGAGGTGGGGTCTTTGACGGCCAGATTTTGCCATATCCTACCTATACACCAAATACGTTAATAATCAAGAAGTAATGTACATGATCTGACGATCATTGAAGTGGTGCGTGGATAAGGTCTACTCCTTACACGGTGCTCGGTACTTGAGCTAGCACACAGACTCAACGTAGGACCTTAGGTCGTAAGAATCACGCAGGGAGTTGGGGTCACACGTCCGCCTTGTTCACAGTCCCAACCTGCACTTTACGCCCCCAGCCAGGACAACGGTTCATACCGCGTCGTCGTATTCGGTAGCTTCGGAGTTGTCAGACGCTCTTCCGGACCGCTGTGACAGGCAAGATTTGCAATGCATATGCTGTGACTCCTTCCTTTCGATCTAGCAAGCCCCTTCTTCGTTCAACCAGTTGCGTGCTTCCCGATCCCAAACATGGCCAACCACCTCAACGTTCTCGAGCAGCACGGCAGGTTCGGAGATGAGCCGAAGGGGTTCGGCGGCAGTTCGTCGCGGTTTCGAACACAAACCGCATGTTCGCGTCGTAGCTGTTTTACAGGAATGGCGGCACTTCCGAGTGGGTTCGCTTCGGCAGCTGGGGCGACAGAGTTGCAACCTTTGTACAAACACACAGCATGAGTGATCGGCGCCGCAGCCCTTCCAGCACAGTGGAAATTCTCCGACCGTTGTGTCCTGCATTGTATGGCGTCGCACGTCATGCGCCTCGGAATCTGCCGTCTACACTGAACTTCGTAAAGGCCGAGCTATGACGTGCAAAGATGATCGAGACGCTCTTCATCCAAATGAACAATCACTTCGAAGTGGATGCACCATGGATTGTATAGCTCTTCGTTTTCTCCCCGAGAGCTGCTGGTTCGGAAGGGACCTGCTTCTTCAACGGTGAGTGACACCAGAGTGGCGGTGAGCTGAGCTTCATCATTCCCTTAATAGCCCTGAAATGGGAGTGATTGGATCGAATTACCACACCTAATCAAACATTAGTCCTGAGAAGGGGTATTGTTTGAATAGCTACCCGTTGTCCTGGACCCTGTTGTGTTACAAGATGACGTCTTTGTACCATGCAGCTAGGAAACCGACGCCATGAATAATCTTTAGTGGGATCGGCGGATAGCTCGCTTTCGAAGGAGGGCCCGATGGAAGTGGATTTGGCACGTCCCGACTCCGCTTACTACCGAGTAACAAGGGATAAGGAGAGACTGATGTAGAGTTGGAGCAATATGCTACAGTGACCCGAAAGGATCCATGCTGCCACGACATGAACGAAAGCGACTATTCGTGTGAGTTTTTGAGTGGCTGTGGCGAGGATGGAAGAATCAAGTGATCGATGACAGCGACTTCTCCAAATTGAAAAAAAAAACCCAAAGTGTGAACTCCTTGATTTAATACTGCTTCGTTTCAAACCCGTCAACCCATTGCGGCTCGTGTTAAATCATGTCATAAACCAAACCCACGAAAGCATCTTCTGCAGATCCAGGAAGAATACAGATTAGGTAGTCTCTGGTATTGAGACAGAAGAATGTAACGCAAGACGTATTCGAGTCGAACGGGGTATATCTTGTGATGCCTGCCCAAAATGCTGTCGTTACCACCAGCTCCACGCGCTAGATGCAGAGTGCGCCTAAGCGGCGAGAAGAAAGAATCAAAAGGCTTAAACATGTGTCATGTAAAGGTGTATGGAGGGAGGAAAAGCAATATACTCATGAACGATAGTTAAGGAAATCAACCCAGATGAGAGCAACTAAACGCCCGCTCAAGCATGCAATGTCGAGAAAAACAGCAAATTCTTCCAATATACCAACTTGGATGCCTTCGTGACTCAATGCAGTTTTTTTGGAGGTTTGGTATGGCATCACGAAGGCATCCAGCCTATCCTAATGCAGGATCTAGCAAATGTGACGGGATGTGCACTAGCCTGTGACTGCGTAAGTGCCCTGACGTCCCGCAAGTTTCAGGCTATGAAGATCTTGACACAGTCCAAGATAGCATGGCCATATCACAAATACGGGCCAAGACTTGCTGTGTAGCTGATCGGCTTTCGTGGCTGATGAAAGACATTGCAACTAGTAGCTTGTTGAGATCGCTTTCCGCATGCTGATTGACTGGAGCTGGCAATGCATTTGGGAAACCGCCCAATCGACTGCCATAGTGACGGGCGATTGCGATTGAATAAATGGCATCGCGCACCTCCTGCATGTGCAAGACGTTGCGCATTGTCGCGAGAGCGTGATCTGCAGCACCCGGCGGCGCAGTCTCGGAGTCGGAGTATTGGGCAAAATCACCCAGGGACTGCCAGAAGTCGACCTCTGCTCTCTTGGCTTCTTGGATATCGGCAGGATACGATAATTGACGCAGAGGGTTCACCTCCATATTTTGGTTCGTCAACAGAGCCTCCAGGATGTCAAATCGAGCTCGGACTTCTCTCAATGAGATATCGTCGTTTTCGGCGAAACCATTTGCGGAACTGCCGGCTCCATTGGTGGTCGGTGATGTGTGTTTGCAGCTACCCAGCAAATGCCATATCAGGCGTGCTTCTTGACTGAAGACACCAGTCATGTCAGTGGTGGATGATTTGTACTTGATCGTTTCGGTGAAGTAGGCAGCCTCTTCGTGTAGGGTCCTATCGGCGAATACTCTGTTCAGTGCATTGTTGTTTGTAGAAAACCACGTGGTTTGAAGCATAAAATCGAGTCCCTGGCAATAGTCGTTGACAAATATCTGGGTAAAGTCGTCGTCAAGGCCAGGTGGTACGGGTGTGCTACGCTGGGGAACCTCTGGCGGGCTGTGGTTGCAGATGCCATAGATGTCGTCGACATTCAGTCGCTTGCCTGTAACGTAAAGTTAGTATCGAGACAGTTTTGATCCGTGTACACAGTGCTAACCTTTGATGGGCTCGGGCGGCGGTTGTGGTGGGTAAGAGTTGGCACCCGGCGGTCCTCTCATTGCGGGATCCATTGCGTGCACGCCGTTGTAGGGTGGTGGGTTGGTGTGCATTCCTGGGCCTGACTGCGCGAGCGCAGGGTCAATGGCGTTGAAGTTCTCTGACTGATGCCCACCGCTCGTTGCAGAAGCGGCAGACGCGAAGCCTGCCGAAGAGGCAGGTGCGTAGCCCTGGGGTACCGGGCTCTCGCTGTATGGGGCAGCTGCTGGCGGTGCAGATGCGGGTGCTGGCGTCGACGAGTGCGGTGCAGGTACAGAATTGGGGGCGGGTTGTATCTGGGCTGGACCGGCCTGCTGCTTGAAGATGGGATCGTAGCCAAGACACTCTCGCTTGCTCTTTTGACAATTCCTACACATAGGGTGGGCCTCGTCGCACTTTATTGGTAGTGTGGTTAGCGCATGTGTAAGTGAAAGGGTGAGGGTTTGGCTCGCTCGCTTCATGGTGGCTCGGTTAAGTTAAGAGAGCGGACAAACCGCGACCCTCGCCTCGCGCGTCACCATTGCGCCTGCCAATCGCATGCCATTGAACTCCGCACTTACCTTTATTCTTCTCTTGCGACATGTCAGACATCCAGTCTTGGTGCGACGCTTGATCTCCTTCTTATGGCGGCCGCCCGAGAGGACCCGCTGGTCTGCGCCCTGCGGCGGTAGCTGGTATCGCATCGCGTTGAATTGCGCCGGGCCCATGTTGCCCATGTTACCCATGGGCTGGCCGGGCTGCGAATGCGCGGCGTGGGGATAGTATTGCTGCATTGCGTGTTGCGGCGGTGGGAGTGGAGAGCCCATGGGCTGCTGTGTGGATTGGGATTGCTGGGGCGGTTGCTGTCCGTCCTGCAGACGTATCGGCGGCAGGTTGAGCGGAGGCAGCGACATGTTGGCGCCCTGCGGCGACCCTCGATAGGGCTCGTTGCTCTGCTGTCCCTGGGGCGGTGGGTATGTGTACGTGGGTTGCATCGAGGGCGACGGGTACGAGTGCGGCGAGGGATAGGCAACGGCCTGCTGCTGTCGCGACTGCTGGCCGTTTGGGTCTGCCATGGTGGATTGCGAAAAGTGCGATGGGGCAGGCGAATATGGCGCAGAGGTGAACTGGGCCGAAAACTCGTGTGACATGGGCTACCAATCGACACGGCCACCAGGGGCGCGACACAGACTTGGGGGTTGACTTTTGCGAAGCACGCAGCCGTGTCTCGCTAGAAGCAGCAGCAAGATGGAGGAGAGACGGCTAGGACTGGGATATGTTGTTGGCGAGGCGTGATGGGCGCCAGATCAAGCTAAAAGCGCCAGGGGGGGGGGGAGGGCCTCGGTTCGACGCCGGTCTGCAAGTCGAACCTGCAGTCGTACACTGGGGCGGGACAGTAGATTAGCAACGCGTTGGCGAGAGAAGCCAGCCGGCGGCGTAGGGTCGTCGCTAGGCGGCGCTGGACGGGAGAACAAGGGGACTAGCTGGGCACTGGAGCGCTGAGCGATGGACGGGCGGCCAGATACATGGACAAAAACACGTCAAGAATGAATGCCGCGCGACATGCTCTCCAACGAAAGGGAGGGCGGCAGCAAGCAGAGCACTGGCACACCCAATAGCCAGCGAGGCAGGCCACAGGCGTCGGCCCAGCTCCTAGCCGCCTTGAGAAGGTAAAAAGGCCCAGTGCGCGCGCGATGAAGGCTGGAAAGTGGAAACTTACAGCACTGGAGTTGCGCAGCGGCCTCGCTTATGGGCGGGAGGCAGGGTACAGCGCCAGCTCCCAACGGGTGGTGCAGATTCTCGGTAAATGACAATGGATGGATGAATGAATGGCTTGTTGGACGAGCGGCCGAACCAAAGCTGCGCCAGCGACTGATGAAAGGGGATGGGCGTCTTGATCAAGGCGGAGAGGCTGCTGAACACGACCCCCCGGTGGGAATTGGAACAAGATGCAATGCTGAGCGCCACTAGTCCCCATCCGACCAATCACGTGCCTTGCTTCTCTCTCTCGACACACCACACACACACATACACACCCCCCCTTTGCGCATCTCAATCCTCCACGTCGGTTCTTCCTGCAATCAGCTCCCGAGACGGCGCCTCTCTCGCCCTCCACCTTGCCCCCCGACTTGCTGGCGGGACTGCGTGCATGGGCGAACCACCTTACCTTAGCCAAGCTGTCATGCAGCGCGCGATATGTCATTACAGCAGCTCAGCACCCGCTGTCAAGTCACTCTTGGCCTTGGTGCCATTACCGTCCAACTAGACACGGTAGATGCGGCAAGGCGCGTCCGCCCCGACGCGACCTGCCACGCTGGTACAGAGAGCGGTTTGCATTCCCCCGATCCCTTTCCGACTTGGACGGGCCAAATTTCATTAAGGCTGATTGCTGCAGTACCTGGGTCCCGGTGCAGCCGGAGCGAGCGGGACGTCTTCTCGAAGACACTTGATAGAGCTGCTTTGGCCCCGGCCGCCTCCCCTGCTTTTGATATATCGCTTTCGCTTGCACTCGCGTTTGCTGCAACCCCAACCATGACCCAGAGTTACCACCATGACTTTGCAAATCAATGAGTGATTGGGCATGCCCGCATCCAGCATCCCACATCTGCGTCCCCGGGCCGACTTCCCCTCCCATCGGTGCGTATCGTCATATCAGAGGGGTGCTGACAAGGCGAGGCAAAACTCCGCCTTGTGCAATGTCATTTCCCATGCCATTTACCCGCAGACGGCGAGGTCTCAAGAGCAGCCTCAAGATGCAGCCACCTCACGCGGTACCTCCAGGCAATCATTCACCCTAGTGACTGTGTTGCGCTTGTTGGAGCTAGACTCAGCCTGAGTATCGGAAACGATATTCGGTGCTACCCATGGCCATCAACGAATAAAGACAATACGTACCGCGTTGCAGCCGTTACTTGACCGATTGACCGAAGCTGAGTGCGACGGTCCTGTGTAGCAGGTCCTTCAGGCCGAGAGTCTACGCTCATTCGGAAGAGTAGTATTGGGATATGCATAGTTCAGCATGGATGGACCAAGCACAGCTTACCGCACCTGAGGTGCAGCCGCGAAAACTTTGAAGATACCCAACCCGGGATTCGCCAGTCACTCTGCTACCCCTTTTCATAGACGGCGAGATGACAAAACGGACAGCGAAGCTTCTGCGCACTTTCTTAGAGTCTGACAACATGACTAACCTGCATTGCCGTCCGCCGTTGCACGAGCAAAGACCCTGGAATAAGGGCTGATGAGTTGGAGGCGCATGTCGATCCGGTTTTGTGCGACGAAGAGCAGCAGGGCAAAGACAGACCAATGACCCACAGTTTCCACATCTTGTGCGTGTCCACGTCCGCTGCATGCAGAATTTCCAACATGAATCATCAAGCGACGAGGTCACAACTTCAAAGGATCCCGTTTCTCGTTTATCGTGCGAACGCCAGGTCAGGGATGGCCCCAGCAACCCCAAGAGGTTCTGGGAGAATCTCGCAAGCGCCACCGAGCGGGCCTGCCCCACGCTTAGGAACACCACCACCACCACCACCACCTAAGCTAACGTGTTGGTTGTGCTCCAATGTAGCGGTTCATCGGGGCACGAACGTCTCGCGTACATTTTCAAACCACGACAGCCGCCAGTTCCGCAATTGGATATGCACATGCAGGTGTCCTTCACGAGACATGGGCGACTTTGCAGGAAGAGGAACACGGTGACACATCTCGGAGTACACCCAAAGGAACAACCTCGCATGCCCGATGATACTCTCCCACAACTATTGGCATGTCACAGCCGATCGTCCCCATGTGGATCGTAGTGACCTCAAAGGGCAAAAACTACGGGACGATACGCGCTGCTCGTTACTTGTTGTGGGATATCAAACACTGACACTTGTTCAAGGCATTTCACTCGCACGCGTTAGGCAGTTGCGCCGGATGGATGGTGCAGGACGATAGCTATCGTTGTATCCTTCTTACCGACACCGACGTGAGAGCTCCACGCAAGTCAATACTGCATGCTCCCAATGTGTGTTGTGTTCATGCATTGTGCCAATGGGCAACTAGCGATCACTCAGCTAAAGCCATGCGAATGGGTTTGCAACTCCAGCGAGAGCTAGCAGCATGTCAGAGGCACAACATAGCCAGTCTCTGATCGCTTGCCTCTTGCCAATTGAATTTCGCTTGGGCGTTCAGTTGACAGCCAAACCAAGAAAAGAGCTTCAGGTGCCATAGCTCACCAGCATGCTTGCTCAGGTACAACATCCCTCAGTGAGCCCTTTTCCAGTGCGCTGCGCACGTTTGCGATAGTTTTTTCCTCCATCGCTGTCTGTGTCTGTTCTCAGGGTCAGCCCAACTTTGCTGGCATCTCCCTCCTTCCTTTCCGAGCGAGGGCGGGACCAAAGGACGCGCTACGGAACGCGAAGAAGAAGGTGCGACCTGTTGGTACATCTCCGTCAACGTCTCCGCGTTCTGTACTTCGCGACGCTCGCGGCTTTGGGACAGATGAAGTATTGACAGAAAGGGGACGCGATTGAGTGACTCACCTCTACACTCCATGTACCCATGTGCGGCAATAACATGACGTTTGGGTTCGCTTTCAAACCGGGATGAATATCCGGCTCTGCCTCGTACACATCCAACCCTACGGAAGATACCTTGCCGCTGTCTAACGCTTCTACCAGTGCTCCTTCATCTATGACAGCCCCTCGAGCAGTATTGACCAGAACCACACCATGTTTCATCTGTTCGAACTCCCGGGTCGACAACATATGTCTCGTGTCTGCCTTCGGCAGGTCAGCCCATCAATAGCAACCAAGACATTGCTACCAGCTATCAATGCACTAAGCAAGGATAATCCGGTAATTCAACAATGAAGCTCACTCACATTGAGAGGAATGTTGATGCTGATGATGTCGCTCCGAGCTAACAGGCTTTCAAACGTCGCGTACTCAGCACCCCCAGCCAGAGGCTCACTGAGCTCCTTGCGGTTGTGGTAGATTATCCGCATTCCAAACGCTTCAGCTTTGCTCTTCAAATTCCGCCCGATACCCCCTAGTCCTAGGATGCCGAGCGTCTTTCCCTGTGGATCATGGCCCAGTGGAGGCGGAGGGTGTCCTCGCCAATTGCCTTCACGCAGCGTCGTCATTGGTACATTCAGTCTTCGAAGTGCTCCAAGGATGAGGAACATGGCGGTATCGGCTGTAGAGTCATTTACGGCGTCAGGTGTGTTGGATACCTTCACGCCTCGATTGGAACACGCGTGAACGTCGATCTGATCGTACCCGGCACCTACAAAGTACACAAAGTTAGCGTCGCGTGCACCTCTCGATAAACGCAGACAACTACAAAGGTCTCCTTGTCCCTCAGAACGTGGATTCCACACCCAGAATGAGATATGCGCCCGCACCATTGTGGCATATGAATTTGACACTCGCTGGTAGAGCTGTGACTAGCTCCTCATCCAATCGTCCGGTCATATCCACGCTTTCGAAGGTTCTGTATATGACCAGAACATCATCCAATGTTCCCTTTCTACACTCATCGATGAAATCGGTACGATTGCGGGCCCGCGGCTCCACAAGTTCGGCGAGAGGTGACAGTGAATTCCACGATTCAGTAGCACTGTTAATGATAAAACAGTCAGCGATGCAAAACGACTTATTAATTTCGTATTACAGGATTTTGGTTCGATTGCGCCTGCGTACAATGTCGCCGCTAAGTAGCTTATGACTTCATCTTGCGGCAACTTTCGAGAACCTGCATCGTCGCTCTTGAAGAGAAGAAAACTGCATCATCCTTTGTCACTCACTGTTCGACTCGGCCAAGGAGCAGTACTTTGGGCCTCATGCCGCCTCCAGTCCCCTATCCTAAGCCAGATACGCAATCTCCGCTCGACCAGTATATGCTGTTTGGGACTAGTTGTACATTAGCTAACGTCACAGCAACTGAAGGTCCACCTACATCTAGCTTCATGAATTGATGTGGTGTAGTTATATGGATCAGGCGATGCAAGGCCGACTACGAGTTTTTGGACAGAGATCAATGGTCGTGGCAATCAAATTCGCGACAAATTCTTGCATCATCACCGGAAGTTTCCTACAATCGTAGAGACGCGTCCTGATACCCCGCGGCCCTCGAGTTTCATTCGACCACGAAATCACCCCACTAATGCACTTGCACCTTTATCAGGAAAACCTCCAGTAATGTGCGAAGTCGGCGGGAACAACAACGAAGCGGTGAGTGCGGTGTCCTTGTTTTCTTGTCTTCTTGGATACGTGGAAACTTTCGAAACCATGCGACCGCGGCAGTTTCAATGCCTCGGGATGCACTTGTACTTATCTCCCGGTGGATCTTTGGCCATGTGGTGTCACGGGGTTGTCTATCGCTAATTCTTACTGGGCTATAGCTGCTGCATGATAGGAGATCCTGCATGTCTGCGTCCGACAGCGCGGTTACGGCATCGCGTATCAGTATGCACACTGATATCTTCGTGTCTTCTGGGTGGTGGACGTATAGCTTGTAGACGCTATTGTACGCTCCGATAGGCGATGGTATAGTCGCCAGCTCCACCTTCCCCACAAAACTACGAAATTAGAAGGAAGATTAAGAACATGGCAATGTATGGTCCATCGGGTCAAAACCGATAATACACAAGCGAAGGGGAGCGGGAGTCGGTACAGATTCAACCCTCCAACAACACTACCATTCAACTTATTTTCGGGGCTTGTGAGCGAACATGAGCGGAAGTCATCCGAAATCAGTTCCCAAAATACTACTACTTGACTGATATATGTAACATACTGACGTTCTCATCAGTGAGACATTTTCTGCTGCTTTGCTGCTGAAGTTCAGATAGTGGAGATAGAAGTCGATGACGTAATCATCTAATTCCGGTTCAGCCGCTGGAACAAGACTTTGGTTACACTTTACATTGACTACATCCATTGAATGATACCTTCTTTCAACCAGATAGCAAAGCCTCTATATTGGCCCACGAAAGTACGATTACTTCTGCCCAACCGCCACTTCCTTCCCAAGCCCCGCATCAGTCGCAACCTCGGAACTGGCGTTTGATGCTACAGGCGCTTCCACATCTTGTACGGCCTCATTCTCTCGCGCCCTCCTCTTGGTGTCTGTCTTCTGCAGCAATCGAAGTATCTGCGTCAATACTATCATCGCTACACCCAAGGTAGAAGCCGCTGTGAAACCTGTCTTAAAGCGCGGCGCGTCTGCGGTCCTCCACACTGCGATTGTATACCAGATAGACATGGTGTAGCTGAACATGTTCGACGCCGCGATAACGAAGCCTCGCATCTCGTGATCGTGGGGGATGAGGTCCGCGTACCACGCAAAATAAGGACCAGGTACGCCAGCAGAGAAATACGCAATATAGTACGCGAAGAACTTCACGTTATCAGACACATGCCAAGCCGCCAGTATGACTACACCAATCAAGGTTCCAGCCTGCATGACGACAATGGCTGGCCAGCGACGTCCTTTCAACAGCGGCGAATCTGAAAGCGCACCAGCCAACAGCTGTACGACAACGCCAACAGCAACTTGTCCAGTTGGCCAGACGTTCCTCTCGTAGACGGAATGACCCTTGGACTTCAACCAGAGGGCCATGACGGGTTGGTAGACGGGGAAGCTTCCTTGGACGAACCAATATCCGAGGGGCAAGACCCAGAATTGCCATTGCTTTGCGATGTGGAAGAACTTTTTTCGCGTCCATGGATTATGCCCAAGGGGTTTCTGTCCTTCGTTGATCAGGCGCTGGCACTGCCGCTGTGCCTCTTCTTTCGTGATATAGAAGGCCTTGGTAGTTTCCGGGAAATCGGGGATGAAGAAGTAACCCAGGAAAGCGATAGGGAGTGAGATGACGCCACAGACGATGTATAGCCACTGCCAGCCCGCTCTCCCGTGCACTCCGTCCAGGCCCTTGTACGCTCCGGCTTGCAGGTACCCACTAAACATGCCTGCGAGAGCTGCCGTGCAATAAAACAAGGCTGTACGCTTGCCTCTTTCTTCTTTCGTATACCTAAGGTAGAGGTAAGTGGTTAGTATATGTCTTAGATGAAGTTGTATGGGGAAATTCTCACCAGCTTCCAATAAGATACTAAAGAGAATTAGCACAGTGACCAGACACATTGAAAAGGTAGGGAAAGTACTCACGATCATAACAGGGAAGTAACCGCTTTCACAAAGCCCAATCAGAAATCGAATGGCGTACAGATGGGACGTAGTCTTTATCGACGAAGTGCAAAAGGTCAAGACAGACCAGAAAATCTCGAGCGTGGGAATGAGGATAGAAGGGCGAACTTTTGTTGCCAACATGACTGCGGGCAACTGGCCGACAACATATCCTGCAGTAAAACAATTGCCGGCATATGTTAGTTCGCTCCCAGTCATGTGCAATGCCTCTTTCATCTACCATTCTGGTCAGCAATCGTAGGTCTCGATAGGGTCTCGATAGACTCGACAACGTACTCCTGAGACGTATGCGTTGTTGATATTCGATTGATCTAGGTTCTTGCTGAAGTAGCCGAGGCAGGCAGCGACCAAGAGAAAAGTGTCCAACTTCCGCAAGAACCACTTCTCTTCAGCGGACTTATCTGGATTGTCCCAAACATATCGTTGAATTGATCGAAGAGTACGGCGCGTAGCACCAACGAATCCCGGCTTCTCCCAGGGCTTAGGTCCGGCTGGTGCTGGTGGACTTGTATCTCTCGAGGAAGAGGCTTCGGGTAGGCCTCGTGTCTGGATTTCCAGCTCTCCTTTTGTTGCCATGTTCGCCAGAAAAAGGGACAAGATTAGGCCTGGAACGACCAAGAGAAGCGCGGTTGGAGCTACATCAAAATCCTTCAAAGATCGACGACATATATACAGCTGACCCTAGATCAACATTCATCGTTCTGAAAATCCCACAAGCCATTGCGCAATCAGCACCAGTCTTCCATCATCGGATGCGCAGCACCTTTAAGGCACAGTAGCTATTACTGCGGAGTATGTTCGGCACTTCAAAAAAATAATAGTATCATCCCACGCCTGAGCTCTGGGCCTAGAGTGTATATGCGTTCGACAACCTAGCCATTCAACATGTCCGCTTTACCTCCGACAAGCCCATTCGGGGTAACGCGATAATCGCCCTTTCATGATTCGACGATTCGAGTTGTGATGGATAAAATTAGCCTCGCAAACGATGATTATGAACGTTTTGTTGATGGAGTCGCAATGCAGGGAGTCCATTGCGACATCTGATAACGGCAACGACCCGCGCGCTAACGAACATGGTTGCATCCGACACTGCAACTCCAGATATCTCCACCAACGTGCTACAGCCGATGCACACGATCAAGACCTTTACGGGGAATTATGGATCCCGACGACCCGACGCAGCTGATGTGTGCATATCCTGACAAATGCACGGAACCGGCATCGCAATGACAACATTGAGGGGTTGATTGACGAAATCATGGTTCATAGAATCCCTGTAAATAAGGAGAACGCGGTCCTCGTCTATTCGACAAGCTTCAGACAAGACGCTTCTTAAAGCCTTGTAACGCTCACTGTTCAGTGCCATTAATCGATCTAATATAGTACAAGCAATAGTTTCTACTTCTCAGAACCGAAGACCATGGCTACAACTACCATCGAAGCAGCTACAGCAAAGCTATCAGTCGCAGACGACTTCTCAAAGTATGACTTTGCCAACCTTAAGCCATACGTCCACCCACCGGAGACAAAAGAAGACTTGCCATGGGCGGAGCTTGTGACTCTCGACCTTGAGGACTACGGTCGGCCTGGAGGCAAAGAGAGGTTGGCCAAGCAACTGGAACATGCTGTTCATCACGTTGGCTTTGTACGTTATAATTAATACGTCTATATCACACTTACTAACTTTCTCTAGTTCTACGTGAAGAACTTTGGCTTAACTCAGGAGCAAGTTGACCGTCAGTTCACATTAGCAAAACACTTCTTCGAGCTGCCCACATCTGAGAAAGAGAAGTTTGAAATAGACTACAAAGCCGCCGACTACAACGGATGGCGCCGACCTGGTCGTTCGGCGAACCCCAATGCAGACAACATTGAGATTTACAACATTCCCAAGTTTACCGACGACTTCAAGGGCAAATACGACCAGCCGGACCTTATCAAGGCGCATCTTCCAGAGATTGAGGTCTTTCAACGCGCTCTGCATTCCAATGTTGTTCTACCACTACTTCGTCTGTTTGCCATCGTGCTTCAATTGCCCGATGAAGAATACCTCGTCAAGCAGCACAGCTTTGAGAAGAAGTCGGAAGACCATTTCCGCTATATGATCTACCACCCACGCACGGAAGAAGAATGGGCCACAGCAAAATACGGCGCAACAGGTGGCCACACCGATCTCGGCACCGTCACATTGCTCTTCCGCCAGCCCGTCGCAGGCCTCCAGATCCTTGGAGAAAACGGTGAATGGACGTGGGTCAGCGCCCAACCCGGCACAATCACCGTCAACCTCGCAGACACCATCTCCCACCTCACAGGCGGCTGGCTCAAGTCCTCGGTGCATCGCGTTTCCGCCCCGCCCAAGGATCAGCGACAGTATGAACGCACGGGTCTGTTATACTTTGCGCGTCCTCACAACGACACCAAATTGCTTCCGATTACGGATTCGCCCGTCCTGCAGAAAGCGGGTGTGAAGCCGCGGTTCGAGAAGATTGTTACCGTGGAAGAGTGGGTCAAGGCGAAGCAGACGCTGCAGCTCAATCCTGAGATTGCCGAGAAGAGGTGGGCGGAGAGGGGAGATGGGAAGGTCGAGGTCATTGCTGGATTCCATGATCAGCGGTATAAGGAGTAGGGTATTTCAGTCTGTATATGAGGGATAGGTATGACATGCTTTTATTGAGTAAGCAGTACTGCGGAAGGACTAGATACCCAGGTGGCTGGGGGTTACATGATATCCAGGGTGATATTACGGGTTTCAAAGTTCAACGCTATAGGAGCGCCATTGTCAACGATGAAATGAATATCCACTTGCACACTTTGCCGCTCATTATAATTGCCCACGTGTATGAGAACAACGCCAACGGGTTTGCAAGGCATAGGTAATATCTCCCTTCTCGGATCGTTGCCTAAAAACGCCTCATATCATTCCCACCTAGTGCCATCCTATATCGTGCAAATGTATGCAAGCTTCTTTTCTGTGTGCCACCAGATCCCGCATGCACTACGCCGGGTGTCTTCAAGTCACTTCGCAACTCTGAATGAGACGCTCAAAGTGCCTTGAAGCTATACCGGGGAGGCAAGCAAGACCTTCTGGCAACTGTAGTGTCATAGGAAAATCCTTGAGTGCTTCATTCAGAATTCCCATGATGTCTTCATCACCCTTCTCCTTCGCCAGCGACATCAGTTCATCTCCCTCGCCATCTTTTAGTTGAACTTTTTCAGTATTGAGCAAAATTTTGAGTGCTAGCCCGTTTCCCCGTCTCACTGCCTCCCATATTGCCGAACGTCCGAAAAGTCCTGCATTCACATCGATCTTGCCAGTATCGAGTAGAAGTCTGAGCATAGCCATATTACCATCCCAAATAGCACAAGCGAGTAATCCCCTCCCCGATTCACAGATATGGTTGAGCCTGGCATCTTCTTCGCCCCTCTTTAGCCTATTATATAATACGCGGTCATCTTCTATGAACATCAAACTACATAATCGGATTTCCGAGGCTACAAATTGATTGTCGACGATCATCGGGCCATTACGTATTAGTTTGGTGAATAAAGGCACAACTTCGTCGTAGCCTTTGCATACCGCATATTCAAATGGACTATAAAACAGTCCTAATGGGTTATAAACTAGTTGTGGCTTCAGATGTGCAAAAAACATGTAGTTTGCCCACCTCAGATCCATTGTAGCGAGCAAAAGCTTCATCAATGGTATGTTGTTACGTGCAATTGTTGCGAAAATTGGCTCGCTGGTAATGTCCATGCTGTTTCTTTCGAGTAAAGCAGGTAACAGGTTGGCCACATCTGGTGTAAAATCGTGGATCTCTGCGATATGCGTCAGGCACAATTGCAGCGCATACTCGTGGAAATTGAATTCCTGGACCCTAGGGCTTTGGTCATTGCGAAGCTCCTTTGCGAGTGTTTTACCAACATCAAAATCGGGCCGTTTCCTGAGTTTCAAAAGCTTTAGGGCGAGACTTTGTGCACTCATGGGGGACGCCGTGGTTGATTGGATTATCGTAGCTGGCGCCGATCCAACCTTGACTTCTGGAATTCGAGTGGTAGACAACTCGGTTCCGAAGACCCCGTAGCTCAAATAGGTAACGATGATATCTGCCATCGTCTTATGGCATCCTTCCATGGTGATATTGAGGCCCTGAGAGTCTTTGTAGCGATTCAGCAGAAATTGCTCGACACTGGGATGTATGGACCGCACTGTTCGCTCTTCTTCGTCGACGACTAGAAGACATCCGCAGCTGGCCATGGTCGCATAGATATCATTGATAAGCTTAGCTGAAGTCCACACTGTATCACCAGGGCTAACACTCAAAGCTTCCCGTAATTCTCCAACAGTAAGAGGTCGTTGTGCTGCGGTGACGATTTCCAGAATTCGTTTTTGGTACGGTTTCTTAGACTCTGGCGACTTTTGTAAAATTCGACCATAGATCTCAGATAGATCTTCGGGAAGATCCTCCAGGGCATTCGTAATTTCTTCGTCCGTTTGCATAGTACAAAGTGACTTGATCTGCAGAGCTACCCAAAGGAACATTCCTTTAGATCCTCTGGACAAGGCGTTATGAATGTCTAGTATTAGCAAAGGGTGTCCTATAATGAGCGATCGATTTTCCAAGCAAAGCGTTAACTGCGCTTCAATAAACGCCTCAATATCTGGGGTGTTGTCAAGTAATGGAGCGATTTTTGCAGCAGGAAATGCTTCAGAGATCGACGCCAGCTCAGCATCCGGCTCTTGGCGACACGAAATGCAGATATGGACCCTAAATATTGACTGCAACTCTTGAAGCTGAGTGGCCACGGTTTGTTGCTCCGCGCGATTGCAGATATCCAAGCCGTCGAGTATAACGTACGTTTTATGTTTACTAGGAAGAACTTGCCGCAACAGGCTGATCAGGTCGTCGTAGTCCAGATAGGTGTTGTCAAACTCCATGTCATCGAATGCGTTGAAAAAAGGACGAATCATTTGACGAACCAGCGCACCAATTATTGTTCGCGCCTCGAGGCTCTTGGCAAGGTCATGTCTGCAAAAGAAGTATGCCACGGTGGCGACCTCGGATTCACATTGGATAAAAAGATCATCAACAATATTGGCCAGCATGACAGTCTTTCCAGATCCGAGTTTGCCGCTGAACACGAGAGTGTTGTATTTAGATTCAACTTTCCACTCGATGTACTCGGCGGCTTTCGAGTATAATGTTGTATTTCCGGTCTTTCGCATCTGTCTCCACGTAGTCTCGTAGTCGTATTCGGAGCACAGATTGAGAATTCTTTGAAAAGCTTTGATCTTTTGCTGCTGAGAAGTTGTCTTCGATGCTTTAGTCATCAGAGCTCTGAAGCGTGAATTCTTGTGTGCTTCTTCTTCGGTCGTATGAGCGACTAGAGAGCTAATTTCTCCGCTAATCAAATTGGACCAGGATGCGAGCTTTGATTGGAATTCCTTCATATCGGTGTCGTTCAAGGACGAGGCGATCTTCCAAAGGGGTGACTTCCGCGAGTGCGACTGAAAACTGTGGCAGATTTGAACAACTACGATGAAGTAATCGATGAGATATGATTGCAATGGTTTAGATCGAGGATAGAGTATAGCCAGTTCATAGTGCTGTGGAATCGATCGACTAGCTTCCATGAGGAGGAGAGATAGGCTCTCAAGGTATGAGAAATAGTTAACGGTCGTCTTATTGGCACCACGTTAGTTGCTGGTGTGTAAATGACGATGCCTCATAGGCGCGTGAAACAATTGAAGCCTCAATCCATTCCTAACAGAGAAGGGTACATACCAGTAATGCCATGCGTACTAGTGACCAGACTCCACAAGCGACGATGTTCTGAGAGCCACCGACAATAACGTCCCCGAGCGCTGCAAATTGCTGTACTCCATGCAAGAACTTTGTAAAACGTGGTCCGAAGCAGCGTCCTCCAGTCTGTTGCGATCGGTTCATCTGTGCGGTGAGTCGCATAACATCGTTGGTATCCGGAGGTGAGTGGAGTGATCGAGATCTTTGGTCTCGGAAGACTGCTTTTTGTTCACTTGAGAGGCTGGCTTCGAATTGCGAAACTGCTTGCGCGAGACGAATTTCTGGCTTCAGCCTTGCTACGGTCGAAACCACATCGGACATGTTGATGTTCGCGTGATAAGGTTACTACACCAGCTGTGGCCTCACCAGTTTCTGGCTGGATTTCGGTCAGACGAAGAGATCCAAGACTTGTCGATGTTCACTGCCGTCTCAAGAAAAGAAGCGGGGTATTTGAGGGTCGGCAGGTTGCCTATGTGAGGCTGATTGCGGCTGAGCCATTGAGGCGGCCAATGATGACTGCCCACACACGGTAGGATGTTCACCTTTTCAGCGTTCGTATCTAAAGCGCCTAATTTCTTGCCCATTCTGGGAATAGTACACCACTGTCAGATCGCGCAATTAGGTAGGGGAGGAGTTGTCTACTTTGACTTGGAAGAGCGTGGGGGTATTCGCACAAGTCTCGGAGTTGAAAGATGTTTATAGCCTGGATACAGAGTCTGCTTACCTACAGTCTCTAACCTATCCGCGTTACCTCTTTCTTCCGCCTACTACCCTCCTCCGACCGTCACATCACTCTTCTTGTCTGGAACCTGATCACCGGACTTATCTATGCCCCTTGTTAGTTTACCGCATCCGGGATGTCTTCACGGGCTAAACAGCCCAGTTACGTACCGACGTCGAAATAGAATTTCCTCATGTCCCTTTGTGTAACTCGTAACAGTTCCTCATACGCATCCCTCAGGCTTCTACGTGGCTCACTCCTCACCATAACCGCCCACGGCTTATCATCCTCAGTGTGCATGATGAGTAAGGCAACGATTTTATCTGCGCCGTCGATTTGGAGCTTTGGTTCGGAGGACACGTCGGGGTTGACATCGGTCAAGTATGTCACGATCTGCAAGGTGTTTGGCGTTTCGGGTGTACTTTTGGGTACGTAGCAGCAGCGAGCCTGGCCTATAATGGGGATTGTTAGTGAGGCGAAGAACTCCGGTGATGACAGTAAGATGGATGGGAGTTGGCGAGGGTATAGCGGAGCTCGGTGGGATGTGGCTTACGAATGATGATTGTTTCAAGGTGCTTCAGGGCATCGTAATTTTCCGCCCGGTCACGACTCAACTCGTGTGAGACATGCTCTTGGGTCTCCAACGGTACCTGCTTTTGCACCGGCTTATCGTGTCCATTTTGTTGTCCTGTCTGCGCTGTCGGGTCGATTTGGCCGACACCCTGCGGCTGCTGCATGCGCCAATGAAAGGCCATATAGGGCTTCGGTTGGGGTTGCGATCTCCGAGGATTGGAAGCCATGGTGCTGAGCGAGCTGAAAGTGTCTACAGAGCGTGAAGTAATAAAGTGCCACACGACTGCACACTTCTTTGTAACTAGTGGAGGCTTTGGAGATAGAAGCGAGAGAAATTTAATGATGTGTTAGATGTAGAGGGTGAAGAAAATTTCGACAAAAACGTGATTCGAATTGAAAATGCTAAAGACTATGCTTTTGCGTTTGCAGGTTGCTTGAAGTACTTGCTAGGGATGAAAGGCATCTTGGTCACCACCGCCTTCCTCTTCTTGCCGCGGACCACGACATCGACTTCCGTACCTGCCTTGTGCATGCCATCTTTGATGTAGCCCATGGCAATGTTCTTCTTGAGCGAGGGCGAAGGGCAGCCAGAGGTGACGTTGCCGATTTTCTCGCCCGCTTCGTTGACAATCTCGGCGCCTTCTCTTGCGGGCGAGCCTTCTACGATGAGACCAATGCGGCGTCGCGACACACCGCCACCTTCCGACTTCTTCTTCAGCTGCTGCAGGATCACCGAGTCGCCGTGGAAGCCACCCTTTGCACGGCGATCCTTGCCGATGATCCAGGAGAGCGCAGCCTCGACGGGTGTGGTTGTCTCGTCCAGGTCGTGACCATACAAGCACATGCCTGCTTCCAGGCGAAGGGTATCGCGTGCTCCTAAGCCAGCAAAACGCAGCTCGTCCTTGGCGAAGTCGAGCAGAAATTCAGTGATGGCCTCGGTAGCATACGAGGGAATGCTAATCTCGAAGCCGTCTTCCCCGGTATAGCCACCGCGGCTAACGAGTACTTCGGCATCGGTGCCCTTGATCGTCGCTGCGGTGCACTGACCAAAGTATAGTGTTTTGAGGTCCGTGACTGACTTGTCGTCCAGAACTCGAGCGAGAATCTCCGCAGACAGAGGTCCTTGCAGAGCGATGAGACCTTGGCCGTCCAGAATCTTCCATTCCACAGGCTGGTCAGAGTGCTTGCTCTCCCATACCTCCAGTTGTTCCTTGAAGTAGGCCGTATCCTTTTCTCTGCACCCGGCATTGGTGACAACGTAGAACTTATCAGCGAGACGGGTAATGACTGTATCGTCGACGATGCCTCCTGTCTCGGGATAAAGGAGAGTCGAGAGGGTAGATTGGCACTCGGGGAGCGAGGAAAGCGAGGACGGAGTGATGCTCTCAAGAAAGGCCTCGGCGCCAGGGCCTGAGAAGTGATGCTGGACCCTACATGGCTTTTGTCAGACGTCTTCATAGCTATGTTTCTGGATCATTGTTTCTCACATATGGCCTACGTCGAACAGGCTCGCCTTCTCTCGTGTCCAATTGTGTGAGTCGACGATGCTCAGGTCGCTGTACTGCACCGGCATTAAGTAGCCGCCAAAAGGCACGAATTTGGCGCCATGCTTGCTGTGAAGCTCATACAGCCCAGTCTTGCCCAATTGCTCTTTTGGAACCTCGGATGAAGCATACCGAACGGATCGCTGCGATGGCCGCGCGAGCTTGCGGGGTCGCGAAGTGTAACTTGCGAGTGTTCTCGTCGAATACTGTACTTTTTGCGCACATTCTGCTCGCAAAAGACGCGGCCCAAAGCCATTGACGGCCGGCCGCAGCACTGCGACAGCTTTTCTGGAGGCCATGGTGGGAGTGCGAGGAGCGAGGGTTGCTCGCCGGGTACTGACGGTAGCTCTATATAAGGCCCATGACGGCAGCGGTACGCCTGCTTGGGCCTAGCTGCGCCCTCAGCTTTGGAGCTCGACAACCCACCTGGATCCCATCGACCAAAACGGCCATATATCCCATACCGCCTATATCGCGCCTGGCCGCCCAAAAAACTACAGCAAATATGTCCAAGGGCACCAAGTACCTGCTGGTGTCGCTGCCGACTTCGATATCGCCGTCAAACCACGCCGATGAAGCTCTTACAGCCCTGCGCAGCACCATAACGAATGACGTGGGGAGCACTTCCCCGTTCGCGATACCCAACTTCAAAATTGGAACGCTGGATGCGCTGGTGCAGCAGGCAGATGACCTGACCAAGCTGAACAATGCGTGTGAGAGTGTCGTGAGCAAAGTGGGGGACAGCTTGAGGCAGATATTGGACGGTGATGAAGGCAAGGTGCAGCAGCAGAAGACTATAAACGACAGTACGTCTGAATTCGTAGGAGAAACCATGTTGGGCCCAGGAAGCTCACATAGTTGTCAGAGCCCGTCGACCAATACCTACGGACATTCCAGTGGAACAAGGTCAAATATCGGGCGGATAAACCCATCGCAGACCTGATAGACTCACTACAGAAGGTGTGCAATACCCTCACGTAGCTTCGAAAACGTACTAACCCTTTGCATAGGAAATACAGGGTATCGACAACGACGTCAAGTCAAAGTTCAGCCAGTATAACCAGACCAAAGGCGCTCTCGCAGCCGCAGAGCGCAAACGCACAGGAAACCTCGCCACCAAATCCCTTGTCAACGTCGTAAACCCCTCCGCCCTCATCCGCGACTCAGAATACCTTGACACCCACCTCATCGCCGTCCCTAACATGGTTGTTAAAGACTTCTACAAATCCTACGAAGAGCTATGCCCCATGGTTGTGCCCCGCTCCGCGAACGAGCTTGCTAAGGATGATGAGTTTACGCTGCTTGGCGTGACAACATTTAAGAAGCACTCGAACGAGTTTGTGCACAAATGTAGAGAGAAGAGGTGGACACCGAGAGAGTACAAGTACAAGGAGGGCGGGAAAGAGGAGGAGGCAAAGGAGGCGGATCAGTTGGCTAAGGATGAGAAGAAGCTATGGGGTGAGGCGCTAAGATTGGGCCGCACGGGTTACAGCGAGAGTGCCATGATATGGATCCACGTCCTGGCGCTGAGGGTGTTCGTGGAGACCGTGCTGCGCTATGGACTGCCGCTGGACTTTGTGTGCGGAATAGTGCAGGTATGTCGATATACCCTAGGTCTCGCGTTGGCGAGTGAAAAGCCGTCTTCAAATGTTCTAATGGGCAAAACTAATTGCTAACTACTCACAGACCGACGCAAAAGCAGCAAAGAAGGCAAAGACAAATCTCGACTCCGCATACTCCTACCTCGCCGGTAACGCCTTTGGCCGAGACAGCAAGGGTCGCATCAAGAAAGACGACACCGCCATGTCAAACGATCTGCAACAAGCCGGTCACTTGGGCGACCAAGAGTACTCTGCGTACGTTTACTACGAGTTTGAAATCGTATAGCGGATACGTATGAGCGGATAGAGGAAGGTGTCACGGTCCAGGAAGGAACAACATACGGGCCGCCTTTGTAGAATAGCCGCCGCAAGGTCAATGATATGCACGAGTGAGATCACACATATACATACACATCTTTTGAAGTGCATTTGCAATATGTCGAAGTGAACTTGCTCAATCGGGAAGTAGGGAACGCTATCGATTGCAACAATTCGAGATTGGAGCGGGGAGGACTTTAGCGCTTCCTCGGAAAATATCTTGCATGAAGTATCGCCTGCAGAACTTCGGTATATCATGAATGGCACCCTTTATTATAGTTCGCTGGTGGACTCAAGTATACCATCAGTACCAAATGGTTACACTAATTGCGTTCAGTCGTGGGGTTCACAAACCTCTTCATAAGGCCTTCTGCACGAAATGTCGGCGCAATCGGTATTGTTTATTTAAAGAACCTGTAAGCCCTATTACTCATGTAGATGAGTACCACAGATACCGACTACCAAAAGTCATATCCTACTCCTCCTTAAACCCAACATACTCATTGCTCATCTTCCAAAGCTTAGCCTCATTCTCAGGGTCATACGCCCACTTCTCGTAGCCCCTGTCCATGACCTGATAGCCCTCAGTGACAGGAGAACTGACCTGGCAATCCTCGAGATATCTCCCCCCTTTCCCTTCCCAAGCTTTACCAATCGCAGCCCAAACAGTGGTCGCAGCGCCCTGTTCAACGGATTTCATGATCTTGCTTATAGCGGGAGTTTGTTTCCATAGCGCCAATTGCTCTGGAGGAATATAGTCCATGAGTCCCGTCCAAATACCACCGGGATGCAGAGAGAGTGCATGCAGACCTTGAGAGCCGTATTTTCGATCGACTTCGTTGGCGAACCAGATGTTTGCTGTTTTGGAGTGGGCGTAGGCGCGATTCGCGTCATATTCGCTTGTGATGTTTTCCATCTTCGGGGGAAAGTAGCGATGACCCGATGAAGACAAACTTACGACTCGGGAGTTGAAGTCGGGGGTGGAGGACGAGAGTAAGGCGGGCTTGAGAAGCTGGAAAAGGAGGAAGTGTGACAAGTGGTTTGTACCAAATTGCATTTCGAAGCCGTCTTCGGTTTTGCCTTCGGGTGTTGCCATTACTCCGGCGTTGTTGATGAGGATGTTCAGCTTGCCGCCGCCGGCTTTGAGGAACTCTGCGGCAAATTGACGGACCGACGCGAGAGAATTGAGGTCCAGATGGAGAAGGTCGACTTTCCCTGGTTCGAGAATGTCGGCGAGTGCCTTCTGGCCCTTGGAAAGACTACGTGCAGTGCAGAAAATGTGTGCGCCTGTGGTCTTCAGGGCACGAGCGGTCTCAATACCAATACCAGAGGAGCATCCAGTGATGAGGATAACCTTGCTGTCAAGTTTACCTGACTTGGATCAGTACAATTGCTGGCGTGAGCCGTTAGCATATAGGCATACCTTCGAGATCGTTGTCCTCGACAATTTGAAGCGCAGTGGGGCGGGCATCGCCTGCCCCGTTGGTCTGCTCATGGATGGCAGCATATCGAGTGAACTCAGGAGTGCTGTATTCGGCGATATCGAAACCTGGGAATGGCATATTGAAAGAATGAAAGTGTGGGCTTTGGATCAGTGGGAATAGTGGTAAGTGGTGTATAATAGTGATCAGATAGTGTTGTAGTGGACGTCTTCTGATTTTCTACAACAGCGCATATCCCACCTTATATACACACTTCTTTACATGATCAGTTGCTATACTTTTGTACGATAGGTTCTTTGCATACCACCGATCCGCCCCAAACTCCGAGGCTCGATGGGTGAAGGTGCAAAGAATGGAGACATCGTTCAGGTCTGATTGTACGGACGAGTGACGGAATCGTCATAACAGTGAAGCCATACCCCTCACACTACAAAAAATAGACGGACGAACGGTGCTCATGACTGGCGTTAAGATATCGCCCCGCTTATTCATGATGGTGTTGAGACGGCGTTGCGCTTTTAAGTCCGCCGGCCTTGGCACGCTAAAGGGCAATTGTGCAGAAAAGTTGTCCACCACCAGATCGACCTTGCGCAAGCTGCGATTTGAAAACTTCCCCGACCACAACTATGCCCTCAACACACAAGAAGGAAAAGCCGTGGGATACGGACGACATCGACAAGTGGAAGGTCAGCTTCTAACACTCACACGCATGCAAAAAGCGTATTCCTAACTATTTGCGCAGATCGAGCCCTTCAAACCAGAAGACAACACCGCCGGCGCCTTCACAGACGAGAGTAGGTTCAGCACGCTGTTCCCGAAATATCGCGAACAGTACCTCAAGGGCTCATGGAAATTCATCACGTCGGCGCTGGCAAAACTGGGTGTCGGCTGCGAGCTCAACTTGGTCGAGGGTTCCATGACGGTATGGACGACACAGAAGACATATGATCCGGCTGCGATATTGAACGCGCGAGATCTGATCAAGTTACTCGCGAGAAGCGTACCGTCTCCGCAAGCGGTCAAGATCCTAGAGGACGATGTCGCAATGGACATCATCAAGATCAGGAATCTAGTGGGGAACAAGGAGCGGTTTGTGAAGAGGCGACAACGTATTCTGGGCCCAAATGGATCAACACTAAAGGCACTGGAGCTTCTCACAGAGACGTATCTACTGGTGCAGGGAAACACTGTCTCGGCAATGGGACCGTTCAAGGGTCTGAAGACTGTACGGCGAATTATAGAGGACACCATGCACAACGTGCATCCGATCTACGCGATTAAAGAATTGATGATCAAGAAAGAGCTCGCGAAAGACCCAGAACTGGTCAACGAGAGCTGGGACCGCTTCCTCCCCAACTTCAAGAAACGATCGCTTAGCAAGCGAAGAGTACCATTTAAGGTTACCGATAAATCTAAGAAACCTTTCACACCGTTCCCTCCTGCCCAGGAGAAGAGCAAGGTCGACCTGCAGATCGAGAGTGGAGAGTTCTTCTTGGGCAAGCATGCGAAGGAGAGGAAAGTGCGAGAGGAAAGGGAAGAAAAGATGAAGGATAAGATGGATGCAAAGAGAAAGGAGAGATTAGAGGCGTATGTGGCACCGGAAGAGAACGGCGAGAAGAAGAAAAAGAAGCGGAAACGGGAAGAGGGAGAGGAGAAGGAGAAGAAAAAGAAGAAGCGGAGTTCTGGTGTGGAGGTCGATGGAGATGCGGAATGAGAGATTATATGAGCGATATCAAGCATCAGCTCAGCACACAAGTAACATTTGCCACCATGAGATGCCGACCCCGGCGTATCCCTGAAGCTCATTATTCACGCTGCAGAGCCTGATGCAGGTAGGATGCTCCCTGAGCTGCGGTTCCAAGTGTATAGGAGGATCTAGCATTTACAGGTGTTCACTTTAGCTTCTGAAAGTTCAAATACCCCATTAATAGCACCACTTTAACTCCCGCTTCGACCACCCAGTGGTAGTTGACTAAGCCCAAGACTTGGCGCCCTAAATTTAGCGTCCAAGCATTTCACGTCTCATGTTTGTCGTAAAACCTCAAGTGTCCTTTACCTCCAAATCATTCCTATCTTTCCCATGCGTTTCGTGTCATTTATTTCTTGTCATGTCAGCCTTTCTTGCTTTTGTCGTGCAACTTTCATTAGTCAATGCTGCCTTAACGCATGCTGTTTTAGAGCGCCAATGCTGGTATGAATACCCACTCAGCACGGCCAACTTGTATTCTTCTTCTTCAGATCGGTTACGAGAATATGTCTCAGTTATTCAAAACTGGAATTCGAATGATATATCAAAAGCCATAAATGCGGAGGAATATGCACCGTGGTCATTCCCGCCTACTTGTACAAAACCCCTACGAAGCATAAACGACAAACTCTGTGTATACACTAGTGCATCATTCGGTAATGGCCGCGGCATATCGATCTTTACAACACCAACACTAGCCAAACGATTTGCTTCCCTTCCAGCTTTTCATGATCCTTCAGCCCTGGATACGCAAGGAATCAACACCTACTCCGGCATCTGGCAAACATCTTCAATCCCTGGGAAAGGCACCGGCATGTTGGCCTCAAAATCTTTGCAATTCAAAAACCGCGTTACGGCCTACACACCCGCGTTTCTCGCGTATTTGGAGACCGAATTGTCGACATTAGATCGAGAGACTTGGTGGCGGTCAGCAATTCAGCAATTACCGGAGAAGATCAAAGGGGATTTCTTTGAGTTGACATACGTGTATGGGGACTTGAGGGTTAGGGTGCAGGATATTGTCAAAGCGAATTCGTTTTCAGTGAATATCGACGGTGTAAATCATCTAGCTGTTTTCCCGGAGACGTCGAGATTGAATCATGCGTGTAATCCAAAGTAAGTCTTACATTCTTAAATCATGTAGAAGCTTAGAAAAAATCGGCTAACCACAAGATAGCGCACAATATGTTATTGATACTGAGCTCTTGACGCACTCCGTGCACGTCACGCGCCCTATCGCTCCAGGCGAGGAAATCTCGATCGCATGTAAGACGACGTGTCTTGGAAGTCGTTCTTCACCTAACCACAGTCAGACACATCGCCCCTGGAAGATAAAGCCGCCCGTCAACAACATCTTCAGCAAGGTTTCCACTTCACTTGCACTTGCCCACGCTGCACATCTCCCCACTCGGACAGCATAATCGAAACGATCAACTCCATACAAAACCAGCTCAAGGAATGGTCTCCTACTGCAGGTAATACACCCGCCATGGCGGAAAAACTAATGCAACTCCATCGCAACGAGGGGCTAGAGGGTTTCATGGACGTCGCTTATGGCTTTACTGCGCTGGCGTATAACACGGTAGGTGATAGTAAGAAAGCGGTGCAGTTTGCGAAGAAAGCCAAGGAAGCTGTTTTGATGAAAGACGGGAAATGGGCGCCGAACTTGGGGGTGTGGAATGAGTTGTTGGCAGACCCGAAGAAGCATTGGAGCTACAGGTGGAGCCTCTGAGGTTGCCTTATGTTGTCGTTCATACTGGGATCTTGTTTTGCCACTCGACTTATATCACCTACAATCCCAACGCCAGACCTTACACCTGTTAGAGAGTGCGATGTTGCAGGTATAGGAGGGGTGCTCGCGGTTATGGAAAGTTATGGGGATGGTCTCGCGCGTATGCTAAGGCTTTCCCAAGACATTCCCAACCTAAAACTACATAGATAGTCGGTATGGAAGATTTAGCGTTAGGTAGATAGTAATCTGAGGTCCGGTGTTTCTGTTCGCAATATTCTTGAAACTTTCTTCATTCTTCTTTGCGCTGGACTGTAGAATTCACCTACATCGGATAGCCTTGTGGAAACATTCCTTGCTCTATTCCTGTTTCTTCCAACCATACTACGATGTCCTCATATGGACTCTTTGCACTCTCCTCACCACCCATGCTTCTCCTCTTCCGTAGAAAATCCACATCCTCAGCCTTCCATTAGATAGCAACATGCTGAGGATCTTCATGTTCCCGCTTCTCTCGGTTCAGGTCCACAAGGGCCCACCACATGGCCTTTCTCGGATTATGCAGTCGCCAGTCATGCTCGGGCTCACGCATTTTCTGCTTTGTCTGCGGATTTAACTGCCATTTTGCATACTGATCCCACCTTTCGGCTAGTTCCCGGAGATCATCCGAGTTGCGCAATTCCTTGGCCGATTTGTACGCATCTTGTTCTGCAATGGCGGTCTTTAGCAGGATGAGGATACGTTGACCGTAGATGTAGTCCGGGTGGTCTGTGCCTATGCAGATCTTCTCATGTTGAAGCGCCGATTTGATATAGTATTCGGCGTGGTCCCATCTTCCAAGGCGCCAGCTGTACTTTGCTGCATTGAGAAATCTCACAAGGCATGTTAGTATATATCGTGTGAATTGACTGCAAGGACGCTTACGATAATGACCTCTCCCTTGTTGGGGTACCTTGTACCGTCTGTGAGCTAGCTGTGGTGGTACAGATTTCCACGCACTGTTTCCAGTCAGCAGAAGATTTTCTGTGCCCAATAAGGAGATATTGAAGCTTTGTTTGACGTTCTACGAGTATGCGTTCGGATATCCGAGCGTCGATCGAGTCCTGGCAGAGAGAACAGGAACAAGTGAAACCCCACAGCTTTAAAGTACGCTGTCGTTTCTCTTTCGTCCAGTTTGCGCCTTGAATATATGAGATCGTGAGCTCATCTTCTTTTCGGATATCTTTGATCGCCTGGAAGGTTCCCTGACCAATATTTGCGTTCCAAGCATGCTCAAGGTTCGGAACACAGGAGTGGTTGATGCGACTGCCTTGTGAGAAAATGCGTCGACCGCGCTCGTTCGTAGCGTATACAAAAAGAACATGCTTCATCTCAGGACTAAACTTAGGTGAAATCTCTCCGAGGTCTGCATTCGGAGCACGGCATAATGCGAGAAACGCTGCTCGTCCAAATTGGTCTAGTTTCATGTAAGCATCGACGATGTCGCAGGATTTGACTGCGCCACTAGGCACGGAAAGTAGTGGCGCTTCAGATAGGACGCGGCTGCCTCGAGCTATATCTCTTGAAGCGACCAACCCCTGTCCTTTGCCAGGTATCGAGGTCTGCCTAAATGGGTGCTGGAAATGCTCACCTAGCTTTCGTCAGTTAACGCTCAGTTTAGATAGGCTATATTCAACATACTTTTCAGCTTCACGATAAGACTTGGTGGCATGCTGATTGTAAATGTCGATGTCGATGTGGGTTAGTTCCGGGGTAGAGGGTACCTAACGATGGTTATATAGTAAGAGTAAACGCCCGTAATTTTTGCAAACAGCAAACTGGAATCAAGTGACGAGGTCGGCTGAGGTAGTCCTGTATTTGTTGCAAGCAATAACTGCCATTGCTCGATTTCAGATTTCAGACTGTCTCAATATCTTGCACACGAGCCATAATATTAGCCTTCCACTTTTTGTAATCCTCCAGCTGGCGCTCGCCAAGGTAATCAGTAGCATCCTGCATCATGGTACCCAGGCCGATACAGTCACTTCTACCAGATTTAAGTCCTTTGCTCTTGCCCAATGCAAACTGTGTGGTGCTATCCGTCATTTCAGTATCTTCCATCTCGTACGTATCCCCCTGAGGTGTGACGTTTATGAACCATTCCATTTGCAACCATCCCTCTTCTTGTGCCATGGGCATCATCTGCTCCGTTTCTGCAGACAGCTCTTCATATGTAGTATTTTGGCCGGCTGGGAGTCCTAGCAGCGTGTTCACCGCTGTTTCTCGCCAGTCATCGTACTGCTCAGGTGTGACATCCTGGTCCTTCATCCGCGTGAAGACATACAGAAATATCACAGTTATAAGGCTGAGTATTCGAACATCCGTGACACTTGGTAGAGATGCCTGTGATGCAGTCACCGCTCGTCGCGGTCGCTTGCTCGGAGTGTCGTGAGCAGCGGCAGACATGCGCGCCAGCAGAGGGAAGATGGATTCGACGCCTGCGTAGATGTGCGGCGCAGCACCTGGATAATCAAACGCCTTCAAGAGGGAACGTATTGTGGGCATGATCCACTCAGGAGCACCCTCTCTCTTCTCGTCACCCTGCTTTACACTTCGTGGTGTTTTTCTTCCACTCAGGGGAATCTTCGGCGTATTGAGGGCTGATGCAGGTGCCGAATTCGTTGGTTTACGAGGGGTTTCAGGTTCCCGAGCAGTCGTGGGGGCGGGTAGCGCGCTGCTGAGGTAGTTGTATAGCTTCTTGTAGATTCGGGGTGGGCATGGCGGGCGGGACGAAATTGCTGGCAGGTTGAGGCGGTTCTTCAGCCTGTCGAGATTAGCTCAACAACCTTCACGATCAGAAACAAGATACAAACCTCTCGCAAGCCATTTGAGCGCATGCATATGGCCGTGCTATTTCCTCGTCAGGCTTCAGCGAAGTAGCAACGTTTCGCGAGCGCGTCAGCAACGAGAGCGCTAATTCCACCAGCTCTGGTGGCAGAGGTCCATTGAGCGTTGGAATGAGCCCGGTCAGAGACTGTTCGATAGTTGCCCTACTCATCTCGATGTGCGATGACTGTGACGTCGCAAAGTTGCCCGCCCTGATGTTTTGGCGCGTCTGGCTGACTCGCCAGCCCGGCTTTCACGTCTTCACGTGCACACTAAGCCAAATTGGGTTCACACTCTGTCATCCACTCCACCTCAACGCAGTCCTCTCTCCCCTCATTCTAAATGGCCAACTACACGTCTTCCAAGGTTATATGAGCGTTAGAATGTGTATCGCGTTTGAAGTGCCGCTTACTTGATGTTAGGTACGCCGTTTCGGCTCCAAATTCTTATACCTGTTCTCATCCTTTTTGCCTAAACTCATCCCGGGGACCTCAGCTAACAATGATGAAGGCGAGACAAACGTTACTACTATTGTCCTGATCATTTCTCTTATGGCACTTGGTGTAGCTTCAACTCAATCTCTAGCATAGTTGTCCAATTAGCAGACGCCGCCGGCGACGCGCTGCTTCATAGCCATTGAAAGCTACCATATACGCTAGAGCGAACTCGATCTGGCTTGACTCTTGCTTTGAGGTGTACCATCTGACGCCTTGGAATATCTCGCTCGGCCCTTTAGAGTCGGTAAACTATGGAGTCGAATATAGAGATGTTACCCATCTGAATGACGACAAAGTGACGCTGGAGAAGCTGTCCATCGCCAGAGGGCAGAGCCTTTGAAGACGGGATAAACGTGTTTTAGGAAGGTTGTATAGCGTTACGTCGAAAAATGCAGGAACGATGGGCCATGTTCAGTAGCACCATAAAGACAACAGGGACTATCACAGGGAGTACAGCATTTTGATCCGAAAAGTCTCTCAGGATTAGGAGGCGAAACACAAATCCATGGCCAACGTTGAAGAAGCCTTGCAATCCATGCAGCGCCATTTTGTTTTGGACGACTTCATTATGGAGAAAGAAACAGCGTCACAAAATGCTTTCATCTCGTTGCCATGTATGCAAAAATGGCCTGTCACGCATGCGACGCCAGTGAGAACTCTAACAAGTATTTTCGCTATAGCAGCCGCTTACCACAAGGTCAAGCTCGATTACAAGGGACCAGGATACTGTCGTCTTCGGAACGCATGAGATTGAATAACGCTGTATTGAGCATTACAAGGACAACGTACACGGCATTTAAACGTACCTCGACAGCAACGCGTCTCACAGATGACGATCTCGAGAAAGTCTGGTGGGCCTTGTGGCCCCGATTCGTTTGTCAGAAGGTTTCTGAGCATACCTTCTAGTTCAGTCTCTAGCAATAGGAGTCCAATGTGGATCAGTAAAGATTCGGTCTCGCCCTGTACAACGCGGTAACTTCAGCCTCGCCTAACCGATTACGCCTATTTTCAAAGGAAGTGCGATGGTTTGATATCTACTATGCCCTAATAACATTGTACGACGTCTTAGCAGGCTACGTTCTCTTCATTTCGTCATACCGTTACAGTCACACCTCCAGCCTCCTTCATCGCCATCGTCACCCAATCAGTGCATTTATTGTCAATATGGAAAGTTTGCAAACCACGCCTAGTTCACACCGCTGCAGATATCTAACACACCGCTGCAGGTATCTACCACGCCACCGCTGCTACTAACGTCAGAACTAGATTTAGATGTAGTACCAAACGGCGCCATTCAAGCGGTCAAGGGCTCGATAGTCAGGGACACGTCGATATGGCTTGATCGACATCTTAAGATGTTCGGATCCGCCGTGCTTGATAGGACGCCGCAGTGTGCCCATTGGTCACGATGGCACTTTCACCATTGAGATAGTTCATCTGTACAACTAACTTTGGCCCTAACCAGCAAGTAAAAAGTACCAAGCCACGCTGCCAGTGGGATGCTGAATTTTGACAGCTCCACTAGAGCAGTTGAGCAATGTCTCGTATGAGGTTACGATGGCTTGCAAGGGGTATTTAGATCTCACACCTGTTCTCTCCCACTTCCCATTACTGCACTCTATCTTTCAATACTTATACACTTCCGATGTCTACTATCTTACTCTTGATAGCCACTGCAATAACCACTGTTCAAGCAGTTGAATTTTAAGGGCAACATCTCTACTTCCAACAGCAATCCCGAAACCCTACCAACCTATTCCCTCTTCAACATCACATCTAATCAACTACGCGTCTGACAATGCTGCTCAACATCATCTTGACAACCCTCTTATCTGCCCTCCCCTCCACGCTCTCCGCACCCACTAGCGACTTCAACTACCAATGCGGCTACGTCTTCACAAAACCAAACGCCAACGTCCATGCTGGCCTCTCGGCATTCAACTCGTGCACCGATTTCTTCTACAACTCAACGATCAGTGATTATCAGGATGCTTATGCGTACAAGCTGTTTGGCGGATGCAAATGTGGATTCTATGTGTAAGTCTCCTCCCCAGCTGATTAGGAGAAGAGTTAATTCAAGGAAAATTATTTGTTGAGTGCTAACAACCATTTATAGTGGCTGGGAAGAATGCGTGAGTAAAGTAGGGGGACCGTTTCAGGAGGGACCTACGCGGGGAGAGTATTGGGAGGTTGTGAACTTTGCTGAACCAAAGCCGAAGTGGTATAATTGCTTCCAAGTTTGATATGAATGGCACTCATACGTATCTCATACTAAAGGGATATTGGCTAATATACGTTGAGGGGCGGATGTAGATTCTTCATGGGAACTCATACTTGTGTGTCTAGAAAGGGTCTATTTTTACCATCTCATGTCACATGTAGATTATCAAGTTCTCAAAGCGCATGTGAAGAAATGAAGCATTGATTCATGGAGTTAGATCTCTTGTTTTCAGTTCCTTCGAGTTCTAGAGGTGTGCATTCATACTCGTCTCTCCGTTTCTAGTCGACTGCAAGGCTCCTTATATCATTAGCGCTGGACCTGATCCGATGTGCATCGTATGCACTCTCATGAGGTTGTGCTTTTGGTGCAAAGCTATGAAGCCTTTCGTATCCCTAGCGGCAGCCGGACCGAGCTGGGCATTAGGAGCCAGGGCAGGTGGTTTTCTATGTTCTTCATATCTTTTGACGGTAAAGAAGAGACAGGGTGACTGGTGTGATGTTTCGCATTCCATGGCATGAACAGCGTCGATGATCTTGTTTCCTAGTTCCGCCTTGTGCTGGATAAGGAAGTACGCGAAAGCAATAGCGTTCGGACTTCCTAAATCGTACTGTTAGATCAAATTACTTGCTTGAATAGACGAATGACACATACCAAGAATTGCTCTGCCTTCCTCAGTGCTCATATCGAAAGTTCTCCCCGCTCTTGTAAGATCGCTGTTGGCTTGGTTCAGGGCGCGCTTCAGAATCTGGTTGGTATCTTTATTCTCGATGCTTAGAGACATGAAGAAGTTGATGTTCCCCTTGTCTTTGAGTTCAGCATTTGGGAGGACATGCTTCTCCCAGAGAGCCCAGATTATGTCAGAAGACGATTTCAAAGGCGGAAACTGGTCTTCAGGGACCGGTGGCTCAAGGATCTTCGCTCTTTGTGCTGGACCGTAACGCTTGAATGCAATGACACCTAAATTTAGTATTAGGATACTTAGTGACTGTAGTATGACTATCTAATATGTTGTCTTACCACCTTGCTTGCCGTTGATCCCGATGTTGTATTCAGCAGCTGTTATCTAGTGAGATCGTTAGTGAACGGCATACGCCGATGACAGATTTGTATGGACTAACTCTGCGCTCCCTTCCGTCTGGACCCTTGTATTTCTGATCATCAGGTTCAATGTCGCTCATCTCGGCGTGCATGACGATAGATACGTCCCATAGGCCCCCGTCTGCCACACACTTATCGGATATGCCCTTGGATCGAATGAAGTTCGCAAAACCCCAGTAACCGTCACTTTCCCAATTGCACCAATCTGGGCCTTTGTTTGGATATATATTCCAGCCCCATGGTTTCAGATGTTCTAAATACACCGTACTCAGCCATGACTATAATACACAAAAAAAAAAGGTTATTACTCACCTAGTGACCACAGACTCCGGGCGGAGGGACGCGGGGGTGAAAACACTCGTCCAGCGTCTGCATCCGAATAAGACATTGCATCGAGGAGTGTGGTACCTTTGGCAACAGATTTACACCAGAGTTGCTCGTTCGCCGGCGTTGGAACCTCGTCTTCGGGCCATGCCTTCTGAGGGTTGGAGAAATCTTCGAGTTTTGTAGAGCCATGGATCAGCCGAGAGAGGTTGAAGCTTGAAGGCGGAAGGTCTCGCAGAAAGGTGTCTAAGGAGTTGTCATCAGAATTGCTGAGAGCAAAGCCAAGCAGAACAAGTAGACCTATCAAAGCGGTGACTTGCATGGTGGCAACGGTGTATGGGCAATCTTGAAACTCGAAAGGTTTTGAGAGAAAGAAGGCTTGGCTTGGAGAAGCAGAATTTCGCACACGACGTGAGGTGAAGGTGAGCTCAGGGCTCTTACAAGAAGCGCCCAGCCACTCACCCACAGCACAATTGAACTCATTAGCACCTTAACCGGGGTTTCTGTCGCGTGTTGCTCTAAACGCCAATTAGTAAAGAGCATGTACGTTGAAGTTATCCAGATTGTCGTCAATTTTGAGATATATCTCATGCTCTTTTGCTATTTGCTATAGCACTCAACGACTCTTTTCTAAATTCGAGCTCATGTGCGACGCTATCACTACCTCATTATCACCTCACTAATTTACTCGTAACTAAGGTTGGAAAAATCTGAGATGAAGGCTCGCACAAGACTCCACATAGCTACTGGCGGCAAATAAAACCAGCATGCGCTTCCTCAAAGCACTACTGCTACTGACAGTCGACATTGGCGTACTTGGCGTCCACTCCAAGGCAGTCCATCACAAGACTCTGTTTTGGAGATCCTATCAATCACTAACTTTGAGGATGAATTCACCCCAGTCCATGGCATGACTGGCAGCTCTCAATTCTCGTGCGGTCAGTACAAGTTTGATAATGGATGGCTGCTGCGAGGGTCCATCTGGGTTGCACCTATTTCTACTATTCGTGGGTCATCGGGCTAGATGCAAAGCAGAATATTGCTGACCTTTGTAGGGTCTATTGTTATGCCAGCCTTGGCTATTCTGAGTCCTGGTAGGACTGGGGTGGGCGTAACACTTGGGTGTATACTAGCAAGTCCTTCAAAGGCTGGTGGTGCTACGTCGAGGCTTACTAGAGTAGGTATGAAAGTACGGTTTAGTGTACTTTGCGGCTCCATACTAAAGATAGACAGCGGTAATAATACCGAAGGTGCCTGGCTGCCAGAGCGCAACATGGCAAGGAGTCAAGATTTGCGCAGCATTCAAAATCCCGTATTCGAATCTCAGCCTTACCAGATGGTGTAGGCATATATTATAGCAGCAGGACTGCTTTCAACACCGCCGAACTTTATCTTTAGCGTTAGATATCCCAATCTCTACGATTGGGTTACCTATTTAGCCGCAATATTCATACCAGGAAGACTTTTCTTCGATATTGTTCCCATTCCTTCGTCTATCTCGCTTCTAACACCCTCAAGCGTGACTCGAAGGAAAGTGGACAGCAAGCTAGAAATTGGGGGCTCGAATGAGGTCAAGTAGCCTAAAAATGTCGCGTATTTTCCGAATGAGACCCCAAGTGTTTTTTTCCCTTCCAACTACAAGTCGGTCCAGCAAGTCTGAATTCGGAACCCTCAGGGCAAACCCGACAGTTTCCTAGCAGTCACACAACAATCTTCATTTCTGCCCTACGCCCATTATTCAATACTATTCGCATTCAAACCTCGTTGGTTGTCACTCGCTTCTAGTGGCACAATAGTATCGAAGTTACTCCTACTCCACCAAATACAAAGAACAGCGGGGTCACCGAAACCGACCGACCTAAATTCTGTTATGATTTCGAGAGACTCTTGCATTCTCGTGTAGAAGATGATAACGGGATTCTATACCACCCATCGTCCTCTTAACGTTGGCATAAAGACAAGTACGATCGCTGACAACATATCCCGCAAATCCCGGGTTTAGTTTGGCAGAACGTCTTGCGACTAAATATTTAGTATTCCCAAGCCTTAAGAGCACGGCATCGATTCGAATGATTATTTGGTTGTGTAACAATCTTGGTCGCGTGAGCCAAGTTCGAATTCGGGTGGCTGCTGACTTCAACAAACTAGACATGTCTCAAACCGCCTAGTCCTGCCACAATATAACTGGTTGACTTGATGTCCCCCCATGTTACGCTAACCGGGGGAAATTCACACTCATCATCTCGAACTTCACAGGGAGAGCCATCACGGAGCGCTCATGCCGGCTTGGCGCATGACTTATTACCAAGTTCATAAAGTCATTCACACCGTACGATCCGCCTAGTAAAGTCATCTCAACCTCAAATTCAAATTCCCTTACCACATCACTCTAGGTAACCATGCGTTTCGTTGCTTCGCCCCTGATCGCGGCCTTGACGCTCCTTCAAGATGCGGCATCACACGAATCCTCTACCGGCATAGGCAACAGGCGCATGCTTCACTATCCTGAAGCAGCTCGTCCTCGAGACGGCTCCATCAGAGTCTTTTCCGGCGACTCCGATGACGACAGAAGCGATGCAGCAGACCACGTACTCAAGCTTCCAAATGCAACCGACGAATGCCATGCCAAAGACAGAAATATCTGCGCCGAGCTCATCATCGGCAAGGATAGTGTCAACCAGCAAATCCGCATCGATGATAACGGATGTACAGCAATAAAAAATGCTGCGGATGTTACAGCCATAAAAGTCTTCGACTGCTGGTGCGGACTATGGAAGTGTGTGAATTCGAATAAAGATGTATAGAAGATCTGCGCTGACTTTCTTCTTAGCGCTGCAGATGAAACGGCTTGCAACAATGGTGACGATGAGGTGGTCGATGAGTTAAGCAATTGTGCAGGGCTGAAGACGCGTAAGGATAGAGGATGGAAGCTAACGCCTACGCATATTAGCTGCTTTAGGCAGACGTCGAAGAGTTGAAGAAATATGCATTCGGGTGTTCTCATCTAACGATTTGCAACCCTTCTGTACGCACCGATATGCTGTCATGGCGTATGATGACTGGTTTCCTTGCGAGTAACAAGTCATACGCTGTTAAAACCCAAAACAATGGCATCATTGAGTCAATGAGGTCTCTCTGGTTATCTTCAAATTTGTGACGTAATTTATGCAGACTGTCAAGAGATTCTGCGTCATCGCTAACGTCCAAAAAAGAATCTCTAAATATAATACTCTGTGCGCATGACGGTATTCACGAAGCTTGTATTGGTCCTTATCAGGGCGTTCTCCTATTCGTGCACCTATGAAGTTGTAGTTGTCCATTCCTCTTTTACCACCTGCAACTCCCGGAACCATGGTTTATCGATATTAGTGGTACCGATTCTTGGAGGATTTCTCCCTTAATGATCGATAGGCAACCGAATTCCAATAGCCTTGTTAGGACCCGAGCTAGACATTTTCACGTTTTCATCCCTAGTGTATTCGCCCCTCGCACTGGAAAAAAGAACCCCCTATAGCCGCTCTTTGGAGAACAGAAATTCGTCAGTGTATACGTCGTGTTCAGTGATACACGTTACATTGACTGAGCTTTAATATTGTAATGGTACTTAAGAAATGACTGTGTACTCGTGTTCACGTTCAACAAACGTCTTGTTCAAGATTCTAATTGCCAACTTTCTAGGTAGCTCAGGATAATTGACATCACTATCAACTGTGCTTTTCCTCGCATTCCAGAACTGAGAAGAGTCACATTCGATAATTATGTCTACACGACTGATCACGTCTAGACTTGGAGTATACTCGAAAAGTTCAATGACGGCATAATGGTGTAGGTAATACATGTACTTCAATATGAAGCGTATAGTTGATTTGTAACTAAGGAGAATATATGTAGCGGCTCGGTTCTGGTTGTGTTCCACGGTCGGTGCCACGGTACTAGTCAGCGAGGTTTCTTACTGGGCCGGAAAAGTAAGCATATTGGAGCCATAACTTGCAGCAAATCGTGGGAAAGGAGTTTGACGTGATGAATAAGATAGTACACGAGGGACCTTCCGCTACCAAACCGGCGCACTGGGACACTTCTCCCGCACCTAACTTCCACACATCGCTATTATTTAAAGCTCTCCTCCTCGCTTCTACACTATCTCGCTCTTTCTCTAATATCAGTGAGCAAAATTCACGCACCATGCGTTTACCTACATTTATTGCTAGCGTCTTCGTCGCAGCTACGCCCATCGTCGCCACCCCAATTCAGTCTCTCTCGCTCGCTGAAGGCCCGCCCGGAAATGTCTTCGATGCCAATGCGAAGATCTATTCGCTCAAGGATACCGGGATAGGCAACATTTATATCATCACCGATAAGATCGACGGCTATTTCATGAGGCCAGTAAGCTTCCATGTCGAGCAAGACTATGTCTGCAAGTTCTACAGGTGAGCCACTATGAAGTTGTACGTGTCCAGGTAATATACTGTACTAATGACATTTCCAGCGAATCCACCCGCGGCATCGGCTCCCTTATTGGGACCTACGAAGGCCCTCTAGATGGCACCTTCGGCGATGACTGGGCTGCCTTCTACCAGTGCTCGCAAATCGCTGGCAAAGCCGTTCCCAAGGTACGTGTGATTGGTTTATACCCAGCAGGGCGTTTTACGTGACGCTAAAGTAGTTCCCAAAGCTTCTGTGATTGCTAAACGATCAATGGAAGCGTTGCAAAGCGTTGCGGGCCTATGCTGGATCATCTTTCATCTGCTAACGATATCACAGGCTCCAGTGATCGCCGTCAGGGAGGTTATTCCTTGCGGATACGTGCGCACTCCCACCATCACTATTTTACCTCTCAGTGGAACTAGCAAGAATAATATGATATGGTTCACCAGAGACGGCAAGGCGTACGCGCCCATCTTGTACCACGTCACACCGGGCTGTGACTGTCGCTTCTTCAGCAACCGCCGGGGTCAGAATGGACCAGAGCTGGTCACGGAGGTTAGCGGGCCTGTGGAGGGTAACTTGACTGAAGCGGTCAAGCAATACACGTGCTGGCCCACCGTACCTTAGACTACTGTGTGTGCGAATGGGTAGTGACTTGGAGCCACACATGTGCCTAGACGGTTGGAGTAATTCCGCTGGTGCGAACGGACATCTCATGGTGGTGGCTTTACTTGCGAGGGATATAATCTTCTCGGCCTCAGATGATGTCGTATCTGAATGTTAAAAGTTCTTCTATGCTCTCCTGCCTCATGTGTCGTCCCCATGGAGCCTGAAGTGCTGGTGGAGCTTGAGAATTCATACGTACATTACAAGGCGCTGCGAGATGCCTGTAGGCCCCCGTGTGCGAGCTTAAGTACTGGCTGTTGGCTCATTCTATGAAGTTTCATTCTCGCCTTATCTGGCATCTGTGATGCTCCGGGTGCTCTAGCGTACGAAGAGTGCGGCATCTATCACATAAGTCCGCTTAACGTTCGTGTTCAGCATCCATCAGTGAGGACCCACTGAGCAGTCAACGGGATAGCCTGGTGAGACCCGTGCAAGGCCAGAGCTGGTACTAATTTGACCCCAAGCGTCTTGTACCGACATTGCAGACCGAGATGAATGTTAGCGCACGTGTTTGAGTCGGGGGTCCGATGAGACGTGGTTGGCGCAGTTCAGCCTTACGACACTGATAAGATAAGGCATGTGGCTCGTGCACCAAATTTTCGAGCCCGCGAACTTTGAACCTTCTCCGCACGGGCTATCGTAACTCTACGGTCTTGGGCCTGCACCTCTCCAACCCACCGAATTCCCCACCCAAACTTCCGACAGCAATAATGATACGCAAACAAGCTCGCGAGCGTCGCGACTACCTCTGTGAGTCTCTCAAGGCTTCTCCTACGCTGAAGACACTAGCTAATCGACTTCAGATCGCCGCGCCCTCACACTTCGGGATGCAGAACTCGCCTCAAAGCGCGCAGCGCTGAAGGCCTCCCTCGCCTCGGGCAAGCCTTTGGACAAGGGAGTTGCAGACGACACCACGCTGTAAGCCTTCAGCCCGCAGCCATAGCTAGGCTTTTCCACTCACAAAGTTTCTAGACGACAAGACTACAAATACGACGAATCGCGGGCAGACCGAACAGCAGAAGAAGAGCTGGGACTAGACGATGAATACGCACAGTTGAGCGGTGTCGTAGATCCCAGGGTTCTGGTGACAACGAGTCGAGATCCGAGTTCAAGATTAGGGACGTTCGCGAAGGAAATACGATTACTGCTACCCACGGCTGTCCGTTTGAATCGAGGCAATCTCGTTCTGCAGAACCTCGTGGGAAGCGCGAACTCAGCTGGCCTTAGCGATATTATACTACTCCATGAACATCGTGGAACTCCTACGGCACTTACGGTCTCTCATGCTCCACATGGCCCGACCGCAAGCTTCAGTCTACAGTAAGTGGGCATCCACACGTCCTATAACTAAACTGTCATATCGCAGGTTGGCTAACATGAGCAGTAACGTGGTGTTAAGGGGGGACATACCAAATTCCGCGAGGGGCACGGTTTCAGAAAGTTATCCGCATTTGATCTTCGAGGGCTTCTCTACCAAACTTGGGGAGAGAGTGGTGCAGATTCTGAAGCACCTATTCCCACCACGGGAAGCAAATGCAAAAGTAGGAAATAGTAAGTTCATAAACCAGTCCTAATATCTTAGAAATTCAGAATATCATCCACTAAATAAGGCAAATACAGCCCCCATAACTTTTAAGAACATTGAAGACACAATCGAAGTACGCCACCACGTCTTCGTCAAGACCGGCTACCAAGCCGTCGAGCTGGCTGAAGTAGGACCTCGCATGAGCATGCGGTTATTCGAGATAAGAGCTGGTACGCTAGATAATAAGGAGGGCGATGTCGAGTGGCATCTCAACCAATATACGAGAACAGGAAGAAAGAAGGAGTATTTGTAGAGTATGTTTAGGGGCACGAGATCTGACATTGATAATTGATGGAACAAAAGAAGGGCTTACATCACGGCAGAGTGGTGGTTGCGTTTCCGAAGCAGAGAGTTGCTTTTGTGCGAGCCCCAAAGTCACGTACGTGGTTCTGAAGCAGATGCAAGTGCATATAAGCCTCGAGACTATCAAAAATCCTCCCGCTCACCTTTTGCGAGAATCGGAAGGACCACTGGTTGCAACGCAAGTAATTAGTAACATATACCCCAAGCAATCAAGACTGAAATTGACTGCGGAGCTTGCATTGATACTACACTTTGAAAAGGCAAGTGTGGATAAACAGTGACGTCTGATTGCAACGTTGAATTGTGGTATCGTAGAACTAGATCTATGCAACCCCCGAGCGCCTTGAACACCAACTTAATGCTTGACTCGGACTTCTCATGTCCCTGCTATATCCTGAAGCATTTTCATGTGCACTCCACTCGGCGTCAAAATCGCGAAGCATTCCAGCCCCATTTATGCAAAGCTCACACGCTCTTTTGTAGGCCACCGAATATTCAATCAATCTCCATGACCTCCCCATTTATCTGCGCTCCTCGCTGTTGCTGCGTCCTCAACACGCCAGCGTTCGCCTTCTGCTTGCCTTTCCCGCCCTTCTGCGCTTTAGCCTTCTCTTCTGCTTCCGAGAGCAGAGACCCTTCGATCCGGAGGAAGCCCTTCCCTTTGCCTCTGCCATCCATTCTGCCGTCAAAGTCACGTATCCGCACCTTGAGTTCGCTTCCCTCTTGCACCTTCTCGCCCTCGCCATCGACCCACCACCCGCCCTCGTCGGCGATGCGCCCATCCCAGCCTTTCTTCATCTTCCCCGCTTCTTCCGAATGCCATGACCAAGCTGCGGGGAGGTGTTCTTTGAGGATGCTAACAGGGAAGGTGTTGAGGTGTGCGAGCGTGATGTGTGTTTTAGACTGGTGGGTGATGCGGCCTGTGATGAAAGCGTTTCTTTGCGGACGCCAGACGAGGAAGGTGGCCGTGGCCCAGAGATAAGGGGCCATATATTCGTCTACGTGTCGGAGGAGCAGCGCCTCTGGCGGTGCGTCTTCGTCGTCGTCTTCGTCTTCTTCTCGTTGTTGTGAACGCTCTGGTTGTGATCTTGACTTCGATTTTGACTTTGTTTTCGAGGCTTGTGATTGCGACGAGGGTGGCGCGCCGCTCAGTTTCACATCCTCGTATGCGAGCACTATGCCCCTTGCTGGAGCGAAGTAGGAAAGAAGCAGTGGTGAGAATACCGCGGCGCAAAGTGCTGGAAGAGGTGTTGAGAGGCTGGCGGGCGAGAGGGAGACGTATTGCGATATACGCTCGGTATGAAGGAGCGAGTAGTCGTCATCTTGTACTGGCGCCATTTTGAACGGTTTGATAGCAACAGGGGATGTGCAATTCTTCTTGCGATCGTGATACTTTCACGAAGAAGAGCTCAAAAAAAGTTGGAGATGTCGGCGCTTTGGACGTGTAAGTGCCGATGGAAGTGCGTGGGGTATCGGTTGGTTACTAAGCAATCTAAGGTTAAACTGAGCAATAGACAAAATACTTCAGAAAGGAGCAAGAGTAAGATGTTGGCACTATTATTGCGACTAGATAAAGGTGGCTCTAAAAGCCGCCGTCATCGTGATGATTGTTCTGATCTTGATCTACATGCATGCCGAACGCCGAACAACACTTCCTCGCTTAGCCCTGATTGATACTTAACGCCAATCTCTCATGAGGGACGCCCATCCTCTGTATACGTGGGGTTTGTGGTACGTAGGACTTCATGTATTTCCGCCGGTGGCGGGTATGGTAATGATACTGTACAGCACACGCTATGGCCACCGCCTCATCTCCGTCCCTGTTCAGCCTCCTTTCGCTGGAACTTGGTTACCACTCGCTGGAGTGCCTGTTTGATCTCTCCCTTTTTGAATTGCGCTAGATCGTAGTAGTTGGGGGAAATATCCTATTTATAGTCAGCACATAGCACATATTGAAGAGAATTGACAACTTACAATCAACCACTCTGGCTTCACTGACGTTACTGTTCGAATGTAGTTCTTGGTCGTCAGAACGAACTCGTTGTAAATGACCCATTCGCTGTCCTCCGCAAGCACCGTGCTAGGATGTAGCAAAACGTTCTGCTCATCCTTAACAGTGATGTAGCTCTTGCCGTTACCGTCGCGCTTAGCGACTTGCATGAAGAAGCCAGCTACGAGCGCACGCTGGATGTTCTCGTAATATTTCTTATTCTCAAAGGGTGTCGACATGAGCTCTAACTCCTCGCGCTCCATTATGCGCTTGAGTTGTAGTCGTACATTGTCGGCTTGCTGTAGCGCTCGATACGATAAGAAATGGTCGTGACACCACTGCTTTGGGTTCGCCTGGGCTTCCTCACTCCTGAATGCATGGTACACGTTTAGCATAGTAAGCTGGTCACCCTTCGGGTGCGCGAAGAGCTCCTTCATCTCGTCGGCTCTCTTGCGGTTGGCGGCAGGGCGCACGAAGATCTGCGGTACAGATAGCAAAGCGGTGAGCGACAGGATCTCGTTTGAGCAGTAGAACTCGGGCGAGGTAATGAGCATGACTGCTAACGCGGGATCTAGAGGGAACTGAGAGGCAAGCCCTCCGAGAGTGGTCAGCTCACCCTCATCATCCAGACATGCCAGGTAGTTGAGTTCTTCCAAAGCGCGCATCAGTGTCTCGGGCGCGGGCGGATCCATCAGATCGAAATGGACCAAGTCATCAACTCCGAGTTTTTTCAACTCGAGTACTGTGCTTGCCAAGTTGGAACGCAGAATCTCTGGGTAAGTCTGCTCAATGAGCTCCTTCTTGAACGCAGTCTCGGTGTATAAGCGGAAGCATTTACCAGGTCGCGTGCGACCAGCACGACCAGCGCGCTGCTGTGCAGACGCTTTCGAGATGGGCGATACTAGCAGTGACTCGACACGGATTCGAGGGTTGTACACCTTCTGCTTGCTGAAACCAGGGTCAACGACATAGACAATGCCGTCGATTGTAAGCGATGTCTCGGCAATGTTGGTCGAAACGATGCATTTGCGTCCAGGCCGACCTCCGGGCGTTGCTGGGGGTGGCGCGGGATTGAAGATCTTCTGTTGTTGCGCTGGTGGCAGCGATCCGTAAAGCGGATATACCACGAGTGGCCCTGCACCACCTTCACGACTCAGATCTTGGGCCTCCAGATTTATTTTCCTGCAAGCGTCCTCAATCTCCTCTTCTCCCGTCAAGAATAGCAGAATGTCACCCTCGGGCTCTGTGGCGTGGATCTGCAGTACTGTTCGTAGCGCAGCCTCGACGTAATCTCGTTCCGGTGCAGGTGTATAGAAGACCTCGACGGGATGCGTTCGACCGGGTACAGCAAGCAGCGGTGCATTGTGGAAGTACTTTTGGAATTTGGTGGCGTCGAGGGTAGCGCTCATGATGATGAGCTTCAGGTCCTTGCGCCTCAAGACGACCTCCTTCAATAGACCCATGAGGATATCCGTAGCCAGCGTCCGCTCGTGGGCCTCGTCGAGAATGATGGTGCTATATCGCGTGAGATTGTTGTCGTGCATGGCCTCGCGCAGCAACATGCCGTCAGTCATGTACTTCAGTATAGTGTTGGGGCCCGTTTTGTCCTCGAAACGAATGCTGTAGCCGACTTCCTGGCCCAGCTCGACGTCCATCTCCTCGGCCACACGCTGCGCCACGGACATGGCAGCGACTCGACGGGGCTGCGTGCAGGCGACCATCTTTGCGTTCTGCTGTGGGAGGTCGTCGAACAGGACGAACTGGGGGATCTGCGTCGTCTTTCCAGAACCCGTCTCACCGACGAAGACAAGAATCTGAGACTCCTGGTAGAGCTTGAGGAATTCATGTCTGCGCAAAGTCAGCTTCCATGTGCAATATAAAGTGGTAAAGAGCGAGTGCTTACCTCTGCTGGTGGACAGGCAGATCTCGCCGCTTCTTGAGGATGCTCATGTATTTGCTCGACAAGGGCCTTCCGGTGAAGGCATTGTTTGGCCCATCTTCCGCGGCCGATGCCTGCTTGGTGGTTGTCGCATGGCGCTTGAAGCCGTCGAGCCCTCCTCCGCTGCCGTACTCGCTCTTGGTCGCGGGCTGCTCGTCGTTCCAGTGCGCGAGGTAGGGATTACTTCCGGCAGCCGTCTTGCCGTCACCGTTCGATTCCGTCTTGACACGCTTGACGCGAGCACCGTCGTCTTCGTCGAACTCTCGTTTGGTCATGGCGGTCATGGTGGTTGCGGAAGTCCGGTTGCACGCGTAGAAGTTGGCTTGCTAGAAAAAGTTATGCGCCGGCTGAAAGTACTACCGGTAGCTAGCTCCACAGGCCGCCGCATTTTCCTAGGCTTGGCGCGATGGACCACAGTTGCGCCGCTTCGAAAAGAATCTCCACGGCCAAACATGTAGTGACCTAGCCCTTCCCCACCTCTGGTGGTGCTTTTATATCTTTGCCTATCTATAGTTCTACTATCGTTAAGCCTGACCTGCCTCGCCGCATCCGTTCGTCTGACATCTGTCTGCTCCGCACCCAAGTTGACCCCGCGGTAGCCCGCCGCAGTCGCGAAACTTTCGCCCAAGGAACATCCAGACCCTGCATACTTCGCCCAGAAATATTCCCACGTATATTGGCCTCATGGACTACTCGGACGCCATGGACGACTCTACGCCCATGTTCTACATTGGCCAGCATGAGACGAAGCGGCGCTTGGATGTGTCGCCGGAGCTCATCCAGCACGCGCAGGATCTTGGAGTAACTATGCCAAAAGTGTCTCCTTCCAATGATGCAAGCTTACCGTGTACCAGTATGATATGCTTACTAGCCCTATTACGAACGATCACTTCCATACCCGTGTTTTGAGCCTCCTAAATTCGTACACCCAGACCCTCTCCGAATCATCGCAAGCGCAAACGCTACCTTTGATACCTGCCCTGGACCATCCGGACACACCGTTAGGTCCCAGTGATACCATTGGCCAGCTAGTGACTTTCACAAGCTCCTGGATAGATCTATCATCGCCAGATCCAGTCATTGCGCATCTTTCGCGCCAGGTCTTCCACCTGGAGATCGCATATGCGGCTTTCTGCGGAGCAACTAATGTTGTCGTACCAGGACCACGTCTATCTCATGGTCAAAATGGCGTTTCGCAGTATGCTCGAGCAATCAAAGAAGCCCTGACAACTGGCTCATACATCCAACTGCATGTGCAAATCCCCATGGACGGGACTAAGGCTACTACCGAAGACGATGATTTGGGTCATCTAGCACGCTTCGCCAGGCCTGAGTACGATTCGAGCAGTCAGGGGAAGAATACCAACACTTGGAGCTCTTGGGATGCCTGGAACACGGTAAGGTCCATCTGTAAATACCATAATAGGTTATCAATAGGTAAGAGCGCGACGTTTCTAGACTTTACTATCTCCGATCATGTTGAGCTCTGTTCGGACTTTGGGTGTCTACTCATCTATTGTGGACCATTCTAACATCTTCAGTTCTCGATTTACCACGCCGGCTCCCGTCGCTCGCTCTCCAGTCTCGCTGGGTTTCCGAGCCTATCCGTCTGCTAAGTCTACCAGCTTCGTCCTTCCTCGTCAATGCCCGCCAGTCTTTTGTTTTGTCGAAAGCGCACCAGGTTTTCATCTTCCGCTGTATGCGCTTACAACGCGGCCCTTGGCTACTTCTCTCGGACGTCGGCCCGCTACCAGGTGTCGATGACCCAGACATGATCATGTCGTACTCGACCGGCCATCTTTCGCCAGGCGCAGCTGAGGACGCGCCCAGTCCAGGGTCTTCATTACCTCCCGCGCCCACCCCTGCGGAAGCAGCCCAACTGGCAAAACAGATTGGGAAAAAGACCAGTAGTAGCAATGACCCCACTCCGCACCTAAGCTACCTGCGATATCTGCAACGCAATCAGCCACCGAAGAGCCAGCTTGAGCGATTCGGTGGGGGTTTCCAGGACTACCTACAAAGCCCACTGCAGCCTCTCACGGACAACCTTGAGTCCATCACCTATGAGGTGTTCGAGAAAGATCCGATCAAGTATGCTTGGTACGAGCGGGCAATAGCACAAGCACTGCGGGACTGGCATAGCCAACGAAGGTCCACCAGCTCTGAAAACGGCGCAGTTGTAATTGCAGTTGTTGGGTCTGGCCGAGGTCCGCTTGTAACGCGTGCACTGAACGCAAGTGCAAGCTCTGGTGTACCAGTCCGCGTCTATGCAATTGAGAAGAACCCCAATGCTTACGTTCTCCTGCAGCGGCATAATGTGGAGACATGGAAAGGTCGCGTGACGGTTGTCAAGACAGACATGCGAGCATGGAAGGGTCCGACGCAACCCGATGGTACCTTTGGCAAGGTCGACATTCTGGTCAGCGAGCTACTTGGGTCATTCGCTGATAATGAACTCTCGCCCGAATGCTTAGACGGCGTACAGCACGTGTTAAACCCGGAGCATGGTATTTCTATTCCATCCAGCTACACTGCACACTTTACGCCAATATCCACCCCAAAATTATGGGCAGACTTGTACAGCCGAAGCACGAGTGTGGACCCGAACGCATTCGACATCCCATGGGTCGTCATGCTCGCACAATTTGACTACCTCTCTACGGAATCCAAAGAGACTATAGCCTCCCAGCAACTGGGTGATGGTACGAAGATGCACAACTTCAACCTCGAGGCACCGCTAGCACCGATAGTGCAAACCGCGTGGGAGTTCTCCCATCCTCTGCCACCGACAGTACTCGCCCAGGCGTCCTTACGCAGGGGCGGCTCTGCCGTGGGAGGTGGAGGTGGCTTCGTTGGAGGAGACGGAGCCAACGAGCACAATTTCCGACACTGTAGGATCTCCTTCCCGATTCAAGAGCAGGGCGTGTGCCATGGCCTAGGCGCCTACTTCGAGACGGTGCTGTACAGCGGCTCAGAGGGCCCAGTCGAGCTCAGCACGAATCCCGTGTCGATGGAGCAGAAGAGCAAGGATATGATCTCATGGTTCCCAATTCTCTTCCCGCTCAAGGTATGTACTGACCAATCCTACATCCTAGGAGCATAACTAACCATGTTTGTAGAACCCGATACAGCTTCCTGCCAACTCAGAGGTTGAAGTCAGCTTCTGGAGGCAGACAGATGATCGGAAGGTCTGGTACGAATGGCTCGTTGAGAGCTACATGATAGTCAATGGGCAGCGGATACGACTCAGCGTCTCTGACCTCCACTCAAGCAAATCGAATGGGTGCATGATGTAGATAGCTCCAACAGTTGTGTCGTTCGATTCAGTACTACCAAGGTATGATACTGAAGGGCTAGAAGTTGATCCTGGATTTATAAAATGGAGAGTGGGATGAGATGATGAGAAGACGAGATATTATATTCTTCGTACTCCGCTAGATACCACTCTGCTAAGAGCAAAAGTTCCTCATATTTACGTCTTGAACGGGAAATATGAACAATTATACCTCCACAAACTCCTCAAACCCCCGAAACTCCCTCGATGCCAATATAGATGAGGCGGAGGGCCTTTTGTCTGGATTGATTACAAACATGAGACCAAGAAGGTCCCTTAACTGCTGCGGCATGTCCACCTTTTGCATCTCCTCCGCGAAAGGCAAGATTGCTTGCATAGGTGGCTCCTCTCGTCGACTTATACGTCTGGAACAGGTGACTGTAGCTTTGAGAATATCGCCCTCAACCTCGTCAGCAGTCGGGATCTCCCAACTAGGAAAGAGCCGCTTGATCTTTGCGATACACCAAGGCTCATTGAGCAAGAAATGAGGGCTATCCTGCACGCCCAGGATACTAGGCTTGATCCAGCAAACCAACATCGCGGCAACTGCCCAGACCTGCGATGGTTCAGTGCACGCCTTGCCGAGGTAGACTTCAGGGGCGCGCATGGCGAATGGTTGGACTTTTATGCGATCGCCGGCGGGATATACTATAGGTGTGTTAGTAACACTTGTCTGCTTGTCTGTATCTTCTCAACGCTTGCTCACCGAGTCCCAAGTCTCCCACTTTGGCGGTGACATGGCCAGTTCCGACGCCAGAGAGCAAGATATTGGCAGGTTTGTAGTCTGGGTTTATTAGCGGATGGTAGCTCGTCAAGACCAAGTACTGTACCTGTATTCACACATTTTTGGTCGGCTAGAATGACACAACTGTCCAAGGCGGCGTTCAGGAACGTCTTGATGAGGACGAAGGTGCGCATATCTGGTTGGTATTTCACCTCTGCAAGAGTGGTGTCTAGCCATTCCAAAGCGATGGTGCTTTTGTCGATCACATCGTACAGTTGTCGGAAGCACGCGGCCGAGTATACACCAGGAAGGCGATAACTCCAAATTTCACGGTCCAGGCTCAATCCAGAATATGCGTCGTCGGGCGAAGCTGCTTTGATGATAGCCCTAGGAGGTGGGGTTGGCCTTGGAGTTTAGAAACGATGGATATTACACAACAAACCAGCGGGGGGCTCCGTGGACATTCTTGTGTGGAAAAACCTCGGCCTTGAAGACGGTGGATGCGTGCGTATTGTCTCCTTTGACGACGTTGAGGATGCGGTAGTTCCATTGGCGGCCGGGAAGTATATGTTCTGAAGCAATAGACGACATAGCTCTTGATAAAGAGTTCCTTACGGTAGCTGAAGTTGGTCGGATACGTGAACGCATTGTAGATAGTGCATTCGTCATGCTATACGAAGTGAACAAAACGCCTCTGGCGAAGAAAACCTTGCCCAAGTCTTGCCTAGTTCTATTAGCTCCTCACCCGGCGCGGATTTCTTGACTTCGATCGGGTCCTTTTGTGGGAATTTAGAAGTAGAGTACCAAAGCGGAAACGACCTGGTGGAGCGGGTGGCGTCTACCAGGACAGGGATGTACACAGCTAGCCCGGGATGGAGGGACATGACATGACATCCGGACCTGCAGTACACTTACTTGCACCACCACACCTTCAAACGTCCAGACCCAACTAACCCGAACTACCAATTCCTCGTCACCATGCCGCCCTTCTGGACAATCGGAACCCTCTTCGGCGCATCGAGCGTCATGCTCGGCGCATTCGGAGCCCACGGCCTCAAGCAACGTATCGCGGACCCAGCGCGAATCGCAAACTGGGGGACAGCAGCACACTACCAGGTACGCTCCAGTCCAACATTGAAAAAACACAATTACTCCTCTATATACGCACACCAAACAATAGCCGGCCCAGTTTCGCTAATATGTCAACTCACAGCTCGTACACTCCGCCGTCGTAGCATTCGCATCCGTCGTCGCGCCGCAGAACACGATAGCAATGGGCCTCTTCACAGCTGGAATGACAATGTTCTCGGGCTCAATATACCTGCTCACGCTCGATCCGCAGCGGTTCAAGGTGCTGGGGCCGGTGACGCCGCTGGGAGGCCTGTGTTTGATTGGAGGGTGGGTTGCGCTGGCTGTTGCGAAGAGGCCGGTTGTGCCCAAGTTTAGGTGAGCGACTAAGCTGAGGGAGAGAGGAAGAGAAGCGGGGTTTTGAGACGGTTGTAAGAGAAGAGATTTGTATATATAGGTAACGGGGCTATGCGATTGTACATACAAGGGCGCGGGTTATAATGCTATAATCCGAGCGTCGACGCGAAATGCCTTAACCAAAGATTCTCCTCTCCATCATTATCATCGCATGTAAACTTATAGACGTATAAGAAAGCAGCTCAACATGTATAGGATATTGATGCAGTTCATTTCTAAGCTAGTGCTGCTCCAATCCATCTACGCGCTTAATACAAACAACCCTCCATAACCAGACGCGCCGTACCCAGAGTGCAATGATGCCGCCCATAGTCGAAGCGCCGATACATGCCCAATGTGCCAATTTCGATACTTTGTCTTGCTCAAACGCCAAACGCCATGCTCAAAATAAAGATGGAAAGATGAATATCCAATGACACCTTGGCGCCATGTTGTTTAGTACTGAAGACGTTGTCGTGACGTCTCTTTCTCTTCTGCATTAGACCTCCATTCTCCTTAAAAGCTCACATACCCCATATCTTCGTTCCCAGCATCATCCATCCACCCACCGCCAACTTCGCCAAGTCCAGGCCCGTGGTGATGGTTCCTAGCAGCCATACCCTCTCCCTCACCTCTCTCCACCCATTCCTCGTTGATATCTCGCCAAATGCGCTGGAAGTACAAGCGTAGAGAACGTAGGCCGCGGAGGTAGCCTCTATCCACCCCATCTGGATTTTGAGGGGGGCACGGTAGGTCGTCTGGGAGCGGATCTTCGGCGGTCACACAGTTGGCAAAGTCGACAATCTTGAGCTTTATTTCGGAATACCTTTTGGGTGTTGGATTCGAGGTGGGGGCTGGGCCAGGGGACGTAGGTCCGGATGGCGCCGCGGAATCGTTCTCGCTGCCCGGGTTCGAGTGGCCGTTCGGTAGGGACGATGCGTCTTTGTCTTTGGATTCTCCTTCTCCGCGATCGTACAGCATGAGCAAGCTGCTTGCGTAGAATCGGTAGCCTGGTAGCTTCCTAATCATACGCTCCAATTGGCTAATCTTCTCCAGAATCACGGGGATATGCCGAGTCGCCGCTTTGTGCCCTGTGCCATCCCAGAAAAAGCGTTTGAGCGCATCCTGGAACTCTTTACCGGCCTTGAGATCACGGCCGAAGTATTTGTCTTCGAAAACATAGCTTTGAGTCTTGACGTTCCATATCTGCATACCACAGACACGTACGCCAAGCTCACGACTGGTAGTCATCTGGCACTTGCGCCTTTGCGAACGTTGCTTCTTCTCGTCAGCTTCCACGCCGTACTGGCGCGTGCCCATCTTTAGATCCAAAACACATGGGTTGGACATGCCCGCAGTGAGATCCTCGAGAAGGAGAAAGTGCTGCACTCGCTCGTCGGGCTGCTGTTGAGCTTGCTCGTGGTTGAACGGTTCATCGGGGACTGGAAGGGTATTCAGTCCTTTTGATGTGACGGCTGCCGGAAGCATAGTCCCTTCTGGTGCGTTCTCTGAGCGGCTATTGCTATGAATGACCTTGGTATCCATGCGTCGACCTCTTTCGGGTGCTTTCGTTTGTGATGGGGCATTGTGGTCCTCGTCCATAATGAAGACCTCCTCTTCCTCTGCGTCACCACCATATGCGGCGTCCTCTTCGTAGTATTCCAAATTGTGCCTACGACCGGAGTCTATTCCTAGAGGTCTCCTTGTAAGTCCACTACCAGAATGACGACGCCGAGGTAAATTAGTTGATGGTAGTTGTAACGTTTCAGCGTCTCGGGTGTTTGACTCTTGAAGCGAGCTTGCGCTGACGGCATGATCGCTTCCAATTGAAGCATGCCGCCGCGCTTCAGCCTTGAGGACCTGCTTGCGAGTGCTTTCTTCGGTGAGTGGGGGGACTATTGCAGATACATCCGCGCTGTTCCTTCTTATAGTGGGTGCTGACCCAACCAATGATTGTTCCGATTCTCCCACCATTGCGCGGGCAGGAATGCCATGATGGTGATGATGGCGGTGGCGATGGTGTATGGTGGGGGGTGCAAATACCTGGCGAAGTACCTCTTCTTGCAATTTCCTATTGATTGTGGTTACGCCCCAACTGCTGTGGTGTTGCATTTGCGGCCGCGATGAACCGGTTGATCTGTATTCATAGTCACTCTGGCCCCGTCGGTGATACTGTGATGAATAAGAAGAGTTCCTCATCCACGAGTCTGGAGTAGCCGATCGTGGCGGCACTCGAAAAAGGTTATCCGGAATTATGTGCCGGTTATTTTCAAAAATCACTTGAGGGATAGGCATAATCTGTTGCGAATGACTAACCACGCGTGGTTGATCATCAGATTTACCGCCATCGTGAGGAGCTGTAGAATCCTGTCTAGATGCAGCACTGAATTGTGACGCAGACGCAGCTGGAATATTGTCTGCTTTCGCTTTGTCTTGTTGTGTCTTTTTCTTTTTCTGTGCTTTACGATACGTGACATTGAGGACACCAATATACCTGAAATGACAACAAAGCGTTAGCAAGTGACTCAAATACGGACGCGGGGTATGGGGAATATCTTCGCCGAAGTCTCAGCTTCTGAACAATCGAAGATTAATAGGCAGGTCGTACCTGGGCAGAAACTCCAATAGCTCTGGGTGCTCCCTTTCCACAGTCTCGTAGAATTCATTTTCTCGGTTGTTTAGCTGCTTGCACACCGCCCTTCTCGAAAAGCGATAGACGGTGGAATGACCGCCCACCTGATGATTGTACGGTTTCAGTTCAACAGCACCCAGTGGAGCTAATGGTTGAGAAGAAGGTGCAGATGGAGCCTTCGGCTCTTGCTTCAGTGTTGTCGCAGTGGGTGTAGTACCTAAGTCATCAGTTGCACTGGATTCGTAACCACGCAATGAGTGAGTAGATTCCGCCAGAGACTCTGTTTCAGATTCAGCTGAAGCTGAGGCTGAGATTGAAAGCGCATCAACATTCGCTGATGTCAGCGGCTGGTCGTCATCTTTCGGGACGGAAGCTGTCGTTGATATGTCACCATGCAGGCATTGATTTGTATCTTGGGACTGTAGAGAGATTTCTACTTCTTGTGGGGTTTGCACAACCTCTTCCGTAGCCCAGCCTCGAGGTCCTTTACCTGCATGAATCGAAGTTCTCTTCCGGACGTCATTTAGCTCCGCTTTCCGATCCTGTTCTTCTACTGGACCTTGCTCGTTTGCCTTGAGTCGACGATGCGGGAAGTAAAGGGCTGATGAAATCTGTTCTCTCTCTGAATCGTCCTCTTCTTCTTCTTCAGATGCTGGCGCATGTGCTGCGTTGTCGTTGCCCTTGGCTTGGAAATAGTCAGACGGCTCAATATGCTGGTGTTCAGACCCGGCCTTCGCGACCTGGGCACTGAGCTTCTCAACAGCTGAGGTGGGGAGACTTCGTGAAAACGATGATCTTGGTTTCAAGGGAGGCGTAAGATTCTCGTGGCTCCTAATCTCGTCCAGAAGACGCCGAGGGAGTTGATGCTTATTGGCTGTGCTCTGATCTAACTGCGTGCTTACAGGAATGTTCGAGAGCGGAGCATGGTCAGGCTCGCTCCGTGGCGTCGGAACCTTGTCGAAGTAGGACGTAGTCGGGCCCGCTGGGGGCGACTGCACAGCTGGCGAAGTACAAGTCATTGCTTGCAGCTGCTCAGTAAAAATGCTAGCCTCGACAGCGCCAGGGCTTGCTTGCCCATTTTCTGGGAGTTGATAAAGTAACTTGTCGGTAGGTCGACGGTCCTTTGTTTTGACATCCCGCTTCTTCTGTTCTTCAGTGACATCGGCATCCTTGAAGACACGCAAATAGTGACTTGCTTTCCTACTACGTGCTGATGTAGGCTGCTCCGTCTTGGCCAGCGTTGCTTCGATCTTCTTTTCCATATCAACATCCAATACAGGGTTCTCGAGGGCATTGTGTCCCTTGAAAGGCACGGGTTTGCCTTCGCGCCATTCTCTATTCTTGCGCCTCTCTTCACTATCCTTCAAGACCTCTTGTAGTGTCGACCGAACGTCGTGATGATGATGATGATGATGATGATGATGATGATGATGATGTAGTGTAGCGTGTCGCTGTACGGGAGAGTCAACCGGACTCATGTATGGCGGGGGGCTGTGTCGGCTGTCTTCTAGGTCCATACCGTCCGCAATGGGTTTTCGCGAGTTGAAATGAGTCGTCAACACGGCATGGTGGTCGATTAGGGCTACAGGTGGGACTGTGGAGTGCTTCCTGCGTATGACAGGCGGGTCCATCAGTCTCCTCTGGGGAGGCGCTGGCGCTGCCATTTCTGATAAGCAGTGTTCGGGAGCATCGTCGTTTGCGTCAATCGCGCGTGCGCTGGTCCGCGGAGAGGAGGCAGGCGTGTCGGAGGCTAGATAGGTGGTTGCGAAGATGCTGTCGCGCTCCGACAGCTGTGGACGGTCAATGGACGACTTCAAGAAGCTGTTGTCTCGGGCAACCGGAGCCGTCTTGGAGCGGCCAGTCTGCGAGAGGCTTTTTGGTGTCACGTCGTCGTCGTCGAGCTCGTCGCCAGAGGAGGGCGTGGGAGGGCCATATCCAGGGTTGTGCGGCGCATTTGACCTCACCGATGCGGGGGGTGAGGTACTTGTTTGGGCGTCCGGCTGCGGTGACATGGGTTCGACATTGGTCAGGCCGTCTCTGAGGGGCTTCTGAGGGTGCGTGGCGGACTCTTTGGCAGACAGTGCCGGGTGGGCGCTCAGGACGTTGGCCAGGATGCGGTCGTTGGGCGCGGCGGAAACACAGCGGAAGGCCAACAGGGGCGGGTTAGCGTGCGAGGGCGATGGCGCTTGCAGAGAGGGAGAGCTGCCGAAGGAGCTGGCTGGATCGGGGTTCCAGGGGGAGAACGAGTGAGGATTGCTGCAGGCCCACGTTGGTGGTTGTGTGGATGGGCGTCGACGACGGCGGTGGCGCAGAGATATTGCAAGCGAAGGGGCTCTGATGACGTCTGCGACACCACCACGACCGACAAAGCGCGTCTGCCCCCGTACAAATAGCCCGCGTCGTGTCTTTGTGGGCGTCGCACGGGGCTGCGAGTTTGTCGACAGAATGCACAATCGAGGCAATTGCTTTTCGGCGCTTCGTTGCGGCTCGCTCCATGGTCGTCACGCTGCCAATTCATTCGAGAGTCATGGGCCACTACCGTTTCTTTGCGTCGACGAGCAGCACGAGCGTCCGTGCGCCTAGAGAGATGGCATAGCTCGATACATTCATTCACCCTCAGAGCACCCCCAGCCAAATCACCCTCATGCCCTCACGACAAGGCCAATGACAGCTACGCAAACTCTCCAATCTAGCATTTACAAACGCTTAGTCTCATCATCGTAAACGACCTGTCATGCAAGAGAGATTATATTGTGGCTACACACGCTACATGGCTTGTGTATTCAAACTTTGCACCAGGCACTTCCAAACAGGCCGACAGCCCCTCCTCTCTCTCCCTTTCCTTCGCCAGTGCATTGCACAGGTCCTGGCTACCGGATATCTATGCGCCAGATATGCAAGGTCTTGACATATGCAAGCCCTTATCGGCCAATCGATCCAAAACGTGGCCCCTCACCGCCGGATGCAGCAGCCTTCGACTATTGCTGCACGTCGCTGTTGTCGCTGATACTGGAATGCCCTGACAGTGCCAATTGCATCTGGGCATCAAAGTCCTGCCGCTGCGGCCGACGAGGCCTGTTATCGAGGCCTGGTTGAACGCTGCAAGGTGTACACCTTTCCCCTCCCTTTGACACGTTTGTATGCCCATCTAGGGTGATATTCGCGAATCATCCAAATCACGCAGAAACCGATCCGTGAAGTGTAGTCCGTCACTGGGACCAAAATCATCTAATGACGTATTCAAGTCTAATTGAGGTAATTCAACGTCACCGACGGAGCGTCTTGATCTATCCATCAAGGACTCCTGCGACGCCTTCTCGGTGACAAAACTCCAGAAGCTCGTGTGAGTCGTGTTCTTAGCCTTCAGTGGAGTCCGGCGGCCAGCAGACGGAGTGGGGCTTTTTGCGGGCGTGTTGTTAGTTCCCGGTTGCTCTTCATGCTTCTGGAGCAGAGCAAACCTCAGACTGCTTTGCTGGGGTAATTCGGGCCTTTTCTTGGCTGTACTGAAAGCGAACGGAGAGGCTGCAGCAAATAGATCTTGCGTGTTCATCGTTGCCCCTCGCAGCACGCTTTCTTTCGCAAGAGACTTGTCTAAATGAGCGCTGAATACAGAGAGAGGCGTCATGGCTGGACTGGGTTCGGGCAACATCGGCCGTGGGCTATCGTTCTGCGGTTGGGTCCAAGGTTGAGGCATGTCTGAAGACATGGTAGGGAAGGTGCTTTCTTGGAAGTCAATGTGGGCGAGCCGCATGGCGGCTTGTGTTGAAAATGCTGAGTTCCTGCTGGAACGACTAGATATTGGGTCTTGCTGCCCCTCCTGAAAATCGTTGCCTTTTGCTTGAACTTCTAGATCCCCAGATTGCAGCACAGATGCTCCTTTAGCATCCGAAATGTTTGTCTGATGAGTGTCCTTGGCACATGGCCCAGATTCTGGAGTAAGTCTTGTCCTCTCGGGACTTTGCTCGTCCTTTCGAATAACAGGCGAAGAAGTGAAGCTGAAGATACTCGCTGGCGAAGTTTGAGCGTTCTCACTATTTCGTTTCGAATTCTCCACCTTCCGGTAGATAAATCCAACCGATGAACCTAGAGCTGGTGAAGCCACGAGATCGTGGTGCAGTGCTCTTCGCTGTGACTTTTCTTGTACACTCCTGCGGCTTGACTGCTGCGGCTGGCGAACGGATGCCGAAGAGGGAGCCATCAGACTGACAAGCCTTTCTGCCGACCTCTGAATGTCCTCCCTGGAAAGTGGACGGCTTCCTATCGAAGAAACGATCTGGTGGCCAGTTGCACGAGGGGTTTCCGCGCCCGCAGAGTCCGTTTTCGACTTTGAATGGCCTGCCAATGACGTCCTTGTAGTGAACGTCCCCTGCGAATATTGATCTCCATCAGCATTATGGGGTTCACGAACACTGCTATCAGCATCTTGGCCATTTGGCGTTACAAGCCGATTTGAAGTGGGGCGAAAGGAATCTTCCAGGTTTGCCGCACTCTTCAGCACGTCCTTTGTAGGCCGCACTGGATCGCCGATCACAATTGGCATATCATTTCTTCTATTTGGCGTTGGATTTGTGGCTTTCGCAGGTGATGAAATGACCATGGATGCCGAGGCACTGGATCTACACTCTTCTAGCACGGCTTCCCTGGTCATGGGGCCTTGACCGTGTAGAGGGGCCCTTGGTAGAGCAAGCTGGAGTTCATCTAGCTGTGAATGCCCGTTCCGTGAGCGCGAACGTGTGGGCGACAACTGGGTGTCGTTGTTTGATGGTTGGTTCATGGCGACCTTCCTTTTGGACCCAGGGCGTCGTAGCCAAAACGGATTCGTCGGAGGGGATCGGTTCTGTATGCGTCTTTCATTGTGTGTACTGAAAACCTCGGCAGAACCGGACACATCGTCCCCTTCTGACAAAGGTGCTGTAGCTGGAGGGACTTCCACCTCGTCGAGGCTGTCGTCCCTTTGGTGAGCCTCGAGATTGAGATAATCCTCAGCAGCTCTGGATGCTTCTGGTGACGCACTCTGTAGTGCCTTATATGCTGCGCCAGCTTCTTTCTGTCTACTGTTTCTCGCTGTCGTAGTGCTTATACCTTGGGTCGCATTCCTCCGACTACGTCTGCTTCTTTGATCCAGCGTATTACTGTTCTCAACCGACGACGCTGTCACTGTCCGAGATTTGTTCGCCCAGGGGTTCTTCCAGCCGTTCCTGAAAGGTCCTCTCAGGCCCGCTGATAATATGACGGGTGGTTTGCCTCGTAGATATTGTGATGCGATTATCTCCACCCTCCTCCGCTTAGCCGCCTGTTCCTTTGCGCCCTGATAGTCTGCCGGTAGTTCTTCCATGACATCTTCGGGATTGACGTAAAAGTTGTCGAAGTCTAGCCCTCGCTTCAGGTGAGGATGTAGCGTTGGGGGCATATTGCAGACATGCGACCCTTTTGCATCCACGTCTTATTGCCCCTGTGTACCCAAGCTGGAATGTCGGCGTAGACGTTCGATTTATGGGTTTGATAGCTTGTCTTTGCTGTGTAAAGAATAAGTGGGAGGGTGTGATGGCATATTCGGGCGTTGGGTTCAATAGTGCCTTCGGAGGAGACGTCGTGAAGCGACCTGCTGCAGGGGTAGCGCTGATCTACCGGTGGGGGAGCAGACAATAGTGGGTGGAAAGGGTTGAATCAGGTATGCCTGCTTGCCCATCGTCGTCACCAGCGATCGCGCGCGCCGGCGGCGGGACGTTGGGGACGTTGTGGTTGCTGGGGGAACACGCCCGCTCTATTCGGATGGGCCAAAGATCCGATGCTAGCGTCGCGGGGATCCGAAGGCCACAACCCTGCTCGGACGGGAAACACACCACATCCTGGTCTATTGATTGATACAACCGATAACAATACAATCGACTCGCCTCGACGACGCGTTCGTCGCTACACTTCTTGCACCCACGCCCTCGCAACCCCCCCCCTAGGTCCTGCAGCATGTGGTTTGCGCTCGCATAATCTCTATTCCGACGCGTATCCGCGCTTAAATCACCGCACCACACTACACCGCCAACTGCGACTCACCGCCGCGGCTCCAGAGTAACAGCAATGGTCGACACAACACAGCCATGGCTCGAGGACCTCTCAGAGGAATGGGTTCCGCAGGCTACACCGGATACCATTGCGCGCAATCTGGAAAGTTCTCCAGCCACACAAACGTCGCAGAGCGTGCCGCCCAAAGCTCGAAGTCGTCTTCCCCGCATGAGGCAGTCGTCGGGCTCTTTTTCAGAGATACAAGTTCGAAGCATTGCGAAGGAACTGCGACCATCGAAGCAGCGGAGTGCTCTCGCAGAACGAAGCCTTAGCGACAATAATATTCCTCTGACCTCGTCGCCAATCGCGTCCCACATTGCGCCTTCTCCATCTGCCGCGTACTCGTTCTCTTCGACATTCCAGGGCTCGGTCGTGTACAATGGCACTGTGGCGCACAACACGGTCGCAAAGTCTCCAACCAAGGAAAAAGGTCCCCATGACACTCCAGAATGGAGGCGGAGGTTGGTCAAGGGCGAGATAGGCTATGGTGACCAGAAAGACCTGTTTGGCCCTACAGGTTTAGAGAACATCTTTCAGAAGCCAGTGGGGACCTCCTCCGAAGACACACAGCAACCGAAGCGCAAACTTGGACTACTCAAGGGCTTGGCTGCAATGCCCTCCAGCCCACCACCATGGCCAGCGGCGGGGCAAGGCGAAGCGTACGATGAGCAGCCTGAGATTCAAGTAACGAATTCGGGCAACGACACCCAGAACAGCCGACAGGACTCTCCTCGGGACGGGACAGTGCATGAGCAGGAAGAATCCATCACCACACAAGCTCCGAGGACGACTGACCAGGAAGGCCCCAGAACCGTGAGCGGCCAGATTGAATTCGAGAATGAAAGCTTTAGCCCGGTTTACTTGACGACGAACCTCAAAATCGGACAGCTTCCCACGGCAACTCCGAATTTCAGAGGTTCAGAGCTTGCGAACCGGTTACGACAAATCGGATCACCACCTCCGACTATATATAATCCTGCTGTAGACGAGAGTGCGTTGAGTCAACCTCGGGAGGACTCTTCTTTCACTAGGCTCCACGATGATTCTTTGCCCGAAGGCCTTCCGGCTGGCACGCCTGATCTTGCGGATGTCGGTCGCTTCGTGGAGTTTCGGAGAGGAGGATACTCGAGGGACGGATCTTTTCGTACAAGGCCGCTTAGCCCATCTCCGGGGAGAATAGCGGCATCATCTACGTCAAATGGCGTTCCAGCTGCGGGGAACGACAAGGTAGACCCGAGTCAAGGTCTTTCAGCAGACGAGGCCGCCAATCCACAGACACCACGGAGGCAAGCCAACAACCAATTCCTAAGTCCTGAGCGAGCCAAAAACTCGGGAAGCCCTTTAAAGCTCTTTGACGCGCATGATACCTTTACAAGCAACCGACTGCAGCGACGACTCAGTCAGCTCGAGTACAAGTCCGACAAAACCGCATCCAGCAGCGTAAAGGAAAGCAAGGTGGAGATGGTCAAAGTGGTACAAAAGACATCGAGGCTGACTTCGGTCGAAGAGATCAGTTTCCAGAATGGGGGTCAACAAACTACAGCCGAGTGTCCACCCCAGGGAGCTCATAGAGCGGATACATTTGGCCGAGGGCAACTCAACGAGTATCAATTTTCAGGCGATTTCACTGTTCTTTCTTCTGACTTCGACACACAAGACGATAGTGCGCCAGACGGATCGCCATCAATGGATGTTGCACCCCCTGGGAGTCGACAACCTCTCACGTTCCATCTTGATGGTTCGCCTACATCAAGAGAACCATCTATGGCCAGAAGGCAAGGGTCAGGGTCGGTAGCTAATCCTTTCAGATCTGTGAGTCGACCAAAGTTCCATCCACATCGGAAGTCATCAACTCCCAAGCTACAAGAACAACCTGAGGTTGTCCACGAGTACGTTGACGGAAAGAGAGGCCCGACCTCGCCTTTCAAGAACCCAACACCTAAGCGTCGACGGACGATACAATCGATAGACGAGGATGAGGACGACAGGGACGAGGAAGATGTATTTAGCGATCATGGGCTCGGAACTGTACACCACTCACATGCAGTCATACAGTCAATCGTCGGTCGAAAACGTCAGGATGCCCGCCATGTCTCTTCTAACAATGTTGCAAATCCTGAAACTCTGGCTCGACGGCACATTCTTAGGCCTCGTAATCCTACGCCTAGTCAGCGAAGGCGAGACGAAATCCACGCAGAAATTATGGAGGCTACGGAGGCCTTCATCCTGTCTTCGCCGAAGTTGAACACGATCCGTGAACACGTAGAACCTTCCATTACGGCTGACCCCCAATCCGAGCAAGCGAGAGCAGTCGTGGTTGCAAAAGAAGTCGCCGCTTTCAGCATCAAGAAGCAACATGCCATGCGCGAACAAATCCGCAAACGATCTGTCACAACCCAAGACTTCCTTGATGAAGCCCTCAAGATCATGGATTTCATTCGTACGAAAGGTCGACCTACCAGCGGATTAGGTAGCCTTGAAGAAACGGAGGCCGAGTCTGAGCTAGTTGAAGAATCAGTCGAACATCTTTCAAGTTCGCTCACTTTCGAGAGGCCTCCAAGCAGAGAGGGTCGCCTCTCGGCCTGGGCAGAACCCAATAAACATCAACTGGATCCAAACGTCATGAGTCATTTGAGGAAGTACCAGGAGAAGGAAACCGATACTTTCCTAAACTCATCAGTGACTTCACTTCGCTTTGCTCGTATAAGCGGATCCGCGAACCCAGAAGGAGAAAGTGTAGTGATTGAGCAAGACGATATCCGCATTACGGATAACCCGAACCGGTACTCTCGGACAATTGACGGTGAAGACATCAGCTCCCAACCTCGCACGTGTGGAACGCAGCATTCTATGGGTTCTTCACTCGGCCATACGATTGCCACGAACGCTTCTCGCCGCTCTGATCATGTCGCCACCCTTGCGCCAGAAGCCGTTGCACATTTGATCCCGCACGAAGTTGCAGGTATGAGCTTCGATCGGGAGAAGAACATTTGGGTTCGTCAAAAAAGCCCATCAAAAGAGCATCGTTGTGAAGAGAATCGTGAAGAGGAGGACCAGAGCGGTATGCTCGAGAGCGAAGAAGATCCTTTAGGCAATATCCCCGATTTGACTGTGGATGAGATGAACGAGCAGGAGGTTAAGACAGGCTCACCCGCACGCCCACAACCAACCTCGGAGACTATCCTAGAAGAGACAGAAGATGGTGTGCAAGAAGAAGAAGAAGAACGTCCAGTCACCCGTGAAGGCCATGGTACTGCGTATACTGACGTAAGCTCAGCTCCATCGAAAGCATCTAACTTTGGCTGGAGCTACCCAAAGACTGAAACACGTGCCACATCCTGGAGTACACAAGGCCCACGGAAGTGGAGCACACAGAAAACGGCCCATGTACAAACTACCTACGCCATCCCCGAATCAGATGAGGATGACATTGAGCACGAGATCAAGTACTTTGAGGGACGTGACCACGCACCGCCAAACGTACGACACCCGCGAGTGCGCGACATCACGATTTCATTCGCAGAACGGAAGGCTCGGGAATCAGAGCGTCAACCTGCCGCTACTCCACAGAAGTTTGGCCAGAGTCAGTGGATAGAGTCAAATGCTCAGCAGAAATCTCATAGGAAGCAATCGAGCCGAGAGCAAATGCACGTTGCAAAAGCGCTCCCTCATGCGCAATCTAGTCGAATCCCCAAGTTCACTGGGGAAGGTGACTTGTCGCTTTTGGAAGACGCGCCCTCTAAGAACTATCGAATGCAGCTAGCAATGAGTGTCTCAGCACCTGTTCTTGGACTCGGCAAGAAAGACGTACTGGCCACTGCCCCATCGTCACCGGTAAAGGGCGACTTAACATTCATGCTTAGTGACCTCCCTGAGTTCACGCTACACCAAGTGGATGAGTGCGAATTGCCAGACCGCATGATCGTCAAACATGATGGCACTCGGTTCTCCAAAGCCCTGGAAGATCGCTACGCACAAAGTACCGCTGACCTAGTAAAAGCGTTGCAAGATGTTGAGCCGGACGAACCATTCTGGGAAGACCTTCGCCAAGTGGATCTTCATGGCAATGCCCTCAGCTCTCTGCACCGCCTTGATGAGCTGTGCTATCAACTCGAGGAGCTCAATGTGTCCGACAACCAAATCAGCCAAGTAAAAGGGATTCCCTACTCCATGCGGCGACTGCGAGCACAGAACAATTGCCTTACTGGACTTACTTCCTGGACGACACTCACGAACCTGCAACATCTCGACATATCTAGCAACGACATCGATTGTCTAGATGGACTCGCCGAGTTAGTACACCTTCGAGTGCTAAAGGTCGATGACAACAAGATCAAGTCTTTGAACGGGATTCTGCATCTCGATGGCTTGATGGAACTGAGTGCTGGGGGCAATAATATCGAAATGGTAGACTTTGGCCGAGCTAATATGTAAGTATCGGCATTCCCCATCACAGATGTTGTTTGGTAACTTGTGTCATAGGAAGAGTCTCACTGATCTTGATCTGCGACGAAATCGGCTCTTCGAGGTTCGAAACCTGCATTGCCTGGCACAGCTTCAGCATCTCAACCTTGGTACGTCTAGATCTATCTTCCTTGTCAACTCCAACGGTATCTAACCACAAGCAGATGACAATGAGATCGAAGAGTTTCCCTTCTTCGATGTGCCTGCCAAACCGTGCAGTTCGTTACGATCGATTCGTCTCTGCAGGAACGGAACGGCATTGCTTGACGTCGATAGGCACTTCCCGAAGCTCGAGTCTTTGTACGTTGATGGTAACTCTCTAACGCAGGTATCCGGCCTCGAGCATCTTCGTTATCTCCGTACTTTTTCGGCTAGAGAACAGGTGTTGGGCACTGATTCAGACACCGAGATTTGTGTTAGCAACCTGGTTAGAAATTCCGAAATTCGCAGTCTCTACCTCTCCCTAAATCCAACGCATGGGCTCGACCTCTCGCAACATCTCCACAGTCTTCAGCGACTGGAGCTTGCTTCCATGGGTCTGAAGGAGCTACCAAACAACTTTGGACAATTGACCCCAAACATCCGGTCTATCAACCTAAACTTCAACTCCATCAAGGATCTAAGGCCACTCCTAAATATCAAACGGCTGAGTGAACTTCTCCTAGCTGGCAATAAGCTCGAACGTTTGCGCGCAAATGCGATGGTGTTGGGGAAATTAGAGACCCTTACACGGCTTGATTGGCGCGACAACCCCCTCACTCTACGTTTCTATGCTCCAGCATCTGAAAACCGTGTCATGTCACTTCGGCAGAAGCCATCCAAAGAGCAGCTTACGGACCGCTTTGTGCTACCGAATGGAGATGTGGAAGGGGACAGCCAACACCTCTCGCGACTGGATTACGAGACGCGCATTAGGCGGCGCGTCACCGAGATGATGCTGGCAAACTTTTGCAAGAATCTGAGGGAGCTGGATGGATTGCCATTCGATAAAGCGCGGGTTCTTGTCAAGGATGATGTTTGGGAGCGACTGATGTTCTTGGGCATTATACAGCGCAAACAGCCGGAGAAGGCCGACGAGAAGACCGGGTAGGGAAAACGCGATAATGCTTTTAAGATTTTCAAGGAAAAGGGGAGATCTGCTCTGCTGGCGCGCATGCGGTCGCATGTCGTCTTTTAGCAGTTCGGATCAATTTGGCGTCTTGTGTACTGTCCTAGCTGGATGCATTTGCATGCTCCGGCGTTATATTTGGAGTCTCGTTGCTTTCGGTGGAGCATCTGCTATGTGGGCATTTTTAGGCGCAACTTCGTTAGACGCGCGATTGAGCGACGTGGGGTAGCTTGACCTCTGTGTATGACTTGACGAACTGTATTGGTAATGAATAAATCTCGCACATCTTAAATGCCTGAAATATCTGGTCTGCGTGGTGCTCCTTGTGAAAGAGCACACCTGATGCCATTGGGTTACTAACCTATGCCATCGCCCCCGCGGTGTAGATTGATGATTTCAAGGGAGCGGTCCGTGCGTTGCATATCCTAAATGCCCTCCCACCGCCGTGGCATGCAACGATCAGCCCACCTTTCTCTTCAGCTCGATATGATCTCCAGCAACCTTATCTTCAACTATGACCACCAAATCTGAGGAAGAGCGGGCGGTGCAGCTGGCACAGAAGGCGCGTGAAAGCACGAAAGCGGGCGAATTGGCTAGTGCAGCGAGGTACCTGCGAGAAGCTAGTACCATCGCCCCAGACCATCCGCAAATCAAAGACGCATGGGAACAGTTGCGGCAAGAAGAAGAGAAGAGCGAGCTGTTGTCGATTTGCAAGGTCTGGGTCAGGAGCAAAGACGAACACGATGGCGAAAAGGCGCTTCAAACGATGAAGTCGCATGGCTTGAAGCGGAAAGAGGCTGAACAGGCAATGGAAGTACTATTCGACTTCAAAGGCGAAGACGACATCCTGGATCAAGTAACTGGTGAACTGCTGCAGAATCCCGGTGCGCAAGCCTGGCTTGCGAACGCGGTACAGGAACAGCCGACACGCATCTACTATGAGCTGTTTGAGCGAGGAGATGATTCGATCGATGGACTACTCAAGGTACTGCTTAATAGAGCCGTTTGGCCAGACGACGAAGCGTTCAAGACTGGACACAGAGACATTTTCATGCTCAGTCTTGCCATGATGATGGAGGAAGCGCTTGAACACCCGGAGCGAGCGATGAAAGGCATTGCGCAGCTGCTAGCTCATTACGCCGAGCATCTCAAGGGCATCATCGATGCAGATAGCTTCGATGTCATTCTCACATCGCTTGATATTCGACTGCCAGCTAGCTTGCGCAGTCAGGCGACGCTCGCGAGTATCAAGCTGTTCGAACTTGCGCCGGACACTGCCGGGGAGTTGATATCGAAGTTTGTTACGTACCGGGCGAGGAAGGGCGAGGCGAATAATCTGGTCATTGCGTTCTCGGCGGCGACGGCAATCTTCCCAGTTGCTGTTACGGCTGCAGCTACGCTGTTCCTTACGGAGGGGTTTGTCAGCTCACTTGTGCCTATGGTGGAGAGCAAGAAATCGCACAAGCTTGAGCAAGCGACGTTAGAGCTTGTCAGCGCTGCGTGTGTAGACAAGAATTGCCGAGATGCGATCAATCGAAATTGCAGAGAGTGGCTGGAGAGTTTGGTCGCGGAGAGTCAGGATCAGAAGCGTGCAAACCTTGCTGCACTCGTTCTCGTCAAGATAGGCGAAGAGCAAGCTCCTAAAGATGGCCCACAGATTGTCACACCTGGAAAGGTCGACCAGAGCGACTTGATCGCAAGCTTCAAATCCATGGTCATAGGAGGTGACGCCTCGTCCAAACAGGACTCCGTCGAAGGTCTCGCGTATGCTTCTCTTCAAGCTAAGGTCCGGGAGGATCTATCAAAGTCTCCAAAGTTCCTTAAACGCCTTATCAAGACAATGAGCGACACTTCAACCCCAGCAAACATTCTCTTCGGTGGCCTTACTATATTTGTCAACATCACAAATTACCTACCTATCCAGTCTGAGGAAGAGAAACGCATGGCCCAGCTAAAGGCATATGCCAACGTCCAAAAGCCATCAGCGCCCGATGAGCTCTTGAGCGAAGAACATGCGAGCATACGTTGTAAACGCATGCTCGATGCAGGAGTCGTACCACTACTCGTGCAGATCTGCAAGAGAGGCACGCCCTCAATTCTTACACAGAGCTCTCAAATACTACTAAGTCTGAGCAAGGAGTCCAAGAATCGAGGAACAATGGCACAGCAAGGTGCCGTAAAACTTCTCGTACAAGTTTGGGACCATATATCCTCGACAAACTCGTCTTCGACAACGGGTACAACGCCTTTCCCACCCGCTGCGCTTCCCACAGCTGCGCAAGCGCTGTCTCGCCTCCTCATCAGTATAAACCCTACGCATGTCTTCAACGCCTCCTTGCCAAGTACATCGGCGATCCGACCGCTCATCAGCCAGCTGGCACGCACCGAGTCCTCAACATGGCAGCTCAACGCCTTCGAAGCGCTGCTCGCCCTCACGAATTTAGCTTCCCTTGACCGCGCAACACAAGACCACATTATACGGCAGTCGTTCGATCAAGTCATTGACGACCTACTCCTCAGTCAAAACTCCATGATACGGCGCGCAGCAACAGAACTGCTATGCAATCTCATGGCCTCACCCGTCTGCATTCAGCACTTTGCAGATAGCAGCACACCACGCTCAAAGCACAGACTGCACCTCCTCCTTGCCATGACCGACGTAGACGATGCGCCGACACGATCGGCCGCTGGGGGTGCACTAGCCATGTTACTCTCCGTCGACCTCGCTGTTCACGAGCTGCTCAAGCAGGAGAAAGGTATAGAATTCTTGCTGGGCTTGTGCCAAGATGAAGACGATGATATCAGGCATAGAGGCGTAGTGTGCCTGAGGAGCGTGGTAGATGTTGAAGAAGGCGCAGAGGCGTGTAAGCGGAAGGGAGTGATTGAGACGCTAAGGGTGGTGTTGAAGGAGACTCATAGCCCGGAAGTGTTGGGCGTTGGAGTCGAGACGTTGAAGATTCTGCTGGGTCAGTAGGGCAGGTTCGGTGTGAAATATTGTACAGGCGGGTTTTTTTGAGCGACTCTACTAGAATGATAGACAATGATAATGTACGTTACGATAAAGCAGGAGCTGTGGGAAATGTTATGACGTTCAGCCCACGCTTATGTGCCCCACTTTTGATTTTGCGGAACGGTCTTCGCTTAGAACACCTGCACACAAGCGGTGCACCTCGAGACAACAGAGAGAGATGATAATGCATTTTTCACCTGCTATATATTCCTATTAATCCTAAATTTTGCCACCTGTAACGGGTCTTCACCAGAAGGTTTTCCGTCATCCCCACACACCTCCCTGTCACCACCTCAGTAGGAGCCCAGTTCGAGTCTCGTGGTGTTCAACTTCACTCACTCGGGTAACCAGTGATGCTGGATGAACCTAAGCAATGAATGCAATCTGATGAGGGAAGAAATTCTGCAATCGGGCATTCACCACGGGACGGCGGTGCTGGACTACTCCCATTGGGGTTGGGGGGCGCGTGGCGGGCTGGGCGATCAACTGGTATTTTGTTTTTGTCTTTTTGCTTTTATCTGTGTTTTTATTTACTTCGTTCAGCACGCACACTGTGAATTAGTCAACACATAACACAGGTGCTGAAGTTAACAGGCTTAAACATGTTTACTTAAGTCGAGAGAGAGCAAAGACAGTAGTAGTATTCAACAGAGCTACACAAAATGTACAAGATCAGCGCCAGAAGTATGCACACCATAGATGCAGACCCAAAAAGCAATGCACGCTTTCATGATCCGTAAACAAAACAAAAAGATTCACCACAGTATGCCTACTTATACAGCGACACCCCTTCTCTTCCACCCGCCAGGCCCTCTCCAAGCCCAAACCCAGAGCCCCATGGCAACCCACACGCTGATGGCCATGGCCCAGAATGTCGACGCATAGCAGGCCTTGCCATGACACAGTACATTCTCGGGGTCCCCCTCAATTAATGCAGCGCTATCCGCAGCCCTTTGGTAAACGGTAGCGTAAATGGCGCCCCAGAGCGTCGCTCCAACAGCAGGCGTCATGGCAAGTATGCCCCAGTTGGTGCCGAAGTTTTCAACGCCCCATACGACCGAGACGACAATGGGCGTGAGCGAGAAAACGGCGCCATAACCTGCGCCGATAAGGGCTGAGACAGCGGCGAAGCGGGGCGCGTGGTTTTGCACCCAACCGCTGGCAAGAAGCAGTTGACCCAAGGAGAGTATGAAGGCGAATGTCAACAGGAACGTCATGCGAGAGACGGTGAATAGTTTTTGCGGGCGGTCGAGTGGTGGTAAAGATGAAAACGAGTTCGCAATCGAGTCAGGGCCGCGGCGGTGTTGGTGCGTAACAGAGGTGGGTGCGAGCACGTCGGACAGTGTGCCGGTTATCAAGCGAGCGAGGGTAGATGTTATGGCTACAATGGAGACATGCGTTGCTGGCGATGTATTGGTAGCGACGTGCGGAGGCGTGAGGGTGTCGATGATGGTTCCAAGATTGTTGATGAAGGCTTCGCCAGGGCCGGTGACGAGAAAGAAGCCTCCTGCCAGCCACCACATTGTCGGGTCCATGATATACCGGCGAGTCTCCTCGTTCAGCAGCCATGTCTTCTTCCGCGCCTCCTCTTCCGCCTTCGCTTTCAGACGTTCCGCTTCGGACTGCAGGAAATCGAAGGTCGAGTCAGAGAGGTCATGGGTCGCCATGGTGCCGTAACCGTGATGATTGGCAGCCTGCGAGAAGAACTCGTCCTGGGCGAGGAGACCAGACCTCTCCAACTCATCGACAGCCTCGTCTATCATCTCTTCCTCGTCCATGATGCACAACGCAAAGAAGCCGACGGCACCTACGGCGAGTAGCAGGATGGCCAAGAACAGGAAGAAGCGAAACACGTCCACGTCGCCTTTGCTTCCGTCGGGCTTCTTCTCATACAGCAGCCGACTTCCCACCTGGCTCTGCCACATGCCGCTTAGACCAAAGGCAGCAATGGGTACTGCGAGTGCGATGCCCTTTGCGTTTCCGCGGCCAAAATTCTTGGCGCACGTCGTCACGGCGGACAGATACATGCAGCTTGTACCCATGCCAATGGCGGCAAATGCCAGGACCATGACGCCAAACGGCCAGCCATGGCCTCCTGCAGACGGGGGAGGCCCGCTTTTGTAGGTGAACGCAGCAAGCAAGTAGCCAAAGCCGAAGAGGAGTCCAGAAAGCGCGGAGGGGAAGCCTGGTCCAAGGCGGTCGCAGAGGTATCCGAATAGCGGGACGAGGAGGTAGAGGCCCAGCTCTGCCCCGATGGAGACAATGTTGACCTGGACTTGGGTGTAGTGCAGCCTCGACTGGAACAGATGGCCATACAGCGAGTATGCGGTGATGCTACCAGCGCAGAGGCAGTTGACAATGGCCCAGACGAAGCTCAACCAGCGCACGAAGACGCGCTGCAGCCTCTCACGGTCGCGCTCCATGATGCCCTCGGCAACCTGGTCGAAGAAGCTGCCGGCGGAGCTCGTGTCCTGGCTGTGGCGGGTGAATTCGGCGTCGTCGCTGTCGGGGCCTAGTAGAGGGCGTCGCGGCGAGTTGGGTGGTAGGTAGTCGAGCTTGTCGATGGCATTGGCGCTGTTTCGCTTCGAGGATGCAGGTGATGGCGACATGGCAGGCCAGGCTCGTACCGGTACCTAGGTGACGTGTGACAGGGTGGCGTAGCTTTAGAGTTTCATGGCTGTCGGTGGTGCTAGGAATATATGCCCGAAAGCGAGAAGGAGGGACGGTTCCACGACGGTACAGAGAAGAGAGAAATGAGAAATGAGAGTGAGGCTCGGGGGCGGTCAAGGAGACAGACAGCCAGCCAGCACTTGGACTGCAGGATGGTGTTGTCGACGCCTTGCCCGCCTTGCCCGCCGCGCCGCCCGCAGCGAGTGACGCTGCACCCGCCAATCGCCGAGGCCCGCTAGTCTGACCCGCGAAACAAAAGCTCACGAAGAAACGGAAGAGCAGCAAACACGTCGTCGTCGTCGTCGTCGTCGCCCACCCACTACCCGCTCGCAACGGCACGCAAACACAATGGCCCCCCAGCAGGCTGCCGTCGTCAATCTCTCGCCCGCTGAGCTGTCGTTCCTGCGATCAACCCTCTCGCAGACGCCGCCTATCCGCCTCGATGTCACCAAAGGCCCCCGCGACTTTCGCTCCATGCGCGCAGAGTATGACGTCCTGCCCAGTGCCAACGGCAGTGCGCGCATCGCCCTCGAGGACGGCACTGAGGCGCTCGTAGGCGTCAAGGCAGAGGTGGAGAAATCCCCGCAGCGCCCAACCCTGGGAGCAGCAGCGCGCGAGGATGTACAAATGGGAGATGGCGAAGAGACAGACGAAAGCAAAGGCAAGGGACAGAACGCGTGGGTCGAGATGAGCGTCGAAGTCCCAGGCTTCCGCGACGACGATGCGCTGCCCGTGTTCCTCGCATCTATGCTCACCGAGAGCTTGCTAGCGAGCGGGGAGCTCAGAGACAGGCTGTACATCAACACACGGTTCCACTGGAAGCTCTACGTCGACGTAAGCTGCCATGTCTATCACATCTGAGGAGGCTTCACTGACACTGCATAGATCCTGCTCCTCTCGCCACCCCTCTCCTACCCGCTCGCCCTCCTCTCCATGGCCACCCACCTTGCCCTCCTTACTACCCATCTCCCTGCCCTCAAATCAGAGAAAGACGAAGACCCCCTGTTCGACGACGACTGGGACGCCGCCGTACCGCTATACCCTAAGAACATCACTAAGGCCACCAACGCTTCACAGATCGGCAAGCCCCCAGTCATCATACTGGCCATGGCAGTAGGACCCAACATCATCTTCGATCCTTGCAAAGAAGAGCTTGCAGTGGCAGATGCCGTTCTCGCAATCGCCTGCACCAACTCCACATCGTCCCCCACAGTTGCGCGAATTGTGGCAATACGGACAATCGACCCTCCCTCCCATCTCACTCCGCCAGGCGTGCCAAACTCGATGAATTCAGCCACTGGTGGTACAGTGCCCACGTCAAGCGCTGACGCCTTGACACAACGGGAGTTGTTAGCGAACTCGGGCGTTTGGACGCCACCGCGGGGTGGTATGAAGCGGGGTCTCATCTCGCAGGTTACCAAAATGGTGGTGGAAAAGGGTGGGGTCGCTGAGGAGGTCATCAGCGCATTGGCTGCGATCGAGGTTGGCTGAAGAGAAGGTGCATTGAATGAACAGCAAACGATGCTCGTGGAAGCTCGAAATGGCAGCCTCGAAACACAACTACCTCAACGTCGAGCCGACTCTGCTCTTCGAGTTGAGATGTGCCCTGACCTAGCAAGGCCTGCGTCTACGATAAACAAAAAAGCAGCCTCACAGTCATGCAACGAGTTGAAGATGAAACGAGCGTCAGCCAGAAGATACATCTTTCGATGACTGACTTGCTCGCCCTTTGTAGACTATTTATGTATGATTTGGGCAAGATGAATAGTCGCACCATGAAACGAATCCGACAAGCTTAAACTCCTCATTCCTCAATTCCTCTTCTCTAATTGTCTACCCAACAAACACTTTTAAGCACAACCCTCGTATGCTCGGCATTGCACTTTCAGCAAGGCTTTCGTGGTACTCCCTACCATCCTTGCGTCACATTGTGACAGCAAATACAAAGTCCCGCAACAGGACGCACGCAAACAACCACCATCTTCACCCAGTGTCGACGATTAACCACCCCGTGCTTCGCTCTCTAGCTGCTCATCCCTCGAATGATCGAAGTAGGCGCGTCATTCGCCCATTAACACATACTACTGTAAAATACGTCCAACACGTGGAAAAAAAACCACCAACTTACACTTATACTTACACTTACACTTACTTCCATGCTGGACCATGGCATGTCGACGTCATGTGTCATGTCTCACTTGCTAGGCTCTCAGCCTCACTTCCACGCCCAACCTTCTATACCGCAGCCCATTCATCCATGACCCGAAACAAATCCCCCAACCTAATCCCATCCTCACCCCCAGACACACGCAAGACGCGATACACAGTCCTCGTCTTGCCATGCCGCAGCCGTAGCTCTCTCAACGGCGGCATAGCAACCAGCATATTCCGCCACGAACCCGCTCCAGCACCCTCTTCTCCCGCCTCCACTACATGGCTCTTGAAGTCACTTCGCTGTAGATAAGAATTCACATCCATGATAATCGGATGAAAAACAATCTCACTGCTCGTCCGGATAAGGCCCATACAGCGCCTCGTCATGGTGAAATCCTTCCGTACCCCCAGCGTAAACCGACTACCTATAGGCTGTGGACCAGACACGACCGACCGGACCGAAATGTCAAAGTCGAACTCAAACGTCGCGGGCACGCAGCTGTAAATCTGCAGACTGCGGCTGGGCTTCAAGTACAGCGCTTCCTGGAGTAAAGGCGAATCCCCCGGAACGAGGTCCCGCCAGAGCTTGCACACGCGCTGGCATCGCAGGATCGACCAGAAATCCAGGAAGAGGAAAATGTGCTGCTGCACTTCAATGGGGAGGTCGTCGATGCCTGTTCGCGGCGGCCGGGGTGAGGCTGTGAGCATGTGCCGCAGTTTGTCGGTGTAGCTGGCACTGCTGCTTCTCCGCTCATCTCGGGAGGGCCCTCTGATGTGGAGAGTGTCGTGCTCCCGGCTGGGGGCGCGGTTATGCTGGTGGTGGGCTGATACTCGCTTCGTTGTCTCCTTGAGTTTGTCGGAGAAGCGTGCAAATGCAGAGGCGTGCGGTTGGCGTTGATGATCCATCCTTGAGTAAGACCAGTAAGTCTGGAGTCTCTTTTTTTATTTGTTTATCAGGTGATCAAAGGCGTGAAAGTCGTGTGAAGCGGATCCGCGGTGGTGTAAGGTTTGGATGACGCAGTGGTTTTCAGCCTTGTGGAAATTGGAATGGTGCAATCAATCAGATCATGGGTCGAATGGACAGTGTTCTCTTCACAAGCAGTTAACAAACTCGTGCAATACGATTGGGACTCCCTCCGAATGAAGCCTGGAGGGTGGGGTGGCTGTCGGAGGAGTGTTGAGAGGATTCAGCCGACGTGTCATTCACACTAGCCCGATAGAGCTGAGCATGAAGCTACTCGCAATCAAGGGCTGAGGTTAGGGGATGTCATTTCATTAAACATACATAGCCCGGTTTCGATGCTGTTCCTAGATTGCTATCGACGTCTACGTGGGGTATCTCAATACTTCTGATGCGGCCAAATAACGCTTTATTTATGCTCCCAGTGTCTACTAATAATCATTCCTTCAGGATATGCACTAGCCTTCCTATTTCGCTTTTCACCTGTTCACAATTCAGCCGCTTCTGCTCGTCCAGTTGCACCATATCACCTATGAGTTGCTGCACGCTGTTGCCCATATCCCCAAATTCAGATGCAAACCCGTCTGGGAAGTCTCCTCGTCGAAGGTTTGTCAGAGCTGCGACGCGCTCCATCCTAGTTCCAAACTTATGTAGCATCTCGAACCCAACAACGCCCAGGGCGAAGACATCGAGCTTCTCGCTAACGCCTCTAGTCATTTGTGGCCGGTAGAACTCAGTACCGACTGGTTTCGTTTCGGTGTCTGCACCCACGCATTCGTCGCTCAGCGCTGCGACGAGGCCGAAATCGCCAATGCGTGGTGTCACATGCAAGCAGTCCCGCTTCGGACACGACGTGCACGTCGACAAGTCAACAGAACCATAAGGTGGATGCCGATCTGTTGAGAGTGACAGGAAGACATTCGCGGGCTTCAAATCCCGATGAACAACACCGCGTGAGTGTAGATACTCCACGCCCGAGACGATATTTTTCAACATTTCTAGAGAGATACAAGGATGAAAGCAGTGTCTGTCGAGAGGTTGAACGTCGGAGAATGATTGCTCGGAGGATAAAAATGCTGAGAGGTTGGTCTCGCAAAGGCTCATCTGGACATTGAGCGTCAAAATCGGTCCGGAACTACGGGTTGGGATCATGTGGCCGGGCATGTCGCTATGTGAAACCATGCTCTCTGACTTGTCGGAAGAGAGCTCCTGTGAGTATGGCATATGTGATCGGGGAATCGTCTCGATATCCTCATCCGCGAAGTCTTCGTCGACATCCTCCACCGCGCTCATCCGGGACTTCGTCGATGATACAGTTGCAATGGTTGCCTGACTCGCTTGGCTACCCCGTCGAGTTTTGCGTTTAGCGCTTCTCATTTTTTCTTTCAAGGAGAGATTATCCAGTTCGCTCTTAGACTCTTCGGCGCCCATTCCATTGTCGCTGGTCTCGAAAACAATATCAGCACTATAGCCGTTATCTGGCCTACCAAGCGAATCGTCAAATGAGAGACTACCAAACTGTGATGGCAGGCCAGCCACGTCGGCTGGGCTAGAAGAGAACGCGCCTGCACCTTCAAGCAACCGATCATCTCGTAAAACAGTTAACGTGGGTACGATAGGCGCTTCCGCTGGGGCCGTAGTGAACTCCAGCCAGGCGTTGTGGTATCGAATGATATTATTGTGATCGAAACGAGCAAGTGAACGCACTTCTTCCAGCATGCTCTCCAGTTCCTGCGGTCCATGCTCTTGGATTTTTGCTAGCTTGGCAGGGCTCACTGGAATACGCTTGACGGCATAGAAAGAGCCATCAAGCTTGTGTTTGGCTTTGAAAACCTTTCCGTAGCCGCCCTTGCCCACAACTGCAAGCTCAGAAAATTCTCGAACATACCGATCAGTCTGAAGACCTGGGTAACCGCGGAGATGTAGCTCGGTTGGCGCAGAGAGACCTGACAGAATTTCGAAATCGGCTGGTAGTTGCTGTGGTATTTCCATTTTCATGCCGTTCAGTGGGGGTCGAGCTACTATAGCCTGGGAAGCTCCTTCTGGGACCACGGAGAGCATGCTGAGGTTGCTCTTGGTAAGCTTGCTGATTCCCTCATTCGCGGTAGCTCGGTGGTCTTGCATCTCGTCGCTTGCATACATGTCGTCCACGTTGTTAGAGATTTGTCGGGCGATTTGTTGGTAAGCCTCGCGGCCCAACCTCTGAACCTCCGGATCAGAAGGATCTTTCCCCAATTGATCTGCTATTTGCCTCACAGTCCTCTCCTCCAGCAACGCATGAAGCATCAAGTCGCGAACGTTTTGTGCCGAGCTCTGCCGCATGTCCAGACGAGGCGGGGTTTGTCTTACGGTAGACCCTCCAGGTGACGCCGAATCTAGGGTGTTAATCCTGGAGAGAACACTATCTTGCTGCGACACGCTAGCCTCATTTTCATCGGTTTGATCCAAGGATGCCTCTGAAGACGAAGACGAAGACGAAGACGAATCGCCAGGCCTGCGAAACATGGACATCGCGGCGCGGAAAGGAGTTGGTTGAGAGACCGAAGTGACAATTGGCTACACGTGCTGCAAGAACGGCCTAGAGCCGGTTGATTGCCTCGAGAATCATCCAGGGGTCCTCAGACGGAAAACAGGTAAGTCAAGTTGATGTTGTGTCTTGCTTGTGTAGCTGCAACAACGGTCGAATACCAATTCGGCGTCGGCAGCGATAACGGGAAGGCCGCCATCCGTACACTGTGTAGCAAACAGCGTTCAGGCAAACACAGAACGGAGCAGAAACTGATAGAAGCGAAACGTGGCCCTTGACTCCAGACGGAGCAGAGTGGAAGGTTCGTCGAGATCGGAAGCACAGGGCGCGCTAAGCGAAAGCAATCTAGGCAGAACTTGGATAGCGCCATCTCCGACACGTGAACGCCCGCCATTCACATTCGCGTGCACGTTCTCGATGCTTTTGGACGCAGCGCGAGCGCGCGACAAGGTACCGGCCTCACAGCGCAGCTCAAGACAAGTACAATGTCGCGAATCAGACTCTCTTTATACCTACAACTTCCGCCAATAAACTACTGACACGCACACTTTACAACATCATGCCACGACAATTACCTTGGTTAAACAAAGGCAGCGGAAGCAGTGCACAAGTAAAGCATCCGCCGAAACCAGTCAAGAAACGAAGCGTCGCGTCTGATATAAATGATGACTTCTTCGATGGCACCGTTTTAGCAAGCTCTAGCAAAGGCAAGGGAAGAGCAGTGCCTGACGAAGTCGCATCAGATGACGACCTACCCGATCTTCCAACAGAACCTTCAACATCACACAGGAACTCGACGACTAACAATGGGGTGCATAAGAAGAGAGCACCATCTTCATCACCACCTCCGATGGCAGACCTGGAACAACCACAGATCGAATCTATGGACAAGGGCCTCTCCAAATTCGATTTACGCGATGATGAGTGGATGATGGTTGAGGATGAGTTCCTGGAAACCGCAAAGCTCTTCACGCGACATCTCCATATTGCGGAGTATGAGCGGCTGAAAGAAAGGATCGAAGAGAAGAAGAAGGAAGCAGAGGTGGCAAGGCCAGTAGTTGCCGATGCGAAGTTGTCTGTCGAGGGTGCGATGAAAGAGAAGGCCAAGGTGCAGGAGAAGAAACAGAGGAAGGCCATTCGAGATGTATTCGCGTCTCAGGACGATGAAGATGAAGACGCAGATAATAATAGAGCATCCATGGGCCCCCCACCAAGAGCGGTTACCTCTTTCCTCTCTGGTTCACGACGAGCGCCACCAAATACGTCGAAATCAACATCAAATTCATACGCAGCACGCGATTCTGATAGCGACGATTTAGACGCTCCACAACGCCCAGTAAAGCTTACACCGGCCCCAAGGGCAACAGCCACTACTGCCCCAGCGCCGATCCGTCACACAGCCGCAACATTAAAATCTGCCTCGTCAAGCCTGGCCAACACGAATGCAACTGCATCCTTCGCCAAGCCTGCACCTCCCCTGCCAACTGCGAAACCGCGCTCAAGAATAAGTCGCGCAACGCCCTTCGATATGCTAGACGACTACACCCCACGAAAGACACATACATCACCCAAACCTGCACCGAATCAACGCGCATCATTGTCATCAGAGAAATCCCCGCAATCTCCATCGCCTGCTAAGCATTCGACTGCATTGGATTCGGTCAAGAGTGGCAAGGGGGCACGATCAGTGGATCTTTTCGACGATTGGGGTCCTGGCAAGAAGCACGCAAGCAGCAGTGTAAGCAAAGGATCTACGGATCAACATACGAAGCGGAAGTCGCAGAGGGAGAAAGAGGACAATGACGAAGAGAAGAGGCGTAAACTCGTGAAGCTCGACGATATTCCTACTTTTTTGTTTTGAGTTAAATCTACCTGTATGGTGTTTTGGAGTTCTGGTCAGCGATACCCATATGGATGATAGATAACCGGCTCAGTACGGAGATGGAGACATTATTCTCAATTTCATATTTGAAGCTTTTTTTTATTCTTATGTATGCTAGCTTGAGCATGGTATACATAGGACGAATTTCCATCTCAGTAATGTACAGGAATTGCGGCCCAGATTCAGTATAAACCCATGCTGTACTGTTAAAGTCGTAGCCACATATGTACGAACTTGGCCGCCACCATCACCCCCGAGTATCGCTTTGCAACGGAAGTTTTTCCTAGCCAAACAACTTGTCCAAAACACGGTTGAACATGTTTGGTTCGGGCCTCTCCACGAAATCGCGATGGTACTCTTCTATCTCCGCCAGATCGGTAATGAGGTCGACTTCGTGCGGTCGGATCCACTTAGTCTTCTTAAGGATCTTCCAGCCAACGAATAGAATGGGGAAAATAAAGACCCTGTAGAATTCTCAGCTGTTATTTCGGGGAACGAACGCACGGAATTACTCACATGAGATATGAAAACAGAAATGATGTCAGGTCCCATTTTCCCTTTAGAAAGACCGTGTAACCACCAACAAATGTCATGACGAACGTAGTCACGAGTCCGTAGTACGCGGCGTAGGGCTGGAGGATGCCCTTGTATGGCAGTGTGTTTCGATCGAGACCCTGGACCTGGCATGCCTTGTAGAAACGCAAGAATGTGAAGCACATGACGCTATAATTCATGAGTTGCGAGGTTGTCACCAGGCTCACAAACCAGTTCAAGACGACAGCTGAGTTCTCGCCTAGCTGCAGGAAAGAAAGTAGGGAGAGGGCTAGGACGATGGCGACGCAATAAAAAGGTACACCCTGCTTTGTACACTTAGTCAAGACCTTCGGCGCCTTGCCTTCGAGAGCCAGACCAAAGAGGGATCGAGACGCGCAGTACACGTAGGAATTTCCGGCTGAGAAGGCTGAAGCGAGGACTCCGGCGTTGACGACGTGGGGCAACCCTTCAATCCTGAGCCTGTTCATAGCGATAACGTAGGGCGAGGCCGCAGCACCGGGCTTCCCGTCCCTGAAAGCAGCGCGTAGTTCCGGGTCGTTGAACGGGACGTTGATACCGACGGCAAGAGAACCAAGCACAAAGAAGAAGGTCAGACGGTAGAACACAGCGTTATACGCACGGGGCATGACTTTTCGAGGATTTTCTGTCTCTCCCGCCGCCATCGAAACATAGTCCGGACCAGCAATTGTAAAAGAGGCCTGGATGAGGCACTGGAGGAAGCCTAGAAATCGGCCAAGTTGGCCGTTGTAGTGAAGCTCCGTGAACGATCCTGGGTTCTTCCAATAGCGGAATCCGTATCTGTCCTTCTGGGGATTACCACCAAGCATAGAGATGAAGGTGAAGATGAGGAGGCCAATGATAAGCAGCACCTTTCCGATCGCCGCCCAGAATTCAGTCTCGCCGTACCATTTTACGGCCAACAGGTTGATCACACTATGACCATGTTAGCTTCTCTCTTCTACATTATTGAAATCTTATTAGGTCCTAAAGAACAAACCCGTCGCCACCACCCAGCTTGCAGTGCTCCGTCTAGGAACTTCACATAGTTTTGCAACAGATAAATGATATGTGAGAAAAAGAGAGCCTACCCGTAGAGGACAATCACAATCGCAATAATGGCACCAGTTGGTACCACGTTGCTCCAGAAACCGATGATGACATTGCAAGCCACGATTTCGAAGGGCACGAGAGCGGCCTCGAACACGAAGAAGTTCCAGCCGGCAGCCACTCCAAAAGCATCGTCGACGTAGCGGCCAGCGAAGCGAATGAAAGGCGAGGAGATTGGAAGGTAAGTGACCATTTCGGCAATACCTACACTTTATATTAAACTCAAATTCGCATTAGGGTATGAGTTGCTTGGGCGGATCATAGAAGCGCTTTGGCATGGTCGCAATGGGAGGTGTCGCATTGGAATTTGAAAACGGGTTCCTTACTGACGGTCACAGCCAGAATGGCAGTACACCTAGGAGAGTCAGTTCCTTTTCTTACATCGATTTATGACAAGAGTCTTTCGTTGGCGAACAAGTCTACAGCAATGTGAGACTTACCATAGTGAAAATGCGAGGAACAAAGATCCTGGGCCTCCGTTCATTAATCCTCGGCCAATTTGAACGTAAAGGGCCGTGCCAATCGTTCCACCGATTCCAATCAGTTGGATATGTCGACTTCGGAGTTTTCTATGCGTCTGATCAGAAACCTCCCTCACCGACCCCACTACGCTTGGGCGACGAGGGCCGACTGCGAAGTTCTTCTCTTCATCAACCCTGACGTTCCGGGATTTGTCAACGTCATAAGGATGGTGAGTAACGTAGTCATTGCCGGTCGAGGCCATTGTGTCCGAATACGGAGGGTCTTGAGGCCTACCGATCAGAGTATATTTTTGAGGAGGAGCGCAAAGAATTGCACTATAAAGGCCATGTACCAGGGACTGGGATCAACGACGTTTTATAGATAGCAAGTAGGCACTGATCGACGGTCGGCGCGATAAGAAGAGCAAGCAGAGAAAAGGTGCGTGTGGCGTGTCTATAACCCTCAGCAGCTGTTAGCGCAAGTGAGTGAAAAGGTGAGCCCTGCATGAGCCTTTTGCAAGACCAACCTAGCCCGCCTTGATAGCCTGGGCATTCGTATGATTTCCCGCTTCTCGATGTCGTACCAGGCCAAGAGCCAATTGGTGATGGGAGCCATGTAATCAACCCCGGCTCGAGATGCTGCAGGCGCATTTCTTTCGCTCCATCTCTCACTGGCCAAGTGATTGCAATTGCACACCTTTCGGCTGTCGAAACCATGCATTGCGCGTGTGTGCCTCGGGCGGTCGCAACGACCCGATAAATGTGGTGTTGTTGCAAGGGTCGAGGTACCCGTTCCACTAGCCATGTAGAGCAGCTAGCAAGGCGGGGGTGAAGAACAACATCATCGCTCCTCTTACGCTCTGCAAAGGTATTTCTCCCCATTCTTCCAAAATGCGTCGCTTGTGTCGACTTGCTACTTGAAGTTGTCTCCCGCGTGCGCAGCTCATGGGAGAATTCGGTCGCACAGCCGGCGCTCGTCGCGTCGGACACGCCGAATCCTACCCAGACCGAGTAAATTCCCATCCATCTCTTGTCAATGTCTTAGCCCGTAAGCTTCTCCAATGACCGCGCCTGCGTCTTCTTCCTGACGGCTGGAAGCTGCCTTGGCGACTCTGGGCTGTGGGTTGGCCTCAGGCTATGATTCCTCCCCCTTGTCCGCTAGAGGCTTGTCTCCACTACGTAATTCGTCGTTAGCTTGCAGGAGGTGGTCCCAGTCGCTAGAATCCCACTGTCTCCACCAGGCCAGACTAGGGAACAGCTTTCGTCCTGCGAACCGAGATCGACCCTTTGTGTCGGAACGTCTTGTTGCCATTGCCCCGTGGGGACCGTGCTACTCCAGAAACGTCTCTCTACCATGTGACGCTGGAACGTCTCAACATGGCGTGCTGTCATCACCTGAGCAGGCTCTCAGCCTTGGGTTACTTCGCCAGCCTCTTCCTGCAGAAGCGAGGTGAACAGAAGAAAATACCACAATGCGTGGAAAATGCAACCTGGGAATGACCAAGTTTGTGGTTAAATCTGACTCGTGAAATAATATGTAACTAGTGTTATAAACAGTGCAATGATACAAAAGTACGGAGCTTAAGCGAGATGGTAGGTAAAAAAAAAATTGATTAGGTATTATACATGGTCCGACTCGCTGTGCATGCAATTGGACGCCAACACTCCCACGCCGGTACGCCCTAAACAAGAGACCTATTCACCAATCAACTGGCTTCCGCTTGATCGTAGGGCTCGGCGGTATCTCAGGTAGGCTCTCTCGAAGCTCTTTGAATTTCATCGTGTCCGATTCCGACACATGGTTCAGCTCCTCCCTCAGCTTGTCCATGGTCGTCACCTCGCCCAGCCAACGCTCTCCAGTCTTGTGATCAAAGTGCACTGGCTGTATAGGGCCCCCGTATCCTTCCATGCTCTCCAAAGTCGGTGGATATCGAATGGTAGTTTCCCTGCGCTCAAAGCCCTCGTCGGTTATGTATGTTTTGCCCTCTATAACCTCCGGCTCAGTGCGCCATTGGTGTGACATTTTCGGTAATGGTAATGACTTCTGGACAATTTCCCACCATCTGTGCTCGCCTGTGCGTGAGGGAAGCTCATCGGCTGACACTTCTATGAGACCTTCACCATGAGGGTTGGGGATGAAGTGGCGTGGCGGAAGGACTTCGGTGTGATATACGGGTTGTAAACGATGGTAATAGGAGTAGTTGTGAATTTCGCGGTGAATCTTGTGTTGGATGATTTCGTGTTCGTGCGGTTTGATGACCTCATGCGTGACGGCTATAATGCATCAGCCAAGTACAGGTGCATCATGTGTGCTCCCCAGCCCCATGTATTGTGAAGCACGGAGGAGGACGTACCAGGAGCCATTTGAACATGTCGATGCGTGTCTACTGTGTCTCTCAGATCCACTACACCGCCAAGTAGTGCCTGCTGTTGCGCCTTCCAATCTTGTTGACCATCCATACCAGCTGGGTGGACGTTCGTAGCATCACCGCGATGTTTTACTGACATGTCCTGGCGAGTTCGTAATCCCTCTGCTGAGCCTGCTTGGTACTCATCACGTACAGATTGTGCAGGCCAACTGGTCCTCTTTGAAAGACTGTTTGGAGTGTTGTCTCTACTCTCTACATACTTGCCCGTAGATGGACCAGGGGGTACCACGCGAATTGTAGAACCCACTAAGCCGGTGCCTGTGGAGTGGTTTCGAGAACCGTCGTGGTCTGCGTTTGTGTGGTCTAACGAGCCTGTTAGAATTGGGTTTACGTTTGGTCTTGCACTAGTTCCTTATCACACAGCATACGAAATGGGGAAGAAAGTCAAACTTACTTGGTAGCATTGGGAGCGCCTTCCCTTGCCCAGCATCGAGCGGCATACTATATCGATCAATGTTGCGGTCGGCCACCTCCTCTTCGTGTCTCGCACCGCTCTCTCCAGCTATCAGTCGCCTATCGCCACCCAGTGTCATGTGTTGTTCCTTACTTGCGTCTAGGACTGGGAGATAGGCCCTATAGTCGTTCGCGATGGAGGCGTTTGAGTCTGAGGGTTTAGGCTGAGCAAAGGCGACAGCGGCGGATTGTGGTGCAGATGGGCGAGAATCGTAGCCTGAGGTAAGGGGACGACTGCGCCCAGCATGTATAGGGTCCTCTGGGGAGTCGCTTGACGTGGACCAGCCTCGTTCTCTGTGAGAAGAAGTATGCTGCTCGCCACGTGGATCTGCTGCCTCGTAGGATTGCTTCGTCTCGTCTGCGGACGACTGGGCTCTCTTTCGGCCTGAGCTGCCAAGAACCGCTTTCAACTTTCGCTGCATTGACGACTTCCGTAAGGTGTTGGAGTTTCAAGTCGCAATAGTCATGCGGGATATGGACAGGGCAGGAATTAGGGGATTAGGCGGGTCGTATATCGCGTCAAGGCAGGAGAGACCCAAGCAGCCAATGTCGTCAGCGACAAACGCGGTCCGGAAGGTCGCAGACAATAACGCGCCCGGGAGTCTGGCCTTCCTTCCAGCTCTAACCTTGGACGACCATACGCACGGCAAAGAGCAAAAGCAGGGCTAGAGGAAAGGGCTAGAAACGGCCGTGGGACTACAACTACTAGCATTCCAATGAAGCTTTCACGGAGAGGCTGCCTGATGCCGTGACATGGCAAATCTCATGGCTGTGGCTCGTGCTACCAGCGGACAAGCTCAATTGAGCCTGAGGGCGGCGTCGCCGGGCTGCTCCAGACTTCCTCTTTCCCTCGATTTGTCCCCCCCGAACGTCATGCTACTGGCGAATTGGTCACTGCGACTCGTCAATGGCTTATGTGTGGCGCCTCGGGTGACGTATAGGCATTCCTACCGTTGATAGCTCTTTGGCTCGCACAGCGCGCGGCTTTTGGGCGCCGCGGAGCGAAGAACTACGATGCTGTGACGATGGTACGAAATGCGCGAGTGCGAAGTGGAGACAAGGCATGATGACGACAAAGAGGGGGGGGGGGGGGGGGGGGGGGGGGGGGGGAACTTCTCATCGCCGACAGCTCCACTGTTCGTCGCTATAGCCAGCCGGAAGGAGGAGGATCTTCGAAGGATCGAGCCGGACAGTCCCAAAGCATCGGGCAACAAGCAAAGCAGGCATACAACATGTTGCGGTGGAGGTTGGCTAGGAGGCGTGTCTTGGTGAAGACTGAAGCATCTCTCGTCGCCCCAATTTGGCAGGTGCACGGGCCATGACGTCCCAATCCGCACAACCCACCACTCCACCCCGGCGCAGATCGACATCAGACATGAGACTTTTTGAAGTTTGTCAACAAACACGATGGAAAAAATGATGGCAGCCACCTCACCAACTGGACATTCCGCTTGCTCCACACACACACACACAACTATGATTTCCCTGATGACTGCATCGACTTTGAACGGGCAAGTTAGCTGGACGCAAGATGGGGACATGCTCCACGGCCAGCGTCCATCAAGCGTGCCACCCCCCGCCGTCTGATTCGGCTAGATGCAAACAGTGGCTTGTGGCGGCAGCCATCTGAGGTCCCCCTGACGTAGGCCTCTCCCGTTGTCTATCACCAAATCCCACCGGCAGTACCTATGCCCGGCTCCCACTGTGGCACTCGCCGTTTGCCCCCAGCCAATGAATGCATGCATGGAACTCGACCGCAGGCCTAGACAACCAGAGATCCGTTGTTCGAACCCCTCTAGGGAGTGGGCACGACTTATCGACCCATCAGGCCTGTTTTGTGTCAATGACGTCTTGTGCCTTCTATGTTTGTGAGGTCGCTGCCTTGCGGTATAAAGAGGTCATTGTAGCTGCTACATGGCAACACTCACACACGCACACTCACACTCACACACACACACACATCACATCAGCCTTTGAGACACTTCCCCTCTTACTTTCAACTACCCTTAACCCTACCACCCTACCACCCTACAACACATTCACAATGGACAAGGCCAAGGCAGCCATCACTGACTTCATGGGCCGCTCCGGTCACCACGACACAACCGTCCATGAGGCGGTTGCCCCTGCCGTTCACCACGAGACCATTAAGCCTCACACACACGAGGAGGTCAACACGGCCATTGACAAGGAGGTTCACCAAGACCACTATCACCGCACTGTCCAGCCTGTCCATGACCGCGAGGTCCTGCCCGAGACACACACTGCCAAGCTTGGTGGTGTTCAACACCGCGAGTTCGACCACCGTGACCATGATTCCACCAAGCAGAACTTGGTCCAAGACCAGGCTCGCTTCAAGGACGAGAGGCGCGTTGAGGGCCACACCACTAGCCAGAGCGTTGCACCCACTGTTGGAGGCGAGCATGTACATCACGTGAGTTTTACCTCTACAAGCTTGTCTTTACCACTCAAACTAACATTTCTCTAGCACATTCACGAGACCATTCAGCCAGTCGTCCAGAGGGAGACTATCCAGCCTAACGTGGTCCACACCACCGTCCCCATCCATGAGGTTCACCACAACAAGGCCACTCACCACGACACCACCTCCCTGCCTGCCATGACCATGGATCAGTTCAAGTCCAAGGGCGGAGCCCTTACCGGCCGCGAAGAGCGCTACGATGAGTTCCAGGGTGTGCCCAAGAACATCGGAGGCGGCGTAGGCGGCGGCTTCGGCGCTGTCCGTGGTCTCGAGCACAAGGAGCATCACAACAGCAAGGAGCACTCCCGACACGGTGACTACGATGCCACACCCAACCACGCATCTAGCGAAGCTGGTCTTCACAAAGGCGGCTTGACTACCAACTCTACCACTACGGGTACTACAGGCGGTTTGACCGGCCATGGTGACAAACACACCGACCGCGGCCTGACTGGTTCCACCACCTCAGGTGGTTTGACCGGCCAACATGACAACCACCATCATGCTGACCGCGGTGCAACTGGCCAGGGCAACTTGACCGGGTCTTCTACCCAAGG